ACACACTGGGAACCTTTATCATGGTCTCACGTGTGGATGAGTTTTGCCAATGGAGGACTGGGTGGGCCTCAGAGTCCTTCTGGGATTTCAAGGTGTAATTCTTAGAATAGTGATACAGCAGAAGTTTATGATTAACGCCATGAAAACCAGGTCTCCTTTCTAACAATGTGTCCATTCAGGAGATCTCAACATCTTCACCTACAGCATCTTAAGTCGCTCTGATTTACAGGTTTGAAGACCTCTCCGACAGGCCGCAGTGTATACCTTAATTAACAAGCTGCTCATTTCCTACCGCAGATACCAAAAAACGTGACAGGGATGTATACTCTCACAGAGCGTTCAAAGAAAACGGGGTGATCATTTACAGAGTTAGACTCAACAACATATCAGCGTGAGAAAACGATGACAGATGACCTGGAAGCTTCTGAGGCCAGATTTCATACTTCGACAGAGCGCTTCTTTCTCCATGAGGAGTGACATGTGCCGTCCAGATGCTTGAATCCTGACAACACACACATAACGGCCGAGATCTGGAGGACTGAGCTGGATGAAGGAAGGATCATGTCATTTAAACCGCCGGTATCCAAACAGAATCCTTCCTGCTCTGCACAATCATCTCCTTCAATGAAACCTTGTATTTAAACAAAATTTATCTCGTCTTTAAACCTCATTCAGACTGACCACAGAAATAATCTGCCTCTAGTGATTGAGACTGAAACTGGCCAAAGATTCATACATAAACATGTGACTCAGGGTGAGGACAGTGGGAAAAGGATCGGTGGATAATTGGTTTGAATTGAAACAAGATGAAGACTCTGGAGCCGAAACCGAGGAAGATCTACCAAAGAGCGGCAAGGCTAATCAGGATAATAGCGGCAGCAGCCACTTCCTCCTCCAGCTATGACACCAGCCTCCTTTCACTGCAGACAGCTCATCATAATAAACAATACAGCAGGATTAGACAGTTATTTCCAACCAGAAATGAAACACAATATGATTGCTTGGAGCTGTGAAAGTGTCCAGATGAGGTATGTTCTGGAAAGTTTCGTGCCTCCGGGAACAGAAAGTCGAGGCTGAAGTGCGTGGCTGCAACATTTCTCATGCATGTCTACAGTTTCTCTTCCCAAGGGTCACAATCTGGGCAGGAAAGAATATATTCCTTGTCTGCAGTTCAGGTTTTACAGTTGAATACCTCACATAACTCCACAGCCTGCAGAAACACAGTCAGTACTCAGGTCAGCAGGGTGCCAGGGTCCCCGAGTCGCCATGTGCTGAGTGCTGTCACTATAATACATGCGGCCCAGAGTCTCACAACAACATGCGGCTGTTTAAAGCAACTGTGGTCCCACAGCTGTGTCAGGTCTCCTAAATTCCTGCTGCTTGAAATGAAACACCACCAGAAACTGAAAGGTCAAGAGTCTGATGACAAGGTGCACTCGCAAATCATACCCAGCAATTCGCCAAAGAGCAAGGCTTGGCAAAAGTGTCAAATTAAACATCCTTTTCACAGGCAGAAACCTTAACCAGAGCCAGACTTGTTGGACAAACGTCTGCCCATGAAGCAACACTATCATCAAGTTTATTCTCCATCACTTCCCAAAGATTCCCAGTTTTAACCCAAACTACAGCACAAGTTTTATTGTTATTTTACTCCAAGCACCCATGTTGTTGAGAACTTGCACCCACATTAAAGGGATATTCCGGAGTAAAATTAATTCAGGGTCAAACACACCATAACACCGTGTTAGACACCTCCTCGAGAGATGAATGTTGTTGACCGCTTGCTTCTCTAGTTATTCCAACTTTAGTAACAACCGCAGGATAGCAATACACAGCGGTCTGAGGAGCCATAAACAAACCTCAACCAAAACTCCACTTTATAACCACAAATAATGCTCAGAACAGCACCTAACTTCATCAACAGTACATATAGGGTCACAGCCATAGCACCAGCCACCAAACATCTTTTTAGCTTTGTCTAATTTCTTTAGCAAAGAGACTAAACACAACTCACACACTCTCTTCCAGCAACCGCTTGCTTGTAGCGAGACCTCGCTGTAAACTGTGTAAATTTGCAAGTCTTTGTTTATTTGAAAAGGAGTTCAGTGCATGTAACATCAACCCATGACCTAAGTGTGTTTCCTGCATCTTTGGGGCACAGTGTAAGGATAGAAGTCAAATATGCCAAAGCCAAGTCCTGTAGATTTAAGTAGAAGAGCTGAAATCCACTATGTTCTATAAGGGTCTTACATAATGACAGTACAGGGCAGGATATTTATGCTCCCATAACTCCTCATCTGCAGTTCATAACATACGAAGGCTTAATGGTAGGGCGAATCCACCTCAGATAGCAACAGAGGAGGAATGGAGGGAGGACAGTGATGTATATTGTGAGAGCATACGGGGTGGAACAGCACTGTGTGTTTGAGGCACACTTTAGTAACGCCATAATACTGTGTAAAATTACACACAAGAACAGTGGTATTAAACAACTGCAGTGTGTAAGCACAAAGGTGTTGTCAGTGCAGGACTTTGCTTCTGCTCTGTTGCAGAAATGCTAGCGTGCAGGGCTCTGTTTGCTTGGCGGTTTGAACTTGCCCCAGATACGGAGACCATTGAGTCCTTGTTGAAGTGGGTGCTGGTTTGACTCTTGGCCACAACCATTTCTTACATTTCTTCCACCACTTTCTTTCTACTCCCCACATCCACTTTTTCTCGTCAGCTGACTTTCTAATAGAGGCAAAAATAAATCCCCTCTACATAAACCTGAAAGGCAGAGTTCAATTGTGTATCACGCTGAACTGCATGCATGCATGAGTCCTACAGGAAATGATGGCTGACATTTGCTGGTATAACCCAAGTGGTGCCCAAAAACAGTTTTAAATACTCAATGAATTGGATCTAGTTTCTTTGCACCCTTCACCTTACTTAACTCTTAAATTGAGTGCCGCTTAATGGACAAAATGTGAATGGACATTTTGCTCCATGCACTTTAGACTAATCCGTTAGATTTTAAATTTCTGTCTTATTTTCTCAAGAATTTTTGAAGCATTTTGCCTTTTATGAATCTAAGCTCACATAAAGTTGGCTGAAAATCACTGTTGACGGTGTAATTGTGCTTCTTATTGATGTGTTTTGGACAAAAGCAGAGCTTCACTGTAAAAAGATCAACTAAATCAGACAATCAGCGAGTAATTCAGTTACAGTTTTGGTCTTTTACACTAACGTGACATCATGACTTACTTCAGTTTGAATAAGATCCCAGTAAAGGTTTCTATCAGGGGTTATATTTTGACTCATTGTCGCATTACGAGGGGAAGTACTGCCAAATCTGCATGTGAGTTCACACAGGCTGTTCTTGAGTCAAACACACATGGACATAAAAAAGTATACTTACGGTATGAGATAATTCTGAAGTGTGTGTGAAAATGAGAGTGTGTGGGTGTGGGATTGATATAGTAAGAAAGCGCAGACGCCTTCAGACACACGCTGTGTTTACGCACAGTATGTGTGATCATGGGAGCATACACACCTCATGATTGTGTGTGTGTGTGTGTGTGTGTGTGTGTGTCAGGTTTGGCTGGTTATAATGGGTTCCAGAGGTTGGACGTGTTAGCCAATAAAAACATACGAACCCACAAAATGTTGAGCAATTCACTTCCTGTGGTGCTGAGTTTATCAGTGATGTGAGGGCCAAAGACTGATGACCTGCTCTGCTGGTTTATGTGTGCCAGGTTGTTGTAATGTGATTAAACTCTCGCTCACATTTTTCTTACTGCAGCTACAGGAAACAACGAGAAGGGGAGAGAGGGTAAACCAAAACATGTGCAGCAAGAAATGATCCAAAAACCCACAACACGAGCGAGAGAGAAAGAGAGAGAGAGAGAAAGAGAGGTCCCTGAATACGTGCAGCTCTAGACTGTGCTGACAATGTAAGAAGTCTCTTTGACATCTTAGTATGGTTTGTCCACTGTCCTTTTAAAGCACTGTGATTGGCACATGGGTTATTACTATGTTGATTTTCTGTAGACTTGGTCAAAGGGGTGGAGCTGGTGAGAAGCGAGGGGCTGACAAAACCCAGTCAACACCTGTGGTCGATTCAGTAAGGCAGTTAGAAACATCTATCTGTCCGGCCATAACCGAGGTTCAGAAATTGGCAAGATGAAGAATTTTCTTCTGTCAGTGAATCAAATTCAAGGCACCTTAGAGTAAGTAAAATTCATGCTCCAATGATACTTTTATGATACTTACGATAGTTATTTACATTCTGTGTAATCTATACATGCTGTACTTATAGCGTCATGTTAGAGAGAGCTTAAAAGTTGTATAGTTGGAGTATAACAGAGTTATTCATGTATGTTACTGCACTAGACTGTTTATACTATGGACAACTTGGTTCCACCTTCCGCCAGTAAACAGATTTAAAGCCAAAAAGCCCTCGGTATTTCAGGGTTTTTTCTCCACTTCCTGAAACCAACATTGCACTGTAGTGTTGTGCGCACTTCACCACTTGCGCAGTAGCATTGTACGCATTCAGCGGGAGAGTCGCTGAGATGACACTCGGCTATTCTATGTAATAAATTTCTAAAGTTTGTCCACAGCTCCATAGGGATTGCTGGAGGAGGCGGGATTTATAACCTATACTGCAGCCTGTCACCAGAGGGTGCTGTTCTCGAGGTGGCTTCACCCAGCGAGGAAGCTGACGGCGCCCATTCTATATACAGTCTGTGGTTACTGCACTAGCTCTGGTGTGGTGTGTGCCCGAGGTGAGTTGCAGAACACATGCTATCCACAAAAACTGTGCATCAATGTCATATCCATCATGAAAGCCGAGGTTATCATTATAAAAAGTGCTAATGAATCCATAGAACAGCATTGTACATGTGCACTAGTGAGCTTACTGTCCTATCTTAGTGTACTGTGTGAGCTGTAACATATTCTATTCATCAGCGTTCCCTGACTGTTTTACATTGATAACACTAATAAAACACACTAAGCAGGTTTCATAGTGAAACACTGACGCACACTTTTTTAACACCCGATCAAAAGATCTCCCAGACTCCTCCACTCTCTCTTCTTTTTATGACAAACACACATGAAACCGGAGAGGAACCAACAATACTTTTGGTTTCAGTTAAGTACAGGATCAGTGAAATGTACCCAGCCCGGTCTTTGTGCTGGTCTTGGCGAGCCGGATGGTTTCCCCCCTCATGGGCCCTCACCACACTCAGAGAGCCCGCTCATAATGAACGGTTTCTGCTCGGCTGTTTTTGGAAACACTATGGAAGAATGTACAGATTATATTTACTGCACAAAATGTGTTTCAAATATACGCAAAGACACAGATGAATGGAGAAATCCAGACTTTATGGTGTTTGTATGAAATCTCTCACGGTACTTAAAGAACCTCTTCCTGTGGGGTCTTACACATGATGAAACCAGATTCGATTTCTTTTAGACGGGCGGATCATGCAGTATAGATGTTTTTCTGCAGGGTCACTTCAGGTCACTATGATGACTTCATGCTTTCTGCTGCGTGAATTCAAATTTTATGAATGATTTGAATGTTAAGTTAATCATAGTTTATAATTACTTTAGCAGGAAGTGTTAATTGTGGACCATAGGAGGAGTAGTTGCTACCTTAGTAATGACAAATTAAGACCCAAATAAATACCCACTTAGATACTCAAATAGATATTGTAAAGGAGCGTCTTTACTCAGGGGATGACTGGAAAAAGTTGGGATGACATTGGGAAGAAAATTTCAGTTGGATAACCATGACCTGGATCAGACCCGGGCATTTTACAGCCTGAGGGCCACATCCGGCCCTTTGGATGTCCCTGCCCGGCCTTTCGTGAGGTTCGTCAATCAAATCATCAACATGCTATACAAGCGTGTTGCTTTTATTTTGAAAACCTAGCCATTGATTTATTTCCATTTGGACGCACGTGTGTACATCCTAAATCTGATCTACAAAAACAACATTGGCAAAATATACGTAGATGCCTTAGAGTTGCTAAGTCTGCTTACTATAAATAACCTTAGGCTTGTTTGTCTCAGAAGTCGTTTGTAAAATTCGTGAGTTGCGGGTGTGCTTTTTTGGGCTTGTTTTTAACTCAAAGTTGCTTATTTGGGCTTGCTTTTCCAATTTGAAGTTGAAGTTATTGTTGGTTCGGCCCTTCAACACAGTACAGGTTTCTTATGTGGCCCGATGTAAAAATGAATTGGATGAATGAGGACCTACACTGACAATATTTTGGGGTTTGCGTTTACACATTCAGATCACTCAAAAACATCAACAAGTTTTTAGTAGTGTTTTGCTCAAAGAAGGGCCAAATAGAAGGGTGAAACTAACCTGTTTGAAAGGTAGTGTTTGATTCAGTGTGACTTTGTTTAATCTGCCTCACTGTACTCAGTTCGTCAGTCTTCCTAAATTTCGATGCATTTTTCAAACCAAGTTTTCCCGAGAGGAAGTCAGCCTCTCCAGTCTGGCCTGTGAAATGAAAAACCTTATTTTCATTGGAGGTAAAATGCTTGTTTTATGAACAGATGTGTGTGGGGGAGTGTGTGCTAAAGAATTCAGCCATTCAAATGAGACAATGGGAGTGAAGTAAGGAGGTATTTTTAACCTCCATGCTAAGTACCCTAAAATCACTTTTTCCTCACTTGCTATGGCGGTGATAGACGCCATTTATAATCTTTGCGTCTGGCTGATATCTGTGACATTCCCTGATTCCATATGAGATTGGCTATTGTATTACTAATCTGCCCCTACCTGTTGGCTGCCTGGTTTCCTTTGTATACACCTCTGCAGGGCTTTCATTCAAATACCAGCACCCTAGTGGAAGTAATTCATTCCCCTTCCCTGAGAAAAGTCTGCAAATGACACTCTCTGGCTCTGGTTTTAGTGGTCTCATGAACAATGACTCTAATCTTAAATATTCCTGAAGAAAAAAGGACAAAGGTGAGAACTCTGAAACTATGAAGGGATAAAAGACACACTTAAAAAATGGTTAAAAGGCTGATTTTGATTGATTGGTACAGAGTTAGACAGCTAAAAAAACAGAGAAAGGACTGTTAAAAAATAAGATGATTGACGATTATACAAAAGTTTGAGGACAGACTAATAGACTAAACATCTAATCATTTTCCAGATGCATGAACTCAAACAGCTGAATCTGCCGTCCTCTCTCCATGGAATTAGGACAGGATCAGCTAAACAGGCGTAAACAAAAGCTAGCAATAGCCTGAAAGACTCACTACAACGAGAGCTGATAATCACACTGATTGCAGTTTTTCTGCTTTACACGATTAACTGCCTCAAGTTTTGTCAAAATTGTGACATGTTAGAAGTCACAGTCATCCAATAGTTTAGTTTCACACAGTGAATGCAGAGCTGTTCGTAAATACCTCAACTTCAGGGTATTTTGTTGATTGTGTGCCTGGGCATAATGGTAGACAATGCTTAAGAGTACCAAAGCGGCAATCTCAGCAGTTCCACCAGTGTCTGCTTGATTGGCTGCAAATTGAGCTAATCATCAGAGCAAAAATAAATACATCTTTGGCCCTGTTAAAAAAAAGGGTTCAAGTCAGAGAAGCTCGGGGCTCCCATGGCATCCCTGGAGAGAATTTTTGTGTAACACATTTGTGTTGAATTTGTGTTGACTGGCAGGTGGGCACACTGTTGATATTTGCAAGGAGGCAAAGGCCCGCCTCTTGTCTTTAAGTTAGGTTGAGTCAGCATTTCCACCAGCAAATGGCTTCAAAACTCAGCTTTAGAAAAACATGGGTGATGTCAGCGACACTACGTCCAGTAATCACACAGTTTATGAGTAGCTCACTAAAATTACAAAACACTGATCTGCCAAAACATCATGACAACGACATTACCAAGCTTTTTGGGCCTCACCACAAACAGTCAAATATTTTCAAGGATCTCTGCAAATAATGGACCTTTAAATCCAAACCTCTCTCCTATATGGTGCATCTACACAAATGCAACCACGATCCAATCCAATACAACCGCTCAGCCACAAACTTTTACCTTTATTTGTTGGTGTGTTTGTCCGATTTCTAAGAAATTCAACTGTTTCAGGTGGACTAATATTTACATGTTTTGCTGCATTTGACTCAAAACACAGTAAATCATACAGACTGTGGGTTTAAATGTAAAGTACAAAAGCACAGTGACAGCAGAGGATCATTATGGCAGATATGGAAGAATCTCAGAGTAATGAGGGATCTAAATACTGGTTATCTCCTATTGTGATGTGCATGTTTGAAAGGCAAACCCAGAAAATTCAATATCTCAAACGTCCTGAAATGGTCTGCTGTTTTTCTGTGAATGGGACTTTTGTTAAACAGCTTGTATTATAAGAAGACCTGCCTCTGTTTTAGTGTTTGGGGATCTTTGCAGGCCAGTTGAGCAGAAGGCTTTTTTTCCCTTTTGAATCACAGATCTTTTCATTGAAACTGAAACTGACAAAAAAGTCCCAGAGAGGAATGTTGGATTTCCCAGACATCGTCACCAAACAAAAGGAGCTGTTTATGACATTACTCTCCTGGCCTGTTTGCCCACGCTCCCTCTGACAGGAAGTGAGAAAGCTCTTCCCAGAACCTGACCCCCGGCAGAGAGAGAGTGAGAGATGTGGTGGGCTTGTCCGTAATTAAAGAAGCTTGAATATATCTCACGGACACCGGTTGCTACTCATTCTCATGACTAAACCACACCACGCAGCACGTCACCCACTCTCCTCCCTCCTCCTCAATGTGGGAAACCTCTTTTCTCTTTCTTCCATTCTGTCCTCCAAGATGAACTCATCCCAAACCGCCGCTGTATGAACAAAACAAGCTTTCATAAAACTGCTCATTCACATCTCACCCGCAGACAGCGAATGTGGAAAAAAACACAAACGTATTAAAGCATGAGCTAGCCTCTCAGTGACCACTACATGCCCGCCAAAGAAATACAAATGACAGTCTTTGTGGCGAATACTGTCACTCTGGAAACATGTCAACTTATGAGGGGAAAAAAAAGTTCACCTTCAGGTTGAGTTTTAGACATTTTGGCAGCTTTAAACTGGCAGAATCACTGTGAAATCTGCGGTGAGAAACTTTACTTTGTCAGAGAAACCTAATTAGGAAAGAATGCCTCTTTATCAGGGTTGACCTGCTGCCATTTCAGGGTTTATCAGCACCAGTGTGAATGGCGGGGAGGGGGGGTTAGATGTTAAAATGTGGGAATGAGTGGACAGAGAGAAGAAAATGGAGCCTAACATGGAGTGAAACAATGTCCTACTGATCTGTAAAAGAAAAGAGGCTTGAACATCATCCCTGACATGGCGTAATCTGCCAAAAATTGCAAAAAAAAGGAAAAAGACAGACTAAAAAAAAAAGAGCTAACTCTTCCTTTAAAGGACAGATATGGACACTGCATCAAGTGTTTATGTTTCTCAAGCTGCTGTAGTGCCATATTGACCCACATATGAGTTTTTATTCTCCACTTAAAATACTTTTAATAAAGAGGGATAATCTTTTATTCGGGGTCAGCACTGCCACTTCTTTGTGCAGTGATTTTTACCCTTTGATAACTGAGGACAGGCAATACTTTTGACCACAGAAGCAGGGGATGAAAGATGGAGAGACACAACTTATTCATCAACTTGTGATGCTAATTTAGAAGGACGTGATGTGTGAGAGGACCCATGCCATGAGCACTTTTGGGCACTTAGACTATCGTGGATGTTGGCCTATAAACTCCCTCTCCTCTTAAGAGTGGAGGACACACTATTCATGATTTACAAAGAGAATATAAAACTTTTAACTTTAACATCTTTAGTGAGTTTGAGTTTAGAGCTGTTCCCAGAATAATGTTGATATACAGACATATTCCTATTGTATACAGTTTTAACCTGCATTTGTGGATACAGTGTCAAACTGTGCTCACTTAGGTGGTTATTTTCAACCTTTGCAGCAATTTCCACTACAGAGTCATGCCTGTTTTTAAAGCTCCTGTGGGGAAGTTTCAGTTTGTTTAAATTTTAGTGCTCCCTGTGGCCAAAGCTGTCCACTCTGATCTTGTCCTCTACATGCTTAAGATCTCTCATTAAGGGAGCTAATCGTTCTGATTTAAGATTTATTATTTCTTGTGAGTATTTATCTGGAAAATACAAAAACAGGCCTGTTTCCCCAGCTGCTTGTCTGACACCTACCCTCACGTCATGGTCTACAGCATTAAAAATGACAATATAGAAATCATCCGTCTTCTTTCTGATGGCCTTGTTTCCTTTTATATATCATAAAAGCCATTATTATCAATTTCAGTATCTTTTTTTATAAAAGTCAAAAAGCGTTTCACAGGAGTTTTGATGCAGTGCTGTATGAAGGGCCAAAGTTCAAGGCCCGGCAGAACTGGTTTTTGGGCTCATACAGAGATTTCTCCAGATACTCTAAACCTTTTTTATTTTATCTTAGACTGTGGAAATTCATAAAAGTTTTGCAATTTTATCCTCTGCAGTATTATTTTGGATAGAATTGGACTGTTTGTTCACACAGTCTCTCACAAAGTGGTGACCCTTTTCTCATCTTTACTTTCGATAGACTAATATTCACATAAATGCCCTTTTTATGTCTGTCTGGTCATAATTCCAACCTGCTGTGAATGAATTTAATCAGTTTGAAGAGGTTTTTTCAGCTTTCCTTAACTTTTACTGTCTTTTGTTGCCGTCCTTTTTGACCCGTGTTGATGGCATCAAATTTGAAACGAGAATATATTTTTCATTCAACAATATATCGTTTTAGTTTGAGAATTTGATGTGTTCTCTTTGCTCTATTTTCAGTCACATATGGGGTTTGAATGGTTGAAAAATCTGTCTAAAGCAACATTTTACAGTGTGCGAACTTTTTTTTTTTAGGAATAATTGGTAAAAGCTGTGACCACACATAAAAATGACATTTTTTAGAAAGAAGGATTCATCTTATAATTGGATCCGTATGGTATACCTTTAGATAATTAATTCAAGTTACAGCTCCCCGGGGCCTTACATAAATAAACCACAAACAAAACAGAGCATAAAGACGAGGCATCACGCTGTGCCAGTGAGTGTGACTAAAGCAATTAAGTGAAATGCAAATAGGAAAAGCAGCGGCATTTTGACTAATGAGGCAGAACAGTTGGTGTCAACATATCTGACCGAGCTGTCTCCATTTACTTATAAATACTATGGTGATTTCCTCTCTTTGTGGGCCAAGAAACAGCTCAGCAATCCTAGTGGGATTTAGTGTCGGTGATGCCATCGAGGATTTTGATAAACACATATGGAAGTGGGCTGAAACTTTTAATAAACAATAATATATCCAGAGTGTGGAAACTCTAAGCTTACTCAGTGAGAACTGCCAACTTCAGGGTGAGAACTGGTACAGGGCTTAAATAAGAAATAAGAGTGTTTGTGTTTGCACGCACACACCACTAACATTCACATACACTTGGTTTATGCTAAATCAAAACGGTCCCGATGGTAGCCTCTTCCTGTGTTTATTTTGACTAAAAGTCCCCTCTGACTTTTGCAACCCCAATGAAACGTCTGACCCAAACAGACATGGGAGTAGATTTAGAGAGCATCAGTTTTCTGTGAATCAGGACAGAAACGAGGGTCTAAACGTGCAAAAACTTTCAATGCAAAGTGAAAAAACCCTGCAAAAGACTCCAAAGTGTTTTTCCCAGCTGAAAAAAAAAATGCAGAATCAGTAAAAACCGCCATCAGATCTGGTGGAAGAATTTACACATTCCACTGAACCACAACATAGAGCAGACTGTATGCAAATGCCACTTTTTACAACACTCTGAGGCCATTTTTGTTTAAAGATTTGCATCTGTTTGCATGACAGAGAAAACACAACTAAAAGAAAAAGCAGGAGAAACGGTGGAGCAGACTATTCTGTGGCTGTGCTTGGTTTGAATTAAAGCTTGCACAAGCAGCCTGATCTGAATTCAAATGCCCAGACTGGGAGGCAGTGAGGTCTGCTGGAGAAGAAAAGAAGGAACAACAAACATGGAGACAGAGCAGCTGGAGACTGGAGACAAGGGAGGAGAGTCAGGAACAGTGGATGTCAGAAATACACCGCGCAGTGTGGGAGCAAAAGAAGAGGAACATATCCAACATTTACATATGCTCTTCACATTTCTCCTTATTAAGAGCACAAAGCGGGGTCGCTGCCCGGCACAGCTGCACATGAGCCTGCTGCACCGTGGCAGAGGAGCTGGACTTCCACAAAGGCGGGCTATTTCCAGGATTCCCATAAATCTGCTGGACACTACATTAGAGTTCCTGAGTTTCCCCTTTTTGAGCAGCTCTGTTGGAGCTTTTCTTTCCCAAACACAAAGACGCATAAGAGGAAAAAATTCTTGACCCAGACCTAACCTTCACTGTACGGAAAGACGCGGAGTACTTTCCAAATAAAAAAATGACTACGCCCATGTAATGGCACACACCTCGTTTTAGATTTTCCCTTTTTGTCAAAAACAGAATTACGACCCTGATTCAATAAGAGCTGGGATGCTAATGATATGTCCGATTTAAGTCATTTGCAAACCCTCAAAATTCAGTTTTCTAATGAACATTTTACAGTGTCTCAGCTCTCGTAGATTTGGGGTTATGGAGAGGAGAAACGCAGCAGGAATATCTGCTTCAAAGGCTTTTTGAGGAGCTCTGAATTAGTGTGAATTTTGGCATCTTGCATTAAAAGTTACGTAGTATGCATTTGTAATGAGTCTAAACAAAATTAACTCATCCTAATTTATTTAAATGGTCTTTAATTCACTTATAGACTTTAGTATAAACTTCATGAAACAGTTTTCTTGACTTCAGACGCTGACGTCCCCACAGAGGCTTTGTATTCTGCAGCATTGACTCTGAATTAACAGCATCTACTCCCCATCATTAATCAGTCATTTCAACTGTTAAGATAGCTCACACTAATCTCTAACAATTCAAAGGGAGGAAAGGGGAGCTGCACTGAACCAACTCTGTGGCCCACACCGACTCAACATTAACAACCAATGATATGAATTAAAAAGGTGTGATCGCTTTCTATTGTCCCTGTGAAATAACATTAAACAAGAAGCTGTGTGTTCTACTGTAGGCGAGAGGTGAGAATCTCATTTTGAGGTGTGACTCTGCATCATATGGGCCACTAACTCACACCTCAGAGTGGAGGACCACTGCAGGGTTCAGTGTGTGATGGAGGTTTTTACAAGGTGTGTTTTTGGTGCGTGAACTCAACCAAAACAGCCGCTTCACTTCTTAGAGTTTAATTTTTACACAGCAGCGTAGAATTAAAGGGGACATGACCTGACACCTTTAGTGCCTACATAGTCTGGATTCTGAATTGTGCCATCATGTAATACAACAATGAGAGCTAAAAGTGTACTCTGAGGACATACTCCCATTTGGTTTTCTGGTTTTGTGTTTTTGAGATAGGCAACTCTGGATGGTGAGTGATCGTCGACCATCTTGTTTTTATCATTGAATAAATGGAATTCCTTCGAAAAGGGACACACACACTACGTTGACCCAAAACATGAAGTCAGGCCAAAGTCCAGTCGCAATTTATTGAGCATGACCAGAACACTTGGGTCAGTTTCAGTCTGACAGAGAAGTAAACATCACAGAGGGAGTCGATACCCAATTCCATCATCTAGGTACAGTATGTTGGTCCGACTATGAGAAGGTCAGTTTAGTGCGTTTTCAGTCAGTCAAATGGTCATTTTCTAACGTAGGTCAGTCTGAAACTGGACTTGCAAAATACATGTAAACTAGGGTGACAATTTTCTGACTTCCCAAAAAAAAGACACGACTACGCTGGGGCGGAGTCACGGTGTCACAAGAAGTTAATTTTGAGAGTTTTTCGGGTCGAATCGAGTGTCTTTTACACGCTTCTAACTCAGTAAGTCCATGTGACACAAACTTGGAACTTACGTACAAAACCGTGGACGTTTGAAGGATTTAATAAACTTCCTCAGACAAAGCCAGACAGCCCGGACAGCCCCCCAAAAAGAGGACATGTCTGGGTAAAAGAGGACGTATGGTCACCCTGTGTAAACACACGAGTCCTAGGGAGTAGATTGCCTGCTCTAATGACCTGCTCCAACCACTGTCCTGTCCTCTCAATCACGGCAATAAAAAGCCAAAAATGAAGCCAAAAAATAACATAAGTCCAAGCGTGATCACACAAACTCAAATTTCTTGTAGTTGGACGAATGTATCCAGAGTACTCTGTTGAGTTTTAATGTGCTTTGGCTAGGTGACCATATTGTGACTTCCCAAAAAGAGGACACAACTATGCGGGGGCTGAGTCAGGGAGTCGCATGAAGTTGATTTTCAGAGTTTTCCGGGTCAGATCGAGTGCCTTTTATGCGCTTCTGACTCAGTAAGTCCACGTCACACAAAATCAAAACTTTGAAGGATTTTATAAACCCCCACGGGCAAAGCGGGACAGCCCCCCAAAAAGAGGACATGTCCGGGTAAAAGAGGATGTATGGTCACCCTAGCTTTTATAATTATTCACCTCTATCAGCCTAAATGTTCTGTAAATGCTCCATGTTAGGCCTTTTCTATTTGTATATCTGTAAAAATTGTGTACTGTGCTTGTGTTTTTTTCTTCTTTTCACTGGTTGTGCTTATAGTGTCTCAGTCCTCATTTGTTCCTTATCCGTTTAAGATAAAAAAAACCTTAAGAATAAAAAAAAAAAAAAAAAAAAAACCAGACAAGCAGCAGGCTAAGAAGACAACAGAAGCAGGCGGTAAATCTAAAGAAAGCTCTCATGACAAAAGCAGGACTGGCTGACTTCCTTTCTGCAGGCGCATTAACGTCACAGGAAAAATCCACCAGAGCCAGGAGCGTTGGACAGAACATACTGAATACAGAGAGCCCCCCAACCCCCACCCACGCCTTCAGGCAGCAAGGCGACTGGGTGGGTCCAAACCGGTCACTCCATCCTAAAAGTTTGCTGGAGGCTGGAGTGAGAGACGCAGTGACAGAGCAGATCCCCACTGTGGGAAAAAAAAAGAAAAGGCAGAGCAGATAGTCCTGCTGTCACGTCTTTGTGTGTTAACTAATCAGAGGCGACACGCTGAGAGACTGTCACAGTGTCACAGCAGGAGGTTAACTGCCACTTGGCTGACAGAGCACTTCAGCCCAGTTATCACTTGGGTGGGCCCTGAGGGAGAGGAGGAAAGGCAGAAAAAGACAAGTCATCTAGGACCTCCCCAGTCAGACACCAACTGGAAATCACTTAAAGGAGAGAAAATACTGATCCCAGACCAGCAGGTGTGGAGAGAAGCTAAAAAAGGAAAATTTGTGTTGATGTGGGAAGAAGAAAAGTGGACACATCCACAAGAATCAAGTAAAAATGGGGAAAGAGGTTGACATCTCTGTGAGAGATTGTGTGAGGAAATAGTTCAACAGTAAGCAGGATGATCCATAGGAGTATTCAGTCGCCTTAAATTGCAATAAAATTCAAGATTCTACATCAAAAGAACAAAATATCATGAAAAGATCCAGATCCATTTCTCTGAACAGAAAGTACAAGAGAAAAGATCAAGATTGAAAAACTGAAATTTGATATTCTTTTTGGAAATCACGAGACATAATCCAATACCTGTGATGGATACAAGGACAGCCAGGAACTATTCATATACCCACACACCTGTAAGCTTACAAATCAGCCAGCCCTGTGACATTAGCCTGACAGTTCAATGACAACTTATCTTTAAACAACTTACAATTTAAAACGCAATGGCACAACAATAAACAAGCCTGAGTGAGAATTAAGTGAAATATGGCGGATATGGTGAACAGTGAACAGACGATGGAACTTACAATAGTGTGGCGACAAAATGATTTGACATAGTTATGAGCGGTAAACACGTTAAGTCAAATCTTCCATGAATACGATAAGAGGAAATGAGTAATTTGTTGATTATGTGCCTTTAAGTGTTTGTTGGACGTCACTCTGTAGTCACGACTCTGTGTGTCAGTTCCTACGAGTGACTTCATGGAGGATATCCCACTCCTTTCGAGGCACAATGAGGCAGCTTCCTGTTTAGAGAAGGCCCAGTCCTGCTTTAGCTAAACCCACCCTCCGCTTACGTAATTCTCCTCTTCAGTCTACCAAATCTTAGTGAGAGAGAGGTGTTACTCATCCATTTGAATACAATTACTGATTCAAAATGATGAGTAACCCTTGATGTGGTGGCTTTCATTAGTAGCCTGTAAAAACGAGTCTCTTGTTTAAAAGCAGTGATTTGTAAAATCTCAAGTGGACAAGTTAAAATGTAAACATGGTGTTAAAAAGCACATTTGTGACACCTGTGCATATGAAAATATTAGAATAAAACTGTCACTGCCCATATTCTCGATTGGATCTTCTATATTCAGAATGTTTACCTGCACAGTTAGGTTCAGCTTCAGTTACAGCCTGATCATAAATGTTCTTCCTTGAGCTGCGTCACCCCACAGCAGTCCGTAATAGACTGGCCTAAGGTCTCGCTACAAACAATCGGCTGCTGGAAGAGAGTAGGTGAGTTGTGTTTAGTCTCTTTGCTAAAATAATCAGGCAAACTTAAAAAGATGTTTGGTGGCTAGTGCTACAGCTGGGACCCTATATGTACTGTTGATGAAGTTAGGTGCTGTTCTGAGAATTATTTGTGGCTATAGAGTGTTTTTTTGGTTGAGGTTTGTTCATGGCTCCTCAGACTGCTGTGTATTGCTGTCCTGCAGTCTTAACTAAAGTTGGTATAACTAGAGAAGCAAGCGGTCGGCAACATTCATCTCTCAAGGGGGTGTCTAACTCGGTGTTACAGCGTGTTTGACCCTAAATTAATTTTATGCCGGAATATCCCTTTAAATGGACTCCCGTCCTTGTCTATGTTAACAAACACAGAGTAACAATCAAGTTATTTGCTTAAGTACATCCATCTTTGCTACGATAGGTGGTGACAAGCCCTTTTAGCTTATTAATCTCTTCCGTCAAGCCTTGTGGTTGACTTATGTCATGTACCAAAACGGTTGACAAACAAGTTAGCAAGGGGATAACAGGTTGTATGTCAGACAATGAAAACATCGACAGTCCTTTCATACTTAACGTCTTTGATATGAAACACTTCTAAATCTGTCTTCTGGATCAGGGCTGGCCAGTCACTAACATACAAAGTTTTATCCTGATGTGTGTCACAGTAAACGACGATCAAAGACATGACTACAGTGCCCCCCAACAGAAAGTCTAGCATTATTTATATTTTGCTCTAAAATGTGTTTTTCCACGGCATCAATGATGTTGACGATTGAGAGCACACAGTGTTCTTTCAAATCAGCACTTTCAGGATGGTGAACTAAAAGACAATAAGTGCATCATTTCTGCTGTGAAGTCTCACTGTTGACCTTTTAGCAAAGTCACTCACAGTTGAAATAACATTGGAGTTCAAACAGTAAGGGACATGAAGTTGATCATTTTAAAGACACTGATTGGATTTTGTAACTTAATATTACATTACTGACATTATATAACTCTATATTGATAAAAGAGCAGGTGTCAAGAGCTTAAAATGAAATCTGTTAACTTTTCTACAATTTTTGACTTGGTTATAACAACACATGTGTTCTGAGGGATCTAAAATTGGCATGTTTGCCCAAAAGTTAGTTTTTGATGTGTGAGCTTAAAAATAATTACAAGTGACGCTAATCTGCTGTCAAGATGAGCTGTTGGAAGTTCGAATTGAGTTAGAGTTGCATATTGTGCACATTTCTCATCATATTTTTATTGAAAAAGGGGGAAAGGAGTGGGTGTTATGTTGAATTGATTGATGAGGATTTCGAACATCTGTGTACACATCATTATTCTGAGTATTGAATGTCTTCACACATGTCTGGAGGGGTCTTTTGGGGCAAGATTAGACCATTAAATGGCATGTTTACCCAAAAAAGGAGTTTTTGATGTGTGAGCTCAAAGATAATTACAGATTTAGTCAATCTGTTGGAGTTATTTTCTGAAATGTGGGGTTCTTGGAGTGCAAAACAGACCCAGCTGCTCCACTGTCACAAATTACTATTTTTCCTCTGACAAATTAACCAGTGGTTTTCAGATCTGAGTGTGATGTTTCTCTTTTGCATGGCGTGGGAGGGAGAGAAAAAAGTTCCCACGTTATCTGACAAACCTGCAGAGCAACATCAGGCCATAATTACACACTCAGAGCCTATTAAACACACAAACGGATGAGGAGAAGAAATACACTGTTTGCACCTGAGGGCAAACTGATAAAGCTCAAACCTCACTTTCTTCCTCCTCTGTTTCAACCACAAACACACACACACGAGCTTTATCTGTCATCGGGCTTTAATCCTCCTGAGGGCAAATCAGAAACAAACTCCAGGGGTCAGGAGAAGGAGAGAGAGGGAGGGAAAATCGTTGAAGGGCAAAAACATTAGAGACCAACCCACTGCGTGTTGAGTCCTGCCCCGCTCTGTTTCCCACATCACACTCACATGTCGCTGAGGTGCAGAGACCCACCGAGTCCGAGTCCTCCGCGAGATCTACTTTGACCAGAGACTATCTACACATTTCTACAGGTGCGTGCAAAAGTTTCTTACACTTATATATTTTCGAGTTTGGTTCGTAGAGGTGCGCTTAAAATGCGCGTGTGCCGCTCAGTTTGACATTTACACAAACTTTAAAGTCAATTTAAGCGCCAGTATGAAATTTTCACCGTAAATTGTGTTTAAAGACTATTTGTCACTGCATGCACTTGAGCTGACACTGTAATCAATACCGGATATTAGTGTCAAGATATTAAAACCCAGTAAAAAACAATCATATCTGTTGGAGTCAAATCAGCCGATTTAAAAGATGCACAATGTGGTGTGTTACATGAATGCAGCTCCAGTTTAACGTCAATGTGGATATTTTCATTTAATTCTTGCACACTTCAGTTGATACCAGGTTTCTCTTAAAAGAATTTATAAAAAATATATAATCATGTTGTCTGTGGGAGTTAAATCAGCCGTTTTGCTTCCTTGAAAAGCTGTGATGTATTTAAAGTTGAATAAATGCCACCGTTTAAATGTCAATATGGATAATTTAGACGTTTTAAAATTACTTTGTTAGTTTTCTTTTTTACAATGTAGGCTACTTGATCCTGAATGTCAGTGTAACAATACCACAAACAAAATCAATCATGTTTGTAGGACTTAAATCAGCCGATTTGAACACTTGAAACCATATGTAATATAGTAAGTTATGTGAGTGCAGCTCTAGTAGCAACACCAATATTGATAGTTCTGAAAAAATAAACCCACATCTTTATTTTTTTTAAACCCAATTGATGCTTGATGTCGGTTTTACGATTCAGTCAATCAAAAATGTTCATATGAGTTGATTCCGTCGGTTTGTACTCTGAAAAAAACGTGCGTAAAAATGCTCCAAAATCTCTCCAGTGAGTCAATTTCTTGCACTTTTTGTCCCTTATCTCTTACACTTTTTGTAACGTGGGTTTGCACGGTCACGGGCAGCATAACGCTTTGTCATTCTCTGTTTAGACTTCTGTGTTATTTATTTCCCTCTCTTTTAAGTCCAACTCCTCAGACGGTCATGTTCGCCTGGTTCTTAATCTTTCTCATAGATTTGATCGTCGTGTGTGATCACTTTGATGTGTGTTTACTATACGACAAGGTTCCCAACTAATTAAACTGCATTTCCTGTCTTTCATTATCAAGTTTTCCATGTTAATTCTCCTCTGTCTGTTTCAGGCTCGCTCTCATCGCCTCCTAGTGCCCAACCAGGGGATTGGAAAGATGTGATTTTGGGAGAGAAAATTCCAAACACAGGAAACTCTTTTACAAAGCAACAAAAGGAGAACCTTGTCTGTGTGAATTTCTCTCTGCTTCTGTTTGTTTAAGCTTTCAACACAAAAATGCACCTCCAGAGGACTAAATAACTCCTTCTCTGTGGATCTAGCGTTTTAAAAAGAAGAAGAAGGAGGAAAAGAAGAAGAAGGGACGTTTTTTTCTTGAAGCTCTAAAAATGTCCACAGAGTCTTTTCAAGCCGCTTACGCTGCTGCAGCTCCGTCAGCCGTCCCCTTACCCCCCTCCACAGGAAACTTGCTGAGGATGTTTCGGGAGTACCAGAGCAATGCGGTCATCATCGAGCACTACAACTACACGGGCAAGCTGGACGCGAAAAAGTACAAAGAGGGGCTGACTCCAGAGGCCATCATCTTCTTGCTGGTCTGCCTCCTCATCGTCATGGAGAACTCGGTGGTTCTTCTGGCGATCTGGAAGAATAAGAAGTTCCACCTGCCCATGTACTATTTACTGGGGAATCTGACTCTGTCTGACCTGCTGGCGGGGTTCACCTACATGGTCAACATCATCACATCTGGTGCCAACACCTTAAACATGACCCCAGTGCTGTGGTTCCTCAGAGAGGGGGGCGTGTTCATCATGCTGGCTGCCTCGGTCATCAGCCTGCTCGCCATCGCCATAGAGCGTCACGTTACCATGGTGAGAATGAAGCCGTATCAAGGGGATAAACAGGGGCGGATGTTTGCTTTGATTGGGGCAAGCTGGGTCCTATCAGTGCTCCTTGGGATCCTTCCAGTCCTGGGATGGAACTGTATCGGACAGCTGGACCGCTGCTCCACTGTCCTCCCGCTCTACGCCAAAAGCTACGTCCTCTTCTGCATCACCATCTTCAGCGCCATCCTCATGTCCATTGTGGTGCTCTATGTGAGGATTTTCCGCATCGTCAAGTCCAACACCCAGCGCCTGGCGACGGTCCCACACCGCAAAGGCCTCTACAAGAAGTCCCAGAAGTACATGGCCCTCCTGAAGACCGTCACCATTGTCCTGGGGGTCTTCATCGCCTGTTGGTTGCCCCTCTTCATCTTCCTCCTCTTGGATTTCTGCTGCCCAGCCAATGGGTGTGCAGTGCTCTTCAAAGCAGACTACTTCCTGGGCATCGCTATGTTCAACTCCCTCCTGAACCCGATCATCTACACGCTGACCAGCAAGGACATGAGGAGGGCCATCCTCAGGCTGCTCTGCCGGCCGTGCCTCCTGACCAAAGACGGGCAGGTGAAGAAGATCGGGATGCCCTTCCTGGAGTGCAGCACAAGTAAAACAGACGCAGCCTCGCACAGACTGGAGGGGCTGGAGACCACAGTGTCCTCCGGGAACTTTACCCCCTCTACTATCAAAGCTATTTACCCACGGATGTCTAAAACATGACACAGCAAAACATGAGAAACTGAGACTCAAAACAGGACTTGGTTGTTTTTTTTCCAGACCTGCATGAGGGCTGTGGGCGCTGCAGGTCTTGTGTTGCACTCTGTCAGATTAGTTTTTTAAGTAAACAGAATAAGCTCGAGTCATTCATGGATTATCAAACAGACCTGAGCACAGACGTGGAAAAGGTCTCCCCCCTCCACAAACACAGGAGCAAAACCTCTGTGTGGAAGTGACACAAAACAACAACAAATGTTTCAGCTGGTTTATGCATGGAAATGTTGAGGTCATGTTGTCTTTCTCTGAGTCGTCTTGTAATTCCTTGTCTCATTTTTGTGTCTTGTTGTGCTTGTTTTGTGTGTTTCCCTACTGTTGCACATCATTTTGTCTGATTTGAATGTCAAGTTTTGCGTGTCTTCAGGACTAGTTTGCATCAATACTTGGTTTTGTGTTGTTCTTACAGTTGTTATGAGGGAGCTGTCTGCCACTTCTTCCTTGAGTTGCATCTTTTTGCGGTTGTGTTGTGTCTCCGTCACCATTTTAGTCACTCAGAGGTTGTTTTTCGTCTCTTGGTTTTCAGTTTATACCTCGTGAAGTTCCTTCTGTTAGCTTAGCTGAAGTTTTTTCTTCTGCTTGTCATCTTTTTACATCCCTAGGTGGTCATTGTGCACATTTTTGTTGCATCTTTTTGTAGTTGTTAATCTTTTATCATTCTAGTCCCTTTGTGGATTCTTTGTTGTCTTTTGCATCTGTCTTTGGGTCACTTTGCACATCGTTTTAAAGCAGTTAGGTATCAGTCAGTCCATTTTTACATATTTGTGAAGTCATATTCCATCGTTGCATCTATTATTCATGGGATTTACACCTCTTTTAGAGTTTTTTGTGCAACATTTAACTTTTTGCATCTGTTTTTCGCAGTATTTTCTAGATATTTTCCAGCTGTTTTTGTGTCTTTGTGGACATTACATGATAGTTTTATTAGTGGTAGTTGTTTTGTCTTTTTTATCCCCCATGTTTTTTCATCTTTCTTGCTGTAACCGTCATCTCTTGCGTCCTTTTGTCTTTTTATTATGTTTTTTTTTGCAGTTGTTTCTTTTCTTTCTGTGGTCTCTCTTTGTATGATTGTTATGTTGTGTCCTTTTGTAGTTGTTCTGTGTCACTTTGTGGTAAGTGGGGGGGCGTCAGTCTCTACACAGAAAACTTCCAAGTAATCCATTCAAAACTCATTAGATGTCTGTGATGGTTTTAGAGCATTTTTGGCACATTTTTCTGTAACAACATTTGTGAAAAAGAGAAATGTCTGTGCCTTAATGGTGTGTGTCTGTTGCCTGTGAAAAAGCCTCTTGCAGACACTCAAACAGGCCACTTCTCAGCAGGGGATAAATCCTCCAGAGGAAAACAAACATTACATTTCATTTTTAAGTTTTTGCTTCTGCTGAAAAATCAAACTGAGGACTTTGTGCAAATATGCAAACAATTATGACATGGGGATAAATCTCATGCAGCCCAACAGGAGATTTATCCTCATGTCCTCTCCCTGCGGAGCGTATAATGACATGTTGTTACAAACATGGAGCATCCACACCCAAAAGCTGCCGCCAAGACCGTGTAATTTCTGCCATGTGAGTTTTGGTCAGCTGCATTGTGGGTAGAGGTCTCCTCAGTGGAGATCAGAGGCTCAGCGGCCAAGAGACGCGTCACAGTCAGGGTTTGAGTCGAGCGGTTAGCAGCTTTGGAGGTCCTTTTGACTTATGTAGCGACACATGATGAATGACTACCAGCAGTTAAACTTGACAGAGGATGTTTTCTGACGCCTCCTGGTTTTAATGAGCGTCAGTGATTAGGTTTCAGCTCGAGGATGAACTCCACAGTCTGCAGAGAAAGTTCATCGTGAAATCTTCTATTCCTGTGAATAATAGACTCCGCCCACTCATCAGAAACCCGTTGAAGCTCAGAGGCGTGCGTGGGCTTCAAGGACATTTGGGGATTTCATTAAGGTCACAGCGACATTAACATGAACACTTGAAACAGAGTGGTTTATTGTACATTAATGTAAAGACAAATAAAATCTATTTACTGATTTTTTTAGTTACTTTGTAAATATATAAATAAATGTAATCATTTCTGAGCTGCAGTTTGTATTTGTGTTAAAAACCTCACTTAAATTATGATGCCAGTTTTATACCTGCACTGAATAAAAACATGAATGAAGTTTACACAGAAAACTGTCCGTGGTTCATTTACTTCCTGTTTCTATCCTAAAGATTTTTTTTGGAATAATTTTTTTGATTGAAACTTTTTTAATACTTAAAAAAAGTTGACTGTACATTTAGCAACCACTCCTTATCATCATTACTATTCTGCTTATACACAGGGTGAATGGTTATTTTGTTTGTTTGTTTTGAGGCATTATTTTTTTTTCCTGAATTCTGACATAAAAAGGTCAAAATGAATAAAATCAAACGGTGTACAATCATTGTAATACAAAGAGATTTTTCTTCCTACATCCTGACTTTTTCTCAGAAGTCTGACTTTAATCTTTGTTGTAATGTTAAACAGTCTTCTCTATGAAAACAGTCCCCATGTCTCAAAAGGTGACCTGAGTCAATACTGTGACTCGCACTGTGTCGAGCAACGCCAATGACATTCTGTCGATGATTTTCTGTCACGACGGACAATAATTTTTTCTGAATGTGAAAGGATAAAAAATAAAGGTAATGTGTAAATGATTGTCCTTTTCAAATTATTACTAGTATTTTAACCCTGAGAAATAAGGTGAATTTAATCCAATCATCTTGGATGTCCGTTACCCCACAGAGAAACTTGTTTCTTTTTTTCATAATTTTGATTATTTTTTTTCTTTCAGAAAATTTTTATTTTGTTTCTTAGAATTTTGACTTTTATTCTACTTAGTTTTTTTTTTCCAGGGATTTATTCCTCAATCTCACAATTTTATTTGTTATCTCCTAAAATTCTATTTTTTCTTTGATGTCAAAGTGATACTTCTTAATGTTTTTTTCTCTCTCTGAGGCTATTATCTGAGAGGATTAGTCAGTTAAAATTTTTGTATTATACGAGGTCTGACCTGTTTTTGATTTTTGACTTTTGTTTAAAAATGCTTTTTCCTTTTCCCTTTGTCAGATCAGATTCTGACTTTTGTTACAGAATCTGTTATCCCTGAACTCAAAAGTTTATACCTCTAAATTCTCACTTTTTTTCACTCCAGAGTTTGAGAGTACAAGTGGCTACTTTTTACAGCCATAATGACTTTTTTTTTGTCAGCTTTTACTTTAGTTGCAGAATTCTAGAGGTGAAGGTCAGACCTAAAATACAAGAAAAAAAGTCATCTCTTAATGCTCTAAAAAAGCTTATGAGAGAAACTCATGACAGGCTTCATGATGATAAGTTTCCAACATGGAGCCAAACACTGTTATCATTTTAGAAATGTGAATCTAAATATTGTTAAATATCAAGTAAATGACATTTTGCCTTCTCTTCAGTCAGAAAATTAAGACAAACAGACTTTTGATGTTTGTTTACTGTATTAAAAAAGGAAACAATAACAAAGTTCTGCAACAACAGATGGGTATTGTTTTGGAGGCCGAAGGGTTCACTGTTGGTGACCTTATTAGTCAGACTCAAAGGTTTTAGTTCAGGGTGACAGACTGAATTTACACCAGATTTTACTCCTTACAGCTCCTGAAAGAGGATTTTAGCTTATTAACCGGATATGTAACACAGTGATACATAATCCGAAAACACAACTCACATGTGCGCAACTAAGAGACATCATTGTATTCAGAGAGGAGACAAAAAACCACACAAATGTAAAAATTCCTTACTGGAGCTTTAAAGTGTAACTTAATGTTTGGTATGAAACCAATTATGACCATATATGCAAAGTAAAGATCCAAACTTGCAACTGAAACTGTTCGGAAACTGAAGCTATACAGAGTAAAATTTAGTATTTCAATATGCGAATACTGCGTATGGCATATTATAAGAATGTCATTTCAGCCTACTAGATGTGGGACTTGGCTGATACAGGATATGACAATGTTCTTCCATGGAAAGTATAAGTTAAAGGAAGGAGATACAAATAATTTACGGCAAAAAAAGCCAAGCATTTGCATCGAATAATAACATTTTAAGCTAAACTGGTCATTTTCTTTCCGGTTTGTTTGTTTTTTGTTTTGCAAAAAGAGGAAGGGGTGATACTGAAAATTGTAGACGCAGACAAAAGCCCCTCTCCATGGTGCCCACGTGTTAACCACTGACATTCAGCGTCAGTGCCAGAGCCGTGCATGAAGCTGCAGAAAGCAGAAACCCTCCTGCAGCTGTTTACCGTAAGGAAACCACACATCGCAGCGCAGCTCTGAGGTATGATATAGAGAGTGTGAGCCACCATGACACCACGTGTCATCCTGCCCACTTTCAACCACCCGGCCCGCTCACAGCCGGGGCATCACGTCCCTTTCAAAGAAGGAGGCTGTTTCACATCTCGGTAAATCAAAACGATGCAGAAAATGACACACATCCTTTTACTGCAGAGCAGGAACACAACAGGGGCACTGAGAATAAAGACACCTGAATTTTATATTCCAGCATTATGTCCTCTTTTTCATCTACTGTTGTTTTATTGCCATCTCTGTTCTCACTCAACACTATCTCGCCAGAATTGAGACAAACTAGTGATTAAATATTTGTTTTCTTTTGGTTTGATGCGTGATAGAATCAGAATACTTAATTTATCCTGGGCGGCTGTTAAGAGGTGTTGACCTTTCAGAGATTACAGACCCACTGGGAAAACAAGAAAGGAAAGACAGCTTCATCCACAAGGGGCACCAGAAATGAGACAAACAACAGTTCCTCACTGGAGCTTTAAATGCTTTTAAGCTGCTATAAAACAATGAACTTCTTCACAAAATTCTACTCTTCTGAGATGCAGCAGTACCTTGATGTTTACAAAATTTGTTATCTTATTCTCTCTAAATTCAAAAATATAAACCTTGTGATAAACTTTTAAAAATGTCTGTTCTCTTTATATTGAAATGGATTTGATGTGGGTTTTTTTCTTACCAGAGGACTGATGGGAAAAAATAACCAACAGAGAATGCTGGCTTAGTGTCACAAAGTGTAACCACATGTGGTGAGACTTTCTGGTATTGTTTGGCACGTTGCATTTGACCCACTTGTTTGGGGGCATATTGGAACTACATATTATTTGGCTGACTAAATAATGTGCAGGTATTAATAGTGGATCACAGCCTCAGTCACCACTTGTTACAGCTCACATTGCTAATCAAAAAGTCTGTATTAAAAGTAAAAAGGTCTGGAAGAATTATTAAAAGTTAATTAAAAAAAACAGTAAACTTAAAGTAAGTAAGAAAAAAAGAAAGAAAGAAAGACAGAAAAATATGTTTTATCTTAGGGAAACTGGGGTGCAATTCTGAATTTCCTGCCTCCATAAGCAGAAGGAAGTAAATATTAAAAAAAAATAAGTAGAAGTGAAAGTGCCAAAGCTATTTACACACTAACAACTCAACTATCTAAAAACAAAAACTGCAGTACCCACATCTAAATAGGTGATGCTGTCTTAAATATGCAACAGCTACAGGAGTAAATCTTACAGAAAGAGACGCTCTCTCCTGATCTTTGCATTGCTAGTCTGACTCGTTAGAAACCTGCAAACCTCTGCAAAAATCAGCTTCTCTCTATCTTACTGAATAAACAGATTTGAACTCAGATATCTTTTTATCTGCGTTTGAACCGGAAACATGATCAGTATCTGAAAAATTGCAAGAATCAAGTCAATATTTCTATGAAGTTTGTTCACAAACTTTGGAGAGAAACAGAATAAAATTGATCTGCAGTGACATCTAGTGGACGGCACAACACATCCAAGCTTAATTTCACCCCTCTCGCTATTTACACTTTTTCTTTTTCAGAAAAGACTCCGAGACAACAGAGAGAATGAGAAATGAGGAGCAGTTTGGACCAATCTTGGCATAAAAGTGGACTATGACCTTAAATTAAAGAAACAGATGAAATTGTTGTTTAATTTTTCCTAACTTTTATCAAAGATGAAATATTTCTTATATTTGGTAAGTGTTCTCATGTTTTTGTATTGACTTATATTAAGGTGGATTGTTTATTTCATGAGTCATTGTCATTTTCTGAGCCCCTGTGTTTTGTCATCTTGATGTGAGAAGTGCTATTCCTACGTTGTTTGTATAGTGAAACTTGAACACATTACACCACTTTAACAATCTTCTGTTGAATGAATGTTTCTAAAATACAATCTGAGCCCAACTTTTCAAACAAAGATGTGTGATATTTAATCTTTAGACAATATGAAGTGTGTTATAGAAAAAATAAACATAAACATGTTTACAGACAAAAAAATATATAGTACACAGCACCCCCAGTGACACCACCAACACCATCGATCATCTACCATTCAGTGCTGACGAAGCCCCACAGCTGGTCACTGACTTCGTTTCGAGATCGCACAGATGTGTCGATGTTGATGGGCGTGGCCAAATCGGCGCCATAATGAACTGAGAGAAGAAGAAGAAACACAGAGAAGTTATGGAAACACTGATGGTGTGTACGCTCAGTTACAGTTCAACATAGATAAATACACACAAAACAAGACCACAGAACAGTAAACACACCTCCTTTTAATGTATTTGGCGGTGTGTCGTATTCCCACTTGATCTTTGTTATCAGGTAGTACACCTGGGCCACGTACCTGAGGAGGGAAGAGTCAGAGCTATTATATAGGCTAAAGAAAAAGATGTTTTAGTTGTACCACGTCTTCAACACAAGCAGCAAAATGCCAGAGCGAGCATTATTTCACTGTATCTAACATCATCAGGGTTATGAGCCTCGGCCATACACATCTCAGAGTAAATCAGTCCATTCAATCAATGATTTCTCTTTTTTCCAAATATCCGTCATTAATGCAAATCAGTTGATAAAAGTAGATCAAGTGAAAAAATGTGAAGTTTCCAGTGTAGGTGACAGTGAGTCATATAGGGGAAAAAAACAAAAATAGTCAGAAAGTCTTGTGGTTTTTTGTTTTGCACTTATAATTCCATAACAACTCTGAGTACTCACACAGCTGAGGGAATGACCTCGGTCGTGTCTTCATCCACCTCATTCTGCAAATTCTGAAGATCATGTTCATCATTTCTCAGACTCTCCAGCTTTCTCTGCAGGAATCTGAAGGAGGATTAAGGAGGCTAGCAGAGAGGAGGTAAACCGAGCTGCGCAGGACTCATTCATGAAGCACACCTGAAATGTTTGGACTCTCTTCACTGTATGCTCTCTGGTTAACACACAGACGTTTGAAGGATACTGTGACTCTGACTCTGTGATCTGGCTCTTTTCTGTGCACTTCCTCAGCTGCTCCTCCAGACTGTCAAGCTCCATCTCCCTGTGCTTCTTCTCTTCCTCCATGTCTAGCAGTCTCTGACCTGCACACTCCTCGATCTGAGCCACATCTGTGGACCAAGGACATGAAAAAAGTGTGAGACAGAAGAATCTGGTTCCAGCTCTGCCTTGAAAGGTTTTTTGGGTTAGAGGAAAGGTTTCTTGGGGTTAGAAAGTCATCTAACTTGCCTTTTAAAATCTGCGTCACAATCTTTTTGGTCTCTAAATGTTGATCAAAAAGAGCCTGGTGTTCCTCTTTAACCTGTCTCAGTTTCTCAGGTTGGCTGCTGTTGATGAAGGCCACCAATGCCTCTCCTGTCTCCTCCAAGTCCTGGAATTTATGACCTTGAGACATTGTAGCTGTGCTGGAAAATAGAAAGCACAAAACAAGAGAGATGCATATAAAAATCATGTTTTTTTGTGTGTGTTTCTTGACTTCTGACATACCTTAGTTGACACATCATGACTGTAAAATATACTACAGTTTTTATTACCTGATGAAAATCGTTCAAAAATCTATATATTTAGTCCTTATTTCACATTCAGACTTTCATAATGCTGATATAATATTTGATAGCTGGGACTGAAATAATGTGCCACTTAAAAAGACTGATGTAATGCTTTCGTGTAGAAACAAAAGAAGATATCGACACTATTCTCATTTTAAGTGAGAAGGTTTAAGTGAGTAAAAAGTAAAAACACAACAGTTATTACAAAGCCGAACAAGCAAAAACCTTTTTGTTGATGTATTCTTATATGTAACGCAGATATTTAATTTGGATGTTAATGTCAACAACCAAAACATCAAAATTTAAACTTTAATTCAGGCCTGGATTCATGAACCCCTCACTGTGTTTACTTTACTGACCACGACCGCCGTTGTTAATAAACGTTAACAGAACTCACCAACTGATCATGAAAACAGTTACAGTTAAAACAAACTTAATGGAGTCGAATAAGAACAATTTTAATGACGAATCTCATTAGAATTTGATGTTTTTAAGGTATTAACAAACCACAACATACCAGATGGCTCCTTTCCGGAAGATTCAAAATCAAACCGCGCTCCACTTCTTCTTCTTTTGTTGTTGTTCCGAGCACCATTTCAGACTCACACCGCCACCTACAGGACAGGATCGGCGGTCTGTTGTGCAGTTATTGCCAGACTGTACATAGAGAATGTATATAGTGTATAGTTAGTATATATACTATGTACAGTCTATCCTTATTACGAGTTGGTGTGAGGAATACAGTAATTGTAATTTAGCTTCCTGCCATTCAACCCAGATTTAAGACGCTCATATAGTTAAAAAAAATTAAAAACGTATCAGCTTTTTTTTTTTTACTTTACTCTTTCCATCTTTCTCCCTTTTTTAACATCCCCATTACTCTCTCTCCAAAACGATCCAAATGTGTCATGTAGCTCATAGTAAAGAGAGACGATAATGAAATGTTCCCATAGATGTGTATCCGTCATAGTAAGCCTACGACCTACGATTTTCAGAAATCTTTTTCAGTGATCTCTCAGTACATATTTTTGTAAGTTGTATAATTTACCAAAGATCTTTACTAGGTAAAGTTAGCACTGAAAATTCAATATAGTGTGGTTTAAAAACTGTTGGAACAAACTTATTTTTTATCAACATAAATATTCAAGACCCATGAAAATGATTATGATCACATCTTTTTTCTATAATGCCTTTAAAGGGAGCAAAAACTTTGGTATAGTTATGTAAACGTTGTTAAAGAAATTAAAATAGTTTTAATAATTTGTAGTAAGGGCTCCGTAAATCTGCACTGTGCAATTTAACCATGTCATTTGATAATGTAAAAGGTTTGCTTATGTTTCAACCAGATGAAGAAAGAACAGAGGCACACAGTAAGTTTTTGGCACTTTATTTACAAACCTTATCAGATATTACAAATTGCCAATATTCTGAAAGGCAACTTAATTAAACTGCAAAGTTACAGTTGTGAATTTTAGTTTAAATCTGTTCAGCAATTATAAGTGGCAGTATTCACATAAAAATGAAGAGGTTAACACCTCTAATGTAAAAGTGAAATTTAATTACAATTTGATCATTGGACCACACAACTAGAGAAGAACCTGCAGTTATGACTTTTGATTTTTCTGCTTCTCTTTCTTCTCCTGAGCTTTTCGTCTCTGCCTGCCCAGCTGCCTGAAGAACAGTCTCTTGGGGTTCAGACCGTACGCCTTCAGTCTCTGCCTGCTGAACTCCCGGCCTCCTATTCTCACCCTGGTGGATCCTGATCCCAAACGTTGGCCTGAGTGCTTCTGCTTCTTCTTGGACCATTTTGGCCTCTCAGTCCTGTTTTCCACCTCTCCCTCTTTATCTCCTGCTTCCTCAGCAGGAACTGTCACCTCAGGCTCTTCTTCTGATTTCATTTTCTTTTTCACAGGTGTCATAATCTCTTCATCCTCTTCTTCTTCATCCTGTCTGAGGGCCTGAGCTAGAGTTTCTCTCGTGGGGTCTACAGCAGATGAAGCATCACCATCTTCTTCACCTTGGCCTTCCTTCTCAGCGTTCTTCAGGCGATCCCTTCGCTTCTTTCCAGCTTTAGTCTTACCTTCTACATCCTCTTTATCCTCCCTGTAGAGGAAAAGAAATCAGAGATAAATTGTTAAATAAAAATATGACTAATTACAACTGACTGGATTACATAAGAGAGCTTTCAGTAGATAAATCTCTCTTACTCAGAGTACATGGAGCTCAGGATCTCTTTTTTCTTCTTTTCATTTTGAGCCTTTATTTTGTAGTTCTTCAAATCACTCACTTCCTCCTTGTCAGACCTGAGATGGAAAAAAAAAGACATGGTCCAGGATTGTTACATGATTCAAAGAAAAAAAAAATAAAACTAAAAAAAAAAGGTGACAGACTTTATATGAGAGGTAAGGACTGTACCTGAACATGCAGGTTTTTTTCAGAGAGCACCATCGGTTCAAGTCCTGATCACTGGCTTTTAAAATCTGAGGGAAGAAGTCAATCACAGTTGAAGTGTTGGGACGACGAGGTGAACTTTATAGAGTTACAAATTTAAAATTAGCATGTGTGTGTTCTGCTCAGAGAGAAGATTAAAGTGAGATCATTCCCTGGTCAGAGTTTTCCCCGGAGGGAAATCAATACCAGATCAGTCTCTATCAGACTCATCACTGCAGCAGTACTCTGAAGAATTTATCAAGTTTGCATATTTATTGTTCTTTAGTTGTTTAATCCTTCATAAAGTTGACCGTTTGCCGCTAAATGATAACTTGGCAGCAATTACATTGATAACAGGGGCTTAGCAAACAGTATCAGGGTGAAGTGGACGCGTTTCAGCTCTCACCTCGTCAGTGCTGAGGCCAAAGTCATTTGGGAGAACTTGTCTGTAACGAAATCTGCACGGGAGGTCGTCGATGATGTCCTCATAGTCCAGCTTGTAGTACTCATCTAGATACTGCTCGAAGCTTTTCTCCTCTGCAAAACACACAGCCACAACTTAGACAACCCAACTAATAGAGACTCATTTTTAAGCCTGCAGAGCCCTGATGTGTATTTTAACATATTACCTCAGAATTACTTTAAAATCCCAGCCCCAGAAAATAAATCCCAAAACGTTTTGTTTTAGATACTCAAAGCTGCAGCTGTAATCAATAACTAAAAGCATTTATGCAATCAGGTTTTTTTTTTTATTGTAACCTTTTTTAAAACAGTTTGCCAGCCCTGCATTTCTTTTCTCAGTGATGAAAGCTGCGAGACCGTGCTGCACCCGACTTTAAGAGTTTGTAAAAAGAACGACATTAGACATGTTTTTTTGTTCAAATTAGCGGATTTCTAAATCCAAATCTGAGTAGACTGCAGCAATTACTGCCGCAGAATAAACCGTTTTGTTCACGTAAGACCAAACACAAGGCCCATCATTATCCGTTTTTCACAGTTTAACAGGACAGATTTAAATTTCAGGGTTCTCCTCTGATTCATAAAGTGCAGCTGTCTTAAACTGAGCAGGTTGTGTTGGGTCAATGAATGCTCATTGGCTCAGAGAGTTTAAGACAGAGGCGAGTCCTGTTCAAACTCCAGGCTGTTTACAGACACTTACGGGGGTCGAACACCGGCTTCTCTTGGGTGATGACTTCTGCAAAGTGAGACTTTTTTCTCCTTTTCCCCATTTGAGGCAAATCCTCCTTCATCAGCTTCTTCCTCTCCTTTTTCTTCTTCTTCTTGGAGGCCGTCTGCAGGCTGGGGTCATAGTCTGCATCCATCTGCACCAACAAGAGCACGTTTGGTTACCGGATTTCTCTTTTCAAAGATAACTCGACAGTGTGTGTGAAATAAGCCGACTCACGATGAAGTTTTCGTCGTCACAGTGTGGCTGAGAGACACCATAGTCTTCCTCTCCATCGTCGTCTTCCTCCTGACCCTCTCCTGTCCATGTGTCCCAGTTCCAGTGCTCTATTGAAAATATTTTTATGACAGATTTACAATCACAGTTTAGTCTAACCCTGCGCTATTATTCTGTGCCTTTCAATGTGTGGTTGAGGGATTAGCTTGTAAAACATGGTGTGATTTTGCCTCTTTTTGTACCTTTAATTATGTATAAATGTTGCTGAACACGAGGGGAAAAAAAACAGGCTTACCCTCAAGTTCATCATCCTCTTCAAACTGAGGCTTCTCCCCTTCGTCTTCATCATAGTATTCATCTCCAAAGAACTTCTACAGACAGGGAAAGGCAAAAACACTGAGAGATGAACAACAGTGAAACAAGAATACCAAAAACCAAGTGAGCTTTATCTGCAACACCATTGGGCATGGTGGCTGGTTTTAAGTCAGGAGTCCTCTCATCAGCTAAACAGAGCACACCTGTGTGAGGTGTGTTCAGGTGATCTGATTGGATGACAGGCTTCCTTTGAGCACTGGTAAAGATTTTTCAAAACGGTCATTTTTGAAGAAGACAGTCCGACGTAAACAATGAATCCAAACATATTTCTCCAACGAAAACGATTCCATCAGAATGAGGTAGAAAGTCAAAGTGTTACAGCAGCTGTTTCAGAGTATTCTAGTGAGGGTGAGTTTGCATTTTATAGGAGTGTGAGTTAAAATCCACCTGCATGAGCTGATCATGCTGTTGAGGATCAAATTCTCCCTCCAGGTCGACCTCACTGAAGGCGAGTTGCTCGTTTCCTGTCAGCTCCTTCAGTCTGTTCAGCTTCTCCATGATCTCGTTCCTCTTTAGGTTCTTCAGCTGCTTCAGCTGCTCCCGCTTCTGCTCTTTCTCCTGAAACCCAGATCAGGTCACAAAGGATTTAGTACTTAAAAGACCAAATCTTCATAAAGAGAGCTCACAGGCCCAGTTAGATTAGAGAGTTTGAATTTTGTGTACCTTTTGCTTTCTTTCTTTCACTTCCTCTCTTTTCTGTTTGCGGCGGTCGTCTTTGGAGCGCACAGATGTGGCAATGTTACGGGGGTACGTTTTGATCTCCTGCGCATCTGGCTCTTCGAAGCGGAAGTTGTAGTTTCTCTCAAATTCCGCCTGTCGCTCCAGGAACGTCTCACCTTCCTCTTCAGAATCCTCCACGTCGTCCTGAACCACCTCGTCATAGGTCGGGATCCTTCATGAACCAGGAACATTTGTTGATCTTCAAATTGAGCTTTATGTCTGCTTTGCTTCTGCTGCTAGGAAAACTAACAAGGTACCAAGACATCAAAAGAAACTAACCTCATGTTCTTTTTAGATGTAATATACTTTATGTTAAAGTATAGTTTATGTGCTTAGACTGCTCGGCCAGCAGCGCCCCATCACGATTTTTTCCCTACATTTTACACAGTGTGCCAACTTTTGGGAAAAATCATCAAGTTGTACATTTTTTTTCTGCACAATCAGCAAAAAGAGTATCAGCATGGCAGGTTTAGATCTATATGAATGGCACTGCCTATCTTTACAATATCCTGCAGTCCTAAAACAAATCAAACAGGCAGCAACATACCGTTCATCCTCGCCCTCCTCATCCAGGTAGCCCTTGTTTAAGACATAATCTCGCAGGAAACGCTCTTTCTCATCCAGTTCAGGATCGTTCCAGTAGTCCCTCAAGTATTTCTAGACCAACACACACAAAGACATCTCATGAGCGATTTAAGCAAGGGTTCCTTCGCACATGTCCCAACATGCTTTCTATTTCTATTTCTAAAAACTGTTTTGTATCACTTTCAACAGTTTTGGTAGCTAGCAATACACATGGCAAAAATTTTTACAAAAAATGAATCCAATGTTACGGAGAATGTTCAGTTCTGTGAACTAATAATAAGGCTTTTTATCACCTTAAGAACATCTCCCTAGTCCGCCAGTTTCTCTCTCAAGCCAAATGCGGAGACTCTTATCCATGCTTTTATTACCTGCAGAGTTGATTATTGTAATGCTCTCCTCTCTGGTCTTCCTAAAAAGAACATTTCACAGCTTCAGCTGCTGCAAAATTCGGCTGCATGCATGCTGACGAAGACCAGGAGGAGAGCCCACATTACATCAATTTTAAAGTCTCTGCATTGGCTTCCTGTATCTTTGAGAATAGATTTTAAGGTTCTTTTATTAGTTTATAAGTGTCTTAATGTTCTTGGTCCTCCTTATTTATCTGATTTGCTTTTACGTCTTACGTCTTTTTACGTCTATTAAATTTGGGCTTGGAGGGTGGGGTTTTTATTTATTTTCTTTATTTTGTATCCCCTGTGTACAGCACTTTGTGATACAAGCCATGTATGGAAAGTGCTTCATTAATAAAGTGATTGATTGATTGATTAATTGATTGATTGAAAATAAGCCTTACCAAAGTACCTGTGGCTCTTGGCACTTAACTTATAGACAGACAATAATGTAGTAATATGAGTATTCATGGAATAAATTATGGTCTGTAATTGAAGAAATCGTGTCAGTGGAGTATAACCCTTCGTACTTTGGGCCACAAAAGCACCTTAAAAAGGTTCCCCAATCCTTTGCAAAGACCATGGGTCTCACTCACCATGTCCTTCACCTCCTCTGGGCCCTCCAGCTCTGTCTGACCCTTCAGCCACTCCACATAGTCTGCTTCTTCTTTATCCTACAAACACACACAGATGAGTTCATCCAGCTTTTTATTTTTAGAACCAGTTTTATCTCAAGGTAACCTGTAACCGCCTCTGACCTTTTCTTCCTGCGTTTTTACCCTCCTGGTCAGCAGCTGGGAGTCTTTCTCTCCTTTACCATCTTCATCGTCATCCTCATCACTTTCCTGGATGAACTTGCGGAAGCTGAGGACAGATTTAAGTGTCAATGAATGATATGTAAATCCATCTTATGGCCTCTTACCTACACACTGTTTGAGTCTCACCTTTCCTTCAGCTCCCTCTGCTCCTGAACATAGCTTGGGGAGGCGGCTCTCTGTGGAGTAAACCAACAAACATAATAAATAACATATTTGTCACTACTGCCACAGAAATAAAAATATTTGTACTTAAGTCTACCTCAAATCTCATAGCAGCCTCCTCATCATCACTGTCATCATCATCCTCAAATTTTCTGTAGAAATAAAACAAACATGTATCACATAAGGGTGAATGGGACCCATACCTAAAGCTGCATATTGTCATAACGTAATTAGTACCCTCATACCCTTCTCTTTCCAGGATAACTTTACGCTCATAATCCTTCAGGTACATGGGCTTCACTGCTTTCTTTGAGGTTGAAGGCTTCTCCTCACTTGTGGACACTTTAAACATAAAGATATTTATTGAAGATAGTTCTTTACGACTGCACATGCATCACACAGAGCTGGTTTAAGGCCTTATGATGCCACATTTGTTGAGGGGTTGGCACAGGTTTAATGCACAATGCAAGATTGAAAACCTTACTACTAACTTTGAGAATACCTTTCCACATACAGTGCCTTGAAAAAGTATTTATACCGTTGAACTTTTTCATATTTTGTCACTCTACAACCACAAACTTAAAAGTATTTTATTGAGATTCCTTGTCATAGACCAGGCATGTCCAAACTAGTCCACAAAGGGCCAGTGTGGCTGCAGATTTTTCTCCTAACCAAGCAGCAGCACACCAGACTTGATTCATTTCATCAGCTGATCTCAGTCTGCAGACAGCTGATTGGTCAGACTGCATGTTCTTGATTGGTTGGAAGAAAAACCTGCAGCCACACGGCCCTTTGTGGAATAGTTTGGACTTGCCTGTCATAGACCAACACAAAGTAGCACATAATTGTGAAATGGAACGAAAATGATACATGGTTTTCAAAAACTTAAACAAAAATCTAAAAAGTGTGGTGTGCGTTTGTATTCAGACCCCCATACTCTGATACCCCTAAATAAAATGAAGTGCAATCAATTGCCTTCAGAAGTCCCCTAATTAGTTAATAGAATCCACCTGTGTGTAATTTAGTATCAGCATAAATACAACTGTTCTGTGAAGGCCTCAGGGCTTTGTGATAGAACACTAGTCAACAAAGAGCATCATGAAGACCAAAGAACTCACCAGACAGGTCAGGGAGAAAGTTGTGGAGAAGTTTAAAGCAGGGTTAGGTCATAAAAAATATCCAAAGATTTGAACATCTCAAGGAGTACTTTTCAATCCATCATCCAAAAATGGAAGAAGTATGTCACAACTGCTAACCTACCAAGACATGTCCGTCCACCTAAACGGACAGAACAAGCAAGGAGAGCACTGGTGAGAGATGCAGCCAAGAGGCCCATGGTCACTCTGGAGGAGCTCAGGTGGGAGAGTCTGTCCACAGGACAACTATAAGTTGTGTACCCCACAAATCTGGCCTTTATGGAAGAGTGGCAAGAAGAAAGCCATTGTTGACAGAAAGACATAAATAGTCCTGTTTGCAGTTTGCCACAAGCCATGTAGGGGACACAGCAAACATGTGGAAGAAGGTGCTCTGGTCAGATGAGACCAAAGTTGAATTTTCTGGCCGGAATGCAAAGCGCTATGTGTGGCGGAAAAGAAACACTGCACATCACCCTGAACACACCATCCCCACTGTGAAACATGGTGGTGGCAGCCTCATGCTGTGGGGATGCTTTTCTTCAGCAGGGACAGAGAAGCTGGTCAGAGTTGATGGAAGGATGGATGGAGCTAAATACAGGGCAATCCTGGGAGAAAACCTGGTGGAGGCTGTAAAAGACTTGAGACTGGGAAAGAGATTCACCTTCCAGCAAGACAAGGACCCTAAACATACAGCCAGAGCTACAATGGAATGGTTTGGATCAAAGAATATTCTTGTGTTAGAATTGCCAAGTCAAAGTCCAGACCTAAATCCCATTGAGCATCTGTGGTAAGAAAATTGCTGTTCACAGACGCTCTCCATCCAATCTGGCTGAGCTTGTGCTATATTGCGAAGAAGAATGGGCAAAAATTTCAGTCTCTAGATGTGCAAAGCTTGTAGATACATACCCCAAAAGACTTGCAGCTGTAATTGCAGCGAAAGGTGGCTCTACATAGTATTGACACAGGGGGGCTAAATACAAATGCACACCACACTTTTCAGATTTTTGTTTGTTTAAATTTTTTAAAACCATGTATTATTTCGTTCCACTTCACAATCATGTGCTACTTTGTGTTTGTCTATGACAAAAAATCTCAATGAAATACTATTAAGTTTGTGGTTGTAGAGTGACAAAATGTGAAAAAGTTCAAGGGGTATGAATACTTTTTCAAGGCACTGTACATTTCAAAAGTTAGGGCACAATGAAAATGTTTACAAAATTAGATTTTGATGGTTTGCAAAAAAAATTGAAACCCCATATTTTATTAAACACTGTGTAATGACCATTTTTAGTATATTTTATTTTTATCTTTTAGTATATTTTAACACTATTTGTTTATTTTCTTTTATTGTTTGATTTTAAAACAGTTTATTATATAATATTTTATTATTATCATTATTATCATTGTTTTATTTCCTTTTATTCCATTAGTGAAGTGCTCTATAGACACAGCTCTGTAGTGAAAATCATTGCATGGACTTTATATCACTTATGGAAACATTTGACATTGAATTAAGTTCAGTAAACTTTAAGTTCAGTAAACCAAAAAAACTCAAATTAAAACTATAACATGCAAAGAGAAAACCATACATAAACATGATCTAGTGGGCACCCTCTCTGGGCCAGAACCCATTTAAGGTGGCTGTAGGTCTGGTGAATAACAATTAGACATTCCTCTTGGAAAGAGGAATGTCTAATTGGATGCTAGGTCCCCCTCAAATACACTAAAGGTGTAAATGCTGTAAATCACACTGTGGAGGCATGTGACACAGTTTAGCTGTGTTGTTATTTGATTAGAGCACAAACAAACAAAAATCACCTTCTGAGTAGAACTGAGCATCAGTCTGATAGATCTTCGGGTCTTTCTTCTTCAGAAGAGATAATGTTCTGTAGAAATCCTTTTCAATTTCAGGGTCCAACTCCTAACAGTTGAAATAAAAGCAAAACTCCATTACATAAAAAAGCTCGTTCCTATAATATATGAAGGGCTGACAGAGATTAAGCAGGCGTGCTCACCACTTCACTGTCATCAGAGCTGGACTCAGATTCAGAGTCACTCTCATCATCTCGGTCTCCATATCGATCCTTCACTGCATAGCAACAGAAAACACACAAATATCACACACACTTGCCACACTGAAAACAAGTAAAGCTGGTTGTGCTTCCCCACGTTGGACTGCTAGCATCACAGTTAGCACAGTTAGCTCGGAATGACAAACTTACGTCTCTGCAGCTCTTCTTTCTGTCGGTATTTCTCATATTTCTGAGCGAACTTGGAGTTTATTTTCAATTCCGATTTGCCAGACATGGTTTTAACAAAGGTATTGTACTTTAAAGCCTGTACTGTTGTTAAAACTACAGACTAGCTTAGGGGTGGCAATAACAGCAGCTTCATGCGCGTGTAAAGCTGTACCACGTGGTTTCCGCGGTAGACGTCATAGATCACATAGTTTGTCCTCGAGAGGGCGCGCTGTCACTAAATTTTTGCCCAAGCAACGTTGCTCGAACCTGCGGGAAATGTCTCCAGCAAGCCTTTTTTGCCCTATGACTTTTCATGTTTTATGTGTAATGTTCACCAAGTCCACTCTATGACCGTTTCAACCTGTGATTCTTTATTGTATGATATTTTATAACACACAGACACAAAGGCTCAGTGTTGGAATGGTGATAAGCAGATGTTTGTGGGATCAATTGACCTCTGAGTCACTTCCTGCTCTAACTGCCATGTTGTCGCTCCTGCAAAACTGTTAAAAGATGAGACGATTTCCACCTGAAACTGTCCAGCATGTGTTGTTGGATTGTGGAGGATGAGGAAGAAAGAAGGACACTGACAGCAGCAGCAGAGGAAGCCAGGATGGCATTTAATATGGGGAACCTGCTAGGAGCATGATCAGAAATTATGCTCAAACATTTAATGGCTCCCCCTTGAACCATCACCTTACCGTGGTGGAGGAGTTTGCGTGCTCTAATGAACCTAGGAGCTCTGGTTTTTTGCCCCTGGTAAGGTCTCCCAAGGCAGATTTGTCCTAGGTGAAGAGTCAGACTAAGAACGGTTTAGAATACCCTCATGAAGAAGAAAGGGGAACCAGTGTACCCAACCCGGAGGGACACCGGGGCCCCACCCTGGAGCCAGGCCTGGGGTTGGGGCTCGTTGGGGAGCGCTTGGTGGCCCGGCCTGCATCCATGGGGCCTGGCAGGGCTCAGCCCGAACAAGCCACCCGCAGGAGGAACACGAACGGTCCAGTGCTTGAGGGATTGGGCTGGAGTCTTGACGGTCTGATTGGGGGCAGCAGTAGCTCAGGAGGTAGAGCAGTCGTCCATTAACTGGAAGGTTGGCGGTTCGATCCCCCCCTATCCCAAGTCTGTCCGTTGTGTCCTTGGGCAAGACACTTAATCCACCATGCTCCCAGTGTGTGTCCTCCACTGGTGTATGATTGTGAGTGTTGTGTCGTGGTGGTCGGAGAGGCCGTACACAACAACATCATGTCATTCCCTCCCATCAACTCATGATGCAACCATTGCTTTAGAGACCACCTATGCATCCAATCAAAACTATATAGAAAAGATTTACTGCAGTTTGACTGAGATCAAGTCTGTTTTTCAAGTTTTTCAATTCGTCGATAGAGGGGTCTGAAAACTCGCCAAATATAGCAACAAGGCTGTAAGTTGACAACACTGGCTGTGAGGTTATGATGTAAATATGTGTGAATAATGTGCTCCTATCCCTGATGTCCCTGGGTGATATATGGCCAAAAGAAAGTATATCATGTAGGTGAAAATTGCAGGAAAATGCGTATTTTTATTTATGTTATTTCGTAACTTCATGAGCTGCTAAACAATATTTAGCTAGGCACCTGGAAAGGTTATCATACAAAAATATAATCTACAGACATGTATCTTGTCAAAAATCATGATGAACCTTTGCCACCCTGAGGTGTACCAAATAGTGAAATTCTGGCCTCTGGCCCATAGCCTAAAATTGTAATGAATGCTGTAAGGGAGAGGAACAATGTCGTGGGAGAGATAAAAGTAAGTAAAAAAGTTAGTAAAAAACACCCCAAATATGTTCAGAACAACAAATGAACTTTATTCTGTCGATTCTTCTTTTTTTAATGTCACAACTCCAGCCCTCCTCCTTTATCCGGGCTTGGGACCGGCGAAATTGACTCAATTGAGACAATTTGGCAGAGTTACTGGGTTGTTCTTTTTTTAAGTTTTTTTTTTGTTGTTTTTCTTCTATATTTGACAAAATTGTCATATTTGTCACAAAAATACTCTTTTTTTCCTGAACGTCTTGAAAGACTCCTCATATATTCTTGTATTCCTCGATTCCCCCAAAAAAATCTTGAACTCTGTCATTTTCTGCACAAAAACACTAAATACTGAGAGTTGTAAACTCAGGGTGGAAGCGAAGGCCGAGGAATATACAGTTACAGCTCTGCAGAGGTAACCTGTGAGGTCCTGACCGACATTCAGATGCACCGAGCAGGACCACAGAGCATATAATCCGATTCTTTAGTAAGAATCAGTCCAGAATTGACTTCACGTTTATGTGCAAAAAGTTCCATAGCCATGCATTTGCACATTAATAGCATGCATACAAAAAAAGATGCACAACCACAAACTGTGAAATCATCTTGACACGTTCTTGATTTGAACCTCCCTTTTTAGATTCCTGTTCCTTCCTTTTAAACACGTTTGTACTCTTTTCATTCAGAAAAAAAAAAAAACTCTCTGAAGAGCCAAATCACCTCTGTCCTGCCAACAGTCCTGGCTGCAGTTTAGTCCCACAGCCGTCACCAGCCTCTGCACGCCGTGGTTTGACTTGTTTCTGGTTGTTGGCTCCATCAGTGACTCCTCAGGACACCAGTGTCTGGATTCCTGGGAAAAGAAGTATATGATCAGACCCATCTCTGGACTTACTGTTTTATACTACCTTGGGTAAAAGAGTTGACTTGGTGTTGATATCTCCATCAGCTGCAGAGCTTTAGGCTGTTTTTAGGAATCTGGGTTGCAGTTTCAATAGGTTAATGGTTAGATGTGAAGAAAAGCTTCAGTCATGTTTTTTTTTTCAAATCAAGAGTAAGGACAGGTACATTTATGGCATTGTAACAATGTAAGCAGTCAGAGGATTTTAAAACTAAGTCATGATCAGAAATCCTTCCTCAGATTAAAAAAAATGTTTTTCATTCTTGAGAAAATCACTCACATTTACTCCTTTACTGATATATTTATGAAGTGTGAAAATCATATTTCTTGAGCTTTCAGACACTTTATTTACTCGGTTCAATTAGTAATTCATGATGCTGCTTTGATTTTTGTTCACTTCTCTAGGGCTATTGTGCTTTTACCTCATATGTTAGTTAGCAGTATCACAATTGTTTGACTGTCTCCAGTTTGAATGCTTCCACTGTACCAACACACAGAAAATAAATCTAAACAGACCAAAAAACCAACACATCAATCAAACACAAATATAAGAATGAGCACAAGTCCAGGCTGCAAGTAGGGTAACAACTCCAGACATCTGCATGCAAAGGTGATTTTACAGGTGTGAGACCAGCACCTCTTAGGTGTTCAAAATAATCCACTGTGTCTCTCTATTAGAATTATCTTGGATTAAATTCTGGATTATTCTGACAGAAACTGCGCAGTAAAACAAAGCAGTATGAATGTGTTAAAATGTGATTCAAACTGAGAAGATTTCATGTTCACTGAAGGGCAGAAACGGAGCCAATTAAACTCTTGCATATTGAGCTCTCTTTCGCCATCTAGTAGCTCCTTGAGTGAATTGCATTGAAAGAGAGGTGCAAAAGTTTCCTGAGGAGATTCAGCAAATGCACAGAGACAAGGAGCAACGATAATCAGACTAACTCTGCAGGGAAGGTCATGTGAAGTTGTTTGTTTGTTGAACTACCTCAGCCTTCAGCTGCTGCCCAACTCACAGTGTACCCGACCCCTTTGGCCCCTCCCATTTGTGGTGAGCCCATGGAAAGGGGGTTCTACATTGCCTCTTCAGGGTGAGCCCAGCCGGGCCCCATGGGCGCAGGCCCCAACCACCAGGCCCTTGCCATCAAGCCCCACCCCAAGGCCTGGCTCCAGGTGTAGGGTGACCCGGGTCCAGGTGAGGGAAACTGAGTACCAAATATTTTATCTGTTATACGGGGTCTATTTGAGCTACTCTTAGTCTGGTCTCTCCCCCAGGAACTGTTTGCTATAGGAGGCATAAAGCCCCCGACAACATAGCTCCCGGGATCATTGGGACACACAAACCCCTCCACCACGGTAAGGTGGTAGCTCGAAGAGGGGGATTAAAACCCTCCATGGGAGGGAAAAACGACAAGGGTTTTTTATTTTATTTTTATTTTTTTTGAGTTTGTGTCGAATGAGTGTATGTATGTGTATGTGTGGCCCAGAGTGATAGTGTATGTGATGTTTGAATGCCAGTTGTATAATGGTGAAGGTTGGTTGTTTTTTGTTGTTTTGTTTTTTTGTTTGTTTTGTTTTTGGCTTTTTTGCTCTTTGCTTTTTAGAGAGGTTTTTGGTTGTTTTGGGTTTTTTTTTGGTCCATTTTTTGTTTTTGTTTATTTTTTGTCTTTTTTTGGTCTATTTTTTTTTTTTTTTTGAGTTTGTGTCAAATGAGTGTATGTATGTGTATGTGTGGCCCAGAGTGATAGTGTATGTGATGTTTGAATGCCAGTTGTATAATGGTGAAGGTTGGTTGTTTTTTGTTGTTTTGTTGTTTTGTTTTGTTTTTTTGTTTGTTTCGTTTTTGGCTTTTTTGCTCTTTGCTTTTTAGAGAGGTTTTTGGTTTTAGATGACTTCATTGACTTAATTGAAGTCTGAGTTGTCCTAGGTTTTGCTCTGCGTAAAAGCTTGAGTTGTAATCTAAGTTAAAACCTGGGTAGTCCTCTGAGTTAAAACCTGGGTTTTGCTCTGTGTCGAAACCTGGGTTGTCCTCTGAGTTAAAACCTGGGTTGTCCTCTGAGTTAAAACCTGGGTTGTCCTCTCTGTAAAAGCTTTGGTTGTGCTCTGTGTTAAAGCTTGGGTTGTCCTCTCTGTAAAAGCTTTGGTTGTGCTCTGTGTCCTCCTGGTAAAAACCCGGGTTATCCTCCTGGTAAAAGCCTGGGTTATCCTCCTGGTAAAAACCCGGGTTATCCTCCTGGCAAAAACCTGGGTTGTCCTCTGCGTAAAAACCTGGGTTTTGCTCTGTGTAGAAACCTGGATTGTCCTCTGAGTAAAAGTCTGGGTTGTTCTCTGGGCTGTGCATTGTGTTTGGATCAGCATTGCTAGGAATGAGGTAGACAGTTGTCACCAAGGTCTCAGTCATGGATGAAGAATTAGATGTAAACCAGCCAGTGCAACTGTAATTAGCTGTCATGTCTCCATAGCCAAATGCTGAAGGTATCCTGCAGTCAAGTACATAGACTTCTTGGAAACACTCAAAGACAATGAATCTGCCTCTGTGAAAAGTCCCAAAAGTGATTACAATCAGAGTCGGATCCTCATCGTTGTAGTAAGCTATCTTCTCAATCCCAAAGTATGTGGCTGCAACAACAGCAACTGCTCTTGGAGAACGAAGAACAATTTGTTGACTAGAAGCCACATCAGTTGATTCTGTATCTCTGACAAAGTCCTCTAGATCTTCAGCTGGGGCATTGTCCTCTGCGTAAAAGCTTGGGTTGTCCTGTGTGCGGAAAACTTGGGGGCCCTCTGTGTGGAAACCCGGGTTGTTCTCTCTGTAAAAGCTTGGGTTGTCCTCTGGGTAATAACCTGGGTTGTACTCCAAGTAAAAACCTGGGTTTTGCTCTGTGTCGAAACCTGGGTAGTCCTCTGAGTAAAAGCCTGGGTTGTCCTCTCTGTAAAAGCTTTGATTGTGCTCTGTGTTAAAGCTTGGGTTGTCCTCCTGGTAAAAACCTGGGTTGTCCTCCTGGTAAAAACCTGGGTTGTCCTCCTGGTAAAAACCTGGGTTGTCCTCTCTGTAAAAGCTTTGGTTGTCCTCCTGGTAAAAACCTGGGTTTTGCTCTGCATTGAAACCTGGGTTTTGCTCTGCATTGAAACCTGGGTTGTCCTCTGAGTAAAAGCCTGGGTTGTTCTCTGGGCTGTGCATTGTGTTTGGATCAGCATTGCTAGGAATGAGGTAGACAGTTGTCACCAAGGTCTCAGTCATGGATGAAGAATTAGATGTAAACCAGCCAGTGCAACTGTAATTAGCTGTCATGTCTCCATAGCCAAATGCTGAAGGTATCCTGCAGTCAAGTACATAGACTTCTTGGAAACACTCAAAGACAATGAATCTGCCTCTGTGAAAAGTCCCAAAAGTGGTTACGATCAGAGTCGGATCCTCATCGTTGTAGTAAGCTATCTTCTCAATCCCAAAGTATGTGGCTGCAACAACAGCAACTGCTCTTGGAGAACGAAGAACAATTTGTTGACTAGAAGCCACATTAGTTGATTCTGTATCTCTGACAAAGTCCTCTAGATCTTCTCTCTCATCGGCAGCTGGGGCATCTTCTCTTTCCATAGAAGTGAAAACATTTGGAAGCTCTGATTCGGCTATGTTGAACATTTCTTGACAACCTGGGGTGTCCTCTGAGTAATGACCTGGCTCATTTCCTGTATCTCTTTGAGAGTCCTCTAGATCTTCTCTCTCAACGGCTGGGGCATCTTCTCTTTCCAAAGCAGTGAAAACGTTTGCAGGGTGCCTCTCTTGACTTCTCTGAATCCCTGAGCATCTGAACACAATGGTACTGTTGTGGGCAGTTTCCAGGATTTCATTAATGCACGCAAAGCCTCTCGGTTGAGGAAAACTTTGGTGCAATGTAAAGTCTTCATTCAAGTCCACTGGGTTTTGGGGATTTTCATTCGGTGGACCTACAGGTATGTCTGGGTCACAACCCAAGCCATGCATGAAAAAGTCATAAAGCCGTCCTGAAAGTGCTGAAAAACAGCTAGCTATGCAGGATAATAGCATGATTTCTAATTCTGCAAGTTAATGAGCGAGAAATAATACTATCCTTCACCAAGTTCGACTTGCTGCTTTAACATGTACCTTTCTTTAAGTCCCTGGCTTTCTAGTGATGTCATGATGACATCATATGGCTTTGATATATATCAAAGGTCTTCACTGTGATGACGTCATAGGGGTTCCGCGCGTTCTTTAAAGTATGGGGCGACGTGATGACGTCATAGGGGTTCCGCGGTTCTGCGCGTTCTTCAAAATATGGGGCGGCGTGATGACGTCATTGGGGGTTCGCGCGTTCTTTAAAGCATGATGCAGCAAAAAATGCCTTATTATTTTAAACCAGTCTTCTCCGTTTATTACCATACAGTCTATTTCATGAAAGTCTCACTCCGATTGTTTTTTCTTTTTACTACATAAAGTGTTATCAGTGGTCTTTAAACTTTGACTATGAAGTTTTTAGCTAAAATCCCGTTACCTGTGTCGTTTCTAAGGGTTTTTCTTCTGCAGAGCTGGAGTAGCTCATTTGCGATTCCTCTCTGAGTCGTGGGCGGAGACAGCGCTGCTCTGCACACTTGCAGCCGAACATTGCTGGTGGTAGAAACAGGTAGCATAGGAGCTATCCAGCTCTCGGACTCAATTGTCTTTGGGGGCATGATGAAGCATTTCAATCCGCTAATGCAGACGCATGTTCCGCGATCGTCCTGTCTATTTCTCCGAGCCTGGCCTGCACAGTGGGACTCCGGGGCCGATACTTATTTTCGGGGAAAGGTAGGGGGAGGTCCCGCCTCCTTCGCCTCTGATTGGCTAGAAGTGCAGGGCTCCGATTGGTTATTCTTTATGGCTATGAATTGTCATCGTCTGTCGGGCTAGGGTCAGGAGATTAAAGTCAGTAAAATCATATTTTCCCTTTCCTTTTCTTTCCTTTCCCTTCGAGAATAACGCCAGGGTCAAAAATAAGGGAGGTGAAGTCATGATATTACATGAATTATTAACTGTCTCATCGACTGCCCTTGATTACATGTATTATTGCATTTATAGTATTAAATATATTTTATCCTACACTAAAGCCTGACCAGAGACAAGGACTGCAAATTAGCTAAAGTTAGACGTCTTGTATGCATCACGTTTTCCAGTTCTTGTGGCAATGTTGTATGTATGATCCCTGTTTAATAAACATTAAAATAAATGAATAAAAATAAAGGAACAAGAAAATCAAGTCATAATATTGTGAGGTTAAGGTCAGATTTTTATGAGAATAAAGTCAAAATTAAAGTTCCTATAAGGATTTTTTTACATTCATGAAATACACTGAAATTCTTGTTGATGCTTCATGGTGATAGACAATAACAAATAGACAATAGCAATGATCAGTTGCATGACTGATAACTTGAACATCTACATGTTTTTAACGTCAAAAACTGGCGAGAGAGGGTAAGTCAAAGCCTTGCAGCTAAATAAGCAGCCCTGTTTTTACAATTTCCACATAAGATATTTACAACAAATGACACATTTGACTGTCAAAAGTCAACAGGATAAGATTTGTTGTCATAAATCACAACTCAGGTATGTTGTGAGATAAACTGAGGCTGTGTCCGAAATGGATCCCTAACCCCTATATAGGCGATTATATGGGGGTTAGCACCATTTTGAGGGGTGACCGAAACCTGAGTGATCAATTTCAGTGCCCCATACAGGTGACTCAAAATTTCCCATAGAGCATTGCAAAATGTAGTGACCTCCGATGGTCACTCACTGGTGGTGGGCATCCCGTCATGCATTGCGTCATGCCATGTAGTGTCTGAAACTTCCGGTGATTAAGCTCACTACATAGTCAGCTATATAGTGAAACCTCATATGGGGGTTAGGGGTTAGGGATTGAGTGATTCATTTTGGACACAGCCTGGGGCTGCCAAAATTTACCTAATCCAAGAGTATCTCATAGGAGCTTGAAATCATGGGTTTGGTTTTCGTTCAGCAGCCATCTGGCTGTACTTAAATGAGGAACCTGGAGCATCTCTTGAAATGAAGTCTTTTTGAGCATTGGTCTAGCCCCAACCGAGCTACCTCTGGCTGTTTTGCACAGATGCACAAATATTATTTGAGTGTTTGGTGCCCACAGAGGATCAGATCACCTCATTGAAAAGATAAACACATCAGGCCACAGCATGCCCATTTCCCAGTATGACGAAGGATGACTTCACAAAGAATCAACAAAAGGTAAATAACACCCCAGCCAGAATTGAGAGTTTATTTGCAGAATCCGAACAGGACACTTCGACTGCCCTTGATTAGAGGATGTTTACACCACGTGGGAAGAGTAAAAGAGGTTGATGGAACTGAAAAGCCAACATCACCCCATCAGACCATCCTGAGATGAACAAAAAGAGCTTCCAAAACAAATGTGACTCAATGATCCAGAAAGTTTCTCATCAAAAGGGGCATTAAGCATCAAACAAGTCATGTCTTCCAAAATCTTTTCTGAATGAGGAACATGTAGTACGTTCCCTACCAGCTTGAAAAAAATCACTCCTATTTGGAAATATAAGGACAGCAAAAAAGCTGTTTACTTGAAGTCCATCAATGTGGTATTTAATCTAACCTAATCATTAATGCTTTTAGATTCTTTGAGAGTAGGACTATTTCATTATTTAAAACCTATCCAAGTTGGGATGGAGAGCTCGCTTTAACAGACGCACATTTTATGTTATCGAGCTACAGAAAAGTAAAATCAAACAAAATTGTGGTTTTATATGAAAGCAGCAGTTTAATGCCTTATTTGGGGTTTTAATTTCCCATCCAATGCTGCCATTGTCTAGAGGTAATGAGGATAACAAGACCTGAAAATCTGTGTACCCCAAGGACCCGTTCTAGGCCAATTATAAAAAATTAGAATAAAAAATTATTAGAATTAAAACACAAATTTATAGTGACTTTAAATCTTTCATTGAAATCCTTGGGTAAATATTGATGTGGTGAGTCATGCCTCCAGTCAAGCGGTGGGCTGGTTGGTAGTGTGTGTCCACCCCCAAAGGAGGCTGATTCATCCAGGACCACAAACACAATTTGAGCAAAGGTCAGGAAAAGTCCAGTTGGTGCCCCTGACTTTTGTTTTTTCATTTATCTTGAAAAATTTGAGAAATGTGATTGACTTTGCCGACCTTTAAAGGTGTTTTCTTTTTTCTTTAATCTACTTAAAAATGTAGGTAGTGTTTTACATGGTAAATGCGTTTTTAGGATCATAAATTAAAACATGTCTTGTTAACATGGACCAAAATTTTTAGGTAACGCCATTGATTGCTGTTGTAATAGCAGCTACCATATCAGATTAACTCATAGAGAGATTTATTAAAAAGTTCACATGAACTGCTTGTTTTCTGTTTGCTTTTAGATGTGTCACTGCATCTTTTCCCTGTAATCAGCCCACCATTTCCGCTCTTCACCCTGCCTTGAACTTTGCACATGACCTGCCTTATTTGAGGTTTGACCACAGATTGGTAGGGTCAAAACATGGTTTGTTTTCCTCTCTCTCTCTCTTTTCTTTGTTTTACCATCTAACCCCCCATAAAACATTGTTTTTATGACTGTATATCATTATAAATTAAATTCACCCAATTTTACATACAAATTTAAACTCTTCAAACTATTGCAATCCTGATCTGACTTATTTTTCTTGAAAAAAAATTGTTAAACGGACATCGTTCACACTTACTGTCCTTTAATTCTAACTTTTTAGCACTACTGTGCATACTGTGCTTTAACTTGATGCGTAAATAACTAACAACAGACCACAGATGTTCACACACTCACTCTGTTTTTACTCAATAAGTGTGGGAGAATTTGGGGAAAACGTGTGTGGTTTTGACTTTCAATGTGACGACCTGACCTTTCCAGAAAAAGGGTTTGCTTTCCGCTGAAGAACTACAAAAGCACAGCCCGACCAGCCCCCCCTCCCCTGTAAAAATAGGAGAGGCCAAAAAAAAAAAAAAAGAAAAAAGGCCACACTTTATGTCTTCTGCCATGTCTGCATACCAAAGCTGTTGGATGGAAACAAGGGAATACTCTGCTGAACATTTTTCAAAACCTCATCGGCTGTGTTCCTCAGCCAGCTCTAGATAACAACACAGAGAGTAAGACGTGGCTATAACCCCAGTGGTGCAATAATAAAAAAAACCTTTAAACTCAAAGGCCATATTGCAAATGAAATTTACTCAGTAGGCTGACGGACTATTTCACAGTGAAAAGAGTAAGTCTAAAATAGATCAAATAGTTTTAGTGAGTCAATATAAAGAAATTGCGCGGAATTATTTAGCAAAAAGTGACAGATCAATGGTTGAGGCAAGCAGTCCAACAAACAAGTAACTCAAAATAAGTTACTTATCTATACCTGACAGTTAAATGTAATACCCAGTTCATGTACGTATAAGAAACCAATGATATGCAAATGAAATGCTTTTTTTTAAAGTAATGTGTTTATATTTTAAAATCTCTTTTAGTTTTTCAGAGTCATATAAGCTGTAAGATGTAAAATGTATAAGCAGTTGATAGACATGAACTGAGCCCACACAGAAGTGAATCTATAATAAATAGAAGCATTTATTTATGTACACCAAATGTCCAAAGTTTACAACAAAGTCTAAAACACTGATATTATTACAAAAAAAGCTTGAAGAACAAATATTTACATTTATGAACATCATATTTACATGTATAACCTGCACTGTTAGTCTGTGAATGTAAAATGACTATATGTACAGTTTTACTGACACAAATCATTTTTTCCAAATAAAAAGCCTTATTAGTCCTTTAACCAGTAATACAAATATTTTTATCTTTGTTCAGTGTAACCTGCTTGTAACACTGCCAAATAACGCAAACAGCTGTCTGTAAACAGGCAGACATACTGACACAAATCCACTGAGTTCAATAGCAGCAACATGAACAAGTGAATGAAATATGTTGTTAAAAAGGCACACATTTGCTCACAAAACAACTAAACAGTTACTGTTTCAAACACACATTAAAGGGGGCACATGGCTCTCCTCTGTAAGGAATGCTGGTATAAGGCAAGTTCAAGTTCTGGTCCTGAGGGAGGATGTAAATAAACACGTGCCTCCGTACAGAGCAGTAGCATTGACCCAATTGGTCACACGTGGTTGCTTCAAAGCTTTGTAGTCTGCAGGAATGTGTTGGCCCTCCCAGGAGGGGCATAGAGAGGGAAAATTTAAAGAAGGCCCACCAATGTACAGACAGTTGAATACAAATCAGGAGAAGGGGGCTAAAACTCCCCAGCAGCAGACAGCTGCAGGGAGTGTGTTGTGACCATATGGCGAAGGCTATCAGAGGATAAATCAAGGCTGGAACACTGTGTCATGTTTATCCGTTAAGGTCAACTACAGCAGCGTCTTTAGGTCCCTTTGGGTGATATATTCTTTCAACTGCTGAGACAATAACTGGTATAAAACTCCTGTATAATCTTATCGAGGTCACACATGTTGAACTGTAGCATAAAGACTATGTTAGTGTTGCTCTCACTCAAAGTCTGCTCTGTTAGATTTATTGGTAAGGCTCAGAAAGAGGAATAGCTTGCTCAATCCTGTCGTTGCTAACGCCAGGTTTTATTTAGCGCAAGCCTAGAGAACATGTAAAACTGTTTTATGCTTTGTCCATGATTCCAGATTTCACAAACCATCTTTCCCAAAACTTAATACCTACTGAACATGTTGGATTTTGTTTGTCCAGTCTTAAAAAAGAAATCACTTAAAAAAAAGTCAATGCCAATATGAGTTTGTTCATTCTTGGCTACACTAAAACAGTCAGAGTATCCCATTTCTGAGAGTGACTTTAGCTCATCATGGTGATAAGTTTGATTCTCACTTATGTTTGTTGGATATGTAAACAAAACACAGCGAAGTTTAGCTTAGCTTAACTCGGCATCAAAAGCGGGAACCAGTCATCAGCCAGCCTTACTCTGTTTACAAGTAACAACAGGATGTAAAATTCCATGTAGAAAATGTTACATCCTAGTTTACTGAAAAAAAAAAAACCCTGACTGAAATGTAAAAAGACATGCAATCATTGGTTTTAAGGCGGAATGTTGCTTGCTGTATTTTTTTATGTCGTACTGACAGAGCGAGGCTCACGAACTCCCCTGCTTTCTTTCACCGAACTAGAGCCCTTTTCAGACATGACCTTTAGAAAATTTCTGAAAAACCTTTTACGACCTGAAAACATTGATAATGGACTGTTATCACATTGGAGCAGAATCTTTCAACCTGGTCGCAAAACTAGACAGAACACCAGCCAACTAAAACACATCAACATCCCCCACCTGCTCCTCCCACTGCTAATCCAGAAGATTTGCTGCTGTGTTTTGGTATGCGCTTACACAGACTTTACCCCAAAATGATAAGACGGTGCTTGCAGGTAATATTGTGGGTGAAGTCGAGGTGAAAAACTCTACTGCTTGTGTTCACAAATGCAGCTCATTTTTCTGAAAACTTCTAGAAACTTGTGCATGAGGCATAAACTAAGCTGGCTGGTTGCTGTATCTTCATATATATATATATCATACAAATATTTGCTTAGCCAAAATAACATATTTCACTGTACCACAAACCTACAAAAATTCAAACACTGATATTTACAACACATATGTGTGAATTCTATCTCTAACAAAGTCAAGAAAATTCACAGTAAAATGAGCTCAGATGAACAGATGCATGCAAACAAGACACATTGGCTTAAGTATGGCACAGTTCTCCACTTATATCACGAATATCCCACTTATAACAGGTAGTAAATGTTAGATTGTCTGTTGATTTGGCATGGTTTTGTGAGGAAGAGTTGTCAACCTGAAGGAGGAAAATGTGCAACCTGAAATAAAAACTGTTCGACCCTGGTCTCCACTGTAGAGCACTTGCTTGTTTGTCTGTGAGGATATAGTGGTTTCAGCTTGTCTCATCTTGGCTTTGACTCCCTTTTCTTTGTGCAGTATGAGGTAAGAATGCAAAAGGACCTCTAGGGTAGCTTATCATGAAGGCTCTTCTTCCCACTCTGCTTGAGTTTATCAGTTTTCTGTGAAGGCTGGGTTGTCTGCCTCTTCATTCAAGCTCACAGCTTGTCTCTGATAAAAGGAAATACAAACACGGTGTCAGACGTAACATGATGCAAATTAAACAAAGATGTAAGGCTTCAATTCTCAAAGGAGGGGAAAGGTGACAAAAGTGGATGTTAGTTTAGGAGACTCACTTTTGGGTAGGAGTAACCATCAGGGCTGTGGCTCCTCCAAATGTGGACCTGGTCCTCAGTGGTTTTCTGATAGACCGGGTTGTCAAAGTGAATGGTATTGGTGTTCTTGAGCCTGTAGTTCCTCCATAGCAGAACTCCTCCGACAGCCACAATACAAATGATCACTATCAAAGGCAGACAAAGGCGAGAAATTTAAAATCAAAGTCATTGGTCCAGTTATTATTTAAAAACCTTGTACTGTCTGAGAGGACACTCACCCAAAGGTAAGATAATATAGAGGGCCAGAGGGGTGGGGGAGGCCGTGTTGGGTACAACCGCTTCAAAATCAGGTCTGGAATCTGAAGCAAAGAGAGAAAACAAGAAAAGAAGTTAATGATACATGAGGCTTAAGGTTATGTCAGCGGGAGGGCAACGCACTCTAAAGACCTCACTGCTTGTTTTCCATGGAACAGCCCAACGACCTGAATAAGTATACGATGTGTATGTTTGACTTCAGCAGTGTCCCCAAAACATACCCCGTCTGTTAGATCAGCCAGAGAAAAACACTTTTTGGTGCCTGATCAGGAAAGTATGGAAATCAGTATTCAGAAAAGTTAAATATTTTCCATGTGGTTTTAGTTTTTGCAAACTCCCATTTCATGATCCTGCACATGTAAGCATGAAATATACAGGTCTTTTTATACAATATGATGGGACACTATATGATTCGATGGCTCTTTGCGTTGGCTTTTGCTAACAGTTGAATAAGACACCCTGACACTTTATTTGCAACCAAATTTTGCTCCAACTTGTGATATTTCTTATGTTTTTATGTCTTTTATCCCATGTTTTCTTGTCAAAATTGTTAGTGTGTTTTCAGCCTGTACAGCACTTTGGTTGACAACAGTTGTTTGAAATGTGATAGATTAATAAACTCTCACTTGGCTTGATTGCAAACTCTCTTGAAAGATGCTGTGATATTCTGGTCTTTTCATATAATTTGGTTTGACACAATATGAAACAAATCATTATGATAGGATAATGTAAATTAACACAACTGTGAACTCCCTTGATAATATCCTGAACATTCAACATGTCTGGATATGAGCTGCTGATTGATTACGAACTGAATCTAAAAAAAAACAGGGAAAAAATATTGATGAAAAGATTTAATTCAAACTCAGTGATTCTTGAACTCACCTGCAGAGGTGACTGGAGCTGCAGTCGTGGTCTGGAGGATCTTTGGCTCTGTCGGTTTGGGTGGCTGGGTTCTTGGTTCTGGCGTGGTGGTTCTTGGAGGGGGTCTGGTGGTTCTGATGGCAGGTTTGGTGGTCGCAGCTCTGGTGGTGATGACAGGCACTGTGGTGGTGCGCACCTGGAGCTTAGGTGTGGTGTTGATCGTGGGTCTGGGTGTGGTTCGGACCTGGGGTTTGGGAGTGGTGGTCTCTGGTACTGGTGGCTGGCGAGTTGTTCTGATGGCTGGAGGTGGAGGCTGTGTTCGGGGTTCAGGTGTAGGAACAGCTGAGAAATACAAACAGGGAGGAAGTAAGATTAGAGTCGCGGTCAAGACAAATGAATATGTCCAGTATCTTTTTAATTTTCCTTCAATAAAACAGAAACAGTGAGCCAGTACTCCTCTACTGTGTGTTTTCTTTTTCATGATTCACATACCTGGTACACATGTCCTCATATCCCGGGCCAACATCATGTTATCAGGACAGACGCAGGTATATTTGGGGGGATGTCTGCCCACTTGAGGAGCTGCCAGACACATGAATTCACAGCCAGATACCTGGCACCAGTTCCTCCCTGCAATGAAAATAGGTCATACTTAAAGTCTTATTCAGCCGCCACATATAATTCACCATCTTTGAGTGACTCTTAATTATTTGGGAAACGGAGCACAGTTACATTTAGCTGCCCACAGAACATATTTTTAATTGCATCAACTATCTGTTTGTTTGCTTTTGTTCTTTATACTGTGTACTGTCTTCTGTATATTATTTCCATGAGTTTATGAATAAAGACTCTTGAAACTTAAAAATGTTCTTTCATTTCTAGTAAAAAGTGTCTTGTAAGGCCTCATTTAAACAGCATTTTATCTGACAAGTCCAGAAAATTCCACAAACATCAGTGGAGATTGGTTTTTGGTTTTGTTTTGTTTTTTTCCCATGAGTTAATGTAGGGCTCTTTAGTGTGACTTTTATTGCTGATCATTTGAGACACTGTGATTTTTATAAAGATGGGTAGACATTCCGTAAAAGTAACAGTTTGAGCCCCCCACCCTCAGAAAATGTGTGAATATGTTGAACACGGTGTTTCTTACCAGCAGGCTGTTTGAGGTTATGATAGAGGATAATGTCCTCTGGTGATGTCACGCGCTCAGCCACAGGTCTGATATCGTCTCCTGTCAACCTGTTAGCGCTGAAGATGGCATTGTTACTGACGTCTGTCCAGAACACTCTTTCCTGGAAGCACATAGTGAAACCGAACATCAACAACCAGGAGATACAGCAACAGTGACATGAGATAAAAACAGTCTACACATGTCATGAGAAGTTACTGGCATGTTGTGTTTGCCATGCTCTGGTTAATGTGTAACAGGGTACTTATCAGGTGGTAAACACTGACTTCAAACACTGTGAGACCCAACGGGTGGGCCAGGTTGTGCTCGTCAATGATGAGGGTGCGACGACCACCGCCCTGCACGTCGATACTGGAGAGCATGTGCAGCTTAGAGTCCACCCAGTAGAGCCGCTGGTTTACCAGGTCTGGGGAGGGGAATGAAAAAGAGAGGAGGGGGTTTCAGTGGGTTAGATTTTATTGGAAGCATCTGACTTTATGTGATGCCAACACTTCAATGAAAAATGTTTTACTGAATCTGTTCTCACTCTCCGCTGTCTCTGCTGGCATGGGTCACTGACCTCTAAAGCAAAACAGACTCCAAGGTGTTGTAAAGGTGCGCAGTAAAGTTGCTGGCAGCACAACCTGTCTGACTTATTTAAAGCCTGGTGCACGTTGATACGGTGTGCAGGATGTAACAAATAGAAGATTTTTTAAATGCCATTTTATACCTTTATTATCATCTGCACTACTTTGGTGCAACATAATTTTAAGCTTCTACAACACCAGTAGATTTTAGGCCAGACCATCTAAACCTTAACACTTTAATCCCTCTATTCCAGACACATGCTTCATTTAAACAATGCTGAAGGAACACCTTTCACTGCTTATAGGATTGTTAGAAATTCCTCAAGGAAGGTTTAAAATTCCTGAGATGAGGTTCTTTACATGGCTAGCTGAACAACAAAACTGCGGATCCCTTGTTTGCAGAAGTAAAGCATTCTGGGTACTAATAACAAATCTAAACAAGCCACCAGATTTTATAACTGAGAAGAGTTTGCACGCATGTTAATGCCTGTGTCTCTTCAAAGCTGAGAAGGAAGTGGCTATAGGGGGGGAAATTACACAGCAAGAATCAGTGTGTGTTGCCATAAAAAAAAAAAAAACTTACATGCAGTTTTTTTTATATATCTGGAGGAGCTTCATCGAGTTTTTTAGACAAAAAGTTTTGTTTGATAAATAAACCAAATCTGGGGTGTGTTTCACCTCTGCCTGTTGACACTGTGGCAAAAACGCTGGTGTCTATTAGCATTCTTTAATTGTTAAACCAAATGCATAATATTTTAAAGGTTAGACCATGTCCTGCAATCCAGGCAATGGTAACAGAACATCTCTAAGTTGTAACTTCAACCAACAGCAGTTGTGATAACAGTGCCAATGTTAAAAGTTGACATTTACTTTATGTTTGATGTGCAACAGAGAAACTCAGTGGAGAAGGACAGAAATGTCTACATAAATATTCTTGAAGACCATAACAGGAAGTGTCTAATTTTGTGTCATTTTGACTCATAAGAATCTGTCATGGTAATGTTATCCACTGCAGAGGATTTTGAAGGTTTATAGATAAATCCTCTTTAAATCTTTATTTTGAAACAACTTCTTTGTATCTTAAGTCAGACACCATTTATTAAGCTAATGTATGTATAGAGCGCAGGCTGTTATTTAACTAAAAACCCCACATAGTGAGCAATACCCCATAGTTTTATGTTGATGTTTTTTTCTCTATCAGTTTTCTAATTTGCATAATCACACGCTCATTATCCCTTTCATTTCATTTTTTACAATTGAAAACACCAATAAAGATGATATACAAAAGTATTTAAAACAAATTGAAACAGGCAGATAATAATCATATCTTTTAAGGATAAAAACAACAATAAAAAAAAAGAAATAGAATTTGAAGTTTACCGAGTGTGATCCCATTTGGCCATTCAATGTTGTCGGTAACGAGAGGAGTGCGGTCTCCACCGTTCAAACCGGCTTTCTCAATCTTGGCAGGATTCCCCCAGTCAGTCCAGTAAATGAAGCTAGATAGACAGAGATAAGGATACAGATGAAACCCTTAAATCAATCAGTACTTCTAAGTTTCTTTTTACCTGTTAAAAGGTGCTAAATGCTAGCTAACTGGTGGATGAGTTTAGGGTTATTCTATATGGCAAAACAAGCATAAATGTGACTCGCTCTGAATAATGGTTCATAATGCTAATGCTATAAGAAAACTCCTGTGATGACTTAAGATGAAATAAGAAATGATGAATCGATTGATTGATTAAAAACGTTTTTTGAGATAGCAGACAGGAAGCCAAAAAGACTGTTGTCTCACTTGTTATGGGGGTCCACCACAATAGCTCGTGGTCTTGACAAGTCTCGCCTGAACAGCGTTTTGCGGCGGCTTCCATCGGCGGTCACCACAGAGATGGTGCTGCGGATGCTGTCGGTCCAGTACAGGTTACTATGGACCCAGTCATAGGCGATCCCTTCAGGAGCATCAACATCACTGTTGATGACTTCGCTGTGATAAGCTGGGTTGTCAGCTGAGTCCATCGGAGCTCTAGATTATAAAAAATAAAAAAGCTCACATGAAGGTGGGGTAAGAGGAATCTAGAAGTAAAGGTTCAGATTTCTCCCTTCCTCACCTGTAGATCTTTTTGTAGGAGATGTCAGACCAGTAAATCTCATTTGTGGCGATGTTTATGTCGACAGCCACAACGTTCTTTAGCCGGGGGATCACTCTGGTGTACTCACTTTTGTCCAGAGTCATCTTTCTGACTTCATGACGGTTGGTGAAGAAGAGGTAGGCTATTGTACCTGTTTAATAGACAAGGGCGCTCTGTTGGTATGGCAGTAACATTATTTGATAAGTCTTGTATCCTTGTTGACCCTAAAAATACTGTCAAGTTCATAATTTCATTAGAGTTGACACTTCCACAAAGATAATTAGCAAGGGGTGATGCCAGGTGACATCTCTTAATTCAAGATTCTGAGAAAATGACCCATCATTTCTGGTTGTGAATTGTTCTCCGTCGAGGAGGAATGTTAACATCCAAGTTTGTCCAACAAATCTAATAAAATCATCTTCCTTCAACCTGACCATGCAGTAACTATTTCTCAATATTTCTATGATCACTTTTATAAAATGATAGCTGATGAAACAAAACAAATCTTCTTTTGTATTTATTTCTTGTATTTAGCATTTATAGAATCTTTATTTGTATTAATTTTACATTTATTGTAATTGGTTTGTTTGAAGAGAGTGATGGTGCTTTTATTTTGAAGTCGCCATCAGAACACTGAAAAGCTACAGTTCTTCAAATCTCAGAGTCTGCTGAGATTTGAAGTTTGTTTCCCCGGCATCAAACACATTTTTGTGTAAAGATGCAGCAAAAAAGCAATAATAGTTCACTGTTTTTCTTTAAATACATGTCAATGTAAAAAAAAAACCTGAAAGAGCTTTAAAAAAAAAAATCCACAAATATATCTTAGTAATAGATTCATCCCCTTTCTAAAACTAAAATATCTTGTAAAGCAGCTGAGATTTAAACCTTGCCCCAGTCTAATTCATTGCAGCAGTACAAAGAGATAAATGTTATGCTTTTAGTAAATCTGAGATTTCTATTAAACACAACGAGACAAAAAATGTTGACAGAACACAGAGGGCAGATATTTACCGACTGCCTTGCAGGTTTTGGTTGCTGGGTCAACTTGGTATCCCTCCTCACACTGGCATTTATAACTGCCCATCTGGTTGACGCAGATCTGACTGCATGTGTCAGGTTCGGCACATTCATCGATATCTACAAGAAAAATGACACAAACACGACAATGAACGAAAAAAGGTGAGTAACTATGTCAATAAAAATGATGAAATCTCTCTTTATCTAACAGCAAAGAGAGTGCCACGTAAGACTGTGAAATAGTAAGCAGAGTTGTTGGCATGGTTTTGTTTGTCTGGCTGAAGTACATGGTTGACGTTGACTATATTCACATGCCAAAGGTTAGAATACCAAATCCTGGTATTATGTCATACTACATGCATTTAAAGGTACACTAGGATCTAGAGTTAGCAAAGAGGTGATTGAATAAGCAAGTATATGTTTTTTTTTAGCTTAAATGATGGCCTGTTACCATCTAGATGATGACTGTAGTTTTAGCTTCAAAGTGATTGAATGGTGTCAAATTAGTTGGTAATTATATTGTTAAAACACAAAAAGGCTTACTACCTTCTTCAGTTTTCACCTAGCATTGATAACAGCCAGCAGTGTGCTATTATAAAAATAATATTACAATAACACCTGAGCTTGATAACCAAAAACGTGATGATTAGACAGTCAGATGTTTTCTTGGAGAAAATGTTTTCAAAGTTTGTACCTTCACAGCGTTTATCATCAACCAGGCGAAATCCAGCAGGACACAGACACTCGTAGCCGATCTTCAGGTCTTTGCAAATATTAGAGCAGCCACCATTGTTGTAAAGGCATTCATTGGCGCCTGCAGCAGGAAGAAGAATAGGGTTTATTTTTCTTTTTTTTTTTTTTGCAAAGTAGCACTCTTGAGCTGCAGACACCCTCATTAAAACCATAAAAGTAGTCATTAACTTGACAGTTATAAATGGGACGCCTCTCTACTCACCACATTCTCTCAGAGGCTCATCCGACCAATCCCTGCAATCACGGCGCTTGTCGCACACCTTCTCCATGCTGATACATTCTCCACTGCGGCACTTAAACCTTGTGGGGCCCTCACAGCGGGTTGCTGGACATGAGATGGATGACACGGAAACAAAAGATCCAGTTACAGCCACAAACTAAATCAGTCATCTTGAGGCTAAATTGGCAGCCAGAGAAGGAAGCATTTACGAGGTGACTCCTACCGTTCACACAGCCAGTCTCATCACTCATGTCCCTGCAGTCGTACTGATGGTTGCACTGGTGGCTACCGTGAATGCAAGTGCCATCGCCACATTCAAACTCATCTGGACGGCAGGTGGAGCGAGCTGTTGGGATGTAACAGGTTGGAATTTCAGTGCATGAGAACAATGAAGAAGGAAGTAATTGAAACTCAGCAGAAAATTATCTAGCAAAGGTAAAATAAATTGAACTATTTCGATGATGTGTATAAACATCTCTCTGTCTCTGAAAACAAATCTTCTCTGTGGGATAGAAAAGCTCCTGAGTGTCGCAGAAACAAATAAACAAAAAGCTACTGGTCTCACAGTGCGAGTGGATTTTACAGCACACTGTATGTTGTCAGTTCTTCTTTCAGCTGATAGTCTAAACACAATAATTTTATTTTCAGCTTGGATGGCTTCTGTCTTCTGTCTGCAGATTGCTTCCTGTCACATCTTTGATTTGTAAGGCACATGGAACTAAGTGTAAGCCATGGCTAAGGGAAAATGTCAATGGCGGTGGTCATCTAATCAGAAGTGCCTGCTCAACTCAACTTTTACCCAACCAAAAAAAGACAAAAAGGTTGAGTTGAGGTGCTCCTACTAAAACATCACATCAGAATAGAGCTACAATTATACAGGCTGTAGTATTGGCTGTAAAAATTGACATATTAATATGGGTGATGATTGGGTTTCCTTGGCTACCTTACCGCAGTTAGCTTCATCTGATCGATCATGGCAGTCTGCACCTCCGTCACACCTCCAGCTGCTATGGATGCATTCCCCACTGCCACATTTGAACTCTAAGGACGAGCACCTATGAACTGGGGTGGTCTCAGCTTTTTTTGGGCCACAGTTCTGGGGCCACTCGTCTGAGCCATCGGAGCAATCAGCGTCACCGTCACAGGCCCATAAGTTTGGGATGCAAACAGTGTTGTTGCACCGGAAGGAATAGGAGCTGCAGGTGGCAGGCGGGCAGGAGGCCTCATCACTGCCATCGTCACAGTCAGCTTCATCATCGCACACAAAGGCGGACGAGATGCACTGGTTGTTTCTGCAGCGGAACTCTGTGGTGGTGCACTGCTTTGGGGCTGGAAATAGAAACATGCAGAAAAATTCATACTAAGACCAAGAACATCGTAAAGGAAATAGAAGGGCACTGCTGATTGTGAGAGCAATTAAATAAACATGGCTCCTGTTTGACAGATGCTGGAGTTGGCTCCACTTACCACAGCTCTGTTCATCAGCTCCATTCTCACAGTCAGCTTTTCCATCGCAGCGCCAGCTACTCGGTACGCACTGGTTAAGGCGGTCTGCACAGCTGAACTCTGTTGATCTGCATGTTCTAGCAGCTGGAAAACCCCCCCCAAAAAACAGCCATTAATTTGAAAGTTTAAGCACACTCAGGGATTGTGTGGTATTTTTACACAACTTTTGTAACGTTAAGCAGCATTGGCTACTTACAGCAGGCCTCAGGAAGTTCATCTGTGCCGTCACCGCAGTCATCTGTGCCATCACACACCCATCTGATTGTAATGCATCTCCCATTCCCACACTGGAACTGCCTGGTTCCACATGTCGTCAATGCATCTATGACACACAGACATAAACACACAGTTCAACTTCAAGGGCCTTTGTTTAAGTTAGTGTCTATCATGAGCCAGTACAGGATGACTCTCCATAAACACAGAAAGAGCTGCTTTTAAAAAGGGAGTCCAGTTGAATCAAAGCATGCTCTTACAGGACATGGTTAAACAAGAGTATTGAGAAACATGTACAGCATCTTTGTTTAATGTTTCAGCGTGCTTAAGTGAAACAGGAAATTTCAGATTTGCTTGCAGGGGAGGGTTCAAGGATTCACAAATGAATGAATATCTTGGTAACACTTTACAATAAGCATAATTTATAAATGGTAAATAGATAGTTTATAACTGTTTTATCGTCATTTAAAAAAGCATATAGACCAATTATAAATGGCAAAGAGATAGTTTATTAATGTAAGTTAATAGTTACTTTACCATTAACAAGCAATTAAATGATTAATAATTTTCATTAATTATTAATAAACTATTTATTAAAATTTATATAGGGTTTAAATATTGGTTGTAAAACATCTAGATTTAAATGTGTGTCAGTAGCACTTTGTAAATGATTAATAAGTGGTTTATAAACCACCTATTAACATTACTTAGATGGTTATTGTAAGGTTAGGGTTAGGTTTTTAAAATTGTACAATTTATCCATGGTCTATATGCTATTTATAAATGATGATTAAACATTAATAAACTATCAGATTACCATTAATAAATGGTCTATTTACCATTTATAAGTTATGGCTATTGTAAAGTGTTACCAATATCTTGATTGACTTTAATGACCACAATCAAGTCAAATATTTATAAAATGTGCAAAAAAGCAGATATTTCAACCTGCTACTCGTATGACAACACTCTCCAGTGAGTCATCAAACTTTGGGGATCCTCTGAGGACCATGAATGTCTGCATCAAATTTTAAAGTAAACTATTCAGCTGTTTTTAAGGTGTTTTACTTAAATGACAAATTTGGACCTCATAGTTGGGCTGCAATACTTGGGGAAACACCAAAGTGAGTAGTGTTCATCATCTGGAGACTCCAAATTTTTGTACCAAATTATGTGGCGATCCACTAAACAGCATTTTAGCCATGTTAGACCCTCAGAAATCCCTCAGAAAGAAATCGTCCAGTTGTTGGTAGTGTTAAAAAAAAGTGGAGGGGTTCAAAAATAAACCATAAGTGATATATTTAATTGCGATTTAACTAAAATCAGATTCATTCTGAGGATCATGACTGTCTATGCACATACTTTGCACCATCACCTAAAGTTGTCTGTTTTGGCTCACTTGGACATCTCCAGCTGGGTTTCATCACTGTATGGGGGGGAGTTATAATAATAATAATAATAATAATACATTTTATTTGTAAAGCGCTTTTCAAAGACACAAAGACGCTGTACAGAGTAAGCAGCATGCCTTTAAAGATGGTGATAAATTTTCTGCACGAGGAGAAAGGGTCTGGGAGGTAATCGCTCTGCCATGACACACACATGAACAAACCCCACACGTGCCTGGCCTTTGTTTAAACAGAGCAGATAAATGGTTCAACTACGAGTCAAACAAGGATACTGTACATACGATAACAGCCTTTAGCAGGAAGGTGCTGCTGATATGTGAGGTCTATAACCACAACAGAAATGTAATATTCATGTGTTCACGGTCGCCCACCCAACCCCCATCTTGAATGCACTCGATAAAGCCACTGAACTGGAAGGACCAATTAGACTGTACATTAGAGAGGCTGAACTTCTGAAAAGCTTCTCAAGGCCATTCCTCCCCCTGGCCCCAGGGGCTTCAAATCCCAGATCGCCACCTGTTTCTGAAAGGGGGCACAGGGAGGTGTTTATCCCAAGAATAACACACCAGGAGCAGGTAGGCATTAAGTATTGTCTCAAACAATGAGAGCACATAAGCTTTTATCAAATCAAATGAATATTTAGGGGCGGGTTCACACATTTTCATAACGTTGTGCTCGATAGAAATGAACAGGGAAGAGAGATATCATAATTTATGTATGTCTCAGAGCAAAATAAATCATAGCTGCCTTTCGATGAGGTCAAACATCTGGTGTTGTCAGTCATAGATAAGTTCTGGCAGCAGTTTAAAGCTCATTTAAAAAAAAAAAAAATCCCTCATCAGGCCCCTGCAAGTTGAGGAGTATTTTAGACCACTGTAGTAGTGCTTAATCTGAGTTTAATTGAGGTTCAAAACTGGTTTACAGCTCAGCGTGTGAAGTAACTCTAGTCTTAACGGTTAGACGAATCATTTCATAATGACATGTGAAAGGGTTTGGATTATTGCCCTCACCAAACAATAACAAAACCTGTGACCCACAAGACTTTAATACAAAAGAGATCAAATATAGTTTAAAGAGATCAAACCATCTGCATCTAAAATTAGATTTCTTTTCATCGAAGAACTCAAACATGATATTTTTCTTCTTGAAGCTCAGGTGTCATTCCCTAAAGCCACCGAATTGTTACCTAAAATCAACTCCAGCTTATTTACTCAAGTGGCTTAAAGTTCAGACCTCAGCGGACAAACTGGACCAAATGGCAGCTTTATTGATTCAGAGCAAAATCAGTGCGGGTTCTGTTTGTTCCCCAGTCTGTGACGTCCAGTTCCTTTAATTCCTGTCCACTGGGGGGACGAAAGAGGCTCTTTTTTTTTTTTTAGGAACTCAAGGAAACTGACCCTTGTTTATCAGAAATCACTTTAAGGTCATAAATTAGCAGGAAAGCCATTTCTGGGAACGCAACCATTTCACAACCTTTGGGGCGCAGAGCCAACCACATCTCTGAGACTGGTGTGGAAATGTGGCGGGGCAACAACCAGTTCTGACATGTTTCACCACACATCGTTTCTCAGAACCGATATACTGGGAACCTGTTTGACGATGACTCCACACCAGAGTGGGTGTAAAACCTCGAAACTTGAGGAATGCTGCTGCTGAGAGACGGTTTGAGAGTGTGTTTGTATTGGCGGACAAGTTGGAGAGCGTCCATTCATTCCCACAATACAGGGCATTTCAGGTGATGGGGGGGAAAAAAGGGGGTCTTGCAAACACTCTGGACATTGCATCATGTGGAGAGGGGCCAGCATGAAAACAGTTGCAATACATGGTCAAACTCAAGTTCACGCACATGTCTGCCTGGTTGGGTTTTATTCAGTGGCGCCCATTTCCCACATTATGAATAGCAAGGGGTTCAAAACCGGCTTTTCAGAAACCCCGCTTGACATCTTTGCACAGACTGTATTCACAATGCTCTGAGCTCATTGGTCGCACGGCTTGCTGAGCGCCAGTCAATGAAAGACAAAAAAATCAGCTCCAAAAAACAAAGACGTAGCCGTAAAACTGGCAATTTATGCAAGACAAATTAATTTAACTGATTGGTAGGAGAGTCAAACTGTATTTTTTTTCTTGTGTAAAAGAGCACCACATTTAAAAATCTGTTGCATGAGGAGTTTTAGTACATTTTTAAACTAGTCTTAAGGAGCATGTTGTCTAATTCAACATAAAAGCCCACAGATTTGCAGATAGAGCTAGTAGAGTAGAATATGTTGGGTTCAGCGGGGGCAAAATATGCATTGTACCGGGACGGCGACAGAGATTTGACCTACATTCTGGAAATAATTGCGCCCTCCCCCCATCACCTTGCATCCTGTGCTGTCAGAGGAGTGGGCAATTTAAACCCGCACCTCCATACACTTGATGAAAACCACATTTTAAATGCTACTTAACCTAGTATATCTATCACATAACATCAAACATTGACTTTAAATTAGGTTACCACGGATGCCAAAGCGAAAAAAAAGCTAATTAAGGCGTAATTGAAGGTGAAATTGAAGGAACTTACTTGTCTGGATAAGAAAGCAGAATAGGAGCAACAATGAGGCGAAACGTTGCCGTCCCATGTTTTCCAGCCGTACTGGAACGAATATCTTTACTTATATTAATTAATACAAGTGATGGTAATAATACTTAAGTTAAAACGTGGTTCTGTTTGGCTATAAAACTGTACAGCAAAGGATCTATTTTCTGCCTCCGCGTGTTCTGCCGCGTAAAGATGCTCCTTTGAAGGACCTGAGGAAGGATGCTCACTGGCACACTGTAATGTTTGACAACAACATCAGAGCCATTTCAATGTGGTCCAGCAGAGGGAGGAGCCCCGAGGGGCCCGGGTGGGGGAAGGCGGGCTCCGGGAGTGGTGTGATATCTGAGGCTCTCAGCACCAACAATCAGGGGGGGTGGGGAGGAGCAGCGTGGAGGTCTGTTTTACTACGACTTTAACCCTTTCAGGCACAAAGCAGAGAGACTGTTTGGGTACTGAAGTTCAGTTTCATTCCCTGGAGGTCAAATCCAGACACGTTTACATTCTTTACAGGGGCGTAATGAGAAGATCAGGAAACCTTGATGAGTTTTGCTTGTGAACCCCAAAATTGAGGAAACCCATTATAGCCAATAGATGAACAGTCAAAATATAAGACCTGGTAGTCAGATGATTTCAATTAGCTGTTGGCCGACTGTGAGTAAAGAAACAAAGATAAATTCCTGACAAATTCAGAAAGATTCACATGTCAACACAGGGAGATAAAAAGACAGAAAATATTAAAAGAAGCAATGGTTATGAGATCATAACGCCTACAACCAAAAGTTGAATTAAAAAGACAAAAATATCCTAATTATGAAATATAAGTAAAAAATTTGGACATCAAAATGAAGAGATTAGATAAAATGTTGAGATTGTAGAATAAACAATTACAATTAAGACTGAAAGTTCAAAAAGATCCACATTTGGGGTTAAAGGGTAAAAAGCTGCAAAGTTGGATAAGATGTTGAGATTATGAAATGAAGCTAAAAATATATGGGATCGAAAGATTTTTACAAAAATGTTATTCAGAGCGAAGAACTCAAATTTCAGAATAAAGATTTTGATATTATATTGAAAAAGTCATACTAACAAAAATAATATCCATATAGTACTAATGATACAAAAAAGTTAAACTGACGATAAAAAAAAAAAAATAGTCATGTGATCAATTTTGGGGTGAATTTTTTTAGAATTTGTGATCCAAAAGCCGTACTTACGGGATAAAAATTTTATGTCATTGCTTTTTATTAAAACTAATACGATCAATGTATCAAAAAAGTACTATTATCCCAAATTAAAGCTCCTGTGGGGAACTTTCTATTTGAAACTCTTTTGGCGCCAGACAAAGCAATTACTCTTCAATTTTTGATGATTTGTCCTGTAGCCGAAATATCAGTAAAAAAAACTTTATTTTGCATCATATATATTGCTTTCAGATCTGTGCTATGGAAAATGTAAACAAGCGTTTGACACCTTCCCGCTTCAGAAGATTCAGGTCTAAACTGAACAGCATTGAAATAAAAGCTCCTAAAGCTAATGATCTTTTTTGCTGATGATGATCAGTAAGAGGCATCAGTATTAATACCAGACTCTTTCATCACCAGTTCAAAATCATAATAATAACAATAATGACACATTTTATTTATGGCTGCCTTTCAAAAAACTCACATGGCACATTTAGAATAAGCAGCAGTTTAAGGAATAATTTAATATATTAATAATTTATACTTAAAATCTGTAAATGGGGTTTCAATTTGGGTGGGGAGGTGCAGAATGACTGAAGACTCTGGATCCCATAGTGGTCAAACAGGCAGTTTGTGTAGTGGGGTAAAGACCTGAGTGTGTTGGAGGGTGTTATCATATGAAGAAGTTCAGATAGGTACAGGGGTGCTTTGTTAAAGATGGCCCAAAGGTGAGGGGCAGAATCTTATTCATAATTGATGTTTGACTGGGCTCCAGTGAAGCTGTTGAAGAACGAGGATGATGTGACTGATGGAGGGAGTTCTGGTAATGAGTTCTGGACCAGTTGGAGTTTATGGATGAACTTGGGAGAAAGACCAAAGAGAAGGGACTTACAGTAATCAATGCCTGATGTAAACAGGGTGTGGACATGAACGGCTGGTATTGTTGGGTGTGAGGTAGGGGCGGAGACAGTTAATGTTGCACAGATGGAAGTATGCAGACTGAGTGACATTACTGATGTGGGTCTGGAATGATTGTGTGCTGTCAAGGATGACACCCAGACCCCCTAACCGAGGGGGAATTGAAGAATTGTGGATGTTGAGACAGAAACTGTTAGCCTTTGTTACAGTTGAGTTGGTACTAATGAGGAGAGGCTCAGTTTTGTCACAGTGAAATTTGAGGAAACTGTAAAAGAACCACGATTTGAGGGTGGGAGGACTGAGGTGGGTTTGGTAGACAGGCAGAGCTGGGTGTCATCTGTATAGCAATGAAAAAAATGTTATGTTTACAGAAAATATGATCAAGGGGAGGTAGATGAATGATGAACAGAAGAGGCCCCAGGACAGAATCCTGTGGAACACCAGTCATGACTGGAAAGGCCTTGGATTTCAAGATTTTGAGTTGAATAATCCAAGTCCAGATAGAGATTGGATTTGAACAAGGACTTAAAAAACTCCTACCAGGAGCAATATTTGGATTTTCTTTCATAAACATTGCATCTTTTTGTAGAAATCTACAATTTGAACCACATTGACCACAAGGTAAATTAAGTACTTTAATCACATTAATTTACAAGTTTATTCTCATAAATGTATGACAACTTCTTGTAAATTTATTATTTAATCCACCAAATTTTACAATTTTATTCTGATAATCCTGTTTTATCATTAATGTGGCCCTGTCCTCTGATAAACCTTTACCCTTAAACTACTTTCAGTGTCCTTGTAATGAATATCATATTTTTCTATCCTGAAAGAACCCAAACTTCAGCAAAAAGCCTGTTTTTTCTTGAGATACTATTACTTATTCCTTGATGTATCCTCAGATCTCTTTCTGTTTGTTGATTCGGAGTGTTACAAAAGTAACCTTTTCAGGTAAATAAAATGTCCTTTGTGGACTGGTTTGACGTCAACAGTTTGTCCCCCTGATGTGTCCTGTGATGGTCTGTATGTTTGGGTCCTGGCCAGCACGACGTTCAATACCTAAATAACCAAACACTCTAGTCTGCACACAGCGGTGGTCCCGTTTTCATGCTGCTCTAATAACAGCATCAGTGTATTTTCTAACTTAGTCAACACATTTCAACCTTCACACGGGCTATCTGATAGAGGAGGAAAACTGACCAGTGAGTAAAACCCTCCAATAAAACACCAAAAATAGTCCTTAAAGTCATAATCACAGCTTTTATCTCCTTATCATTACTTCCACTTCTCATAAAAACAACACATTATGTTAGGTTCAAAGTTTAGTGCCTGTCCAGCATCAGGTTAACTTCAGAGGAGCTGCAGAGATAAAGTACAAAGAGATAAAAAAAAAAAAAAAGTAGTAAAGCGATAAAGAACCGAGAACAACAACCTTGAACTGGGCAGAGAGAGCAGCGTATAGCACAGGTGTTCACGTCTGTAAGTGGAAACAGGTAAATAATGCAGATGTTTCTTTTGAAGATACTTCATGGAAGAGCAGCAAGGACATTGACACTGTTTTATGAAAACAAGAAGCTACAGCAGGAAATTTCTAGTTGGACGTAGCAAAGAACATATTGACCCTGATTCTATCAGAGTCCACTGCTCAGATAACATGGACCCCCTCCCTCCAACCCCTGGATATGTCTTTATGGGCCGGGTCAAATTTTATCATGTGTGACCTCCACTTCTGCGCCAGATAAATGTACACAATAACAATTTCAAAGGAATCATACGTGGGTCCAGTTAACCTGAGCACGTGAGAAATCCTCACAGTGAAAACAAAAATCTGGTCCTCTTAAAGATCTGCCTCACAGAAGCTTCACATGGGTCAAAGCCAAGGCTGTCGCACTGCTGCCAGCCACAAATATGAACCACAATGAGCTCAGTCCACGCCAAGTGTGTGTTATACAGATATACAGCTTGGATGAGTTTCTCTTTAAATCCTTTGTTTAAGCTTAAGTATCAACATCTTCAATTACAGCAGAATATAACCAATCCCAAGTATTCAAGTACAAGGAAAAGTCAATTCTTAGAAGTCTCTCCCATTTAAATCAATAAATCAATCAGTTTCTCTTTACACAGCACCAAACCACAACAAAAGTTATCTCTGAGACTTCACAGACTGTACTTTTCTCCAGCCCCATTTCCATAATGCTGAAATATTGATGAAAACATATTTGGATGATTAATCAATCATTTAAACACTATACTTCATTTAAAAACATACAAAGACAACTAATAAAAGCTTGAAAATTGAACCCTTAGATACGTGCCAGTGACATCGAAGTTGAAAATGAAACAATGAAAAAGCTGAGAAACGCCAAAAACACCTTGAGGAACATCTCCCAACTAATGTGATGAATTTTCAACAAGTTAGTAACATGACTGGGTTTGAAACGAGCATTGAAAAGGCTGAGTCTCCCAGACATTAAGACAAGAGGATGTAATGCCATAAAACTGTAAAATTGCAAAGAAACGGGGGATTTCACGTACAGAACAGAACATTAAAAGATTCAGAGAACCTGAAGAGGTCGACATATAGAGGACGAGGAGAAAACCAGTATAGGATAGCCTCGATCGTCAGGCTATCAGGCAGCACTGCATGAAAAGTAGGCATAACTCTGTAGTGGAATTCGCAGAATGGGCTCAAAATCACTCCCTTAACCATTGGGTGTGAGTGCAGAGTTTTTCTGTTGCTAGTTACCTCCGCCAAGGAGGTTATGTTTTTGGTAGCATTGGTTTGTTTGTTTGTTTGTTTGTTTGTTTGTTAGCAACTTTACGGAGAAAGTTACAGACGGATTGACCTGAAATTTTAATCAGAGGTGTGTCTCAGCCCCAGGAGGATCCCATTACATTTTTGTGGTGATCCGGATCGCCTTCTGGATCCAGGAATTTTTTGAAGGATTCTTTATCATTGTGAGATAGGGCAAATTTTGGAATTTTTGCATTTAACTCTATAAAAATGGCCAGAGTCTTTAGTAAAAAATGACACAAAAGGATCTCAATGAGTTTTATGAGGCGTCAAAGGTTGATCCTGATCCAGACAAAATTCCGGATACTGTGATCTGCTTGGCGGAGGTCTGCGCTCTCTGAGTGCTTTTCTAGTTAAAGTTGGATCAAGGATGGAAATCTGCCCTGTAGTCTGACCAATAAAAATTTGACACTCTTTTTAGAAATCATGGATTCATGTGTCCTCTCCTCCTAAAAGAGGAAGGACCATCCTGCTTATGATCAGCACACAGTTTACATCTGTGATGGTATGGGGATAGAAATAGTATGCATCTTGTATTGTTATTTAAAGAGACAACATTACAGACAACATTAATCCACCAATGAGTAATCACTTGGCAACAGCAGGAAGAAAAATAACTTAAAACATGCAGAAATCTACAGCCGGACAAGACTTAATGACTTATTGGTGTAGTAGTCATACAGTCTGCAACAACAATAACAGCAGAGTTATAGTAACAATAACAAAGGAAATATGACTAATATTAGTAAATACAGCATGTATTATTATTATGATGTCAAATTTTCTCGTCCAACTAAAACTGGACTTTTAAAAAATACATGTAAACACATTAGTCAGACTGAATTGCACTATATTGAATTCTCAAAGTCGTACTAACATACCTGGATAATACGATCGCGGATAAGCTCATTTAGACTGAAACTGGCATAAACCCATGCCATAGTGTTCGCACACAGAGCTTTGAGCCAGAAATGGAACAGCACGAATGCAGCGCAAGGAAGACGAGCAGTTAAGAAAACTTCAGCCAAAGAAAGGACGTAAGAAAGATGAAACTGTCCTATCATACAGACAAATGGTACAGAGATGTGAAAGTGCTTTCGTTATCAATCATACATTCTTTTGGTCTCTTGCTGACGTCAATTGTTTTCATACGTACTAAGTTAACTGGAAATGACCAGATAGTAACAAACTGAAAGGGGACATGTAGCAGAGGTGGACATGCTTTTGTCAACAACTGTTTTCTTTTCTGCTGCTTGTAAACTGGGAAAATCCACTAACATTGCCTAACCAAGCTATAACCATAGCTTGACTTAACTGTTCATGTGACCATACGTGCACTGAATGGGCTGTAGTGCAAATTCTAATCCCGGTCAGGGTGAGTAGGGCCCCAATGAGAGGTGCAGGGGTTTTTCTAACCCTGACTGATCTCTCATGAGTGACACACTTTCTACTTCATGAAAACTAGATTATCCCTTCAGGTATTACTACCGTACTGATGTACTCACCACTCACCACTCAACAACGTCATAAATAAACGAGCCTGCTTTACTCATACTTCAGTTTGTATATTTTAAACACTTTTTGACATGAATCGGTTGTGGTCAAGAGAGTCTGAAGGCATCAATTAAGCTAGCACAGAAGTCATTTTACAGTAATGCTCTTGAAAAAGCTTAAACATTACAGTGTTTAGTCTATTAATCTCCTCATCTACACCCTCTTTTCATCCCTCTCTCGCAGATATACTGTCACATTATTTGGCACTGTTAATGGATCAAATGATGGGACATAAAAATTTGAGAATCCAGAACCACCATATACAGTAGAAGGATTTTCCAGAGAGTGAACCCGCCCACCTCGAGCCCCTCTGACCTGCACAATCGGGTTCATTTAATAAGAAGTGACATGGAATTTTCTGGCCTCTGCAAAAACTGGGTCCTCTGAGAGACCGACTTTTAAACATGAAAAGTTTTCTGCACTGTACTGGAGTTATGAACCTCTAACTTCCTGATGAGACGTGGGCGATTAATCCTCCTCCCGTACACCCACTCATGAAGTGATTGAGAGGATAGAGGGAGGAGTTTCTGTAGTGCGGCTGAGCAGGAGGAAAGTGTGAATGGAAACTAGAGTGCAGGTGAGGTGAAGTTCCTCTCTTAGAAAGTAGAGCACACCCCTCTACGACAACTGCTGCTCTCATTATGCTCGATCCCAACCTCCTCACCCCGGCCTCTGTAAACAGTTTCTTGTTCCTCCAGTATGCAGTCAACCCCCCCTGCTCGGGCCCTTTTCACATTCGCCTTTCTGCTGACAAAACAAACATTGTGCCGGCTGCAACGGATTTTCTGTCTCTGTATCTTTCTCTGAAGGTCAAATCAGGTTCTCCCAGAAGCAGTTACGCATGTTTCTGGCTTCAACTCAAGAGCCACCACGCAGGATTGAAAGTGAGAGGCTGTGATTTCTCCAGTGGACTCAGACAGCAGAGACAGATTTCTGGCTTTATGATCATGGAAAATATGTAAGATGCGGTTTTGAGTGCATTTTAACTATCCATCAGCTGCAAGAAAATGCTAGAAGCAAGCAAAAGCACACATTTCTGTATGGCTCTGCTGTCACTGTGGCCTGTTGGGAGAAGCTGTATGAGTAGGGAGTATAGTTTAGTAAAGACAATTCATCACCATAACACGGTAAAAAAGATATGATTTACACTAATTCAAAATACAGATCTTAGTTTAGTTCAGATTTTTTTTCACCAAAAACTGCAAAACGTGAGGAAAGTACTAAGGTAGTTGTGTGCAGAGCAGAAACCTGTGAATGTACCGTATGAAACCTGCACTTAAAGACAAAATTAAGGTAATCCATGCATAACATTACCAAAACAACCCAGTCCCACTTTAAAACAAAAACCTCCAAATGAAAAATGTGGAAAAAGCAGTAGATGTTTTGTGACTTTTGACTGTATGTAAAGACAGGAGGCATCACCGTTATGCAAAAGTGTAGCCAAAATGGGCCTGCAATAGGAGCTAACATCTTTGACTAGCATCTGGAGCTGGGGTACTGACATCCCACCTCTCCTCATCAACAGAAACATACACACTGAGTGTAGTGCTAGTTTGTGAAGGGGCCACTCAACTCCTATTCATGATTTTAGGTACCTGAAAAAACAGAAAATATGTGCAAAAAGCAAATTTCTTTAAAGTGTCCTTTGATAATAATGTTTGACCTATGACCCATCTGTTCACATTGAGAAAATGGAGTTTATGATCTATAATGCAGAGATCTAAATCTTTTGGCTTCACTTTATAGGAGTTATCATGTCATGTATACAGTCCATGACTATAACCACCATTGTGTTTAAGGTAACACTTTATTTGACGCCTATCTCTATAAGGTATAATAAATATATTTATAATGCGTTATAATCATGTTATAGCTCTGTATAACTATAGTTATAAACACTCATAATTGATCATAATGCTTTATTGCAATAATCATAACACATTGTAAAGTATTTTATCATGACTTACAAGGTCAGGTATTTTAATGTGTTATAACAGTTAACAACTCACTGACAATGTCCACATAGATAATTCAATGCAACTGTTGTTAACAGTTATAACACAGTATAATACCTGACCTTGTAAGTCATGATAAAATGCTTTATGTGTTATGATTATTGCAATAAAGCATTATGATCATTTATGAGTGTTTATAACTATAGTTATACAGATCTATAATGTGATTATAACACAATATACACATATTTATGATGCGCTATAGAGATAGGCTTCAAATAAAGCGTTACCTAGTTTTAGTAGTAAATTCCACCACATCCAGTGAGCACGGAAATACAGTAATTGCAGGGACAACTGTACAAACACGTTCACAGAGGAGAATTAGGCTGCCGAGAGAATTTTGAGGTGACTGTTCCTGGAAAAACTCGCCCAAGGCAGAAGAAATCACCCGCAGAGCAGAGTCACGGCAGATATAACCCCTCATGTTTGTTCAGGTGTTGGGGCACTTGCCCCTAGATACTAGCATACTCACGTGCAGGAAAGTAGGATGTATGTGTGTCAGGGTCAACAAATGACCTATGAGTGCTGAGGGTGGTGTTGAGAAACCAAGATCAGAGGACACGGGGATCAAGAGGTACCGCCGGAGAAGCTTCTGTGGTTACCCTAAAGCAGGAAAAGATTGAAGAAAACAGACGATTCTCTCATTAAAAACTTATCCACATGCTGAATCAGGTGTACTCCTGAAAACTTTACAGTTTGTGGTTCATTATGTGTAGAAAATAGTAACAGAGGCAGATACTTTAACGTGGTGAAATATTTTAAAATGCTGTGAAAGAAATAAAGCTGTTGAAAGGATTGGATGGAAGTTTAAAAAGTTTGCAAATTTCCCCACCATGGGATGAATAAAGGTGAACCTTATCTAATTTTTCGCAGAACTATTAAAAATTATGAGTCTGAAGCTATGAGTAATTTAAAACAAAGTAGCTATCTAGCTGTATAAATGATGATGACCTTGGGTTTACCTAGGGGTTCATCTTAAATCAATCTATGCCAAGATTTTTCCAAAAGAAACCAAGAATTAAAATTAAATCAAAACATTTAAGTGTTTGCTGATGTTTACTTAAACAACTTTTTACCTGCGGAGAAACAGATGGTAGAAAATCCAGTAAAGCCAAGAGTATGGAACTACCAAATCTTAGGTGGCCATCTAGTGTTCAGAAGGGATCACTGCAGTTAAAAATGTCATCCGAGTGCATTTTGGATTTAAGAAAGTGAAGACCACAGATTAATCATGAGATGCCTTTATTGTAATTTTTGGAATCCAGTGACACTGACACGAGAAAATGGTCCCATCCCTCCCTCCCCCAATTCATACACAACCTGAGAGGGAGGGGCTGCAGGGTGGGATGTACCGTGATCCCGCTTGTAGTCTTAAATTAAACACAGAGATAATAGCGAAGACACATCCAGGTGCATTTCGACAGACACGCACGACATGCATTCAAAAAGGGACTTCAGTTACGCAGTTTTCCTCCTGATTCACATGTCTCAAAGTAAAAGACGACAAAATGAATACCACTTAAAAAAAACACTTATCCGTCTTTATGGCCCATGCTCAGTCTATAATTCAGGCTCTGTCAATTTTCCACTTACAGGAGAAAACGAAAAAGGCAAAAAGACACACTACTATTCATCATGGGGAAATGGTTTAAATATGGAAGTGGATGGTTCATATCTTCATATTTCTTTTTTTTTATTGGTTTTTCATAAATGGTATACTTTAATGAGAATACAATAGTCTCACTAAAAATCAGCTCATCTAGGTAAAACTAGGCCTTTTTCCACAAACTGTCTCCCTGCTGTATCTAGGTAAAATATATATAGTCCAGTCAAGGGGGCTCAGTGGGCCATTGGTCCAATCCGGAGTGGTTCACACTTCAGTCCTCCTCGCTGCCACTGGCTGAACGCTCCTGGAGAAAACGAGAGAACCAAAGATTTACCCCGACACCATCTTTGAAAAGTTTGTCATCTTTGTGCGGGAGCGTGCCTCACCTCCTCCTGTTCCTCCTCGCTGTCATCGTCACTCACTACGGGTTTTGCTCTGGCGCCGCGGCCCCTTCGTCGTTGACCTTTTCCTCCCCGCTCTCCTTTCTCTTTCCGGCTCAGCTTGATCTTTACCTTCACTGAACGAGCTGACGCAGAGGAAAGACAGTCATCATTTCGATCCTTTCACTCACTTATATTCACTCTTGCTTCTTTTTTTCTGGACACTCACATTCAGACTCTGAGCCTTCGTCTACCTCCTCCTCTTCTTCTTCGCTGTCTTCTCCTTCGCTTTCGTCCTCTTTCTCGATTTTCTGCCTCACACTGGTGAAGACAGACTGCAGCACGATGGAGTCCTCATAGATCTGAGATGTTGACAGAAAGAGGCGTGTTAGACCGAAGAATCCTCAAAATGGCGTCTTCTGATTTTATTTTTTAACACTGAGCTCCGGTCTTTACTCACCAGAGACCCCTCCAGATTAAAAGTCTGAGCGTTTTGACACAGCAGCATCACGTCTTTCTCCAGGTCGTTCAGGCTGCGGTACTTGTGGCTCCTGATTCTCTCCTGATGGCAGGAAATGAGACGTCAGAAACATCAGTAGAAAAAAGCACTAGAAAGAGCGGGTGAGTGTTTCTCAAATATCCTCACCTTGATCTTTCTGAAGTCTACGGGTTTACGAATGAGCTCGTAGTATTCCGGCAGCTCCTTACGCGAGGGCAGCTGTATGAAGACTTCGCTGAGCTGTCGACCATTACTACTGAGACCAGAGAACAGGGATCTTAAAATTTAGCACAGTGAAGCAATGACAAGCGGGAAAACACGCAGAGTTTACTTTTATATATTCAGTTATTTACATGTGAGTAAATATGTAGTTTGTATCCCATTACTGATATTTCCTTTGTCACATTCTAAGTTTACAGAAATGGAAACTCAATTTAAGATTCTTGCGACTCAAAAAAGCTGAAAAATCCACAAAATATTGGAGTGTCTTGAATTTATTTCTAGCTCCTAGGAGTTGCGGAGAGTTTTACACTGACAGAGATGTGTGTGGTGTTGTGCTGCAGGTGATAGAGATCACTCTGAGCAGCATGCACACATAGAAACTTTCTGCAACCCAGAGGAAAATTCTCTAAATTTAGCTCTTTGTAGTTTTCGTCTCACCCGTCTTTGTACTTTATCACCGCATCAACGATCTTCTTCATTTTTTTAGTGAGTGATAGCGGGTTTGGGGACAGCTTCTCAGCAGGCGGGCGGCCACGCTTCTTCGCTTTCTTCCCCTCGTCATCCTTGTCACGCCCCCGGCCGCTGCTGGAGCTGGGTGTGGACGGGCCGCCGTCGTGGTCTCGGTCCCTCTTCCGTTTCCTGGTGGTCTTTTTGTGACGCACCTCCTCCTCGATGTCCTCTAGATTTCCCTCCTCTATGGCCTGTGGTGAGGACAAAACACAGCTTCGGTTAACTTCATTCACTTTCCCTTTCATAATTGTTGTTATATTTTACTTGACCGACCTTTAGCCACTGTTTCTCCGTGAGCGAGTCGCTGTAGTCCACCTCCTTGCGTTGGCGGGATCCTCTGCCAAACATCTTCTCCTCCTCCTCTTCACAGGTTAGCCTCTCGACCTCGGCGTCGTCTTTCAGGATCCAGCTTGGCATGTCGTCCTCCTCCATCAGGCGAGGTTTCCTCTTGGGGTTGCGAGCCTCTTCACGACGTCTGTCTAGATCCATACGCTGAAATAAAAAAATTAAAAGATGATTACATTGTCCTGTGAAGTAAAATTACCGTATCTAATGAGTGATATCCTGAGCTTGGACTGACCATGAACTGCTCAAACTCTTCTTCACTTCTGGCGATCATCTGATTCACAGTCTCATCGTCTGGGACTTCATCTTCCTCCTGAAACAAAAGACAAAGTGAGTAATTAGAGACTGACTCAAGTGGGTTTTTTATCACCTCAGAGCCAAGTCTCTGAACTAATGATTCTCATGTTCACAAAAAGAAAAAGGCATTTCAAGGCAAACAACCGTCACTCTTCACAGCATGCTGATTTTGAACTGTGCTGATTTTTAATGTTTATTACATGGATTAAAGTCCCACTTCAGAACTGATTTAAGACATATTTCTGAGGAATTTCCTGACCATTATGATAACTCCTGCTGTTCATCGCTCAGTGTTCAACCTCAGGCTGTTCATCTACCAGAATCATGAGGTGGGACTAAAATTTGCAAGTCAAACTCCAGTCTATGGATACTGCGATAATGCGCCGTAATGTTCTACTATGTGGATGTAAACAATAGGGGTGGGAGGAAAAAATCCATTCACATAAGTATCCCGATATTTTTGTTTTACAATTTTTAAATCAATTTTTTTGTTCAAAAATTTTGTTCTAAAAATTCTACAATTTCGTAGAATCGCAATTTTAATCAAATTGGCATCCAAAAAAATCGTGGAAGAATCGAATTGGGAGAAAAGCATATCGTCTCAGCCCTAGTAAACAAGTACAGCTGACAGAGGGAGGATTGTAGCGTAATGCAGTTTGGTAGTATTTAATATAGAAAATTGAGATTGAATGTAAACTGGTTAAACTGGTATATAGTCAAGTCAAGTGGAGCTTTGTTGAACCAGCACAGGGATGTGGATATTGACCTGAAAGAAGGATCCGACAGGAAGTGCTAACTCTGCTAATGGTAGCCCCACACTGCAAACTAATTCAACACGGTTCACCAGCAGACTCTGTGATCCTGTGTTCAAAGTTGTGCTCAATTTTAACTGTTGTCTACAGTTTTCCTCACCCTCAAGCTGAAAACATACCGGATCCGTACTGCGCACGTTTCATATTTGCTCCCTTGAGCAGCATTTGTTATCACATACAGGATGCCTATTTGGAGCGTAGCAGCAGCGTAGTTCAGCCCCGGTCAGCTGGGCTCAGTATAGAGGAAACAACATTCTCACAACAGGTCGTTTTACCTTTCTGTGGTCTTTTTCCTGCTAATCTGGATATAATTCAGTGACCGTTGAGCCTCTACTCTAAGTGAAAAAGCAATGAGATTTTACAGTTTGGGTTTTTGCAGGTTTACTCGTGTTGAATAAAGTAAACTATGTTCCTTTATGCTGTGCTGTTACGCTTATTTGAAGCGTAGAGCAGCAAAAAATAGACCTGTCACATATCTTTAGCAGTGCTGCACTCGATACGGAGCTGATACACGTCCTGTACGCGATGCTGCATTGATGAATGGCAACGTATTTGCTGTGTGATACATGACGCTGATGATCCTGTATATTTTAGCCTTTAGACTAGCTAGAATATGAATTCTATTCAAATTAACTCCAGATATGATCAAGTGGTGGAGGCACTCGGCATCAAATTAGCCCTTGGCACTGTGAAGGTCTTTAACCTGAATTTTAGAGAGACCAGACACTAGGCTGGCTGTCTGCTCTCCTGATATCTTATTATGCTATTTGTCTGCCAATCACTGTATCTGGAGTAGGACTTTAATCTTATTACATTTTTATCTAAAATTCAAAAACATTTTAGCAAAAGAAGTTCAAAGCAGAAAGAGGGAAAAAAGGGGAAAAAAAGGGAAAGTTTACACCCTTACTGTAAAAGCTTAAAATGTTTGTGTAAAAGCAGAATAGAAAAATTAAAGAGAGGAGGTGAAGTCTGGATTGATGAAAACTCACAAATCCTGAGAAAGTGGAGAAAAAAGAAAGAAGAGGAAGAGAAAAAAGGAGAGGATGAAGAGGTGGGGCAGCGCAAAGGGGGATGCGGGTGGGTGTGCGAAGTGGGGTTAGGTTTAGATCACACCCACCCACGCCCCCCTGGTGCGGCAGCCGCCTCGAGCCCCGACCTCGTCCTGCTCCTCGTGCTCCAGAATGGCCTGTAAGAAGGCGCGGCGCTCACAGCCCGAGGACTTCTGGTCGAACATGCCGGCCTGGATGACCTTCTGGTCCACGTTCAGTTTGTACTTGGCTGCCGCCAGGATCTTCTCCTCCACGCTGTTGACCGTGCAGAGGCGGAGCACGCGGACCTCATTCTGCTGCCCGATACGATGGGCTCTGTCCTGAGCCTGCAAGTCCTGGGAGACGGAAAAAGCAGATTTTTTTAGATGGAGAGACTCGAGGTGATCACCTTTGTTTGACATATCGCAGTTAATAGTTTTCGATGATTCGTTTGAACCATTTGGAGTTTTTTTAACGGCTCGCTGCAGCTCAGCAGCTTTAGTTGCACGTCAGTACCTGATGTGGGTTCCAATCACTGTCAAAAATGATGACTGTGTCAGCAGACTGCAGGTTCAATCCCAGACCTCCTGCCCTGGTACTGAGCAGGAACACAAAGTACTCAGATGCTGGGTCATTGAACGTCTTCAGCAGCATGCCGCGGTCCTCCGCCTTGGTGGTTCCTATCAGAGCAGTGAGGGTAAGAGTTAGAGAAACAGTCGACCTGAAGTGATTCACATGATTCAGCAAACAAACATTTGCCTCAGTCATACGAGACTCACCGTCCAGACGCAGGTATTTGAAGTTACGGTAGGCGAAGTAGTCCTCCATGATGGTCATGAGCGAGGTCATCTGACAGAAGAGCAGCACCTTGTGGTTTGTGGCCCTCAGTTTGGGCAGGATACGATCCAGCAGCTCAAACTTTCCGGAAGCTCGGAACAAATCAGGACTGAGAAGAAACAGAGGGGTAAGTATAAAACGAATAAGAAATGAAAACAAAATGAGATAAAAACAGTTTTTAATATTTCACTTACCCAGTCACAATTCCACCAGAGTAACCGAGATGCTCAGAGAAGGACTCCTGTAAGATAAAGAAATGATTGCGTTATGGCATTGGCATTTATGCATCTTCAGATATAAAGAATGAAAAGGTTGAATTATCTATTGTACCTCGATGTGCTGGAACATGTAGGGATGGTTACAGATCTTCCTCAGCTGCATGATAGTGTTCATCAGGGTCTTCGTGCCACCTTTACCCTAGAAATGTAGAAAATCAGATCAGTGAAACTCCTCCTCAAATGTCTAAAAATCTAATATTCATAGATTTATATTTCAAATTCTTCTTTGCTGTACCTTCTTGTCTTTTTCGGACCCGTCTGTGAGTAAGACCCCCTTGGCCTGCATGTGTCTGTACAGAACCCTCTGTAGAGCCGACATGTCGCACTTGATCACGTACTCCACCTGCCAACGAAGAAAGAGAGGGAAAAATCTTTAGATCCACGATCATCAATATATCTACAAGTTATATTTAGAAACTGATCTGACATTCATCCAAAAAATAACTTCTAGATTGTGTGAGGATACAGTTGTAATCACACTTTTGAGAGTGACAGAGGAGCTTTAGATAAATCTTTAGAAGAAAAATGAAGTCGGACGACTCAAAGAAGTTGTTCAACATAAATAAAACAAGTGACAATAATCAAATAATAAAAATAATCAAGCAAGTTGGTAACAGTAATGGCCAGAGTTAAAATGAGCTAAAAGGTTTAGGAAGATCAGGATGAAACAAGATTTAATACATTTCTACATAAATAAAAAAGCTACAGCCTGTTGCTTTAGGATAACGACAAAAGTTAAGGTTAAATGTAACGAGACATCAAAGCGAAAACAGACTTAATGAGCAACAAAAGTATGAAGTAAACAACCTTATATCATAGGAGCAATGAGACCCCACGGCAGTATTGATAAGCTCAAACCTTACTGGTTTTGGAACTTGTGCGTGAACACATCCCCATTCCAAACCACTGACAAAAGCAAACCCGCTGAGCTGATGGAGGAATTTGCAAAAAACATTACTCTGACAAAAACAACACCTCTGTGACTTTGTCAAGGAGTAAGAGTTGAAAATTTCTGCCGTAATCTCACTTGGAGTGCAGATTAGCTAATCAATCCAAAAAGCTCTCTGACCTTCTCAGGCAGCTGGGCCTCCACTTCCTTCTTCAGTCGGCGCAGCAGGAACGGTCGCAGCACTTTGTGTAAACGTCTAATGATGAGGATTGTTTCTTCTTCATTCAGATCAACCTGGAGAGAAAGGGGGAAAGGTGAGGAAGAGGAGGAGGGATACATTTATTTAAGTATGTGAAGGCTGATTAGAAAATCGCCTTTCTTGTTGTTTTTGGCTGTTTAGTGTATTTTGTCGACGAGGTTTAAATCTCGGTGTTTTTGCTTCCGTTTGCAGTCGTCGCCTTTATTCTCAAGTCGGACTCACCTTCTCTCCCGTCATGGCGAACGGGGCGTTGAACCACTGCTCGAACGTGCTGCAGCTTTTGAAGATGGTGGGCAGGAGGAAGTTGAGCAGCGCCCAAAGCTCAGGCAGCTTGTTCTGCAGCGGGGTCCCTGTGAGCAGCAGACGCCGTGGGGCTAAGTAGTGTGTGTTCAAGACCTGAGTCAGCTTACAGTGGTGGTTCTTCATACGGTGGCCCTCGTCCACGATCATGTACTTCCAGCGCAGCTTTGGAAGAAAACATCAGGGTCAAAGGGAGCGATAAAAGGTTGGGTACGTGTTCAAGAACAAAGTAAATGAAAGTCCGTCTTACTTTTGCCAGCACTTGTTTGTCTTTGATGATGTACTCGTATGTGGTGAGCAGCACATTAAACTTGCCGCTACGTAGGATGGGAACGAATGCACGCCGAGCAGCTGGAGACCCCTGCCGGAAAGAAAAACACAATTTCTCTTCATTTAAAGCTCAAACAATTCCGCTTCATCAGACACAACACCGATTATTTTACTGATGATTCTAATTCTTCTTCCAAGTTATCTTAATTTATGTTTCGGACAACTTTCCCTCTACAGTACTTGATTTTTTAGCATGCCAAGAGGAAATAATTAGTTCAAAATGACAGCTTTTAACAGGATGTAATCATATCTCCTAAAAACATACATCTTCTAAAATTGAAATTGCCACCTCCAACATTTGGCATCTCTCTATCCAAGCATGTTTTCTGATTTTATGAGATGAGATAATGAAGGAAAAGTAGCACGTCCGGAGTCAGACGTCACTAAAGGAGCGCTGACCTTGTAGGAGACTTTGACGACAGATGGCGCCCACTTATCAAACTCATAGACCCAGTTTGATAGAGTTCTGTGGATGAAGGACAGAAACGTTCAAACAAAACTCTCTGCAGGAAAATAACTTGTTTTGTTTTTTTCATAAGGGAAAGAGGACAGGTCTTACGAGAGAGGTACGATGATGAGGAAGGGCCCGTTGAGGCGCTTGTACTCCATGAGGTAAGTGATGAGGGCAATAGTCTGGATGGTTTTTCCTAGACCCATCTCATCAGCCAGGATGCCGTTCAAGTTATTGTTGTAAAGCGACACCAGCCACTCCAAACCTTTGATCTGAGGGAGAAAAACAAAAGATTAGTCCACTGAAAATCTCACAATCACTGGACTTCCCTTATACACAGTGATGCTCTGCTCTTTGTACCTGGTATTGCTTGAGCTGCCCGTTGACCAGCAGTGAGGACTGTTTATCCACTTTCTCAGTGACAGCGTGAGCCACGGCGTAGTACGACTGCAGGCCTCGGTTGAAGCTTGCACTACCGTACTCATCATCAACATCCTGTTTGGCGTGTCTGAGGGAGAAAACACACCGTTACTGTTAGAATGCTGTTATCTTCAATGTGGGTAATGTTCTCTGTACGGGGATTAGTGCTGGATTTTAACATTATTTTATATTTTGGTACGATTGTGGATGGAGTTGAACGTGTGCAAAACTCAAGAACAAGACACATTTCCCAAAGGGGACAGTAGCTGCGTTTACATGGGCACAAATAATCGGAATAAAAATGTGTCATGTTGACATGTCAATTGGAAGATTCTGATCCAATTTGGCTCCATCTGAAAGAAACTGTATTTCGATCAAGAGGGGAGGTTAATGCCGATCGTTATTCCGAAACGCATCCATGACTCGATCGTTACCTCACCCGGTCTTCACTCTTTAGCCTTTGGTTTATTTATTGAGGTCAGTACAGGAGGTTTTATTATTAACACTCTGGCATAAAACACAACCGCAGGCATCGTGTCTGCTCCTCCTGGTAACGTAACAAGGCGTACATACAGCGTAGTGATGTCACATCTGCAGGCAAAGTGCAACACTTGACAGAACAGTAAACTAAGTAAGCAAGGGCGCCATCTATTGACAACATTTAACAGGTGGAAAACTCCTGAATTGGATGGAGTGAGCCACTTCCGTGTTTGTTGGTTTGTTGACGGCACAAGCGTAAATACAACTCTTCTTCTGCGGTCGTTTTAGCGAAACCAGACAACTCTGAGCATGTCCAAATGCTTCTAATCTGAATATAGCTTGGTGCATGTATGATCAGATTTTTTGATGTTGCACCCATACAAAAAAAAGGGGATTCAGATTATCCAATTCCTTAAAAATTTCATTGGATCAAGAAATTTTGCTCATGTAAACGTGGCTACTTAGGACCAAATTTCAGTGGTTTCATCTTACTCGATGATGTGTCGCACATCCACTTCAGAAACTTCTTCACTATCAGGATCTGGGATCTTCTTCTTCTCCTCTGTTGGAGCTGAAGATGGCTGAGGCTCATCTTCGTCCTCCTGAGGCACAAAAAGAAATGAGGAGTAATGAATCTGTTTGCAAGAAACACAAAGTGACCATCTCTAGTTCAAGATGGAGGAGTGCAGGATTTACCTCCTCCTCCTCTTCCTCATCTGAGCCGCTGTCTTCACTGTCAGAACGAGGCGCTACCTCATATCTATAGAGGGGGAAAAAGTTTCAGATCAGATGATTTTAAAATATATTAATGACTAAATTTGACAATGAGTGAAGGTAATGATCTGCAGACATGACACTAACCCCGGGTTCATCTCCAGCCAGGTCTCCAGCTGACCGGCTTTAGGAGCATCAACCCCTGTCAGGATCTTCCCGCTGTCCACATGTATGACTTTAACTGGAAGGTCACTCATCTGACTGGTCTCATCTAGAGGCTGAAAGAGGAAATGACCAGCGAGTTATACAAATTTTCAACCATGAAGACTCCAGCTGAGTTTTCTGAATATGCAGCAGTTTACAGGAGATGCTCGAGAGTAAATGAGCAGCAGTTCAACCGTTCCTCTTTCAGACTCACCTCTCCGTCAGGACCCAGGCCAGCTGCACCACTGTCCACTGCCTCAGGCTTCTGACAGAGCAAAAAAAAAGGTTGAAGCACATTCAGAAATCCAGCGTGAATTGGCAAAGAGACAGACTCTTTATATCCAAGAAAAACACACTGACCTTCTTTTTCTTCTTCTTCTTCTTCTCTTTCAGAGCTTGTGCGGCTTTGTGGGCTCGCACCAGCTCGGTGAGGTTAGCCACGTACTCATCGGTCTGCTGCAGCAGGTAGGCCAGACGTTTGTCTTTCTTCTGGTCGATAAGTTTACGGTAACCTTCTTCATCCTCAGCCTGGGAGAGGAAGAGCCAAAGGTGTGTTACAGGTGTTGCTCGAGTAAATGATAAAAGAGACATGAGAGAACTGAAGGTTTTTGGGAGGAATCTGAAGATCCGGGTCTCACCATCAGCCTCCGCATTCGCTCCTTCTCGATGCGTTCGTTCTCTTTCTTCTGCTCCCGCTCGGTGTTCGCGTGGTAGGTGGCGACGGCTTTGGTGGCCTTTTGGATCTTGGCAGTGATGGAGCGGTGGTACTCTTTGAAGTCCTTGGCGTGTTGAAGGATGCTATTGAGGTATTCCTGAAAACAGATAGACGTACAAAGACACCCCTGTTACAAAACTAAATCATGGAAACTGAAGAGAAATTAAGGTCTTTTTAAAAATTCTGCATCTTTAGTCTTTCATCACAGAGAATCTGAGTTTCCCTCTTGATATTTAATCTTTCTGTCTTGTGTACCTGGTGTTTCTGGCGACGTTTGCGCTCCTGCTCGATCTTCTGCTGCTTCTCCAGCTTCTCTGTAATGCGAGCTTCACGTAGAGACTGACGTTTGCTGCGTTTGTAGGCTTTAGCGTTGAGGGCAGTTTCCAGAGCCGTGTCACGTCGCATGCAAACCACGACCTCCTGACGCAGCTGATGGGACAAACAAAGAAGAGATATTAAAGTCTATCCATCCCACCAGAGAAAACTGTGACAGGGACAAACATTTAGAAACTTAACCCATCAATGATTTTAAAACTATGTCTCCTGTGAAAGGAAACAGCCCTGCAGATCTTTTTCTGAATAAAGGTGGAAAACCCTTAAAACAGATGCAACTTCAAATACCAAAAATCTGTGATCTGTTCAAAAACAGAAAAAGCTAAATATGAACTTTACACTGGTAAAGAACATGTTTTCTACACCTAATCCCCTTTTAATCTAAAGATACCAACCGTTAGATCGACAAGATTTCAGTCTTTGAGCTAAAGAAAGATTATATTTACCTGGTCGTCAGGTTGAGTTGCTAATTTTTGTTTTTCAAGTTCCCGTAACAACATGTCCAAAACTCAACAAAATAACACCCAATACTTGTTGCCATGGTAACATTTGATTGTTTACCTGTTTTTCCAAAGTTCAAATTCTTATAGTGGCTTATAGAGAAACAAAAGTGGGCCGGGATCTGTGGCCTCAAAGTTTGAGTGATTTTAATATTATAATGGATCTGTTTTTAGTTGGTTAGTAGTTGAAAGTGTTTGTATTTAAAGACAACTGAAAATAGAAAAAGCACTTTTTTCCATCATCAGTTTGTATCTCAAATAAAACTCTGCTCTACGCTCCAGTTTATGTCTTAAAGTTTGTTTTTAATCACACACTGCACTGATCTGTGTTTGTGCTCTAATCACAGTCCGTCTTCACTCAGGTTTTATGTTTTTGTTTGATTTGTTTGCTGTATTTATGAAAAGCACACCCAAATAAACTCCAATCAACTGTTTCATTGACATGACAGTGTTTCGGACACTTTGTAATGTATCTGAATTATCATGGACACTACAGAATCAGTGGTGACATACATAAGTTTGTACTTCAGTTATTGGTCTTCACTACTGTTCATAGATAAGGTCATGGTACCTGTCTCTGGAAGTTCAGCAGCCTCAGGGCCTTGAGCTCGATGTTGGCCTTGGTCCTCAGATCACCAGCAAGAGAGCCCGGCAGGTTCTCCAGCTCCTGGATACGATGAGCAATACGAGCCTGAAGCCTGAGAAGATATTGGAACGATATTTATGAACCACATAAAAAAAAAACCCACAGAGCTGTGTTTTCTCCTCGGACTCAGAAACCTCTCACACCGTCTCACCTGTACTCTCTCTCCTGGAGGATCTCCACCGGGTCCAGCCCGCGGGGTTTCTGGATGGGGGTTATGCGGTTCTGTTTCTGGTGAAGCATCATGGGAGGAGGCTGAGCGGGCTGTCCTGGGGACTGGGTCTGAGGAGGCATCACGGGAGAGGCGGCAGGAGGCACAGAGGGGGGAGCGGGGGAGGGTCTGCCGGTGGGTTGAGGGGGAATCAGCTTCTGAGGAGGGTTTGAGGGAGCAGCAGCATTTACCATTGGTCCTTCAAGAGAGAGGGAGAGGAAAAGATCAGCTGTGATCAACACACACACATACACTCTGTTGCTGAGTGAGGGGAGACCGAATTTACCCTCAGGCCATTGTTTTGGAGGTCCATTAGTCGGTTGGCCTTGCATACCAGGAGGAACTCCTGCAGGTCCAGGAGGCGCCATATTTGGCCCAACCATACCTTTAACAAAGAGAGGAGTCCTACATTAGTTTTCCGGGTTTTATCTGAAACTTTATCCAACTTGCAAATCTGCAGAGTAAAGAACTCTGCTGAACTCTGTCCCACTTACAATTGAGAACTACATTCATAACTCTTTTAAAATACACACAGCTTTTCAGGGTTCCTGTTCAGTCAGAGAGCAGCACGGTGCAGTTTTTCCACAAAGACAAAACAAGGACGAGCCACTGAAGATTACTGACGAAGTTTTATTTTGACATTCTGCTTCCAATAGTTGTGTTGGTGCTTGTAACGTATGTGCAGACCCACTGCTTCTGACTTGTATCACCTTTTCTGCCATGTCTTGTCTTCAACATTTCTGTTTTTACGTCCAACCAAACTTAACACAGTTCATTCACCTATTTGTTTACCGCATTACCTCTGAATGCATGATTATGGCCTAATTAGGAAGGGAAGTGTTCGGAAGTGGTATCACTAGAACAACCACCTCTCTTTGCATCCATTCCACTGCATGCGTCTTGAAGTGCTGTATTGTGGTTCAAAGACCACAGCACGAATGAAAACCTCTCTGTGTATTCTGTTATGTTTTATCAGTGCACTTGTGTAAAAGATGCAGCTCACTTTATTAGATGATAAACAGGGTTTGGCAGTTTTTCGTGGTCTAATGTTTGCTTACATAAAAAGTACGAATTCTACACGTCCATCGCTCTTTTTTGTTTTCTTGCGTCATATTTTTACATTCCTGTTTTTAGTTTGTGATGCTCTGAGACTTGTATCACATAGAAAAACCCACCGTTTATGCGATGTCTAATGATTGTTATTTTTAGCCACCAGGGGTCTCTGCTGAGCGCTTCCATGTTGGCTTTCTTTGTTCACAGTTTGACTTATTGATTTCACATTTTACAAAAGCACATTGTCAGAACACAATGCTGACAAAGGCTTCCTGGGACCTTGCCCAAATCTTTCTTGTTATGTTCATTTATTCAAACACGGTTTGATATTTTCAACCAGTAATTCAGCCTGATCCCATTACACTTTTCTAACGAAGACTTTCTGAAGCTTAAAACTCAGAAAACAACATTTTCAGCTCATTTAGAGAGACTGATTATTGTTCACTGAAAGACTTCATCTACTGAGCCGGACTCAGAGTTAACTGATGTGATGTTGGACTTCAAACTGAAGAAACTGACCTAAATAGAGGGACGTTTAAACCTTTGTGAAGTCCTGTTTGCATAATACTGTGGATCTCTCTCTCTCTGTGTCTTTGTAGTTTGGTGCGTATAGACAGTGATTTGTTTTGTAAACAGACCTGTCTTTTTTCTTTTTTTAATCTTTTTTTTCTGATAATCTAAAACAAACAAACAAAAAAAGACAAATAGAAAAAAAAGAGAGATTTTCTCCAGGTCTCTATTACTTACCATGAGGTCTGTTGTAGTTTGCCTGAGTTGGTCCTGGACCCGCCCCTGGTCCACCTCCAGGCCCTGTAGTAGGCGGCATGTTGGGCATCGGCTGCTGCTGCATCCCTGGCATTGGCCTCTTCCCCTGCACGGCCATCTGCAGGTGCTCGGGCAGAGGCTGACTGCGAGCGAGCATCTTGTAGGCCATGATCTGAGCCCTGAGCTGGTGCAGCTGGTTCTGGTTGAAAGGCGTGGGTCCACCTGCACCTGGAGGTCCACCTCCTGCACCTGGAGGTGGTCCGCCTGGACCCTGAGGACCCCCACGGTTAGGCTGGTTCATTCCCTGGTTAGGATCCCCGCCAGCCTCCATAGGGCCAGAGCCAGGACCAGAGGGACCCCCTGGCATCATGGGACCAGAGGGAGGGCCACTGGCTGGGACGGGGCTGGGGGCGTGTTCTGAGCCACCCAATGGAGAAGGGTAACCTGAGGGAGCACAGAATAGATGCATTATAGGTATGCAAAAAAAAAAAAAGTTTTATGCAAGGAGTGCAAAAAAAATTGAAATGTGCAAAAACAGGATTATATGCACAGGTGAGGATATGGTGGAGTTTCTGCTTTATGTGCATCTTTATTCATATCAGGGGAGCAGCAAAGGGACTCTGAGATGGCTGCTAAGGGAGACTATAAGACAATAACTACTTCCTGTAGTCCGACGTTATTTAATCATTCACACAGCTTACCTGCAGCTAACTTGATTAATGACAACATTTTTGACAACAAGATCTCTGCCAGTTACCTCTTTTACAAAATATCTGTCCTGGTCCTGGACGCAATTTCAAAATAAAAAAGCCTTGTGTAAAAGCCAGGGGAGTCGATCCACTGAAGTAAAACAGATCTAGCTTTTGCTGCGGAAAGCATTCTTGAGGATCAACGACAGCAGACTTTTCAGACTTGTGACATACACATAGCTGAGACACAGCAAACGCAGCCTGGAGCTTCTCACTTTTCTGTGTATTTTTTGGCCAAAAGCTAGGTGAGACTTGGGTGGAAAAGCCTATGTGTGCAGCTTATGCCGGCAGTCTGAATAGTCTGATATGATGATGTAAGTCAGGCCGTTACGCAGCCCAGAGACTGTCTGCATCAAGCACCCAGAAGCAAGTACTAAACTGTACTAAACCACACCATAAAAGTGCATCATAACCTGCAAATATTTCTTTGCAGGGGTAGAAATGAACTATTCTTCCTTGGTAAAACTGGTGCTTCAATCATCAAAAAGTGAGTAGCCCTCACAAAAAAAAAAAATCAATATACTCTGAATGAAATATTAGCTGCAGCTTTTATCCCACAGGCTTTTCAGCAAACACAGTGCACTGAGTCATTTCACAGTAGTGAAATTCAAAGTCTTTTAGTCTCTCTCTGACAACGAAACTTTTTTTTTATTGGTGAATTACCATCTCAAACTTTAAAAGTTACATGTTTGATCACATAAACTGAGAATAAAGCACAGTTAAAAAGAGCAAATGAAGACTTATGTTAAGATGATATATAATTGGTTGTGTGAGAGTTGGACTGAACAAGTTTGATAAGTAATAACTGCTATGAGGGACAGGTGGCTCTTGTCTGAGGCCTCAACACTGTGGTCTCTGGGCATTGCAAATCAACCAACTAGGCACTGCATTAGCCAACAGTTTATAAGGAAATGAATAAGAAAGGTAATGCTCTCGAATATATTTTAACGTTGCACAAAGTATTTAAAACCCAAATGGTCATAATGATCACATTTTACTTCCTATCCTTCAGAGCTTAAAGAAAATTACTAATAATTAACAGCAGCTCAAAGACAATCTTCCCTATAAGCTGTTAATTATTGTCAAAAGTGATAAACTTTATAGCGAGTGCTGACGACTTTTGCTTATAGAACACCTTCAGTCGGCACTGAGTTGAACTTTTCAAGTTGAGCATGGCAGCTTTTTGCCATGCTTGCTAACCTGGCAATAAACACCAATATTTCTAAAGCTGTATGACGCCTTCTATTCATCCTGTTTGACCACATGGTGTTGATGTAAAGCCAGCATATCTAAATGATCAAACATCTGTTTTGCTGTGAGTCAAAGTGAAATGCATGCACATAAAACACTCATACAAGTTAATAAACTTTAATTCTGATAGTTTTCAAGGCTATTTTTTATGTTTATATCATGATATTGAAAATACAGTTGTACAACCCTGCACTGCGCTTCAAGTTCTCAGATAAAAAGGTCAGGGTGACCACGAGTTAAAAAGTCAGAAGCATCATAATAAACCTCATTCATGTCATGTCATCATGACAACACTGAGAGTAAGTTTAGAAACTTGACCTTTTTTCTGTTTTGGTTACAACTTTGAGTAATGGACAGAAACCACACTGCTGTCACACCTCCCCGTGTTATACTCTCTACTCTGTTCTTCTTTGATTATAATCTCTGTGGTTTTTCACATGCAGCTGCTTTTGTTGCTGTCTGAAAGGGGAAACCCCGAAACCCCGCCTCCTGTCGTCCAGCCCACCGCTGTCTACTCATGCTGCCAGACGAGGTGCAGCACAAGAGAGAAACCGGCTGGATGAGTTCACACAGGCTCACACAGAAACAGTGAGACTGTGCAACTAAAGGAGCTCTTTCGCCGTTTGGAGATTCAGCAGAACCTTCATTTTATTTATGTTTATCCTTATTGTATTAAAAAACATGAAGTAAATCTCAAACCTTCAGTCTGACATTGACACCAGCTTATATCTAGTCATGTCTTGTCTCTTAATGACTCTAAAGATCTAAAGATAAAGAATAAAACATGCTAGAAAGTGATGTGATACCTTGGGAATGTTGGTCCATTGGGCTTGGAGGAGGTCCCATCCCGCTGTGCCCCCCTGGTCTCATGCCCATGCCCTTCATCTGGCTGTAGCGAGGGTCCTCAGGCATCCCCTTCTCGTGCATGGCTTCCATGGGCTGATTTAAAGACAGAAAACAAAAGTTTGATTCGCGATGTGAAGTCAATGCACAGATCAGATCTTTTCAACAGATTTCAGGCTAATAATCATAGGATGATGAAACAACACCCAGGTTTTCCAGCTTAAAGTAGCAAAATAACAGCAATGTATTTTGCATGACGTTGTTTTCTGAAACTGAATCACAAAGGAGTGAGACATCTCACAACTTCACTACCTTTGCTAGTCGCTGTGAATGCACAACAGTGACTGTGACTAAAAGAGTAAACAAAGTACTGCTACATGGAAGCAGACAATGCAACAACTTCTCTCCTTCTGACTTCTACAGTCTGGGAGCTAGCACATGCTAAAGAAAAGAAAACAGCCTGCAGACACATTTCAGTAGGTTAACTGATGATTGGCTCACATTAATTGCTGATTGTTAGCTTATATCACTTGTATCACTTTGATAATTAATGACTGCTTCACCATCAAATTGGTCTTTAGCTGCAGCCCTTGTTTATGCAACATGTTAATGACAAATTATCGATTGATAATCAAAAAACAATGATGACATAGTTGGTCCCCTACTATCAAAAGAATCATCACTTTACCTCCAATGTTGTCAGCATATACACTGATCCAATACCATCACCCACTAACCCACTAACCCCAAAACCCACTGCTCTCAGGTGAATAATCCTGTGACAATAACAACTGACAACACTGCAGTGCTAGCATTCAGTATGATGTAGGTTAATGTTAGCAGGAGTTTGTGTTCATTTGTAAAAAGAAAATCTCAGCAGCATCATGGGAGTGAGTTCTTGACAAATATAATCTCAACGGACATAAGCCAATGAAATTACAAAAGTCTAAGTACAAGAGCCATTATCATAGAGGAGAAAATGGCAGAGGGAATCTCTGGGAATAATGGCAAAACAATATTACACTGGCAAAAACAGAAGAAGAAAAAGGTTCAGTACTTTGTGCATCTGGTGCATGTTGTCCTGAGGATATCCAGAGGGTCCCTGTGGTGGGTGGGGGTGTCCTGATCCAGGAGGTCCTGGGCTGGGTCCCATCATGCTGTGGGCTGAGCCTGGAGAGGGGCCTGGGCTGGGGCCCATCATGCCTCCTGGAGATGGTCCTGGGCCTGGGGAGGGTCCAGGCCGAGGTGTCCCTCCCATAGGAGGGTCAGGAGTGGACATCTCTCAGGGAGAACTGGGAATGTGTGGCTGCAGCAAGTACCCCTGGAAGGAGGGACAACAATAGGAATTATGGGAATGATCAGAATCAGTCAGTGACATTACAGTTAAATTGTTTAAATCTTGTCTCACTGCAGTTGTTTTGAGTCAAGTTTACCAAGTAGCCTACATTATCTGCTGCATGTAGATTTTATGAGTGTTTCAATCATTTTATAATTTAATTTATTGCACAATACAGAAATTTAAGAGCACCATCTTTCCTTACATGTCTGGAAGTACAGAAGTAGTTTTTGATTATACTAAATCACACAAATAATGATGAATGTGATACACTAAAACCTAGATATACAGTTTTTTTTTTAATATAAAAAATTTTCTGACAAATACTGTATTTTACTATTGTTTTTTTCTGGTTTCTTTTTCTTGACAGTGATCATTCAAAATGGTGCTGGTTAATTTTGTCCCTTGAATATGTCTTTCCAGACTTTGCTGGGAAACAAATGCCTCATTTCTGCTCTGTTAAGTACAAACAAAAGCTTTTAATTGTTCTCAAATCACTTCATAATCTTTGGGGGGATGTTTTAAGGTGCTGTATCCTTTCACGTAGATCCAATCCTTAACTCTAGCTCAATTAAACAGCGACATATGTTCAGTCATTCCACACAACAATGCTTTTCACAACACTGTATCCCTACATCATACTGAGAAGCAACAAATCAGACACAACAGAGGTTATAGTGATGATAGCTTCCTCATACAGAGTAAGTGATCACATGAAATATCATTTTTAGAGTCACAACAATGGTTAATAGGGGATAGGGGTTTCTCTTTAACAAGTTGGTACTATAGCCTGCATATACAGTCTTCAACAAAATGTGACCGAGAACAGATTGCAATAGAGTAACTCTGAGTCCAAACAAGAGTTGCCGGTGTTTACACTCTCAAAAAGCCAACGGTTGGGTTAGTATGTTAGCATTAGTCGCTCTGTTAGCGTTAGCCGGGCCTTGCCGGGTTTAATTGTTAACGTAACATTATGTTCAATTGTGTACAATAAATTTGTAGTTTCATTCAAGTGTATACCGTAATGGTAAAAAAGTTTGGTGATCTTAATATAACGGCGGATAAGTCCGTGAAACTAGAATAAATTCAGTGTAAAGCTACAAAGAACACACGACTCAGACTTGCCGGTGTTTCAACGAGTAGTGCTACCTATCGAGACGTGGTGCAAAGCGGAACTGCGCATGCGTGGCTGGGATCCCACTGGCAGCTAATTCAACACAGCATATGAATCTAGTGCAATAAAGTTCTGCAGACAGCCTAAAAAAATCATATCTGTGAAATACTTCTTAGATCACTTTGCCAAACGCTGCTGATACAAATTTTACGATGGAGTCAATCTACATCTGAAGTAATAAGTCCGTTTATACGCGCTCCTCCTGTGTTTTTTTTCCACATAGGATACTCGCCTTGTTCTAAAAAACGCTTGGCTATGTTGTTAAATGTCCCACTGTACTGCCAAACGTTTCCTATCAGTGGTATCCACAGCCGGAGTTGGTAAATAAGGAAGTATTCCTCGCTAAGGTAGCGCGAATCAGTTGCTACAGTAGCATTCTTCACCATACCACCGGCTAAGTAAAAGCCTGTATTAATGTCTGGTGTCTAGCATGCTAGCAAGCTAGTTGAGCTAGCCCAGCCGGCCATGCTCCTCCAGGCCAAACAGGCTCAAAAATTTCGTATTCAGCGCGATGTTTTTCCAGAACCGGCGACACGTGAAAGGTTAAAGCATCCCTCATCGCTATAGCTGATTGATCCATCGCGCCTCCCGTACCCTTGGCTCGGTGCTCCGCTCTAAGTTCATCTCCAAAAACAATTTTCATTCATTGCACACTGTCGCGCCACAGCAGTCATACTGTAATGTCGGTCTCGTCTTTCTTTTAACATAAAAATACATTTTTAAATAATATAAACCTTTTACAAACATCGCAAAACATAGTAAAAAGCCTCCTCTATTCATCAAATATAAAAGATGACTCACACGAGTGGTGAAAAGTGACGTTTAAGTCCTCAACGGTAGCGGCGTCTATCAGTTTTCCTCCTAGCCAGAAACAAAGACCGACCAGCCCAGTAGGTTTTTTTCCTTCACCCCCCTCTCTCGGTAGATTGTATCAGAGGAGCCCGGTCTAAAGCGGCTCTACTGCGCCCCCTTCTGCCGGCTAATTTACTTCCCGCATGCTCAGTGAAGGCAGCGTTTCACTGGGGATAAAGGAGCCGGTGTGGGGGAGGGGAAAGCTGGCCAATTCATTACTGTGCGATATACAATACTTTATACTTTATTTTAGGCTTGCATAAATAAAAATAAATAAACATATACAATAGAAAAAGTAATAAGAACACCTGGGTGATCTAAATAATAATAATAATAATAATAAATACTACTAATAATAATAATAATAATAAATACTACTACTTCTACTACTACAAATAATAATAATAACAATAATAATAAAAATACTCTTACTACTACTACTACCACTACTACTACTACTACTACTGATAATAATAATAATAATAGTAACAATAATAATAAAACTACTACTTCTACTACTACAACAACTACTACTACTATCACCACTAATAATAATAGTAATAATAAAATAATAATGGTAACAATATTAATAAAAATAATAATAGTAACAATAATTATAAAAATACTACTACTTCTACTACTACTACTAACAATAATAATAATAGGAATTATTATTATTATCATTATTTTTTTTAAAATATTAATTCATTCAATAACTTAAATAATAAATAGAAACATAATTTAAAAAAAATAAAAAATATTAGAAACTAAGATTATTTTTCTATTATTTTTCACCAAATGTTTATGCATGTGAAACATGACAAATATGTATTGTGTACCAAACAAGCTGTAACTTTTAAAAATGACCTTTGCTTATTGTTTGTAATGTTAAGGTTGGCATCCAAATCAGGTCTTTCATTGCAGCTTTGTGCCATTTGTGTTTATCTTCTGCATAACTTGAGTTGAACAACAGCTGAGGAGACTGGTGCCTTTTTTTTTTTTTAACACTGTTTGTATTCAGCCAAGCCATGATATAATAATGTTCTCTGTGCAATGCTGGAACCAGTCATTGTTTGTCATACAGCTAATATCTCAGCAGGTAACCCCAGCATATTGCATAAAACTCAGGATAAAGTTGTCTTAGGGGGCTGGTTTAAGCCTCATGGGTTTCACCTGGTGTGAACTGGAGTTACAAAGTCAGAGGCTCTGTGAGCTGCTCAGTCTCTGCTGGACCTAACCTGAGACGAGTAACTTGCACAAAAGAGACAGGGAGGGGGCGGTGGTCCTTTGAAGGTCTGAAGTAATCTGTGCGACAAGGCCACAGAAAGGTAAGGGGTCAGCTGTTGTGTTATGGCATCAAGAGGATTTCTTAATGGGGTCCTGCAGAACACAAGCAACATCATTAATCTGGATCAAGGCGGAAAGATGAGTGGACATTTTTAACATGGACTTTCTTTTATCAGCATCTGTTTTTGTTCTTATTACAATTATGTGTCTTGATTTAAGTTCTTTCTTATAAATGTAATCCAACAGTCCTTTAAAAGAGAGCTATTTGGGCTGAATTTAGTTTAAAAAATAAATGTGGGGGACCCTGGGGAGAGAAAACAAATGTACCTATTTGGGGTGAAACCAAGTTTGCCTCTGACTGCACGAAACTCAGTGTGTCCATATGTTAAATACTCTTTGCAGCGTCACGTGAGTGTTTGCATGGTGTGTACTCACACCTCGTTTGCCATAAGCTCCTTTTCACAGAACAAGGTTTTGGCTGTACTTGGCTCTCCTGGACACCACCACTATGAACTGGTATTAGTGCAAGGGGTGGAACAATCACATTTGGTGCCTGAGCAATCTCTCTCTGACCCCAATTAAAACACCTCTCTTCAGCAGGGGTGTTTTACATTTTATTAGTAAAACATTGAAAAGTGAAACGTAAGAAATCAACACAACTCAATGACTTCACCAACAAACTATACACCACAATAGGAATGTGGGTAAGCAAGGTTTGTGTTTTTGCACTTTTATGCATCCCTCTGTTATGTAGCAAAGGTTTATAGATGCAGAAGGTTAAAATAACACTTACCTGTTTTCTAGGTCAGTGGCATAAAGGTCAAGAGCAACAGGAAAAAATCCCCCTAAAATATCACAAAGTATTTGTTTTGAGGCAAGGCTGCAATAAGAAACTTTTTGTTTGTGTTGATTTTTACACCCCCTGTGGACAAGAGGGTGCAGATTCTTATGTAACCAAAACACAACAATTTTTTTTACTTATTTTGATTTTAATGAAAGTTTTGAAATGAATGTAGTTTCTTAAATCAGCCAACTTAACCCTGATCTGACACAGCGGATCCTAACCTTTGTGTTGATTAACTAATATAAATTATATTTGAGTGTCCAACAACAAAGGGATCAAGTATTTAACACAGCTGGGCACAGTTATAAATAAATTCCTCAAGATGTTATAACATCACTCATGTAAGGACTCTCCTCTTATCAGATTACCTGGTTGGAAGTAACTGCTGTACAATACTTTGTTGTACAAAATAAAGCTTTTCATGATCACAATCTGGCCCCTTGATTGTTTGTTACAGAAACTTTTTGTCTTTATTTTTTAAGATTACACCGAAAGGCAGTTAGAGTGAATAACCTGAGTGGGTTTATTGAATAACTGGACTACTGGAAGGAGTCCTCAGAAAAAAGTCAGGGCAGTTTTTTTGAGACTATTTGAGAAACAAAAAGCAAACAAAATCTGAACATTTATGCAGATCTGAGTGTTGATACTGACTGACTGTCAGGGCAGTTATCTGCTGCACTTATACAGGAGTGAGTACCTTTAATCATAAAACACTGCACTGTGATTTTATCCTATCATGTCACACTTCAACATTAGTTTGTGTTGTTTTTACTTCAACTACTCTTTCATTTTACTGTTCTGTTGAAAACAAAAAGTTAATTGTCCTTCATTATGATGTTTCAATACCTGAAATGAGCTATTTAAATAGCTTTGCAATGCCTAAATAACACTGTTTGTATTTGAAGTTAAATATGCTGTACTGTTAAACATATTTTTTTAGATTAACAGCTCAAATAAAGGAAATAAAAATGTGTGCTCCCTCTTTTTGGAATATTGTCCATCTTTAAAAAATTGCTTACCCTGGCCCCAGCATCCATGATTAACTGTTATTTACCGCTACAAGCCCTTTGACAGCTGACTGATCAGCTTACGAGGCTGAGGTCAGAGGTGTCTCAGTGGCTCTAATCTGCAAAGTGGACAGTCCACCTCTCTTCACAGAATGCTGGCAGACACAAAACCACCAAAAGACACAATCTGGTCAAACTGGACGGCTGAGACATGACCATCCATCGTCTGGCCAACCGGCTTTGGAGGTACCGTGTTACGGGTCTCATGCTGACCTTGGGGGTGACCTGTCTGCTCATATTTGTTGGTACTTTTTTGCTGCAACACTCAGGGTAAGTGACCACCAACGGCACAATCTACTATAGGTTTGAATAACTTCATTTTTGAGTCTGTGCAGGAAAAATTGTCTAAAGCAGCTGGAAGGCCTCGTGTCTGTTTCACGCCTACATTTTGTTTCCCTGAATCCTTGTATTTCCTTTTTTTTCCAAAGCTGTTATGGTCGACAGAGAGACTGGAATACGAACGTAGTGAAGGACAGAGCGCAACCAGCAGCAAATCCTGGCTCCTCAAGACATGACAATCCACATCAAGAGCGCAGACGAAGAAGTGGCTTTCAACCCTGGAATGACCAGGCTCCAAAAGACGTACATTTTCATAATATCATAAAGCCGAGAACACAAACTCCTCCGGTTGTTTTTCTCAAAACTCACAAAACAGGCAGTAGCACCGTTCAAAATCTGCTGTTTCGAATGGGAGAGAGGGACAGAGCCACGTTTGCTTTTCCCCGCCACACCTACCACTTCAACTACCCAGAGAGGTACAGAGCTTTGACTACTTTAACTATATCATTTAAAAGGTGGCCATTTTCACCAGGAGCTCCAATGTGGATATCACCTGCTGTGATGCTGCTTAAAAGTCTTAAAAATAGGGAATATTAAAAAATCGGAATTTCATGAATTCAAAGACATAAGTATAGATAGTACAAAATGACTTAAGTGGATATGTAGATGAATATGGGGCCATTTGATTATCACCAGCAGATGCAAGATAACCTGTTAATACCTAACTGAAAAACCCAGTATGATACTAGCAGCTTGTAACTAATCTCTTGTTATCAAACTTTTAATAGATGGATTTTCTACATCTGAGTCATGAACCAATGCACAGCAGTCGACAAGACCATTGAAACAAACTTCCCAGTTTGCATAACATGATGGAGAAAAATGGCTGCCTCTTGAATTTACTCAATTGCTTTGCTAAACAAACCCTAAATCATAATAATTTTGCTCACTATTGTTTATCGTCCTTGTCCTCTTTTCAGCTTCAGTGCTAAATTTGTGGACGAGTTGCCTGATGGATCCTCACAGTACGACCTGCTTTGTAGCAACATGCGTCTGGATGTTGGACAGCTGAAACAAGTCATGCCAGAAGATGCCATCTACATCACCATCCTTCGTGAACCCTTGCGGACATTTGAGTCCATTTTCTCCTACTACTCCTCAACCATCCCTGCTTTTATACTGGCTAAAAAGGTAGCACAGCAAACGGGGCACAAGTCAGCATTGTCTCTTTTCCTGGACTCACCTGATGCATTCTGGGACCCCAATGAGCCTGGAAACAGCTTAGCAAAGAACCCCATGAGTTTTGATTTAGGCATCGACAGCCAGCAGTGGAACTCTACCTGGAGGACTGACCTGGCTCTCCTAGAGGAGACCTTCAATTTAGTGATGATAGCAGAGCATTTCGACGAATCCCTGATCCTCCTAGGGAGCCTGCTTAATCTAAACCTTGAGGAGCTTGCATATGTCCGCCTCAACACTCGTCCCCCTCAGGACATATTGCCCTTGGATGATGAGACTAAAGACCAAATCAGTGCCTGGAACACTTTGGATGTGCTGCTGTATGACTTTTTCCTTCAGCTATTTTTGGAGAAGGTAGAAAAGTATGGATTGGAGAGGCTGAACAGTGAGGTGGCTCTTCTGAGGGCCACCACAAATCGAATAAGACGGATGTGTGTGGCCAGGACAGGAGTGCATCCCAGGGAACTAGAGGACCTGGTGAAACCTTGGCAGGCTGATACAGTCACTATCTTGGGTTATCAGATACAGAAGAACTTGACAAGACAGGAGCAGGGATTCTGTACTCGCCTAGTGCTGCCTGAACTTCAGTACCACGCACATCTGTATTTCCAGCAGTATGGTCGAGATTTGAGAGCTGTGCCTACAGAATAATACATGGAAGAGCCTCAAAATGACTGAGTGTAAAAGATGATGTGTTTTTGCTCTAAGGAATTCAGACTGTTTCTGGGAGAGAGGAGGATATGGGGTTACACCTTTTATTACTCCTGACTGTTGCAGGACTTACAGTAAGCCCATAAGGAGCAGCAGGTTTGATGCTGGCCCTTTGCCCACTTCACACATTAGCTTTAGTAGCTGTTGTAACCACTCAGCAGTGCTTGGTCAGGGATTGTTGACAGCTCTGTTATTGGCTCTATCAAGGCTTACACAGGAGAAAGTAATGTCCCAGTCCTTTGAACCAAAATTTAGACTTTTTAAAAACTGACAAAAGGTAAGAGAACACTTGAAGGGAACAAACATTGCAAATGCTTATTTTTACACAAAATTACAAATTCATTGATAAACAATTTGATAAACAGTATCAAATTACTTTGCCGAGTGAGGCTTACACTAGCAAAGCTTACACCACCAGCCATTGGACCTACTTGCTACTCATCATTTCGGTCAAATGTTTCTTATCCCAAATTTACCAACCACGGCCATTTATCCCCATTTCTATACGGAAAAACTGCCAAACCGTGGTGTGCTTTGAGTTGACATCCTAGACTGTATATAGAAGGGACAGCGTCTGCCTCCTTGCTGGGTGAAGCCACTCAGAGCACAGCACCCTCTGGTGACAGGCTGCAGTATAGGTCATAAATCCCGCCTCTGCCAGCAAAGTTCATGGGGCTGTGGACAAACTTTATAAATTTATTACACAGAACATACATTTTTCTCCCCCCGGCTTGCGATGTTGACATGTAGTTACAGTAAGACTGGTTTGTGCTCAAGTCCTCTTTTTTCTGTACAGCTTTGTTTTGAAAGTTATTAGGGGGTTCATGTTTTCTTTGATTGACACCTGATACAGCCTATTGGTGTTCTGAGAATGCGTAGCTCACCTGGGGGATACGCTATTTGAGCCGAGCATCATCAAAGCGACTCTCCCGCTGAATGCGCACGATGCTACTGCGCAATGCTGGTTTCAGGAAATGAAGAAAAATCCCGCAAATACCGAGAGCTTTTTGGCTTCAAATCCGTATACAGGCGGGAGGCGGAACCAAGTTGTCCATAGTATATACAGTCTATGGTTTACATCTGTCATCTGAGCTTGTTTACATCCGGGTAGTAGAGAATTTTTTGCCACTGACCAGAGCTGCAACCCGAGCATGTGGCGAATAGCTGTACTAAAGCTAAACCCACAAATGGCTTTTAATACAAGCCTACAGTTAAAGAAAATTTAATAACATTTTTACCACTGTCTTTTCATTACATGTCCATCCCAGAAGATGACTGTCTGCCAGTGAGTCTGGTTTGGCTCCAGTTTGCTGCCTGTTAGAAGGGAGCTTTTGCTTCAAGACCAGTGCCAAGTGCTTTTTTTTCATGATGGACTAATGTTTAGTGTGTCTAGAAAATATTACAGAGAATATTCTCTAGACCTGCTAAAAACTGATCTACAAATTTGGATAAATAATCACGCGCAACCTTTTTTGAATATGCTTTTAGTTTTTGTGGTATCCTTATGGTGACAGAAATCTGAAGACACCAGTTGGGTCATTGTTTTGAGTCAGGAATATAGTTGTATTCACGTGCTTAATTTGTCTGATGTACTTTTTTAGGCTGCACTCTTTTTTATGTAAAACAAGAGAAGAAAGCATCTTTAAATATTGGATTTGTCATGATATTCCCCCCTGTGGGATTAATAAAGGAATATCTTATCTTATTTATGCATGCAACAAATATATGAGGAGGGTATTCGCATTTTTTTATTCTGAATGAAAAGGTTCAACGAAATATGTGCCATCCAGAAGACTAAGTGAGGATGTATAATAAGAGGGTGATTAACCTAGAAAAGATTCTACTATGCAAAATGGCCTATTTGCTATACAATATACTGCATATTGCTTGTTGCCTGGCAGCCTACTTAAGACATACGTTTTCACAATATATCTATTCAGGCACAATTGCACTGATTTTATTTTTTATCTATAGAGCATCATGATAATTGTCCCTCTGATTCTCTAGCTGAAACACTTCTGTGGCTTCTCATCAGCATTCTTGCTGGATGAATAAACATTGAACCTGTGACAAGCATTGCAAACCTTAAGAAACCCACAGTGTTTTTTTTTTTTGTTTTTTTTTTGGCATTTTTGTTTGGTGGTTTTTATCAGTTAGAATCAGTTATTCAAAAAAAGATGGTAATAATAAAAAACAAAATAAAAACCAGCCCTTTCTGACCCCTCTTTTTTAAAACATGAGCAAATGTTCAGAAGAAAGCACTTAAACCAAATCACCACACAAAGCACTCACTGACTGTGGAGCTTTTTTTTTTTAATCTACAAACTCTACAAACTGTTTATTTACATTTAAACCAGCAAAAAACATCCCAGCTTATGAAAATATTCTCTGCACATTTTGTTCTTTGCCAGCAAGAGCACAGTTACTATATTTAAGATCCTCTCCGGGTGGGTTTTGTTCTGTGCTTCTCATGTGATTCACGTGTTTACAAAGATCTAATTTTCTGGTCTGCTGAAAGGCAGCAACATCCTGTAACATGACATGAAAACAGTGGGAGGCTGTGTTTCTTGTGTTAACACTTGTCTTTAGCTGGTCCCTGGGAAATGACTTTCTATGCTATTTATGACTTTAACACGTCTAAATGAAAAGAATATGTGAGGTTTAACATCTAAATGTGAACAGGCTGAGATTTTTAATGTCACAATCCTCTTATAACAATAAATAAAAATATAAATGAGCTCAAGACTTAAAATTCAGCTTCATTAACAGACTGTGACTACTTCATAACAGCGAAGTCTCTAATGCTACTTCTTCTGGATGTTCAGGACTGCTCTCATGTTCAGTAGCAGTTCACCTCTCACATTTGAGAGTAATTGTTGATTTGAGCGTGACTCTCAGTGCTTAGAGTTGATTTCTTCATGATCACAAAAGAACAAACTCGTCCATGCTGTTGCTCGTGACCATTTTTTCGCGTTCACTCTCCCTCTGGATGTAGGTGATATTGTTTGTGGATATGATGCGAGCGTCCTCTTCCTCCTGACTTTTGCCTTCAACAAAAATAAACATGGGGTACGTCTCTGCAGAAGTGGAGAGGGCCTACAGGAGAAATTACAACCAATTCAGAGACTTTTCAAAGCCATTTTTACAAACTTTTTCATGAGTATTATGTTAAATCAGCGGTCAGGTCTTCATGAATTTTTTACAAATTTTAAGCTTGTAAGAGACAGATACTGTCATCATAACTTCATACATTCGTCAAAATAGATCCTTTCAGGTGCACAATGTTGTTTTAAAGAGGGTTTAATCACAGTAAGACTCAGGATCAAGGTTGCCTTGTGTAAATTTTAGTACATGATGGAAAAAAGAAATTGAATTGGGATTAGAAAAGTCCTCCTCTACATATTTCCATAGACTGTATAAAGAATGGACAGCATCTGTCTTCTTGCTGGATGAAACCACTCTGAGAACAGCACCCTCTGGTGACAGGCTGCAGTATAGGTCATAAATCCCACCTTCGCCAGCAAAGCGTATGGAGCTATGAACAAACTTTAGAAATTTATTACACAGAATATACATTTTTCTCCCCCCCGCTTGCGGTGTTGACATGTAGTTATAGTAAGACTGGTTTGTGCTCAAGTCCTCTTTTTTCTGTACAGCTCCGTTTTTAAAAGTTATTAGGGGGTTCATGTTTTCTTTGATTGACACCTGATTCAGCCTATGGGCGTTCAGGGATTGCGTAGCTCTCCCAGGGGGATACGCTGTTTGAGCCGAGCGTCATCACAGCGACTCTCAGCGACTCTCCCACCGAATACGTACAACGCTACTGCACAGCGCTGGTTTCAGGAAATGAAGAAAAATCCTGGAAATACAGAGAGCTTTTTGGCTTCAAATCCGTATACAAGCGGGAGGTGGAACCAAGTTGTCCATAGTATATACAGTCTATGTATATTTCCAATTCCATGCTGGAGTCTGGGTCAGTGCCATGAATATAGGTCCAAATAAACCGGTCACATACCTCATTAACAGCTGTACACATAGCTTCAAAGTCCTTTTGGCCTTTAGCGTAGAATCCAATGGTGCAGCTGGGATCCATACGGGTGAAAGACATTTTCCTGGGATATTTACAGTGGAATGACTGCAAAAGAAGTTCGTCTCATTAGAATCTGAGAAAATAAAAGCAGGAATTAAACACTGATACTGAGCTGGTTTAATCAGTCATTCCCGCTCAGATGCTGGTACAAGGAAATTCAGTAGTTAGTAACACATGAAAAGGATAACTGTGTGGGAGGTCCATCAGTGCAAAAAATTAAAAACAGTGTTTCGCTGTTAAATCTCAGGATAAAGGCTCTGAACTGAAGGTGTGCAGAAACTAGATAACTATGAGCAGATTCGTTTTCACTGATAGTTGAAAGTAACTTCCAAATAAAAAAACCTTTTGGCAGCCATGACAAGCTGATGGTGCTTTAAAAGGAACCCCCCACCATAAAACATTTTTTTTTCCACCGTGAGAACAAACTATGAAATCTGTCAGGATCTGTCGTTGTGTTTGTGTGGATGATGTTTCAGCCTTTCATTATTTTAGCCATTGCTTTTTCTGGCTGTTCTTTTGTGAAGCGCTACAATATACCATATAAAAACAGCAGATTTTAACTTGCCTCAAACAAAACAAGTAGCCAATCACAGTTCAGGATTTTATTTATTCTTCTGCTCTGACCTCGAAAAGCGCTCCAGTCTAAACCTGTTGTTTTTATATGTACACTATAAATTAAGGTTGACTTCATCTGACTTGACTTTTAGAGTGTCACCTGTGATGGCCAATCAGATCTCAAAAAAGGGCATGTGCCACCCCAGGCCACTTTTTGAACACACCCCTGGTGAGCACAGCTGTTTCAGGAGGAAGCGCAACTGAAAGAGAAAGCAGGTGACTTCCTCTTACCTCTAAAGAAAAGTTCAGTTTCTTTGTGTCCACAGTGGGCTGACAGTAGTGAGGGTCCAAGTACAGCAGATGGTCATCTTTAAAAGAGGAGAAAAAACTGTCAAAGGGCAGACATCAATCAGTTCAGGCAGGTTAATTATACTCTACACTGCACGTACCCTGGAAGCCGACAAAGAACAAAGAGTGCTTTGGTTTCCCTCCAATGATTCCAATACAGCTTTCTAATGTCAGGAGTTTCTGTGGAGGAGGATAATCCTGAGAGACACTCATGCTTTCATTGGTGGTTTCACTGTTTTTCACTATATACACAGCTTTTTATACAGCTAGACAAAACCTTGTTGACATCTTTTAATACAGAGTCACACTACTAGAAAGTGTGTACAGATACTGAATTAAAAAAAAAATACTGAGGAGGTACTTTGACACATGTGATGTAGGAGGGATTGAGATCCTGCCCTCCAAGTCGCACAGGAACAAGGACGATGACTGACTTCCAGGACTGAGGGGCTGGTCGCTCACAAAGCCGCTTCACATCCTCTAAATAGACTGAAAACACACAGAGGAGAAGCGGAGGCTCTATTTACATATGATATTAACACACACCCTGAGTGAGATGAGCACAAATAGACGGAACAACTTGGGGGAAACAGTTTCTGAGAGATCAAACACTGATGACAGAAATCACTCACTTGTGCAATCTTGTGCAACATACACGACTAGATTGGGAACATCTGCAGATGCTGCTACAGCTTTCCTGAAAATAAGAAAATGCATATCTTGATTTTAAATATAACTCATAGGCGGTAGGGTAAACTGGATGGATAAATTATAACCTCAAGTCTCACCTAAGGATATGAGCAACAATGGATGGTCCATACCAGTCTCCAGCCTTCTTCCCTGAGCTTTTTCCCAACTCCACTAGGCTGTGAATCCCAAAGGGGGCTGTAGGATTGTCTGTAAACCACCTCACCACCCTCCTGTGTGTGGCCTCCATTGGTCTGTCCAAATGGGAATCCAAGCTCAGTCTTCGAGCTCTCTTTTCAGTGCTGTCATTGAAGCACAGTTCTCGCTCTGAGCTGCTCGCCAGCAGGTCCATGTCATCTTTGACAGCATGTTGGCTGGCAGACCAGGTCCAGCCTTAAAATAATGTCAAAATGACAAGAAACTACTTAAAGTTTGAGGAACTACTTATAAAACCAAAAAGAGACCTCTTCTTGAAAAAGTGTACCATTTTCTATGCATACACTGAGTTTGGGAAGTTTAAAAACAAATTTATGTAAAAACATTTTTGTGTACATTTGCGATTGCATTAAACAAAAAGGTGAGACCCCCCGACCTCCCGCCCAAATTTACCCAATAAAAATCACTCAATATTCGAGACAGTGATCATTAACATGGTTTTCTCCATGGAGTCTTATTTGGAGGTGGGTCCAGAAATTCACAGACACGGAGGTCCTGTAACCATGGAAACTAAAACGTTGAGCCGCAACGCGTCACTACAACCACAAAGTCCCATATTCTTTTCCCAAAGCTCGAGTGACTTTAGTCGTTTGCATGGTTGGTAAAGACCCGGAAAACTAAGAGTGGATCGTAACCTTGCTAACATAACGCTGCTTGCTATGGCTAATCAATAGATATACTCATGTACACACACAGCCTGCAAATAAAAACTATCAGCTAACACAAGAACAACCACAACACCACTTACCACTGTCATTTGTTTATGTAATCATTTGTGTAAAAGCTTAAAATGAAAAGTATAACACTTTTTTGTCTGATAGGTGTGGTAAAATTCTTCATATTACACTACAGTTTACGCTCCACTTTATTCAGTCTTCGTGTAAGATTTAAGGGTCACTTCTTGGGGTCGGACAATCCACAATTCTGAATAAACACAGAAGTATCACTTCCCAATTATTTTTTCTAAAGATATGATCACTTTTTCATATAGTTGCCTTTTCTACTCTACTACAAACTACTAAAACTCTACTTTAAAAAAATAGGCCTCAACCCATCCCTCTGTGCCAGTTTCAGACCCATCTTTGTTTGTTGTCCAAGTGCTCCTAGATCTGTCTGCTGCATTTAACACAGTTGACCACAGCATTTTAATCTCTCACCTGGAGCACTGTGTCGGCATTAAGGGTGTCGCCCTAGACTCATTCCGGTCATACTTAACTGACAGAAGTTTCTGCATTAAACTCGACAACTCTGTGTCGTCAACAGCTCCTCTTCCACATGGGGTCCCCCAGGGCTCAACCCTCGGCCCTCTTTTATTTGCTTTTTATCTACTCCCCCTTGGCTCCGTTTTTAGGAAACATGGCATCTCCTTTCATTTTTATGCCGATGATTGCCAGATCTATTGTCCACCGGCACAGAACAACTCTGACTGAGTCCAGCAACTCACAGACTGCCTTAAGGACATTGAAGCCGGCTTTCTTTTAACTTCCTCGGTCTGAATGAGAACAAGACTGAAGTAATGTTGTTTGGACCAAGTGGGGGCCACCACCCCCAACATCGACCTAGGCTCCCTCTCACCCTATCTGAAGGATGTCGTCACTAATCTGGGAGTTAAGTTTGACCCTGATTTTAAATTTGAGAAGCAGATCAGCAGAGTGGTGCAAAAAAGTTTTTATCAGCTACGTCAAATAGCGAAGGTGAAGCCCATTTAATCAAGATCTGACCTGGAAAAATTAATCAATGCTTTCATCACAGCTCGTCTTGATTACTGCAATTCTTTGTATGTAGGGATTAGCCAGGCCTCCCCTGCAGCTTGTGCAGAACTCTGCTGCACGTCTCCTGACACAGACCCGCAGGCGTGGGTACATCACCCCCATCCTGGCGTCCTTACACTGGCTCCCTGTACAGTACAGAATCAGTTTTAAGCTTTTAATATTTGTTTTTAAAGGCCTGAACAACCTTGCTCCACCATATATCGCTGAGATGCTCCAGCCTTACTGCCCACCCCGACCCCAAAGATCAGCTGATCAGCTGTTGCTGACAGTCCCCAAAACAAAGCTGAAGCACAGAGGTGACAGAGCGTTGGCTGCAGCTGCTCCCAAGCTCTGGAACAAGTTACCCTTGACAGTTAGACAGGCCTCTTCGTCTGCGGTTTTTAAATCCCTCTTAAAAATGCACTTTTACTCCCTGGCTTTTAACACACTGTAGAGTTATATTGTCTGTTATCCCCAAAGCACTTGCCATGAGCCTGCTTATTTATCTATTTCTGCATTTATGTATTCTTGCTTGTTTTATCTTGTTCTTTGCATTTTTTATTTGTATGTGCTATGGAAATAAAGTTGATTGATTGATTGACTCTCTCTCCTCTCATTTTTCTTACTATTAAAAAAAAAGGAAAAAGTTGTTCAGGTATCAGACTAAATTTGTGCTCAGTATCGTCACCTGGTGGCATCAGGTGAAGCAGCAGTCCTTGTGCCAGCAGCATCTGGCCTGTTCTCAGGACACACCCCCAGCCACTGTCAGTGGTCAGAAAGCCGCCCGGTAACGGAGGGAAACCCCGTCTGTAGGTCAACCACAGGAGTGACGTGAAGGAGCAGCGGAAGCGCTCTCTCTCTTCTGAAACAGTTAAAATGCTTAAATTCATTCAACTGAATGTTGAAAATAATATAAGGTCGCACGAATAACCTCTGCTCAGAGCCTCACCTTGATCCTTGAGCTCGAAGGACTTTCCCAGCATGATAACAGGAGAGCTTTTGCTGAATTTGGATTTCTGCTTCCAGGACCAGCCTGATGCAATAAGGAGAGAGATGAGTAAATTCATCTCACACACAAGAAAAACTGCAAAGGGCTGTTCCTCTCACATGGTTACAATCAGATAGAAAGATCTGGATTAGAGTCATGTAGCAAAATTATGCAAATTATATTTTTATTCAACATGAAAAGATTAAACATGAAAGCGAATTAATGACATGGAAATTTTAATTCAAACTGACCGACCAGTCTAAACACTCAGAGTGCAACTTGAACCTGTCCTATTCAATTTGCTGAAATGTGTGGCTCTTCACATTCTCCAACAAAGCATGACAGCAAATAGAGCAAAAATCACAGTTGTTAATGCTAAAATATGCATATAACATTATGTAATCAGAAAAAACAAAAAAAACAATTGCAGATCTAAAAAATAAGTTTGGCCAGTTTAAAGCTATTCAACAGCTGTCAAACAACATTAAACAGCAAGCATACAGTGTACATGCATTGTACATGTATTTTTTTTTTCATTAAGAGAGAAATTCAATATGTTCTGGGAAATTAAATCAACACACTGACTTTGGAGAAAGTCCAGTAGCTGAAAAAAGCCACTCATGTTGCAAAGGTGTCACAGACACAGAGAGGTAGCAACGTGATGGCAGGTGTTTTGATTTTATGAGTTACTGTGTTAACTGGTGACTCTCAGCCAGTGTGTCTGGGGTCATTATTGTTACACCTATAAAAACAGAGTGAGAGCCCTTGTAGATGCTTTTGTTAAGTGATTCATTAAAGCTCTTATAAAGCAGTCTTTGCTTTTTTTCTTCTACATGTTGAAACTGCATCTCCTTGTTTTGAAGAGTAGCAGACACCTGCTTCATTTCCATCAAAAGCCTATAAACCATAAACAAGCCAGGCTCCCACAGATTCACTTTGATTATATTCTTTAGGCTAGCTTCCCCTAGGATACCCTTTTATAAACCTAAGATTGTGGTGATCATATGATTTATTATGCTGATCAGTTATGATGTCAATGATGTGGTAAAACAGACCGTATTTGACACTGTTCCATGCTGAGACCAACTTGGATTTGAGTTTGCCTTTGTCCTCTGCATCCTGGTGCACTAGGCTCTCTTCCAGTTTCTGAGGCCCGTTAACCTCAGAGGGGAGGAAGAACCAATCCTCTATGGGGTCGTCAACAAGGGACTGGCCCTCAGAGCCCTCTGACAAGAAGCTGGGATTCATAACAAGTGCGAGAAAGTTCTTCTCATCTCCATAGCAGCCTGTGCAGAAATAAAGAGAACATGAAACAACATTATACAGAGCCCTGATGGATGACACTGTCATGCTCAAGACATTTTTCAGTCTTAAATCCAGTGGAGCTCTTAATCTGATGGGCTAATTTTAGCCGCAGCAAAGTTAATGATTCTCTATCAGGGTAACTAAAGAAAGGAGCCATGTGACTGCACCAAGTGACTCAAGGAATTTCAGATATGTTCACGCAGTTGCAGCAGAAAGGAGCTGCAAAACCGCCCTCTCCCTTATTGGGCCTGGGACCTCTTAAATACCTCTTAAACTTCACATTAGTACACACACAGGATTACTGTGACAGGCGCTGAGCCTTTCACTGAAACACTGGTAGAAGTATTGGTCTATGATGTGGTGTATCTCAGAGTGTAGTCAATAGTGGGAAAAAAAAGCACTCAGATTTTTTTGAAGTCTGGAAAAATGCTAAAATTTTGATCCAAAATTAAACTGCAATTTAAAAATACTTTAGTTTTACTGGAGCTGAAGAACAGAAGTTATCACCAGTTTGTACTAAGAGTATCAGAAGTTTGTTCAATTTAAACTTCATGACAGTCTTGAGGCTCAAATAAGTGCAAATAGTAAATTATCAACACAATTTCAGCCAAAGTTTATGGTTCAGAATTCAAAGCGTGTATGACCTACAGAGAGCAAACTGTACAATTGTCTCCAAAAGTGTGTGTCCAAACATTAGGTGAAGTCTTCGGCTCACATCTGACCTTAGTTATATAATTAGGCTTCACAACAAATCCCTATTGTTGTTTTATTATTAGCATCTGGATAACTTATTATCTAACTGTGTTAAATACCTCATTCTTAACCCCATGACATCTGTGATCACTCCTAAACATATCCCTTAAATCTATCAGCGGAAAAAAACTCCAGCACATTTCACTTCAGCCTGTCGACACTGTGTTAAATATATTATTATGTTTGCATTCTGAATAAGTGAAGGAGATTTTATATGATGGCTGTCAAACTGTGGGGAACTTTCCACTTATGTTGACTTGAAAAGTTGTGAACAAAGGAACAGTTTTAAGTCTGTATTACAAATTTCTTTGAGAATCAAATTACTGCAATGAAACGTACTTTTTGATCTTGACTTTTGGATTGATGATTGAAATAAATGCTGCCCTGCTACACTCATGTGGTCTGAAATCAGGATTTAGATGTATTAGACAGACTTGAGTTTTATTTCTCAAGAGGATAACACAGTAACAGATGAAAAGATATGCAGGAGTGCACCAAGAAAAGTGTCTGGTACATTATGGTCTGCATTTACTCTGAGGCAAGTTTGATTACTAGCTGTCAGCTAAGGATCCCTGGTTAATGTAATAGCACTAGCACTTTTTAGGAGTTCCAACTGATTTGCTTTCAGTTTCCGAGAACAGCACCCTCTGTTGATGGGCTGCAGTATAGGTCATAAATCCCGCCTCCGCCAGCAAAGCTTATGGAGCTGTGGACCAACTTTAGAAATGTATTACACAGAACATAAATTTTTCTCCTCCCTGGTTGTGATGTTATCATGTAGTTATTGTAAGACTGGTTTATGCTCAAGTCCTCTTTTTTCTGTGCAGCTCCATTTTTAAAAGTTATTAGGGGCTTCATGTTTGCTATGATTGACACCTGATACAGCCTATGGGCGTTCAGGGATTGAGTAGCTCTTCCGGCGGATACACTGTTTTAACCGAGCGTCATCACAGTGACTGTCAGCGACTGCGCGGCCGAATGCGCACAACGCTACTGCACAGCGCTGGTGTCAGGAAATGAAGAAAAATCCCGGAAATACCGAGAGCTTTTTGGCCTCAAATCCGTATAAAATCCGAAACCAGGTTGTCCATAGTATATACAGTCTATGGTTGAAATGCATCATTCAAAAGACAGATAAAAAGAACTTTATTCATTCATGAGGGGAAATTTGTTAGTTTGAGTAACGTGAAGAGTAATGATGTCAAATGTTTCTATCACCCATCAGCAAGTGCAAGTTGATACTGTCGTTGCTTAACAACTTTGTTAGTTGTGTAAATAGTTAATCTTTGAATCGATAAAACAATATTTTCATGTTTCGTGTCAGCTTATCTATTTAGTCTCATGAACTTGTTAAAGTAGGTGACAGATCTGATGTAAAAAACCTGACAACATTCTGTTTTCATTCATCATAAAAGCCGGAACTCAGAGCTAATCGTTAAGCACTTCTTTTTAACAAGCTTTTCACAGAAACAAGAGTGGTACAAGTGTCAGAAACTGTTGCTCAAGCAAAGTACTCGAGTTAATGTGCTTAACTTTACTTCCGGGGCTTACCATGATATAAACTTATTGATCAAGTTACAAAAATAGCTCTCATCCCTTTCTATTTTTGTCACTAGCCCATGACTCCAAACCTCCGTATGCAATTACTAAAGGAAATCTTCAATGGTTAAAGGTGTGGTGTATGACTGAGCTCTGCAGGCCCTATTGTTTATGAGCAGGCTTACACATCCTCATTCATTTTCAGGAAGTATATAACACTAAACACATAGCACTAGAGTGTTATCTGGAAGCCCTACAAGTAGATTAAATATAAACAAAGTACCCTCTGCAAGCCCTTACAGTGGATGAAATCTATATAAAGTGCACTGTAGAGGCCCCTCCAGTAGATAAAATGCAAACAGTGTACCCTCTGGGTGCCCTTACAGTAGGTTAAATGAAACAAGATGCCCCAATGGCAGACCTCCCAGTAATTAAAATGTAAACAAATTACACACTGAAAGCTCTTCCAGTGGATTACCTGTAAATAAAACACCATTCAAAGGCCAGTGCAGACTAGAATTTAGTCTGTTGTGCAGCTTCTTTTTGATTATGGAAAGCAACGGAAAATCCTCAATGATCATTACTTTCATGTGCATGTGCCCCCCAATATATGAGGTGCCCTTCATTCTTTTGCCCCTTCCTCCCAAAAAGCCAAAGCACACCCCTGGTAAAGATCCAGATTTTTGTTTCACATTACTAAGAGACTCTCTGGGATGATCTTGTCCAGACCTGGTACGTGTTCTGCTCTGGATCATGATCTGGTCCATTGTAGTTCACTGCATTGATCCAAGCAGGTATTCCATTTCCACTAAAGGGATAAAGGTTTGACCAATCTGGAAGTGTTTGATTAAATGTCTGTATAATCTCGTGCAGATCTGACAGGTCTTGGAGCGGTGATCATGGGTGGGGACCGAGTTCCTGAAAGTTACTTCACAGGTGAGTTTGAAGCTGCGTCTAAGCTGTAATAGTGACTGTACGATACGTGTCAAACATTCATGACTTTAGCTAGCCCGAAACGCTTAGAAAATTAACTGCATTTACAAGAAGGCATTTCTACATGGCAATTAAGTTATCTTTAGGTATCATCTGTGGCAGACACTGAGTTTAGTCATCCAGAGCCATACCGTGTCGAGCACTGAAGGACTTATCCAAAGAAAAACATCCGTTTTACCTTGTCTCAGTCACCAACATCGTGTCCTCTTTAGTATGAATGAGTCGCCGAAAGTACTTCACATAAGTTTCCCGTCGTTTGCCGTGTCTTTACTGAGAAACAAAGCCCTCAAATTGACCGAAATATAGCAGCGCTGCGGATTTGTAATCACTTCCTTGTTTATACTAGTTACGTGTTTAAGTTGCTGTGATTGGTCAACAGAGGACCAATAAGAGTGCGTCCTCCGGTCCGTGTCTCTTTTGGTAATTGGTTATAACGTTTGGAAACGAGTATCAAAAAGAGAAAAACGACTGTTTTTTAGACCAACACGGAAGTCACTAGAGCTCCTTAAATCACAAAAAAATACACATTTTCCTGCAATTTTCGCCTACATGATATAGTTTCTTTTCTTTAAAGAGCTCTAGTGACTTCCGTGTTGGTCTAAGATGAACACATATAGGCTGAAATGAAAGCCACAAGGGTCCCCTTTAAAATGATACTTAAGGGGTGGTTAACTTCATGATCTGATGATCAATTAGCTGGGCACCTGGAAAAGTTATCATACAAAAATATAATCTACAGACATATGTCTTTTCAAAAATCATGATGAACCTTTGCCACCCTGAGGTGTACTATATACTGAAATTCTGGCCTCTGGCCCATAGCCTATTACTGGCTCAGCACACACCGCAGTGTTACCAGTGTTTCTCGCTAAATCTAGTGGCTCTCCAACTCTTTTTTCTAGTGTTATGATATTTTGAAGACTCTGTCATGAAAACAAGTATTACCATCCAATTCCTCAACGAGCAGCGGGGTCTGCAGCGAGCCCCCCGCCCATCCCAAAGCGCTATCAGGCGGTCAGGTCACAGTAGCCTCGCACAACAGTCCCAGTCCCAGCTGCAGTCAGGGAAGCGGAGACACATACGACTCCGCGTCCAGACTGCAAATGAAATGCGCATGTGCAATGCCGCTGTTCCCGCCCTGGTTTACAAACCGAGATGTGAAAGTAAATGTTTTTCCACCATCACACTTAAAAAAATCACTGCATTTGATTCACACTCGTAAATCGTAGCGCCATTCACTCCATTCCTGTTCTCCTGCCAAGTGCGCTTGCGCCGTCACTATTTTCTACGTGTTTCGTCACCGCTTTTTCATTTCATCATCTGTGTTTAAAGAGCGCATAAACAGCGCATGCGCGACGTTCTGTCAAAAAAAAAAAAAAAAAGTGACGTCACCGACTTCAGAGTCAGGAGTTGGTGACGTCACATTTTCTCTTTAGCTGAAAGCCAAAATGTGACGTCACCGACTTTAGAGTCAGGAGTTGGTGACGTCACACTTTGTCTTCAGATTCCGTTCTGTAAGTCCCTTACATCTGATTAAGATAAGGAGTATAGTAGGCTTATACATATAGTCTGCAGGAGCCATCTCAAACATTTCCACAAGCTTTGTACTCAAGCAGGAAGATATCAGATCCTCATCTCAGAGATCAAACAGTTTCAGAGCAAAAATGCCACTCGTTTTAGGATTTGCTGTTGGTGCATTAGTAACAAAAGCTGTTAGGCACCTTTTCAATTCTGCCACCAAAGGACCGATCCAGTATCCACCTCCACAACCTTGTGCACGTGAATCAGATGTGGAAGAAAGGCCTGGTTCATCACCTTTAGTGTGTTTGATGAGACAGCAGAGAGGCAACCCATCAATATATACTCTGACTCATCTTGTACGGAGGAGGATGTTGTGCCCCGTGTGCTGCAGCATTATACCTTACATGGCAGACAACAGGAGATCCCAACCATCAAACCCAAGAAGAGGCCTTGCACAAGGACTGTTTACCTGGATGAAAACCATAGCACCTGCAGTTGGATTGGGTGTTGCTGTTGGGGTCCTTGCTGTCAGTACAAGGGCCCTTGCGGTCAGTACAAGGGCCCGGGCGGATTTTTTTACAGCTAGATGTGCAGGACTCTCAACTCCTGAGTACATACTAGAACGCACCGCTGTTTTATTGCTAAGAGTCTCATGGAAAACCATCCGTGTAGTATTTTATGCTCTGTCTTCAATTTGCAAAGTAATACTTGAGAGCATGGTATGCATTTCCTTGTTAATCTTCCTCTCAAGATTTTTAGAGTAGTGCTTTCATTTTTAAAGTACACACTGCAAGTTGCACTGTTCATAAGCCAAGAAACAGTGCAAGTTGCATATGAAGTGTGCTAAGCACTTACAATTCCTTTTTGGATAATTTCAGCTGCTTTATTGATAGAGCACTTGTCAAGGTGAAGGGGTTTTCTCCAGGTGCTCTGGTTTTCCCCACACTCATTTAAAAATATTAAATGAAAAAAAAAAAACTCCATTCAATGTCATTAAACCAAAGTACAGTAGTCAAATGTCGTTAAACTTTGGTTTATATTCAGTGTGATTTCCACTGTGTTTGACAGTTTTTTTCCTGCTCATAGTTTGCTGACAGTGATCAAAAATTGATGCATGCATTACAGAGTTACAGTTAAAAACATGCAAATTAAAAATCCAACAGGCCGCCAATCTGCACCAACGACCTTTGTGACCACACCAAACATCTAAAATTACATGCATTCACTGGAAACAAATGTTGGTTTTGTGGCGTAAGTCAGAAGTGAGTAAGAAGTTGATGAAAATGATTTTGATTATTAGGTCATGAACGTATAGTAGTCAAAACTATGATCTGTATAATTGAAAATTGGAGAGATTCAGGCCTACACTTTTCCTGAGCGGCAAACGTAGGGATATACACCAAAACCACCTTTCTTGGTTTAACTCTGTCCCAGAACAAAGCAAAGAACAAGCCAGGAACTGACATGTAGAGAAGGTGGCGAGGATCCAGGCAAAAATAAACATACCAAAAAAAAAAACATAAAACAAAAAAACCCTCCCCTATTGTTGCTACCTTGTCGTGGTGGGGAGGCTTGTGTGCCTCAGTGACCCTGAAGACTACCCTGGCCAGGGTTATACCTCTGGTAGGTACAACCAAGCCGGGCAGTTTTCAGGTTAGAGGCATGTCCAAAAGCAACATTGCCATCACCCTCTTTCAATGCGCTTTCACTGTGATAATAGTTTCACTGTGATAATAGTTCAGGGGAAAAGGAGTATTTTGGGCAAATTTTAATGAGTTTTGAGCTCATTTGCGTATTGTTGTCTGGCGAAATTAACATACTTTTCCAACTAGGATTTCATAGGACTTATGTTAGTCTAGAAACCTTATAGAAATGTTGTATGGTGAAAAGAAACCCTTTCTATAGGTTTTTTTTGGGGGGGTTAAGTTGTATGTTTTCATATATCGACCCATGTAATTTTCGCCTAGTGTTATAAAATAAAAATGCGTGATAGCACCCATTTAGCTACCACTGCTGCAATGCTATCACATATTTTCCAACTCTATACAATGTCAAAAATCACTATGAGCATTATTCCCCTCAGTTGATACCGACCAACCCCCCTGGCTCATGGCCTAATAGTGCGAGGTGTCTGTGAGGGGACAGCAGAATTTTGACCTTTTAATAACCATAAACTTGAACCTGTGATACATGTTCACTCCCTCAGAATAGCGCTTTACATGCCTTACCCTTATGTCTGAACATGGTGTTCAATATGGATAATCTGTGATTATCCGATAATAAAGCGCCACTCTGGTTCATATCAGAGGAGCCGTTCCTCCCAATCACGCCCCTCCAGGTCTCACTGTTGTTGCCAACATGGGCGTTGAAGTCCCCCTGCAGAATAAGGAAGTCCCATGAGGGAGCACTCTCCGGCACCCCTTTCAAGGACTCCAAGAAGGTTGGATACCCTGAGCTGCTGTTTGGAGCATAAGCACAACCAACAGTCGGGATCCTTCCCCCCACCCAAAGGCGAAGGGTGGCTACCCTCTCACCCACTGGGGTAAACCCCAACATACAGGCACCAAGCCTAAAAAAAAGTTATCTTTAAATGTACAAATAAAAAAAAAAAGAAATGAAAATTGAAAATCAAACTGTTATGTGACTTTTCCTCACTTGTTCCAGACAACAAAAAAGAAAATCAAGCTGTATTTCAATTTTGGTTTTTCTATTTTAAAACAAAAATGAAATAACCAGTCGATTTTCTATTTTTGATATCTGTTTCCAAACGTTATAAACAATTACAGAAAGAGACACGGACCGTTCACATTTTACCCGTATTATGTCAAGAAACTCAGACAAAAAAGGATTTTCTCTGCATTTTATTACATTTCTGCACAGTAGGCCTTTTTTTTTTTTTGCATTGGTTTTCACAACGGTGTCACTTCAATATTCAGCAATGTAATGGACAACAACAGTCAAAGATGGTTGTTTAATCAAAAAAGGAAAAAAAAGAAAAGAGGGTTAACACTAGGACAAAAATGACCATGACAGCAACATCACAATTTATGGACCGACAGCGTCAATCTGCGCACTATCCAGGTTTTCACATTGATTTCTTAGACTAAATGTAAAATGTATAAACAGCTCTTTTCAGTAGTAAAGCAGAATTTCACCAACTGATACGTAAAAAAGTTTGAATAAATAAAAGTTCCATAAATAGATCAAACAAAAAGACAATTAATCAATAGTCAGACCAAATAAATAAAAGTATTTTACACAAAATAAAGTGCATTATCCTTACACCACAAAAACACAGATGTTAGCTGTCCAAACATGGAGATAGTATCAGAACTTACATAGTTCAGAATGTAAAACTTATCTGAAATCAACTTCAATGTGTTTACTTTCAGGATGATACTAGGACATTTATACAGTCCAGATTTATTATTGTTTCCACTGGGTACCCCTGGACCTATGGTGCTGTGTGATACCGTCCGCAAGCTGGCAGTCTAAGACAAGTCTGAGATATCATTTCTGCAGTACACAATAACAAACAAGACCTCACGACTAAAATGTGACTCCTGTTTCTCTCCAGTGTGTAGTCTACAACTATGTCACACAGCGAGCGTGCTCAGTTTAATGGAACCGGGCACTGTTGGATTGCATATATTTGTACATTTAAGTGTAAACAAAGAATATCACATCATCTTTAAATAAAAAGACTGGCACTTTTCCTCTGACTGAACATTTGACAATAAACCTAACAGCTGCATAAATAGAAAAAAACAGCGAGAGAGCTTTCCAACCCTACTCTCTGTCTCATTTTGGTTCTTTACACACTAAGTCACACTAGTTCATTCGATAAAAAGCCTAAAACAAATCATTGCACTATGATGAATGGAAAGCATCTAAAACTAAAAGAATTTGCTCGGCTTATTGCAACCCTTTTTCTCTGTTGTCTCCTCTCATCTTCAGCATATTGTAAACAAAGTCATCGGGGACACCATAAAAAGTGGCGTCATTTGCACATTGCATCGTGTCCCTGTGCAAGCTCACCTCATCTTTCTCTTTCTTATCAGTGATACTCAGCCCTTAAACAAATCTGATGCGAATTGATTCCATCTTTGCTGCTGTTTTGGTGTCTTGGTCCAGTTTCCATCACCACTACAAGTCTAAACTCTTTTATTAACTAAGGAGAATAAAGTTTGGGCTGATTTTTCATGGTTTAGCTGAACTAAATTACTGGAGCTGAGTTGAAATGTGAATAATGCCCATTTACAACAGAATCCAGCTTGTTTGCACCATAGACTGTATAGAAAGATGGACCCTGTAAGTGAAGCCAAATCATTTGGAGCTCCCCCGACTGACTGACTGACTGCCTTCCTCACTTTTTTCCTAACATGTCTTCAAACTTGGTTCTCTCTTTTTATTTTATTTTTTGACCTGTAAACTGGAAAGTAGGGGGAGGTAGGGTGTGTAGCCTGACACCATTAGGGTGAGCTGTGGCTGAAACAGGCTTTACTCTCTGGCTTTGACTTTCCTTTGTTTATGTAAAAGAGCAGAAGGGGGAGGTGGACGGTGCAGTCTAACTTGATGAAGGTGAGTTCCAGCCCAAACAGGCGTTTCACCCTGGCTCTGCCTACCTTGTCCTCTTTGTGGTATCTCACTTCATACTCTTAAATGGTTCTTTCTCTTACATGATAATAGAGTAGTAGGGGTAGGTAGAGTGTGCAGCCTTACCCAGCTGGGCTGAACTCTAGCCCAAAATGTCTCTGTTTTCCCTGTTCTGTTTCTAACATTTCTAGACTGTTGGTATTATTATTTCTGCTCTTCATAAACAGAAATACAGGTGAAAGAGAAGTTAGAGTGTGCAGCCTAAAATAGTGGGGGTGAGCTCTGGCCCAAACAGTTTGCTCTGGCTCTGCTTCCCCTGTCTTTTTTTGTAGCATCTAATGGCATTTGTCTTTTTTTCTCTTCCCTTAAGAAAATGGGGAAGTGGGGTGTGTAAAGTGTGCAGAGTAACCTGACTGGAGGCAGTTCTATCCCTTATAAGATTTTTCTCTGTCTCTGCCAACCCTGTCCTTCTGACATCTCAGTACAGACTCATATCTTGGTTCTTCTCTCTACTCTTCATTTATGAAAACAGAGGAGTGGAAGGAGGTATAGCATACAACTAACCTGGTAGGGGTGAGTTTAAGCTCTGGCTCTGCTTTGCCTGTGCTCTGTCTAACATAAACTGTTCTCTTCATTCATCCCTTCTTCATGACACTGAAGGGGCAGGGGGAGGTAGAGCGTACAGCCTCTACCTCAAAGATGGGAATATGCCATTATTGAAAGATTATAGTCTGACCTGAAAGATGCAGGGGTTTTGAATCACAGTTATTGACCCTAAAGGCCATATCAAGTTCAGCACTTGTTTTTTTCTCTTTGCTTTCTACGATTCATTCTATCAAGGCAGTGACATTGACCAATAAGAGCCCAAAGTACTCTGCATTCAAACAGAATGGCAAAGCAAAACAAGACGTAATGAGATGTAAGGCCCGAACTACACGTATATGGATATTTATTTATCGGGATATTTTTGTACTCCCGTCTAAATAAATGTATCTGTCCACACGTGTTAGTTCTCAAAAATATCTGCGTCTACACGTAGCCTTCAAACTCAAACCTATCTGGTGCCGCTTGAAAAAAATTCAGCAACAAAGCTAACTGATTGGCCGATGAATCGTAACAGCGTGATGCGTCATGCATTGTTTGCGAAAGCTACGCTAGTGCGTCGGGTCCATGTGACGGACCATGTGACCAATAAAAGTATTGGCCGCAGCAGACGCGTCTGTGAGCTGGCTGACTGGTGGATGTAATTGTATAAAACAAGGTTCACTTGCAAGGCTGAAATTAGCCCCAAAAGGGCAAAACAAACGTAAATACCCTGTCTGTCCGCCATCGTTGTTGTTTTTCTTTTTAATTCGCATGCGCGAGCTGCGATTTGACGTCATCGATCCGTAAAAGTCCAACCACACGAATCCACTACAGATACGGGATACGGATATTTTTTTATTTCTCCACTTGTTTTTCCGGATTCAGATTTATCCGGTTAGAGTGTTCCAAACTCCCGTTTTGGTGTGGTAGGGAGGCCTAATCGGACATAAATATGTGCGGTTTGGAATATATCCGCATTCGTGTAGTTCGGGCCTAAGTTTGTTAAGCTCTGGCAACAATTCTCCTGTCCTGATGTGTTGTTGAGAGACTAACAGGACAGACTGAAAAAACCCAAATGTGCAAAAAAAGGCTGACACACTTAACCAAACAGGCTACTAACACTTGAGGGTGTTGTCTTGCCCTGCCCCTTTTCCCTCTTTACTACTGTACAGCAATAGAAAGTGGTGATATGCCGCCCATCCTTATATACAGTCAATAGTTCATATTTTTAAAGTTTTCCTGTTTTGAAAAGTTGTTCACAGTGATCACTACCTTTAGGTCTGCGTATATTTTTCTTATTTTTAGATATTCTCTCTTTTTTTTTTTTACAGTGTCAGACATGCGTTAAGACATTTTTCTCTATGTACATCACATAATGAAGAACATACAGAACATACACGAGCCTACATTATGAAACCATGAACACACATTGTCAAACTGGGCTGATGCATTTTTATGTTTACATGTCATCTTTTTGGTCTTTTCTGCTTCTGTTTAAAGTCATGATGATTCATGATATGTGTGTGACGCTACACTAGAAGGCATTACATGGGAGAGTTTGACTCATTCTGAAGCTCTTTTATCACCAGTGATGCTTCGAGCTGCGACTGTTCCCCTTGTCGGACTGGTTTGCATTTGCTGAAGTTGTCGCCTGAGCCCCTCTGCGGCTGTTTCCAATTTGACCCTCCGGTTTTCCTGCGGCGCTCCCTCGCTTCTCCTCTCCTGACTTAGAGCTGTCTTTCACTTTAGCCCCTTCCTGTGACCCCTTCATGGGCCCCAGGACTGTTTTGGCCACACTTGTCAGCTGGGTGACGAAACTGGCTTTGTCGCCGGGGGACATGGGGCGAGACTTGCTGGAGAAGGGTGAGGTTGTGTTTGAGGAGGGCGACATGGGGTTCTCTTCCAGGACCTCCAGGTGGGGCTTCTCCTCTTTGGCCCCACGGTAGCTGCTTGATACCTTCTCCACTTTAGGTCTGACAGGGGCATGTGTTTGAACCTGGGTGGGGACTGGGGGCGCAGGTCCTTTGTGTTTAATCGTCTCTGTCGTTTTATCTCCAGCTCCCTTATCTCCTCTCTCTAGGCCTTTGCGTTGCTTGGACGGCTCTGCAGACGTCACCTTCTGATTATTTACTTTTTCTGCTCCTGCAGTGGCTTTCACTTTCTCCTCTGCGCTCTCCTGAGGTTTGGCTGTCGTTGCACTGCCTGACTGCTGCTTACTGTCCTGCAGCTGGGTGCTTTTTGATGAGGCTTGAGTCGAGGTTTTCTCACTGAGTTTACTCTTGCAGACTGTCGCCTCAAAGCTTGAACTGCTTGCACTTTGAGGTTTGTCTCCTGTACTGAGTTTGGCCTCTGCAGCTGAAAAACTTACCCCTGGACTGGACCTTGTGTCCACAGCAGAGACACTGATGTTATTTTTTGAGCCCTCAGCAGTTGTTTTACTTTCAGTAATGCTGCTCCTGGACTCAGTTTTACCGTCTTTGCTCTCTGTTTTCTGCCCTGCGAGCTCAGACGGTGTAGTTTGGGTGTCTTTCTCTCTTGTTGTGAGTAGTGAATCACGGCTGAGTGGTGACTCCTGCCTCCCCATCCTCCGAGCCGGCTTCAGGCCTCCAATCTCCCCTCCCATTGGAGGAGAAGGGGAGGATGATGATGAAGGAGATGGGGGAGCAGGCCCGTTCTCTCCCTCCATCTCCAGCAGACTCTGTAGGCTGTGCTCACAGTGGAAGGACTCCCTCCTGTAATCACCATGTGACACCTCCAGGCTGTGTTTGCGTAAAGACACCCCACCTGTCAAAGGGGAAGGTGAGGATGAGGAAGAAGAGGAAGAGGGAAGGATTGGAGCGCCCAGCTTCTCTGCAGACTGCACCCGCTGCAGCAGAGGGGACCGGGGCGGCTCTGCACTTTTAGGTCGAGGACGAGCAACTGGAGGAGAGGAGTGCAGCTTGGCTGGGAACATCTGTGTAGTGTTGGAGCTCCCCACGGTGTGGCCGCTGAGAGGGGGAGGAGAGGAGGTGGTCGGGGACGGGGTGTGAGCGAGGGGGGACAGGGGGATGTTTCCAGCAGATTTGCAGCGTGCAGAGCGGTACTGGCGGTGGAGCTTTGGTGACAGGCCGTGAAGTGAGCTGGGTCTCATGTGGTGGGAGGCAGCAGGAGAGTTGGGGGTGCTGGATGCAGGAGAGCTGCTCTGAGAGGAGGTGCCTGAGCAGAAAACAAAAAGAATTCAATGAAGAAATGTCTGGGGTTTTTTTTGTAATGAAAGGAAAGAACATTTCTGTGGCGATAACTGCTGATTTGATGAGATTTCTGTTTTATATTTAAAACTGGATCAAAAGAGGTAAAAGAGATCATTCATCTACAGCTTTCTGCACCAACCCTAGGATTACCAACCTGTCACCAGCGACAGGATTTGCAATGCCTATTTCTAATTAGCATCTCAGTACCGTAACTCCTGGATGAGAGGCACAATTCAAAAAAATTTAAAATGGTTCCTGAGAGTTGAAAACAGGACCTTTCCAGTGACGTATAGCATGATATATCTATCATTACAAGATTCACAATTTTTATATTGCACTTTTTGATGCCTGAAACTGGTGCAAAGAGGTAGGTGTCTGTACAGCAACTGAAGAAACAGCCCAGTTTTTACAATGTCCACATAAAATATTCACATGATTTAATTTTCAGGCTCCTTTTAAATAAAAATCTGAATAAAAAAATTCAGAAATATTCTGGGGCCTTTTAAACCTCTAATCATACTGCTCTCATCAACACTGAAATAGATAGTTAAGTGTTTCCATGTTAAATTCTAATTATCATACATTAGGAAGACTGTTGTAGTGGTCCTCCTGCAAGAAGCGTGATAAGCAACAAAATAACCGCAAAAAAATAATCATAAAATACTGATAAGCTCTCATGGTCCACTTGCAGTACCTATATGACCCACTAGGAGGCAGCAGACAACATTATAGGAGTCCATGCTTTGTCAGTTCAATCTCTGTTGCAGTGATAAGGTCAAGAAGTTCAGATTGTTTTTGAACACTGTTTGGTCAGAGATGCACAAATCACTTTTTTCAAGAAACAAAGCTGAAACTTTCAACTTTGTTACACTCTAAGTTTCTGATTGTATAAAAAATTACCCAGAAATTTTGTTTCAAAACCTCTCATTAGAATGATTTATCCTCAATTCATATTATTGAACTGATTTTGACTGGGATGCTGCTATCAGGTCTTACATAAAGTCAAATCAGGTGGAGACACTCATCTGTACTCTTGACCGTCATACTAACCCAGGTACGGGGATTCAAGAGCCGAGCGGTACGTCTGTGTGGGCGATCGAGCAGAGAGGTTGTGGGTAGGAGAGCCTGGGAGACTGTCTCCAGATGAGAGTGAGCGGTTTAGAGAGGAGAGGCTCCGGCTGGTGTGAAGCAGGTTGGACTGTTTGGTGATTTTCCTAAACAAGGAGCTGCGCTTCTTACTGGAGACAGAAACAGATCAGAGTGAGCAGAATTAATTCATTAAAGGAATGTTAGATTCTGTATTTGTGGACTGAAGCGGTTCTGTTTATTTCAGTAACTCACTCCTGCCCCTCCTTGGCTCCTGCTCTCTTGCTCCGTCTTGCCATCTTGGATTTATAGCTGGATTTGCGGGCTGGACCCACTTTAATCGAGGTGTTCTCAAATGGAGTTGTCGTAACTGTCACCTTGTTTCCGCTCTGAAGATCAGGCAAAAAAGGACGATAAATCACATCATCTAAGATCAAATTCAGCTGACCCTCATAATAAAAACTTTCAATCAAACTATAAGTTATAAAGGTAAGTAGTCCTCACTTTCAGGATCAGCTCCACTACTTCTGTATGGACAAGACCATGGACTGACTCCCCGTTTACATGAGTGATGAGATCACCAGCGCTGAGTCCAGCAGCTTGGGCCGGACCGCCATCCTCCACATGCTGTGATTAGAAACAAAAGGACTTTAAGACAAATTTTATGTCTAAAATCACTGTGAGGAGTTTTTGTGTTTCTTTCATAGACTGTATGAAGAATGGACAGAGTCTGCCTCCTCGCTGGGTGAAGCCACTGCGAGAACAGCACCCTCTGTTGACGGGCTGTAGTATAGGTCATAAATCCCGCCTCCGCCAGCAAAGCTCATGGGACTGTGGACAAACTTTAGAAATTTATTACACAGAATATGAATTTTTCTCCCTCCTGGTTGCGATGTTGACAAGTAGTTATCGTAAGACTGGTTTGTGCTCAAGTCCACTTTTTTCTGTACGGCTTTTTTTCTAAAAGTTATTAGGGGGTTCATGTTTGCTATGATTGACACTTGATACAGCCTATGGTTGTATGAAGATTGCGTACAACGCTACTGTGCAATGTTGGTTTAAGGAAATGAAGAAGAATCGCGGAAATACCGAGAGCTTTTCGGCTTCAAATCTGTATACTGGCAGGAGGTGGAACCAAGTTGTCCATAATATATACAGTCTATGATTTATGTTGATTCAACCCAGCAAAACACCATTGACCCCTTGGTCCCATGGTGTTTGCTGGGTTTGCTGAGTTAAAATTTCCCATGAGCACCATCACCCACTGTCACAAAGATTTGGCTTCTCATGTTTGTTGTGAATGCGAACAAATAGTAGACAGATCTTTTAAATACAGAAAAAGGCTGCAAATTAGTTCAGACTAGAAACCAGTCTGTATATTATCTACATCATATTTACTATAAAGCAATGCATCATGCATTTGTCTCTGTCAAGTAAATGGGTTAAGAGTAAAAATGACTTCACACTGTCACATTTGATCTGCAGAGTTCAAACACAGACACTCTAGGATGAGAGCTGAACATCAAATCATTCTTCTTTCACGGTAAATCCATCAGAACAGGGATTAACACCAAATCTTGCTGCTAATTTTACTGTGTATGTCATGAGGAAGCATCAGTATCAGAGTGACACTCTTTAAAAGCCAGTTAAAAACTCTTTACAGTGCCTCTGATTAAAAATGTCACAAAAGGTGTTCCTCAGGGTCTGGGCCCATTCTTCTTTGTATTTTATTACATTTATCTTGTCTGCTCACTCACCCAGACCATGTGATGTACACTGTAAACGTCACTATCTCCCATGTAGACTCTGATCGCCCGCAAAGTGAAGCCGTACTTCTTCCCAGAGCGGTGTATAGTGACTGGAGAGTGTATGACATTGACCATGGGAGAGTAGTCTCTGCTGGGAGACGAGTCCCTGGAGGAAGGGTTGGATGAGAGGGAGCGTGGAGACATGGGACTTGCCAGAGGGGAGGCGCCGTGTTGCTCCACTGAGGAGAGAGGGACAGGGTCAAGGATACAGAATTTAGTCACAGTCCTTTATTGCCTTGTATTTAAGTTATGTCTAATAGAAAAGTGTTTTGTGATTATCCCTTGGCCAATTTTCTTGTGCAAAAGACCAAATCACAGCAATGCTTGTATTAAGAACTACAGCACAACTTTATGTGTGGTACTACTTTTAAACAACAGTTCTACAAGCAGCTTTCAGTGCTTGAAAGTGTTGAGCAACAACAATGTATTTTTCAATGTTACGTTTCATTTGGCTCCGCATAAAGATTTAGTTCCGCAAAGTGACTGGAACTGAATATTACCAAACAAATGCCTGCACTCTATTGTTTTCTTCACACATGTCAAAAACGCATTAAACTTTTTCCTGTCCAAAAGGGAGACTTCATGATTTCAAGGACATGCTTGAACAACATCTATGAAAAACTTTGGGGGCAGAGCTCCTGAAAGTTTATAGAAATTTTCTCGAGTGCACCAGTGACACATTTTAGAAATAGGTCATTCACTGAAATCCTGATTAGCTGTGATCATAACAGCTGACATAATGATGCTATCCCGATGTCAGTGGTCGTGGAATACCTCTCGCCCAATCAGATTCCTTTGTTGAAAATAACTTTTAGTGTAGACTGTGTCATGTCATTATGGCCTTCACCTGCAGGAATGATGACGGACAAAGCCGTAGCAGAAGCAGATTTGATGACTTTGGTTCCTGGTCGTGAGTTACGTTTCTCTCCTTCAGCCGAGAGCTGCTGGTGACGAACCCTCCTCAGGACCAGGTCTGTGGTCGCTCCACGGGGCCCTGTTGGGTCTGGGAGCCCCAGAACGGAGGGACTGCCTTGTGGAGGCACAGATGCCTCAGCAGGTCTCAAAAACTTATCTGTGATACACACAAATCAATAATAATAATTAAAGCAGATAATGTGTTATTTTAAGCAAAGGGTGAACCAACTTTTCAGTGACCTTGATCTCTATCCTGAACTTTCAAAATACTTGTTCCTCTCATATTTGGTGAAGTATCATCCAGTCTTACCTCCAGCGCTGAGCCCATTACTATCTTTAAGTAACTGTCTCTGGTCCCCTTGAGCATTCGTGGCACCCATAGCTCCTTCCAAAGATGTCCCTCTGGCCTTAACTGCAGGCTGCCTGCTTGGAAGGGTCAGCTCAGAGTCGACTTCCAGAGGGGAGGCCAGGCGGTGTGTGTCCATGAGGGCAGAGAAGCGTCTTCGTGCTCCAGATGGTGGACTGGAGTCGCTCTCAAGGAAGGAGGACTCTGAGCAGGACAAGCGCTTCCTGAAAAAAAAAAGGCAATAGTTCTTTAGTAGTATTACTTTATCTTATATTTCTCAGTTGAAAAACAGCTTCTGAACATTTCCTGTCAGCTGCACGTACATCTCAGGTGATCCGGTCCTCCAGCTCTTGTCCCTGAGTGTGAAGCTGCCCAGACTTTCTCTTTTAGCCATTCGATCCTCTCTCGGCACCTTATGCTCCCTTAAAGTCACTCCAGGGTGTTTATGCTCCAGCTGAGACAGCTGCTCCATGCTGCTGTACACCTGTAGGACCACATGACAACATAGTCAAGGTTATGGGGGGCAATGGTTGAACTATGATGTGTAATGAGGATAATTATGTGTTGGGAAAAGAAGCGTAAAGTGTAGGTTTGAAGACCTTGCTGAAGCGAGGAGAACAAGAGGAGAAGTGATGGATCTCCACAGGCTCATCGTCATTGGTATCATCCTCATCATATGAATGCACATGATGGTAGCGCTCAGACCGGGCTGAGGAAGAAAGGTACATTATAATAATCAATGATCAACTAAATCAAATAATCAAGCTGGCTAATATTGCCAGTGCTGCCCAACATCTCTCTTGGCAGGCAAACTCTTCTATTGGTAGGCTACACCACGTTAGCTAGCCAAGACAACTTCCAGTGAGCTTGCGCCATTGGTTGCCGATCAACATTACAAGTGTCAAATCAAAATTACCATTAACCAACTAGTTTCACAGTTTGCAAGTCAGCATTACTGTTAGCAAGATGACTTTGCTGTAGCTAGCTGAAGCAACAATTGTTCACCAACACTGCTGTGAGAAACCAATCTTTTTTGGCTAGCCAACATTTGCTGTGAGTCAGCAAAGATTATTGTTGGTCAACAATTCAGCTAGCAAGCCAGCCACTGTTACTGATGGCTTCACGGCAGTAATGGTAGCATGGCAATATTACTGTTAAGTTAGCAAGCAAACATTATTACTCTCAGTAAACTACACTAGTAAAAATAGCTGCCAGTTAATGCTTGCTAGCTAATATACAAAACTATCACAGCCAGCTAACATTATTTTTTTCCATGTTTATTACCATAATCTGAACACATAACTGTTAACCAGATGACTGTATTGTTTGATAGTTGATCCCCTGCCAACTAGACAACTTGAATGTTGTCCAACTAACAATAGGCAATTATTTGCTAAGCAACAGCTTACATTCCTAGTTAGTTCAACATGATAACGCAAGTGTAAGCTATTTTGTTATGTCTCAGAAAATGTGAATTTCAGTTTTCCGTGTTGAATGGTTTGATATCTGGGGGCTTTGATTTAGAAGGCCTTGGTAATGGGAGTGTAATGTTATGATGAGGTTAATTGGTGGCTGAGAGCCCAGTCTTCAACTCTGTGTTGTTATTTTATCATATTTATACGTCCAAGGCATCACTGGTAACCCTCAACTATACTAGCAAGCTAATGTTAGTGTTAGCGAGGCAACAATACTGTCAGCAGGCAGAAATTACTGATAACAAGTAAACATGAGTGTTAGCTGAGATTTCTTACTTTAGCTAACACTACCAGTAAAACGAGGTTATGTTAGCTGAGAAGCTGTTGGATTTTATGATGAGACCTCACCAAAAAAACTTCCCCTCTCGACTTACTGAATTCATCGTGGAAACACCAGAGACTTAATGAGGTTAATGTAGCAGAGATGGAGATGACTCAGAAGTCCCCAAGCTGTTTTAATGATAAAGATTTTCCAGGGCTTAAAGGGATCTGTGGTCACTGCCTCATTTCCCCCACTGCGGACTTACTGTCAAAATAACTGGTGTCTTCCTCAGACTCAAGATGGGGAATGAACTCTGCCTTCTGTCTCAGCAGGCTGTTCCAGTTTACCTCTGCAAAGAATGAATGCTGCCTCACTTCAAAAGCACCACCTAGAGGGATAAGAGAGGAAAAGGAGGAGGGAGAGGAAGATAGGCAGGTTAGAAATGCAGTCTTGAAGCAGCTAAAAGCACTTTGACCCAAAACAGAAGCTGGTTTATTTGAGTTAAGTGAACCTGTAAGGCTAAAAGCAGGGTAAAAGTCAGTGCTTCACAGCAGATATTCCTAACCAATGTTACTTCTCCTCCAGTTGGCATTTAGAATGATTTTGCAGTTTTCAGAGAGTAAAATAGACTAAAAAAAAAAAATCAAGGTATAAGACCTGAACTTTCTTTTTAATTCACGAGTGCGTAAAATAGGTAGCTGTCGAGGAGAAAGCTCAGAGATATGGATTAAACAGCTAAAAGTTGAAAAAGCTAAGTTGAAAGTGATATAAAATGTGACTCATACAGCTTGTAAGAAACTATATTTAGTAATATTATTGACAACCATTATTCATTTCAACTACAACTGAGTATGAGGGCTACATTTAAGTATAATAAAAATTAATTTTCAAGAATAAAGGTATTATACTCTAGGTCCTCGTACTATGGGGAAAAAGTTGCTATTTTCTTTTTAGGGTGTAACAGCGCCCTCTGCTGGGTAGAGTGGAGGAATGCGCCTTATGTTGTGTTGATATGAAAATCTGTTCTAGTGTCTTGCATTTTCTTTCTGCTAGCTAGGTCAAGGCTTGATAATCAAACTTTACAATGTGGCAATGCTATCCTATTGTTCACTGAATCATTGCTTTCTCTGAACAAGCATTTCCTTTTGTTTATTACAACAATAAACGTGGCTACTTGACCTAAAATAGGTCTGCTGCTATCAGAATGAATTGCATGTTTAGGTCACAAAGACTGCAAGAGAGAGGCTTAACAATTTGTCTTTTGAATGCAACATAAAAAGACTTGTAAAATGGAAAAAAAAAACACTGATAACTACAGATGAGGAAATACGAATGTAGGTGTGTAACCTGTGCCCAGTCGAACCAGTGGATTCCTTTGCAAGAGGGAGGAGATCAGATTTTGAGCATCAACAGGTAGCGCTTCTTCACCTTCAGGCCACACGATGTCATCTACCGAACAAATAAGAGAAACAGGGTCAATGAGTGAAAATACTATTTAAATATCAGCATCCAGACCTCTAATATCTTACCTGTAATAACCTGTCCAAACAGTTCCTCTGGAGTGTCTCCAAAGAAAGGCACACAGCCCACAAGAAACTCATATAGGATGATCCCCATGGCCCACCAGTCCACTGGCTTTCCATAACCCTGACGAAGGATAACTTCCGGAGCGATGTACTCTGGAGTACCGCACACCTAGAAAGAATGACACAACAAGCCCAGTGAATAAAAACCATTTTTGTCCTAAATACAGTACACATATAATTTAACAATCAGTTTTATCTATTATTACACATCTATTTTAAGACTGGATTCTAACTGATCAATATTACATAGCAACGGTCTGGTATTTCTTGATAGCACAGTTGCTATGGATGCTCCCCTAAGGACAGGCTCAAATTAGGTAACTCTTTTATTCTATCAATCTGTGAATATAAGTCACCAAATTAAGAGTTGTTGGGTTTTTTTCATGATACTAAAAAATGGATATCTGCTCACCTTGTCTGGGGTCTGATTCAGTTCAACAACCTGCTCACGATACATTATCCCTCACATAATTTTGATGGTGTTTGGTTCTAGAAACACGTACACTCCCCAGAATCCATCTTATTCTCATCCAGCTCATCACAGCAGTTTATTTCAAACCTTTCTTTAAACTCTGTTATTAGTATTCTGGTATAAAGCAGGGAACAGGTGACCCTGAGTAGGAAGCATGCATATTTAAGCCCAGCTAATTACATCATCTCACAGATGCCAAGACAAGATGAAAGCCTTGGCGAGGGTTTTCATGTGCAAATGCATACGTGCTAAATGCTAACAGATCTCTGGGCTCCATAATTCCATACAGAAGAAATAATGAGGATAAGAAGCATGAGCACCAAATAAAAGAGACTCAGGGGGGGAAATGTGCCTAACAGAGAGGTGATTAAAATATGGAGGAAATACTGTCAGAGTCATATTTTCATGCTTCATTATGCCTCGCACACAATGAGGGAATATCTTGGTATGTAAATGAAGACTTCAAAGGATGTTTCATGTTAAAGCTTTACTTGGACCGTAATATGGATTCACACAGACTGCAGCAGTGTATCTAAATGAGCACAACTGCTCATGTGATTTTGTTGAAACAATTTCTTCCAATTAGAGATAACATTTTTAAAGTACTCAGTATTATTGATCTCTGGAAATATCAATAATCATCAATTACTCATGAAACAGAGATTTTTTTCTGTGAATAAAACATTTTTTTATACTTTCCCCCCTAATTTACAGCAACATATTGTTTATAACTAATAATACTGCAAAGCTACAGAACACACAGAGGTATAGAAATTGTTTAAACACTGAATAACATTTGTTCATAAAGAGGATCTATGTGGACATATTGCCATATAGAGCAAAGAAGTGAAAGTAAAATTGCTGCAAGTAATCACAGTGTCCAAAATATCCAGAATAGGTGATACTCTAGAGCCCAACCACGGTGTATGTTTCCTCTCAAAAAGAGAGCTCGCAGAGACATGGCTCATGGCTCCAGCCCTTCGCTGAGTATCATTGTTGTGTGTAACACCTTTGGCCAGTTAGCTGTATTGAACTATGCTTTTAAGTTTAAACGTCACCCTTTATAGCCTTGTATAATATGAGACTACATGAGAAAATCAAACCAAAAACATGATCGTTTTTGTACACTCTTGTTAATGTTTTAATCAATCAACCCGAGTCGTCAGGTATCGAAGCGAAGGATCCCAAAAACCACTGGCTGATGTCATGGTGGTTACAAAGAAAAATGATGAAAAATGTGAAAATGAAACAGTTCAAACACCATTGTCTTCATCCTACCTGTTTGTCCAAGAACTCTCTGGTGTCTTTCTCTATGTGTCCTTCATACAGGTTGGTGGTCAGACTCATCAGACCCATTTTAGAAAGTCCAAAGTCTGTGAGTTTGATGTGGCCCATTGAGGTAATCAGAAGGCTGGGAATAGACACAGAAAAGTTCATATGAAACTTTTAAAACTTGTAATTTCTTTTCGAATAAAATGTGGCAACAAAAGTTTGAAGTCTTTTCATCTTACTTGTCAGGTTTGAGGTCGCGATGCACAATGCCGTAGTTGTGTAAGTACTCCAGAGCGAGGACTGTCTCTGCAAAGTACATGCGTGCCATTTCCACAGGCAGAGCCCCAATGTTCTTCAGCAGAGTGGCACAGTCTCCTCCTGCCAGCACAATTCATTATTTGATTAGGCTTGCTGCTGACATTAGCAATTACCGCCGATGTCTCCTGGTACCTCTTGTCCAAGAACATTTTAACCTCCACTTAGAGGGGTGAGTAACAAGCTCTGTAATCATGCAAGCTTTGTGACCTTAATTCAGTAAGATGACTGTACTTTGAGTTATTCTGGATATTAGATGATACTCAAAGACTCACAACATGTCTTTTTTAATCTGGGACATTTGTATGAACAGCCTTTTAAAAACGTAGAATTATTCCGTGCCCGTGGGATCAGCTTATAACGAGGTAGCAGTGCCTTTAGCTTTTTGCCATGCTTGTTCTTCTTGGCTTTCACTGCTGATTTATCACCTAACAACTCCTGATTAAAACATCTCAACAATTACGTGCTGGATTGCAGTTTCATTTGGCACAAGTCTTCATGTTCCCCCCTAGGATGAAAATCACATTAGTAATCAAAAAGTAATCACTTTGTCTCCTTAAATTTGCTTCCTGTGCCATCCTCTGCTGAGCTGTGAATCATAACTCACACCATTATGTTAGGTCTGTTTCAGAGAGGCGAGGTTGCCCTCATCATGTCCTCAGCGTTTCCCACACTGAGATGATACCTGTGTTTTTTCTGACCATCTTTACATTTTTCTCTTTCTTATTGTCAATGTTAGATCTTCATTTGTTGTGATAACCTGCAGTGTCTGACACATAATTTACATGCATCAGTCTCACCTTGGTCCATCTCTTTCTTTTTGCATCTCCCTCTCTCAGTCTCATTCCTATCACCTCCAATAGCAGAATAACACAGTGAGCTTTCCAACTGTCTAAAAGATGAAATAAATAATGCCAAAAGTTCATTCCAAGTCTAGAAATAAAACCTTTTAAGCTTGAGTTAAATTACTTGCAGTCCTTTTAAGGCCCAGCAGGGGTAGCAACCAACAGAGACTGCATTATAGAAAAACTGACTCACTATTTGTAAATACAGTTGGCCTCACAGTTTGGGGGGGGCGGGGGGGCGGCTCTGATCTAAAGCTTTTCATAAGTGATTATTTGTTCTAAAAATCAATTAAAGGGATATTACGGCAAAGTTTTGCCTAATTTCTTTAGCAAAGAGGCTAAACACAACTCACCTACTCTCTTCCAGCAGCCGTTTGTTTGTAGCGAGACCTCAGGCCAGTCCATTACAGACTGCTGCGGGGTGACGCAGCTCAAGGAAGAACATTTCTGATCATTTCTTCATGGAAATATAATCAGACCGAGACACTGAGGCAGAAGAACTACCGCGCCTGCAGTGCAAAATGATTAAAATGATAATTATCACTTCAAGGAAATGATAAAGAAATGATCATAAATGTTCTTCCTTGAGCTGCGTCACCCCGCAGCAGCCCGTAATGGACTGGCCTGAGGTCTCGCTACAAACAAGCGGCTGCTGGAAGAAAGTAGGTGAGTTGTGTTTAGTCTCTTTGCTAAAGAAATCAGGCAAAACTTAAAAGATGTTTGGTGGCTAGTACTATGGCTGGGACCCTATATGTACTGTTAATGAAGTTAGGTGCTGTTCTGAGCATTATTTGTGGTTATAGAGTGGCGTTTGGGTTGAGGTTTGTTTACAGCTCCTCAGACCGCTGTGTATTGCTATCGTGTGGTCGTTACTAAAGTTGGTATAACTAGAGAAGCAAGCAGTCAGCAACATTCATCTCTCGAGGGGGTGTCTAACTCAGTGTTACAGTGTGTTTGACCCTAAATTAATTTCACGCTGGAATATCCCTTTAAGTTGAAGCCTGACTGCCTACAATGGGACACTCACATTGACCAATGACAGATCAGCAGATAAGGAGGCATCCCCAACCACACATGCATCCTTTTACAGCTCAGAAACATGGCGGCAAAAACATAAACACCACTATGAGTATAAATAAGACAGCCAGGTGCACCCATACTCTTATTTGTCTTTCACTGCAAAACAGAAAATTTGCCGGGACAGCCAGCTGAGGATGTCAATCATCCTTCATGTTTGTTTGTCTTCTGATGTCAAGATGTTGTGATATCCCATGAGTGTGAAATCCCCATCAAACAAACATGGGTTTATTGACCTTATGAAGTTGTCTGGTGTGTGTCATTATAAGTTTGTCTGTACTGTCCAGTTAGGACCTAAAAGTAGTCTAGAGTTTGGACAGCTTAGAGCGAATCTGGGACATCTCTCACACTGCTCATACAATGCACTCACACACAGCTACTGTATGTTCTTACCTTCAACATACTCCATGACCATGCAGAGATGTCTCCGGGTTTCAAAAGAGCAGAACATGGAGACAACGAAAGGATTCTCTGCAAAGGTGAGGATGTCTCTTTCCACAAAGGCCTGCTGGATCTGGTTCCTCAGGATCAGGTTCTGCTTGTTGATCTTCTTCATTGCAAAGCGCTGCCGGGTCTCAAGGTGACGCACCAGGTATACAGCACTAAAAATAGATTCAAAGATGTTATTTAACTTCAAAACCTTACTGCATTAAGATTGTTTGGTCTCAGGAATGACTTGGATAGAGATAAAATGTAAATTTGAAGTGAGTCAAAGTCAACAATGCTGATGCTCCACTCACCCATAAGCTCCGTTACTGATCAGCTTGATGGTCTGAAAATCAGCTTCTCCGGGGGGTTTCATTGCTCTCATCTTACCCTGTGAATAAACATAATACTGTGGTCAAAACATGATCCAGTGTGAAATCAGACAGAGTAAATATTAAATAACTGGGACCAGGTGTCTTAATGTACCCAGGATTTGGTTTCCACCCATCAGAAACATCCTCTGTCATCTAACATTCATTCTTTTGCTTCTGTAATTTTGATAACGCTCATTTGAACATGATGTAAAAGTCACAGTAATGCGTCATCCTTTCAAGGCTCTGACCCCCACCGCCTCGTTCATTATTTAGTCCACTCAGCTAAATTTTGTTAGTTGGAGCTTCGCCTAATGTGAGATTCATGGCCTGAGGAGGGGGTGTGTTTCCTGTTTCTGAGCTCTTCAGCACAAATTAGCTAAATTAGACGGATAGAAACGCTCATGCCAAGTCATTTTCAGATGACGCAAACATTTTCAGTGAAAGCAACATTAACACCAGGCATGGCTCCAGAGGTTATTTGTCACTTCCTGTGACTAAATCCAATGCAAGGCAGAATAAGGAGGAAGACGACAGGATGGGTCTTCATCAGACAAAATAAAACTGTTTCAAGAAGAGTTTGATAAATGTCTAATCAGTCATAATACCAACATTTTTTGGATGGTACATTTCTGCAACATAATATTTGAGTATTTTTCTCCTTTTTCATATAATTTGATTTGTCTGGTTCATGAGCAGGCTGTGAAGTTGAACAATTCTTATTATTGATTTGATTGACAAAGGTTCTTCTATCAGTCCTATCATCCATCCATCCCTGCGTTGGATACTTTGCTGTCAACTTTAAATCCTTTATTATGTTGTCCTTTTGGGTTGAGATGCTGGTGGTTGGTGATAAAAAAGACTCAAACGCATCACTAAACAAGAGCTTTGCAGGGTCAGACATCTACCCCTCTAAGAAAGAGCGAAAAAACATGAAGAAATAGACTGAGCACAGAGAAAAAAAAAACTGATCTTACCTCTGTGGAGTCGTCTGTTTCAGGTGTGAGCGGTCCCTCGCTGTCATAACTGTCCAAGTTTACCATCTCTGTCAACAGAAAACCATTTTAATCACATGGTTAAGAACAGAAGTCTGCAAAGTATCATAACAAAAACAATAACAGTCAGTATGTAACACACCAGAAGCTGAAATAAGAGAGAAATCCTAAAAAGCTAATCTGTTTAAATGGCTCATAAACTTTCTGAAGTGGGACATCAGAGTCTCCGTCCCTCACCTTCGATGGGGTCTCTGGTCAGCCCCAGCTGGCTTATGATGTAACGAGGGATGTCTGTCTTCATCAGGTGACCCTCTTTGGCGTGATCCTCCGCCGCCTCCAGCAGATGGTAGAACTCCTCAGGGTTAAACTCCTGAAATCAGATCAGGACGTCATCATTTCATTTTCTTTTATTCATGGCCACACCATAACACACATACATGCATGCAGAAATAAAAAAAAAAACAATGCAACAATACAAGATAATAGATGTGGATACAATTTACTTCAAATATTGGTTTACTGTCTGTAAAGCAGTGGATGTCAAAGACCTGTTATGACTCCCAGAGGGCATGAGTGTGAACAGGTGGTGTGCAGGGTGTGTACAGTCTGAGGTGATTTCAGTGCTCGCTGTGTGACTTGTCTTTGATACAGAGTCTCTATGGATGGGAGGGTGTGGCCAGTGATTTTGGATGATCCGTTGATTATCCGTTGGAGTTTTGTGCGTGAATGACTATCCAAGTTTCCGTACCAGACTATAGATGATGTGAGGATACTCTCAGTTATGGCTGTGTAGAACTGAAGGAGGATAATGTGTCTCACTCTGAACAGTCTTTTATTGGCTCTTTTGTAAATTTCATCTGCATGTTGCTTCCATTTGAGAGTATTATTCATGTGTGTGCCGAGGAATTTGAAGGAGTCCGTGATGGTTATGGCTTCGGAGTTGATGAGAGGGCTGTTTTGGGTGTGGGTGAGAAGTCTATTATGAGCTCCTTGGTGTTTGATGTGTTGAGCTGAAGGTTATTGTTGTGACACCGAGTGACTGCTTGGGTGACCTGAGCACGGTAGTGGGTTTCATTACTGTCAGTGATGAGTCCAATTATTGTTGTATCGTCTGCGTATTTAAGGATGGATACTGAGTCGTGTGAAGATGTGAGCATGAGGTGAAAAAAAAGGCGGTTTCATTGAGAGTTAATGTCTGTATCTCTTGGTTTTGGGTGGAGCTGAAATGTCCTCAACAGCTCTGTCTAAACTCCTGTCCAGATGCAGCAACATGGAGAAATTAAGGTGGACGAATCCATTTTATTGCTTCTGTTTTAGCTTTTGCTCACAATCAGAAACCTCGTCAGCGTCGCATGACTCATCAAGATTGTTACGAAGCACAATCACACACACACAGCCAAAGAGAGACGACACACTTCCACAAACATATACAAACACACACGTCGGCATCCTAGGGCTTTAAATGACACGGCAGTCACAGTCTGTGTGAGTCAGGCTGGAGGCCGCTGTCTGCTTTAAGAGCGACTGTGACAGAGAAAATTTAATCTAAATGCAAATTTCTTCATCATCCATCCAGACAGACAGACAGACACGTGGACCTTTAGTGCATGTTTCAATTCTCTTCTCCTGCTGCTAGACAAACCGCAGAGCTTAAATGCTTATAATGGACTAACAAATGAGTATCTGTGCTCATGTTTATTTAAAGAAAATCAATTAGTCTTCAGTCACAGAGGGCTGTCAGCCGTGACATGTGGGTGATTAAATATAAAAAAGGTTGGTTTTATCTTACGTTTCCTTTACAGACTCCAGCCAAAATTAAAGTCCCTGATTACTCTCTCGTTAAAAGTTTTAGGATATCTGAAATCTCTGTTCAAAAGGGACAAGGCTGAGAACTGATGCTGGATGGCTCGGATCTTAAGGCATTACATTAAAGACAATATGACTCTGTAGTGGAAATCACTGCATGGACTCAAACTTGCCTCCAACTTCTGATGTCTGGGAAAACACCAATTACTCAGGGAACTAGCAACTTCTCTGGTCCAAACTTATATAAGCGATATAAACTTCTGAACTGAGGTGAAGTGGAAACTGTTCTGTGCCCTGACAAATCAAAAAGGACATTATTTTTGGAAATGATGGACACCAATCCTCTGTTCGAAAGAGAAGAAGGACCAGGCTTGTTGTTAGTATACAGTCCAGAAGTTTGGTGGAGCATCAGTGCCAATAGCATGGGTCGTTTACACATCTGTGAAGGCTCTGTTAGTGTTCAACAATATATACAGTTTTAAGAGCAACATATGCTGCCGACCAGACAATGACTTTTTCAAGGAAGACCTTCAAGTATCATAACCAAGCAACAACCTCCAGAAATGATGCTTCAGTGCAGAAAACTGCAGTTCTCTGAGTGCCTCCTGAACACACTGTGCCTACTATTAGAGCAAAAATAAACTTATTTACGGGCTGGTTTTGGTTTTAACAGCATAAGACTCTCACAGAAACCAATCTGTCCGAGTCCTCCAATCAATCGAATTCATGGTTTCAATGATCAGCAAACCATCCGACTCTTATTGGCTTGGGCTTGTACTTTGCAGACAAATCTAGAGCGGTGAATTTGCTTCTGTTTTGAACTAAACACTTGGTCTTCTGTTGCTCATGGGACTGTAAAAGTTACAGTCTTGGCAGAAGGATTTGGGAAGTATTTGATTATCAGGTGGTAGCTGGTGTTTTCTGGGACTGTATCTTACCAGACACTCCAGGAGCCTGGCAGGTCGGGAGATGATGATGAGGAGCTTTTTCACCAACTCAGTCACAAAAGCGACCTCGGAGCTTTCAGAACGCTCAAAGGCCTGACAGAGAGAGAGAGAGACAAAAAAGAAATATTAACATCAAAAGTCTTTACAAAGCGGTCTGAAACAGAGAAAAATCACAAAGACAGCAGTACAGGTGAAAGAGAGACAAAAAAGGAGCGCAGACAGCTGTGAAGAATGAGAGTCTGTGATCATGAAAATCTCAGCAGATGTAATCAAACCAAAAGCAGGACACCCACAGAAATCACAGCCATCTAATCAAGCCGCCAAAATGGAGTCTCTGATGAAGTTCCTGATACCTGTTATCTGCGGCGTCAAATCATGAACACAATTAGCCTCAATTACCTTTAACCACATTTCCTGCAAAGGCGATCACGAGTCAGAGTGAAATGAGAATTTAGCTGCGCCTGAACCTTCAGAGGCATCTCATCCCCTCAGATATACAGTGGATAGATGTCTGTGTTCTTTTATTTTTCCTCTCAACGTACATTTGCAAAGTCTAATTTTGTATTTTTTGTTGTTAGAGCAGATAAAATACCAGAGTCTTTGCACCAATACCGAAAATATGCATGTCTCATTTTGAAAGAAACGTTTTCCCTTTACTATACGGTCTCATGACGAGGAAGCCATATTTCTGAATATCTGTAAAAACAGCACAGATTTTTAGGTGTTAATTAAATCGAGTTATTAGTTATATAAATGTTGTGAAGATTTACTGAATGAGTTTATATAATGAGTCTACAATCAAGATGACAGTTTTTACAACCAGCAATATCAGGTTTATCAGTGAAAAGAAAAAAAAAACGTCTTTCTTCATCAAATCTTACATCATGAAGCAGCTTCTCCAGGTTCTCCTGCAGCTCAAAGAAGTAGACGGATGTGATGAGACCCTCTCGAGATTTGGCCAAACAGTCTCTGGAGAGCTCAGCGATCTGGTGGTGGATGAAGCTGAGGACGCCGTCGGCCAGAGGAAGAACGTTTTCAGGAGAAAACGCCTGGATGAACTCGGTCAGCCTGTCCTCCATCTGAGCCGTGGCCTGGTGGAGAACACAAGTGTGTTGTTGCCTCTGTTGTTGGTATTGTTACCGTTCGTCTGTAATATCTGTTGATACTTCTGTTGATTTGTTTACATCTAGTTTTTTCTCTCTTCATCTCCCACTTTTTAGCTCATTCTATCAAAGCTGGTGGCTGTTCTCTAGAAAGTCTGGTTCTACTTGGGGTTTCTGCCTGTTTTAAGAAAGCTTGTTGTGGACTTTTCTGTGTATTTCTTAGTTTTTCACGTATTTACATTGAATCGTTCCGTGTGGGAAAAAGTACAGGTTGGACCTGCATTTAATGTCAAACATATTTGAAATAAATTTAGTTTTGTTTTGGGTAAAATACAGTAGAGAAAACTGAGTGATTATTGAAGGAAAGCAGAAGTACGAGGTTGTAGGGATGAAAACGAAGCAAAAAATGACTCAAAAAAAGTTTAGTTAAAAGACTGGGTTGGCTGCGCTGGTTCCCTTTACTTTACTGCAGAGTCATTTTTCATTCACCTCCTGTGAGGAAAAGCCAAAAGAGCTTTTACCTCGTATGAACTCTAACTCCCAATTTCCCATGTCTGGATTTTTATCACTGTGCACAGAGCGCAGACTTGAGGCCGTTTCCTCTGACTCAACCTGAGCATGTCGGGGGGGATAAATGGCACAAAAAGAAAAAGCAGAGAGGAAATCTCTTTTGTTCAAGTCCTTACAGTTGCTGAAATATTCAGAGAAACAAACCTAAAACTCTCTCTGACAGGAGCAACTTATCACGTCGCGGCAGTGTATCATAATCTTGTTTGTTCTGGCTCAGCAGCCCCCGTGGCTCCATTTTTAACTGTGTTTGGGCGTATGAAATCAAATCCTCATTAATCTGAGCATGTTCAATCTGCTCTCACGTGATAAAATTAGATGGTTTGTGAAAATTCTGCAGGCGTGTTTGTATAAATGAGTATAGGTGGCTTTGTGTGTGTATATGTGTTTCACCTTTGGAAAGCGCTCTTTGTACACATGGTTCATCATGACTATCTCATTGTCGTAGCAGGAGGAGGAGCGTCCCGGGCTGCACAGAAAAACACAAATAAAATGTATTAAACAGTGACGGGTACAAAGTATGCTCAGTGTGTAAAATCTGAATAAGGGCTTTCCTAAAATAGCAGTAATAATGAAATATTGATATTGTGCCAGAAAAAGGAAAACCAATGTGAATGTGTGTTGGAAGAAACTCTTTCAAGAAGAAGACTGAGGTTCAGAGCAGCTGAAGTCGAGGTCTAATCTCATGTGTGCTGCTGCCGACCTGAGACTGCGGGAGCGTGGGCGCATGTGTGGAGAGCAGCGGCCCCCGTCGTCGTCCGTGATGCTCTCGGTGCTGCCGAAGTGTTTGGATAAGAAGTGGAGCTCATCCATGGTGGGTTGGAAGGGCAGCTGGTGCAGACGCTCCTGAGAGGAGCTGGACGACTGGAGGAAGAAGACGAGGAAGGAAGTGAGGAAAGGAAGGGTGGTAAAATGAATGAAAACTGACAGAACCGCAAAGATCGTTCTGAAAATGAATGATTAATTCATTGATAGTAAAGAGGAGAAGATTTACTGTTGAGCTGGGAGTGTTGGTGCCATATCCAGAAGAGGGCAAAGATGCTAAAGACCACCGCCGTCCATCCGCTCTGCTGTAGAAACAAACTTTAAGTTACTTCAAGGCTTAAACTCCTACAGAGAACTTTTTGTTTGTGTTGATTTTGGCACCCCCTGTGGACAAAACAGACCTCTTCATGTTATGTTCAGGGCCTGCTCACCCTTTAGGACTTTAATTTGAACCACCTGCTCTCTAAAGGTGAGTTTCTGCCTGGGAAAGAAAAGCTCCTCTGTTGCCGAGTGCTTTCTTACTAGCGGACACACTTTCTACTTTTTTTCCTCTCCAGCCTCAAAACAAGCGGACGTGTCCAATCAGACCCAGTAAATGTAGCGCTGTAAAACACTGACCTTCTAGAGGAGGTGAAGGAGAAGTGTGCCGGGTTACTCGGGGAGAAATTTCGTGGGCTGTCCAGAGGGCTGCTTCCTGCAAAGAGAACAAGATATGCACAGAGGATGAGACACAAGAGAGGAGGACAGATAGAAGTCTAAAATAAGATGTGACAAAGAGGAACCGCAGCTGGTTAGACTGTGACCGAACGACCACAGAAATAGAAAGGACTCTTAAACCCTCTTAAAATGAGACTATTCATCATGATTGGTTGTGTTAGGGCAGATAACAAGAGTAAAAAGGATCAAAGAGGCCCGTGACGCTCTGGAGTGCAGCTTTTTAACCACTCTGTCACATTCTTTGGGCTTTTTTAAGCACACATGAACAAATTACCATCTACAAAGCGAGGCATCAGGGATTTGCAAAGATTCAAACCTGTCTGCGCAGAGCTCAGCAATTACACTCAGCTGTCATCAGTTATCTCAGGGAATAGTCAGAAATTTGAGGATATATTAGTATATATCTATGGATTACCGTTAAATGAGAAGGTCAGTAACAGTCTTTTATGTTCTATATCTGGACAGATATAGTTTGTTCTGCAAAAACAGTGAAAACAAGGAGAGAGGATTGTATTCGCAGAAGCATCCTGTCATATTTGGATGGAATCAGACTGTAGGTTTTCATCTTAAACGGTGTAAAAAGATGAACAGTGAGACACCTCTGCAAAAGTGCAGCCATAACACTTGCAGCGCCCTCTTCTGACTGGCTGTAGTATAGTAGTTCGCCCTATTAACAGGTGGGACATGAGCTAAACGATATAACCATAATTCATGTAATTCTGTCATTTCAGTGAGTTCATATCAGGAGAGGATTTAAAATTATTAATTTCTTATTTATTTGAATGGAAATTAAATTCTGACTAATCGACTTGTCTAAAGGTAAGAAAACACTCAGGAAACTCTCAGAACTTGTCTTAAAACAGGATCAGAGAGTTTGTGGGTAAACAATGTTAAATAGGTTTGTGAGTTTGACTAACATTAGTAGAGCTAGCACCACCGGCCCACAGTCCTCCATGCAGGTTAGTTAAAGTCCAAATGCCTATTCTGGTTTCTTATTGCTCTGGTTGAGTGGTTTCACACCAGTACATACAACTTTGTCTTCATTCAACTGGTCAAAATGCAAAATTTATGTCTAAGAGTTGATCTTTTATTTTCTATATCTATGAATTTTGATTTTAGACTGACAAGAATCTACTCTACTGTGGACCTGAGGGGTTTTCATCATTTGGTCCTGAGGGCTTGGATCTAGTCTGGGCCATATAGTACCTGTTGATCTACTGTACCTGCTTTATGTCTATGAGTGAATAAGGATGTTTTTAAAGAAAGGGCTATTTAGATGCTGCTGGGATTATGTTTACAATATGTTTGCGCAGCCTTAAAAAAAAAACCTGCTAAGACTTGTTTGAATCAGGTAATGCAGCAAGTTGAACTGATAGTATTTCAGTGGTGATGGCTTGAATACAGTTGAGGAAGGAAAATTTTTGTCAAGTCACAGGAAGTCAACAAAATAATGGACTTTCAGAAGAGCTTGGAAAAAAGTCTCTGATTTCCAAGCCCAAAAAGCAGTTCAACTGGAATAAACATTATTCTTTAATTTATGATTTGAATGCAACAAACTTCATGATCCTGGATTATTTAAAAAACATACCAGTTAATCCATTTGCAATTGCATCCCAAACAAATCCCACAATTGCACAGTTTGTAGTACAGTATTGACCCTGACAGTTAAAAATGTTGGAGCTAAATGTGTGTTTTTGGTGGTGTAAAGGGTGAGACAGCTCCACTTGTTGATCCTTGCTGCATAGATGTCACTAGCACAAGATTCCAGCACCAACTGAGGGAGTATTTTGGCTTCACATTAATCCAGGAGGAGCTAGAGACATGTCAACAATCTTCATGTACAGCCAATCGTTCAGTCAATTTCACAAAAAATCTCAGACTTTTTCATTTAATTCTCTCGTGAAGGTGAGAGGTGATTTACGAAATGATGTTTTACTGTACTTACCGAGGTGTCCAGGGAGGGGCAGAGGGGAGTGTGGGCGAGGCAGCGTTGGAGATGTTGTGGTCAGGATCAGACTCTTCCTGTTGCTCGTTCGACAACTACAGAGAAAGAAAGACAACAGTTTCATATTAAAAAAAAGGGATTATCCTGTCATTACTCTTGTGTCTCTGTCTGTAACATGTGCAAGGAGTTTGTGTATGTACAGGTGTGTAGGTAGCAGATATGTGTGAATGCATGCGGGGCTTAGTGCAGGAGAGAGACAGAGATAAGGAGAATTCAATTTCCTTTAGTCACCCATCCCTGTCTGCCTCCTTGTAGTCCAGATAAGAAATGAGAGAGAGAGAGAGAGAGGGAGAAGAGGAGAGCAGTAAAGTTAGAGGGAAAAGCAGCAAAAGAAAGACTGAGACAGAGAGAGAGAGAGAGAGAGAGAGAGAGAGGAGAAGGTGAGATGGGAGTCATAAAAATAAAAACAAGAATCAAAGCGGTCCATTTTTCTGTGACTTTCTCTAATTACCTCTGGGGCACATTTACGCAGCCACTCTGAGTCACCTCACACATTTATATCACCCATGATGACACATAATCTAACATATCATTAGGTGCTAAATTGAGCAACCGTTTGGGAGTCATGCCTCCAAATTCTGTTTCAACTTTATCAGTGCAGCAAAAAAAATTGCACTTATGTGTCTCGGCTGTTAAGGAGCTTGAATACGTGCAAATATAAACAACAAGGAGGTAAGAAGAGACACAAACAAAACATCGTCGTCTCATCCATCAGACAAAGAGAGAGGTCGTCCCCATTCTCTCTCCGCTCTCTGCCGCCGTCACGTGGGTTCACATGTGAGCAGCCTCCACACACACACACTCACACACACACACACACTCACACACATAGTCTCACACCATCATTGAGTCTTGCTGCAAAGGTACAAAGGTTTGAATAAGAATCAGCGCAATGAGATGAAGATTAACCCCCACACACACAACACCTGTAAAAACCTCTCAACGTGACAATATCAGTCACATGACCCAAAGACGTCACGCTGTCACCTTCTCCTTGACCAAGATGAATGTACTATAAACATCTATGAGAAACCACAAATGTACAGACTGATACACTAATGGGACCATAGAGTGTTTACTCTTAGTGTCTACACCTGCAGAGCACCAACGTCATAGTCTGTGTTGATCATTACAGTGTGTGAAGCAACATGCCGCCTCTCCTGGACTCTCTCCTCTCCCTCCGCTTGTGTATCTACTTCTGCACACCGGTGTCAAAGCTGCTGTAAAAACAGGAGAGTTGATTTGAAAGCAGAAAATAGGCATATAGAACCAAATTATAAATACTATTACTAATAAAAATTGTGTTTTTGAAATTTGATTTGTTTATAAGAACTTAAAATGCAACACTTTTATCTGGCATGAATTCTTGTATGTTTTCAAAAGAGGAAAACAAATCCCAATCTTAGATTTTTTTAAAATGTTGTGCTGCCCTAATAAACTTGATTCTGATTGGTCAACATGCTAAAGTGTGTTGTCTGAGAGTTTATTTCAGAGACTGTCATCTATCAAAACATGCAGAAAAACAACAACAGTGGGAGATCAGCGTTATACACCGATCAGGCAGAACGTTATGACCACTGATGGGGGGAGTGAAAAACGCTAATTATCTCGTCATCGTGGCACCTGTTAGTGGGCGGAATATAAATGAGGTAGCAGGTGAACGCTTTGTCCTCAAAGTTAGAAACAAAAATGTGGTCAAAAGTGGTCCGAGAAAGAGACAGTGGTGAGCAGACGATGGGGTCATGGGCGGACAAGGCTCGCTGATGCATGGAGGGAGCAAAGCCACGTGCCGTCTCATGTCCACCCAGAAAGCCCAAACAACGGGCATGTGAAAACCGCAACTAGGGTGGACTAAATTTGTCTCTTGAACCCTTCTCTCTCCAGCCTCGGTTGGATCTAACTGTGAGGGTTCAAAGTAGGGTTATCCCGATACAACTTTTTGACTTTCGATATGATACCGATATTGTAGCCTTCAATGTTGACCGATACCAATATTGGTCAGGTGGCACAAAATTGTACATGACACGTTTTTCACTCAACTGCAATGTATTTTTTATTTTTCAGACTTAAACAAAAAATACTGCCTCAAGCCCAACATCACTCTTACTCCTTGTTACTTTGTTAGTACCTTAGTACACACTGTTGTTGTGATTTTGTGGGCTCAGCTCGCTGGACCAGGGCGCTACTAGATAGAGGCGCCAGAGCAGAATGGACTGCTTGTATGGGAGTGCTGATATCAGAGATTTTAGATGCAGATTTGGATTTTTATTGGGACACCCCTGGTTTAAAGGAGTGATTCAAACAGACTGGTGTTTGTATAGATGTCTCCGGTAGATTCTGAGTTAACTTGTTTACCACTTGAATGGGGTCCAGTTAACATTCAGTGAACAGGTTTTTACTGGACCCTTAACATTGGAGTCTTGCCCACCTCGTCAGGGTGCTCACTATAAATCATCCCTTATGCCATGACACAGAGCCAGCACCATCCAATCTGTCTGTGTTTATTATTCTAACTGTGCAGCGGATGTCCTGCTGGATCAGATCTATAACTCCTCTTATAGAAATTGATCTCACATGCCAATACTGCTGGATTTCAAATGCAGCGCCAATATCTGCTATTGTGCCATTTCACACTTACTTAAACGAATCAATAATCCTGACTCTGCTCTGCAACCTTTAAAACTTTAAATTTGGAGCTGCAATAATGTAACACACTTGAATCCTACAGTGATGGTAGTACTTTTTAAAAATTAATTTAATTTTATTTTATTTTATTATTTATTTTCATTTTTTGAGGGGGAAGCATTACCCATTTTCAGTGTTTCAGTGTAAAAAAAAACAACAAAAAAAGAAAAAAAAAAACACTTTGGTCAAAGCCCCCTCTGGATGCACTTCCAGCATTAAAAGAATAGCAAAATTACTCTCTTGAGGCCCTTTCAAAATTGCAAACTCCATGTTCTTTCAACAGAAAACAACAACAACATGAAAATAGTGCCTACTGGATGTTACTCCAATTGTATCCTGGAAGAAGAGCCCACCAGATACATTTCCAACTTCCCCAATGTTGCACTAGTGCCTTCTGGATGCCCTTTTTAGGAAAATCAAGGCAGGAAAAGCACCGCGTAGATCTCCTTCTTAAACTAAGTGGAGTAACTGCCTCTGGATGGAAAAAATGAGGACGAACACCCACTACCCACTTAATTTTCTTACAGCAAATAAAACATTGCAAAAGTGCCTCTTCTGGGAAACTGAGGTCAAAGAAGAGTGCCCACTAGATGTCCTTCAAATAGAAAAAGATGCGTAAAAACCTCTACTGGATACACTTTTTTTACATCAATGTAGGAACAGTACCGCCTAGATTACCTTCCCGTAGATAAAAAGCTAGAAAAACTGATGTCTTTCCAACAGTGATAAACATGAACGTCTTTTTTAGATTGAAACATTCATTTTTTTGATCATGTATTGATAGTTTTGTGTTTTTCTTTTTAATTTGCACCACTAAAAGTTGCATGAATATTCTCCAGAATGCAGAGAATTAAGCGTTCATTAATTGTACATTTTTGTGCGCTGGCCTCATTGCACACAGGGGCAACCATTGGTAGCACCACTGTCTCTTCACAGAAGCACATCCTCTTAATAACTCCAATACTTTCTCTGCCTCTCCTAACAGAGAGAGACAAAGCGTATAAAGTAAGTCGAGCCGAGCAGCTGGTTATTTTTGGTTAATGGATTCTTAGTGCTGCAGGGAATCAATGTGGGCCGTCTGTAAACACACCAAAACACCCAAACACACAGCTTTGAATTCCTGCGCCTCTGTTCTGCTCCAGTATTCTGTGTTTCACTGTATGTGCAAACATGTGGACGCTAACCGGCGTGTAATTCACACACATCCAGCAAGTATGCAGCAGCTGCTGATGCAGAGTCCAAAATTTCAGAGTGATCCCCGGGGGGAGTGTTTCTGCTCGATGGTCATTCAAGATCAAGAGTGTGGAGGGAGGAGGGAGGGAGAGAAGAGGAGGGGAGGAGAGGGGGAGACACACTCCACTGCACTCAGTAAATCTGGATTCTACTGGCTGTTGCTGCAGGCCAGAGAGAGGGGTGGTGTGCAGAGGATGAGGAGGTAAATATGCAGAAAGATAGCGTGGTTAGCATACGCGGCATAAATAATGGATGCAGCTTTTGTGGCGTCACTCTTTTGTGAGTTGGTGCCTGGAGTTTTGCATACTTGCTGCTGCCTGGTTAGCTTCTGGAGGCAGAATGAAGAGGGCGGAGCTGGAGAGAAGTCAAGGGTTGACAAAACACCAAGTTATCAAAGCAGTAGTCTGTGCCTGGGATTAGTTCACTCACTGGAGAATAAGCCAGCCATCCAATGTGTTTCTGAGGTTACATTTTTATTCATCGAGCCAAAGGAGCAAAGACTCCTTGTTTGTGTATTACACTTGGTTATGGTGAAAACAGATATGATGTGATACAAACAGGAACTTTGAAACACTTTACCCTATCACCATGTAGGCTCACCATCTTCACCACTTTAAATGCCCTTTGTACACCCAGTCAAGTTGCTATTGACCAATAAAATCAAGGCCATTAGTTGGGCGGTGTTCCTCCAGGTGTTTTGTAAACATTTCACAACTTCTTTGAAAAGTGAGAATATACTTTTGACAACACATCTACATTAATCAGTTCTAAAATTTGACAAGTTTTTTTTTTTTTTTTTTTTTTTAACTTTTTTCAATTGCATATATGCTTCACATGATTTTCAAGCCACTGAATTATATTTTATCAATGTTTAACACAGTGTCTCATAGACTGTATATACTATGAACAATTTGGTTCTGCCTTCCGCCTGTACACGGATTTGAAGCTGAAAAAGCTCTCGGTAATTCTGGGATTTTCTCCACTCCCTGAAACCAGCGCTGCGCAGTAGCGTTGTACTCATTCAGCGGGAGAGTCGACAAGAGTCGCTGTGATGATGCTCAGCTCAAACAGTGTATCCCCTACGCAATCTTTGTACACCCATAGGCTGTATCAAGTGTCAATCATAGAAAACATGAATCCCCTGATAACTTTTAAAAACGGAGCTGTACAGAAAAAAAGAGGACTTGAGCACAAACCAGTCTGACAGTAACTACATGTCAACATAGCAAGCAGGGGGAGAAAAATTTATATTCTGTGTAATTTTCTGTAAAATTTGTCCACAGCTCCATAGGGATTGCTGAAGGAGGCGGGATTTATGACTTATACTGCAGCCTGTCACCAGAGGGTGCTCAGATTGGCTTCATCCAGTGAGGAGGCAGACGGCGTCCATTCTATATACAGTCCCAATATTTATGGAATTGAGGTTATACCGGCTGGTCCAAATCATGACTGAAAACTTTAAAAATTGGTCAATAGCAGTCACCAGCTGGCTGTATTGGTGCACCTCTAATTATTACATAAAAGATTCATAAGGCATAGAGAGTGTTCCTGGAAAAGGAGTGACTGCAAATCGAATAAAATTTAGAGATAGAGACGTTGAAACAGAAACTGAAAGACAAAAGCAACAGAGCGAGAACTAGAGATGCATTTTGAAAGTGGTAAACATCACCCACACAGGCTCAAGATAAACATGACCCATTTTTTTTTCATCCTGGCACACACAAGTGTATGTGTTCATGCTGCACAAACACAACAGACTGCATAAACAGAGCACATGGGGGAATATTATTCACCAGGAAGCATGAGCAGATGACACCGCTCTAACAAAGCCAGACAAACAGGAGCCTTCATCCTCTGCATGATAACAGTCTGTCCTCTAGTTAACAGCAGAGAGAGCGTTAATATTGATCAGACCAGACCACCCATTTATACGAATCTACTCAAATATATCTAAGATACAGAAAGACAAGGGCCTGAGGGCATGAGAGGAGGAAGAGGAGGAGCTGGAGCGAACACAGAAAGTGAGGAGGAGGAGGAGGAGAAAGTCTGACAAATGCAGTGCCAACTAAAACTAAAAACAGAAGGTGTGTTTATCAAAGAATGAGGAAGAAAGTAAATAAAATAGATGAAAGAAAGCAACAGAGGCTAATAACCACTGACTCTGAATCAACCCAGAAAGAAGAAAAAAAAAATTCAAGTTTTTCATGAAATTATCAAACATCCTCAAAGCAGGAATCAAACCCTGATGTCTTCTTTGATTTCAAGTTTCATTATAGACTGAAGAGGCTGAATTGCTTTATGTTAAGGACAAAATGAAAAATTTAATTGATGTCTGAAGCCCTGGATGGATTGAGGAGGGAGATGAGGGAGAGGAGGGAGATGAGGGAGCTACAGTCACGTGTTCGTTTCCAGGCAGTGTGTGGCAACTGCCAAAGAACCCCAAACAGGAACCACAGTGAGGGACAGGAGGCGAGAGATATAACCAAACATAAATGACACTGAAGGGAACTTTTTATAACGGTGACACAAAGGGAAATGTCAAACCGATCACCCGTCATGAGGTCCTACACGTTTTGGGTATTTTTGCTATTATAGATATAAAAATGCTGGCTGGTTAGGTAGCATTAAGTTTGTTTTTCTGACAGTGAATTTTGACATGAGAAAAAACTTAAAAGAAGCACTCAATCTGGTCACTGATGGTCTTGTTTGTTTTTGTTTTTGGTTGTATAAAGTTTCAGTTTGTTTCTTAACCAGCTGCAAACTCTTCACAGTAGCTTCAGGAAAAGAAAGTCAGGCGCACAAGTTGCAGACAGTCTCATTGATTTTTAAGCCTTCTTCCTGACACGAACTCCCACAATACAGCCTTAAGCGATTTTAACCTTCTCTGCAGCTTTTTATTAACTGAAAGCAGACAAGTAACGATATTTAGCAAGTTCTTCTGTGTTCATATGCTTCGCAAACCTACAACATGAAGGAACAACATCATTCAAGCTTTCCACTCTGTGAGACAGAGTGAAATAGCTGCAGTGTGGACATAGTGAATGAGCTTGATCTGGCTCTGTTTAACAGCAGCTGTGCAGCAGGTCACAAAGGCAGCAGGAAAATACAAGGACAGGGTCTAAAACAGTAGTGAGGAAGGCCTGAGGCTCAACACTGTCCTCACTCAGCTCCATCAGATCTCCACTGAGCTGCACTCAGCATCGTCAAAATCACACTGACCAGGAGACAGCAACACACACTTCTACCTTTTTTTCACTCCTGTCTTTCCTGAGCTCTCCTGACAGCACCTAAAGGCCTCTTCGCAGGTATAAAAGCTTTGTTTTACTGTTGTCCTTTATTCTGTAATAGCCTCAAATCTCCTGTCTCAGTCTGAGAAGCCTCACAACAGCTGGCAGCAGCTATTCCTCTCACAAAGCCCGAGCCCTCAGCGGTGTTTTCTCGTAAAACAATCTCAGAGGAGGAGCAGGATCAAGGAGAATAAGAGCAGTATTTCTCAAACAGGAGAGGACACTTTACTGAACCAGGAGATAATGGGGGATGGAGCTGCTCAGTTTGTGTGTATTGAATCCTGTGTCCTCTTGAGGGAAGCTGCAGCACTTAAACGGAGCCTCTCCAGTCTGACTCAGGTGTCTTCTCCTCATGACACTGACCTCCTTTACTTTGAACATAATTGGTTAAGTGGAGTGTAAATGCTTTAGCTACAGAGGAGTGTTTAAAGCAGAGGATGCAACAATGACTCTGCGAGTGTCTGTGTGGTTCTTTGTTCAGAAGTGAATGATATGATGCCTTTGAGCTGAATGCACCAAAGCTTCAGAGGCCCACTGCAGCAAATGTGGTGCAACTACCTAACAGATGTAAGACGCTGAAGTGTGTAACATCTAGCTGTAATAGGTAAAAAATGAAACTGTAAAAGAGTGCACTGTAAAAGAACAAAACAAAAGAAAAAAGGATGGAGCAGGAATGTGCTACAGAAGTGATGCAAAGTCAAACACACCCAAACCCAGACAATAACTGCAACAGAAAAGCTAGAGATATAAACGATTGGAGGCTGCTGTTAGGTTTTTCAGATGCATCTATACAGTTGCTATTTTGATAAAGGGTTTCTAACCATTTGATCTAATGTTAGAAACGTCTGTGAAAATAAAATATGCCTTTTTGTGCAAAAATTTCACAGTATAAGATGAAAAAAAATGTCATAGTATCGTCTTATAAAAATGTCATAGTATATTATGACAAAAAATTTTAATTTTAGTATGAAAAAAACCCATCATAGTATACTATGATTAAAATGCCATGGTTTAGTCTTAAAAAAATATCATAGTATACTTTGATAAAAATGTCAAATTTTAGTATGAAAAAAATGTCACAGTAGAGTATGTTAAAAAAACATAGTATGATAAAAAAAAATTCAAGTTTCAGTATGATAAAAATATCATACTGATAAAAATGTTAGGATTTCAGGATTATAAAAATATCATGGTATCGTCTTATAAAAATGTCATAGGATAGTATGACAAAAATTTAAAATTTTAGTATGAAAAAAATATTATAGTATACTTTGATAAAAACGTCAAATTTGAGTATGAAAAAAATGTCATAGTATAGTATCTTAAAAAATGTCACAGTAGAGTATGTTAAAAAAAATCATAGTATAATAAAAAAAAATTCAAGTTTCATTATGATAAAAATATCAGAGTATGGAATGATAAAAAAGTTTAGGATTTCAGGATTATAAAAATATTATGGTATATATAGTAAGATATATAATAGTATAATAAAAAATGTCATGGATAGTATGATAAAAATTTCAGATTTTTGAATGAAAGATGTCATAGTATAATATGATATAATATAAATATAAAAATTTTAGCATGAAAAAAAGTAATTGTATAGTATGTTAAAAATATCACAGTATAGCATGATAAAAAATTATAGTAAATTATGATAAAAGTGTCACATTTTAGTATTTAAAAAATAATTAAAAAGTCATAGTACAGTATGTTTGAGAAATTTTATTGCATTGTAAGGAAAAAAATTAATAGTATAGTCTTATAAAAAATGTCAGAGTATTCTATGACAAAATTTCAAACTTTAGTAAGGAAAAATTCATTGTATAATATAGTAGGTTAAAAATATCAAAGTATAGTATGATAATAATGTCATTGTATATTATGATAAAAGTTTCACATTTGAGTATGATAAAAATGCCATAGCATAGTATGTTACAAAATGTAATAGTATACTATGATTAAAATGTTCAAATTTTCGTTAGGGGAAAAAAGTCATTGCATTATGTGTGACGGTTATATACAAGCCAAAACTCGGCAACAGTGAATAACACTTTCCTGGTTAGAAGGTGTTAAAAATAAATGTGTCATGAGGAGAGGCACTTTTCCCTAGAACATTATGAAGGTAATTAACAACAGGTGTGACACAAATTTCACCGTTCACGATAAAATTTCTTCCCTAGAGTGAGCCAGCAAGAGCGCCTTGTTCAACACACTGTGCATAATTGCTTCACCCCATCTCCACATGTTTGCAAACGCACCTGTACCCGTGCTGAATTTTGAACAGTTGCCTCTTTGCTGATTTAACTCCTAATTATAAAACCAACAGAATGTGATATTAACTTACTTTATGTAAAGATAACTCAGTTTTAGGTCATCCAAAGGAGAGTTGTTGCCTTGATCACTATGAAGTTTCAGTGCTGCATCCCTTAAAACAACTATAACACGAAACCGCCAACATTTGAAAAGACATAAATCTCACTCCAACTCTGTAGCCATAAGCATTGTTTGTAAATCTGACCTTTTACAATCAGGCTAATATGAATAAAAAGGGTCAGTCCTGCCCTAAAATGAATACATGTGCTTTTTTAATACGTCTTAACTGCCCCGGCTCAACAAGAAGTGTATTTGACCTTGTGTTTTGTGAATTCAAAGTGTTTTTTTTGTCTTATTTTCATAGGTATTGTAGATGCAAAAGCTGCACATTCTTTTCCTGAACCGGGCTCTAAGTGTGTCTCTCACTACGGCCACATGCAGATCTATTAGGCATGTGCAGCAACACAAAGCTTGACAGACTGTCAGGCCCCATTAATGCAGAGAGCGATGACCGTTAAGTGTTAGGAACAGAGATCCAGCTTACGGCCATGGAGTGAGCAAACAGTTTTCTCAAGAACATAATCTAAATAGTAAAGGCTGGAAATATGAAAAAATGTGCGCAGAGATGCGTTTAAAAAATGAGAAGTTATAAAAACAGAGACCAGTGACAAAAAGAAAAGAGAGGAAAGAGGCAGTCACAGCAAGTCTTTGCGTCTTGGATGCTCACGTAACCATAGAGAGCTGGGCCGTAATGAAGGAGCAGACAAGGATATCACCCCAGGGTCCTGTGCTCTGTCTCACTTTTTCCTCCTGTCACCTCTTGCACAACCTTCCTCCTTCACTTTCATTATCTTAATCACTCACTCCCTTGTCGCCTCGCTCTATCCCAGCTCTGACTTTGACATGTTCACTTTTCGAACCATCCCCAACTTTACAATAAACCCACGGTCATTTAAACAGCAGAAATATGACTGATCATTACATTAATGTCATATATGCATGTGTGTTTGGGCTCAGGTGTCCATAGTAAGAAACCCTGCTGCATTAAAAGCTGGTTTAATTCCAAATCAGCAGGAGAGGGGGGGGTTATTGCATGAGACTGAGCACCAAATCCACTACTGAAGTCCCAGCAGGAGAGACCCCCAGTGTTTTAATGCCAGCTCCAATTTTCAGGCTGTTGAGTTCAGAGTGATTCAGCAGCCAAAACACAAAGGGATGAAGTGCTCAGTTTTATTAATTTTAATTTTAGGGAGGATGTTTTATTTATTTGATGCCAGCTGGAAACTTCTATTCAAGACCACTTGTCATCCTTTCAACAGAAAGTCTGAAAGCAGCTGTTAATTTCCTGCCAGTCAAGTGAAACTCTATTTACGTGTTAGGAAAGCACAATATTAAACCAGAAACACTGTTTTTGAGTTAGAAATTTCTGTTATACATCGTATTCAAAGGTACTGGCTCATCTTAAGACCCACAAAAGCCACATTTTGGAAAGATTCTAAATCCATAAAGCTGAATTAAGTCACTACAAACCTTCATTAGCAGCTTCTGAAAGGGAAACTGAGCAGTACTTTTGGACTATTTCCACTTTAAAAAGATAACATGTAGCCCTAACATCACATTAAACATATTCCACCCCTACTTTCAAGATAAGAAGTCTGTCTTCCTAAAAAACAGTTAAATCTAAGTCACAAGCACTAACTCAACATGACATCAAGAAGAAAAAAAAACAGAAAAGAAAACAAATCAAATCAAATAAAAATAAATAAAACATCTCTCATCATCTGTAAGGCAGAAACTAATAACATCATCCTTAACTTTTGCCTCAGCCTGCTGGTCTTTGATCGATAACGTCAGAGAGTGAATCATGCGGACCGGCAGGTCTGCTGGAAATGTCACTTTGATGAGTCAGTACATCACTTTTCCTTTAACTTGATATTACATTCACTCAAGGTCAACAAAGACGCAGACGAGACCAAGACAACCCAACAACTAACCCCTCCTTATCACACATCCATGTGTCACTCAGTTTACTATAGGGATGAGTTTACTGTTATTAGATATGCAGACAAAATATTACCTGAATAGATGCTGACATACTGATCTGTGGTGACATGGGACTGACAAACTTTATACTGTTTTTTAAAAGCTTTTTAAAGATCTTACAGTGCATCCTTCACCAGCAGCTTTTTAGACAAATACATAAGCTGAAATAATACACTGACATTTTCAGACACATCATTGTAGCACCTCCACAGGCTACTCAACACCTACACTCCATAAGCTGAGGGGGTTTAATATCACTCCAAAGGGTACTTTGACATGTAGACAGGAGAGGATCAAACTGCCAACCCCCCAATTGATACACATGATATTCAGCATGCTACAAATCAATCTCAGCATGTCCTTCTGGTAATTGGTGGACTGTGTTGTATCCTAGCCTGGCTGGGCCATCCTGTTGCGTGAATCACATGCTGTTCCTTCCCACAACAGTCTGGACTTCGGCCCATTGGGAGCGTGAGTTGACTTTGCAAAGTCGGCAGAAATCGTTTAGATCCGCAGAAGACGTCTGATATAAATGATTTCTGCCGACTTTGCAAAGTCAACTGCAGAATTAATGGCGTTCTGGATGGATGGGGCTTTGAAAAGTCTGCAGCATGTGTTAGACGTCACCAACTACACATGGACCAATCAGGGGCTACCTTTCCCTGTTGTCCAGGTAACAGTGAAAACACAGTCTCTGATTGGCCCGGTTATTTTCTGATCAGGAATACACGCTCCCAATGGGCCGAAGTCCAGACTGTTGTGGGAAGGAACAGCAAGTGATTCACGCAACAGGATGGCCCAGCCAGGCTAGTTGTATCCCTCCTGCTTTTGCTCTCCATAGAGACTCTTTACCTTCAGACACTGCTTACAAGCCTGCTGATACCTCATTGGTCAATACTACTCTGATTAAAATAGCATCACAAATAAGCCAGCAAACTTCCCATTCCAGTGTTAATCTAAGAATTTATGACTATGAATGTTTGTCACCAGTCAATACTTGCGAAAATTGTACTTGTTTGAGTTGTCCCTGTTTGTAATACGAACCATGCCGAGCAGTAGCACACGTAAAAAGTGTTTGCTATCAACATCCAAATAATAGACAAACAGATAAAGTTAACACGGGCCAGTTTCAAGGTGTATGGCAATTCGCAAAGGTCACAGTTTGGAAACCTCAGCTATTTTTCTGTCATATGGTTGGTACGTATTAGCTTAGTAAACATGACCGCAGAAGAGATTATGTATTGGTTAGCTCGCTGACCATTAGCCCACTAGCTGCACATACGCTATTGAGTCTGCTCAGCTTTTTGTAGAGCTGTGTGTAAGAAAGACAGAGTATCGTGGGAACACACAAAGAGAAACAGTTTCACCTCAGGCCTTTTCAGGGACCTCAAAGTGTTTATTTGACGTATTATTAGCGGCTCCAGCCATTAGCCTGCAGTGTTTGACCAGGTGCAGGTGTTGCTGCTCCAGTCGGCCGACGCTGGTCACTATGTAACCAGGGGAACTGATGCATAACAGATGACTGTTGCAGGGACAGAGAAGTTAATTTTTGGGCAAGTAGTTAGTGCATCTATACTGATATAACAGAAGAAGTAGAAGTAGTGGAAGTAGTAGTAGGGAATGTGTTTTTCAATCAAATCCATCCAGCAACATGATATACTATGTTATTCAAAAATACATTAAATATGTTCAACAGAAAGAAAATAAAAGTTTTTGTGTTGTTTCTACCTAGAGTCCCAGACATTTCAAGATAACACATTTTAGAGCAGTATCTGTAGTACAGCTGTACTGTGAAACTGAGATATGCTCAGGGTTATTGTTCCAGCCAAGCTAGCACTGTCACACACTTACAGAACCTGATTTTTAAGAAGCTGTTATGAGAGATCAGTTAAAAAGTACGAGACTGCAACATGCAACTAAACAGAGCAAACATTTCAAACAAACCGTGAACAAAGATAGATAAGCAAAAAGTACCACCAAACGTCTCAGAAACCAAACCCTAAGCCCTCTGCAGCATCTCTCCTTTTACCTTTTGGTGCGTCTGAACATGTTGCAGGTTTCTAGGCGACAGCTGAAGGAGAGCAGTCAGGAAACAAAAGATCTCGTTGCAATTCAACGCAAACTGTCACTCCTTCAACCCTTGGACATGCATCTGTAGAGTGTGTGTGTGTCTGTGCAAGAGTGGTGAGAATCCAAAGGAGGCAGAGAGAGAGAGAGAGAGAGAGAGAGAGAGAAGGAGGGATGGAGGGAGACAGGGTGGGTCTGTGTTTAAGAAAGGAACAACAAAAGGCAGCAGGGGATTGTGGGTCATTTTCTCTGAAGGCTGAGATACTTCAGCACAGAGTGAGATGTTCAGACTTGCTTGTTTCCTGTTTTTCTGAGCTCTAAATGAAAGAATGAGACGAGGAGTTAAAAGCTTTTTCACTGCCGGCTGTCGACTCCATCAATGAATGAGGGGCAGAAGAAAGGAGGGGAATTTTACTCAGCAGAGAGTGAAGAAATGACTAAAGGACAAAGTCATGTGGGTTGTTACGTAACCGCCAGGCAGATGTTGAATGGAATCAAAAAAGCATGCTGATGACGATGAAGCACATCACACACACACACACACACACACACACACACACACACACACACACACACACACACACACACACACACACACACACACACACACACACACACAAACACACTCTGAATGGCCTTGTTTATATGTGGCTGCAGCAAACACATCAAATGTCAACAGATTTGGGGAAAAATATCTAAATTAAATTACAGAGATTTCAAGTATTAAATTCTTTAAAACCATCACCTATTCTACTAAATGTGCTTCCTCATAAAATGCATAATTTCCCTGTACAGATTTGTGTTTTTAGAGTGAGAAGAGCCAGCACAAACCAAGCACGATGCTTTGGATGGAAAGATGAAGAAAAAAAATATTATGGAAATAAACACAATAAGAATTCAGCTTTAAACAAGTGAAAGATAATATGAGTCAAACTGGAAATATCTCACCTAAGGTCGCCTTTTACTCATCACAAACTGTAAGTTAAATTAAGACTGTTTCTCACTGATCTCTCATACCATATTAAAGCTCCTGTGAGGGAACTGCTGGTTTGTATTGATTTTGGCGCCCCTGTGGACGAAGAAGTCTTTGCTTACCTTACCTTGTGACTTTTTAAAAAAAAATCATCCTACTGACTTTTGGCAGTCATATTTTAACACTTATTGTGAATATTTCACATGCAAATTGTAAAAACAAAGCTGTTCCTTCAGCTGTGCGGCTTTCCCCTCATGTCCGTTCCAAGCATTTGAAATGAAGTTACAAAAACCTTCAGCCTAGTAACTTGTTGGTCTTGTTTGCTTTTATATTACAAAACACATCGATATAAGTTTCAGTCTATTTCATAAATGTCAAAAAAAAAACTCCTGATAGGAGCTTTAATAAGTTACAGTATGAATGTATCGGTACATAATTCTTAATGTACAGAGTCCTGGATAAGGTTTGATGGATACAGAGGCAAAACAAATGGAGAGAAATGCATGGTGGGAAAAAATGGCAAGTATGGTTGATGGAGAAATATAACAGTGAGAAGGAAAAGATGGCAACACTAGAGGCCAAACAAGAGCTTGTCAACCGCTTCATTTCATGTCTGATTAGCTGTGATGAGTGAGGATGCAGAGGCAGCAAGGGGAAGATGGATGGGACAAGGAAAGGGGCAGTACAGGGTGGAGACTAGGGTAATGGGCTATGACTTGTCATGACACGCACACACACACTGGCACACATAGATACACTCATAGATACAATCTTACTCACAGGAGCAAAGAAATGCTAATGAAAAACATTAAAAGCCTCATAAACATACGACTGATCACACTCCCTTCATTAGACTCTACTGTCAGCAGCTAGAAAAGACCAAATCAAATCAAACATTCACACCCAGGTAGGTTAAAACTTACTAACATGTGATAACCTCCTCTACAACACTGGAAAACCTGCAGTCTTAAAATATACAACACAGAGCTATAGATCTGTGTGTCTGTTAGACCAAAGCACCAACCTCCAGGGCTGAGAAATGAAGTCAGCTCTTTTAGTGCAAAAACTGCAGTTCCTTCAGTGACCACTAGAGGCTGGCACCAAAATACGTTTACCCCCATTAGACTTCATATTGAAAAAGTAAACTTTCAACTTGGTACATAAAAATGATTTGGCTTCTGTAGACTTTTTTTTTAATTAAACTATAAGGGGTGAACTTTGATGTAACCAATCAAAACTGAAATATTTTTGGGCTTATATTTATGCATAATGTGGAGAGTGGGAGCTGCTTCCTGTCTGCAGACACAGTCAATCTGAACCTTTGGAACCTGTTTTTGACACATGTTTGTGATTTTTATTGTTATGCAAGTTATAGACACATTATATGACTTGCTGTGCTGTTAACTGCACACACAGGCCATTCAAGACATTAATCTAAAGCTTTTATTCTCTATATTTCAGTCACCATATGCCTGTTTTTGTAGTTTATTTCTTATCCTGCTAACCTTATGACCTCACCCATTCAAAGACAGAGAAAGAAAAAAAGAGTAAAAGAGGGATGACAGGGTTTGAAGAAAGACAGGGAGAACGAAAGAGGGGTGGAGCTGGGGCATAATTGGTGGAAATAAGTGCAGGAAAATCAACAGATAAATCAAGTAACAGCAAGAGGAAGAAAGTGAATAACTGGAAAAGTCATTCAGCACCATGGAAGTCCACCAAGCTTTCCTGCAGGCCTTTATCAGACTCGGACCAAGTCTCAGCCCGTCAGCTGACCTCCTCATGGACCAGACTGCTCAAAACAAGCAGCACTCAAACATCCTCAGAGCTTTCAAAACACACCAAGCAAATCGGGCCTGGCAGCTGTGATTGTTTTTCTTCATAAAGGGACACCATCTCTCCCTAGAGAGGAGAGGAAAGCCAGAGAGGGAGGGAGAGAGGGAGAGGGGGAGAGGGGGAGGGATGAACGGAGGTAACACTCACCTGCTGTTCTTGCGAGGCAGGGGCAAATCCTTCTGGGAGAAAGACAAAGAGAAGAAGGAAGAGAGAGATCAGGTACTGAAAATCGATCATCATGGATACAAACTATTCAATGAGGAATAAAATAATATTAAGGGACATCAAAGCGAAGGATAATAAAATAGGACAGAAAATTTGGGTATAAAACTGTGGGGTTTTTTTTTTTAAATAAATTTTGAAGATGAAACACATTTTGCTGTTTGATAGAACAGAGAAACAGAGATATTCCCTGTAGTCCTACAAGCATCAAAGTTTACTCTTGAGTTATGGTTACTTTATTTTATTTTAACACTAAAAAATGATGATCCTTCATTTCATTTCCTGGCATCTACATTAACGAGTTTATAGCCTAAACCATGTAGCTTTAATCTCACCCTTTCAGCATTAAAATCAAGAATTATGACGTTAAATTGTTCATAAGCAGGCGTGTCATTTTAAATTGAATCAGCTGGGAATATTCAAAAGCCACCTGAGGCCTGTACTACGAAGCTGGATTAACACATCCAGGATAACTCTGCGACAACTCGCTCAACTTCACCGGATCTCCGCGATCCCGATCAGCTGTACTACGAAGCAGGATATCAACTCGATAACTGAATCCAGTTCAGATCTGTGCGCGCACACGTAAAGGGGGTCGGGTCAGTGCCACCGGACCAATCTCCACAATGGAGAAGGCTGCACGTCATTTTTCACAGCTGAAGAACAGAGCTTTATTCAAACAGTGAGACAGACACAGCCGCTGAAAGCCGGAGGGACTGCCGGCAAAAAAAATCACCGTTTGTGTAAATTACATTTGTGCGTTCATAAATTCATGCCCCCCTAATATATTGTCATGCAGCGTGTGTGATCACCACCATCACTGACCTCATTATTTAAGATACAACAGCAGTGGGGAAAAGAGTACGTGGGAGCAAATAAAAATAAATCTAAAAACATCCTTTAAAATAGTTTGTAGGTTTATTGGAAGATTTTATTTGTACCTATTTCAACGCGTAAACAGTGATTTCCTCACACTGCCTTTTTTTTCTCCATCATCTGATGGTCACATGTCATCTGCAGACACATTTGGGGTTAAGAGTTTTCTAATCTGCTTCAATGAATTCTGAAAGATGACTAACAAATTTGAACCTGGAGCTTGGCAAATTTTAGTGTATTGCTTAGACTTCTTGCTACCTGAATATTGAGACCGTCCGAGGAAAACCTGTAACGTTCATAGAGAACGTCATCAGGTAAATCAAACGGATTTGAGCGATCATGAATATAACGCTCTCGGCGGAGCGCTCCTCTCACTATCCGTGCAACGATGTCCCCGGGATCCGGCAAAAGTGGGCAAGCCATTCTCCAAGAGATCTGATTGGTCATCGGGCGGTTTTTTATACCTGCTGAGATCTTATCCTGAAACATAACCTGCTCCGGAGCAGGTTTGGCGTTCCGCGTAAGTTACCGGGGCAACCGACCCGGATAAAAAGAGATCCACCTTAGTAGTACAGAAAACCCAGAAGTTATCCAGAAGTTATCTCGCTAAGACCAAATCCAGCTTCGTAGTACAGGCCTCTGGAGGTACTGAGCGTCATTCACCAAATCCCTCTCAAGGTTTTTCAAAAAATTTGTGCTTTAGACAAATTAATGTCAGATTCCTGTCCCTGATCTAAAACTGCAGAAAAAAAGATGGATAATGTGACAGATCTGTTGTTTAGTTACCCATGTGTGAGAACAGGATACTGTTGTCGTCAATAAGTGTTTGCTAAACGCAGGTTTCCAGAGTCTGCAAGCCAATAATATTTAATAGGTTTTCCAAAAGTGCCTAACATTAGCAGAGCTAGCACCACCAGCTACTTCTGCCCTACAGTTCACACACAAACCTGTGCAGGTAATACATCGGCCTGAGTTGTTCTAAGCCAGCTTAACCAGAAACAGTCTACATGTAAATTTATCGCCATTATCTAGATCAGAATATTGCTGAACCATTCCCTACTACAAGATACCATTTGCCACTCCAGGCAGTAGACCAGTGGTTCTCAAGTCCAGTCCTTGAGGCCTCCTGTCCTGCATGTTTTGGATGTTTCCCTGCTCCAACACACCTGATTCAAATGATTAGCTCGTTATCAAGCTCTGTAATGGCTTAATAACGAGCTAATCATTTGAATCAGGTGTGTTGGAGCAGGGAAACATCCAAAACATGCAGGACAGTGGGCCTCAAGGACTGGACTTGAGAACCACTGCAGTAGACCATTATACGATCACGGCAGGAACTATTAACCAGAGATACAGTCCAGGCTAGTGGTGGGCAGCTAAGAGACAACGTAAAACGATTCAGGTCTATGATAATAAAAACATAAACATAATTTTTTTGCCTTACTGAGTGAATAGAACAGTGAATAGAGCAGGGACCTGAGAGTGAGAGGGTGGTAAGTGGGTGTTTGTTGTGAATTTTAACATATAAGCATACTGATAGTTTAACTAGAGCATGAATTGAAACGTTCAGTTTAATGTCATCTCTTCCTGCAAGTAGGCCTATCAGAATCCATAGCCATGAAAAAAGAGGGTCTATTCTTAGCTGCGTTGATATCTAATCTTTTAATCAATCAATCATGTTTGAATCAATGTCTTGTGTAAATTTGTTTGTTGTTTGTTAGAAGCCAAGTAATAAGCACAATAACACATAATAAGCGGTTAGTTGAAACCTTTCAGGAAATCTGTTTTATAAACCTGAGTGATGCGACAATATTTTGCAGCTTAAATGAGCCCTCAAATTGGCAGTATTGGTCTGTCTGGTGAAGACGACTGGGTAACATGCTTCTCTCTATTTGTGCATGTTTTTCAAGCTCAAAGCCTAAAAAATTCTGATACAGCTCTCTCCACCTCTCTCCCTTTCTTTCTTGTATCCTCTCATCTCCTGGGTCCAGATGGACGGAGTGTATTGGAGTAAAGCTGCAGTAAACACTCACCACACCCCATGAAAACAGTGTGAGAAGAGCCAGATCTCATGCTAACACAGCCTGGATCTCTTTTTACAGAAACCCTGCACCCTGAGATGTAGAGAGCGAGAGGGAGGGGACAGGCGGTGTAAACAACGGGATGAAGGGGTGAGAGGTGTGGAGGGGGCTTAACATTGTGTGTCTCAGGTGTGAATCATTACACAGTGTATAGTAGCAGATGTAATTAATGTATTTGCTGCTTCACACCCTCTCCTGTCACCCGCAGGGTAATGTTGTTAAGGTGCTGTTAGCTTTGCATCGACCCCCTCCTGACCACAGTCGAGGCAATTATTAGGTTAACCTTCAGATAAAGATTTCCTGTGTGTGTGTATGTGTGAGTGAACATGTGTGCACCTGCTGTTACTTGTCTCCAGTGAAGTCAAGCGTGTTATTGTGCTTGAAGGTCCTGCATTATGAAGACGGATCTCCATGCAGAAGATGGTTTTATGTTGTCCACAAAAATACAGGTCGTCAGATTCACGTAATAGACATAAATTGCCTCCCAAGAAAAATCTGAAGTTAGGTAACTACTGAACATACTAAAAGAGGTAGTAATCACCTCATGAAAGACAGCGGTAAGAGAAGATTAAAGTCTCAACAGTTAAAGCCAAGAGACTCAGAGCTCCCCCTACTGACCGGCTGCAGTATAGGCCTAAAGTGCACCTCCTCTTTCTAATATTAAGGGATGGGACATTTCTTTACATATTTCCCAAACATGTTTTTTTCCTATTGTTTGTTTTCATGCTGATTTATGTCTAAATGTTCATTTTCTGAGTTTTGTCTGAAACAGTGTTACAGTGTAAACCCCAATACAGGTGTCCCCCTGTCAGAAAAGCTTCTGCGGGACTAGCTGTTGACAGTTGCTAAGCTTCTCTCACAGAGGGAGTAGATTTTACAGTTTAGACATGTCTATTTGAGAGCTGATGTTGTAGACATAACAATAACAGGGTATTCAAAAGAATCATAGCCTGTTTAAAACAGAAATATACGTGGCATCACCCACTGATTTCTTAGTGAATGTTACAAAATCCAACAGAAGCTGCCTATCCATCAAATCAGCTGTCCCCTGAATTCTGCAAAACTAGACATAATTGTTAGCCTTTATCATCCATACAGATGAGTGTAAAAATCAGTCACCCCTTGAACAATATGTAAAAATGACAAAATGTCACACAACTAGGCCTGTCGCGATAATCAATAAATCGCCTTATCGCTCGGTAAATAAAAACGAGGTCGGTCATTTTGCCAGCCTCGATAATTGACGTGCGTTTGTTTTCCTCCTCTCTCGCTACCAAACACGCTGGATGAGAGAAGAGGTCTCACTCTGCGCATTTTTCTCGGCACCTGGGGGCGTTGGCTCTATGAATGAACGGAGTTAGTGAACCCTCCTGTCAGTCATTCAGTATCTTTGTCGAGGGGGGGCGCGCGCACAGGTACACGTAGGCGCGCACAGGCACACAGACACAGACTTTTGGATACAGTGCTGCAAGTGAGCGTCGTGAGTGAAAAGCAAGCTAACAGAATGAACACGACAGCTTTGGTGTCTAAACCGAACGCAACAGCCCAAGTGTGGGAATATTTCGGCTTTAAACCAGTTTTGTTTTCGTCAGCCACAAAACTCCACGTGTGTGTGCGCGCGCGCGCGTTTGTGTCTGTGTGTTGGAGGAGCACAGCAGGCTGATGAGAGCTGTCAGAGCGGACTGAAGCTGCTCCTATATGTTTAGCGTTTAACTGACTGAGTTTTGCAACTCTGTTCGTCATTTTCGTCTCGTCCCATCAACGTAAACGCACTTTCGTCTCGTCACATTTTAGTCATCTCCGACTTATGTTTAGCTCGTCAACGTTACGTCTTCGTCGTGGGTGAAATTAAAGTTTATCACTTTTGACACGGTGTACTCGCATTATTATGCCATTTACTATCATTATCTATAATTTAAAAAAACTGTGTCAATAATATCGTTTATCGGCAATAATTTGTAGCACAATTATCGTCCAGCAAAATTTGTTATCGTGACAGGCCTACACACAACCAAAATGCTTTTTTTACCCCCAAGCATAAAAAATATTCAACTCTGCTTTAAAAAGGTGGGCATTTTGATATGGGTGTTAATTGAGACCTCTGCTTTTAAAATCAGCCTCAAGTGGACATTGAAGGAACTGCAGTTATTTTTTTATGTCCACATTGGCTTTAGATGTAAACACCAAAGAGAGCATGTAATTATAAAACAACCTGTTAATAGTCACATTTTCTGGCGAGGTTTACCGCTTCTAACCACAAGGTGCCACCACAAGAATGACTAAATATGTGCAAACCTGGTATTAGTGTGGGGTTAAAGAGTCTGCATGTCTCTGGGGTTTCCGTGTTAACAGAGACAAATCCTTCCTCACAAGGACGACTGAATATTCAACCTATTGATCCCTCTTTACTTTGTCCTTCATTGATCAGGCTAATTGACCCTGAGCTGTCAGAGCCAAAGAGAAGATGGTTAACAGAAGCCAGAGGCATTAAGAAGGTTCTCAATGAGGGAGAGGGTTAACTGTTCAGACTAGACCAGATTAGACACGATCGTTGTTTTCCTGTAGGTTCTTACTCCAAAACTGTTAACTGGACATGAGGGGCTGAGTCAAAGCCGCAGCTAATTTAATATCAGTTAAGAGTTATTGGTCTAGTAGAAAAACAAAAATTAAACTTTGACCATATGAAAAGAATACAATACACATGATACTAGGATAAAATCTTGTTCATAAATGATCAGTGATTCAAGAAAACCCTCAGTGGTAACCAAGATCAGTGAACATTCACTCACTCACATCACGTGTCGTCACATGGAAAGGAAAGGAAAGGAAAGGAAAGGACCCAAAATGCAGAACCAGAGGATTTATTTAAAAGGAACTAAAAGAAAAAAAACAAAACTTACTTTTCAAATTGTCCAACACAAAGAATCCCAAGAAACACAAAAGGCAAAATCAAAAGAAGCAAAAAATCACAAGGAGACACTGGAGACACAGGCATACACACAGAGGCATAGACATACAATGAACCGACAAAGAAACAAGGTAAAACTAGGACTATATATGAACAGGGAAACGAGCAACGGGAGGCAGGTGAGACACAGAGACACGTGCAGACAATCACAGAGAAGGGAAAACTGAGGAAGTAAAACAAGACTAGAAACACAGAGAATAAAACAGGAAACGCTGAACACTGATATACAGAAAAAAACAATGAGAACATGAAGGAAACGGGGTCAGACACAAACTGAAATCTCACAAGACAAGACTACAGAGGAACAGGAATAATAAGGCACAGAAACATCATGCTCCGGCGTCCGGAAAAAATAGAACTCTTGCGATCAACTGTGAAGTCCGGCGATCCACAGCAGAACATAAAGAAGCCGGTGGAAATTGACGCAATAACTTAAATGGTTACGATCAGCGATGATCGGCAGATACGGCCTTTTCCTAGCCGTTCCAGACACGGTGGAAATTGAGGATTGGTCTCTATAAAGTTGCTCAAACTTGTGTCAACTACAATGTTTCTGTACAGTTGTGATTCTCATTTTTTAATTGAATGAAATATCTCTAAATTATTGGTTATACATCTGTGTCTTACATCTTAAAGGCCCAGCACTGTTCTGTTTAAACAAAGGTTAAGCTTCCCATTCTAAATGTGTGATTTCAGGAGGAAATGGCAGCTGAATGAATATGATGAACATGTTGAATGATTTGGATTCAGTTAAAAAAAAAGAAAGCTCTACACCTGAGAGAAAGAGAGTGTACTGCCACAGCTCTTTTGTTTCTGGATCCAGACCTGTAGACATCTGCTCAGTGTCTGTCTGATGTCCCTCTGTGGAGCTTTTTAATGCTCAGAGATGTCTCAGCATTAAAAGATCCAGCTGGCACATTAATCAAAGTCCTCTGCTGGTGTCTGGAATAACAAATGGGAAGAATGATGACGATGCTCTTGAATTAAAAAGAGTCGTAGCTGCTCAGTAGAAAAAAAAATGAGGGTCTAACCTGATAAATCTGCAGCATGAGAGAAACCCTAATATGTCTCTGTACTTTTTTAACTAAATTATTAAACCCTCATGTGACGTAGCCTTTACCAACCCATTACAGACGTCCCCTGTAGTCATCACTTTCACATTACAAATCTAGTGATTGGTGCAACATCAGTAATGAATTTTCATCATGATCTTCCACTTTTATTTGCAGAAAGGTCAAAAAGTGACGACTCATTTTCACCATCAAACATGGCAGCCATTTCTTGGACAGTTGAAGGATATTATGACCAAGGGTGTCCCAATCCCAATCACAGCCATCAGATGTTTGAAACGAAGGGTTTCCCCATTCTTGCCTGATATAGATTAACAATTTTTGAACAGTTCAGAGTCCCTTTATTGTACTTTTTTCCATGATGCGCCAAATTTTTTCAATAAGTGACAAGTCAGGACTGCAGGCTGGCCAGTTTAGCACCAGGACCCTTCTACTACTGAACCATACTGTTTGTAGTTTAGCATCTTCTTGCTGTATTATGCAAGGTCCTTCATGAAAAGTCATTGCCTGGATGGCAGCATATGTTGCTCCAAAACCTTTGTGTATTCATCAGTATTAATGGAGCCTTCACAGATATGTAAGCTATCCAGGCCATGGACACTTCTAATCCCCATACTATCACCATTGATAAAGCCAATGTCAATGTCAACTTGTAATCCGTCTTATCTTGAATTGGCCAAGGCCTGATGTTTTTTGTTGTTGTTGTCTCGTTGGGCATTTTTTGCTTTCACAAGATAAGACATCTTAGGATAGCAGAGCATCCCACTGAGCAATAGACGGCTATCAGACGGCTAGTTTCTTTTTTTTTTAGACCTAACTTCAACCATCTAGATTCTGTATATTTTTGGACGGCTATAGACGTTGCAATTTAACCCATTATTTGATAACTATTTATTTCAAAAAGCAACTGTGAGTTGCATAACTGATCTCCAAGTACTTAACCAAAATAATTATGATAGCCGTTAAGCAATTAAGTACAGTGTGGTATAGATATAGCCCATATTTAGACTTCGTCTACAGTTGAACTAAATTTAAACGTCTAAAAAAACCATTAATTTGTAGACCTGTGGTAGCCTGATTTTAGACCAGTTGTCTAAACTACATTTAGATGTCTATTAGACTTCTTTTAGATGAAAAAATGCTCAGTGGGATATATGAGAGATGCTAAGACCACCAAGTTGTCAGGGCCCCTGGATCATTTTTAAATACATATATGGTTTCAATCTGCACTAATGGATGCAAGAACAAACTTTGTTCATGGACAATGGTTTTTGGAAGTGATTTTTAGTCACTGTGACGATTTCCACTCCAGAGTCATGTCTGCTTTTAATGCAGCGCCATCTGAAGTCCCCAAAGATCACAGCCATCTAATAACAGTCATCAGCCTTACCCCAAATAATTTAAAACCACAAAATTACATTCATATTAACATTTTACACAACCCCTTCACTTTTATGTTATGGTGTTGTACCTTTGGGGTGTTGATGATAAATCTGTATTGCGTTGGAATTAATTATGCAAAATAAGTCATAATCTGAAAAAAAAATGACTTGTTAACTAATCAAATCAGGACTTGGTTTCAGCAGACAAAGACTAAAAAAGCTGATTGAGACATCCCTTAATATCACAGCCTCCCACTATGAGTGTGAACTCAGAGGTAAATGGATGAGTAACATGTTGGTAATTGTGCAGGAAATAAGCACAATAGTCAGGGTGTGTCAAGCACTTGTGACTCACCTTCCCACTACTTCAAAAAATAAAGGGAAGAATTGGATCTTCTTCGTTTTTCCCCCTTCAACACACGCTCTTAAGTCAGGACAATCTGTGTCTTGGCTCTCCTGTGGTATAATTAGCGCATCACAACGCCTCGCTGTATTGCTCACTGCACAGCTTCATTTGCCACGTCACAGCATGTGAAAAGATTGTTTGAAGAGAGAAAAGGAGGCAGATGGGGAGCCGGGTATAGAGCTTAATGCTCTGTGAGTCCTGTTAATGAAGTCTGGCGGTGTTTAAGGGTGACGACAGACAGGCGGCTCTGTTACAGACATGACATGCTCACCGATCACAGATTAGAAAGCACACACAATATTTACACCTCTCTCACACGGGAAGCTACGGCTCCTTTTATGCAGGGTTGGCAATGTTCTCCACAGAAGAGAGATGAGGTTTGAGCTTATAAAGTAATTCCCTTTTTAATCCTGACAACAGTGTGCAGGAATAAATAGAAATCTCTTCCTGTAGAAATGTTCCAACACCATCCTTTCCTTCCTGATATTGATTCTCACAAAATGAACCCTGTTTAAACCTACACCGAGCAATGCTGTTATGATGCAAGAACTGTGAACCTCAGTGCCATGCTAGTAAGCTCATGAGACGCTAAAAGGACTCCATAAAACGCCAGTATTTGCCAACCAGTGTCAAGGCTTTGGGTGTTACAGTGTTCCAGTATCATTTAGCAGAAACTTGTGTCCAAAGCAATGTACGTTGAAGAGTAAGTACAACACAAGCAAGATCTAGACAGAGGGAAACGACATGAGTAAATGCCACAAACTGCTTCAAGACATAGACATCATTATCATCATCATCATCATCATCATCATCACCAAACTATCCAGTGGTGAGCTGATTTAAAAACAGCTTCAGAAGAAGAAGGGGTCTGTTTAGATCAAAGCGATTTTATAACTCTTACAACCACTCGGGACAACAGAAGATGAGAGCTGAATTGAAGTGCATAGGTGTTCTCTAAAGAGCTGAGTCTTTAGCTTTTTCTTAAAGGTAGAAAGAGACTTGAGAGACTCTGATAGAGTTTGGTAATTCAGTCACGATCTGGGATAACAGGGAAGAGGAGTCTAGTAGCATACAGTAGGGCCCTGCTGTGATGGGACCACCAGACACCTTTCATTTACAGAGCGTAGTGAGGGGAATGTAGACCTGAATGAGGGACTGAAGGTAGACAGGAACTGATTTCTTTGCAGTTTTGTAGGGAACAAGTAGGGTTTTATATTTGATGCAGGCTGTTACTGGAAACCAGTAGAGAGAGGTTAAACAGCGGAGTGACATGAGCTGACGGGACGGGATGCTGCATTTTGGATCATTTGTAGAGGTTTGACTATGCATGCAGTGATAATACAAGAGCCTGTACCAGGAGCTGTGTTGTATGTCGTGTCTGGAAGGGGTCTGATCATACTATTGTTATAGAGGGTGAATTGGCAGGACTGAGCAATCAAGGCAACATGAATCTGAAAGGCTAATTGATAATCAATCATGACACCTAGATTCTGAGCAGACTTAGTTGGCACAAGTTCATTTGATCTAAGCTGGATACTGAGCTTCAGGCTAGGACAGTCATGACCGAAAAAGCTGGGTATCATCTGCATAACAGTGATATGAGGAACCATGAAATTAGCACTGAATGAGATGGTGTACAGCGAGGAAAGTAGGGGACCAAGCATCAACCCTTGAGGAACCCCTATTGATAGGCAATGTGGTTTTTAACGCTTCTCTTCTCCATGATACTGCAAAACACCTGCTTTGAGATAGGACACAAACCACTGGAAAGAAAAAGCAGAGGGGAAACTGATCTGTAATCATCAACTTGGCCTGGCCTGATGTGGGTAACTGCGGGGTTAAGAGAAGGTAAAATGGTCGGCAGAGGGTGTGTAGGGATTGGGTCCAGTGGACAGGTAGTGAGCCTTGAGTCAAGCAGAGTCCTGGAGACTTTGTCTTTGCTCAGAGGAATGGAGTGAAGAGAAGATGGCAAGACTCATCTGTGGGAGTAAAATTAATGGCTGCACCAATGGACCATAGGAGGATTCATCACTCTTTAGGCTCATCCCAGACCATCAGCCCCTCTGCCGTTTCTATCCGTCAAACACAGACAGGTCAGTCAGTCACATCTGCAGAAGATGACAGGTCCGCTCTCTGTCTGAGCTTTGATCGATCCTCTTTGTTCGTCTTCGTTCCACTCCCCTCCATTTCTCTAGTCCTCTAAATGATCAGACTGTCCAGCCGGTCCTGACAAAGCAGCAGTCTGTTTTACAGGCCCGCAGCTCATTTAAAGCCATTTCATTATTACACAAGCTTTCCTGCAAGATGACTCTAAGGACACAACAGGAAATGGACTTTTATGGGTTTGTCTTACAGCAGGGGACAGAATATACTCCACTTTAAGGTCTTAGCTACAGGGGACTGCATTAAAACATTAACCTCCTGGCTGTTCAAACAGCTGAGTGAGCTGAGCAGATATTTCAGAGAAAATCTGAGCCTCAGTTTGATCATACTTTATAAAGTTACTGTCATTTCTAATAACTGCTTTATATTGGAAGACGAGGCTGCACACATATACCTCTGAGCCAAATCCAGAGTCACAGAGTGCAGCAGGGCCTCATGTTAGTCATGTCAGAGCAATGCATCATGGGTGTGACCCCTGACCCTCACTGCAGGGGGGTAGGGTGTGTCACCATATGGTGCAGCGAGATTGTGTGTGTTTTCGAGTGTGTGTGTGTCTGTGAGTGTGTGTCAGAGGGAGAGTGACGGTTAGGATGATGAGACCCGGGGGAGTGAAGAGGCAGTTGAAGAGACACGCAGAGCCAATCACATGTCAACGCACGAGCGCAGACACGCGTGTAATGATGACACATGGGGTTTAAACGTCCATGTGGAACAGGGACGTTAATATCTGACTGTCTTATTGTTGTTATTACGCTATATGTACGTGGAAATAGTTTATATCACTGTTGAGACATAAAAACTCCAGTCATGTTAAATCTTTGCAGTTTAAAGACCCTTTGTTTTAAATTCTTCTTCTGTGGTATTCTTTATTGATTTACCCCATTATTCAAATATGCAAGTGTGATTTATTTTTCATTTTTACTACCTTCACCTATCACCTCATTTATTGCACTCCTTTTTATGTCCCAGATAATTTTTATGCAGGAATATATCTATTGACTCATGACTGTCAGGAGCCCTGAAAATGTAAAAAAAAAAATGCTGAGTCTGTATTTTTCACAAGGCCAAAACTCCCTGACAGCGCCCCTGTTTGGAAGGATACAGTTTTTATGATACATAAATAATAGAGGGAAAAGTCTCAATGTCACAATGCCGCCTGACACGCCGCCCTCCTTCAAGATAAAGTCGTTTTCTTGCGCAATAATTTCAGAGCTTGGATTTTAATGGGAACCTGTTTCTACCGGAGAATATAAATAAATAGAAACTTTGCTCTTTCATATCCAAGCTCTATCTTTTTTGTCTTTGAGGTTGCCCCTCTGCTTTTTTTTTTTTGGAAATACTCACTTTCACGTTTCAGCTGCAGGTCCACACTCTGTCTTGCACACGTCTACCCACAGCGACACACACCTAATCATTGGTCTAGCCGTGCCTGTATCTAAAAAATGCCAGTGACTTTGTGAGTCTGACTCTACTGTGATTAATTCCTTTGCAGCTCCTGTCATATATCACAGCAGAAAAGCGGCGAGCCGAGCAGTGAGGATGATGAAACATGAAACCATTGGTACACCTCACTGCTAATCCTCCTCTGATTCCTTTATACCCTCTTTCCTCCCACTTATCCCTCTTTTTTTACTGTAATGAGGGTCAATTTGTCTCCTAGCAGCTCAAAGAAGCAATTTAAAACACTCACTGATGTGCTGTAAATTTATAGTTTTAATATTTTAACCACATTTAACTGACGGCCAGTTTACTCTGATGCAGGGCTCGGAGTTTGAAGCTAACATGCCGTAATGTAACACTGCTGTGGTTATGTTGTTCTGTCATCTTGATTAAAACTTGTGACAACTAATTTCGTTCAACTGTTTTATCATAATCAGCAACATAAAAGACAATGAAGAAAAAAAAAGAAAAAAACGTATAAAAAGCATATTTAAGAGCTTGTCTAACATAAGATGCTAAGACATAGCAATGCCATGTCTTTATCTGAGGCTGGCCTTGAGAGTAGGGAGATAATGACAGTTTTTGAGCGCAGATGTGAGAGCAGCCTGAGGAGCTGCTGGACCTGAACCATGTCTGATGGAGAAAAGTAGAGCAACATCCTGTCCTGCAATCCATGCACAGCTGCAGAGCTGGTGAGAGCATCTCTCTGAGACGAGACCCCTCTGCTTGATGTCCAGCTCACCCTCAGTATTCAAATGTGCATATTCAAATTAAATTACTGCATTGTGTAATACTAAAATAAGCTTCATTATTGGATAACGATGCCAGTCTGGAAGTGCTAAGAAACTGCAGTTCCATATGTGACCACTTGAGGCTGATCCTAAAAGCCATGAAAGCCCCAGTAGGCCCCATGTTAAAAAGTCTATTTTTACTACCAGATTAAACATGTTGACACCCAAGTTAAAATTTCTTTGGGGAATGCAGCTCAGCTCCTGTACACACTCAAAGGGGATGAATATATTCAAGGTAAGTATATAAGGGGTTAGAGTGATACATGCATTTGTGTAACTAGGGTCAGGGCTGGGTTGATGTACAAGTTAATGCATTGTAGCTGTCTATATGAGGACAATAATCCACACCAATGGTGAAAACCATCCCTAAGTTTAAAAATCTCTCCAGAAACCATGGGTAATGCCACAGAGACTACGTCCATTTTTCATACAGTCTGTGGTGAACCCACTGATAAGGCAAAAAAGCAGTGATACATATGTATTTAGGGTGGTCATTAAGACTGCACTGGAAACTGATGGCAGATCTACAAGCATGCCCCTGACCGCTGATTATGAAAATGTGACATTTGGACTGATTTTTAGCAGGATTAATATTTGAAAGTCAAAAATGACACCTATCTTATTGTATTGTATGATGTAACAGTGCTGCTGTAGATCAGCTGATATAAACACTTTCTATTTTATGGTAATATTTTGCTTACACTTGCTGTTGTCTGTCCGAGTTCATTGGTTATCCAGCATGTTGTTAAAACTTGAACATAAATTATGAGCAGATTTCCCTGCAAAATTTTACTGTTAATTGTCTTAAACTATCTAGTTTATCCATGTGCAGGGAAATATCTATCTGACCCTGAATTTACACCACCTGTAACAGTAACAAAATGTGACATTTTAACAACATTTAAGCCTCCAGCTGACATGTGACTATGGTCAAAAATCTCCATATCAAAGACAAAGAAAAGAAATAAATATAAAAATAAATGCACACACACTCACATGCACACATGCCCACAGGAGGCTGCTCATCTCTGCTTAGTACACTTGACTGAGTCACACAAAGATGGAGGGGGAAGGGTGAGGGAGGTGGTGGGGGTGGGGGGGTGTATGACCCATGGTTAAGCAAGCTGCTCCATAATGGATGCACACACAGTCATTTGAACTTGCTTACTTGTATGCATGAGTGACAATTTATCACAGAGAGACTGTGCAGCTGACAGAAGCTACAAAATGAACCAAAATGAGCTTTAAAGCCATGATGGGTGACATTGACACACCCACCAGCAAGACTGAATATTACATGTTGACTGTACAGCATCTTGTAATGTCCAAAACAAACTGAAAATCACATGACGATTGGTAAAAAGCACAAACTCTGTGCCTTATACCAACTGCACCTAAATAACTGCATCTCTCCCTTAGCTCAATAAATGAGCTGTCTGTTCTCAGACAAGCAATAAGTGTTGTCTGACCCGCTGAACGACCTCTGCTGAGTGTAAGATCTTGAAATTGGGCACACAGAGTTCCTCCAAACTGAACAGCTTTAAAAACTCCTTTGTATTCACTTCTCAATCACTTCACCTCTCTAGGCTGTTCAGTGTGTGATAAAGGGTCATGATGTACTTTTACTCATTTTAACTAATCATAAATTCAATCATGCTATGTCAATTTTCGGGTCAGACATTAACAATGTTGGTAATATTGGTTTGTTATACATGTAAAGCCAGAATCAATAAAGTGAATTGTTTCCTCATGAATCTATATTTATTATTCCCTGTTGTGCCATATCGATTTCAGTTTAATCGAGTCATCTTTGACCAGAAAGTATGTCATCAAATCACGTATCATCATACTCTGTCTCATCATATCCTGTCTCACTGTAATGTGTTGCATCGAATAGTTTGATACAATATTAAAATCAATTTTTGTGTCATTCAGTCATATAAATAGGTTGTGTTTTCACCAAATCCCTGAAACTCTTTCAAAGTTAAAATAAAATATGCAATGTGGCTTAGATATGACATAACAAACTTAACCATAGATACTTGAAACAAAATATCCACAATTTAACTCATGCCAAATTACACAAAATCTGCAATAGATGAGGTTATCTCCTACAGTATTTGACATATAGTTCTTTACACAACTGGGTCATTTTGCTGCAATGCACTCAACAGCTGACCCCCACAGTGAGCTTTGATTTGGTTTAAGTGTCATAATTAGACCACAGAACATTATACTGCAATCAAAGCTCACACACCTGCCTTCCTGCTCAATTAAATCAATGATCAGCTATTCAAATATGCTAATCAATGGGTCAAAATTAGTTCTCCAAATGATGGTCTGCCTCTTTACAAAGATGGTGAACCACAATGAACAAAATGTCTTTTGATTAGGACATACTGTCCAACACAAAAAGGCAGTTTGAAGATGTTGCTTTTGTTTAATTGATACTTTAATGTCTCTTTTAGTCTATTTTTTAACGATTTACAGATTAAACCACAAATCGCCACAGATGGGATATGCAGCTCTTCCATGACAATTTTTATGTTTTTCCTTCTTTTATACATTTTTTTATATATGTCTAAGGTCAGTAATGCAATAGGGCCTTCTACTCTTAATTCATTTCTGTGTTCAGTTTTGCACTCTAGCATATTCTTATATGTTTGACAATTGAACCTCATTTTGAAATTGATTCATGCGAATTGTGACATATACTGTATTTTGGTGTCTTCATTCATTTTAAATGGCTATAAAAAGCAACAAAGCCATGATCTACACCAAGTATCGGAAGAAAATCAACTTCAGAGACTATGTGGATATATGGATGATAATTAGAGTAACTGTGGGTAGGGATGCACCGATCAGATATTTGGATTGGATATCGGCTCCGATATTGACAAATTACCTGGATCAGATATCTGATGAATGACTCAGATCCAGCGTTCCAATCAAGTCTTTTTTTTCTCTTTTAATAAATTTCATACACAGCAACACAGCGATTCTGTTCTCTCCATATTCTATGTCTGTCTATCCTTTTGCACTAAATATTTACATGGACGTCTTACTTCTTTTTGCTGTGTGCTAATGTGCAATTTGTTATTTGTTAATAAATAATATTAAGTACATTTTATGTCTGTGTAAATTTGCTACCTTTTTTAACAAGGCTAATGTCAAGCCTGATGCCTTCACTCACAGGGCAAGGTATACAGTTCATTCATTCAACAATCGTATTGGATCAGGACATCGGCCGATACTCTCAGCTACGTATCGGATTGGATCGGGAAAAATGGATCGTGCATTTCTATCTGTGGGTTGATCTTGTCATCATTCGGATTTACGTTATCCCGTAGCTCCACATTTTAGACAATGAATGAGAGCAAATATTTTAAAATGGATGTGATGAAATAAGGTAGGTGCTCTAGAGCTGGAAACAATGGCAAGGACTTTAAAGTGAATGTGACCAATCACATGACGATGAAGATGACCAAACAGACTCAAACAGCTCACCTGCAGCCTCCGGCGCCGTATTATCCCCGAGTCATCCATGGCGTAATAAAGGGGATCCTGGCGGGGATTTCCCCCCCAACAAAAAATCTCTTGACCCCCCTCAGTAATCTGTGTTCAGACCCAGCAGGACTGCAGCACCCACTCCGATTTACATCCGATCTGTACAGCAGCGGAACAGCGTCCAGGCGCACACAGAGCCAAAACGGCGCAAACACAGCGAGTAAGAGAGAGCGATAGAGGGAGGGAGAGAGAGAGAGAGAGAGAGTCCGGTGTCACGTTGAAAAGGAAACCCAAGAAAACAAACAAATCTGAGGCAGTCCGTGTCCCATGTCTCAAGAAAACAGCCCGAAGGTTCCCCCAGCTCCACTCCTGACCTGCGCCTCAGAGCTGCCAGTCATGCTGCTCTCTCTGTGGGCTGCGCTCCTTCTCTCAGCATCCTTGACATTTTGCCAGAGGTTTGTGCGCTTTGATGCTGTCCAACCGAGCGACAAGAGGCCCGAGCAATCACAGCAAAAACAGAGTCCATGGAGGACCGAGGGGGTCGATAGTGGAACCAAGTTCTTCGTCTCTGCCCCAGGACGAGAAGAATCTCTCCAAGAAACGTGAGCTCCTTCTCACATTTGGTTACAAAAAAGGACAACGTGTCCGAAGCTCAGCAGCCAGGCAATTTATTTCACACTCTATTGCCCAGCAGTTGAACAGCGCTTTATCCCGGAGCTCCTCGGTGGGGCTGACATCACCGCTGAGAGTCCACGGAGCTGCCTGTCCGGTCCCCTCAACATCACCGTGCAGGAGGACAGCGCGTCTCCCCCCACTTACCCCTCTTTAAAAACACACAAAGTTGAAACTCGGATCAGTTTCATTCACACGTCTGTCCTGCTCAGCCTCCTCTTCCTCTGGAGCTTGTGACTGGACGGGGCGACAGCAGCAACGCGATATCTGTAACCCTTTAGTGGGATTCCCTCTCGCCCCTCCTCCCGAGCGCAGCAGAGTCCCTCCTTATATGAATGAAGAAGCATCCGACCAGGGTCCACGAGGGGGTTTCCGGTAGGTTATATTTTTTATTATACAGAAAACACGGTCAAACAGTTGAACAGATCAACAAGGGAAACCTCAAACCTGTTCAGTGTGCAAGGAGCCTTAAATCCAAATTCAGCACCAGAGACAGCGACATTCACAGTGGGTAAATAAAAGGGGGAAATTGGCTGTTCTCACTTCTTTCTCAAGACAAAATAACCATCTTCAGTCACCTTTCTGTCGAACTTCTTGTCATCAGACTAATATCACTTTTAGAGGACCGAAACTATGGAGTAATCTGTATTTATCTCTAATTAAAATCAATATTATCTTACAAATCCTTTAAAATATCATTGAAATCTCATCAAATCATGTCTTAAACACATCATTATCTGTTATGATCATGTTTCTTTCCTTTTCATGTAAACTCATATTGTCCCTATCTCTGGTTGATGATGAGTCCATGTTCTATTTATGACAATTTGTATATGTATTGACCTTTAACTACTCATTGTATATTTATAACCTGTCTATGTCCTGGTTACTTGGTTGTTTGCACCCTATGCCTTCACTGCCCTATCGGCTTTGTTCCCTCCTTGCACTCTTTTTAATCTGTGCTAAATAAAATTAAATATAAATACAAAATTCTCACATTAAAACATACAGAAAAGTTTCAGGCCCCCAAAATGAGGAGAAATAAGCAGAGAAATAATAATTGGGTGGTGAAATCAAGAATAAACGTAAGCCTTTTTTATTATCCAACTTTTATCGTAGAATAAATGATAGAAAGCTCAAGTAGCCTTGACAGATTTACATATTTTTGTGCTGATATTAGATATTCACTCTTTTCTGTGTTTAATTTCTGCCAGATGTTTTTGCTGTCGATGTAGCCATGTGAAAAAGAAGGAGGAAGTGAGGCATTATACAATACTTCAATAATCATGAGGTGATCAATAATCAATACAGTGACACAACAAAGTACATGCCTCTGTATTTAGTTCACACTAGTGTTTGGAATCAGCTCACTTTTCACACAACTCTTCAGATAAAGAAAATGTCCTCCTAAAACCCTTATACAAGTATCATAATATAAAAAAATAAATAAACTAAAAAACATGTTCATACCATCATACCCCAATCATAGACTGTATACAACATGAACAGAGTCAGTGACATCACCCATTGGATTCTGAAGAGGGGTTTGAAGCCCAAAGATGGTGGTTGTCTTACTGGAAATGCTGAGTCAACCTGACTATGAGTCAAACAGACTGATGGGTGAAGCTGAGGCTGGTGAGACACCTCCTGTCAAACTGCTTTACCAAACACACTTCAGCCTTATTATGCAAAATTGTACATCACTCTTCATAAATCCAATACAAATAAGTTAATAAAATAAATGTCATCTGAACAGTGTGTATGGAAAAAATGAGCTATTTGAATCTTACAATGTTATAATACCAGTTTTGAACAAAACTGTAATCATGTTTAACTCTGCTGTAAAAATAGACATTTTAATATGGAACCTAATGAGGTTGCCTTGGCTTTTAGTTCCAGCCTCAAGTGGACACTAAAAGAACTGCAGTATTTTGCACTTCTGCAAAGGCTTTGTCTTTCAGCAGAGGGGGTTATCACTTGCTGTAAACATGTTTATTCCAGTGTTTAAAAAGTAAAACAGACATTTTACTATGAGCTACACCTTATTTTTGAAGTCAGTCTTAACTGGATGCTCAAGGAACCGGCGTTTTTTGCAACGCTGCATTTGCTTAACTTTTAAGTTTGGTTTAATAATGTGCAGTTGTGTATAAATGAGGGGCTATACCGCCATTTGTTCCATAGCAAACCCCCAACAGGGGAATCAAACCAAAGTAAAAACCACATTACACACCCCAAGCTTCTATTTCATTACTTTTCTCAGATTTATAAAAGGCATCCAAATGTTTCAAAACAAAGCCATCCTATAAATCACTTATTCACATGCCTTTTGAGACCCAGAACATAACACGGGATTATTGTGCAAATGTGCAACAAAATCTAAAATAAATAAATCTCTTTGATGTAATCTAATGTAAGGTTAAAAATAGGGAAAACATCAGAGCATCTAATGGGATTTTTTTGTCCATCTTTCTAACTGCAAACAAAGGAGGACTATGCTTGTGTCACACTGGGCAGCGCAGTGTTTCCACTCATGACATTATTTGATTGACCGGCGGTTGGTCCTTTGGTGAAGTTATTGCGTAATGCTTTGCTCAGGATTAGGACTTTCCCACAGTTTTTATGTAACATATGGTCCCAGCAGATCACAAACCCATGACCTCACCCCCGCCAGACATGGCATCCAAACTCTGCCCACGCTGACCCATCTGACCGGAAACAGACAGGAAGGATGAAGAGAAGCTGCTGGTCTGAGTCCAAACCTCTGAATGACATTTCATTTTATCTACGCCGAGTCATACAGTAAGAATGAAGGGACACAAATACTCTTTGAATCATCGGTTAATTACACAGGGGTTCGTATTTCATCAGAGGTAATACCCTTTAAGTTTCCAAAAGTGTTAATCACAAGTTTGATATGGGCTCAAGTCAGCTGTTGTCACGCCGATTGCTCATTGTCACGCAAGGTTAAAAGTGGTGTAGCGCCACTCATAGTTACCCCAAAGAATTCTGGGTCATTTTTTCCTCTCTATTTTTGCAAAGGATGGTTCAGTGTATCCTATGCTGAAGGAGATAATAAAGGAAGCAATGAAGCTCTTTTCCTTCCCATTTGGAGAATTTAAACAACTTTTTCATGAGCAGCACTTTTCACTCAGTGTGGACCTTTCCAATCATTCAAACAGAATCTTAATCCTTTAAACAAAACACTTAACATGTACAAAACCAGCAAAAGTATAGATATTAACATCAGTACCTAATTAGCAAACATGCTAAAAAAAAATAAATACAAATGCATAATCTATTACTTTTTTCCTATTTAGAAACACGCTTGATACCAGCCAACTGTGCTTTGATTGGCCGAAGAGAAACATTGGACTGTTCCCAAATTAAATCCTTAAGGTGTACAGTTGAGTTCAGTTGAGAATCAAATTCAACAAAGTACAAAATGTACCATAGAGGAAAAGGGCAACAATAAAGTGGGGAAAAAAATCAGGGTTTCAAAATAAATATATTGATAATGAAGTTGTTCTGTCATGTTTGTTGTTGTCATATGACTCTTCGTCTTTTTTAAGGTAACTACTATCTTTGAGTGGTGCCCTCTGGTGGATGTATTGCTTAACATCAATTCCACTGTAAAGGGTGTGGGAAATGATGAGGGCTGTGACGATTACACCATTGATAACAAACAGATCTGTTTTCATTCAAGTGAAGCATAAGTGAGGCCTGGAAAAGGACCAACAGATGACAGAACGCCACAACTAGTCAGAAAGAGCGTCTGTAAGCAGGCTGTGTATTTTTTTGCTGTTATTTGTTAGATTAAATGGAGTTGTCAGGGCTGTCTGGCAGGCAGTCAAAGAGCCACATCACCTTAATGCTGCTAGCTTCATTTTATGCTGTTCCTCTCTGGAACCTTACAAATGAAACTCTTACAGCTCTGTCGACCACCATTCAGCACACAAAGCTTGTTGGTTCCTCCTGCTCTGTCAAAGTCACCGGCCTTGCTATTGTCGCAGTGGACATATACAGCAGCCAGGAGAAGTTATTGATTTCTGCTCCAGCTCCAGCTAAACTGAGCCAACAGTGAAAACCCAAACACAGGTGGAGGTCTGGCTGCAGAGAAACACCTCATTGAGCTTCCTAATGTCGTCATTATGGTCACTGCAGAGTGAACTGCTGGTACTGAGCGGCCGGGCTCAGAGGGGATGCTGCTTTATTATCCTCTTACATAAGGATTTTGTAATCACTTTGAGTTTGGAGACTAACAGCTGCTCAGTTCAGTCTGGAACAAGAGCTGATGCTGTTCTGTCCACCGCTGCAAAACTCAAGGACAAACTGTCCCCATTATCTCACCACAGAATATCAAAATAAGACGGACCCAGAAAAAACAAAAGTCATTTCAATCCTCTCCTTGTTGATTTACAACCACCAGGTTCATTTTTACTTGATTTCAATCTCAACACTTCAACAATTAAAAACACTTAGTCTGAAATGACTTTGCATTACGGTTGTGATTCACAGATTCAATACAGGATACAGTATGATATGTTATGATAAAGCATCATATGACACAATGTGATATTACACAACAGAGATTCAGTGGAATTTACACTGTACAATAAAATACAATATGATAGTGTACAATGTCATGTTGTATGATGTGATGTGATGCGATGCGATACGATACGGAAGATATAGAATTCAATAGGATTCATGGGATATAATGTGATACAAGATAATTTGGTGCCAGACACATCTCCCACAACAGCAGTCTTATCACGCTACTGTGATTCTGGGATAATTGATTAATTGCATTCAATGACACTATAATACATTACATTATCTGATTATATAAACAAATGCCTTGATAAGGTTCAGTCCAGTGTAAATGTCACTGGCACCACTGCCAGGAGTCACAAAGTGGTGTGACAGAGTGTCATCAGTTTAGTGACATGTCATTTATCAATTCAATATCTTTTTTGGCATTCACAGTAAAATAGTCTTATTGCACAAATTAGGATGATAATATCTTGATGTATATATATATATATGTTTTTACCTCTATTCACCTGGTTTACAGGTTCTGTTGTTGAGATTTGGATTTTAAAGTTTGATTTTCTTCAGAGAAAAAGAAAAAAGTCCCAATCAAAAATGTTGTTGAAGACCATGTATAACTGAGTTCTTCCTCACACACACATCAATCTTTTAAGTAGTTGTAACCAAAACTGTATTTACAAATTAATCACATGACTACTTAGAGAACTTCTGGTGTTTATCTATAAAAGATTAACTTTATACTTTTAAGATTATCAACTCTTATTTAAGGTTTTTACAGGAGAGTGCATTTTACATGATAACAAATGTAGGCAAAAAGTGACTGAGTTAAAACTCTTTTTATGAGTGCTCTGAGTTCGCAGATGTGTGTGTGTGTGTGTATGTGTGTGGACTTGGTCTATGTGTAAACAAGCACACACATAAACAGGCAGGATACCTGTGTATGTTAAAGAGACCTCTAGAGGATCACTATCACCTGACACAGAGGGAGCGAACAAGATACCAATAACAACTGCAACAATGTAAAACAGGGAGCGTCTGCATGTCATTTCAACTGTGAACTTTGATTGAAAACAGTTTTTTACTGTTTAGAGTCTGGTTTCCAGTTATCTTATGATACAACCATACAGTGATGAAAAGCTCTGTACATTTCTCAGGGGAGCTCTCTGTGAAACTTCAGTAGATCACCACTCTGACCTCTTGTGGTGAGAGATGTCACTACAACACAGACTCTGCATGATCGCTGCACTGCAGCACTTTTTTATGAGAGAGGAAACAAATGATCAAAATCTGAAACAAGCAATGACTTTATCCTCAAATTTAAAACAAAAAAGTCAGACTTCTGTTCTTTTTGTCGTAAGGCACACAATAATAATCTAGTCAAAAACTCAAATTATGATGTTTTTCCTGCTGGATGATTTAATTTGCTCTTGTTTTCCTTAGAGTATATCCTCATCTAATCTGTGACGCTAAGAGGATGAAGGAGTAATGTTTTGGTCTATTTTCACACTGCCTGTCCTTCCCTGCATCAGATAAATTAGAGTGAGCGCTTAGGGAACATCTTAACCCGTAAGACGATCACAGGGTCATGAAAAAGGCAAAATTGAATACACAAACACAGACGCTGCAGCCTCATTAAGGTAAGGTGTCAGATTTTGTGGTGTGCAGGGTTGTGAAGATATTCCTAAAAGAGTAAGAAAAGGAACAAAAGGTGGACTGACTTGCTTTTATTGTTGTTTGTTTCTCTGATAAAGTTGAATAAAGGTGAATCTATTTTCCATCTCATTTTTATCTTATCACTTTTTTCAGCTCCTGTACTGCCTTCACACCGCAGTGTATAATTACACATACTGCTTGACGTCACCTTTTAAAAGAGTAGCAGTGATAGCAGGCATTGTGGGTAATCTCTGCGACCCAAGTGTGTCATTTTGAATCAGGAGGCGCCTCCCTGCTGGCAGCCCAGAGCCTGACCCAGCAGGACATCTCTAAAGCGTCCTCAGAGCTGCATTAGATTAAGAGCAGTGCTTCATTCACTCTGAGCAAAACATGAACGTGAAAATCCAGACCAGCAAATCCAGAAATGTACAAAACAAATAATAATCAAATTAATGCAATTTACTGGGGTCGAATAATTCATCTCAAAATTTGCAGTTAATTTAATTTCAAATTGCATGTTTAAATATCACATTATTCTTCTTTTGAAAACAGTTTTAAATGGTAAGCAATTCTCCCCAGTGCCTTGAACTGAGAATCAAATTAATGCAATTATTTATTAATTTATTATTCTGCCTTTTATATTCAAGCAAATGCTGCACTGTGGTCTAAAACCTTGACTAAGAGGTAGGATACAATTTTAAAGTGTCAATTTGTGAGATCCAAATTTGGTTTTACTTTCTTTTTTAAGTTTGACACTATAATGCATGAAGAAATATGCAGGTTACATGCACAAAATGTCAAACTAGATTCAATACGGTGTGCAGTTATTCAGAGATCATTGTGATTACTCATTTTTACTACATCCACACTGCAACCATCTTCATCTGCTGCCATGCTCTGGATGGAAAGCCAAAGGTGAAATGTTGTCAGTAATATCAGAAGCTGCTTGTTTAACTGTTTGTACAGGTGTTATGCCATATTACATAAATCGTGATCTTTTATTGGCCTTTTTTTTTACATCTAAAGAGGCTTTTTAAACGATTTTTTTCTGCTTTGGTGTTGCAACCGGCAACTTTTAGATTTGGCACTATCTCCACAGGTCAAACCTACAAAGCTTGATAAAGGTAATACTTTATAGCTCCACATTATTCCTAATTTTAGCCAATAAAAATACTGATAAAATGTGTTTTTCATTCCAAAAGAGTAGGTGGTACATGATTCGTCATTACACACAGAGAAAAGGAACAAACACAGCCACAACAAGCTGATGAAGGAGTAAAAAAGCAGCTCAATCATGTTTTTTTAACTCTCTGAAGATGATCACACAAATTACAAAACATGTGGCACAAGCATCCACAGAGGAGGAAGCAAATTGATGACAGTAAATAAAGGAATTCACCATCTTCTGGCACATCTGGATCAGTACCATGAATCAGTGCTACTTTGCAGACATACTGTATTCCTACCCTGGTCCAGTCGGTACGCTTGGAGCAAAAGCTCAGTGGCTGGATGAAGTTTTAACATCAAAAAGGCCTTACTGCAGCGCATATACAGGAGAGCTCTGGATCACAGGGAAAATATTACCGACAATATAAAAGTTAGAACTGTTCTTGGCCATTGGGAGCAAGTTATATAAGAGCGTCAGTTCTGGGAATACCACTAAAGAAGATGAAAATGATGACACAGTGATGAGATGCTGCAGACTCATATTAGAATTTCAATGAAAGTGAAAGTAAAGTTTCTCGACTAACCCGCTCCCTGAAGTGACATTTCAGAGGAAGAGTTACGGGGCAAACATGGTTGTTTGTGGGGGCATGCTCAGCCATCTATCTGAGCCTCTAATACAAACATGAATCTGTCTGGACGCTTGTCATGAAATACATCCGTCCAAACGTGGACCTGAACAGCTCAAACGTAAAGATCTATCTAGACCACCTCCAGTCTGATCACGTCTCAGAGCCTTTTTCTCTATGTGTGTTTCCTTTTTCCAGCCTGTGATTTCCTTCCTCTATGAGCAGAGGAAATGAGACACAACAAACAACCGGCTGCTGCAGAAAGCAATCACCTGGATATGAACGAGATGATGAGGTAAACAACAACGATGCTCAAATGTTGCCATAGAGTTATAACCCAAACTAATTCTAACCTGCATAGACATCCTAAAATTAATACAATGTAATATATTTATTGCTAACATTATTGTCGTTTCCTCATTGCACATTGCTAAAAACACAATTTACATCTCATTGCTTACTTATCTCAGATTGTCTTCGAAACCACACTTTTAAGCCACTATCTCTTAAAGAAAACCCCCTCCCAGCACTCCAGAAGCCTCATCCACTGTTGTCATGCTACAAAGGCATTGTCATTAAGCCAACGGGTGTTGCAGTATTTAAAATGTCGGGTTTTGGACCACCAAATATGACCTGGAAAGTTTGTGAAGGGACAAAAAAATCCCAGCAACATGGAATAAATCAGGAGGTTTCTGTTTGGGAAGTGTTACTTTTTTGTTTTTACTCTTTCATGAAGACTTTCCACTCTGTGTCGCATGAATTTAGTAAATCTTGTGACTTTTCAGAAAAACCTGTTGTCTCATCTAAAGATCACTCCAATACACATTTACCTTGTAGTTTGAAACTTTGTCCACATCTAGTATTAACATCTAAGATTTTAAGCTTGATAATTATCAATACGATATGAAAAAGCATTACACCGCTTCTGTCAGGTGTCTCTTTCACAGTGCAAGTGTACTTTTGATAGACAGACATTTGGCTCATCTATGTTTAATGGAGAGCTCTGGGAGGAAGTGCATCTATATGTGGACAGAAATGTCAACTCAGATATTCCTGCAGAGGGCGGTTAATAAAGAAATGCTGATCCGTGTCAAAGGGGGGAAAAAAGTAGAGTGCAGCACGTTGCTACAAGATGAGATGTCAATCAAAACATGATTTTCCACCCTGACAGTTTTTGTATATCTTGATGATAGTTGATGCTTCATGGGTCACAGATTTTGATGTCATGAATGCATTGTTGCTTTTAAAGGATGAATTTCCAAAGGTTTCAATGATCTGTGTGTATTCAGGTCTGTTCTGTTTTTGGTGCTGACATTTGTCCTGAAACAAGCGGCAGGTCAGACTGACTGACTTCCCCTCACTCTATTATTGACTCCCATCTGTGAGGCTTACACCTCAGATAGGAGACCTTGTTAAATCTGTCTCACACAGGTGTTGTTGGCGTGCTCTGGCACCAAGCTGAGTCTGGGGATTTGACGTGTGCAAACAAGGGCCGAGCAGATAAAAAGGGAGGAGGGTGGTAGGTGTCCTCTGAAGACACCATCCATCCTGACAGACAGAACGATAGAAACATTGACTTCTGAATTTGGAGACGCCTCTTGAAGTTGTTTAAAAGTATGGAGCCCATCACTAACACAGCTGGGACAGGAGACGCTCACTCTCAGAGGCCAGGCTGGAAGTTTGTGGCAAAGCGAGGAGCCCCGTCGCAGTTTGTGGGGAGCACCATCATGGTCTTATCCACTTATACCATCGCTACGCTGACGATGAACTTTGGCAAAAACATCCAGGAAAGAAGATCGAGACCAAATGGAAGCTAGAAGCTCACACTGCTTTGAAGAACTCAACTCAAACTCTTTTGACAACAGCGGACGGATCAAACTGGTCTTTTCAACTTTACCAACGAATTTCCATCAAATGAGCTGACTGACAGTAAGACTTGGTCTGATCTGGGGGTCCTGGCCAAGGAAAAACAGCAATCACTGTCAACTTTTACAGGCATAAAAAAAACCCTACATGCAGTACTGCCGTTTCACCACAAGATGGAGAACTGGGACTTTGCCATGACTTAATTTTTTTCCAACAATAACCTCCAGGATCACTGCAAATCCGCTGCAGGCTCAACAACGCAGGACAATAATGACATTGAACTCAATCATGTCAATGCATTTTAATTTAAATGTGAGCTCTCTTTAATACTCATCTGTTTGCATAGATATTTCTATCCCTGTGAGAGTGACTGGCTCTGGATTTAAGATGTCTGTTTGGCAAACATACAGTTGTTTTAATGCTCAAAGAGAATAATACATTCAAATGGTTTTTGACTTTAAAAAATGTCATTAAATAAATGGTGAAACATTAAAGTGTGCTTAATTATCCTCTGTATTGATCTGATGTTACTTTTAATGTGTTTTAGCTGCTGGGTATGGATTCCACGTGGTTACAGGTGTAGGTTTTGGCGAAGACAAAAATAAACAGCTGCTAACTTTGGGTCTGAGTCATTTTTCCTGTCCAAGTGGAAGTCCCCTGACTCTGACATTTTGAAACACGTCTTATGAGGAAAAAAGACCTCGACGAGTCACACCAACAGTTTGGTATTTAGACGCTGACATTTGTGTTAACTAAAAGGCCACTGATTTTGACCTTTCTTTGACAGCTTCAACACTCTTCGGAGCTGTTCATGGTGCAATTACTGGTCAGAAAAATGCACACAAGGGTTTTTCTTTACAACAGTGTGAAATACAGTAATGAAGCAGCCTCAAGCCAAATCAGAACGATGGGTAAACACCTGCTTTTCCTCTCTAATTATCTCCCAAAACGGCACAACACTGTACGAGGTAAATTATTCTATTATTACGATCTTACTCAAATGGTAACCCTGCAGCAGGTATGTTCAGAAAGTCCTTTGATTCCTCTCCCTGCTTCAACTTGGGCCATGAGGTCATGTGACTCATTCTGAACATTGACTGTATATTTAGTTTTAAGCTCATTAGCCTCGCTGTAGCTTGAATCATAAACGATAGGAAAGGTATTTTTACTAAATATCACTCTGTCCACAAGGGGTGCTAAAATACTTCATGAGCAAATTTGCAACTCAAACTCACAAACACCTACTTTTTGTCAATTAAAATGTTATGTAGCGCTGCAGGCGACTGGCAGCGACTGAATCAGGCGACACCCCAGGGTGCAATTACTCTTTGTTGGGAATCTTTGCGGTACACCGCCCACATTTTAGTCCTTGAGTTGAGTAGGGTTTTTAGGCAGATTTTCCACATTTCACCTTTTGTTTCCAAACTTTATGCAGATGGTTTGAGTGCCTTGATGGAGAATTAGGCCAGTGGAACAACAAATGAAAGAAACTCAAACAGGCAGAAATGAATGTCTGTTGGTTAGTGAGTGGACAGGGATGGTTGGCTGACACTGTGTGCCAGCTGAGGGCCGGCCTAAGGCTAGAGCACAGGCAGTGACCCAACCCTGAGAAATGAGAGCGACAACAAGGGTACACAGAGAGAGGCGATGGCCTGCTTTGTCCCCACTTTCTCTGTTCCCTGAATAGCTTTAGCACAAAGGATATCGTTCTTCCTCCTCTAATTACCAGATGGAAAGCTGTTTGTCTGCCGCTCGCTCCTCTGCTCTCACCCCCAGAAATAAAGTACTCAGTGGGGACGACCCTCAGTGGTTATGAAACAGTCTGGTGGACAACAGGCCCCAAGCGAGCCCTCATTTCCTCTTTCAGCTTGTATGGTACCATCCTGAATTCACTCTCCGTTTTTATCTGCACTGTGTGTTTGTTTCACACCAATTCATCTTGGCTCTTCTCATCTCTGAGTGTGTCTGTTGCCAAAACTAATCATGTCCAAGACATGTCACCAAATTCACATTCTTGGGTTTAGGCAGACGTATCTAGGCCACACAAGAGACTCTCCATCTGCTCCTCTGTGGCCAAAAGCCTTGGAGGTCAGAGAGAGAGAGAGAGAGAGAGAGAGAGAGATGCACCCAGCAGAGGATTAGACTGCTGTACCAGGTCCAAGAGGAGGTGAGATTAAAAGCCGGGGAAAAAAAAACATGTACACACACATATGATGAAAAAAATACCCTGGTTACATTTAGTGGTCTCATACAGACTACAGAACCGAAATGCAAACAGACATCATAACTTCATTAAGTTTATCCGCTTTGCATGGGGTCACCTATAAGTACGAAAAACAACGAGTAAGACTTCCACAAACAATAAAAATCCCTACTGTAAATTGAAAAATTCTTAATTATCACATTATTTCAACAGCAGATACTATTTATAGCCCTTTAATGCCTTTTGCATCATATTTGATACATACTTTTATGGTAATACTATCAAATAAGTATGATCAACAAATAACTCAAAAACACCTGAATACAGTCCGATACATGATAAAAATGTCCTCTTGTGGTTTATCAGTTTCCAAAAACATCTAATGTATCAAACAAGATAAAAAAAATATATTTGTTAAATTTTAAGGACATTTTAATTTTTTTGTTTTTCAGTAGTAAGTGAAATAAACATTTCACCTCCAAATATTTTAATTTTTAGGACATAATTTGTTGTTTCAGGCATTTAAGGGTTAAAATATTCCTGACACGTATTAAAATTTCATATTTATTTATCTATTAAAAAACGTGAACTTCTAAATGTTTGAAAGAAAATATTAAAAAAACAAAATGCAACTATTTTCTGTGTTCAAAGAGAAGCACAACTGGTCCAACAAAGTGTAAGAAAATGGCTCTTAACAATTTTTACAGCTGTCAGTCCAGATAATACTGAAAGTGTTACTCATGCAGCATCACAGTTAATAAACGAATAGGGATAAAAAATCTAACTAGACAATCATTCAGTTGCATTGCATCAAAGGTCAGCAACTCCCAGTATAATGATGCCGAAAGCTGCTGAGGTGAACTGTGCTTGTTTGTCCTAATGAACCTCCTCAGTTCACTGTGTTCTCTGTCCTCAGCAGAACAAACTGTATTAAAGCTCAGCCTCCTCTGACCCTGCCTGTGGAAAAGCCCTGACCTGGGGGGGAGGGGGGTGAAATAGAGAGGGGGGTAGGACAGGTGTGACTCAGCACCACCTGTGTCTGATCCCCTAAATATGAAAGGTGACACATTTCTTCATCATCAGAAAAATCCTTTTTAATTTCAAAGCAGTTTTGATTTACTGGGATGGAAAGCTGTCAACAAGGAGGATTTGGTAAACATCTCCTGGGAGATTAACAAGGAGGGAGTCTATCCAGTGTGTGTGTGTGTGTGTGCTGAAGAGAGAGAGAGAGAGAGAGAGAGAGAGAGAGAGAGAGAGAGAGAGAGAGAGAACTTCCCAGCATGGGGCAGGGGGGCGGGGGGCTGCCTCCTAGAAGAGACCGAGATGTCCTTCATGTAAACCGGTGACAAAGTGTCGAGCGGCGGCCTCAGAGATCACAGCTCTGCACGGAAAGAGACAGAGAGGGAGAGAGAGAGGGGGGAGAAAGAGAGAGAGAGAGAGGGAGTACACCGGAGCATCGAGCATCGAGTATATAGCCACTGGATCCACAACAACACACCGAAGAGACGGAGGAAAACACTCAGCTTCTGAAGAGCTTAAAACAGAGGAAACTAATCCATACGGAGCACCTTTAACCCACCGACAGGTAAGATACACACCACCATCTTTAACTCCAACCAGGGAGATTGATTTAGCAACACCTGCTCCGACAGGTCCGAATATTCAGCCAGGATGCAACATGACTATCAAAGCCAAACTGAGGGTGGATCAAACACATTGTGCCACAGCTGCTGTAGCCAATAATATAAAACACATGAAAGAGCCTCCAGGTCAGTTTAAACTCACTAATGAGCAGCACCAAACTCCATTAGAGAAATTATCATTTTTGGCAACTTGACCTCAAGCTTTGTTGTTACAGCTGCGTAATGTTAAATTAGCAAGCGAGCAGGTTTTTAGTGGACCATTTCTTTAAGTTTGTTATGCAATTGGTTATATCCGCTAATTCAGATGCCTCAACTAACCTATAGGCTAACATTTTAGGGTGGTGAAAAAAATCTAAGTAAACTAATTTTAAACCAAAAATGATTGTTAAGATCACAAATATGTTTTTCTTCAGTGACCAGATCTCTAACGACATTTAAAAAATCATTTGAGAGATGTACTGTCTTTTCATCTCTTTATGTGTAGACTTGGTTTGGTTAGTATTAGCATAAATTATACAGTGGCCCTAAAGGTCCACTGCAAAATATTTTATGGCTAAAAAAAAAGTGTCAAAAACACCTAACACAAATTTTAAAAAATGCATTAACTCTTAAGACTTTACATGAAATACAAAAAAGTTTAAGCAACACAATTGTTTAAATAGGAATAAAAAATGGAAACACATCTTAAATCATACAACATTTTCCATAACATAAAAAAAACATTAGTGAAATGCAAAAACAGCATAAATGCGTTACAAAATGCAAGTCTTTCAATATACAAAATTAAGAAATGCAAAAAACATCACCTCACAAAACATTCTATGAAAACAAAAATATTTAACTCAAAATTATTTTTGAAAAACAAATATTAAACAAAATGCAAAAAAGATCTAACCTCCCAAAAATGTCATAAAACCAAAAAGTATTTCATAATAAGCAAACATTGCTCATAAACATTTAATTAAAACGCAAAAATATTTTACCACACCAAAACAATTTGAGAAATACAATGTCATATTTTGTGAGACTGGGTAAAGATGATTTTTTTCTGGTGTTTGATGAAACAGCTCTGCACTTATGTAATCTTTTTCTTCAGTGAAACAATCTGAAGTGTCAATGTGAAGTGTTTTTTTGTTGTCGTTTTTTATGAGACATTTTTGGTTTCACTGCATGTTTTTGAAGTTGACCTCTGTCATTATAAAATTGACTATGATGGCTTTTAACCACCAGATATCACACTGAATAGTAAATGGATTAACATTAATATAGTTAAAGCTTGAAAAATGTTAATGCTGGTGCTCAGTAGGCAACAATGAGCCAAACCTGGGTGTAATTTGAGCATTTTTATTTTTGTATTTTTACACATTAAATCAAGTGACACTAATACGAAAAGCACACTTAAAACAATTAATGCAAAGTGCTGTTCAACTGAGAAAGACTAAGACACTTCTTCAGTACACAAACAGCACTGATGAAAGAAAAAAAACAAATGTGTGTCTATTTTCTTCAGGCTGTGTTGTAGCAGGGTCACACCTGCCCTGTTTAGGAGCATGTGGTCATGTCCAGCAGATTTGTGTAATTCGCGACATGTAGGCTACACATCGTCCAGCCTGCCCGTCAGATTAAACAACCACGCATGTCATGCAGCTCAGCACGGTGCTTCAGTCTCACCTAATTAGGCTCACCCTGTCTATACTGGGTCACCACACGCAGAGATAAACAGCCTGTGCAGGATGTCTCACTTACACTGTGTACCATCAGATTTTATACCCAGAGGCACAGGAAAGCTTCTTTACCTAAGTGTATGAATTTAAATAGATATTTTGTTTTTATCTAAACTAGAATGACTTATTTTGTAATCTGATTTATGATTGATTTTTTTCTCAGACAAGTTAAATTGATCTGATAATGTATTTCCTCTGTTACGGTCTAATGTGTTGATCTTTCTTCCAGACCTGTTTGTGGCTGCAGACATGGCTGTCACCTCTCACCTACTGCTGGTAATCTGTGCATATTTGGCGGCTACACTGATTGGAGGAGCCAACTCAGAGGGGGTGTGTCTTCAAGATGGCAAGCACAAGGTCACACCCGGCCCAGAGCCACACCTGAGGGAGTGTGGGCTGTATGCTGACAGTGAGTGAATAGCTGCTTGTTTTTAAACACCGTGAGCCTGTTTCATTCAAAGATTTTGACGTTAAAATTTGATCCACAAAATTATCTCAGTGTCTGCCTCTATGAACCAGTCAAAAACTCTGGTTTTCAAAGAGCAGATTTTCATTACCACTGTCTCTGAGTGCTTGCTTATTGCTGGATTTATGTTGGGTAACGGTAAATAATGGTACTGAGACTACAACATAAACTTGTTCTCTAATATGGAAAACAGGCTATCAAAATCATGGATATGATCTCTTTGGCATCACCCATCGGTTTCTGAAGAGGGGTTTAAAGCCCAACTACGGTCGTTGCCATATTGGTAATGTCGACTCAACCTAACTTTTGGTCTACAGGGACTCAGGCAAGGAGGAGGAAGTGCTTAGGCAAACATTTGGCCTTCTGATGAACAGCTAAAACCAAGCGACAGTCTTGAGAAATGAAGTCAATTTGGTAGTATTAGAAAACTGCAGTTCCTTAAATATACACTTGAAGCAGGCCTCAAAAGTCTGAAGAGCCAGATACACAACAAGACAACAAAGTTAATAATCTAACTTAACCATGTTACTTTTGGTGAACAGCATGCCTCAGCTTTTATCTGTTGACTTCCATCTTTGGGCTTCATAATTCCTCTTTAGAAATGAATGGATGACACTACAGAGACACCGTCTTTGTTATGTTACCACTTATGTATTTGAGGCAAATATTGCCACCTTGTAAATGATGGTAACTGAGAAATAAAACAAGAATTTCACATTTGTATGACCTAAACAATGCAATGATTTAAAGATCATTTTTGTTGTCACGAGAACAGTGTGGAGTTGAGTTGGTACAAGGCGGTCATTGGCTCAACCAAAAGCACATACGTGAATGTGTCACCAGACTACGAAATAGACTAATCTGACTGTATGTGTTACTTTTCTTGTCTCTGGTTTAGTTCAAGTGCACATACCCTTTCACACACACTTTATCTGACTAATCTGATTGTACTCACACACATTCATACACCATTGGTTATACCTGTGAGAGTAAGCATCTCTGCCAACACTCAAACTGGAGAAGCAGAGTCATTTTCCAATGCATTGATTGGAAAATGACCCGTTTCACCTCTGAGCCACGGCTGCTGTCACTCGATTGCTACAGTGAGATATTTGGAGACTGTGTGGAGGAGTTATGCGGGTGGTAAAACTGGCATAACATCCACAGAGTTTGGGTTTCATTGCTATCTGGAGAGAGAGCCCATCATTTTGTTATGGACAGGATTAAAACCCTGTCAGCATGTGAGCTCGGCCCTGCAGCAGAGAGTGAAGGTGCTGACAGCTCCCCTACTATGAGGTGCATTTAATACCTGATTGCACTGAGCTGTAAAAGTTTGCTGACATGTTTTCAATGATATATGATTGTTTTTTTGTGTGTGAATCAGGCTGCAGGGCAAATATTATTTGGAAGTGAAGCCCCTGAGTGTTTAATATTGTTGTGTCTACCTGTGATGAAAATATCAGATTGAATCTCCTGACGGCGGCTGGTTGATTTTTTCTCGTCTCTGCTGACAGACAGCTGCTGCACAGAAGAAGACATCCAGGATATCTCCCATGTTCCCACTGATACCAACAAGAATGAACCCTGGGACAAGTGTGGCACACTGAGCCTTGAGTAAGTCTCACCTTCAAGACCAGTTATATCTTTTTGTTTCTGACTCTTCAGCTCATAATGTCAAATCAAGACAGAACATTTACTTTTAATCGTCCCTAAAAAGTATCAGGGTTAATCTTGTGTCCATACTTTGAGACTTCAGTTCAAAACTTGGTGTACTAAGCTCTTAAAAATGCTTAGATGCTGCTGCTAAACTGACAGATATTGAGTTCAGAAGTTAGAGTGGTGACCAAAACCTGAGCTTAAACAAGCCTAACTGAGAGAGACATTCAAATACAGTGAATTAACATATCTGCTAGTGTAAAAACAGCATTAGTCTGAATAGAGTTGGAAATCACAGCAGTCCTTTTAGGGCCTGTGTCCACTTACTGCAAGTAGCAGTTACAACCGCAATTTTTAGAGTGCTTCTTGCTGACCCTTACTGTGTCAAGGTCATGAAAGATGTCCCAGAGCACAACTGCTTCCCTTAGTAGTGACCATTATATCTGTTTTATTTTACCTCATATTTAATTATTCAAATGGCTTCTCCTTTGTTTAGACACTAACAGTTTTTCTGAACAAATTTGGCATTAGAGACCCCGCCCCCTCCCTAATTGCGATTGGTCAGGGATAACAAGTTGACAGGAGAAGCAAAGCAATGTTAAAAAAATCATGATGTCAGTAGGGGTGTTTTTGCACTTAACCCTGAAAATACTGGAATGTTTTGGTTCAGTGTAAATAACAGGTGCTGTTAGAGGACACAGGCCCTTACTGGCTCATCTCAAAAGTTCACACCAAACACGAATGAAATCATTTGCGTGAGTGGATTACATTCAAAGTCAATGAAGAGATGATTTCCTGTCAGGTGACTTAAATGACAAGAATGAATTGAGCAGATTCATCTTGCAAATGGAAGAGAAACTGATTGTGTTGTACATGGCTACCCAAGCTAAAGGATACAGTCTGATTTTATCAATGATTCAATACTTGATTAATTGTTTACACGCCTTATTTAAAAATTTGTGGTCGTGAAGCAGTGCGGTCCAGTATGGGACTCAAAACCTTTGCTGTGCCCATGTTGTTCAATGTTTGTCCATCTTGTCTCTCTGTTTGTCTCGTCTTTGTCATGTTTTTGGTCTCTCAACTTCGCCTCATTTTTTTCTACAAACCCAGTCGGGCACACCCATCTGATTCTTCTAGAGGTTTTTGGAGGTTCCTGGCTGTGCTATGTTAATTTTGCAGACTGCTTGCTCATCTGACTTCAAAAATAAAAGGTTTAATTGGTTGATTAATCCTTTTAGCATGGTCTTGGCTGGATTTATCCCTGTGTTAATGGGTTAATCCCTGTCCTGACGTACCAAAAGGTACCTGAGAAGAGAATCAGGGCAATGTGGCACAAACAGACTGGACCGGAAACATTAAATTAGCACAGTAAACATGCTCCATAAAGACTCTCACTGGAATCAGAGACATCAAACTGCATAAAAATATCATTTTAACTACCATGTGTAATTGTTTTCTGCTGAGTTGGCCTTCAGGGTTGGCAAAGGTTTATTATATTTGTTCTAACTGGTTCCTTTCATCTCTCTCTCCTCAGATGTGAAGGCTTCCTGAAGCGAGTGTCATGTTTTTACCGCTGCTCCCCGGATGCCGCACGCTGGCCTCACCCCCACCGCCGCTCGTACATCCAGGCTGTGCCGCTCTGCCACAGCTTCTGCCGTGACTGGTGAGGCCAACAAGCGCAAGGCTAAAAACAGGAACACACAGTTGAACACGCGGCTAAACATGCGGCTAAATCAGAATGAGTATCTGTGTGTGAGTGTAAGGAGAGAGATTAGCAGCCAGTGGAACAACAGCAGACTGTGATGTATTTCACAGATAATGAAGTCACATCAATCTGAGTTTTCCTATAAAGTAGTGTATAAAAATTTCACTACTATATAAAAATGAGAAACAGCTTTGATCGTAGTTGCTCTACTTTTAGACACAAGTAGGGCTCTTGGTACCAGCATACTTCCCTAAATCTGATCTTTAACTACTGAAAACACTGAGGTTGAAGGTACACATAAACGATATATTACAAGACTGATCCTTCATCATATTTACACATGTATGAAAAACACCACAATGTTTTAATCTAATTTTAAAGGTTCAATCTTTTTTTTATTTTAGGTTTAATGCCTGCAAGATGGACATGACATGTGCTCGTAACTGGGCCAGAGACCCCAGAGGACAGAACTGCACTGGGAACTGTGTCCAGTATCAGCAGGTAGGCCTGAATTCAGCTCACTCCTAAATGGCTGCTGGGGATATTTGTTTATTCTGTGTTTTTTGTTTTTTTTTAATTTATGAATCGTAAGTGTTGTTAGCCCCTGAGACAACACAACTTTCCAATATTCTGACCATTTTTGTCCCAGTCACTCCTCAGCAGCAGAGTTAAGAGGTTTGAACACTTTTGACTTTTGAGCTTCAGACTGCTCATTTCAGCCAGTTCCCCATCTTATTTTTTCTTTTTTTCTCTTTTCTTTTGTCACTTTTCTTTATTTTATCTTATTAAACATTTTATCATCTATTCCTGTGTCATTTTTTCTCGTTTTCTTCTTCCTTTTCTGTATACATTTCTTTGTCATTTGTTTTTCCCCTTTTTGTTATCTTTTCCTTTACTTCTTTCTGTTTCTTTGTCTTTTCTGTCTTGCCCTCTTCTTCTTATATCATTTTTCTTTTCACTTTTACCACCCATTTTGTTCCTCTTTCCTTCTTCTTGTACTTTCTTGTTCCTTTACTTTTTTGCAATCAGAAAAATGTTTTTCTCTTCATCCTTTTCTTGTTTTCTTTCTTTTTCTATTTCCTTGCTATCCGCTTTCTTTTTCCTTTTCTTTTCTCGTTGGTTTATTTCTTTTAATCCATCACTTAAATATAGATATTTTTTATTTACATGCTTTATTTTTCTTTCCTTTCCTTTTTGTTGGTCTTTTCTACAGTTTTGTTCTTTGAATTCTTTGTCTTTTTCTTCTCTTTTTTATGACTTTTCAGATTTTTTGTCTTCCTTTCTTGTCTCTTTTCGTATTCTTTTCTGTCCTTCAATTCCTCTGTACAAATTGCTTTCCTTTTGTTTATTTTTCCTTTTCTTTTCTGTTTTTCTCCTCTATCATCATTGTCTTTCTTTTTATCATCAAGTATTTTTCTTCTTTTTTTTTCTTTCATTCTTTCTCTCCTCTTTTTTTTTTTTATTATGTGACCACATTTACTCCAACATCAGAGCTCTCTGGGCTTTTTGGCTCAGGTTAGATTATTACTGGAAATTACTGATTCGTAGGATCAGCGCCAGGATGCACAGGAGGATATGTAAGTGTGTGTGTGTGTGTGTGTGTGTGTGTGTGTTTGTACCCTGGTGCCTCTGCTTTGTGTACTGTGGTGCTTTGTGAGCTTGTTTTGGCCCACTTTCATGAAGTGCTCCTCTAATGGCCTCAAATGAGTTCCAATAAATTTCAGTAGCTTTTAAAACAGCTTGAATGTAAATAACTCCTGAATACAAAGAATAACTCACTGCATCCTGCAATGTAACATTACAGAGACAACAAACACGCGACTACCTTTTTTAACAAATACAGAAATCACAGCAGTAAGACTTCACTCTGTATTTCAGCCAAAAAGCCTTTTTATGAACCAATTGGAGGAAAATTTAGCAGGATAACTTAGAGATCTTTGAGTTTCAAACATTTGAAGTTGATAAAATGCTAATGAAACCTTGTTAAAATACCTCTCATATCCTTCTTATATACTGAAGCCCAAATGCTGTTTGTGTTTGCATGTGAGGAATAAATGCACGCACATTCAGCCAGGATTCATAAATGCTCGCTGCAGTAGACGTCTATTTGCATAGAAATAAGCTAATACATATAAAGGCACTCATAGGCAGACGCACTCACATCCACTGCATGCAGAAATCCCTCTGGCGCTCTGTCTCTCTGTCTCTTTGTCCTCTTTGGTAACATTATTTACCAGCCAAGGTCTTATTTATCCCAGAGTGAGACACTCTTTCTGCTCTGGATTTTTGTGCGAATGAGGTTACATCAGCAGAGAGAGGCCGTGACTGTGCTGGACGCTTTGTACAAAACACATCAAGGACAGCACGAGTGGGTTTTATAAAAGAAGATCTATAATCTGAGGAGAGAAATGATCCTGGGTTTCTAAAGAACATTTTCAGACACTACTTTAGATTATAGCTTCAAATTTACAGCAGAAAAACAGTGCAGATGAGTTTATTTTATATTGAGTCTAAAATAGTGGGTCCTGTGCAGAGGCAAAAAGTGCCCATGTGTCTTTATGAGACACAGAGGGCAACAAAATTTCACATTTGGTGACTTGGGAATCATAACAAACAGACTATCTCATCTGCTGAATCTAGATGTACCTCACCTCACAGGGCTCTTAAATATCTGCACATATCATATAATATTGATATTCTTTTTTTATTGCCCTGCTGTCTTAAAGCTCCCTTAAGGAGTTTTTGACAGCTGAAATTCACATTGAGGCCTTTTCATTATATCCTAGAGCAAACAAGACAATCAACAACAAAATGAAGATTTTTATATCCTAGTTTTGAATGCCTGAAATTGGTGCATGGGGGTAGGTGTAGCCTCGCAGCTGAAGAAACAGCCTAGTTTTACAATTTCCACATAAAATGTTCACAATAAATGATACATCTGACTGTCAAAAGTCAGCTGGATAAGATTTCTGGTCATAATTCGCCACTTGAACACGTAGAGGGTGAGATTAGAAAAGACTGTTAATCCACAGAGGGCTCTCCACTTGCATAAACAACATGGAGGGTATGTGTCTCAGCACAAAACTTTGGATTTGCAGTTGATATCTGATCAGTCACAACAGAGTCCATACCCTGTTGTGGTTTGTGGTTGCATCACATCTGTTTTCTTTAATTTGGTTGATGTCCCTCTGACTGATTTCATTGCTGTTTCCTACTTTTAATCTTTTTGTTCCTGCTGTTGACTGGTTAGACGTTTACCTCCAAAAAGTTTGTGTCAGGGATTTTATTTCCCATCATGAAGAAAAAGCTTATTTTTTACTTTTCCACTGCAAATATTTAAAATGAGAGACATGTTTGGATGTTTGGAGAGAGACAGACTATTATTACCTGAGGATCTTTGATTATTTGTAATAATCGTGGGGGATGTGTTTGTTTTTAATCAGTCAAAAATGATATAGATGTTGTAAATTAAGGCTTTGACACCTTTTAAGTGAAAATTTAGAAGAATCATTTCATTACACTAAAGTGAAACTATTTCTTCAGTGTTGATCAGTAAGTATAACTGCTTTAAACAACAATGAAAACTAACGGCTTTTCTTCCATCACTCACAGGAAATTACACAATGAGCCATGACATATGCTTAAAAACCACCAATAAATCATACAGTGAAATGTTCAGACAGCTCCATAGCTTTATATGTCTGAAAACACTGGTCGTACAAGATAAAAATAAAAAACAGGTTTGTCCCTCTCTCTGCAGAGGTCTCTTAGCATGGCTGAATTCAAAAACAAATTGTGAGTTTTTATGTTTATTGCTGATTGATTCGGGTTGTTAGACATTTATGCCTGATTGTTGTTCCTCTTATGGGTGGACCATGCTGCTTTTGGTAAATAACTTAAAAGGAGAGCATGGCTTTATTTATGGTTGCTTGGCAACCAAATCCCCTGTGCAGACACTCTCAGATCAATATTTCACACCCTTGAATATAGAGGAAGACAAGTCAGAAGTTCATCTCAGTACAAACAGCTTCATTGGGTGGTGGTTTATTAATTACTAGATATGGACGTCTTCTTCTTTTCAGCAGGCTGTACACTGTAGCGTGTGATGCTGCCACCAGAAACATGGTGGATGCACCTCGGCGTTTGCAATCAGTAATGTCAGCAAATTCAAGTAAATGATGTACTTCACATAGTCTGAGCCAAAGTGCCTCACCAAACACTGACTTCAGGGGGTACTTTACAAATGACCAGAGGTCCACACGCAATGATAGTCTTGTTCAAGTAGCACTTTACCCATGTCAAGGTCTAGATCAGCAAAGAGATGAGATTCAACTTTGTCCTAAAGGAGCACCGAGTACAACACAAGCAGACGTTTCTCACAGGAGCGTTAAATACAGATTGGCTTGTGCCCATGACCCGCCTTTGACATATTATTTGCGTGTTTTCCGGTCCTCAGTGAGTTTGTCTGTTGCTTTGACTTGAAGAATAAATACAGAAATACTTTTCTAATTCTGACCCTGACCCCCAGCTAGGAGACAGCTTATGAAAAAAAAAACACTTTTGTCATTGCAAACTCCCTCCAAGACTTAAGCCTTTTCTCCTTTCTGTTTCCTTTTCACACTGAGTGGTGAAGTGTCGTGTGGTTTCAGGGAGCAGGGCAAAACTGGAAAAGATAAAGTCATGATGGATGACGGGGGATAGAGCTGCAGGAAATGTCACTATCTCACTTATTCGATTGCACTGTGTCATCTAAAGCCACTTATGTTTGTTCTGAATTAGCTTTGGCAGCTAACCCTGTCTGCCCGCCTGGGGAGGGACGGAAATATGAGTGTGTGTGTGTATGATGCGTACACTGAGATAACACCTGAGTGTCAGACAGAGGGTGTACAGTGAGTGGAGTGGAGAGAAATCCTCTCTGTCCTTTGAACACGGTAAATATATTACAGTTTTTTTCTGCTCTGAGCGCCCGGTGTGACTCAGTTTTTAATCCCCCAGCAGACAGGAGGATGAAAAGAAGCAGACGTATGGGGGGGTTTGAAGAGGTGGATGTGCCATGGAGAAAAAAAGAAAGAACAAAAGAGATGTACAAACAAAGAGTGCAGAAATGAACCAGAAGAATAGGGCGAAAAAAAGCAGAAAGGAAATGAAGTGGAAGTGAAATAGGGGACAAAGCGAGTGGTAGTAGGAGGCAGAGCAATGACTTGGCAGCAGATCTTAATGAGTGCGTATAAAGCTGTCACTGGAGGCAGAATGGGAGCTTTAACACTAAAAGGCATGACATGTGTGCCTGAAGTTGACTAATTAGCTTTGCCAACTATTTCTAAGTGTGTATGTGCAGACCTTTTTACAGTTAAACAGCTTAAATGTTGAATACTGATTTGTTGTTTTTTTTTTATTATTTTGCAGCGCAGTGCAACATTTCCTTTAATCCACGTACATGTCTTATTAGAGAGGAGTTTCATTTTCATGCTCCACAAGTTTATACGCTTGTGTCAGCAGGAACTGGAGTTTCACCTCGAAATATAACTCCAGAAACGCTGAGCAATGAGGTGATTTTCCTGTCTGGAGAGAAATCAAAGATGCCGCACCTTCCCGATTAGTTCCTGATCTGTGTGTCTGCTCTGCGAGGATTGACAGAAACATCATCTCTCTGTGAGGAAATAAAGTCAGATACCAGCGAGAGCTTATCAAGGTCGGCGTATATTATATTTTGTTCTTGAGGCTGGTGCAGACGAGGTGAGATGAGCTACAGAGGCAGACAGGCTGCGTTCAAGAGCAGCTGCCAGGTGCCTGCAGGCCGCCTCTTAACACCTGGCAAAGGGTGTTTGTTTTGAAGGCCAGCGCTGCCCTGAGAGGCCGAAATCAATTCTACCAGTGGATGTTTACAAGTGAGGAGAGGCTGCACTTGATAAACACAACAAGAAGTGTGCAAATCATGTCAGTTTACTGCGACACTACAGCACCATGGCTACTTTTCCATTTGTACAAATTCAACACAGTTTGTGGGTGTTACTTTTTACACAGCTTTGATTTCAGGAAATGACCCAAAAGTCATGCCTTCATGAAGCAAGCTGTATCCATGTTTGCTCCTCAATATGCAAGACATTGGTGATTAATTTTTGTAATATTTCCTCCAGTTTGTGGTTCTGAACCATCATTGAAGGTCTTTATGTTTCAGTACCAGTTGAGCTGTAAATTCAGCTTGTCCTGGCTTTTGTGTAAGGAACCTTCTGTCTAGAGGTGAGTACAAACAGGTTCACTGTGCCTGTTGTCGTCTTTAAAGTATTAAAACATCCTCCTACTTTTTCAGGTGTCTGCATCTTTGGGAAGAGAAACAGCTGCAAATTTCTTTTACATTTATGCACTACTTTACGAGGCATACTGAATCTAAAAAATGCAGAGTAAGCAAAAAGATGCACAATGGAATAATCATTCTTGGTGAAGGTGAATCTGAAAGAGCTGCAGGGTGCACACGTCCTTCATCGTCCAGTCAATTAGAGAGTAAAAGTTAAAAAAACGGGTCAACCTGGAGGTTCAGTCTGATCAGAATGATTCATGTAATACCCTAATAACTGTGCAATATCAAGCAACATATTCCAGCTACCAGACTGTGTGTGGTTTTCAATGTGTTAATAATGCAGAACATTCAAGTTAAATAGCCAAACAAGATAGAGATTAGTACAGTAGAAAACCTGGGTCATCAACTTTGTGCCAACTTGAATCCAAGGCTACATCTAGTATTCAGAGTCACAATTACACACAAAATATTTAATACACTATGTCTCATTTACAGTACATATGTGCATAAGATAAGAAACAGAAACAAAAATGAGCATCCAAGAATTTAAGAAAAACCAGTATGAGCTCAAGATAGCATTGCACAAGACAATAAACCTATGATCTGCCAAATTAAACAAAAAGCTCAATTTTTAATAAGATTTACTTGTGAGACAGTGCGTCAACTTGCAGTGAGGGAGAGGAGGGTGGAGAAGGATCTTTGTTACTATTGAATGTAACCCTTTACCAGTGTTTTCAGACTGCTAGGGTTAAAGAGCTGAAAAAAATAAAACAGTGGTTTTTCTTGTTTCAAAGTTAATTTTCCATCTAAAACTCCAGTACAAGCAGCAGAGTCCTTCCTGCCATGTCACAGTAGATTAAATTTATCTGGACTTCATCCGGACCAACTTGTTTGAGACTGCTATGTGGATTTACTCATGAATATCATGCTCCTGTTAACCCTCTTAAAACCAGTACAGAAGTCACCTTTTTACAGTCTTTCCTGTACAGAAGTTTGGTCGTGTTTCTTCTCATCTTATTAAAAACAACAGTATCATGATGTCTTGCAGCTTTTGTAGAGCAAACTTGACTGAATGACAAGATATTTATCTTGTGATAGTTATTTTTTTTTACCTCAAGCACAAAAATGGTTAAATTGTACATTTAAGATAATCATCTTATATAGAAAGTTATCCTGTCCGTTTTAATCATGTTCACTTTTACTTTTAATGCTTTTAGTGAGACTATTATGATGATTATTTATTGGGCATTTTGGGCAATGAAATCTTGATCTGCCAGACAAGTGCTTATGAAATGGACCAAAAGCCAGAAAATACCGGCTAATGTAAACTCTGGCTCTAGAGACCCCCCTAACAGCATTATCATTCTGAAATGTTGCACACACCCCTGGCATCGCCACAGCCACAAACACAGCCAAGTTGTTTTTGATACAACTTAGTGGAGGAAAAGCAGTGCTGGGAGTTTTGTTGGCCAGAAGGTTACCGTGTACCAATAGGGATAAAAGAGAGATATTGTATTATTTTCTGTAGCTTTATCCTCTTGTGCACATAAAATTGAAAATACGTAATCTGTGAGACCTTGAGAGCTCCATCTGAGAGAGACCACTCTGCATTATTCTTTTACGTTTTATACTTCAGGTACATTTCCAAGGCCGTTATGAACCACTATCCATTTTCCAGAGAAAGAAAATATCTTTTCTCCTCTAATGATGGTTTCTCTGTGTTTCTATGTGTATGCAGATGTACCAGCACGGCAGGGACCTTTGTGAGAGCCTGTGGGGGGACGCCTTCATGACAGTGGAGGATGAGACAGAGGAGGCGGTAGAGAATGGGGAGGCTGGAGCGGAAGGCGGCGGCAGCAGTCGTCCCTGCGGCTGCCTGACTCTGAGCCCCTCGGACAAAGACGTGATCGCCGCCCTCAGAGCCCAGCAGGACGACCCTGAGGAACTCGACACCACCAAGACTGGCCTGCCTCAGTACCGGGCCCCCTGCCAGACCAAGCTGCCCCTGCCAGCCCGGGGCATCAGGAAGGGGAACTCAGTGCTGCGTAAACGCTCGATCGTGGTGGATGATGTGGAAGGGAGCGGGAGCGGCTTGTAGAGAAAAGTAATAGATGTAAACATGTTTAGAGATTATTGTCTAGATCCTAATAAACAGAATCTGTCTCTGGAGTTGTAGCCCTGCTCCTCTGACTTACCTTAGCACACAAACCTCCTTTTATCATTATCAACACAGTCTATGTATAATCTCTCTAGTTGAAGATGTTACACTACAGTATATTAGCTTAGAGACTGACTGAAAAGCTAGTAACACTTAAAGTCAACAACTGGTGAATTATTTCAACTAACTGGTTTCAAAAATATCATGATTATACTTTCAAAGAGGCCATAATTAAGTGAGACTTTTAAAGGGGAGTTCCTGTATTTTTTAACCTGGGTCATGTTTAGTTTATTTACTCAAGAGATGGTTTACAACGTTCAGGTTTGCTAAAGTTGCCTGCTTCTGCTTCAGCGATAGACTTAATTAAAATACTGTATATGGAAAGCATTAGTACCATTTGGAGCGCCCTCTACTGGCTGGATGCAGTGTTGATAATAAAGTTCACCTCCTCCATGTTAACAGATGGAACATTTGTCAAACAATTAGAATATACTCAAAGGTAATTTTTTAAAACATGGTTTCTGTCTTTGTCAAGGTTGTAATGTTAAATGTAATGTTAAAAGACAAAGATAAAAAGAAAAAAAAAACATAGCCTTGACTCAGTTATTTGAAGAGATGACAAAATTCTCCTCACTGACTGAAAATGAAGGTGTTTTGGGTTTTAATCTTGATCTTGCGTCGTACGATAGATAACAAACAACTTGAGCACAATCATGTGACCTTGTTTAATTCTAAGTGATTCTTGGATCCTTGTGGGTATAATGTGCGGGTTAGATCTTTTACTGGACTCAGATCCTGTGGACCTGTGATGTTGCAGCAGTAGGAGGGACAAGGGGAAACTTTAAATGGTTTAACGTTAAAATGAATGTTAACAGAACGCCTTTGATTGATGCTAAAAATAAAAATATGACAATCATTTTATTAGGCGATGCCCCCTCAAAGATGTTTCTGTCACAAGGCTGGTGATATTGACAAACCATAAATTTGACCATAGCTAGAAATAAATGATGACATGTAAGTTAACTGCATTTGCAAGTTAAGTTTATGAAGTAATGTGTCTTGCCTCTCCTGAATTTGACTGATTTTGTAATCACTGTTATCATGATAGCTTACAACTACAATAATTCCGCCATGAAAATCTAATAACATGAGCGCTCTGATTGGAATCCTGTAGTCAGAACCCATTGAAGGGGAAAAAACAAGCACTATGAATGAGATGTGCTCATTTGTAATCTCCCCAAACGATTACACTGTGCCACCACAGCTGTGTCATGACTGCAGTCTGAACCAGAACACTTCAAACCCATAAACTTAACCACAATCAAACACAGAACCCAGGTTCAAAACTACAGAAACTCACAGGCAATTTCCCCAAATTCTCCAAGGGCTCTGACCTCATTAATAAATATATTTAAGATTTCCCATAATGGCTGCAAAAACAATTCATGCAAGCCAAGGTTGGAACCATTTTTCTGCCAGTTCTATGTCAAGTCAGGTGTTTAGTATCAGTAAAACATACTGCTGGTATTGTGATAAGGGGTGTGTGAAGTCTTACAATATTAGTGCTAGTGCATGAGTCAAACATATCATCATTGGCCAACCGTGACAGTATTATAAATATGATGTACATGCACCAGTGCACAAACAATCCTGCTACTCTTCTTAGTCATATACTTCAATCGGTGCATTCATTATTTGTTGCAAACAGATCTTCACGCTATGATGGTGTGTCAGAAATAGACAGGGTAATGCAAAGTAACCAAGGCTTTTGAAGACGGATCATCGTAGAGGATTTGGTATTATAACGGCTAAGGAGAGAGGTACCTGAGGGGGAGGTTTTAAGATTCAAAAACACAGAAGAGAAGCTGAAGTTGTTCTAGTTTGATCACATATTGCGTACATGTACTGTGGCTGTTTCTTTTATATTTACATTATGTACTTTTAGAGCGAGGCACTGTTAGACGTAATCTTTTGTAAAAAAAACAAACAAACAAACAATGGGGAACAAAATTGTCTGATCTGTTGTAACTTTGCTGAAATCGCTGTTTCTGTGCTTTACATTATCAATAAAAATGATCTTTTTAAATGCCGTCATTCATAGTCGTGATTCTTTTAGGAGAGGATAAAACTTGTTTCGATGAGATTCAGCTAGAATGAGACAGGTGTTTACTCTCAGTATGCTGCCTCCTTGCACAGGCACATGAACGTAAATCCATTCATACACCTAAAGAAAAGCTTTCTGCACGTCTATTTTTACATCTATTTTCCTTTTAATCTACAACCTCAACTCCATAGGCATTTGGGACACTGTTAAATGTTGTTAAAAAATAGTGCAAATAAAAACATGACAGTTACTGAAATGTTGAAAATACGCTATCGAATCTGATGCAAGAAAAAAAAGACAAGAAAACAATGAAAAAGTTGTGTAATGCTAACAAAATAATTTAAAAAAAAACATGGAGGAACATTCCCCAACTTCATAAAGTGATTTTCAACAGGTTAGTAACATGACTGGATCTAAAAAAAAAAAACCTCTCAACAGTAAAGGTGAAAAGAGGTTTATCACCGTGTGAGAGTCTGAGTAAGCAAAAAGTTCAACAATACCAGAGTAATGTTGATCAAAATATTCTGACTTCCTGATATTTCACCAATAAAACAGCAAAGAATTTTAACAGTTCATGACATTAGTGGATGACTGATGAAACTATATCGATAATGAGATAGCAGGTAAGTTGATAACTAATATATAATGCTGATATCACATTGTTTTTTTGCCTTTTCTATCTTTTTCTTCTATATTTGGCGGAATAAACAATATTGGATTTAAATGAATTTAAAAAAACATAATGGTGATATCATCCCTGTGAGAGCCAATGTCCATATCATGCTAATTACTGAAAAATGCCACTGACAGGGCCAACTGATTACTTAGTCTATTGCTACATAATATCATTCAAACATTAAAAATATAGAGAAATCTCTCTAAAAAAAGGGGACATGGTATAAAACCAAAACTGAAAAAGCACCACAGTCAATCCAGATGTAAGTCACTGCAATGGCCCTACTTCCAGATTTCATTGTTTTTAAACACAGTTTGCAGCTGCATCCACCAAAGCAGGTTAAAAGTGTACCACGCAAAGAGGAAACCATTCATAAACATGATCCAGAAATACATCTTTTTCAGGCGTTAACCTATTGTAGAGGAGTTATGGTGCTAAATTGGCCTGTCTGCAGGCCCAGCCTGTCAGCCACTAAAAACATTTGGCGCATAATGACACAAAAATTACGATAAAAGAGACCCTGAACTGTCAAGTAGCTGAAATCTTATATAAGACAAGAAGTGGATGACGTTTTACTTTCAAAACTCCATAAACTGGTGGTAAGTGTTTACAAAGGGTTGTAAACCATCATAATATGTTATCAATCAACACATTTAACAACATCCCAACTCTTAATGAATTTGGTTACCTATATAATGATGAAAAATCACTGTAAAATCATACCAACTAAGACCAGGAACAGGAAATTATAACCCAGAGTATGGTAAATTGAACTGACAGCAAAACTAAGTCATACACATAAATAACAAACACATAAATACTGATAAGATAGCCAATAAAATACAGGTTATCCCCATATGTGACATCTTAAATCTCATTTAAAGGGACTAATACATGGACTGTGGTTTGCTCAAAAGGACAGACAATGAGCATTCGTGTGACTGTGTTTGGCTGTTTGAATCTCTCCAGCTACTTCTGTGGAGGACGAATGCTGCGCCCATCATTGTTCACTAATATTATGTCCTCTGTGAAAGTAATAATCACAGAATATAAATGACAGCGCAGAGCGGAGAGGGTCACAAATGAAAAGTCCCCTGTGTGAGATTACGAGTGTGCAGCAGAGAATGAGCAGACCTTATCTTCTTAATTTGTTTCAGTATTACTCAGAATTTTACAAGGCCGACGTCTGATACAAATTGTCAAACAAATGAGATAAGCTTTTCTTTTTCATTTGTTCCTGCAAGGCCAAAGTCCGACCTTCAGAATTGAAAACATGTCCTCTTTTTGTCACTCATTTGTCGTCCCCGCACAAATGAAGAAAATGGAGATAATGATTGATTGTGTTGAGTACTTTAAGAGACTGGTTGACTCTCATTGGCATTTTCAATCAGTTCTTAATTTTGGGGTGCAGGTAAATTTCTGCAATGGATGAAGAAAAATTTTTCTATTCCTTTTTTATTCTTCTACATTCTCTGCCAACGTTTTCCATCTTCATTAACATATCTTTACATTTCTATTCTTCTCTATTCCACTTTGCTCTTTCCTATTCTATTAGATTTATTCAAAGTATATTTTTATGTTTGGGTTATATGACTGAAGCAAGGAGGCTCTTTGAGTGAAGACAGGTATTTGTTTTGTTTTGATTTGGCTGCTCTTCCCACTCTTCTCCACTAGATGGCTGTATATCCAAACAAACGCTCCAAAGTACGGCACTATGTCCCGAAAGTTGCAGACCATTTTTGAGGCTTCTGCCAAGACTATATTTTAACATTCACCTGTATTATAATGTTGTTTAAGTTTGACGTGCTTTTGTTGTTGTTGTTGTTGTTGTTGTTGTTGTTGTTGTTGTTGTTTTTTCTTTCATACTGTTTGTTCCCCTGTGTACTGACAGTGTCTGGTTATTTATTTTCTTTACTTTAAAAATAGAAGCATTTTCAACTTCGGTTACAACACATAAACTAAACAGTGAGCACATTTTAAAGCTCCTATGAGGAGTTTTTGCTGGTGATGTTATAAGTCAGACCCTAAAAAGTAAACCAGATCACCAGGTACGTGAATTCTTTGTTGTAATATTTAGGGCAGGTAACCACAGCCGCAGGGTAGGTGTCAGAGGAAGTGGGTTGTGAAACACTTAAACAGCCTGTTTATAGATTTTCCACAGCCAAAATTCAAAGTAAGTGACACCTGTGCCTTTTTTTGATTGACAGCAGGATGCCTGTTTTATAAGAAAAAAATTCTTACACCTTAACAGAGCAAAATCAACAAAGTGAGAAGGTCAAAGCTTTGTCCAGAGGGGGTGCAATAATCAACAAAAATCAAAATCTTCTCAAAAGGAGCTTTAACATGTCTAATTAATACTGTCTTGAAGCAAACTTTCTGTTATACAATTTATTGAAACTGTTAAGTGATTTGTTGTTTTGTCACCTCATAGACAAACCAATAACATATTAGAGCTCATGTGAGGAACTTTCAGTGTGTGGTGATTTTGGCACCCCCTCTGGACAAACTGCCAGATTCTGACATTCAAATTTACATCACGACATAGAAATGATCGTGCTTCAGGTTAATTGTTTGTCATTGAGAGAAATAATTTAAGTCTTTTCTGTAACCAACTAAAAGCTCCTCAGAATAACTTTAATGTGACTGTCAGTATTATGATGGGAAAAGTTGCTCCATATTAGACTTTTGCTTATATTATTAAACTTATTTTGGTCAACATGTACAGTAACTAATATGTTACTGTCTGTCTGTCTCCAGACAGACAGACAGACAGACAGACAGACAGACAGACAGACAGATAGATAGATAGATAGATAGAGAGATAGATGATGTATTTTCCAAATAGAGATATAGCTACAGTGTTTTTTGGGTTTATCAAAAGACAGACGTAGAAGCTGCAGATGGATTCTTTAGTTGTGCCAACACAGTTTTGTTCTTTCTTCTTTGAAACATTTGTATGTTTGATGATTCTTAAGATTTACAGTTAAACTGGTGATGTTAAAGGAGTGTTGTTTATCTCCTCTTAGCATCACCTCCTAAAAAAAAACTTCCATACAGCTGACATGTTGAGGCTAGTGGTTGACCGATAACATTGTCACAATGCGGGAATAATAATTGCACCACCTTGTTCACCAGAAGTGTCAGCGGAAATTTTCATGACTGCCAGTAAAAAGCTTTTAAGCATCTGATATGGACCATTAACTTTTTCCGCTTTTGACGTCCAACCCCAATACAAAATCTTTTCAAGCTCTTATCGGCCAAGTCCCAGATCGGGCTTTTATCCAAACAGATAAACAACATTTTAAAGCTTTTATCAGCTGATAACCATGACTTAACATTTTATTGAATTATATTAGTCAATAATTGGACCTTTTAAGTAATTATTGGCCATTACAAAGCACATCTTTTGAGCTTTAATGGCCACTACTTTTAACTGCTTTATTTTGTATTGTGTGGTACCAATATTTAACTGTCATTAACCTTTTACTAGCTGATGCAAATGTACTTTTGAGCTTTCATTGGCCAATATTGCTAATTAATATCTCATGCTGTGATCATACAAGGTCAATAATCAACTTTAAAGCTTCACTTGCCTGAGTATCTACTTTTTAAAGCTTTCACTAGATGATCTTTTTAATTGGCTTAATCAATGTCTAACTTATAGTGTTAAGTGTAAGGCCAATACAGATAATTATCTTTATACGTCTTGATTGGCTTGTATAGACACTTTGGTTTTATTAGCTGAAATAGATTTTTCATTTGTCTAGCTTTTAACAGCTGACAGAATTTTTAAACTTATCAAGCTTTTTTATAATGATGCTGCCAACAATAGTGAATAATATTTTGCATCCCCAGTAGTGGTTCACTGGAAACATTTAAACATAGAAAATTATCTCAGACTGCAGATGGGATGTTAAAATTGTTAAAAAGTCATCAAAAAACACAACAAATGTGGATAAAATTACGTTTTTTAATGACTACAGTAACGTGCCCTCAAACTCTCCTGAAGAAAAAAACATCCTCTGTCAAGCTAAAGCTGCAACTTGGGATCCAACTTTTGAAAGAGCCTCAGATGGCCGCGGTGAGGTGGGAGGAATATTCATGTTATTCTCGAGAAATAACAGAGGAAAGAGAGCGAGAGAGAGAGAGAAAGAGCGAGAGAGCCAGGCCTGTTGTGTGTCTGTGGGAGGGGAAGGGGGCTCGTGGAGGAAAAATCAAACCCACCCAGAGCTCTTCATACGTCACTGTTCGCATCACAGATGTTCCCACAGACACTCAGTGTGGGTTGTGGGCCGAGGCGTGTGGAGAGCCAGTATGGCTTCAATTGGCTTGTTTTTCGGACTGCCTGGCGCATTATAATCTGTAGGCCTGCTGTGTGCGTAAATGGAGAGTGGAGGGGTGATATTTAGAAGTTTTCCTGAGTAGGAGCCGGGCTCGAGTTGGCTGTAAAGGCTGTTTGATGCGTTTCAGTGCAGAGGGGGTGATATTCTGACTTTGACGAGTTTTCAGACACATTTATTAATAATTTATGAAACTAAGCACATTTACAAATGCAGCGCTGTGATGCTCTCTAATATTTAAAGCTGTTGATTGAGGATAAAACAGGCACTATAGGCGCACTAACATGTATATCCCCTGAATTAAAGGTTTCTTGATGAAAGGTGTCAGAAAATGAGAACTAGCGTGGGCGTGTTTGGTTCTGTTTCCACGCACATTGCAGAAAAAAAATAGGTTGTTATTGGTGGAAATAAGGCTAATTACGTGTGAGAGTAAAGGAGTGAAATACTTCCTTTCCAAAACACGCTGAGGTGAAAAAATGAAGCTCTCGCTCCTCTTTTGAAGTGGTTTCATATTTTGATTTGAAGGTTGTTTGTGCGTCTGGATCTTATGAACACCTTCGCTGACCACTGTCTGTAACACGGCTGGTCTCATGACTCATTCACCCACTCTGCGCGGGACTTTCCTCCAGCTTTTGAGCCCCTGTTGCCGCACATACTTGGTCGCTGATGCGTCCCGGCAGAATGTTATCCTTGGCACATCCCCGCACACATACATACAACCATCCACACAGATGCTCCCGCGCGCTCTGACGCCCACTCACCAATTTAACCCCTCACTCTGCCAAACGGCGTGGCATCTTGAGACGCCCCCGGCATTCCTGAAGCTACTGTCACTTCCCCCCCATCTTTGAATTATACTGACACCCCAAATTTTGGCGCATGAATGGCACCCACAGGCTGCCCCCACTGGGATTAGAAACACGTTTTTTTTTCTCTGTGGAATCATTTAATGACTTTCAGATCCATAATGGAAACGTTAAAGCTACATTAGCCCGAGTTTTATCTACTTCCTGGTGTACTTCGCACCAACCTTCACGCGTTTTTCCTCATAACAAACTCGACCTTTGCTCCACTCGTGCGTGACAGGTTCAAATCTCAAGTTGCACAATAATAAAAAGGAAATTCCGCCACCCTCAAGAGACTCAGAGGACTTTATATCGATACAAAGGAGGAGGTAGGGCTGGTTACCTGGGCGGGGGTTCCCAGAAATCCTCCCATGTGACGCAGTATGCAGCAACATGTCCGTAAATGGACATGCCTGTGCGTAATGAGGAAAGGTCTACGTGCGTGCGCTACGCTCTGTGCGTAAAAACCCCGAGTACAGGGTGTGCTTAGATGAAGCTGGACTAACTGTTACGAAATGAAAGAAACTGCATTGTGGCCCTTTTTTGTTTTACTTTAAGTGGTTAATGTCTGTGTTGTGTTTATGATCATGAAGTACCAGGTGACATAATGAATATAAAACAAACACTCAAGTCAGGATCTGGTTCAATTTAAGACACTTTACTTAAATACACATCACAAATAAAAAAGACAGTGTAAACATTGGACATCATCAGTCTGTCTGGATCAACCAGACAGACTAAATAATTTACACATGAAGAATTGCAGCATTGCATGACAATATCAGTTGCAAAAAGTACAAAGAAATACAATAATCATTCCCATTTTCTACCATCAGTGGAGCAGACTTCTGCTCGTCTGGATGCTGCCCTGGTGTCTGGGGTTCAATGGTCCTTTGCGTGATGTCCAGCATCCTAAAGTACCATTTCTGTCAGTCTTTTCAGTCCTCTAAACATAAACACAGGCTTCTGCTCGTGCTGCTGTCAGAGCTGACCTCACATCAGCTGTTCTCCCAGTGCTGCACATGCAGATCATGTCTCCAGTGTTTTTACTTTTCAGTCTCTTAGTTTTCAGTCTCTGCTGTTTAAAACGCCTCCATCTTGCTTGTGAGCATCAGCTGACAGCCGCTGCTCACGTGTGTCAGGACCTTCTGTTTGAGTTGGGCGACCTGATCCCTCAGCACGGACGCCGTGTTGGAGAGCCCCGCGTTGTCGCTCTTCAGCACTTTCACCTTCTCCTCCAGCCGCGCGATGCGCTCTAGCTTGCGCCTCCGGCATTTGGTGGCTGCTAGCCGGTTCCTCAGCCTCTTGCGCTCCGCCTTGATCCTCTCCTGCGTCTCCAAGTCGATCGGGGACATTGGAGGCGAGCCGTCGCTGCTGAGGAGGTCAGGCACGGTTTGTGGTTCCTCTTTCAGAGCCACGAGCCGCTGCGGATGGAGTCCTGACCCGGGAAGAGAGTGCTGAAACGGGTGCGTGCCGTGCGTTGAGGTCTGCGGGTGGCTCTGCTGGTGTGGCGGCAGGTAGCTGATGGTGGCTGTTGGGTAGCTAGATGCGGAAGACAGGCTGGTGTTCGGGCAGTAGGCGCTCAGTGTTGTGTAAATGGGAGGCTCAGGCTGCAGGGTTGAGCCAAAGACACTAGAGGCCGCCGCTGAACACGTTGTAACTCCGCCGGTTCCGATGGACACGTTTGGGGGCATCTGATTCATCTTGTGCAGCTCGTCCAGGGCTTTCACGAACCCCTCTGCAAAGCCCTCCTGCTCATCCGTAATACCCCGGTTGTAGAAGTACTGTCCCGGAGTGGGAGTGGTAATCACCCCGTTACTGTTTTGGATGATGAGCCTCTCGAGCTCAGGGGACGCGAGCTTCAGGGACCCCACGTCCTGCTGTGCCCCTTGGTATGGGTCTGTCTCGGCTCTCAGCTGGGATTTCAGGTTGCGATATGGCTCTGTCAAGTTCAAATTCATATTCTGCTTTAGCAGTTTGTAGTCGTGCATTGCTGCATCTGAGTGGCCGTAAGCCGACAGAAAAGAGTCGTCATGATAAAAAGGCTGTTCCATCTTTGTAGACATGAAAGAAGAGATCTTACCAGCTGCTTTTAGAAACACTGTCTCCTAATCAACAAAAGTCAGCTGAAACAAGCATCAACTCAGGCACTCGGCGTCTCTCAACAGTGTCCCAAATAAAATGAATTAAAAAGCACTCCAAAACCACAAAGAGTGAAAGTCAAGGGTCCAACAGTATCTGCAGCTCAGTGTCAGATAGTAAAAGTCTGTTTCCTGTGTCCGGTTTCTTCACTGTCCTCTCAGGGAAAAGTTTACACTCTGAATCCCTGTTCGTTCTGTCGATGTGCTGCTCTTCTGTGCTTGTTGAGGTGTGTTCAGATACGCTGAGGTTTCGCCTTTTTATAGAAACATGAACACGCGCTGACTGCCACAGCGATGCAGAGCTGTGATTGGCCGGTGAGCTTCTTTCACCCCGCCCAACTGAGGGAGACGTCAAGTGACGCTAATGCCGGGAAGAGGCGACTGTAAACAAGCCTGTAGGCAAGACAGAGCACCGAGGAGGATCTCAGCGAGGATCGGGCTCTGAGACAGATGGGTTCGCATTATAAAGACATGTTTTCACGCGTTTATTAGAAGAATCAGTTTGTAGATAGATAAGACAACAATATATTAGACACACTCTGGTGAAACGAACAGCGCTCCTGTTTCATTCATTCAGCTGCCAAATCTCAAAAATGAGCACCAAAGCTTCTCTCACTTGGCCTGTTTTACACCTAATACACTCAAGTACATCTGCGTCTGCTTCTGCTTTCACTTAACGAGTTATAATCCGAACAAATCCACAGTTTATTGTGCTGTTTGTTATCCACGCTGTGAAGGAAGTTATCTGACCTTATATGGGCATCGTGACGTCGAAGTTCCTCTCCGGGAGAACCGGAAAGCCACGCCCAAACCGGGCCTCATTCCAGCAGCAATCCTGCTCCTGTCTAAACTCCAACCATGAGCAAGTTAGTGAGGGACTTTCTGTCCCAGCAGGGAGGAGAAGACATGAGAGGATGTCTGTGGACAACTGGAGGCAATGTGGAAGTTTCACATTTTCCTTCATAACCCACAGATAATGTGGATTATACTTGTTTTCTTTACTGATTGAAACATATACCTAAGAGAGCACTTATAGCAAATTCATAGTGCTTCACGTAGTAAGAAAAATGCAATTACTCATTTTAATCAAAGAAGTCTGTGTTGAAATTTCTTCCTTGACTTTGTAACAACATGAAATATTTCATAATTTCATTCTTTTATAATTACAAAAGCGTACCATAATGTAAACGCATCTAGTATCTGGTGTCTGACAATGTTAGATCTGTAAGAAGATTTGGGCCAGTCATGTAACAGGCTAAAATGAATATTAATGTCATTTCTTGACCTACAAAAGTAAATTTAGAGACTATTTCTACACAAACAATTTTAATGCCCGAATAAACAGGCAGGTGGGTAGGGGTCAGACTGAGTAAGAAAACAAGTAATCTGTTTCATGGGACAGGTTATTACTAAATAAACAAATCGGACTATTGAAAGTACGTTAAGATGAATTTTTAGTAAAAAAGAAAACTGTTCACGCATGTACAGGATAGAATCAGTGAAGACTATGTTCATAATCAATACAGATCACATCAAAAGTTTCTCACAGGAGCTTTAAGATTTATTTTGTACATGGTTCAGCTACATCTAGATTTAAGGTACAACATATACTCAAATTCAATTTTACACAAAACTAGGAACCTGTTATAGTTGGAGGCAGTAAATTGAATAAATTATGTTAAAATAAATTTTAAAGCTCATACGAAAAGTCTTTTGATATCTATGAAAAACACTGAAATCCATATTATTGCCTATTTCATAATGTACAACAGCAAACAAGTAGATTAGCAACAAGATTGGACATTTGTTTATTGTCCTTGTTAAGCCTAAACTGGTAAGAGTGGGTAGGTGTCGGCAGTAGGGATCAAATTGACCTGAGTCTAAATTCAAAGTAATCTAACCTCTAGTTAACTTACCACAAAGCTAGCTTGCTTACCCCGAACATAAATTTTATACCTTAAAATCACTTTTTTGTTTAAAACTTCTGATGTGGTATAGTGATCGAACTCATCTTTTTTAATTCAAGTTAAAATCTCAGTGTTTGGAAATGCCCCAATTACCACCAAAGTGTCACACACCACCAACCCTGAGGCAGCCCCTCTTTGATCATAAATAAGAAATACATGAAACTGTGTTCCAGTTAATAGTCTGATCCGGGATAATTCATTAATATTATGTAATCAACCCTTTGATCTCTGGGGCCTCTCTATGAAAATTACAGTTCACCTATTTTCGCTCTACATGTAGGATTTGTGTTTCGAACAGAGGGAAATGTGATTCCTCAATAGTGCACCTGTTCCAGTAGTGGAGAAGGAAACCTTTGTCTCCTGTTTGTAATTCTTCCAACGCCCACACACACAGATGCCTCCACCGATGTATCCCATATCCAAGCACAGACAAAAACGAGTCAGGTAAGATGCTTTGCTGAGGCAGGCGGTAAATCCTCCGGCTGCACCTGAGGTTTGAATCTATGATCATATTCAACAGTCGTTTATACTGAGAAACACATCAAAAATGTAGATGTGTGGGGGAGGCAAGGCCAGAAAACAGTACTCATGATACGACTGAAAAATAAAAATAAACAGGCAGGGGATCAATATGGATTTCTTACCTTCTCTTCTCTGATGTACCACCGAGCTCCTCTAGGTGATACAGGGTCTCTTCATTTACACTGATTTATCTAAAATAGGTTCTGCTGGAGAAATAACAAACGTGATTGACAAGAGCAATCATTCAAGCTTTTTAGATGATTCGTCCTGCTACTTGTTGGGGGTGTTAAGTTCAGGTGCCTCTCAGTCAGTCCTCATCTTTTAATCATATTTTCATCATATTTTGTGTCATTTTCTACCATCTGCAGTTACCACAAGCTATCTACTTTAACTGTTTTTCAGCTAATTGTGTCAGGGGTTTAGCTACTTCTTAAAAATAACAATTTCAGCTGTAAAACTTCCACTTATAGCAATTATTCAGATATTAGCTATTCCCAGCCCTTCTATTTTCAGTGAACTATGTCAGCTCCTGTTTGTAATTGTCCTGTAATGAGCTACAACGAACTTGAGTCTGAGTAACGTATTTACATCTTTTCAAAGTTAAGTTTCAGTCAGAGTAAGACAATCAATCAACTTTTATGGACAACGTGTAAACATACTGACTTTAGTTTATACAGTTTTGACCATCCTCACCTTTTTTTTTTACTGTGCTTGGTTATAGCTGTGCTGGTTTGTATAACTTTTATCTTGATCTCATGTACTTTTTATCAGTTATTATTCATTTGTATTGTTATTTATCTTAACTTTTTGACATAAAGCACTTTGTGATGTCTATACAAACAAAAGTTACTTAATGATAATTTTGACTGTCAAACTTTTAGCTCACTGTTTCAACTCTGATGTGTTTTTCCTTCTTTGGTTATCAGTCTCAACTGTTTATCTTACTTTTATCTACACTCCCTTTTATGACTGACAATAGTTATTCAGTTAATAAACTACTTTTGTCTTGATGATTTAACCTCTCTAAAAACTTGTGACAGGTTTTCATTGTCAGCTGCAACATGTGGTGACAACAGACTTATTGACAATTCAGGAAAGATTAGCGTCACGCCTATTTGCGAACATACTTAGCCTTCCTATTCTCTTTGACACAAATACAGGGATGTAATTTAAAAATAGCTCATTTTTGAATGGTATAATTTGAAGGAAATGTAGACCCTGTCATTATTACAGGGCGCACTCTGAATTTGCATAATGAAAATCAACGAACTGCCAAATCAAACAACCCGATCATATTTGGATGTCTTGAAACTAGTCCAGCCCCACCTTTAGTTATTTAACCTTCACTGTTCTCAAATTTGATTGAGTATGTAAGCAGCTTTTGCTAGGGAGGGGGGGTCAGGTAAAGCTCTCAACACACTTTCCCTGTGGCAGTCAACAGTCAAAATACTCTGTAACAACATGTACTGGTCGGAAAAATGCACATATGGAGATATTTGCTCCAGCAGACCGTGTTTTCATGTTTGGGCCTAAAGCGAATAATCCTGTCAGGGCAGAAGTTACTCAACATGTTTTTACAACGTCACAGAGAAGTGAATGCAAATCCTCTTGACATGACTTGGAAAGTTGGCTGAGGCCTGACATCACTTTTATAGGGTCTCCGTGGCTGATGATAATGGCCTCATGTCAGGTAATTCTCTGGCATTTAGATGGACTATTTTAAATCTATGCCTTTTTGTCAGTATCCATGGGAATATGAATAAACAAAGGAAAACAACAGTTCCTGGCAGTGTTATGCCTCCACTTTGCCACCTCCCTTATAAATTCTATTCTCTGAGCAGCTGCCTGTTTCTGCTGTTGCTCCGCTCTGCTGGGGCTTTGCTTTTATTCAGCGCTGCGGTAGAGGTTGACCACAGGTTCAGTGACATTTTGGCACAGCTCGACAGTATAGGGTCCAGAGTGGTGAGTGTTTACGGGAACACTCGTGAGGTGGCACCGTGCCATCATGCCAAATGTTCGTCAAAAACACTCCCGAACCAGTGGGAGAGACAAATGTGTGAAGGCAGATGTACGATGTGTTATAGATTCGTATGTGATATTGTTTTTGTCCTCAGCAATCCGTCTTAGTCACCACATTAATGATAAACAGGAGTGCTGTGAATTTGGGGAGGATTCAGCTCCAAACAATGGCATGTGGTGATTAGTTCAACACTTCACTTATCAGGTTTTTTTCAGAAAAAAAAAAAAGAAAAAAACGTGGCCGGTATCTTAGTCACATCCTCATCATCTGATTTCTTTGTTTAGTCTGTTTAGATTTAGAGTTCTTCTGTGTTTTCAAGAACAAAAATTCCTCCTTTGACTTCTGCTTTTCTTTCTACACAAGTCCCCCTCAACGCCCCGAAAACTGCTCCAGGATTCAGTGTTGATTCTTTGTTATGCATATTTTTTGGGCAAACATTCAAAGAGTTCCAGGGCAGGACAAGCTGCTTGGCAACAGACTCGGTTTTAACAGCCGGGATGGGGTGGACTGGAGCCAAAACTGACTGAGTGTTACCTGCTCCGGTTCCTGGGTGAGTTTAGGAAAGGCAAGGCCCTCAGGGTGGAAGAGAGCTGTTTACCGTAACATTAAGCAAAGTATGAGTGTGTGTGCGTGTGTGTGGACAAGCACGTATGTATACACTTAGGGACAAGTATGCATGAGTGAATATTTTGACCACAATGTGAGCATCTACATGAAAGGAGTAGACAAGAAGGAGAAAAGCAGATTTTTTTTTTTGGTTCTCTATTGTCTGAAAAATTCCTCTCTGCTCAAAAATATATTGAGAGATATTGTCTGACCCTGTGATAAAAATATGGAAGACCTTTTCTTAGTAATTTGTGGGGTTTATTTTATGTCAGGGGGACTGATCAAAAGTATTTTTGAACAAACATTTTTTTAAAGCACAAGAGAGAAACTTCAGGTTTGCATTGATTTTGGCGCCCCCTGTGAACTAAACCTTGTAATTGATTATTCAGTCGTGATTCTTCGATTAAAACCTCACCTTTCTTATTCAAAGAAGCGTAAGCAACATTATCAGCAAAGCATTGATCTTAGTATTGGCAGATAATTGCTTACAGCTCCCATGAAAAACTTTGTTTGTGCTGATTTTGGCGCCCCCTGTGGACAAAGCAGTCTTCGCTTATCTTGTCCTCTATATGCTTGAGTTTTGGCGAAACATCTTGTCTTGCTGACTTTTGAGGGTCAAATCTGTCATTTAATGTGAATTAGGGCTTTCGCAAAATAAAGTATTGACGATGGAAAGAAAATAAATGATTAATATTGGGCTAAAAAATAGATGAACAGTTATACCATTACTTTACAGTAGCGTCCCTTTACACTGGTTACTAAATGTCATTAAAAAATGGAAAAATTAGCTGATGACTTGAGCCAAAAAAGTGACTCATTGAATACAGCATGTGCTCAACTTACACAAGACAACACATGCAAACAAACCAGAAAAAATACCTTCAAAGCAGGTGTATGCATGCAAGGTCTGGAGTTGGCAGTCCAGCCTTGCTATGAAACATCACTGCAGAACACTACACGCGTTTCTTTTGAAAATACATTTCTGTTTCAACAGCTCCTGAATGTCTAAGATGCAACTCACGATGAATTTCTGGTGTGGAAATTACGAATGACAAAAGGCTGTATCTGCAGCCGTTTCTGACACCTACCCCGCAGCGTGGCTTTAAGGCTGATACAATCATTGTATCAAATAATCAGTCTCCTCTTGATGGTTTGGGGGTTTTTTTGTAGGCCATCATGATCACTTTCACTTTGTTTTATAACAAGCTAAAAACTCCTCACAGTAGCTTTAAGTGTGACTCAATTTTTACTAAGTTGCAGAGTTTAACATAGAGGAAAGTCCCTTTAATTTCTTTACCCTATAGATTCTGTCTCTAAACAAGGCAGGCTCTCACAGTTAGGTGCTTATGGCGAGGATTGAGCCTTTCTCTCCTCTCAAACCGTCCCATTGTGTCTCACCACCTCTGCACAACTCTCCTTTTGTCAAAGCTGGGTGGGTAGCAGCCTACTCGTCGTCTGCTTTTGGACAACGCGGGGCCCTTTTGGTTGGCGCTCCATCTCCGTCTCCGTGACTCAGAGCAGCCAGGGCCAATCAGAGGTCAAAGCCCCGAGCTCCAGAGACTTTTCCCCTGACCTTCACAACTCCTCCAAACACCCACTCAGCAGAAAAAGAGCCGGGGTGAGTGCAGGGAGAGCGGCCGAGCAAGGGGACAGAGAAAGACAGGCTCAGTCAGATGAGGTTTGTTTGCGGCTGACTCCTTCGTTTGGACATAATGGGGCCTCTCATCCATAGCGCTGCTGTTCTGCTTTGTGACTGTGGTCACTTTATTGCCAGGTCTATTAATAGAGGGATCCATCATGCTTTACATCACCATCATTATCATCCTCGTCAACATCACATGATGGTGTTTTCCTCTTCTCCGCTCTAGATGATGTTGATCTCTTGACACTCAGCCTGCTGAATTCACTCACTGCTTTAACCTCTAAGTGCCAGTTTCTCTGAGGTTAAAGTTTATCAGCCTTACTGCTTCATTGACAGAGTGCAGCGGTGTTTATCATACATCTGCATGAATATAAATGCATCTCTGAGGTCTGCTGTAAAAATGAAGATGAAATAGTGAAACTCCGCCTTGTTTCAAAAGAAAAACAAAAACAGAGAAGTTCCTTGGTATTATGGGAGTGATCTTGTAAATAATACCAAAGAACTTTACTTTTAGTTTCAGTGTGACTGCAGATTATATTTAGCTGACTGCTGTTCAGGCCAGTTCCTCTGTTTTAACCAAAGATTAACTCTTTCACTAACTACAGGATTAGTTGCAAGAAACAGCAAACAGACTTTTATCAGAGGGTGAAATAAACTATAAAAGTCAGTGTCCCAGACACACTTTTAATACTTTTTTATCGTGTAATAAATGAGCTGTGTCCAACACGCCAATATAAAATGTAATGAAGGCAATATTAGATTGGGCATGTTTGATGCACAATGAGTTGAGCCGGTCAAGCAGCCACTTTTTAACAGCCTCTCTCCCTCATTAGGTCATAATCATGTCTTTAAAAAAATGGTGGTTTGCTATAAAGTAAATAAACCATGTGAAGATCTGGTTTGATAATAAATACTTCTCAGTTAAAGTCGGTAAATATCAAACAGAGGAGGGTGGCGTGAGTCTCGATGTTGGCTGAAGATTTGTATCTCTTTACCTCGGAAGTCGGATGTCGGAACTAGGAATGACGTTACACCCAAGTTGACAGCGTTAGAGTTAACAAGTCGGAAAACCAAGATGGACGCCTACAGTTACCCGTTGTTAGCTGTTTTTTTTTCAATTCTCAGCTGTCGTTGGCCGTTGTCAGTTGTTGTTAGCTATACCAGTTTTTAACAATGCAGAACACAGTATTTTACCCTGCAAACACCATAGCACCGTGTTCACAGTTAGACCTTTGGCAGCACAACGAAAACCACTTATTTAACATCACAAAAACAAAACAGAAGTGCTAATAAATGATAAATTACGAGAGCTTTTACTGTCACTCTTTACTGTTGATGCACAGCACTGCCATCTTGAATTATGACACTGTCGTTAAGTCGGGGTTGGCGAAGATCGTCTGACTTTCCGAGTCAGAAATCCGACTTCAGGAGGGCATCCAGATGAATTTCCGACTCGGCGCTCGGAAATCCCGAATTCCGGGCACAACTGGAGCGCAGCATTAACAAAATTACCTTGGGGCAACTACAATGGTGGCTAGCAGGATTGCAAGACAGATGGTGGTAGAAAGAACTACACGGCTGCCTAGAAAACTGCACATTGTGGACTTCCTTAACAAAACATAATGGAAATCATAACAAAGACTTTCCCCCCTCACAGAGACTCCCATACAAGCCTGTGTCTCATATACCAGTGCAATTGATATTCAAGATTTCATGGAGATCCGTTTGAGAATCCGCTGACTTCTCCAGACTGCCTTTTTCAAACAATGAGTTTGACATTATGGATTGCTTGGCCAGATGCACAGCCAACTTTTCAAAGCTATGGAAATGACACCCTTTATTTCACGCCTAATGGGGGCTTAGTGGGATGGGGGCCTTATAGGTATTGACTCACTTATAGAGTGAGCCTCTAGTGGCCACTTAGGGAACAGCAGTTTTTGGCACTTCAACATCCCCTTTAATTCCCTGATGTGAATTTGTAGCTGTTGTAATGTAGGCTAGAATAAGAATTACACATGATCTGTTTTGACAGAGCTGTCGACGCTGAAAGTAAAGGTCCCAAATTTGCTCTTTACACCCATCTTTTTTGTTTTTGACTGATCAAATGAGATGGAAATTTTAATAATTTTAAAGGTTGCGAATGAAAAATGAAAGCATTTAAGTATCCCATCAGTAAAATGACATGTGAAACGCAACAAAAAGTTGAAGAAGCTACACTTTCATTTTGCATCAAGACTTGTGGTGTTGTAACCGAGAGCTTATTAGGAATCTAAAGTTCACAAACAACTGTGCAAGTATTGCCAAACTTCTGCTCTTCTTATTTTTTTGCCTTTAATAACTGGATTTACTGAAACAAGTTTGACAGATTACTGGACTGCAATCATTTCCACCATCAGGGTCAACAGCAGACATTTACCAGTTAAATGATGGACACATGCAGGATTTAAAATGCAGCCAAAGCAAATTAAGAAAAAAGATCTTGCTGATCTTGGAGGGAAAAACACTGAACCTACGCCCATGCCCCTGGCAGTGCACCTCGGAAAAGCAACACACAGTACAATCCAAATGAGCTGCAGGAAAATCTGAACATCTATCATTTGGAGGCACTTTTTGTATTACATGTCACTGAGAAATTTTTTAACCTCAGAGCTTAACTCTTAACTCTCAAGCCAGATAAAATCAGCGCAGACACTGAAAGACTTCACTGTCCTGTTTCCCAGCGGAGTCACATCCTCAGATCTTTCAAGTGTCAGGAAAAGGACAAGCTGCTTTTTTTCAACCCTGGAAGACTTTAAACTTCTGTGACCATCGGCTGTGTCACGACCTCTTGCTCACTTCTGTACAATAAAAGAGTTGGGGTCAGGGCGGCCTGCAGGGCTGCCCCGTGGTGTCATGCACAGCGCTGACCGTGGTTTGACTTACTTGGAGGAGGGGTTCAGGACTCCTTAGCAGACTGTCCGATGTCCATCCTGCTCAGTGAACGTGAAAGTTTCCTTTAGGATCTGTGAGTCAGGTGGAAGAAAGGAGCTTCAGGGAGGAGCGTCGCTCACAGGCAGCAGGCCGTGATCTGGAGATGGCAAAAGGGAGACAGTGGTTGAAGAACAGTGAGTCAGTCAAAAGTGTGGGTCACTGATGTTAGCACCACAGGTCAACATGTACGGCTGTGTCTCCTGGCTCCATTCAGCCCTCATTTATTCTGTCCTCTCCTTCTTTCTCTGTTCCAGTCTGCAGCCTAATGAATGATGAATGTGCTCTCAATGATCCTGCCAAACTCAGGCTCATCAATCAATTCATGAAGCACCAAATTCTAATAAAAATGATCTCTGGACATTTTACAAAACGAGCAGGTCTGGACTGTGTTCTTTTATTTTTACAAAGATCCAAACAGGAGTCGAACATGAACAAGCACTTAGCAATGTCCTCTTTTAAGGCAGAAACCTCGAGCAGAACCAGACTCACTGGTGGCAGCCATCCACCACAAACAATTTTTAGATTATTTTGGGGCTGAATTAACTTTTTTTTAGAAGGAAAGCTTTAGAGAGACAGGAAATACAGAGGTAGAATTATAAGCCCAAGTCCTAGAAATTTGTCATCTGTGCTTGTTTACATCCAGGTAGTAGACTACAAGAGCATTATTACAGCTGCATTTAAAGCAGGTTTTGAGTCCAGCAAAAGTTGGTCTGTTTTTATTTAAACTTTGGGTGATTTTACTCCTCCCTTGGAAGACAACAGGGGCCAACTCAAGATTGAAATAATAAAGATAAAACATACTCAGTGGTCATGATTGGATATCCTGGGGAGTTAAATGGACGTTGTTGATTTGAAGAAGCAGCACAAGTGTTTTAACATGTCCTATTAAACGAACCACAATCAAACTGACTGAGAGAAGACTTAAACAGAAGTTACAACCTCAATGGGCGCATCACAGACAAAATAAAGTCACATTTGTCATGATCTGTCGTCATGTGTGCTGTCTCACACATTAAAAAATTGTTTAGGATTTTAAAACTTGGAAGGTCGTAACGGTGGGTGAGTTCACCACAGCCTAGACACAACATATCACAGGCATTTTTAGTTTGCACAAGTAAAAATATCAGAAATAAAATTCACAGACTACAAACTCTTGTGCAAAGGTGATCAGGCTTTATCATTCAGTGGACGTAATGTTTGAACCCCAAGCTGTGACATGAGAAAAGATCATGCCCTCTGAGTGTGCATGCTCTCTTTGAGCTGATGGTGCGTGTGTGTGTGTGTGTGTGTGTGTGTGTGTGTGTGTGTGTGTGTGTGTGTGTGTATGTGTTTGTGTGTGTGAGTGTGTGTGTGTGTGTGTGTGTGTGTGGCGGGGGGGGGTTGTTAAGGGAAGGCGAGATTAGAGATAACTGGCACTTTATCCGCACAGTCTTGAAGTGGTAAATATAAAAACTGCAGTATACACACATCTGATCCATAGTACGCTCTCCGTCTGCCAAGCTAATTTTGAAATTTCCTTTGAGCAGCTCCTCTCAGTTCTGCTTTGGCTCCGGCACACATTCACAGCCGCGCCGCTATGTGTGCGTTTCCTTTTGCTTCTTTATCTGCCACATGCTCAGAACAGGACTCTGGTTTTTATTAAAACAAAATGCCTCCACATGCACATGATAGGATTTCTTTTAAGTATATAAATCATCAACCTGAGCTCCCTCTGTGGAAGGTTTGAAGCAGCTGCTCCATCATTTCTGCTGTCATCAAACCTCTTGATACATATCATTTCATTAAATGAACTCAACATGGATTATTTATGCTCTCTCCTGACTCCTTTAACTTTCACCAGCTGCAGCATCAGGTCACTTGGAAACATGATGGATGAGATTCATTCAGATTGATCTCTCTTTCAAAAAGCTTTTAATGTTTCTGCTTCCTCATATTTGTCTGAGCTACAGCCACTTAAGACCGTGTTATTTTATCAGCACTAAGACTAAAGCAGGATTATAAGCAGTTGTTATAAGTCTTGATTATCTGGATGCTTTTATCTTTTTTTAATGTTACTGATTCATCAATTGTTGAACTTTCTGTGCTTAAAATTCTGTTTATGATTCAGCTTAAGTGATACTTTCTTTCTGTTTTTGCAAGGCCTTCAGATTTTTCATAAAGATGGATGACCTTACAGCTCACCAAAAGTGAGGTCAGCACCTTTAAAGCTACCCCTGTCAATTGTTGACAGTATGAGTAACAGAGCGTGCTTCCATCTCTTTTCAATTAAAACAGGGCTAACAGTCATACAAAAGTTGGAATGATCAGGGGCACAGCTTAGTTGTTGGATTTGTTGTACTTATAACAACTTAATGCAAAATCCACTCGCTTTGTGAGACCACCTTGGCAACTCTCGGGGGATAAACTCTAAGGGGCTTTCTATCCCACAGAAAAGATCAGTGTATTTCCATTTATCTGTCAGACTGTCTGGATCTAAGAAACAGGGCATTTGTGAGGATTTTTGTGTTAACTTTCCTTTTAAAGTATTACTTATGTTGTAAGCTGACTGCACTAAACATAGGCTGCCATCTTTGTTTTGGTCTGTTGACCAATCAGAGGCTGTATCTGTGATCAGTAGACCTAAAAGGTCTGATCAGGAGCAAGGGCAACCCAAAACAGAGTCACAGTCTGCTCTCAGTATAGAAGTATCAGTATATAATCAGTAAAAATAAAAGGCATCTTTAAAATTAAAGGCCAGTGCAGATAATTAGCCAAATACCAATTACTGGCCCCTATAATTGGTCAAGGCCAATAATCGGTCTACCCACCAAAAAGATGTTTGGTGGCTAGTGCTGTGGCTGGGACCCTATATGTACTGTTGATGAAGTTAGGTGCTGTTCTGAGCATTATTTGTGGCTATAGAGTGGCGTTTTGGTTGAGGTTTGTGTATCCCTCCTAGGACCACTGTGTATTGCTATCGTTCGGTCGTTGGTTTAACTAGAGAAGCAAGCGGTAGGGGGTGCCTAAATCAGTGTTACGATGTGTTTGACCCTACACTAATTTTACACTGGAATATCCCTTTAAGAACCCACTGATATTTAAGAGAAGCCAAAAACGTTGATTTACTTTGCTTTTTCCATATGCCTGCTTATTATTTTCTGTTGAAATACTTTGCTTTAAAAGTAAAACGTGTTTTCCAAACATTTTTTTTACAAAAAGGGTCATCTAACATATGAGTCAATAAAGTATGCGCATAAAAAACCCTGATATGCTCTCCAGAACTCTCTGTTCCTCTTCAGACCGTCAGCAGATTTTCTCTGTTCTTGTCTGGGTAAAGTCTCATCCTCAGTGTCTGGTCCACTTCCTGGTTTCCCTCCGAGTCAGAGTCCAAATAAACAGGACGGAAACTTTGCTGTTCCAGACACCGGGACATCAGACCGATGGTAAAACCAGACCAGGGAATCCCTTCAGGGGGAAATGAATAATAAGAGGGTCATGAACTCGGGAGGAATGACGTCATATGCTGATAAAGACGTCGAGTTGTGAAGTTTGAGTCTGTGATGGAGGAGTGAGTAAGTTTGAAGTCACACACACACACCTTTAAATCTTATTAAGTAACATAAACAAACAGCAACACAGTTAGTCATAAAACACACATGTGCTGCTTCTTCGCTGGTGTGATTGTGACAGAGATCCAGAGGGATTTTCTCAGGTTAGGCGTAGTTCACACAAAAGGTTCAGCGCCAGCACTTTCTGGGGGTAAACACTCACATGCGAGTTTTTCTGTCAACACAAAGACCGCAGATTTTACACTTTGTCTGCGTAGGCAACTCCTCTTAAGCCTGAGGGAGCCTTTGCGTGATCCTGTAACCGAGCGCCATTCCTGACGCCTGGGACCCGGCACGTCTTCAACAAGCCGGGACACGGACGCCCTGGAGTGAATAAATGCCTGTAAAAATCATCCGACACCCCCACAAACACCCACAGAATTTATCTACTCACCCCTCCTCGCACAAACACAGACACTGCACTCTTACTCACATATGTAAATGCACTTTTACTGGTGCACCACCCTCTGCACAAACAAACAAACAAACAAATAAACAAACAGCTCACAGTGCCCCATGCCTCAGCTCAGCCTGCTATCAGACATGTTTTTGTATCTCACCTCAGCTGACAATTACTGTTTGCGTGTCGGACAATGATCTCGTGCAGAGCAGATGCCTGGGCTGGTATTAGGAGCAGTCTGCAGCTCCTCTTGGGCGGAGGCAAGCAGAAACAACCACAGGCTGCACAATTAGCAGTTTGTGGTCTGTAATGTGGCTCACTAATTACCACACATTTAATGTAGTTTACCTTAAGTAGTGCATTTAGGAAGCTCAGCTCCAAAAATAGACACTAAAAGACTCAGGTCTGGTCACAAATCACTGTCTAATTGTTTGCAAGGCAGAGTTGTTTATAAGTGCTTGAAAAGCGGATGGTACTTGACTATGCTGTAATGTTTTAAGGCACAGAAAACACAATGTTTTGTCCTGATTTGAGCGCGTGTGTTTTCATTTTCGGTGGCAGACAGAGTTGCATGAGAAGATGATATTACTCTTTAATATTTGTAAAGGGCTGTAGCTATGCTGGAGTTAGTCGATATAAACCAAGTTATATAGGCACCATCTAAAGCCAAAGCCTGTACATTTTAATGTCTGTTTTGTGCATTTAGGAAGATTTCATAATATGTAAGTTATCTAAAATTACCCTCTTGCACACTGAGGACAAATGACCACATCATTTCCCACTGAGCATTTTTTAGTCTAAAAGAGGTCTAATAGACGTCTTAATGTAGCCAAGACGACTGGTCTAAAATCAGGCTACCACAGGTCTAAAAATGAAAGTTTTTTTAGACGTCTAAATTTAGACCAAGTCTAAATCTGGGCTATATCTCTACTACACTGTATATTGCTCAACGGCTATCATAATTATTTTAGTTACTTGTGAGATCAGTTATACAACTCACAGTTGCTTTTTGAAATAAATAGTTTTCGAATAATGGGTTAAAGTGCAATGTCTAAATTCTGTCTAAAAATATACAGAATCTAGAAAATTAGGTCTAGAAAAAAATAGACATCTATTAGACGTCTACTGCTCATTGGGGTGATTTGCCCTGTGATAAGTTGGCACTGCAGGCAGGCCAGCTTCGCACATGGATTCTTCTACTACAGAGCCATACAGTGATAATACATGTTACAATACAGTCTTTGTGATGAAATATGAAGGTCTACCCTGAAAAAGCCATTATCTGGATGACAGCATATGTTGCTCCCAAACCTGTTTAGAAATACCCTGCCTTGAAATGGCAGAATGCATGGGACAGTTTTGGGAGAGACGCGACTTGGCGTCCTGCGACCTTGGCGTCCTGCGACCTTGGCGACGCAACCTCCGCAAACAATGCGCGACCCGGTGACCAGGTCGCGCATGGTCGCGTCGCAGGCAGCCAGCGGTCGCTAAGTCGCGTCAGGTTGCGGCTGTACATAGACTTTGCATTGGGAGCAGTTGCTGAAGTCGCCGAGGTCGCGTTTGGTCTGAACACCCCTTTAACCTGCATTTTCTAAACTCACAGACAGCCTTGTTTTGAGATGTGTGCAGTGACTTCCACTACAAAGTCATGTCTGTTTTAAGTCTGTGCTGCATCAACAGCCATTCAGTATTTGAGCTTTGTCCCTTTTTAAAGAGATTTTTCAGGATTCTCTGAATAGCTTGATAAAGTTATGATCCATAGATGATAAAATTCTTAAATTCCTTGCAACTTTAATGTTCAGCGATATTATTATTATTATTTTTTTAACTATTACCTCACTCAGGCTCTAACAGAACTATGAATCTATACCCATCTTTACTTCTGAGACACTCAGCCTCTCTAGATGTCTTAGTCATGCTACTAACTTGTTAAAGTTATTGTAGTAAGTTGAGGGTTGTTGTTTTAGGTGTTTCTTCTTCACATGCAGTGTTTCGTTGTCCCTGTCCTCACTGTTTTGAAAAGCGTTGCTTGTATCACATTTAAAATAGGTATACATTTAGGTTTACATACTGTCTCTGCACTATTTTCATTTAAGTAAAGGCTTCAAATGATGTACAAACCTGTTTTCAGACAGTGACTCATGTAATTGGGATCATTAAAGGCACGTGAGTGGAATTAATCTACTTATCTTACTGAAAAATGTAAAAAGTTATTCTTATCTCGTGATCATGTGTTTTTCCTTCATCCTGAAACAGCAAACAGAACCCAGTTGAAAACACTCAAAAGTAGCATCAGAGGGCTTTTCAGATAGTTTTCCCTGAAGTGAAGAACAAACAACATCTTCCCCTCTTCATATCTCACTCTGAAAGTTTGGACTTACTCATCTTCACAGTGCCTGTCAAACAGTTCACTGCTTTGTCATTACTCATCGCCGCGTCAGACCCACAAAGTCAGAGGTGTCCTCTTTTATCATCACATCTACCTCCATAACAAAGTTTATTATGCTTTGTTTCTGCAAAGCTGCGTGTGCTTAACTCTTTGTTCTTGAGGAAAAATCATACAACATGTTGGTGAGTGGGGTACTTTGAGTTCAGATGCTGCCTCCGAAAGCTTCTTTTAGTAGCTGTGTTCTGTTTTAGATCTCCACCTGAGAAAAAAGGAGAGTCTGAAGTACAGGACCCGATGTTTCCTGTCGTGGCTGCTCATGTGTTCAAGCGCGTTTTAATGGGGCTTTTGCTCGATGTTTCGCTGTGAAGCACGAGGACAGAAATAGCTAAACAATGCCCGGCAGCTAGAGGCTCGCATCCATAATGACCCCAGCCTTGTGATTGAAGAGGCCCCTCTAAAAAGGCAGAGCAGGTGGGAGTGTAGGTGGTCTCCCCCCAGCGCTCTCCTCACGCTGCATATGCACACACATAGACGCCTTGCAACCTTGCACAGCACACACACGAGAGAAAAAGAGAGCGAGAGAGAGAGAGTCGGTGTACGTGCTGCTGTGGATGCTCAGACTTGAACACTTAAAGCTGCAAACTTTGCTGGTTCATTTTCAAAATGTAGAAGTCTAAACACACCAGAGGCTGAATTTAGATTCTTTTAAGGTTCTTTATCTCACCCTGATTACATTTTATTCTACTCATAACCCTAAGTGCCTTTTTTGTCCAGGCTCTTCTCTTTCTATTTGACATTTTCTGGAGTTTGCAGCATGCCTCCATCTCTGTCTGAAGATCCTCCTTAAAACAAAAGCAGCTGAACAGGGCCTTCAACTTTCTCTTCTGCTCTGAGTAATACCGAGAGTTGTACTTTCATCTCATTGACGTTCTGAGACGGTGATGCGGTGCAAGTGTCTGAGAGTATCTGCCTTCATCTGTTCGAAAGGCTGCAACGCCCCATGACAGCGCAGAAGAAAATGAGTTTCGGTGTCAGATTTGAAAGAAACTTTAAGAGCAGACTTGACCGGTATCAGCTCAGTCGGTTGGCTTCGTGTTCATCCCACCACAGGCACTCGATAACTGACTTCTCAGCTCAACCTTTGCAGTTACTCACACAGAGAAATGTTCCAACTGTGTGTCTGTGTGTGCGTTTTCAGCTCCTTTTTTGATGTTTTCTGGCTGTAACCCCTGCCAAGAACATTTAAAATCCGTGACTCACAAACACTCCCGACATCTGATCCTGAATATGCGGGTATGTGTTCGGTGGTTCAGAATTAAAATGGAGAAGTAATTTTGGTGTCAAGTGTGGTATCTGGATAAGAAGATCGGCTTCTTTGTGCTCTCTGGTAGATATGCGCAGATGTTGTGTGTAGATGATTGCATGCAGGTGGATCTACGCACAGATGTTTCTCTCTGATGAGTGGGTAAAGCACACAAACAAGGGTTCAATCCGCCATCTGCTCCTCTTACAAACACACACACACACACACACGCATTGATATACACTTACATTTACTGCTCACTTCAAAAATGAGGGCGCTCCTTTCTCTGGGAGAAACTCTCGGTAAAAAAGTAGGCGTCTTGTTGCAGTAACTTTGAGTCAAATAAACATGAGTATCATCCATTGGTTTACTATTACTGCAAGTTTCATACATGCTGACTGTCTCTTGCGATGTGTCGCCATTGTTTTGCTCGGCACAAAGTTCTAGGAGAACAGCGTCAGTAAGCATAAAGGCCATCAGTCCATTTATTGCCTTAGTCTGACTGAAACTGGACTTTTTAGAAGCATGTAAACACATAAGTCCGACTAACTTCACATCAAACTTCTCAAAGTCAAATGAACATACCTGGATAACATGGTTTGGGGGTCAATTTTGTCTTCAATGTATATGGCTCAATCGGACTTAAACTGGCTCAAATTTTCGGTGCATGCTTCAATCAGTACGTTTACATGACACCCAAGAAAACTGAATTATTGCCTTCCTCTGATTAAAGACATATTCCGGCGTAAAATTAATTCAGGGTCAAACACACTGTAACACCGAGTTAGACACCCCCTTGAGAGATGAATGTTGCTAACAACATGTAGTCTGTAGTTAGACCAACTTTAGTAACGACCGAACGATAGCAATACAGAGACCAAAACGCCACTCTATAGCCACAAAAAGTGCTCAGAACAGCACCTAAGTTCATCAACAGTACATATAGGGTCCTAGCCACAGTACTAGCCACCAAACATCTTTTTAGCTTTGCCTGGTTTCTTTAGCAAAGAGACTAAACACAACTCATCTACTGTCTTCATTTTGCACTGCAGACGTGGTAGTTCTTCTGCCTTAGTGCTTCGGCCTGATTTCATTACCATGAAGAAATTATGTATTTGACCCTAAATTAATTTTAGGACGGAATATCCCTTCAAAACCAGACAACTGAAGTGCATGTAAACACCTTAGTCCGACTATAATCGGAGTTTGAGAACTCCGATTGGAGTAGGAGAACTCAGATTAAGACACCGAGATAATGCAATTAGAATTCAGTTTTCTCTACCATGTAACCAGCGTCATCGGAGAATGATTGGACAATGCATGTACGCATGCGCCACGCCCCCATAACCCCGGAACAAAAACACCAGAGAAGAGGAGTAGTATGCACCTCATCTGCAGAAAAAGTAGCGCATACATCATGTACAACAAAAACAACGCTGTACGATGCTCCATCTTCTTGCTCGAAAATGCCCAGCAGCAGCTGTAGCCACTTCTGACCTCTGGCACAGGCCTGCTATTGTTGTTGGGTCAACTGAAAACAGCGCCGCTGAGAGGACCAATATCGCCCCCTAGTTTTGGGGAGGAGGACACGTTCACGTCAATAATTCGATTTTCTCAGCTGCATGTATACGCGGACAAGGAGAGAAGTCTGATTTGGCAAAAAAAAAAAACAATTATGATCTTCGTCCGATTAAGCTGTGTATGTAAACGCACTGAGTGTTCACATGCCAGGCTTTAAGTCGGTTGTTAAAAAACATGGAGGCATTGCTTGGAGCTGGGTAGTAAACAAAAAAACCTCAACAGACAAAGAAAGGACATAAAATTGATAAAAATGTCCAATCCTACAAGCTGTAAAAGTGACAATGTTTACATAGTTTGACATCCAACCTGTCAACCTCTTGCTAACAACTTTTGCTAGCTTCTTTGTGTGTTCCTATGCTATAAGCCAACTGTAGCATATGTCTCAGGGTGCACTGGCAGCTAACTGAACCTTTACAGGTCAGCTGATCACAGATACAGCCTCTGACTGGTTGACAGATAAAAACAAAGATGGCAGCCTTTGTCTAGCTTGGTCAGCTAACGACAGAAAAAGTATTTTCTTTAAGTTTCTAATAAATCACTGCGACTGATATACCGAGATAAAAACATTTAGGGACTGATTTATGCTGAGGTGACCATCCTTCACGTTTCCATGCAGAAAAAAAACGGTTATGTTGAGTAAATGTAATGTAGGCTAGTTCTGGTGCAGCTTTTAAGGTTGATAAATGACAAGAGTGGCACTTAAAAGCAAGACGATAAGGGCGGGAACAATATAACAACAGGAAATCCTGGTCCAGGTTGTCTTAGTAGGCGCTTAAAGTGGAGTCCTGTTGTTCTCTGGATTGGTCTGGTGTAATCTAGAGAGTGGCTGGATGCTATTGTTAGCTGTAGTCTGATTTGAACAAACAGGTTATCCATGCGTCGTTTGTTGTTTTTCCTCTGCCGTGATTAAACTTGTTTTTCCCCTCTAATACTGACTCCTCTGTCAGTCTCCATCTTCCTCTCCTCGCTGTCCCAGTTTCACCCCTCGCTTTCCCTCTTTACAACGTGCACCTGTGCTTCTGCTCGCTCTAAATAACAAACCTAGCCCACCATCTCTGGTCTGCTTTCCCGGATAACACAAACCATCTTGCCAATAGCCTTGATCAGAGGCGCCATGTGCTCACATCCACATTTACTCACAGCGGGGGCAGCGCTTTAGACTGATGCATGCGTGAGTGCAGCCACTTAAATAGGGCCATTCAGAGCCATGTGGACCCAGCAGGTGCCTCTTCTATACAAAGCCTTCCTTTTTTTACTCCTCATCTTCCTCCCTCTCTCCTCGCTACGTAGCCTTAGCCATCCGCCCACATCCGTGTATCAATTAGGAAGATCAGAGAGGAGAACAATGTCCTGAGGCGAATCATCTGCAGAATCAAACCTAATCACGTTACTACCGACTCTTTTACACAGGTCTTTACCCTGAATGGCTGCATGAATGCACATCACACTCTTTTCAAGTCCCGGCTTGTATATGATAGCTGAGAGGAAGCTGCATTGAGCCTCAACTCTCTAAGTATTGATCGCACTCTTTGCATCATGTTTTCATTTATTGTGGTGTAGTCATGTTGTGTCCCTGCTAACCTCTGTGTCCTCCCCGCAGATGCAACTTCCTGTGTAGCTGTGGTACTTCGGGTTTTCACACAGGATGTTGAGGGGGCAGAAAGGATGTTCGAGTTCTGATCACATCCTGTGGTCGTGTGTGTGTGTGTGTTTGTGTGTGTGTATTCCTGTCTGTTGTTTCATTCAGTGGAAGAGGAATATGACAAACAGCTAACGTAAACTGGAAGTGTAAATTGTGTGAACTGATGGTGTTTTTGATTGACTTCCAGTGTTTTTGACAGCTGTATGAGGTCACACAGCTGTACAGATTATTAACGTCCTCATTTCCACAGTCGGTTTTTCTCCTACCACTTTATCACAACTTGAGGTGTTGTATTTTCGTGGGTGTATTTTATGTGTGACATTTTTCTGATGCAGAGATCAAAATGTGGAAAAAAAATATAGAAATGTTATCAGGAAAGAAGCCCCAAAGCTTCAGAGGAAGAGAGTGATCACCAGTGACATGAAAAATATCAAACTCTCTTTTTTGTTGGACTCAACTTTTAGGAATTTTGGTTCAAGTACAGCTGACATGAGCACAGGAACTAACCCTGACAAATATGTACGACCCAAATACCACAAAGTTGGGACACTGTGTAAAATTTTTCAGTAAATGTAAGATTGCATTAAGACAACAACAAATGTAAAAACTGTCAAATTTTGTTGTTTTATGAAATAATCATGTTTTCAAACAGTAACAGAAGCATGTTTACTCCTTCTGACAACACTCTTTAAAGACTCACTCTAATGAAAATCATGTTTTTCTTGTTGTCTACATGTTCATATGACATTTTCTGATGCTACAGGACGTATCACGAGAAAAGTAAGTACAAAATTGCATTTCTGGGTATTTCTACATTCAATACGCTGTGAATCTCTAGCAGACTATAATGGCAGGGTCAGATTCAGTGAGATTTTTTTACGTAGCAAATCGAAGCCCCGCCCCCAGAGCCCCGCTACACAGGCCACACTCAGCGGAATAGAGAGGAAAATCGCGGAACAAGCGAGTGCGTTAGCGGATTGCAATGCTGGTGAGAAAGCTAATTATGATATTGACTTAGTGACCGAGAGCTGAATAGCTCCTATATTACCTGCCACTTCTACTACACCGGCAACGTTAGGCTGCGAGCTAACGTGAAGAAGAGTGTGCAGAGCAGCGCTGTCTCCGCCCACGACTCAGAGGCGATTTGCTAATGAGCTACTGGAGCTCAGCAGAAGAAAAGCCCTTGAAAATGACACAGGTAACGTGATTTTGGCTGAAAACTTCATAATCCCAATTTAAAGACCACTGGTAACACTTAAAGTAGTGATAGAAAACTATCAGAGTGGGACTTTAAAGGGTTGGAAATAGAGCTGACCACTTTTTTAGTTTTTAAAGTCATCCCATTATTGACTACTGCGGAGTTTCATCTGTCCAACAGTTTAGGGTTTCTTTTTTCAGATTTCTTTTAATTTTGCATAAATGTTTTCAATGTGCGATACGTCAGGACTCCAGGGATGCCAGTAAAGCACCTGCACTTTTCTACTATCAAGCCATGCAGTTGTAATGCATGTAAAATATGATGTGATAACTTCTTGCTGTATTACGTGAGCCAGATGGTCTCTCTTCTCTTGAGAGTGGAGGATCTGGCATCCAAGATTTCCAAAAAGGATGTTAAATTTTGATCCATCAGGAAAGTCTTCTGCTTCACCTCAGTACATCTTCAATATGGTTATGTTAATATAAGGCTTCCTCTTCATGGGGTTCAGTTTTAACCTGCATTTGTGGATGCAGTGACGAACTGTTCACAGACAACATTTTTTTGAAGTGGGTTGGAGCCCATGCAGTGACTTCCACTCCAGAGTCATGTCTGTTTTTAATGCAGTGCCACCTGAAAATCACTGCCATCTAAAGTAGTTTTGGGCCTTGACCTTTTTGGACAGAGATTACTCCAGATTCTCTGAATCTGAAGTGGATGCAACCCTCAGCTTTTGTTTCACTTATGCTGAACAACATTTCTCTATTATTATAGTTTCACACAGTTTCTAAAGGAGGACTCAGCCGAACAAGAATTTCCCCTTTTATACCCAGTCATGTCACAAACCTGTTTCAGATAGATATAATTGTTTTGAAGTTTCTCTTTTAGGTAGTTTGAACAGTATTACACATTTTTACCAGTGTTTCATTGTCCTTGTCCAATCTTTCTTAAAAAGTGTTGCTCACATCAAACTAAAAAACTTTTTTTTTTTTCATCAATTTGAGGATTAATGAATTAATCTAAATTTTACTTTTCTAATAAAAAACAAGGTTCAAGTCAAAGATTTGCGGTAAGTTTCCTGAGAATCACAGGAGGAAGGAGAAAAATGGAATTGAGCTTTAAAATACATACAAAGTACATTTTTTATTTTGCCTGTTTATATCTCCTGTGATTTAAGATCTTAAATTAAGCACTTTTGAAGCAGGCCTGTAGTGGCGGCACAGGAAAATGCAGTTTTTGGCGCCAAAAAGTGGTGCCTGCTTAATCCCTGGTCACAGGTTTTGTTCGTTGTATTCACTCGGGGCTACTGCCAGAATAAGACAGGATTAGGAAAAATGCAAGTCAGCAGGTTGACAGACAAAGAAAGGCAGACAGGCAGGCAGGCAGCGGTGCAGCAGACAGCCAAATAGACGAGGATAATGCTAGGCAGGTTGAGACCCAATGGAAGAAGGCTGGGAGGAAGGATGCAGGCCCACAATGGTTGTCTGCCAGATCACCAGGATAACATAAAAATAGGAAGAGCACCATGAAAAGAAAGGAAGAACAGGAGCCAGGGGGTCAGACAGTACACAGACCTCAGACTGGAAGACTTTACACAGTTTCCATTGAGGTAGCCTTTCTTTTTTCCAGCCGTGCCATTGTTAGTGAGCCTGAAATCCACAGACAGCTCTGGTTAAAACAGGAGGAAGGTCACAGTTATGTTTTTCTGACAGAGAGCCACTGAGTCAAGGGTGATTGTGTGGCGTTTCCTGCTGTTGATACCAGAGGGTTTTACAGGAATGGTAAGAATGTCTGTTTTAATATACTGCCGCTGTTTGTGCATTTCTGCTTGTGTGTTGTGTGTGTGTGTGTATGTCATGGGGGAAACGTGTGTGGGTGTACTCCAAGCCCTAGGAATAGCATTTGCGTCGTAAATGCTCTGTTTAAAACAATCAATATCCACTCTGGTTCATACGCGATAAAGGAGCATGAAGTGTGTGCTTTGATGTGTTTGTGCGTGCACTTGCATGATATTCGCGCCCTGATGCATGCAGGCAGGGTGAGTGTGCGTGAGCGTGTGTGTGGGCTGCGGGGCCACCCTCTGATTGTCTCCTTGGCAGCCGCTGAGCTGAAGTGCTCTCTGGGTGCTGAAGAGGCCGCGCAGAGCAAGAAGAAACGCACACACACTCCAAACTCTTTATCAGAGCTGACAGCCTCTTTTTCTTCTCTGCACTTGTGCTAGAGCAGCATAGCCTAGATGCATCTCTGCAACTTTGTGCCATAACGGACACACACATACACGCGTTCGCACACACATGAACACATCCCAGCTTCCCCCTCTTGCATTCGCCTCCCCTTGTGTTTGATGTGGTCTTTCGAGAACCATGTTTAAAGAAATTCTTGTTCAGCTTTGAAGTCGCTCTGTGTTTCCCACTCTCTTTCTGCTGTGTTTCCTCTTTTATCTTCTGACAGTGAGCGAGCAAGTCGGGAGGGAAACAAGGCCGGTGTGGAACAAGATACTTGCCCCACATACTCTGTTTACCGTGTGTTGTACCTGTGAACTTGAGAAGGAGCTTTTGTTTCCTCAAAGATACGGGTATACCCACCACCTATCGGCCAAAACACTGCGGTCTCCCTCCACAAAAGACTCCTCTTTAAACAAACGCCTCGGGAGCAAAGTGTTGATGTCATTCCAGGCATTTATCAAACACAGTTTTCTGAGGGGAGCTACGTCTGGTATGTGTCGACAAATATGCCGGGTGTCATTATGGCTTCTTGTTCTACAAAGACTAAATACTTCAAAGCATTCATGTGTGGCTAAGGTTCCTTTGCTTCATAACTCACACATTCAAAGTCATCCAAATCCACTAACTCCTCCTAATGCTGACAGATCCTTTTCCAGATGTGGAGATTACAACAAATGCTTTTCCCAGATAGGTTAAATACCAGCTCAATTCATCATGTCATGCAGATGTTGCAACACAAAGATGAATGTTTCCACTGAATTCGGTTGCTGTGTGAAATCTCAGCTGGCTCCAAACAACACAACTGCACAAACTGTTTAAAGATAAGCGATAAAATGTTCCTTTATTCATTGCACAAGGTGGGCTAATAACTTCCGAATTTATAGCGGCGATAAATACAAAAGATAGATTAAAGAATGAAGAAACTTAGAGTTAAAAAAAATATTTAAAAAGATATATACATGAGTGATATTTACAGCTGTTATGTACATAAATTGTCCAACTTTCAGGCTGCCATGAGTTGGCTTATTCTGTCAACAAAGCATAAAATTGTAGTATGAGCAAATTATTCTGAAAGAAATTGTACATGTCTCAGCAATGTCATATAAGAGGGGAAGCAGATTGTAAGCAGGGACGATCAGAGAAGTGCAGATAATGAGGACAAAAGCATAACTGTGAGTGTGATATTGCTAGTTTATCACCCAGTTGAATTGAATTTTTATCATCAAGAAATATCAACAGTAAATAAGACTGAGTAGAAAGACTGATCTGATCAGAACCAACATATCAAACCAGTCCCCCTGAAAGAGTCTGACCTCTGCCTGTTGACACTGTGGCAAAATGTGACACATGGAGGAGCATTTTTAATAGAGACCCATTATACTCATCTCCATTTTTAATTATGTCAGCCAATAACGTAGCTTTGCGTGACATAAAGCGTTAAGAGATTCCTTATTTTGCTTATACTAGTGTTTATAGAAAAACCTGATTTGTTTTGGCTGCCTTTCCACTGATATAAAATCAGAGACAGCTCAAGGGTGTTACTTTTTACACAACTTTGAAGTAACCTGAAGTCATACCTTTACAGAAAACCTCTGAGGCTAGATGCTTTGGCCCAAGTTAGCTCCTCTTTCTACATTTGCTTTCGTCACATTACCTCCTGTTGTTATGTTATTCACAGTTTGTGGTTACGAGCCATCACAGATGGTCTTTATGGATGGAACAGCCTCAGCTCGTACTGGTCTTTGTGTACAAAAGAGCAAAAAAGTGAAGTAGCAAGCTGGCACGGCTATGTTGTGGCTTTTGTTGTCCTAAAAACACCAAAGGAACACTTATGAGCAACTCTTTGAGACATACTGAATCAACAAAGCACAGAGCAGAGGAAATGGACTTTCCCGTCAAGGGAAAATTTGAAAGAGCGTCCTCGTGGGCGTGCTCATGTAAGAGCTGTAGAGGGAGCACGTCCTGATAGGCTAATGGCTAATGATTAGTCTTACAAAGTTTTAGAAACAACAGGAAGCAAATTTAGAAAATGCAGAAAACCTATCAACAGTGTGAATCTTGAATTCTAAAACTTTGCGAAGGTTTGATATCGACAACAAGCTTTTTAATCTTTGATGTTTGCATTAAAATACAGATCAGCATAATAAGTATACAGCAGTAAGTACTTCAATAGTTGGAACTTGTCCTGCAATCCATGCAATGGCAGCAGAGCAGGTGAGAGCAAAACGCAGACAAAAAGTCCATTTTCAAAATCATTTGCATACAAACGGATAAGGACTTTAAGTGTTCTGCTTTGGAGGCAAATGAGAATCTGAGTTATTAGCTAAACGAATCAGACAAAGACCTCCTGCAGCAGATATCGGCATTTATAACAGCTGAGGTAATGTGATAAGTTTAAAGCCCCAGCACTGGTGTGCCAGTGCAGTTCAGTGGTTGAATCATGCACATGAAACTTCAAGCAGAGACTGCTGTCCTCAGACAACCCTAGTTCAAGTCTGCTCTGTGGTCCTTTCCCTCATCCCATCCCCACATCTTCCAAGTTTCCTGCTCTTTCCAATGTCTCTGAATAAAGGCATCAAAAGCCCCTCAAAGAAACCTTTACAAAACTACTCCAAATAAATCCTCATGAAGTGCCTCTTACTGTGGTTCAACATGCTTCATTATGTCATAATGTATGGTTTATTTAATGCCTGCTCTTAAGCACCCTAGCCTATAATTACAGAAAAAACCTGTGCACCAACAGGGACTCATTTGTTCCTGCTGACTTGCACTGACCTTCCCACAATGATAAGCTGGTCTGTTCCTTAAGTTGGCGGTGCCCACATCAATGTTTGCAGAGCACAGAAGCCTCATAATATTAATGATACTTGTGATCTTGGAAAGCCTCATGTACTTGGAAAGTGTTTTTTTCTATTTATTGCTGGTGGAATATCATTGACAGCACACGAAGCAGGCTGGAAAAACAGTCTGTTTCATCAACACAACATGGCAGTTTCTGTTTTTATTAATGAAAGGGGAAATGTCAAACTGCCATCCTGTAATTACTCATCAGATACACAACAACATTTTACTACAGAGGGGTCAAACGAATGCTTGGATTATAGACTGGATTGATCTATAAACAAAATCTAAAGATGAATCAAAAACTCTTAGCAGACTTGCCAAAACAGACAATGAAAGACTCTTCTTACCAACTCACCAACTTAGGGTAGGCTGACTGAGGGTAAACTTCTAAACCGTTGGCAGAAATTTGGCATTTTGAAATGATATAGCATCAAATGTCTGTAATGATGAGGCCTGTTTAAAAAGATAAAACACAAAAAAAACTATGTCAGCATTGTCTTTTCTTATTGATAACATCGTAAACAACAAATCAAACGTTAAAACAGTTTCTGGATAATGCTGAGTATAAAATCAGTCATAATGTAGAAAAATATAGTTTAAAATTTCCTCAGACTTACATATCAGTCATGTTCTTAAACATACAGCATAACCCAATGTATTACTCTATTTGATCAAAAATTAAAAATCCACCTAAAACGTGACTGGCACAAAATGACTGTGATTTTTGGATTGTACATTGGCATGCACAGTAAAGTCGGCCTACGGCCCTAGCTCGATTGGGCGACTTAACTAGACTACCAGCCCTGTCCCAGTTGACATGCAAGAATCGAATCATTTACAACAGCGTGACTCCTGGTTGATGTGTTATGTATCAAAACAGCCAACAAAACTTGGTAACAAGAAGCTAACAGGACGTCATTATTACAGCTCTGTACTGGTTGTTATGACAAGTTTTGTCTTCTTTACATCCTGTCATCATCCAAGGTTTTGTTTACTACCAGCCTTCCTAGCAACACATCCTCAACACATCATCAACTCTGGAGCATGCACATAACGTGTAGGCCAGACTCTGTTCAATTGAGCCAAATACATGATAGAGAAAATCAATTTCCAACCACATTATCCAGGTATGTTAGTCCAACTATGAGATGTTTCATTTCAGAGTGATTTCAGTCAGACTAACGCGTTTACATGCATTTTAAGTCCAGTCTTAGTCCGACTATGGCAATAAATCTTTTTTTTTTTTTCGATGAATGGGTGATGTGGTTCAAAAAGACTCAGCTGTTATCGTTATAAACCAGCTGCAGAATTATTCTTCAACAAATGGCAGAATTGGTAGCCTTATACACTAGATGCCCCTTTCAGGGTCACTTTATTATCATTAGAGAGCCAACACGGACGGACAAACACGGACGGACAAACAGGAAGCAGCTGTTGCCGGGGAAACAACCACGAGCTCCACAAGTGTAGCAGAGAGTGTGACTGAGGTAAAAAAGGAGAGAAAATACGGAGGGAAAAGAATCGCTGTGGTGGTGGAATCTAATTAGACTGTGACAGCAGATATAAAGGGATATTTCCAGCATCCAGCTTGCGCTGACAAAGTGAGAAAATGTGTGTTTCTCTGTGCGTGTAAATGTGTGTGTGTCTCAATTGCGCAAATGCTGTTTCTGCGTCTGAGCCTGGGAATAGTCTGACTGACGCACAGAATGACAGACAAGCCTCGGAGTCCTGGCAACCCCGTTATTCCTCTCTCTCCCATTGCCCTCCTCTTCCTCTTCCTCTTCATCCTCCTCCTCCTCCTCCTCCTCCTCCTACACCTCTTTCTCATCTCTAATCCCTCTGTTTCTCCAAGTCTGTCTTCTCCCTTGGCATAAAACGACTGCATGTGGATCGTCACATAATCTGATTCTGTCACTGAGAATAGCTCTGGATCACCTCTCCATAAAAATTGACCCAGAATAATTAACACAGTGTTCGCTGTGGGAATTAGTGTCACGGAGGCTGACACGGCTCTCACCTGTGTAATGGTGTTACAGAGTGGATAGTCTGTCTTTTGGATCGACATTAAAGAGCTTGTTCGCTCCTGCGGGTCTTGACTCAGCAGTGACATAAAACACCAACCCCTACGAGCTCATTTTAAGGCCACCTGACTTTGATCTTGTGCCCAGAAAACAAACAGGAATCCAGAAAGAGCGACTCACTTTAAAGCCTTTTGCAGCGCAGTTTACACACACATTTAAGGAGCACAAACAACAGATGTGTAGATCAGATATCACAGGGTACAATTCCACTATGTAATCTATCACCATCAGCCATTTCACTGCATTATAAAGTATTTCAACGCCAGAATTTTTGCCCTCAGGTGGCGAACATGTTTGCAGAGCTGGACTCATCCCCTGGATTTTCCCCATGTTTTGGCCAATAGCCTTTTCCTGTCTTTGTATTATTTCATCTTTCCCTCAAACAGCAGCCGTTCAGACTCCCATTTTTTGCTCTGCTTGCGCTGGTCAAAGCCCCGAAGCTTTCACAATAGATTTACGAGAAAGGCCCTGAAAGCAGCAACTCATGTGGCAGGATGCCGAGTCCAATAAGCTCTCAGTGTGCCTTCAGCAGGGGTAGCTGCGGCGCTTAGAGGCTCAAGCTGTTTGGTGTAAATAGATCTAAATGAGGTAGAACAAAATAAATGTTGGACAAAGAAATATAATGCAACACGCAAAAAGCAAAGGCTTACATTACTGCTGTGGCATACCTACAGCTTAGGTAACTTCCTCATTCTCCCACATCTTTCCACTGGTGCACTGAGGGGGATGTGTCAAACAATTTTAGAAATTCTCTTAACTCTCTATCGTCACTCACAAGCTCTTCATGACGTCACGAGCAGCTGAATGAAAGAGAGACAGAAAGCCAGGTCTGACCTTCTATCTTTTAAATCTATTTTCATTTCTAATCAAACTAGAGCTGTGAAATCTTCTAAAGATTTAGAGGATTAAAGGAGCTTGGACTTGTGACGTAAAAAATCCCACTCTATCTGAACCTGCCCTTTGGGTCTGCCAGAGGTCCTCAACGATTTGAACGCAGAAATACTCAGAAATGCAATTTTGCACTTTGCCATATGAACATGTAGACAACAAGAAAAACAGGATTTTCATTGGAGTGGTTCTTTAAAAGTTAACATAAACGCACTTTGAGAAATATTTAAGAGTGATCTCCAAACAGTGCTATATTCATAACTCTGATATCTCGCTGACTCTCTACTGTGATCTCTGGTTAATGTCTCAGCAGTTGCACTCTTCAGGGTTTCAGTTGTGTCATTTTTGAAAGATAAGACTGTTGCACTTTAAGAAATATGCAGAAGATCACGTACAAAATCGAACGTTAATCAATGTTATACTGAGATAACTTTGTTTACTCATAAATGGAATTGCTGGTTAACTTTTAATCTTTCTCACAGTGGTTCTGTATGGCTGAAAATACTGTTCCTACAACACTAAGACACACAATTAGTCACATCATGTTAATCAGAGGACATCCATTAGACGACAACATCCATTTCACCATGTTGACTGGTCCATAGTCAGTGGTCATGTGCTGTTTTGTGGCACGGTTGCCCACTGACACTAGCCTGATCAGCTGCACTTGCATGTTCAGCTCGTAGGTGGAGCACAACTTCAGCGTACCCTGATGATGTTTAAACCACCAAAAGTGGTGTCACTGTTTCCAGCAGCAGCAGAAATCAGGAAGATACAACCGTCTGAGACATTTATTTAAAAAAAAAACAGATGTCCCCTCGTGGTGTTTGAGTAAGGGAGGTCAGCAGGCCCTGCAGGGTTCATCCTCTTAGGATTATGATTATCTCCACAAGGTTTATGTTGATGTATCCAGTGGCGAATAAAAGCAGTGACCAACCAAAATAAGATCCACTTTAAGGCTTTAAAGTGTAGTGAAACAGACTATTCAAATTGCATAAAACAAACAGGTGGATGAACCGCTTTGTACACAGAGGCCCCCAAAAATTGGCACAAAACTGAATTTCTCAGTCACTCTAACAACTTTCCCAAAGGCATTACTGCAGGTCATCACACTGTTAAGGAGTTAATATTATTTCTCCACACCCTCTTCATTCAAACTGCTGTGTATTTATCTGTTTGTGGTTTTCATCTGATGCAATAGAGCCCACGGCTGTTGAGATACTGGCAGATTTGTCACATACGGCAGAAGTTTTCAGAAGTCGAGTCATCAATTTCAAGTTGTGTACGTCAATACACAGGCTGAAGGCTATTGCCCAATCATTTCACAAACCACAAATCAAGGGAGGATTTATCTCAACAGCATTTGAATTTGTGTTAGATAGGAGGAAATAGCTTTGAGCGAAGAACAAGATTTTCCACAAAGAAATAGAAAAAGGCGAGATAAAAATAGGTTCCTAATGAGGCCGTCACAAGTTTTTCCAAAAAGAAAGTCAGTGTTAAAAATATCTTTTTGGCCTCTATTCTGGTGTTCACAAGATGTGTGGACTGTTTTTAAACCTGTACTTTGATTTATTTTATGAATTAACTATTCCCACTCACATACTCTGTGGACGTGAAAGTTCACACGTTTACATCTAGTGTCATAATCTTGAAGCAATCTCCACGAAATCGAACATGACTGAGTGACTGAGGATGACGATAAGCCAGTGTATCATGTCATTTCTCCACCTTTCTTTAACACACGTCCCACAGATCTTCTCCAGAAAGACAGATCAGGAGTGGGTCATGGGTGGAACTGACCTAAACAAAGTTATTTTTTGCTTTATTCCATGAGTAAGTGTGCTATAAATATACCAAAAGGAAGTGTTATCTTTCTGTTTTAAGCACTAACGTCAATATCATACCAAGTTCTGCTGTGACATGAGGTTAATGTCACGCACATGATTTTCCACTACTGCTCCCACCTTTTTCCAAGGAAAGATCAACACTCCTTAAAATCTAATTAAATGCTTTGAAGACACATAGACAAATAATTACAGATTTTGCTCTGCAGGACAAATGGCAATTAAAAAAGGTGGTGCATAATGAAGATGAATGCCAAGGTTTATACACTTTTTCCACTTTTACAAGTTGTCCTTTATAAATTGGTCATCTTTAATGCCTAAAAAATGTGGGGAGATGTCAGACCACGGGGTTAAGCTCACTGTAGATAAGGGCTGTTCGACAATGGCAAAAATCAAAACCTCATTAATAAACCCAATAAGAGAAAAATTGTTCAGCCTTCATTTTTTTGTGTACTGAAGCAGGTCCGTCAGTCCAGCAGGATAATATACTTTAGGAGCTTTGTTTTATTTTTCAGATACACTGCCTCCTCCTGCTCCTCTCCCTGCTCTCCTCTCTCCACGTGGGACTACCTGATAGTTTGTCCTGCCGTTGCATAACAGCAGTCCTTCATTAATCTTAGTGGGAGCTGCAACTTCCTTGTGCTCCAAAACTTTCACATCAACCTCAGCCCTCAATCATGAAGTGAGAAGGAGAGGGTGGGCTTCATTGAATATACGGGAAGTAAGAGGGGAAACACAGCAGTTTACTCAGTTATATTTTTATGCTCATGGGGAGCCATATTCGTCATAGAAATCCAATTAGTCGCCCAAGTCTATTGCTGATAAAGCCTTTTCTTTAACATCCCACAGAAAAAGCATAAGCATTCAGTGTAACAAGTGAGGAGGGTGAGATTAGGACCAGGTTGTCGACAGCAGTCACCAAAATCACCCGAAGTTCCTCGAGGAGCCTTAACTTCGTCTTCCTCAAACTACTCTACACTTCTCTGTGTCCTTACACCCCTCAGAGTTGTCTCACTTCTCTTTTAGCAGGTTTTAGTTCCTCTTTTTCTCTAACTGCGGGCTAAAATGTAAACAGATTTCTGGACACATTATTGAGAGTAGTTAGTGGAAAATGTTGAGTGAGTGAGCACTGAATAGGACATCAACATCAAAAAGGTTAAAACATCTAAGACCTCCTTTCAACCAGTTTCAAATCAGCTAAAATATGGTTACCGCAATGACGTGCGTGGAAACACTTTTTTGTCTTGTACATTATTTTTGGCTTTAAAAGAGGTCATGAATTATTGTTATGAAAAACAAAGAATATGTAAAATCACTCAAGGCTTTGGGGGTTGATCAGAGCCATTTCATGCGCCTCATCTGCATAAATGCTAGCCTTCAGAAAGTAGGTCTTTGTTGCACGCTTACTCAATACAACTCGGTCATAACTCTTTCTTCTTTCGCCCCAAATGCTCCCCAGTGACACAAATTTATGTCGCTCTTTTAACCCCGCATATTTCATAACTCGTGACAAAGTTGCTCAACAGCTATCATTATTGTTCAACAACTTTCTCCCTGACTTGTTTGTCACACATCAAATAGAACTAAAGACACGAATTGCTTGTTGACTGATTACAGTTATTAGTATGTTGAAGATATTGCAAGCTTGCTTTCAGTAAATTTATATTGTATTATCAAGCATCTAAACATAGGAAAATGATGAGTCCTGGAATGAAATATTATCATTCAGGTTTGTGAACCCCTTCCTTTTATAAATGCACATCAATTCCAAAATATGTTATCTATTATTGATCTCAAAATCTATTATAATCAGTATTGGTATCAACCTTTAAAAAAAAATATCAAAATCAGGCTATTTCTAACTTTAACACTTAGCTTTCCTAATCCAATAGGCTTTGTGAAAAAAATGTAGTTCTCCTGTTTGCATCTTGCAATTGCATATTAATGCATTATTGACAATATGTACTTAACAGCTACTTAACTACTTCCATTAACTTCAACAGAATTAACAAAGTAATTATAATCAAAAAGGACGTCTTTGTTAACAGATACCTCACTTTACTTTTTGACAAGTAAACCATATTACCTCACTTAACGTACAGCAAACTAGCTGAGGGCAATTACAGGACCATATGGTTACTATTTGCTAGCTGAATACTAATGTTGGCTAATAAACATGTCATCTCTCTGGCTGTAGCAGAATGTTAGCCTGTTAGCTCAGTATCTACTGAGTTACTAAATGGGTTGTTCTTAGAGTCAATGGACAACCTACGCATTTTTAGTCCTTCTGAAAGCTTACATCATCCAAAAAGTACTCAAGTTGAAATACCAGTTATGAAAAGATGTCCTTTGAGTTTTTGAAGCCTTTTGTATCGGGTAAAACATAAGATCAATTATTGGATGCTATTTATTACAAAAGCATTGAAATCTAAAACTACTCTAAATCATGGAAAAGGTCCTGGTGTGTAGTGTTGAGCTGTTTTAGTGTAGCCTATGAATGATTTCTAACAGTGGGAGCTAAATATCGACAGATGAGAGAGCTGCACTTAGTCTGGCTTTGTGATCAAATCCAGAAACAGAAAAAAATAACAATACGAGCTGAGGAGACTGTCTTCATTTCAGTCCATTTTCTTTTGATTCTTTTTCTATTTCAATATTTGTTTGTAAAGCCACTGGAAACCAAAATGCGCAACAGCCCAGGACCCTCAGACCTTTTGAGCATAATATTGAGCATCATACCACAATGATGAGTTCTTTCTCCTGTCTGGTGTAGGCCTGGTTCAATTATGAAATTAACATAAAAATTTCCACCAGTCAATCATAGACATAGAAAAATAGAGCAGTTTGCTGTTTACCAATAACAGTAACTGATAGTATTAGTTGGGGAGAGTTTGGGCTTTACGACAAACCAAAGAGAAATTTCACAAACAGCCTTGAACAAACTGAGAAACATTTCTGTGTCAACCTGTTTCGCTTTTCTCACTTTCTTTTTGCAAGATTCTCTGTGAGTAAAAACTACGGCACAGTGTCTGCTTCAAGCCACAAGCTTTCAGTATAAAGTTTAAGAGGTGAATGTTGTTTTCAATCTGTCAGGGGTCTAACAAGGATGACTGTTGTTCTCTGTGATCAAAGTGACTCATGCCAGGTAAAAACCCCTCTCTCTTTCTCTTTCTGTGTGTGTTCTGTGACCCGGTTAATGTCTGTGTTCCCCCTTGTCGACCTAGAGGCCCACACGGGAGTCAGACCACCTAAGTGATTATTTCAGACCACCAGAGATGACACAAGAGAGAGAGTGAGGAGAACAACATTGAAAACAAGGAGGAAAGGGGAGGAGCAGGGAGCAGAGTGGAGGAAGCTAATGTTTTGATTGGTGAGTTTTGTCAGAAATCAACCAAGCAATAACAAGTCAAGTTAAAATGAGTCGAGTCATGAAAATCTAAAAGGTCAGGGACAGACCCCACTCTACGTGATGTACATCATTGCACAATAGTGTTTACTATGCTCCTGCAACAGTCAATTCATTAACTCCCACTTTGAAAGAAGACTATGAGTTATAAGTTTGTATTCACATTTATTATAGTGAGATTATAATTTATGGTGATTTTATTTCCAGCATCATCTCTTCAGTATTGGCCATCTTATGTGCAAACTTTCTTGTGTTCATAATAGTGCAACATCAATCTTCAATGTTGGAATGGATTACCTTCAGTATCACATGCAATACTACTTTCAGTATCAGACTGTCTTATGTTCATTATCATCTACAACATACCTTTTTGTATTTTATCGTGTAACACTTGTCATTTCATTCATGCCCCTTCTACACACAAAAATACACCTGTATGTTTTAAACAGTGAAATCGCTACAACCCTTATACATCCATTAAGCTTGGTATTAAAATAAATATCTAATTTATGCATCTGCCAGAGGGTGCATGTGCTTAGGGTCAAGCTTACATGAAGCATGCAGGTCACATGGATTAAACTTTGGGAGAATACCTAATCAAAATACCCCCAATTTTAAGCCTTGTCATTACTTAGCAGCACTTAAAGAAACAGTCTGCTATTTCTTGGTAGCACACTGTTGCTATGAAGAACAGACTGTAAGTACTACCACAGACTCTGGAGGGCTAATGCTGTGTTCCAGTTACCTCGGAAGTAAGATAATGGAGCTGGGAATGACACTACACCTGAGTTGACGGCATTTCAGGAAACCGGTCGGAAAACCAAGATGGACGCTGACTGTTAGCCGTTGTTAGCTATTGTTTACAATTGTCAGCTGTCGTTAGCTGTTGTCAGCTGTTGTTAGCAGTCGTCAGCGGTTGTTATTTGTTGTTAGCTACACAGTATTTTACTCTTACAAACACCATAGCACCGTGTTCACAGTTAGACGTTGGGCAGTACAACATATACCACTTTCTGAAAAACAAAACAGAAGTGCTAATAAATAAAACATTACAAGAGCTTTCGGGGGGGTTCCAGATGAGTTTTCTGACTCGGAGCTCGGATATTCTGACTTCTGAGTACAACTGGAACGCAGTATAACTACACTCTCATCAGGGTGGAGAAAGACATCCAGTTATTTTAACACAATTTGTTTATGGGATGATAACAGAAAATGCCAGAGGCGTTGAATACAACAGTGAAATTTACCACACTGAGGATGGTGCTTAAAGGCGACAACTAGTAAATTTTGAAACACCGAAGTGTTGATGATAAATCATCAGCTATCAAGGATTGTCAGGATTGTCAGACTGTTACTATGATATGTATTACAGCCATGTGATAATGGAAGATATACTCTATATAACTATATAATAGTTATGGTTGCTAGGCTACATTTTGTTTATGTTTGGGGGAGGGCCTTAACCAATGGTCAGTTTTACATCTCTTTGTGGCTGGCTGAATTTCTTAAGTTCTCTTTTCAGCTCTGATCCTCGAGGGGATTCAAAGTAGAGACATGCGTTGGTGTGTGAGCGCGTGTGTGCGTATCTGTTTGTGTGGTACATACTTACCAAGAGAGGAAGGAAGTGTGGAATAAATAGAAAACAGATAAAAGGATGGATAAACAAGCAGATAAGACCTTATTGCTCCACAGAGGAAATGCAGTGGGAGTTGTAAAGAGCAACGACTGCCTTTAGAAAATGACTTTTGATATTCTTTATCTTCCCCGCTGCTTAATCACAAGGCTCTGCATTAATGACCTGCACATGCACAGATATTAAATTCATTATGGCAATCATATGCCATATACTCCCTCTCTCCTTCTTTTTCTCCCTCCTCCTCTGAATCAGCCACTCCAGCACACAGCTGCCAGCTTCTAATGGCTTCCAGATCTCCATCTCCTCCTTCCCTCCGTTACTCTTCCCCGCCTTGCTGTTTTTTCTTTACCATTTCAGACGACCGGGCCAAAGTGGAAGTGGAAATCCGCTGTACTTCAGCCAGTGAGTCAGCTAGCAAAGCACCCGTTTGAAGGAAAACCACAGGCAAGGGTTTGAAGAAGCAGTGGATTTTGTTTTTCATAAATCACAGTGAAGGTTGTCGGGGTTTTTTTTACATTTCAGACGGAAGGACTTTGATGAGTGCATTAGTTAAATATGTGTGTTTATGCACAAGGGAGCACATTCAGAGAAATGCTGCTGGAGTTATTTACCTTTACTGGAAACTGAAAGGAGCTTGTGTGTAATTGCAGCGAGATGGGATCAATGCTTTTAACTTAATACAGCCTTATTAATGTGTGTGTATGAGTGTGTGAGAGTGTGTGTGTTTATATGCTTGTGGACAAACTGTGGTTGCAGACAGATGGGAAGTTGTTTTAAGAATTTTCCACTGATACAAAGTGAATTTTTCCCTCTCAGTGGTTAGAGGAAGTCACATGTTTGGGGTAAGTTTTGTGAGGATTCTTTCTTATCTGTTTTTTTGTGATAACAGTGAAGCACACACTCTTGAAGAAAAGAGAGGTATGAGGTAAAACAGGGGCACCACACCACACTCACAGTTATGAACACTATGTGTGTTTATGACTGATGGTGGACAAACGTATCAAGACACATACAGGCAGGCCAACAAACTGAGTTTGACAGGTGACACTGGAGATGTCCTGATACCATTTTTTTCTTCCAGGTGCAGCTTCTGATACGAAGACTAGAGTATGAAATGATACAGAAAAAAACTTTGGATGGCAGTACAGTCACAGAAAGATGTTTACTTAAATAGAAACTGTTATTGCCAGCTCACCAAAGAAAAACAAGTCATTTTCCCAAGGATTTGTGAGTGGGGGGAGCGATGGGGTGGCTGGATTGTTTGTCACAGGTACTACATATTTTAGACAAAACCAACAATTACAAATAGCAGAAAAACACAATTAAACTATTCTGGATAAATAGCTAAAAAGTGGATAACTAAATCATGACTATGCAATCACATCTTATTACCAACCCCTATCTATATGCCTATTTATACTATGGCAAAGTCTGGGTTTATCCCATAGACTGTATATAGAATGGACGCCGTCTGCCTCCTCGCTCGGTGAAGCCACCCTGAGAACAGCACCCTCTGGTGACGGGCTGCAGTATAGGTTTTAAATCCCGCCTCCTCCAGCAATCCCTATGGAGTTGTGGACAAACTTTAGAAATTTATTACACAGAATATAATTTTTTCTCACCCCTGCTTGCAATGTTGACATGTAGTTACTGTAAGACTGGTTTGTGCTGAAGTCCTCGTTTTTAAAAGTTATTAGGGGGTTCATGTTTTCTATGATTGGCACTTGATACAGCCTATGGGTGTACGAAGATTGCGCAGCTCACGTGGGGGATACGCTGTTTGAGCCGAGCGTCATCACAGCGACTCTTGGCGACTCTCCCACCAAATGCGCACAATGCCACTGTGCAAGTGGTGGAGTGAGTACAACCCTACTGCGCAATGTTGGTATTAGGAAAATGGAGAAAAAACGCGGAAATACCAAGAGCTTTTCGGATTTAAATCCATATACTGGTGGAGGGCATAACCAAGTTGTCCATAGTATATACAGTCTATGGTTTATCCACATGCTTCAAACGATTAACCCCAGTTATGTGCTACCAAACAACAAGTATTTACTTTGATTGTGCTGCTAACCAGAGAGCTGGAGGATTAAGTTTTATTCCCTCACAAAAGTCATGGTCCAGTGGAACCATGCAGCCTTACATGAGTTTGACAGCTGAATTTAATAAACAATGATCAGGCTCTGCAAAGTGTCTGCCTCCAAACAACTTATTTACAAATAACCACAAAGCTGAGCTTATCACCCAGGGATTAAGAACAGGTTTTCTGTTACTACTTTCACAGTCACAAGATTAAGGGCCTCAATTAAAATTGTTCAATAAGCTCCGTGTGAAAAAATTTAAAAAAAGAAGAAATTTTACTTTTAAGCCATATCGCCCAACCATAGCTGCTGGCTCTGCTGGTATTAGCCACACTTCTCAAACCAACACAGTGTTTGTAGATGCTGTGATCCCACTCTGTCAAGCATGCTAACACAGCTCCTCCTCCTCCTCATGACAGTACCTGTGTTTATGTTTAGTAGGGTTAAAGATATCTGTATCGGTATCGGAGTTCAAAATGCGTATCGGTACATCCCTATGTTTAACATGAAAAGGAATAAGTTTTGTCTAGCAAACATTACTTTAATGTGTACAAAACGAGAGAAAGAGGTATTACGTTGTCCAGAAGGGGCGCTAAGATTAACACAAACCAAAAGTTCCTCAGAGCAGCTTTAAATAAATGAGGATCAGTTTGGGCTTTTTTTCAATGTTTTCTTACCTTGTTTCTTATCTTTCTTACCTTGTTTTCTTAGACGAGTCGACTGACCTGAATTTAAATCCTAAATTTGAAATGGATCACCTTTAGCAGCCTCCCTACACCTTATTTAGGGCAGAACTAGAGACAATAACAAAACTGGATTTGGTAAAGAACAACTTAATGTGTCACACAGCCAGTAAAGCCAATACATGACTTTTTAAATCAGAGGGTAGACACACCTACACACTCATATTTTAAGCCACTTCTGTCAGACTGTGTGCATGAACTGCTTTTAACTAAGTGCACACAGACAAAACACAAACAGGCCGACCGTCTACCACAGCTGAGAAAGCGAGAGACGCTCATCAGCAGGAGCAAAGACTGCTTTATATCAGGAGCTCGATGACATTTTAATGGTAACAACCATCTTTGTGAGGCAGGCTGGGTTCTGCGACTGTTTTGATTACTCACTCTTAGTCATCTGGAGCAACAGCCACACCGAGGCCTCATGTGCCACAGACCACGACAGGCCGCACGACAGGCAGAAAGGGCACAAAGGGCCCGCTTAGACTGAGACCTATCAATCATGCGAGGTCACTGCGGTCTGACTGAGAGGAGAGCGGGGCAGCCGGCCTTTTGTTGTACGTGGTTGTGCTGCAGTCAGTGACATCACCCTTTGTGGGGTCTGTCATTAAAGAGTGATAAATATCCTGAGTGTGTGTTGCAGTGAACTGTGGAAAGAGTAGCTCGGCCCCTGCAGCTGAGGGCCCCTAATGGGACATCGGAGGGTGTTGTTGTGCGGTGTGCAGGGGGCCCTCTGGGGAGAGTCCCTGACCACAAAATGATGTCGACGATCAGTTAGTGGAACAAAGTGCTTAAAGGACCAATGAGTGGTCACACAAAAGAGCTGACACAAAAATAGGAGAAGAAAGTAAAGTAGTTAAATCTGCGGTTTTCTCTATGAAAGTTTAAGCACTTTCCATTATGGGCTGCTCCCAAAACTGCTGTAAAAGCTCCTAAATTTGAGCTCTGTCATCATTTTACAAGCATTCGTCAGCATGTTATTGTCACACAAGATGAAGTTAGCGAGTAATAAATTCTCAGCATGGTAGCAGATATCCACTGACTCATCTCACCCACTGTATTTGACCCGATCGCACAAACTGTTTAACACATGCACGCTCACAAGAACAAACCTGAGTGACAAACGGAGGCTGCGAGCCAGCAGCGGTTCAAGTCACTGCAGGCTTATTCTTTATTCATGCTGAAGTCTTAACTTGTTATCTGCTCAGGTTTCAAAGAGGGCCATACGACAAAGAGAGCTTATGAAGGAGACAGCCGTGCAGACAGCTGCGACTCAGGCTGTACCGCTCCTCGTCAAGAGGGCCCGTTGAAAGCATGACGAGGCAATCTGCCGTGGAGGTATTTGCCAAAGGGGGGAGAGCCGGGAGAAAAAGAAAAAGTGATGACTCACCAAACTTCCCAAAATCCCCCTCCCTCCCCCCTTACCGGTTTACGGGAATTGGTATGCTGTTTTCTTTTTTTCCCTCCAGTCCCAGACGTTCATCTTCTTGACAGGCTGCGGGGTCAGACCCTGGGTTAATGTTTGTCTGTGGGATTGTTTCATCCCTCTCCGAAGGGGCCAATCCTGCGAGCGGGTTTAATTATGTGAGGCGGACGTTTGAAAGTTGGTTAGCAGTGCGGGGGAGGGTGTAAATTCAGGGAGCACTTGCCTCTGAAACAGATAAGCCTTTGTTTTGCATCATACCCAGGCTTTTTATACCACCGAATTGCACCACTGAAGTCTGGATTAACTGACAGCCAAATTAATTCATTGTTAATCTAAAGGGGATTACAGGATCACTTCCAATGTGCTGTTTAGTTTAATGTTTCCTGAAGAGATTTTAATAGATCGCACTGTTTTGAGCTGCTCGGAAAATTTCATAAGCTGTTTGTTTGGCCTGAGGACTATTAAAAACATTTATGACTCCCAAAAAGGGCATTACAAAACAAAACACAGGGCATCAGTGTGAGCAAAATAAATGAAACATCCAGTGATAAGCCACTATTTAATAAGTGTGTGAATCATTGTATGGTCTGACTGTTAAATGCAAGTCACTGAATAAGTCACTTGAGCTGACCTCTGACCCCCTCAGGTCTGATGATGCTGGCTGTATTCTGACTTTCAGACAGCGAGTTTCTTCCCTGTGTTTATTTTCTCACAGCTGTTTATTGATGTCATGATGATGTCATCATCCACTCCTGTCTACCTCTGAGATCGTGCCTGTAGGGTTCACGGTGATCACAAGGCGTTCAGTGTTCAGTGTTCATGTGAGATCCGTATTTACTACAGAATTACACTGTCAAAAAATGGTAATATCAGGGGACTGAAACCATATAAACATGATCAAGGCTGGAACTCATCAAAGATAGACTGAGATGAAGCGGAAAATGTGGTTTGACAAATCAAAATATTCAATTCATTTGGAAATCATGGATGATGTATACTCTGCTCTTAAAGGGATATTCTGGTGCAAAATTAATTTAGGGTCAAACACATTGTAACATCGAGTTAGACACCCCCTCGAGAGATTAATGTTGCCGACCGCTTGCTTCTCTAGTTACAACTTTAGTAACGGCTGCACGATAACAACACAGAGAGCCACACACTCAACCAAAGCACTACTCTATAGCCACAAATAATGCTCAGAACAGCACCTAACTTCATCAACAGTACATGTAGGGTCCCAGCCATAGTACTAGCCACCAAACATCTTTTTAGCTTTGCCTAATTTCTTTGGCAAAGAGACTAAACACAACTCACCTACTCTCTTCCAGCAGCCGTTTGTTTGTAGCGCATATATTTTTCAAATTTTCCAGTCCAAAATTTGCAATATTGTCTTGTCTTCACACTATTTCTTAATTAAATATGGTTTAAATGATTTGCAAACCATCAAATCCTATTGTTTAATAAACATTTTATGCGGCTTCCCAACTTTGTTGACTCTGGGTTGTAAAAAAAAAAAAAAAAGTTTATTTTCCCAAATTAAAGAAATAAAGCATTTACCATGTTTTGCATGTCTTTATGAATATTGGTCTTGTTTCAGCTAGTTGTAACAGCAGAAACCATCTGATAGCTGAGGACAAACCCAATATGACGTCTTTCCTTTTAAAACTAGAAACTACTGTATATGTTATCTTTGATTTCTGCATTGAACTTTTGACCTTCACCAGATTTCTCAGGTTAGTCACTTATAGAGATTTCATCATATGAGACAGTATAATCCAGGGTGATGACAGGCCAGTTATCCCACAGTTACAAGTAACAGAGGTGTGACTGTGTGCTGCTGAGGGAGTGAGATCAGTGACCTCTCTGTGGTTAGGGAGAGTAGCGCTGGAGGCGTCTTACAGGAAGGAATTCAGGTTGACCTTACAAACAGAGTTGAAAGGTTGTGGGAGTAAAAGCTTCAACGAGGCTCTAATCCTACATGACAACTCCCTCTTCAAACACCTTGAACGCTAAAAACCTGCTTGTAATTATCTCCAAAACCACAGGTGCTATCACTTCTTTGTGTGCACATCTCTTTGTGCTGCAACTACACCCTTTTAATGTGTGTTGACCTTGAGATAGCCATCGCAGCTTCAAAAGAACTGCAAGTCTGTTCTCAGAGTGGGACTGAGCCTCTCAATCAGCGCTCTGGTTTCCCTGAACAGAGATCAGAGACCTGACAAGTTCAGCACACGTTCTCACTGACTGACGGATCTTTAAGAGAGGAGACAACATGTGGGGTCAGCAGCTTTCACCGTCTCTGGTCACCAGCTAACTGTGTCTCATTGTGTGTCAGTCAGAGTAGTGACCTTTCAATCAGCTGTGTGTGTGTGTGAGCCGAGGGGACAGTTAGTTTACCTCAGTCCAGTTCAGTCACTATAGGTGATGTCTGAATAGATCAGTCCACTACAGCTTTGTGCTGACACAGCTAAAGACTGACTGTTGAGCAACAAGTGGGCAACCAGCTGTAAGTGAGCTCATGTAGACACAAATCCCAGAAGAATGCAACTACGAGAAAAAAAAACTATAAGTAAAGAGGAAAACATGAAACAGACAACAAGAGTTCCACAAAAAAAAAAAAAACAAAGAAAAAAAATATTTGGAGATATCAAGTGATACACATTTCAAATATCATAATGCTACAAGACCAGAGGCTGATAGTGCCCAGTCTACGTGACTGTAAAATGTAAGGCCATGCTGCTATGTCACAAAAACTCTAACATAAAGCTTGACACAAACCCTCAGTTATTTTCGTCATTAATGGGACAGACTGTGTAGAATATTTACTACCTGTGTGTCTACATCTGCAGCACATACGAGGGGTGGGAGAAACTATCAATACAGCATAGTATTGCAGTATTTTGTCTGGTGATATATCATATCGTCTCATTTACCAAGTATCTATTAGTATCAAATTAATTGCTTACATGAAGTCAAATATATGGTAATGGAAAAATAAAATCAAGGTTGGCAGAGGTGTCGTCATTGAGGAGGAGAAAGTTATCATTGATACTGTGCCATTGAGTTTCATGTGCCTTACAAAACAATCTCGTCTTGTGTTGTAACAGAGAGCCAGAGCAAACACAACCATTGGTATCATGGATACTGATACCATTATCAATAGGTACGGACAATGGTATCTTATCAATCTCAATATTCCTGTTAATATCACTATGGTTAATGAGCTTTGAAATATCAGCTCATTGTTATCAGCTCATATAATTATTAGAAAAAATCTTATATTGTGCATCCCTAAACCAACAGTACAGCTGACTTTTCACTTGATGTACATGAAAACACTAAAACAGGTGCTGAATGTAAGCTGACACCAGGAGCAGAGATTGATGGGAGATTATTTTTAACATGGAACTTGAATGAGGATCTCGTACAAGTATAATCCATGTGTGGGAAAACACTAAAATTAGCGTGCATGTTGATGGGGATTCCTTGGCTTCTGAAACCAGCCCCGAGTGGGCTCTTGTAAACCACAATTTAGATTTCAGCCCAAAATCCAATCAGCAAGAAACCAGCTTTTTAAAATATCATCCAAGGATCCACCATACATAATTATACAACTCCTGAGTGAAAATCTGCTCTCCATTTTGGCCCCAAATGTTGAACACAGGATGAAAGAAATGCAAATGTGAGCCTTTTTGAAACACTTCTGCAGGATTATACTTTGCAGCAGAGAGAAACATGTTGAGGCCTAAATCCAGAACATCTTTCATTTTCATTCCAACCTTGCTTGTGATTGTAAAATTTAATTTGGTTTGATTTGCCGTGCATTATGTGCGGCCAGTGGAATGACATTGTAAGCAGGATAATGTATGCAGATGCCTGCATTGTGTTTGCGTGTGTTTTTTGCACTGTGTGTGTGTGGGCCTAATTTGTTGTTCTGCGTGTCTGATTAGTTGCATCCTGATGAGAATGAGGAAGGACAAAACAGTCAAAGAAACAAACCCCCCACCCCTCCCCCCTGAGTGTCCTCACCCTCAGCAGGGACAGGGTTAACAGTGGGATTAGAGCCCAGCGAGATGCAGCATGTTGATCACAGAGGACAGGCCGCTGTGTGCTGCTGAGTCAGGTAAAGTGTCACTGTGGGTGAAGGGCCGCAGCTTCACTCTGGACACACTTGTTGACAACCCTCTCTCCGACCTCAAAGCCCGACTGTAATTTAGGTCATTAGGAAGGGCGTCAATTAGGCTCAGCTGGCTGCAGAAGACTGAGCTAGAGAATAAGGGAGAAGACTGACTGGGTGTGTTCGAGTATGCGTGGACTGAAAAAATCGGGAAGTTGTGCAAGGTTGAAGGTGTGGTTGACTATTTTTTTTGGCATGTATTGAGGTTCATTAAGATCTGGTCTCACACCCAGCAAACGGTCAAGAATCATGGCTTGTCAGGTTCCTGCTTTCATGAATATTTGAGGTTGAAAATTTGATGCTTAGATGAACAACAGATATGCCGGCGTATCGTGTTGGCGTATCACACACCGTTCACTTTATTAAGCTGATATTACAAGCACAATGATATTGTGCCATGGATGACAGTAGTTCAGACCCCAATGACTTGCCTCCTTGGTTGTGTTCGCTCTGGCTCTCTCTTACAACACAAGACGAGATTGTTTTGTAAGGCACATGAAACAAAGCAATGATACGAAATCTCTACACATGAAGGCAAATGACGCTGATGACTCAAACTCTTTGGAACCAGTGCACATCTGGAACTGGTTCTAGATTTCCATCTCATGTGGTAATGTTCTACCTGCATATAAACAAGCACGGATGACAGCGATTTGTCAGTGTTTGGATCTGGGAAATAGAGATTAAGTTGTGTTTAAAACTACTTAACTTGGCGTGTTGACTGAAGGCTGGTGGTGCTAGCTCTACTAATGTTAGCCACATTCAACAAACTAACCTTACACTGTCTTCCTTCGACCGTGTGTACTTGGCCGTGTTAACTAGATTGCACTCAATTTTGAAAGTTTTCTACATGACCTGTTTGCACAAATCAAAATTTCCATGCCAATGACTAAGAATAGTCGGTTTCTAACATCCCAATAGGTGACCAACCACAGCCTTTATTGTATTCCTAAATATTACCGGCTGTTGGCACTATTTTGTGAAATTCTAAATGGCACTCAAATGTGAAATACCAGTTGGTGGAGACTGAAATTATTGCATAACAAAGAGAAATTATGATAAGATGAGTTTAAAAAAAGTATTCAAAGATAGACAGGACTGAGTCTTGTTAGTTTCTGCTTCACAAACCAGACTTCAAATATCGCCTCTCATCACTGGGCTGAATTTTTTCAGCGCAAACAAAGAGGGTAGGAGCAAATGCAGAGACCCTATGAGCCCTGGCATGACAGTACTGATTTAATACAAGCCTTTTGATGATCTGAACCCTTCTTTTATGACTTACTTATGTAGCTTTAATATTCACATCCACACCGTTAATGCTACCTCAGCAATTCTCTCTCCTATTGCCTGACATTAATGGCTCCTTTACAGGGATAACAGGCCTTCAGCAGGCCCAGTCTTGTTAACCAACACACCTTTGTCAGCATTAAACCTGCCAGCCAGCAGCTCCGTGACCACACCACCACGTTCTGCTCCACTCTGGGACACACTCTTCTGGTAAAGGGTGTGTGGAGTGTGTCTGAAAAAGCAAACAGGGTGGAGGACAGATACACCTGGCTTGTGTCTACTAGGCGGAGTGCACTGCACGCTCAGCTATTGTTACAGTTGATAGTGGGTGTGTGAGGTGTGTTTGCATGTCTGTGAACATGTGCTGGAGGGAACAGGCTTAAGTACTACACCTCTAGTCTGTTATTACTGCTGCACAGTAATTATTGCATTCATGACCATGAAATGACACTGTATTGTACACTTGGAGGCGTGATATTTGCAGATTTATTATACAGTACTTGCTCCTGGTGACATGAATATGAGCTGCTACATTTATACAGTAATAGGATGAACAAATATTAATTATCATGTAACCAGGTTACTGTAAACAGCAGCTCCTCTGCAGAGAACCCAAAGGATTTTGGGCATATGTCATTTTGACCTCTGCTGGGTCAGTCAAACATTTCTGCCCAACCAAATGCATCTGCGAAATATAGACTTTCACCTCCTGACTTTGTGTCTCAAAAGAACACCAATGTTGGCATTTTTGGCTTTGTGTGAAATGTCTTAATAATCGCCCGACTGTTCAGTCAGTAGCTACGGGTTACGTGTAGCTACGTGTTATAGAAATGTATTACCTGGATGTAAACGAGCACAGATAACAAATGGCATCTTATTTAGCTAGGTTACGGTGAACGCACCCTCTGCTGGATCATACCGTAAGCTACTTCAGGCTACCTGATGTGCTGGGATACTGAATTGTAATGATTTGAAATGGCTTATCTGTTTTAATGACCGCTTGAATTTCATCCCCTTGCAAATGGCTACAACACAACCTGCTGTCTGTCAACTTTGCCATCCCATGAGTATTATCTAATTATGAAGAACCTCTAGCCGTCATATAATCAAAATTGTTTAATCAATATAATCAATAATTATGCTGTAAAAATTGGGATTTTAATATGGGCTTCAAGAAGGATTTCAAGACAGTCTCAAGTGGACACTTGAGGAACTGCAGCTTTTTGCATTTTACTGACCTAAACATTAACCAACTAACCTGGCTCTAGACAATAGTGAAAAAGACACATGGTCAATATCCTGAGTTTTGTGTGGGTCAGAAGAAGCAGTTATCTCTGTTAGAAGTTGCCTTTACTTTGCAGATTGTTTTAAAAAGTAAGTACAGTAGAAAATGTGTTTGTTTTTTTTAACTGTAATATAGCCAATCTGTTTTAAGATACTACACCTTAGTTTGTGTACAAGGCAATGCCTGTAGTCGCTTGTGGTCAGCTAGACTCTCTGTCTCAGGTAGCTGGATCCAACCACGGTCGTCTCATAGAATACACCTACTTTTAAATTTAAGATGTGTATTGTTAGAGCAACAAAAACTCATTTGTTTTCATTATGCTTAATTAATTATAAACCACTAGTATTTGAAAGGGGTTAACATCATTACTTAAGTCTGTTTTGGCATAAACTAGATTTAATTCAGTTCAGAGACAATAGAGCTGAGGAGGAGCCTCACGTTGCCCGGAGCAGTCATGCACCTGATACACTCGAGGGGATTGGCCCTAATCACAGGGACACATGGAGGGACTCTCCCAGAGAAGAGCCACTTGTTACAAGACCACTGTGACTCACTTGCGCTGGCCATGTGCTGCCTGTTTGTGTGTATGTGAGAGAGAGAGAGAGAAAGAGAGAGAGAGAGAGGCACTGAAACAGAAAGCAGGATGTGAAGAGCGCGGCAGAAACTGAGCAATGGACTTTTCAAAGACAAACACAAGAAGTCAATCAAATCTCTGTTAGGGAGAGTAAAAAGCCAGCAGTGCACACTGCACACCTGCTTTGGAGATAACATGACAATAACAGAGCCGCTACTTCACAGCTGATCCCTCCTTCTCCTCAGTAGGAAATAATGTTACCACAGAAAGAAAATTCCAGTATCCTGGTCACTGGGCTGAACACCTTTCTTCACATACAAATAGCACTGGTATTCAGCACTAATATTCAAATCAGTCACCACAAGAAAGTCAATCCGCTGTGATCTTAAAAGATGTTCTGGAGGGTTTTTTTCACTTTACTGGTTAACCAGCAACACACAACACCTGCTAGTTTGCAGATGATGGCAAAGAGTTTCAACATTTTAAGCAAAACTACGCAAAATTTCAGATCAAAACTACATTCTCCACAGTAAAAAATAGTTTACAGAAATCCTTTAAAAATTAGATGCTTGTGGGGTCAAATGACATCACTTTTGCCTCTCAATTCAAGATGTACACATGGTCATAGTTCCTATATATAATGAAGAATCTGGTTCAATAGAATATTCACGTGAAGTTTGTACAGAACATATGCTAATTATCACCATTTTAATTCTGAATATTCAAGGTTACATTACAGACATCTGAATCGAAATCACATCCAGAACCATGCCAGTAGTATATAGTCCATGCATGCAAATTTCGTATTCACGGGAACTGATTTGCAAACTACACTGATTGCAATTCCAATCCATCCCGATGGCTTATGAGTCAGTATGCATGGATGCTAAACTGTGCACATGGCTCTTAAGGGGGTTTTCACAGTGCTAAATCAGCACCCTTATTCCCTGCTTCCAGTTTGGCTGTTACAGAGCAGATTTGGTACCAGCAACTACCATACCTAGACTAACACAAGAGAGCCTACAGAATTCTTAACATACAGTATCAGTTTGGTGAAACCTTAATTCTTTGTGCAAATGCATTTCACTTTAGACAAGGGTCAAATTAAACCAACATACATGACAGGCAGAAGTGGCTTTATTTGTGCCAGCAAGAACAACACTGTTGACAGGAAATGCCTGTTTGGATAAAGAGGGCTGGGCAACTCACATCACCTGTCTTAGTTTTGAAACTGTTAATAGCTGAAGCTAAAACAAGCATTGGCACAAAAAACAACAAAGGCCAAAAAAAATGCAAACTTACAGTAGAGGCGCCACTAGTTCAAACAGTCCTCTTTATCATCGTCCTCCTCCATAATCCTCCAAATTAAGTACAACGTCTCCAAATAGCGATTAGCATCCTTGATTAGCAGTCTGTTTATGTAGCCATCAGCTTAATCCACGCTCCATTGGTTCTTGGGATGATAAGGCACCGCGGTGTATCGGCTCGAACTTTGAGTATCTATCTCAAACATTAGACTCTTTTAACAACTTTTAAACAACAAACCGTTACCGGAAGTGAAGTTTAGGCAGAACCGCAGTTTGAATGAAACTCGTAAAGTAGGAGGAGTCAAGGTGAACGTCATCAACAGTGCACCACTGATGTCATTACGTAAATTTAAAAAAATATAGAAATTTTCATTTTTATAAATTTAAAGTAAGACAAATCTACACACCTGTTTGTCTTTAAAGTTTTTTTTTTAATAAATTAGTAATTTCGTAGAAAAAATACTGCGCAAAGGAGGGTAATTCTACATGCTTGCTAGCCCCCTGACTACCACGACGCTTAAGTTAGCAGTATAGCATCTTTCACTTAAGTTGGGCTGTTAGAAAGGCTATGGAAACAGGATCACCTGCGACCTGATCTGGATAAGACTGAATAATTAAGCGATATAGTTCACGAATCACAGCTTGAGAACTTTTGTTCTCTGCGTTTAACACAATAAAAGGGCAATTTTGCTGCTATTTCTCTGTGTACACTGCATTGGACCAGGTCTTTATCCAGAACCATTACACCTAGGCTTCTTAAACCTGGAATAAGTTAAACCAGAGAAGGTAGTTGTCTTGAAAAACAGCTTAGGATTTATGGAACCGTTATTCTATTTATTGAAACAAAAAAAGTGATATTACTGCTGTTTTTTCTGTCTGGACCACATTGTACCAGCTTGTAATCCTATACCACTCAACCAAGACTTGTCAGAATTTAACTAGACTATCACAGATACACAGTGTCATATTTGTGATACCTGTATTCTTTTTGTGTAATTGTTAAAAATGGCAATTTTAAGGCTATTTTTATATCCACTCCAAATAGGACCAGATCTTGATCCAAAACCACAATACTTCAACTTCTTCGTCCTGATCTAAGTTATTCCGGAGTGGGTGCTGCATCTATAAAAGTAATTTTTGAGTTGTGTTTCTTCTTTCGTAGATGTGAAGATGAAAAAAAGAGTATTTCACATCTTTCTTTATCCAAATTATGGGTTTTTCTGGACAAGTAATGACTTTTTCTTTTTATGACATTTTTTCTTAATAAACCTGGAACTTTATTTTGAAGACACTGTACCCTCTATGGAATAATATGCAATAGATGAGAACGTATGTGTTGAGGTTTAGGATCTGGGCCAGAGCTGATGTTGTCTTAAGGTGAAAAAAAGCAGTGTAATCTCCATTTCTTTCATTTTCACAAAGAGAGTAAAGGTTTAACAAAACTCAGACTGTGTTTTAAAGAGACTGTAGACTCTATGACAGTCCAGTCTAGATCTTATAAGTCAAGATATGGTCGATATAGGACCTTGTTTCAATAACCTCCCCTGTAAGTGTCCCATCCTCCCACTATAGTTGCTCTTCCGCTTCCACTTCAGCCTGTGTGTTGTTGTTTCATTGGGGTCTTGAAACCGGTACAGTGGGGTCTGACAGCTGCAGTGTCTTCTGTAAACTATGAGTAATGCAAAGATATAGATCACAGTGCATGTGGGCAATTATTACCTGTTACATAATAGGAAAAGTCTCTGTTTTAAAGTGGCACAGACACAACAATGGCTGAGTCACCAGAGGAGAGCTGAACTAATTCTGTTAAGGGAAATGGCTTTAACACGTGCTGAAGCAGACACCCTTTCTGTGTCTAACTGCACGCATGAGAAGGACACTCCCTGCCAGGTTATAGAGGTGAGCTTATTATTACCCACCTGCCCAACTGGAGAAATAAATTTGTGGTGAGAGAGCGTGGGAGGAGACAGCTGATAAGGCAGAGAGGGCCATAAATCTCTGTTTTTCCTCCTCTCTTTAACATGTCCTGACAGCATGTACCCATATATATGACCTCATGTCTAGAAAGGTGCTTTCTGATCAGACTCATGGTTGTTTTTCACCTCCATCCCACGCCCTCTTCTTTATCCCCAGCCTGTCCATCTGTGTTCCCTGGTTTTGTTGTTTTTCCTCTCCCTCTAACACCTGGGGAAGCTGCAGGGGAAAATAAAAACCGCTGCCAGCATTCCAGCACATTCCTGCTCCAAATGCCCGGGCACAGCCGCACATCGCTGGCATTCCTGTATTTAAAGGTGCAGCTCCTTTTTTGTCTCTCCACCCCTCAGTCATTGAAATTTAGGAATGTGCATGGGGACTGTTTTTGATTCACAGATTCTAGGTGAATTTCACAGCTGAACTACAAGTGCATCCTGATACAGTGATGAAAGATGCAAATCAGTCATAAGTTCATTCAAACTGATGCAACAGGATATTTAAACCTTCCCACAGCAGCAACTATTTGAGTGGTCAAACAAAAAGCTTTATCTCTGCTTAAGCTTTTTATACTGGGTGCATATCTGTGACTGGATCTACCTAACTACTGACTAAATCTTAGATGTACAGACATAGGAAACTTCTCATTTTATTCGTTTCAACAGCCAGGACCAAAATAGACTCTACAACCAATCAGCAACCAAAGAAACTAGTGACGTCTCCTGGGAGGCTGCTGAGTTAGTGTCCTAATATCCAATTGACATAGCTTCCTTGGCTTGAAACACAAACACTATTTGCTGTCAGAGTTAGAATAGTTTGGGCTCTCTTGCAGAGAAAATATTTCAGATTTTGTTCCTGCACTTCTCTTTGGTTGAGGAAAGTTCAGCTGATAAATACAGAAACAGCCATTAACTGGTTTCACTGTTTACTACTATATCAATTGTTTTCACTCTGAGAAAATGGGCCCATACATTTAGAGACATACGTAGCCAGACAACATTAGCCATCCACTAGTCATCCATGGGGCATTTTGGGTAGGACAAGAATGATCAAAGAGTCATTCAAAATGGTAGGTCGTCTGTCTGTATAACCTGCTGCAAAAAAAAAAGTTGCAGTAAAAGGTGTTAGCCTGAATCCTAAAACATGATTGAAAGATGAGACAGGGTCCAAGGAGGCAAGATTTACTTTTTGCAGCACTCCTTGTCAGACTTGAGTCATGGCTGTCTATTAATAGAGACCAATACAGATGATCCATCTCACACGACAGCACACATTACTGAAAATCAGATTGTAGCTCTCATTCTACCTCACCATGGTTAGAAGAAAAGAAAAGAAACGTAAAAGAAATGTTCCAAAAATGACTTATTGACCCTGGAGTACCAAATCAGTGACTATATTTCCAAGAAGTCTTTCCTCTATGAGTGAGTATACATGTTCTTTCCCTCCTCTTCATGTGAATTCACCTGACAGGCGTCATCCAATCAGATGACAGTCACGCAGTTGGTGACATGTTTGTATCTATTTTGCATTTAGTGCCAATTTTTTACTCAATAACCAATGATATAAAAAAATGTAGTTGACAACACCAGTGTGTTTTGACTCAGCTGACAAGTCAGAAGTAATTTACACTTTAAGTCATAAAAATAAAATATCATCGAAGTAGCTCAAGTTTGAACAACCATCAACGAGCTACAGGTGCAGCTAATCAGACTGATGACTGCAGGTAACCGCATCACAAAATTTAACAGAGCACCATTTCTGCATATTTCATATATTGGCATAACAGTATTATACTTTTTAAAATAAGCCCTGTTGTATCTCTAAGTCATGTTTTCAGACCAAAGTGGTGTGGCAAACCAGTTTTATTTGAAAAATTAATTGAAAAGTCAAGATTTACAGCATACATTTTGTTACATCCATTTGATCTACACAGTGATACACTTGAAGGATTTGCTTTACTTAACGAATATGAGCTTCAAAACAGTTTGAAATACAAAAACAATAAGTATAGATATGCAATTAAAAATGTGATTTATTTTGATGAAAAAGAACCAACATACAGCCCAAGAGTATAGTAATGATTTTTTTTTCACTCTTTGATGTTATCAACTATTGTGCCTGGAGACAAATTAGATAAAATGAGGCTGCGGTTATGAGTCAATTTTAGCATCTGAAGCAGTTATCATTGAACATGCAATGTCATTACTTTAAAGGCCTTGAGTTGAAGAAAAGATTTCAAAATATTTTGCACATTTGGTGTCCATAAAAAAATCAACTGCCATTCAGGATATGATGACTTATATTTAGAAAGCTACACTTCTTATTTTCATGCGTTTGGTGCTTACGTGAGACAAAAAATGCTTTGGGGTGTTTTTTACACTGTGAAATTGACATTAGTATATTTAAGCACCACTGGCTTGTTAAGCAGTTGAATATTCACCTACATGTAAACATTAATGATTCAGATTTCAGTTGCTCGTTGAAAAAATCTCCCTGTTGTGTAATAACATAAAAACATTTCTCTGGTGTCACTATCTGCACGCACAGCATCCTACACAGTGAAATTCAAACATCCAAATAAGCTCAAAAGTAAAGCTTTAACACATTTAAGGCCGCAAGGCCTGCATTAAATGGAAGAAAAATGAGGTGAAATATGTGGGAGAGCTGTTTTGTTTACTATCTAGGAAGACCTCACAGTTCTATATGTACTTGTAGCGTGCAGAAGAAGTTGTAGTTTGCACTTAAAGAATTTTAAAAAACAGGAACCATCCTCTTTTTTTTCCAAACAACAAAACCACAAGATTCAAAAAAAGGAATAATTACTCAATCTAAGCTGCTGGCCCTCCCACCTCCACCCTTCTAGTTCCCCCAGAGGGATGCAAGTGCGTCAGAGGAGGGTTGGAAAAGAGGAGAAGTAAAGTCTTTTTGACTTTCAGGAAGGAAGCACATCTGGGGAATAAGGAAAGAGAGAACGGGTGAAAAGAGGAATTAGCATGGAGGAAGAGGAGCCGGCCAAAAATAGTCAGCCTCCGCTCGAGCCTGGCCCCGCTTGTGCCCTTACCACACCTCCTTCCACTCAGGCATTAGTCAGCCTTGACCTATCCCTCTGTGGGTGAATAACTTCTCTGCTAACCCCCCCTCGAGTCATGAACCTCACTTCCTCCCAGGTGTTTCAAGAAACCCTGTCTTTGCTTGCTTCTCTCCTCCAACAAACATGTTACCTCAATTACAAACTCTAGTATGCTGTGTGAAGGACATGTGCAAACAGCTAAAACAACATGGAATGATAGAAATGTGTAATCAAAGTTAAACTGTAATCTACAGGAAGATAACAGTAGCCATGTGATTGGAGTGCTAGTTATATCCACAGAGGAATATATAAATTCCTCTGGATAGAGATCCATCTTGAAAAACAGGAACTCTATCCACACAAATATGGTGAAACCAGATGTCAGGCCCTCTTCTGACCAGACTGGTTTCAGATAAATGGTCAGTCTTGGGCAGGTGTACAAAAAGCACAGTGGACTTCAGTCTCTGGTGGAGTGTGCTAGAGTAAACAGGAGGTAGTGGGCAGTGTTTTGCAATCGGTCGCCAGAGTTTCGATCTGCGACAGCAATGAAGAGAGCAGGAAGGAGACGTGCAAACATGCAGATTACCAAGTAAAGGGCGTACGTGTATGACAGCATGTTAATAATACGAATGAGAGGCTTCTGACAGGAACCTGCTAAAGTTTCATCCAGGCTGTAAATCACAAACAAGTGTGACATCTCTACTGTGAATGTGTTTTTATGATGTTTAAGAATTTCTGATAGTCAAAAAGCACAATTATGAATGTTTACCAGTAGATCACAGGTGTCTCTTATGAAATTGGACAGGTATTTTTTAAACCAAGCCATAATATCATATTTTTCAAGTATCACTAAAATCATACGCTGGCGTTGTTTATTAATAAATCTTTTTTTCATTAGAACGATTGTATACAGCACCTGTCCAGGCTGTCTAAATATAAAGAACTGAGCTGTCTGTCTAGCTGTTTGTCAACTAGAGCCATCCAGTGGTGGTTCAAGGTAGTTGTAATAAATACAGAGGAAAAACAATGAAACTGTCAACAGAGATACTATCCACATAAATGTAAAATAAGACTACTTTGAAAATACTTATTTGAATTTATTACTGGTCTGTGAATCATTTATTTGTTTACCATTATTTAGCTTGAAATGGGGAACAAATATTGAATTATAAAGTAAAAAATGTTGTTTCTTCATGAAAGGCAGATGTTTGTTCAAAATTTAGAGCTAGTTTCATGTTTCAAAAAGTTGGTGTAGGGGCATGTTTACCATTGCTTTGCATCAGCAACATTGTACATGTCTGGGAACAGAGGAGTCCAGTTTCAGGAATTTCGAACGTGAAATGTCCCATTCTTTTTAGATGTGGGATCTCAGCCCCGTATTCTTATTTTCATAAAGCATCAAATGTTTTCAATAGTTAGCAAGCATAGACTGTAGGCCACTTAAACACCTGGACCCTTCTACTTCAGAGCCATGCAGCTGTAAAATTTGCAGAATGTCTTTTGCACTGTCTTTCAAGATCTTTCTTTAAAAAAAAAGAAAAAAAAAAAGGATTGTCTAGATGGCAGAATATGTTGCTCCAAAACCTATACTGTATTGCTCAGCATAAATGGAACCTTCACAGTTTGGTAAGCATGCCAATAACGTCACAGATGCTGGCTTTTGCTGGAGAGATGAACAGGGTCCATAGACTGTTTTTTTTTTTCTTTAAGTGAGTTTATGCAGTGATTACCAATACAGAGTCATATCTGTTTTTAATACATTTTCTCATGAGGGCGTAAAGATCACATCCATCCAGTATTGGTTTTGGTCCTGTCTTTTTTGCACAGAGGAACTATCCAGATTCTATGGATCTTTTGTAATGGTGTTAGATAGGCCACTGTAGATACTGAAACCCCAGATTCATTACCTGAGGAACTTTATACTAAAAATGAGACTGCATAAGCAAATAGATTACCTGAGTGTTACCTCTGGGAGACTCCGCCTCTATGGGGTGTCCTCACTAACCTGCTGCAAATCAACCTAATTAGATGAGAGATGTTCCTCCAGGTGTTCTTTTTTTAGAATTACATAACCTTTTCAGTGTTTCATTGTTCCTGTGCCAATTTTTTTTTTTGATATTTGATGCTGGTATTAGAGTCACCCTATGTATGAGATTCTAATTTTAATGAAAATAAATTCTTTCAGTCTCAGCAATTGATGTGGTGTTCTCAATCAAATGTAGGCTATGGTGTGAATAATAACAAACCATCAAAATTTCACATTTTATTGTCCCATCCATTTATTTAATGTAGAAATGTAGTTTTTATTTAGCACAAAAGACTACCCCATATGCCTGGTCTTTCATTTTAGGCTTTTTTGTGATCTGATATCGCTTGTTCTGGCTGCTCAAGTTCCGTGTTTTGAATGTTGTTCTTGAGTAAAAGTATTTTAAGAAACACAATTTTTGTCAGAAAGTAAGGCAGATTTATTAAATGGTTTACGGTAAAATATTGTATTTTGAATCATTTGTAAATAAAAACGTGAAATGGCATAATCTTAAAGTCAGAAGTCCCACAGCATTTCAGCTAGCGTGACGATTAGAGCTTATAAACACAAAAGCCTCTGTTATAATGTTTTTGCGATATTTAGGCTGCCACGGCCAGACAAGCTGACCCGAAACATAATCCGTCTCCATGGAAACGCTCTTAATACGGAAGCTCGCTTGGATAACAAGGGGTTGAAACGCGAAGGGGGGAAGGAGCAGTAGGCAGAGGCCGTGGCTGGACAATGACTGACGTGGAAAGTGTCTGGGAGTGAGTCACCAACTTCGCCGAGGAAAAACAGACTTAAAAGGGAAAGTTTTTGCTTGTTTTTAAGCTGCTGTGAGTGTTTTTCTACTGCAGCAGGATGAGTCTAGATAAAGCGGAGCTGTGTGATTCCCTGTTAACCTGGGTAAGTTTGATGTTAGCTTGGAGCTTGGCTAACCGCCGGCTAACAGGTGCCAGCAGGTGTTTGTCAATTGGGGTGACACACTGTTCAGTTAAACCTTTAAAGCTAAGACCTCTCCAATAGAGGCTTTATTAGCTCATGAATTTAACGTGTACGCAGCTGGCAGGTAGAAAGTTGTGCGTTTGGAAGCTAACTTTAGCTAGCAAGGTGAGCTAACTAGGTGTGGAAACATAGTAAGTTTGCTCACTTTGGTCTGTTTTATCTCTAACTGTTTCCAAACTAACTGCGGTGTCAGCTGAAGATTACAACTTAAAAACAAACTCAAATAGCTCAGTGTGAGTAGTGTAAAGTTATCTCAGGCTATCTAAGGTTTAAGTCATTTTTAAAGCACAGAGGAAAGCCACCTGTTTGGTACTTTCACACAGCAGCAAGTGTGCGACACTCTGAAGTAGGTCTGTAATCCCCCACAGTCATTTAAGTGATGTTTACAAAGACTGGGTGACATGAGACTAAACAGCATTTTATGAATAGCACCCACCTTACTTGTAGGTACTGTTAAGAGTGTCCTAAAAGTCACCTTCTTAGTTCTTTTCTCTCTTTACCCAGAGGCATTAAGGGGTTCAGGAGTAAAATGTAACTGCCCCTGTCTAGAAATCTTTTCAGCTCTGAAAAAAACTTTATATATAATTCCTGGATCATATCAGAGCTCAATGCAATCTTCCAGCAAGCTGAGTATAACTCTAAATGAGAAGTCTAAAGGTAGTACGAGGAGTAGTTTTATTTATAATACGTTAAATTAAAACAAGTTTAATTCTTATTTTGATGCAACTGCTTTTTGTCTCTGTAAACCCAGTCCCAAAAACACTGGGTGCCTTGAGTCAAAACAGTGTTTTATGAATAACACCCACCTTACTTGTAGGTGGTGTTAAGGGTATTTTAAAAGTCACCTTTTTATTTATTTTATTTTTTTTCCTTTACCCAGAGGTATTAAGGCAGTGGTTCTCAAGTCCAGTCCTCGAGCCCCCCTCTGTCCTGCATGTTTTGGATGTTCCCCTGCTCCAACACACCTGATTCAAATGATCAGCTCGTTATCAAGCTCTGTAATGGCTTAATAACGAGCTGATTATTTGAATCAGGTGTGTTGGAGCAGGAAAACATCCAAAACATGCAGGACAGTGGGGGCTCAACACTTGATTGAGAACTACTATATTAAGGGGTTCTGGAGTAAAATGCAAGTGCCCCTGCCTAGAAATCTTTTCAGCTCTACAAAAACGTGATGAACAATTCCTAGATGATATCGAAGCTCAGTGCAATCTTCCAGCAATCTGAGTATAACACTAACTGAGAAGCCCAGAGGTAGTATTAGGAATAGTTGTTTCATTTATAATACATTACATTAAAACAAGTTTAATTTATTTTGATGCAACTGCTTTTTGTCTCTGTAAACCCAGTCCCAAAAACACAGGGTGCCTTGAGTAAAATGTTGATACAGACAGGTTTTCCTAAAAGTGGTGCAAAGAGAACATATCAAAAGTTAAAACTGAAAAATGTATTGTTTTATGCAAAGTATATGTCTGTTTAAATTCTTGTGTCAGCAACATATTTCAGAAAAGTGCGGACAGAGACAGTAAAAAGTTGTGTGAATGTCTCACAACTAATAAGAATAGTTTGCAATAGGTGAGAAACATCATGAGGTGTAAAAAAAAAAAGGACCTCCTGGAGAAGCTGAGTCCCTTTTTATAAGTAACAATGGGAAGAGGTTCACCACTCTGTGAGAGAGTGAGCAAACACTCAAACTATTTCAGATTGTTGACAAGGCTGAAAATCAATGATGGCTGTGATCTTCGACCCCTGGGTGGCACTGCATTCCAGACATGACTGTTGTGGAAATCACAACATTGACTAAAATCACGTCAAAAACAAATATCTGTGTGTGAACACAGTTTGTGGCTGCATTAACAAATGTAGGTTAAAAAAAGGAACACCTGCAACCTCTCTATGCCTAAACTTTTGTAGCCCTTTAATGCCTGACACCACAAATTATGGCCAGAAAATTCAAATTTGTTTGGAGCTGAAATGTTTATTTAACTTACCACTGAAACCAAAAATATCTAAATATCATTAAAATTAACAAATGTATTTATTTATCTCGTCTGATACATTAGATGATTTTGGAATCTAATGAACTACAAGAGGACATTTTTTAATTATTTATCCGACTGTATTCAGGTGGGGTTTTTTTGGGGTAATTTGTTGATCATATTGATTTGATAGAAGTATATGAAAGTATGTATCAAATATGATACAAAAGGCATTAGAGGGTGAAGAAGGACTAAGTGAGGGAGTTTGACATTCTTTTTGGAAAATCAGAGATGCTATACCCTTCAACTCTGCCCTTTTGTTACTGGTATCAAACTGAAAATGAGCATAGGTGTGTTATGCTATGATTACATTTTTTACATTCAACAACTGATATGTTTTTGCTCTTGTAGGATTTTGTTTGGTTTGCAAACTGTTTTAAAATCAGTTTTGATGAATATTTTACATAGCAGCCTGATTTTTTTGGATTGCAGAATGTCTTTACAGTATCAAGTTTCAAATATTTTACTGTCTCACAATCTGACTTTCTTTTACTGTCTTCACTTGCAGTTACAGACATTTCAGGTGCCATCATGCAACAGCAAGCGTGATCTTACAAGTGGAGTGGCCATTGCACATGTGCTGCATAGAATGTAAGAACATTTGTACCACATTCTCAGTTTAAATAAACTGCTTTGCACATTTACGACTGTTTTACAAGTATTTTGTGGTATTGCTGTGTATCACTGACCAGCGTGCACCAGTGGTTGAGCTGTTTAAGTACTTGCACCATAAACTCTTAGGAACTGCTGCTAGAGGTTTATTCAGAGCCTACTCGGTGAGTTTTGCTTATCTGTCCGATTTGCAAAAGGCCTTTTCCAATGCAAACTTGAATCAACAGAGTCTGGATTTGTGGTTCCCTATCTCAAAACATAGTTGGGATTTTTATGTGTAACTCCTGGTCTGGCTTGATATTTGTGGCCAACAGAAGTATAAGAAAAGTTATCTATTTGAAGGTCACTTTTTAAAAGAAAATCCAAAGCTCGACTGCATCTCGAGATACAACCAGAACACCAAGCCCACATGTGACTCTAATGAACTGTTCTCCTCAAATGTCATCGGTTAGATGAATAGGAGTACAGGACATTACTGCCCTGTGGCCCGCTGTGAGTCTTGATGTCCAGAGATTGGCCGTCCTTGTCGTCACTCGAGTTCTCTTGTGCTCTCATTAACAGAGACCCCTCTTGGTTTAATGAGACATGGCTGGGCAGGATCAAGGAGGAGAGCGAGGCCAACTGGCGCCTGAAGGTAATTTGTGAAACAGCTGGATATGACAGATTCCCCTGCAGTCACCAAGAATGACAGAGATGTCTAATTTACATCTCCTTATTAAAGGAGAGATCATGATATTAACTCTGGTCTCGTTTATTCCTTCAGGTCAGCAACTTGAAAAAGATCCTGAAGAGCATGCTGGAGTATTATCATGATGTAAGAACACTTTTATTCGGCTTTGCCTCTTCTAGTTTGCTCGTAAACCTGATAAACACTAAAGCCCACCTTACTATCATGGACAGGTTCTCGGTCACCAGGTATCGGATGCCCACTTGCCGGATGTGAACCTCATAGGAGAGATGAACGATGTCACTGAATTGGGAAAGCTGGTACAGCTGGTGTTGGGCTGTGCCGTCAGCTGTGAGAAGAAACAAGGTAAACAGAGCGCTGTTACAGTAAGGATAGAGGCGGATGCAGCCATTTGTGAAAATATCTCACAGGATTAACTCAGAGTCAAGTCACATGATTTACTGATCTGATGTTTTCCCACATTTGGAGGGATGGTTTGGATTTATTGAAGTGGGGTTTCTAAGTTACTCCAGGAGCACCAACACAGGAGCTGAGCTTTGAAGATCTGAGGCTGTGGTGAAGTTCAGATGGTGTTATGCTGGGAGTGTTGATGTCTGTGGTCAGATGAACTAGCCACAGCTCTATAAGAGCCAGTATCACTCAGCAGTACACAAAGTCTTGGACACAGTTTGTTTGAACAATCTGAAAACACACAAACACTTTTGAACTTTTTTTAAACATCAGGTTTTTGGCTTTGCTTTGCTTGGATAGAACCATTGTAAGTATGGCTAATGGCTCTCTGCTTGTTGAAAAGTCACCAAAACCGAAATTCCCTCCTGATGGGAACCGACATCTGGAGTTTAGAGTGCAGAGAGTAGAGATCTTTATATAAAGCTGTGGTTTCAACCCCCTTTCCCCTACTCAAAACAATCTATTGAAGGAGAAAACAGCAAAGCATTCCCTTTCGACAGTACAGTTTTACAACTATTATGTTATTAAATGTTGATGCTTATCCAATCAGATCTTACAAATTTAGTTTTCATCAATTTGGCACCACCTATGGACATAGTAGTCTTTGCTTATCTTGTCTTTCACCATTAAGAAGAGTCGCCTGACAAAAAACTCATTCTGTTGGCTTTTGATTGTCAGCTGTGTGGTTTGTTTTGAATATATTACATGGAAGTTGTAAAAACAGGGTTGTTAATAAGTCATTTTTCTGACACCCACACCTTCATATTGGTTTCAGATATTAAGAATTACAACATCAGCTGATCAGCAGACTGATAACTCTGATCATCTTGTTTACTTTTGTCTATCATTAAATGGCATCACTATGAGTTTCAGTCTATTTCATAAATGTTAAAAAACTTGTGACTTTACTATCGTCAATGACAGTTGTATTGACTTGTCTACTCTTAGACACCCAATACAACATTTTACTGTCTAAAATCTAAAATTAGCTTCCTTGTCTGTGTTTCAGTCAGTCTCTTCTAACAGGCCTAAAATTAATCTGCCCTGTGTTGTAAATTAACTTTATCTTATCATTACCTTGTAGGACCCTACTTTAAAAGATCTGAACTATCCCTTTAAGAGTGTTAAATGTAACATTTCAGAGTAAAACCTGCTCATTTGTTATTTAATCTGTACTTTGAAGAGCTGAGGGAGGGTGTCTGAAAATAATGTCAGCTGCTGTTTGATATGTGGGAGACTATTCGTGTTAATCTGTGTTTGGCTGCACCTTCACTCCTTTGTGTTGTCGTCTCCTAATCACAGAGCAAATCCAGCAGATAATGACACTTGAGGAATCTGTCCAGCACGTTGTGATGACAGCCATTCAGGAGGTGAGTGAGCCCGGCACTTATCCTCCTGCTTCCCTCTTCTCTGCATTAATCCCAGCTCTTAGTCACGCTTAATTCACTATCAAAGGAACACGGGTTGGCACAACACTGAACGCAGTCCCAGAAACCCTATTATGAGGTATTTCAGGGATGTGTTTAGTGTGCCATTGGCGCTCAGAGGTGTGTTGAAATGTGGCACTATTAGGTGGGAAAACAACCTGTTCCAGAAAAGTTATTTAGAAACCTAATAAACCTGTTTTTCTTGGGCCAGGCTCTTGTATTTGTCCTGTAATTTGAGCTTTTCATTGACTTTCTTGTCATTTCTTTGTTGAAGCTTTTATCAAAGGAGCCTTCATCTGAACCAGGAAGCCCAGAGACCTACGGGGACTTTGACTACCAGGTGAAACTCATTCTGGTTTCTTTAGTTTTTACTGTATTCAGCAGATCTGTTTGTATTCTTTTTTTAACTCTTTCTGCATGAAACTAGTATCACATCTCTTTTGTCTCATTTCTCTGTTGGTTCTGTGTTTGCAGTCAAGGAAGTATTACTTTCTGAGTGAGGAGGCAGATGAGAAAGAGGACCTGAGCCATCGCTGTCGAGACCTAGAGCATCAGGTCTGTACTGAGAATGGTGTCAAGGTTTCACCTCAGATCCTTAAAGTCTGAGTCCTTTTGGTTTCAGCTCTGGCTGAGTTGGAGACACATGATGTAACTGTTGGTCGTATCAAGTTTATTTTCATACTGCAGGATTCAGCATTTTAGGTTCTGAAAACATTCCTTTCACAGAGACAAACAACCAGCAAAAGAAATGTTTTGTTTTCGGTTCTGCTCTTTTAAACTCAGAACTTAATTTGTCATGACTCTGCGAAGATGCTGTACTTAAAAAGTTGCGCTTTTAAACAAGTTATGATTATACCTAACTTTTTGTTTCCTTCATGGAGAAGTAAACTTTCAGAGAAAAAACTCAAAACAAACTTTTACCTCAACTTTGTGGTGATAAGAGAAGAATGCTGTTCGGAGTTGGACACTCTGCAGAGCCTAGCTGCTGTTGGGAAAAAATGCACTGTAAAACTCGTACAGAGCTGCAGCTGGATGGTTCTACTTTACTATATTTCTGTTGTAGTGAAATAAAAAAACATCTCCTCTGGTTCTCCAGTGATCTTCTCGCATGTGCAGCTGAGGCAGAGTAACTTCAGCTGAATACTTGCAGCTGGGTAGCACTTAGCTTGGAGCGAAAGTTTAAAGCATGTGGATAAACCCTGGCTCTCCCTACGTGTATACGGGCACTGTGCTTTCCATCTTTGTTCCTTTCACGTCATACAAGCTGCAATGGGGAAAATGGTTCCACTAATGTTTGCTGCTTTTTAGCAGGTGTTTCTAATAGTCCTGTGCATCTCAAAGTGAGACACGTTTCTCCCACCGCATGCTTCAAACAACTGGGTGTGCTGCCTTTAGCTGCAGCAGCCATTCAACAAACTTTGCAGGGGACTTTTTTAATCTTGATTCCACCAAACCAGTTTCAAATGACAGACAGTACTTTGGCACTTTGTTATTTTTGGGAGCAGATTTTTCTCTAGCTCTTGCAGCCATATTGTTGTTTATTGTGTTCCTGAAGGAAGTAAACAAGAGAGAGGGTTTCAGCTTTGCAAGTCAGAGGGGTGCAGCAGAAGAAGTTTGAAGAGAATATCTACAGATTTTCCTTTTTAAAAAGTTATTCTAAACCACAAATACAAATAATATAATACATCTTATTTATCTCTCTGCATTGATTCACGCATTTTCAACCAAATTAGCACTCTCAGCACTGTGCTTTGTTGTGATACATCGCTATATGTGCTGCAGACAGTTCTGAGAGCATTAAAACAAATGCAGAAAAGATTTACTCAGATACACAAAAACTTTTTATATCTCCCAAGTCTAATTTATGTCTCCCAAGTTTGGGTCAATAATTGCTCTTTTTCCACCATACACTGAACTTCCACAAATTGGTTTAATAATGTATGTGGCACAATTAGTCTTTAATTTAAAGACGGAAGAAGTGGAGAGTGTTCCTTTAGCTGTGAAAGAAAAAGCCCAAAATGTGATAGGTTTTGTTCAATGAAGTGTTTTTGAAGGCCAAAATTACTGCTAGTGCTTTTTTCTTTGACAATTCACATAATGAGACACCATGTACTTTGCACCTAAGGGTGTAGTTGCTAGAGGATAAGCCCTAGCATTAGCAGATATTAAATCCAGTCGTGATAAAGTGTCTGTAGAGTGTAAAGTTCACGTCAGGTCAGATGTCAAGCAGATGAACTTACAAACAGTAACATTAGATTACATGATGTTCTTGCAATGACAGGGAGCTTATGTCCATACTGTTTCTTGAAACCACTTTGAGTGTAGCGAGGGAAGATAACTCTGGTACAACAAGAGGAGTGGATTCCACCAGTACAATAAAAACTCCTACAAAGAGCAGTTATTTTTGGAAGAAAATACACTGAATGACCTTTTTTTTTGTGAGAATCATGAACAGGATCAAAGCAGGTTTGAGTCGATGAAATGATGAAGATTGTAACCTAAAGATGAGAAACTGGGCCATGGCTCTGTTTAAGCTCCTATTAGTCAAACAGATCAGTTGCTACTATAACATAAAACCATTTCAGCCTTTTATAAACCTGACTTTCAGATATTTTCTGGCCTAGTTTTGCTGCTCTGTATGTGCTGGATGTTGAAAGTGTGTGCCTGCTGCTTTCCATGCCCTGGCCCTTATTGATCAGCCCGCCTGAGACTTTGTTTGTGTTCCCTTGGCTTGTTTTTGCACCGCCAACTGAGACAGGACTAATTTAGTATTTTCAAAAGATACAAACCAGTCGATAGTTGCATAACATCAAGATAAAACTGACACATTGCCTTGGGATGGAGCGGTAGCCAACAATAATTTGTACTGCTCTCAGCCCACTTGTTTGTTTACTTACCAAGCCCACGCGTTAGGGATTAGTCATTTGTGTTGTTTTGAAAGCGATTTACTGTCATGGTCCTGTGCTAAAGCATGCAATCTGTCCTTAAGTTCAGTGTAGGGTTTTGCTGTATTCAAACTGGAAAGATGTCCACTGGGTAAGTTTCAAGTCCCCTGTTTTTTTTTTTTTTCTGTGACACCAGCTCGTCTCACTGTAACCCCAGCCTGATTAAAACACGAACATTTTGTGCTCACCTCTAAGCTGCAGTCTGTTGAACCATCCAGCTTCATCTGCCTGAAGTCAGAACATTTCTCCTCTTTTAGCCGTAACAGAGTAACTCTATGATCCAAAGTCCTCATTGAGCTGTGCATATTCTCCTATTTATATCCTCAAAATCTGGTTTTGACCTTGAGGCTAATGCTAACAACTTCTCTATTGAGAGAGGCCCATTCGCCTGAGACCATTTACACCAGCTGACTAACTTATATTTGAGAACTGAGCATGTGAAACAAGGACTAAGCATGTATTAGGAGTCGTCTAAGCATGAGGAATGGTACGTGTGTCGCTGCATCTCTGTGCTTTATTTCTGTGAGTTTGTTTTTATCAGCAGAAGGAGTAAACTTTTCTTCTCTTTTTCCAAAACCAAGTTTCTCCTTTTTTACTTTTTAACAGCTGCAGTTCATCCACTCATCTCCGGTCTGTTCTCCTTTTCAGCAAATTCTCCTCCTGTTCATTTTCTCTCTCACTGTTTGTCCTCTGTTCTTTTCTTTCGTCCCCCCTGCAGTTGTCGTTGGCTCTGGAGGAAAAGTCGTCCCTGCAGGCAGAGACTCGCTCCCTGAAGGAGAAGCTGAGTCGCTTCGACGCCTCCACCACAGCCATCACGGGCAAAAAGCTGCTGCTGCTGCAGAGTCAGATGGAGCAGCTGCAGGAGGAGAACTACAGGTACATGAAGTAAACACAGAGTGAGGCATTCTGACATTTTTGAAGTCTGTGTTTATGCACCAGGAAAATAACTAACAACAACTTTACTATGGAGAATCTTCAATAGGTTTGAAACAAAATTAGATAAATTCTGATGACCCTATATGACCTTCGTGGGCAAGCAAGACCATTAATGTTAAGGTCAGGAGGTCTGAAGGCTTTGGAAAAACTGTTTTTTTAAAGGCCTGCTGCATTTTTGTTTTTTGTCAGTTATTTAAAGAATTGAGAATTCAGCATTGTCTAGACGTAATACGTGCAAACTGAAATGTTTCAGCAATTTTCTACAACCCCACTTCCAAAAGAGCTTGAGATGGACACTTTGTCAAATGTGAAGAAGTATTAATGCTCAGACTTTAGTTAGGTATTGTAAATTATTATTTTGATTGATCTGAGGTACTGGATTCTAGATTTTTCCTGAGCTGTAGGCCAAAGTTATCCAAATTTTAAGATGTAATCAAAAGATAATTTAAACCATCATCTTTTTGTAATCATTATTATTATAACTATTACTTTGATTTATTGTTTTAAATACTTTTTTTTCTTTTGAGTTCTGTTAATACTGTCTGTATAGCTGTGTGGTTTGATGTCTTACATCCTTAAAATCATACCACAGTGTCTGTAGTCACGTTACTCTGCCGGGTCCAGTCTGAGACAAGGGGTAGAACTCAAACCCTGAGCCGACTGGAGCTGCCAGTGTCCAATAAAATGCTCTGTCTGTTGTCTGCCCAGAATTTAGCTCTGGTGGGGATGACGCAGACCAAAAAAGTAAACACCACAGTTAAACAGTTTTCGTGTGATGCCACCAAACCGTTTCAACACGTGGAGTACTGTCCTGTTACTGAATATTCTCTCTCTCTCTTTTATGGTTCATAAAAATAGAGAGGGCAACAAGTGCCTAAACAAAGTGTATGTTGATAACACACAGATTTACTGAGCTCATTCTTCACTACGAGGCATCTCATCCCCTCAGCTCAAATCTGTAAAAAGTAGCCCTGTTTTAGGCCCTTTTTCTCCTTAAACAGGACACCGCAGATAAGTTCTGTCTGGAGGATCTGAAGGGTCTGGTGGTGCTGTAAAAGTTGAGAAGCTCTGAGATGTATGTTACACTCAAGCTTATAAAGATCACAAGACTTGTATGTGAGTTTTGAATCGAACAGGGCGCCACTGTGAGGGATAAAGACAGGAATGATGTTTGTGATGTTTCTATGACCTTGTTAATAACCCGGCTGCAGCAGAATTCTCCTCTCTGATCACAGAGGGTAATGTCAAGACTGAAGTTTTTTTTTCCTGGAATTTCACAATGTGTTCTTAAAGTTGACCGAGTCACTCTCTGGTTTCATGTAACTCTCAGACTGGAGAACAGCAGAGACGACATGCGTGTGCGCGGAGAGATCCTGGAGCGAGAGGTGACAGAGCTGCAGCAGCGTAACGAGGAGCTGACCAGCCTCGCTCAGGAGGCCCAGAACCTGAAAGACGAGATGGACATACTCAGGTGAGACCGGAGTCAGTTTCCCTCTGAAGTCTAACTCACTGTGTGGAGGCCTTCACACCAACAACCTGACAGTTTGTACTCAGCAAACTGAAGAAAGTCACGCTCTGTGGGCGTTGAGTCACATGGACACAGAGAGTTTAGTGTTTTCTACTGTCCAACAGAGAATTTCAGATTATGCAGCGACAAACAAGGGAAGACTGAAAACATTGAGGGCTTTTTTAAAATAAAGTTTAGTCACCATCAACACTTCCTCCTACATGTTAGGAATCTCTCTGGGAAAATACTAAACACTGTAAATTCTGTTTTTTGTCGCCGAGTTGAAAAACCACAAGAGTCAAGACTGATCTGATCAGGCGTGTTTGGACTTTACCCCAAAATGACGAACTAAGTGGTTTCTGTTCACACATACAGCTCACCGGGGTCATTTCAGGAACTTTTCAAAAACTTTGTGCGTCTCTGAAAAAGGACTCAAGTGGGATGTGTGTCGTAATATTAAAATCTCAGCAAATTCTGAAACCAGTTAAACATACAGCTGTGACAGTTTGACTTGAGTCTATGTGTCTTATTTCTATATTTGATAGAAGTCGGTTTTCACAAAACCTTAAAATTCACCAAAATCAGCCCCACAGCTGGACAAGTTTCCCCTTTTTTTTATAACCTCATACATGAGCTATTTAGCTTCTTATTCCACCCCCTGTATGTTTGTAATGTTATAAAACTCACTGTCACACATGTTGTCATCTTGGAATAGTTCCATACAGAAGCATGACTCCCTCCTGTTTGAGTAATGTTTGCTTAAGTGTGCGGAGTCTTTTCCTTTCAAAACAAAACCGTGCACATGGATGTTTGCATAGCTCGGAGCTGAGAGAAACAAACAGAAAGAGAAGTGTTTAGAGACAAACAGAAGCTTTGTTTTTGTTTTGTTTTTTTTTCCAGGGGGTTTTATTTACAGGATGAAAACTGTAGGATATCAGCAGCCTGTTCCTTTAAGCAGTAGTTCATCTATTATCAATTTCTCCTCACAGAAACAACTCCTACACTGCCCACACACAGACGTCCATTCAGCTCCTCTCTGACATCTGTGTTGTTAATGTGAATTTCATGCATTGACACTGGCTTGCGTCAGAGTTGTTTCAGTACTTAGGTACATTTCCACACGGATGTGTTTTGTTAAAAGTGATATTCCTGTTCTGGTACTCGACGCTGCCCACACTCTCCTCTCCTCCCCCTCAGGCACTCGTCAGACCGGGTGAACCAGCTCGAAGCGCTGGTAGAGACGTACAAAAGGAAACTGGAGGATCTGGGAGACCTGCGCAGACAGGTGCGCCTCCTAGAGGAGCGCAACACCGTGTACATGCAGCGCACCTGCGAGCTGGAGGAGGAGCTCCGCAGAGCCAACGCCGTCCGCAACCAGCTGGATACTTACAAGAGACAGGCAAGCTGAGAGGAGACGGGATGAGGGGGAGTGACACTTGATATTAACCACAGCCTGGCCTGTGCACGTGTGCAGAGAGTCTTGAATTCGATAAGAGAGCTGTTGCCAATGCAGACTGTTGCTATGCTCTCTGACTTGCAGGCCCACGAACTTCACACCAAGCACTCAGCAGAGGCCATGAAAGCAGAGAAATGGCAGTTTGAGTACAAGAACCTTCACGACAAGTTTGACGCACTGCTGAAGGAGAAAGAAGTGAGTCTGGAGAAGCACACAATACTTAGAAATGCTTTTACTGAGCTGCTTTATCAGGATCAGTTTGTATGAGCGCTGCCCTTCATCAGTCACACTACAGTCTATTAATAGACGCTCGGCGACCTCAGGAAAGCAAACTTATAGTGGCTGGAAAACTCATGTTAGGCCTCGTTTCCAAGAGTTAACAGAGGTAAAAAATTTAATGAATTTTACTAATGGAAACATTAATCTTCAGAAATATGCATTAAGGTCTTTAGTTTTTAGAATCGACTTAATAAAATCAGCCAGCGTTTAAATGAAAAGGTGGTGGGGCAACTCTGAAAAACAGCAACCCAGTTCCTCTCTCTCGAACCTACACTGATAAACTCGTGTCCATTTTACCAAAGTGCTGAAGTAGAGCAGGATAACAAGATCAAATTTATTGAACAACTGAAACGATTAAGGATCCGTCTTTATGTAACAGAGCTGACCTAACCAAATGTGAGACATATTTTTAAATTTTTTTAGATTTGATATTTTAGACCTCATCTTTAAGCATCTTGCCTTTTATAACACATGACATTTTTGGATGTGAGAGATGATGATAGCTGCCTTGTTTTGTTTTAAGTATCAAAATTAAAGAAGGGTGAATGAAAACTGAAGCCTAATTTTCCTTCTTGTCACGTGTTTTTTGTTTTTAAGCGTCTGATCTCTGAGAGAGACACACTCCGGGAGACAAACGACGAGCTCAGGTGTGCGCAGGTACAGCAGCGGTGTCTCAGTGGAGCTGGTGAGTCTGTTCAGATACATTATGTAGCTCCACATCATGTACACAATGTTCAGAATTTAATGCTGGCATCAAATTTAAAGTGAGAATACATTTTTAATAAAACTTTGAGACCCTTTAAGTCACAACTTTTGAAATGTTGTCTTTGCATTTAAACAATCAGATTTAAATTCTGTTTGAGTAGCTTTTTTAAAAACATACTTGTCATGACGTCGTAGAACACAATTCAGAAGTTGTGTAAATTTAGAGCTGGCTGTTAATTAACCTCGCACAGACCTGTACAGTCTCTGTATTAACACGGTGTGTGATGAGCAATTTAATTTTCTACAGATTAAAACTAGAACAAACTGTTTATAAAATGTGTAAAAGTAACCAGCTGACTCTTGACCCCCTCTCTGTCTCTGCAGGAGGTTTGTGCGACAGCGATGTCACAGTGGGAAATCTGGCGGCAGAGATCATGCCCACTGAGCTCAAGTACGTCTGCTGTTCTGTGTCATTTGTGTTTGTGGAGGTTTGTGTGTAGGTAGCAAACAAATGTAAGCATAGCAGATGAGATTTTCCTTCTAAATCTGTAACACGCAAGCATTAGTGTCACTATCAGGAGCCCACTCGTGCCCTATATTAATCTGCTGTGGTCGGGGGCGTAATTGTTCCCTGAAATAGCGACACATGTCAGAGCGGAGCATTTGTCTGGGGCGTTGTCGGGCAGAGGGCTCGGCCAACTGCCTCCACCAGCCGGTCTCTGACCCAGCTCATCTGTCCTCTGCTTCTCTTGGCCTCCTCTTCCCCCCTCTCCTCTCTGCAGGGAGACGGTGGTTCGTCTGCAGAGTGAAAATAAGATGCTGTGTGTCCAGGAGGAGGCCTTCAGGCAGAAACTGGTGGCGGTGCAGGCAGAGCTGGAGGAGGCTCAGCGCAGCAAGAACGCCCTGGAAACTCAGAACAGGTAGGCGTGTGTGTGTGTGTGTGTGTGTGTGTTTAACATGCAGTCCAACTGTCCAAGTGTGAAGTAATCATCCCCCTTCTAGGCCACCATATTGTGTGTTCCTGGACATTAGGCTGCTTGTTTGGCTGATGGGAGGAGTGATATCTGCCTAAATGTCAACTCACCCTCTGGACTGAGTGCTCAGCGGAGCTGTGTGGGCTGGACTGGCGTACGGACAGCACAGCGCCAGATTGTTCCTCGAGTGTGTGTGTGTATGTGCGCGTTTACATGGCTGTGGGCATGTGGACATGTGGGTGGACTGTGTGTGTGTGTGTGTGTGTGTGTGTGTCCATGCAACACCAGGCCCAGGGTGTGGGAAGCCTCCTCAGCAACAGTAACAGGAGGAGAGGAGTGGAGTGAGCATGCTCAGTGGAGTAGAGCTGTGAATGGCCAAGCGGCACGGGGACATGCACAACCGGCAGCAAATGTCCCCAAAATTCCCATAATGCTTTGCAAAAAAACCTCCACCCACAATTTAAACTTAATAACCCCATTTGAATCCTCATAATGAGCGTTTTTCTTTGATCGCTCAGCATTTGTCTTTTTACTTTCTTGGAGTAAGTTTTAAAGCTGCGCCTTTTACTCTGCTCTAGGGTTTGGCGATATGGAAAAAAGTTTATCATGATATATTTTTGTCATATCAGTTGATATCGATATATATCCTGGTGTAAAAAATGAAATTTAACAGTGCTTATTGGTGTCGGCTTCATGTGTTTAAGTGCTATGGTTGCGTGTAGCTGCAGCCTGCTGCTACCCAGTTGTTTGCTACTTGGTTCTAATTCAGCACATGATTGGTTCAGCGCGACGCTGACCCGGAGCAACCCCTTTTCATTGGCTATTCGTGTAGTCTACCAAAACATGGCAGAATGCCGACTATCAAAAAGCATATTGACCATGTTTTATAATGATATTGAGGGAAATTAATTTTCGATATATATCGTTATGATTTTATCAGCCCTACTCTGACCAACATCACAGTCTTGACAACAAGCTAATGTGCTTTAATGGAGAAGTTAATTCACGACTTCATTCAGGGCATATGTTGCACATGTTGTATTGAAAGATCGATGTTCAGAGGAAATAATTTCTTTGGTTTTAAGGTGAAATTTGATGTAATATTTACTCAATGAAACTAAATGTTAAAATAAGGGTTTATACCCCTGGATAGCATCATTTTTTGTTATCATTCACAGTCATGACTTTATAACAGACTAATAAAAAACAAACATGATGTCATCAGTTTTCTTTCTTTATATTTACTAATAAGCAGGAAAATCAAAATCAAACAGTGTTTCTTTTTTTTCTCTCTTTTTCAATCCAGGTATAATTCGCTCATTTGATTTTCAAAATAAAACCAAAAATGAAAAAAAAAGAAAACAAATTGTTTCCTAAATATTCCTCTCTAAAACAAAAATGTAAAAAAAAAAACAGAGCGGCTCATTTCGGATTTCTGTGTTTCTTCTGCTCAAATTAAAATAAGATAAATGGATAACAACCGTTTTATCTGATTTAGACTTTTTCGTCTGCAGAAAGTTTCGTGACCCGGAAGTGAACCTAACTCAGAACCAGAAATGGGCTGGACTCAAGAATTATTCAGAGCTCATACAACACTGTTTTTTTCAGGATGGCAAAAGCTGTGTGTCCATGGAAAATGAGCCGTTATCAATTTTTTCTTTTTCATTTTAAAGACGAATATTTAGAAAACAATTTGTTTCCTTGTTTTTTTATTTTTGGTTTTATTTTGAAATTTGAATGAATGAATGATACACAGATTTTTCTCTTCCCTAAATTTTCTTTTGTCTTTCTTTTTTTTTTTTTTTTTTTTTCTCCCAGATTAAACGAGCAGCAGATCTCAGACCTGCGTGCTCAGGTGGAGGAGCTCCAGAGGGCTCTGCAGGAGCAGGACAGCAAGACTGAAGATGTGAGTGAAGAGTTAAAAAAAAATATCATCTCCACTGTGCGTAAAATCCAAATGTTGCATGGCACACACTGAGTTCATTAAGACTTGTGATTTGAACACTCATCTGTCGAGGACTGCAGTGATTGTTCTCCTTCTTTGATACATGTTGTGTGGGAATTTAACCCATGTTTGCTGTGGTGATCACTGTTAACGCCTGCCCCTCTCTGTCTCTCTCCGCCTGCCCCCTCCCCCCGTCGCACAACTCTTCCAAAATCAGGCCATCGTAAGTACGGCCCCCACCTGCTGTCCCAGTGGCTCATGATTTTACTCTGACAGCTTGACTTTCGCAGCTTATACCCTTGTTTGTGTTTGCCTTTTAAGTAAGCCGCCACATGTTAGTTCAGTGCGTAATACGTAGACTTTATTTTCTTCTTTGCAGTCGTCTTTACTGAAGAAAAAGCTTGAGGAGCATCTGTAAGTACTCAGCTGCCTCTACTGATCACTGAACAGTTAAGGAAACCAGGAGAAACTACACAAACTGAAAACACAAACTCATCTCATGTTTTAGGGAGAAGCTCCATGAGGCCCACTCAGACCTCCAGAAGAAAAGAGAAGTCATTGATGACCTAGAGCCCAAAGCAGACGGCAACAGTACGCTGTTTTTTTAAATTAATGTACTTTTTAAAGCTCTTTTTGCTTTTTCTTCACCCTCACTCACTTATTTTTTCCCTTCACAGTGGCGAAGAAGATAGATGAACTCCAAGAGATCCTGCGCAAGAAGGACGAGGACATGAAGCAGATGGAGGAGCGATACAAGCGCTATGTGGAAAAGGCGAGAACGGTCAGTCCAGAAAAAAAAAAGACCATTCTGTCCGCAGCATGTGGCTCTAAGATAAAAATGTGATGGTATTTTTGTTCACAGTTGTAGCTGGAAATGTTCCGACACATCAAAAACAAGTTCATATGCTGTAGGGAGCACTGCGGTGTTTTCAAACGGTTCTAAGTGGCTCTGCGGAGTCTGGAAAGTTGTCTCAAAGGATGTCACAACATCGATGCTTAGATGGAGTTTGAAAATGAAACAAACTTCAACCTGTTTTCATCTTAAGTTCAAGAGAACGACATTCAGAAGCAAGAAAAAAAAAAACATGTCAAGTCCCATCTGTAAACGGTTGTGGTGCAGCCTCTCCTTTCAGTCTCTGAGGTTCGTAGTTCTGCATTTAGGCCAGTGCTGGTGCTCCACTTGTTGGCATGTGTATCATGGAGCCAGTTCCAGTAAATCGTTCATTATATATTCTAAACTTCTTCAGGTACAAGAAGGTGATGCAGATTTTCACAACATTCATTTATTGAAAAAATTCCTTCAGTGTGTCACACAAACTTAGAACCTCTCAAATGTTCCCATTTGTACCTGTGAACTCATACAGAAGCTTTGGCATCAAGTCTTCACTGAGATCACGTTTGTTTGGCTTTACTCTGCCGCAAGCCGACAAGTGAGCGTCGGTACCATCTACCATGTTGTACAACATGAGTAATACATGAGAAGTGCTTTTATGAATCACCAAGAGAAACTGTCATGTGGAGAGGACAAGAATGTACCACTCAGCTGGTTAGGAGTCACTGGTTTAGAGTTTGTGTACTTATCTGAATATTTTCCACATTGACATGTTTGTGTTATGATTTTTTTTCACAGTTGAAATTAGAACTCAAATGATTATGCACTTAAAAAAAAATTTAATTGGTTTTTGGAGAACAACTTCTGTAACAAGAGCATCTCCAAGTTTCCACATATTTGTTTTCTACAATTTGAAAGAGGAGCTCAATTCAACACATCAGATAGTTTTCTGTTTCTGTCATGGATGTTGGGAGTGCAACTGCATATCCAGAAAAACCACAAAAAACCTTTTCTTCCGGCTCACCGACATCTGATAAACTGCTTCAAATCATGACATTTGATTCAGCATCATCATCAGGGGCTGCAAGCAATTTAAAAATTAATCAAAATTAGACGAATGGAGTTCAGTGAGTTCAGCTCATTTACAGCCTCTTCCTCATCCCTCATAGCCCAATCTCTCTGATTTCCATTTCGGGTTAACCTTGAAAGTCTGAGCTGGAAATGACGTCACTCTGAGTTGACGGCAATTACAAGTTGATAACAAAGTCAGGAAGTTTCCCCTGTTATTGTTAGTTTAATGTTCGCTTTGCCCAGCAGTGACAACACACTACATGCTCGTTTGTGCATGAAAGCAACACGACAACATGTCCACAGATAAAACTTGGACAATACTATCAGCGTTATTGATTAAATGAAGCACAAAAGATAAAAGTGCTGACAAACACTGTTTAAAGTTCAGATGTTTTTCAGTTCATGCAGGAGGCAACTGTCTTGAATTTTGAGCTTCTTGACGTTTCTCCAACTTTCCGAGTTGATATTCTGGTTTAAGTGGGTGTTCATGTGACACATCGAGCAGGCATCTCAGAATTTCTGAGATCAAAGGGCTCACCATCTGACTGATCTGCGAGCAGTGTAGTTGAATTGTGGGTAATGGAGGCACCAGCTTATGGAGACAAAAAAGACTGAAATTTATCTGGCTTTGCAAAATGATTGAGGTGTGTTTCATCAAAAGTTAGGGTTAGAAGATTTACTCAAAGAAGTGATCTCAGGTAATGTCCTTCATGCCTGCAGGTGATCAAAACTCTGGATCCCAAGCAGCAGCCAGCGACTGTGTCTCCTGACGTCCAGGCTCTGAAGAACCAGCTGTCAGAGAAGGAGAGAAAGATCCAACATCTGGAGGTGAACATTTCCAACAGACAGATACAGTTGCTCATTTTTGTCATTTTAGTTAAAGTCATTTCACCCATGCTCAGTCATCGGTTTCATTTTCTGAACAGCACGACTACGAGAAGAGCAGAGCCAGACACGACCAGGAGGAGAAGCTCATCATTAGTGCCTGGTACAACATGGTGAGTGTGGAAATACATTCAGAAACACAGAGACGCTCTGAAGACAGTCGGTGATTTACAACTCGGAAAAATCGAGTTGGAGGAGTTTTGCCTTCTCTGTAGTAAAGCTGCTGCAGGCTTTGACTTCTCATTCTTTTCTCTTATTCCCTCTCTGCTTGTTCAGCCTTAGGTTTGGCTCTTCTGGCTTCCATCACTTGAAACAGAAAGAGAAAAAGAGTCTATGTCAAGAGGTTTTTTTACAGGAGTCTGAATTTGTAGTGTGGAAAATCGCATCTTTCTTAGACGTGTTTATCCAAGGCTCAGAAAAATGTCCCTGTTCCCTCATTCTCTCTCTCTCTCTCTCTCTCTCATATTTATATAGGATATACAAATAAAGATATTAATTCTGTATTTTGTTGCCTGTGAATGTAATGGTTGTCTCTGGACAGAGCGGGACTCTGCACCTGTATCATTTTTGTCCTCCTTCTTGTCTCAGGGGATGGCGTTACATCAGAAAGTGTCCGGCGAGCGGATGGGTCCCTCAAACCAGGCCATGTCCTTCCTGGCCCAGCAGAGACAGTCCACTAACGCTCGCAGAGGCCTCATACGACACCAGCCCAGATGAAAACAAACAGATGTGACCCCAGGACACATGAAAATCCAAGAGGGAGCTTCTCCTGATCTCCCTTTTTGCCTTTTTATATTATACCTCCACTGGATCTCTGCACTGTAGAGAAATCCTCATGCTGCTACTGCCCCCTGCTGGCTCCTAACGGAGGAGAGATGACGTGCTCATCTGTTTTAATGAACTCAGAGAAACGGAAAAGGACTGAGAAGAAAGAGCCTCAAAAAGAGACTGACTCACCTTTTAAGGTGATTTTTTTTTTGTTATTTTCTCTCAGACTCTCTTCTTTTTCTTTAAAATCTGTTTTAAACCTTTTTTTATCTTTTATGTTAAACTCTTAAGATAAAATGTGAATTAGTTTAGTCAGGGCTGCAGTTAGAGGAGATTTGAGGGGTTTCACACTCACCTTTTAGAGGAGCTAAAGAAGCTCCAGAAGCTGCTCGGGAACTGAAAGATGAGGTCTGATGCAGCCGTTCGTACATCTCATCGGTTTGTTTTCAGCTTTTGTTTTTGTCCTTTTTCTGTTTTGAGTGAGTTTGAGTTTTTCCTTTTGATCTGAAGGACTTTGTAAAGACCATGGAGGTGTGTTAATGGCTTTTCCCCTTTTTCTATTCACTTAGGTAAATTTCTCTTTAATCCTAATATTCGTAATAAGAATAATTTAAAGCTTCACTAGATACACCAAAGCACTTTCCTAGAGGGTGGGTTCATTCAGTGCCTCATAGAAATGATGATAGCAAACAAATACTCCCTCTTTGGATGAGATTGAACTCTGAGATAATTAGTGTCAACCCCCTTTATTCTGTCCCCTCTGACACAAGAAGCTTTAACTTAAAGGTACTCCCTTAATTTGCCTCTCAAATGTTAATTTTTCTCAAAACTTTTCTCATTTATTGCCTGGAAATTTGATCATTTCTGAGGATGTTTTGCTCCCTTTTCCCAAAGATATAAACAGGGTGTTTATCGGTAGGATTTAGTTGCACTCTCCACTTTTTACTCTAAAAATGATTAAATTATTAGAGTTAAAATGGAGTCAAACTGGAAATCTAAAGCCTCATAAATCTGTCTCTTAGACTGGAAATCAAATGCACGTTATGATTGAGTCTGTAGTGATGAAAACACTTTGAATCATGACTCAGTTCAAAGGCTGTCCTAATGCTGTTCGACTTTATTTTAATGAATCTGGGGGAAATAATTCTCTAATAAGCTGAAATCATGATCTTTAACAGGAAGTTGGGGGCGGATGAAAAAGTTGTGGCTGTTATAGAAGCGCACATATCAACACTACGTCTGCCTTTCTTCACCGCTAGTTAGTTTTTCATTTTCATCAGATTTGTAGTGCTTTTAAAACCTGTTTCAGAGCTGCTGTTTCATGACTTGTACTCTGTCCCTGTGGATATTTGTGCTCTCTTCTACTCAGACCAGACTCTTGCTGTTAAGTGTGGGGTTTTTTTATTTTTACTTCTGTCCATTATTTGTATCTTTGGTATTTGGTCACTTTTGTTTCTGCACATTTGCATGGTTTGAAGGGTTTCGTTTCAGGTTGTGTTTGTATCATAATGGTTTGGTAGATTATAGCACAGCGTACGTCACACAGGGATCTGAGGCAAGTTTAAGGTATGTAGTCCTGTCTGTTCTACTTTTGCACTACAAATAAATAGGATCTTAAGATAAAACGTGTTGGTCTGGAGTTTTATTTACTGGTACACTCAACTGGTGCAGAGGTCGGCCAGTTTTATACACAATACTCTACGGGATGAAAAACGAAATTCACCAAACCAAATCTCTCATTAAACTCTCCTGTAACACAGTCAACCCTAATCTGATTAAGGCTGACTCCAGACAGGCTTGTATAGTCTGGCTTTGTGTGCAGATAAGTGATCAATGTACAGAGACGGGAGCAATCTGTGATATATAGTCTCGGATTATGGATTGAAAAGCTCTGTTGCTCACCCCTCCCCATTTGAGTGACTGGCCTTTCGGGACAAATACTTATGATTATTCATTTCTACCAATTCTGTTCTGCTAAATGCTGCTTTAAAATTACAAACTGCACCTTTTAAGAATCCTTGATAAATGGATCAACTAAAGCAGTGGTTCTCAAGTCCAGTCCTCGAGGCCCACTGTCCTGCATGTTTTGGATGTTTCCCTGCTCCAACACACCTGATTCAAATGATCAGCTCGTTATCAAGCTCTGTAATGGCGAGGACTGGACTGGAGAACCACTGAACTAAAGGACGATTGGATGAGCCAGAGAGACGGGGAAGCTAAATCTCCATCCCCATCAACCGCAGAGTAAACACGACTGCAGCTATATGAAGAGTAAAGATGTGATCACTCAGAAGGGTATCACCAGGTTCAAAATATGAAGAGCATAATCTCTGCAGATACAAAACACAAGATTAGAAATGGTAAAACAGAATATTTAAGCCTTATTGATTTCCTTCTCATTAACAGTATGTCAAAAACTGGTCTGTCCTCAGATGATTTCTGTCTCTTCACTGTCTGCAGTTTGAAAATAAGGAAAAGTGAACCATTTTGAGTGTAACTATGATAATAACACAAGAGTGAATACTCACATTAATTTGAATTTTATTGGAGTACAATGTTTTTGTATTAGGATGACTCCATATGAAGCAGTTCGTATCAGTCCAAAACATGAAACAGTAATCCTCAGAGTGAGCACTGACCCAGGTTTTATCACCTCATCCCGTCTTGTGGACAAACTTTTTCACTCTGCCACGGTCTAAAGGCCAATCTGATGAGTCAAACTTCTCACATATTCAGCCTGATCATTTTGTGTGAAACGGTGAAAGCATTGTTTTTCTGTCGCATCCCTCTCAGCAAGCATGTATCTGATGATTTGAGAAAACGGCGTAACAAAATCTACTGTACCAACACCGAAAAGATCATGTGAAAAAATGACTGCTGTGAGGGAAAAAAAACAAAGATTTTTCACTTAAGTGTTTGAACTTTTGATAAGTTAGCAGCCATCTTTTTTCTCAAACATCCAAGTAAAGTGTATCCATCAAATCTAAAAAACTGAAATGTGTAATCTATTGGACATTTTTGCTGTTAACAAAATATAAACCATACAGTCCAAAAACAGAAAAGGAAGAAAGAGAGAGTTACAGTCAACTTGATGGGTACTTACCCTCCAGATATGAAAAATAGAAAAGTAAAATTACTGATGTTTTTTTGTAGGAAGAAGCTTCAAGTATCGAGTAAGCAGACAAGGTGCTGTTGGGAATGAAAACTGTTGATCAAACAAGAAAAGAAATAAGAAATTCTCATCAATGTGCAAACCTGGGGCATAAATCAGCTGTAGGTGGATTTATAAGTTTTCATACAGTTTAAATGCGGTTCAAAATACCTAAAAACTGACAAACAGAAGATTGTCTTTTTCTTAAGTTTTCTCACAGAAGACATTTCAACATTTCTTTTTTCAAGGTTGAAGAAATACTTAAAGCACTTCTCACCTTGCTCTAGCCATTTTCTCCTCGATCTAATGAAAGCACCTCTAGTCTTTTCTTTATAAATTAAAGCCTGGTGTCTACAAAGGACAGTGAAATAGGAAAAAAACAGGATATTCCTGTGTGTCCACATGGATCAGAGGATAAGGAAACTGACTGGGACTCCAGAAAAGAAGATCCTGAAGCAAATGCTGGGGAACCAGGCCTGGGGGTGGGGTTTCCCTCTGATGTTTCCGGAGAGGTAAAATGGGGGGTTATAAGGCAGAGGTGGCTGAGATTTAAAGCTGAAAATTTTGTACTATTGTTGGCGTAATTTTTTTTAAATTTAAGAATACCATAACTTTAAAATCATGACAAAAAAACTTAGACTGATTTAATTTATAGAAACATTTACAAGAAAGTCAATCATACTTCTGCTTGTTTTTTCATGCAGCGAATTAATTTCAAAAACACATTAATGTCAGCTGATATGGGATTGTTGGTGAAAAAATCCATTAAATTGTAACCCTGGTGTTTCGACCTCTATGTTTTCTTCAAGTTGTGTCTCATCTACAACACAATAATTAATTTTCTAGTAATTAAAACACTGATGAACTTTAAAAACACAGATGATAACATCACCTGAGAGTATCCACTGCTCTGTTTGCTCCTCCTCTGCTCCTCTTCATCCAATATGTCGAGTCCAAACTGCGGGCAACTGAACCATAAAATAAAACAAATAAAACATCAGAATTCGAGTTTATTTTGGGTTAAACTTGACCACATATGAATAAAGAGCTCTCTGTCTCTCTGTTAAGGGTGTAGACTGTGAAGAGGATGATTGACAGCGATTATCTATAGAAGCAGAGAAATTTCTCCCCACTTCTAAGGTGGATAGCTGTCAATCATCTTCCACACGGTCTATGCGCTCAATAGAAGGTGCAACACTGCCGCCCAGTGAATGGTAGTGGTGGTGTTCTTCACACGTGAATATCTTTAACTTGTGTGTATTCATATCTTAAAAACTTTGTGATGGTTGTCTCAGAAGAAAATGCACGTGCCGGTTCATCCACAAACACATTCTTCAACAATTCACAGGCAGAATTGAAGATTTACAAATGATAAGTCATGATAAATGCACAATCTCAGCGCTGAAACATGAAACTACAGCTGTTATACAATAAACAATCCTCTTACTTTAGAGCTTCAGCTCAGACAAAACAGCAACTTCAGCCACAGAAAATTCACCTTAGCCAGATTACAGCTCCAAAATATTAAAAGAGATGAGATGAGAGATGAGAGCGAATGTTTGTCTACTCATGTTTGTATTGATAGGTGCAGTAAACCATAGATATATAAACGCTAGATGACCAGTCTATGGCGACTCCGCCTCGAGTCATCTAGCCTTTCTTATAGATATCTATGAAGTAGACGGCTATTAGAGTCTATGATTAGAGTAAGCGGCGTACGTTTTGCACATGCGCAGTACAAATCGGACGGCTCGGGTAGCGACAGGCGCCACTGCTGCGACGTGACGTCAGCAGATGGATACTAAACATGGCGGAGAGCAACTGAAGTTAACGTACAGCGTTGGTGAAAATACACGAACCTTCGGGTCTGTGCTCAATTTGCCGGAAATTTACCGAGAAAGTGATTTTTGTTGAAGTGTCTTAAATCAGCTCACATAGTTATAAGTATTCTTTTGTACTTTTAGTCGGTTTAAGCCTGTCTGAGCTGGACGTTAGCTCACAGCGTTAGCCGCGTTAGCAGTCTGACCAGCGCCTGCTTTTGTTTTTGTCTTTTGAGGGCTGACTGACTGGATCATCTCACAACGCTGTTTTCTTTGCAGTACATTATTTTCTAAATGGGACCAAGCGTTTTTTATATAAATCTACTCAAGTCTTTTATTTTGTAGTGCGGGTGTGGTCCTGTCTGTCTGCAGCCTGTTAACGTTGCTGTGAAAACGAGGTAACTTCACATTTAAAGCCATTTAAAGGGACAAACTCGCTGTGAGCCTTTGGATTGTCTTATATGAACTTTAACACCAGGAAACATGGATTCAAAGCGCGCACACAGTAAACCTCACAAAAGCGGAGGTGGTGGTGGCGGCGGCAGCAGCGAAGACTCAAGCTGCGGCAGCCCGGCGTCCCCCTCCAGCAGCCCGGCCCCGGTTGCAGCCAAAGCCCCGGTGGTTCCCGGGGGTAACGCGTTCGCCAACGACGGCAGCTTCATGGAGATGTTCAAGAAGAAGATGGAGGAGGAGCAGAGGAAAAAAGAGACAGCGACCACAGCCCCCGTGCAGGGACAGACATCAGTGGAAAAGAGGCCCCCACCCGTGACGAGCTTTGTAAGGGGTTTAGCAGTTGTAAGATGAGATAGCTGTAGTCCAACACTCACAAACTTGAGCTTCATGCACTCATTAATATTTAGCAGGTGACTTTTTTACACCCTAAGATAATAACAAAAACATTTTAGTTTTGTAGCATAACACACAAACATGTTGGTTCTTTATTGTTGTTGTGTTTCCTCAACACTATGTATGAGTGTCTGTATGTCCAGACAAAAGCCCAGACTAGGGATGCTCCTCTCTGATGATGGTTTCTCTGGTGGTGCTGCGAGACACTAAATGTAGACCTTCTGCTCTGGTGTAGTCTCCTTCATTGGCAGTCCATCTGCAAGGGCTCCTATAACGGTTTCAGTCTTCTATCCCCTAACCCAGGTGGGGAAGCGCAGAGGCGGGGTGTTCCTAAAGACCGGCATGGTTGCGAAGAAGCAGAAACACGACTCAGAAGTAAGTGTGACCATAATAAGGTGTTGTTAAATACTAAGATGACGAGTTATAGACATTGCACCAGTAATAAATTCGCTGCTGGTATAAAAATATAAACATTTTCTACAGGGTTTGCACCTGTATGAATAGGCAAGGGTCCTCAATTGAGTAATTTCCTCAATGGACAGGTCACATCAATAATGGTTGTCAAACCAGTGTAGTACAGTCAGCTCCACTATGAGGACCTGTGATAATGCTGAGGGTTTCAAAAAGTCCTTACCAGTCACGATTTTTACATCACTCTTTTTGCACTAGTGATCTTGCAAAGTCGAACATTTTGGATGAAATCTCCCCAAGTTGCAATGATTTATGCAAATATATGATTATTAAATGAAGGTAAACTCTAATGTAACCCCTCCATCTGCATAGATTTAGTTTGACATTTTACAGAGCAACTATATTTCTATATTCATCAACTTCACTTTTTTAACTGCGTTATGTTTTTTAGTGTTGGATTTTTTCAAAAGAAGTCTAAATGGGTACTTACAAAAATAACTCAAACAGTGTTAGAGCTTCAATAAGGAACAACACAAGATTTCACCAGCAAGGTTGTATATCGAGGGAAAAAAGTTGTAATTTTTTAGTATAAATTAGTGATATAAAAAGTGCCCTCAGAATAAAGCCATAACACTATGAGGAAAACAAAGATAGATATTAGTTTGTTAAAAAGGAAAAAAAGAGAGATTTCAAGGCTGAATTTGGGAATTTATGTGGAAAAAAAGTCAGGATTTTAGTCTTCAGCTAACTCAGATATTATTTAAAGGGGGGAAAAATGCTTCAGTAAAGGTTTCCCATATAACTGAATACCCAGTCTTTTAACATATGAGTGTAAATTTCAGGACTCTTAATGGATTGAGCAAAAAACAATCTTTTATAAACAAATGTAGCTTAATAGGAGACCCGTGCACACTTCTGCAACCGCTGTCTGACAACAGCTGATGAGTATCATTTCACAAGATTATCCACATTCTTCATTTGTGTGCAGGCAGCTGGCTCCCCACCCTAAATGTATTTTAGCCTACATATTAATTAAATGTAGCCTGTAATAAGTTTACTCTCTAAACTACAATTTAACTCATCTTATATGACTATTTTTATAAATCTACATCTTCCTACTGATATTGGGACTCTAGCCTCTTGAATATCAGTGCTAAAACGAAGTTCAGCCATCCTAGTGTTAATTCATATTGAATCACAATTTTCACAGTTTTTATTTCCTTACAACTTTAATCTCAAAATCCCAGACGTTTTCCTTAAACAGGTCCTAATAATCCATATAGATGAAAGACTTGAAGCATGATTGTCCTGGCTGACCATACATCAGTTTCACTTGACCTTTTTCCCTCCGTTGCTCATCTCTTTGCTCTTTCTCTCCTCCAGGCTGTCCCAGGCAAGAGCGATGCTTGGTCAAAGTACATGGCTGAGGTAAAAAAGTACAAAGCCCATCAGTGCGGCGACGACGATAAAACCCGACCTCTGGTCAAGTAGGTTCCTCAGAACAAGAAGCGACAGTGTTAAGAGGGGAAACCGATCTGGGAGACGCTCCGGGAGAGCTGGCCGGTCCTGACCTTCTCAAACTGCCAGTTCAAGCTACCCTTCACATCAACCTGTGTTTCACAAACTGCTTAGATCAACTGACCTTTTTCCCTTTTTTGTATTGTTTTGTCTTGCTTGTCATTCGTTGGACTCTGGTTATTTGATCTGGTGTCAAAGGGTGTCTCAAATTGACCTTATCGATCATTCTTGTAATATACTTTCAATTTCTGTCTGGGTTTATTCAGTGTTCTTTAAGAATTGGTTTGGTTTATGAGCCAAATGAAGTTGACAATTAAATTGACATTTCTCTTTGATGTGTGCTGTCTTTCCTCAGCCTGGTTGGGTCCTTTTATACTTTATTTTGTGAGGAGTGGAGAGGGAATAGAGCTGATTTTGAAAGATTCAAACAGGAGAATGATGCAGTTTAAGATCTACTTTTTGCTACCCAGGATCAGGTGACTCTGCTTATTCTAACAGTTTGTCAAAGAAGTCCTGGATTATTAAAGCTAGGGCTGGGCGATAAAATAACGTTATATATAGAGAAAATTTGTTTCCCTCAATATCAATATAAAACATGGTCAATGTGCTTTTCAATAGTCTGCATTCTGCCATGTTTTGGTAGACTGTACGAATAGCCAATGAAAAGGGGAGTTGCTCTGAACCAATTATATGCTGAATTAGAACCAAGGAGCAAACAACTATAAACAACTATAGCACTTCAACACATGAAGCCAACACCAATAAGCACTGTTAAATTTCATTTTTTATATCATGATATACACTCACCGGCCACTTTATTAGGTACACCATGCTAGTAACGGGTTGGACCCCCTTTTGCCTTCAGAACTGCCTCAATTCTTCGTGGCATAGATTCAACAAGGTGCTGGAAGCATTCCTCAGACAGCTTGGTCCATATTGACATGATGGCATCACACAGTTGCCGGAGATTTGTCGGCTGCACATCCATGATGCGAATCTCCCGTTCCACCACATCCCAAAGATGCTCTATTGGATTGAGATCTGGTGACTGTGGAGGCCATTTGAGTACAGTGAACTCATTGTCATGTTCAAGAAACCAGTCTGAGATGATTCCAGCTTTATGACATGGCGCATTATCCTGCTGAAAGTAGCCATCAGAAGTTGGGTACATTGTGGTCATAAAGGGATGGACATGGTCAGCAACAATACTCAGGTAGGCTGTGGCGTTGCAACGATGCTCAATTGGTACCAAGGGGCCCAAAGAGTGCCAAGAAAATATTCCCCACACCATGACACCACCACCACCAGCCTGAACCGTTGATACAAGGCAGGATGGATCCATGCTTTCATGTTGTTGACGCCAAATTCTGACCCTACCATCCGAATGTCGCAGCAGAAATCAAGACTCATCAGACCAGGCAACGTTTTTCCAATCTTTTATTGTCCAATTTCGATGAGCTTGTGCAAATTGTAGCCTCAGTTTCCTGTTCTTAGCTGAAAGGAGTAACGGGTGGTAACTGCCGCTCACTGGATATTTTTTCTTTTTCGGACCATTCTCTGTAAACCCTAGAGATGGTTGTGCGTGAAAATCCCAGTAGATCAGCAGTTTCTGAAATACTCAGACCAGCCCTTCTGGCACCAACAACCATGCCACGTTCAAAGTCACTCAAATCACCTTTCTTCCCCATACTGATGCTCGGTTTGAACTGCAGGAGATTGTCTTGACCATGTCTACATGCCTAAATGCACTAAGTTGCCGCCATGTGATTGGCTGATTAGAAATTAAGTGTTAACGAGCAGTTGGACAGGTATACCTAATAAAGTGGCCGGTGAGTGTATATCGATAAACCTATATGAAAAAATATATCGTGATAAACTCTTTCCCATTTCGCACAGCCCTAATTAAAGCTGAAGCTTTAAGTTAGACTATTAAGTAGGTTTGTCCACAAGGGGCGCTCAAATCTACAGGAACTGAAGATCTCTAGAAGAACTTTATAAATCCCAGAGGGGAAAATCCTATCAGCTGCTCCAAAGTTCAGAACAACATATTAGAGATTGAATTAGCAGATCTGACATTCATCATCAGATCTGACTGGAGACTTTTGAAGAACCAGGCTCAGTGTGTTCAAATCAAAAAGCACCTCTTGACTTTTCGGTAAAACCTGCCAACAATCATTTAAATGTGAATTAAAAACTTCATAACGAGGGAAAAAATTTAATTAAAAGTCGGTTCGAGCTCTATACAGTCAGGAATTCACCGAAGAATTCAAGTACAATGAAAAAGTGTATAGCTCTCATTGAAAAAAGCTCAAATTCAAATTTGCAGTTTACATTTCTTACAGGTGATAATTACAAGATAAAAACAGCACCAAATAGACACACTGACCATGCATCAGAGAGGGAGACACACACGAGGCACACGTTCAATCCCACTAACCAAACACACACACACACACACACCCTTTTCATGTGCACACACACCCATACACACCTAAAAATCCCATTCATTCCTTCCCCCTGTCCACAGTGATATAGGTCTATGTTGTAAACATAATTTCATTTGATTCTATATTTCAAAGTCTTAAAATTGTCTTAAAAAGTTAGATTTAGCTGTGAAATTCATGAGAAAAAGGAGCGAGTGTGACCCAGTCGTCATCTCAGAGCCCTAAAAAGAGTCCCTGCAACCCAAAGTCACGGTCCATCCCCGCTTGTCCAGATACCTCAGTCTTTGTGTGGCATTGAAATTCGGTCGTATCATAGAGTCTTCCTCTTTGCGTCTCCTCCCTGGCTTTGAGTGACATCTGGGGAAGGATGAAACGGCACTTCAATTGTTATAAAAGGTAAAAAATAAGATATATAGACAGCTACAAACACATAAAGCATGCATTCATCTACACACAGGCAGAGACCAGAAACAGGACCAGACAGAAAACCTGAGATAGAAAACACCCAACACTTAAAAAGGGAGGCGGGGGGGAGGAAGAGGAGGAGAAAGAAGGGAGGAGTCATGGAGCAGGCTTTTTAGGTGCGTCAGATTTTACCTGAGAAAGCGAGCTGCAAGTGAGGAGGCAGAGCAACCTGAGACCCTGACTGGAGACTCTTATACAGATCTGAGGAAACAGGACAGGGGGACAAGGAGGGAGACAGAGGGGTAAGGGGAGACAGATGAAACAGGGAGGAAAGAGTGAAGGAAAAGAGATGAAGGGAAAGGAAGGAGCGAGGGGGCGCAGAGGTGAAGGACAGCCGAGGAGAAAATGAGGAAAGGTCGGACAAGATGAGAGACAGATGGGGGAGGAGCCGACAGAGTTTTGGCGTCATTTTAGGGAGAAAGAGTGAAAAATAAAGGAGAAGTTTGGGGGGAAATGAGGCAAACAAAATGGAATAATGTCAAACAGGAGAAAAATCACAAGCTTACATTTGACGCACAATATGGTGATATTTGACATTTGACACAAATGATGCTCAAACACTCAACACAAGACAGTTTCTATACGGGAACAACCAGACAAGACAGCAGCAGGGCCACCTTCAGGCACACACAGCACCCAACCGAATGAGTATTAATATTAGCACTGTCAGCATTGAGCAGAATGACCAAAGTCAGAAGGAGAGTCGTGATTTAAAGGGACATTCTGGTGTAAAATTAAGTTAGGGTTAAACACACCATAACACTGAGTTGAGAGATGAATGTTGCTGGCCGCTTTCTTCTCTAGTTATACCAACTTTAGTAACAACCACATGATAGAGACTTAACACTACTCACCTACTCTCTTCCAGCAGCCGCTTGTTTGTAGTGAGACCTCGGGCCAGTTTATTACAGACTGCAGCGGGGGGACGCAGCTCAAGGAAGAACATTAATGTTCCAACCCACCGCAGCCCATAATGAACTGGCCCGAGGTCTCGCTACAAACAAGCGGCTGCTGGAAGAGAGTAGGTAAGTTGTGTTTAGTCTCTTTGCTAAAGAAATCAGGAAAAGTTAAAAAGATGTTTGGTGGCTAGTACTATGGCTTGGACCCTTTATGTACTGTTGATGAAGTTAGGTGCTGTTCTGAGCATTATTTCTGGCTATAAAGTGGCGTTTTGGTTCAGGTTCGTTCATGGCTCCTCAGACCGCTGTGTATTGCTATCCTGCGGTCGTTATTTAAGTTGGTATAACTAGAGAAGCAAGCAGTCGGCAACATTCATTCCCTGAGGGGATGTCTAACTCGGTGTTATGGTGTGTTTGACCCTAAATTAATTTTACACCAGAATATCCCTTTACCCCAAACTACATGATCCCAAATGAAAACACTAAGAAGAAGAACACCTTTTAATTGTTAATATGAATTAACAAACTGATTCTAAATTCAGTCTTGGTTTTAAGTGTGATTGATGATGAAAATCGTGTATTTGACCGTTTGATTGGCCGACTCATCAGAACCAGACAGATCAGTGAGTCAGCACATTTACTGGACCAACTGAAGCATTTTGATATAACTGGCTTTGAGTCGGCCTCGGCCAGTATCACCATCATCTCCTCCTCAATGACAGACGATCAAACCAAAAACTAATGTTTGTGATCAATTCTGTTAAAATGTGAGGAAAACTTTTGCTGTGTGTCTGACATTAATCTCCACCCTGTTTTAAAATCCAGAGCGTCCACTCATGTGAAATCCATCCAAAATGTTACAGGCTAAGATGGCCACTGATACTAGATTTTAATGCGCATCAAAAATAGATTTATACATGACTTTCTTTTTTTTTATCTTTGACTTCTTTAACCCAAATATTTCCCCTTTTTAATGAGATAATTTTTTTTCTGTTGACATTAATTTGAAAAAAATCACAAAGTTGCTGTGGCTGGTTTGTGCTCAGTGATATTTGAAGTCAGCGTCCAATTGTGGGCATGATTAAGCTTCACTAAACAGAACTGCTGCCCTAACTCCAACTTCACTTTGGTAAGAAGCTCTTTCACTTTTTGAAAATAAAAGTGCTCTTGATTATAGTTTCAGAGTTTTTGCCCCGCTAAGTCACTCACTTTGGGTCAGGGTTGAGAACGATGCGTTGCTACTGGCTGCCGAGCCGCTGGCCGCCGTACTGGAGCCCGCCGTACCCAGCGGGGGCAGATTGGGTAGCAGTGTTGGGAATTGGAAGGGCAGGGAGACGGGCACCAGGCCCCCTAGCAGGCCCCCAAAGCCCAGAGGAAGAGAGGAGGGAGAGCCCAGCAGACTGCCAGTACCTGACGTGGAGACCTGAGGAGACACAAGGGGTTATACAGCAAGGAATATCCCTTTAAGTAACTCTGTGAATGTTAGCGGTACAAACCTGTGGTAACTGAGACGATACAGATGAGGATGGGACTGACACGACCGACTTGGCCCCCTGAGGTGTCCCGCCCCCCGGCCTCGGGCGCTGGCCTGGGTTGGTGGAGGCCACTGTGGGGGAGGCACTGGATCCTGAATGCTTACTTATGGAGATGGTGTTTATAAGGCTGGCGTTGGTGGTGCTGTTGTTGCTGTTGTTGGTGGGGGTCTTCTGGCTGCCTGGAGGAGTGTAGCTGCCTTGCCCCGGCTTGGTCACTCCTCCTTGGGCACCTGAGAACGGCGGGCGGAAACCTGTTGGGGTCTTGGGGGAGTACTGGTGTATGGTGGGGGTCGCCTGAGACCGGGGGGTTAAGGAGATGGAGGATGAGCCTGAGGTGGGGGTGGTGGTGACAATAGGGTTGGGTGTGCGCGGCGTGAGTTTGACGATGGGCGGGATGCTGCTGTGGGCAGACTTGGTGAGGGTGGCGTGCATAGGGGTGATGAAGTTAGACTGAGGCTGGGGCTGGACTCCAGAGAGGGTCTGGGGGAGGGAGGGGGACGATTTAGTGGTTGAGGTTTGGGGCAGGCGGGGCGTCTGGAAGGTTTTAGGGGTCATGTGTGAGGCAGATGAGGGGGTGTGGAAGCGAGACTGAGGCGATGTGATGATGAGTGTGTCACCACTGTTGGCTTTATTATTATTGCTGCCTTTGAGGAGGCTGGACGGAGGAGTGGACACCCCCATCTTTGATCCCGGCGCCACCAGAGGAGATGCAGTGGGTGGTGGGCGTGGTTTGGGCGGTGACGCTGAGGCGGGCATGTTAGCTTTAGCCACGCCCACACCTAAAGTCCTTTGAGCATTCAGCACTGAGTGTCTGTGTACCTGAACAGCACCCTTGACCGCCCCCATCCCGTCCACCCTGATGGAGGGCAGAGGAGAGGACGAGACGGAGGAAGGTCGGGACAGAGGGGTGGAGGAAGACGAAGAGGTAGAGATGTAGTGAGGTGTGTTGGAGCTGGGAGTGCTGACTGAGTTCTTTTTCTGATGCTGGAGGAGCGAGGAGGCGTGGAGGGAGGAGGGGTTAGGGGCAGTTTTGGGTCCATCAGGGGAGGGGGGGCTGTCCCCGTGAGCGAGTCCCTTGGCCGCGCTACCGAGGATGGCTAAAGCCTGCGAGATGGAGTCCATAGGGGGGGCAGTCAAATCCCCGTCGAGGGAATCGAGACATATGGGCTCAGCCGGGGACTGAGGCGGTCGCTTGGCAACCTGAGCTGCGGGGGAAGGGGTGGCACCAACTGACGATGTGGACCGCTGAACCCACACAGCCTCCTGGAACAACAAAAATTCACGTTTACACCACATGATAATCCAAAACTTCAACCTATCTTACTCTTTTATTTGAGGACAAGTCCCCCTTTACATCTCCTCAAAAGACCACTGACCAAATACTGAAACTCTAAGATTTCAGTGTTTTAAAGAAAAAATCAGCTCTTTCAAATTTGATGGGAGCCTTGTGTTTTAAACCAGTTGGGTAGGGGGGAATCTTTTTCACTGTGTTGTTCTTCTTTTAACAGAAACTCTGTTGACGTCACAGAGCTGAAGAAAACAGTTTCTGGAGTTCTGAAAGTGAAATGTCCTATTCTTGACTAATACAGGATACCAGCTGCTCAAGAGTTGTGGTGTCCTTTGTCGTTTTTGTAGTTCTATGATAAACCCAATGTTTTCACTGAATGACAAGTTGGGACTGCAGGAGGGCAGTTTAGCACCTGGACTCTTCTACTTCAGAGCCATGCTGTTGTAATACGTGCAGAATATGATTTGGTATTGTCTTGCAGAAATATATGGATGTCTAGGCGGATACAGGCTGGCTGATATCCACAAATAAACTGGTGTTTTAGACAACAAACTTCAAATTTACTACTGTGGAACCTCTGGCACTAATTGAAACTTGAAGAAAAATGCCATAATAGGAGACCTTTAAACAGATGAACTCCATACCATCAGGGATTCTGGCTTTGACCTGTTAGCTGATCTTCTCAGACCACAGGACAGATTCAGATCTAGAGAAGTCAACAGCATTTCTAGATCCTGTTTAATTCTAGTTTCCTCTTTACTCTGTACAGTTTTAACCTGCATCTGTAACGACTGTCACAGGTAACAGTTTCTTTTTAAGTGAATTTAAATTAATGGACTGATTTCATCTCCTGAGTCATGTCTGTTTTAATCCCAGTGTTGAAAATAAATCTCATCATTGAGACGTTTAAAAAATACTGTATGTTGCTGGCATTGAATCTGAAAAACAGTCACTTTTCTTCAGTTTGAACATTTGATATGTTGTCCTCGCAGCATTTTCAGTTCGACGAAGTTCTAAGTCAGTTTCATCTTAAATGAAGTGTTACCTTTGGCTTTGGGGTCTTGGGGGTAGGAACCATCTTCTTCTTTGCTCTGCATGGAAGACAAAAACACGACTGGTGAGGACAACTGAAGCAGCCGCTCAGTTATGAGAACAAACTGTGAAATAAGGAGTCGTCACACTCACGTGTAGCCTGTGAGGTGACCGTGAGCCATGATGCTCTCTTTGAACAGTATCCTGTAATCAGAAATAAGCAAATCAGAAACTTCATATCCATGTAGATGTGAGTGAGTGAGCATTGAGTGGGCTGCAGTCTGGGCACCAAAGATATATAATACAGCAGACGGTTATTTTGAATCTTCTTGGCAAGACACACACCTGGCCTGCATCCAGCCTTTAGGCCACAGAGGTTTCACTTCAGTCTCCATGAAGGCTTTGAGGTAGTCCTCCAGAGACAGAGAGTTCTTACCCTCCAGCTCATAACAGCTCAGCTTCACTCGCACCAGGTTACACAGCAACGCTCTGGAGGAAGAGAGGAAGTTAGTGACTTAAACAGCAGACTGAGTGATGAAAACACTCATGCTAGGACATTTCAGTCCATGTTTGTGGATCCAAGGCATCAGGTTGGAGACCAGGATGAGGTCTTTGTACATGGTGACTTTAAAGAGTAAACCTGACCTGAGTTTGTCATCCCAGATAAACTTCTTCCGAGGGCCCATCACCCTCTTCCCTGGTTTCTCCTCATCATCATCCTCTGACCCGTTTTTCTCTCCTTCCTCAGACTGCTGCCTGCAAACACACACAGACACACGCATGTCAAAGCGCCTTTAAATATTTATGATTTTCAGAAAAAAAAGAAGATCCCCGTCTGTCTTCAGGAGCGTCCTTACTTTGCTACTTTAGCGAGACAGTCCATGTTGTACCGAGCGATCTGCTCTGGCATCACGCTGCACACTGCCAGCTTGAGCTTCAGCAACGGCGTTCGAAGACGGTCGTCCTGGGAGACGGGGATTGGCACAGTCAGAAATCAAGCGCGCACACACACACACACACGCAGGGCTGCATATTCACAAGCTAAATATATAACTGAGTGAAAGGCACAAAGCCAGGAAACACAGCTCTGACAGAGACAAGACTGTCTTTACAGAAACACTGACATGCACCTTCAAGCTGAAACAGTCTTACCTACAACATATGCAGATCAGATGTTTTTATGACACCTTACACATCAATTCAAACTGATTTCTTATGACCAGAATGCAAATCTCCTGCATTACACTGAAGTCTCAAGCACAGTATCATTGAGCTATGAGTTTATTTTGGGGCTTTTGGTGCTGCTACGTTTAATTAGATAATCAACGCAGCATGTAGAGGCTAAGACAGGGTTCAGACTACAAGATAATCAGCCGCATAATGATTTTTTTTTACCGCTTTAAAGGTTGTCTAATCAGATTTTCATTTAACACGTTCAATAACCCAGTTTGATTCTCACTGAATGTGCTTCCACTCGACCGTATTATTCAAAGACATGAAATCTAACGTCACTGCTGTATCTCCTGGTAAAATCTGGCACCACTGTAAACATCCAAGCTCTCACAAAAGAAATGACATAACTGAGCTATTTCAGATCCACCAATGGAGTTTGAGCAGAGGACAGATGGTTTCTGCTTTTTTACTCTTACAGCTGTTACAGAAATACAGTTGGTAAATACTCAGACGTTTAACAGAAACACATTCATGTGGAAAATCTGTTATTGAGTAGACTATAGATGAAGAAGCCTTGGAGTCAGAGACTAAAACCCCTGTCACTCGCTCACCTGTATGTTGAGACTGAGCTTCTTCAGACGTTTGAGCAGAGCCTCTTTGTTGCAGGGGACGAAGGCCTCCAGGTGACAGTAGACAGCCGACCGCACGTCTGCAGGCTGCTCCTGGACCTGCAGCTCAATACTGACACACACAAAAACACACACATAGTCAAAAATCAGAGATTTACATTGATTAACTTTCCCATTTTGACTGAGATGTAAATAATAAGCTGCACTCACTCCAGCAGGATGTTGTTCATGTCCAACGTGAAGAATTTCTTCCTGCCCTCTTCATCGAACAGACGAGACGCCTTCAAAGAGGAAAATAGAAAAGTCATTAAAAGACACATTTTTTAAAGAAATGCTTTTAACTCTTGACAAACAGAACAGACATGAAAGAGTAAAGATATTAAAGATGTTTCATCTTCCTGTGATAAAGACTGACAGAATCGTTTTCTGTCGATAGAAGTCGCACTGGGACAAAATCCTGAATTATTCGAATCAGATTTAATTCAGTCAGACTTTTTCATCTGCTTATAAATTTTCAGGGCTTTACCATTCTTATCAGGTTCTGTTTTATTTCTTATTATTCATAGTTTAAGTTTATCTGTATTCAGTTAGTCAGCGTGCTCAAACTGTATGGGCTTAAGAGTCACTGAAGAGCAAAATAAACAAGAGCAACAAGATAGTATAAATATTTTTCATCCATTTCAGGACTTCTTAAGACAAAAGTAAATGTGGGTGTCAAAAGTATGAATATCATTTTGATCAGAGGAAGTCGGTAAGTTTTGAAAACTCAATATGAGCATTTGTAATAATTTCATCACAAAAATCTTAAAATGTCGCAGCGATTCATAGAATTCAATCTGTCTTTGTTATTAGTTTGAATGGAGGTCTGGGTATTATAACCACAATCTACATCCTGTTTATAGCAGTTACATGAAGCTTTAGCCACACGCTAGATAACCTCAGATTAAAAGGTGATAATTTAGAGATGAAAACGGTGATTTTAGGAGTAATTCTATATCAAAAAGGTCTACTGTAAAGAGTCGAGCAGTAAAAGCTTAAAAACAAAAGAAGTTTTGTTTTCTTGGAGGGGAAAAAAAGAGTTAAAAAGAGAGATGATAATTAATTTTTTTCAATATGAAAAAGAATTATTAAATTTAGTAAATGTCACTCAATTTTAAATTATTTTTCAATTAAAACTACGTTTTTTTTAATCTTTTCAATCTACAATCAAATGTTTGTCTTCTCTTCTTCCTTCTTCTTCTTACAAAACAAACAGTAGATATTTTTTCATGTTTGTCACATTGAACAAGTTTAGTTCATTATTTCCTAAAAATTCAGCACGCACATTTTTGGTTTAATTCTAGGTCAAACATTTCTTTAAATGATAGAAATTGTGCAGAAATGATGAAAGTGTTTCTGAGTTTAGATTTTGAGCTAACAGAAGAATCCAGCAGAGAACAGGCGCTCGTACCGCTCTGAGGTCTTCGATGCGTTTTAGGAGCGGCCCCGGAAGTCCGCTGGGCAGAGGAGGCGGCGGCGTCATCATGCTACCCTGTGACACTCTGCTACCACCCGCTTTGTGTCCCATCCCGAAGGAGCCGTTCTCTCCCTGAACCGGACTGGAGGGCTGAGGCGAGTCCAGCATCCCAAAGTCCAGGTCGCCCATCATGTCCTGCAGTATGTCGTTATTGGCCGAGCCCAGCAGTGACATCACAGCAGGGTCGGAGGTCAGGTCGGATATGTTGCAGTCGTTGCTGCCAGCAGCCTTGGGGTGGGCGTTGAGGAGAGCACTGTTGGCGTTTGGCACTTTGGCGTTGGGTCGTTGCAGACCAGCTGCACCCGTGTTCTTCTTCCGCATCTCCTCTTTTTCTCGGGTAAAGCGGCGCAGCATGTTGGCCAGGTGCAGGGAGTCCTTCATCAGCTTCTTCCTCTTCTTCTTCTCTGGTCGGTGAATGTTCAGGGCTGTAACCCTGCAGGAAAACACACCGACATGGTAAAAGATGAGCTGGAAGAACATCTATGGAGATGGGAATTCTGTGAAGGTGCTGAATCACGATAAATCTTGAGTGTTGTGTAGTTTGTGTGACTTTTTTGCAGCTTTGCATTTATCAAAGCGTTCACTTGGAAAAGAGGATATCATCTTAGCAAGGAGAAGTTGGAAAACAAAAAGCCTGAGATGAAAAATTGGAGAATCAAAACTCACCCGCTCTTTGGTACTTTGTTTTTTCTGGGTTTCTTGTCCTCCAGAATCCCACCATCCTGCTTTTTCCGCCGTTTTTTTATCACCCGCTCCTCCCCGTCTTTCATCTTCTGTAGAAACAAGACATTAACTTTAAAGAACTAGCATTTCTGGATTTTAAACATCTATAACCTGCTTTTATATCATGTAAACGTCACTATATGTTGACAAAAATGTGAAGGAGAAATAATGGACCTTAAAGTGAGGGTTGGCAGCGCTCGTGTTTTCTCCCTCCGAGTCTGACGCTGCTCTGAACTGCAGAGTTCCTGTGTTGATGTAGAAGCCTCCGTGTTTGGTGGTGAGAGACGCTGGGACCAGCTCATCGTACTGAGAGAGAGAAAGAGAAAAGAACGTGTAAAAATGACTGTTACATGTCTGCTACTAAAGCTAACTGCACAAATCAGAGCTTGTCTTACTTGTTTGGACACAGAAGTCGTGGACTTGTTTTGATTTATTTTTTCTACCCTCAGTTTGTCTTTTTAACCTTCTGCTTTTGTTTACCGTTGTGGATCTGTGACGGTACGAAACAAAAGGTCTTCACAGAGTCTTTTTTTTTTTCCACAGCAGAGACCGTCATCTCGTCTGTGTCAACAAAATAAATGAAATGTCATCATGACGTGATCAAATGTCATGACCTACTCAACTTCGAACATCAGCTCTACGGGGGAACAAGGTCTAAAGTTACTTTGAGGCTCAAGCGTGCAGAGTGGGGGGACTTCAGAGGCTTTTCAGAGTTATAAACCTCATTTACCTCCAAGTCTTTTTAATTAAGTACATTATAAATAACATCATTACATCCCAAGAACATACTGCATTTTGTGTCTGTGTCTTGTAGTGCTCAGCTGACTCTTCAAATAGACACAGGGAAAGGTCCTGCACATGCGTACGCAGAGGTCAAAGTAAGAATACCTCGAGCCTGACTCTATAGTCCTCCAAGAGCGGTGACGTTTGCTCAGGCCAGTATTCTGAGCCGTTTTACACCTTCACTTTGCAAAACTTCAGAAGCACATGTTCACGTCTTTTAGCTAATCCAGCTCTAGTAACATTATGTCAAGAGAATATTATCAAAAGACAGAAAAATCCTCCTGCTTCACACCGCCAAACATTTCCAGCAGAGCTCTAAACTTAGAAACTTCAGGGTGAGTGCCAGATATCGACCCAGCTTTGTTTGCTGAAAATCTGACCTAAACTCAGGCGCTCCAATTTTGTATGAAGAAATCACCAATCTTATGTCTGATCCTTTCATTTTTACTATGTAGGTCATGAAAAGGCATCAGTCACAAATGTCCTACAGAGCCTTTAAATATGAGAAAAGCTTCTCTGATAAAGAACTTAATTACACGTGAAATCCTTTTCAGTAACGTGACTCAGAAAAACAGTTTTTATAAGTAGCAGCTAAAAAAAAATCAAATAAAATCCTAAAATGATAATGAGAAGGAGATAAAACAAAACACTACTGCTACTTTCAATCACATGGATCCACAAATCCACTGCACTTAACTAACAACTGTGAGAGATTAAAGCGATCTTATTAACGTTCAAAACGTGCTTATAAAAGATTAGAAGCAATAAAACTGGGACGCCCACAAGATATGCAAGTTTGTGGTGATGAGATGAACTTCATGAAGGCAAAGCTTCATTTGATTCTTGTTTGTGAAACTGCGTCTGTCAAGTACTGCAAAACTGTGGATAAATGTAAAAGCTGATGAAGAAAGTGAAGTGAACATGACAGAGTCAGGACAGGAGACGTGTTTGTTTTGGGCTGGAAAAGGAAACTCACAGCCTCTGAATTGTCAATGAAAGGGTCGGTCTCGTCGTAGCCGTAGCCGATATCGATGAGATCTTGCATCCTGTCCTTTTTCTTCTTCTTAGGGCAGCCACCCTGCGGACAGAGACAGAAACAAACACAAAAACATTTGGTTAAAAGAAATCCTTCTTCATGTATGACAAGTATTTGCAGCTGAATAAAATATGATCATGATGTTTGTCAGATTATTTTCACCCGCGGACCATCATACTTACATATTTATTTTCAAATTTCCGTGCAAGCTCTTCGACCTCCCGTCTCTCCTTGTCTTCATCTGCAAACGGATCGTTGGGATCCAGGGGAGGAGCGAGTCCTTTAGGGACCGCTGAGGCTGCAGGCTTTACCTGAGAGAGACACGGACACAGACAAAGAAAAGAGAGACGAGTCAAAGGCGTCTCATAGTTTTCTTTTCTTTGTATAGTGTGAGCAGATGGATCTTTAACTTTGCAGTCAGGCATTTTTGAACGGGACAACTTCATGTATCTGTGGCTACTGAGTAACTTAAAACCACACGACATTTGCTTCAGGACCTTTCGCTGGAACAGTCACAACAACTTTGAAATAGAACAGAGTCAACATCTTAGAGTAGTTTCTACCAAACAAACAAACAAAGATTTACACAGGCCAGAATAATACAATTGGGTGACAGGATAAAAAAAAAAAGAGTGTATTGTTGTATATTAAGTCCTTCCGGTTGAGCATAAATGCAGCCGATAAGTCACGTTGTACAGGGTTCTAATTGTATTTTCACCTCTACAAGGTATTGAAAAAAAAAGATAACTCAGCATCTTCAATTCTGATAGCCTGTCTGCTGCATCAAAACAAAAGCACATGTAAACAGACATTAGATTTTTTCCTTAATACTTTGACGTTTCCAGTCTTAATTATTTCAAAAACAGTCAAAATAAATCAATGTTGAGTACATCACGGGAACGGTTTTTACATGGGTCATTGTTTTTAAATATGTTTAACTGTGGATTTAAGTTTATATTGCAAGAAAAAAATCCAGTTTTCACCTTCATGCAAAAAAACAACAACATATTTTTCTCTTTTAGTCCAGAGTAAAATTCTCTAAAATCTTATTTTTTTGGTCCCTCTAATCTCTGTTTGCCAGCAGACTTTCACATAATCTGTCTCATACATATAAATGTCTCCAAGGGCTGAGCCCCACTTATCTGTGTGAACACACACGGTTTAAATTCTAGTGTGAACTCACAAAATGCCACAGATACTTGACCCTCGATTGGGCACAACATAAAAACGTATGAAAATACCCCTCTCTCTTTCTTCCTGGTAAATCAAACCAAAAGGATAGAGCCGTAGTGGAGCTGATTCACCTCATTTTTAAGAGAAACAGAAACCCTTAAAAATTGTATAATACCATTAAATGAGCATGTCCAATTTTTTACCTGATCATCCTAATATTTAATGACTGTATAAGTTGAACACTCTGTTGCAGTGTGTAATAGTTTGTAAGTTGTATCTTGTGCATTTCAGATATTAACATGCTAAACAATCACGTGGGAACCAGTAACATCTCATGTGAAGAGGATATTATCTTGTTTTCAAATGATAAACACCAAAACAATCAAGTTCAAATGTTATTTTTAAGTATAATTATCCAATGGGAACAAGATATCGTGGGCATAAACTAAAATTATCCTTTGGAAACATGATAATTTTTCACAGACACAAAATAAATATCTGATTTTAACAAGATATTTTTGGCGCACAATATTATTATGTTGCAAGAACCGGTTAATACCATTTGCCCACAAGATATAATCTTGAATCATCAAGAAAATCATACCGTAGGAATGAGTAAAAACATGTTGCGCACCATCTGACTATCTACTGGGAACAAGTTTTTATCTTGTGCACACAAGATACTACAGTGTTGCTGCAAGTTAAGAGTATGAGGGTGTAGTATAAGTAACTTATTAGAACAAGATCTCTTTAGTGCGCAACATAACTATGTGGAAACTCGTAGTTCATAAGGTGGATATCATTGTGTATTCAGATGATAAATATGAGAGTTTAAATCTTCATAAAACATTATTACCTAGTGAGAACAAGATATTTTGGGCAAGTCGCAAGATTAACTACTGTGAACAAGATAATATATCATGCACACAACATACATATCTGATTGGAACAAGATCTCTTTAGTGCGCAACATAACTATGTGGGAATAAATAATATATTTTGTGAAGTGGATATCATTTTGTATTCAGATGATAAATATGAGAGTTTTAATCTTCATACAACATAATTATCTAGTAAGAACAAGATATTTTGGGCAAGATTAACTACTATGAACAAGATAGTATACCATGCACACAACATACATATCTGATTGAAACAAGACATTATGTATGATCTTGTTGTAGGAACAAGTAAATACCCTTTATGTGCACAGTATGCCCAACCAGGAGCAAGTTATTTCCTCGTGCACACAAGATACTTAGTTGCACAACACAATTATCTTGAACAAACAAGATAATGTGTGGTGAGCTCATGATAATTATCTTGTGGGCACAAGTCAACATTAGCCTGGCACTAAATCTAGATCTAGTTCCAGGTTAGGCCCCATCCTGTTTATCTGAGCTGAGTTTCTGACCTGAGTGACTGAAGTTGAGTGGACCAGCTCTCCGTAGTTGAACTCGGAGGACCCCCTCTCATTGGGCTCGGTCAGGGTAAGGTTGAGTCGGACGGTGGGTTTCCTCTCCTCGGTCTCAGCATCACCTCCTTTCGTGTGTCCAAACAGACCCCCGCCGCCGCTGCCGCCTCCTCCACCACCACCTCCTCCTCCTGACCCGACCCCCGCCGCACTTCCACCTCCATCTTTCCCAAAAGTGATCTCGGCGGCCTCATCTTCTCGGCGGCGCTTCTTGCTGGACTCCGGGGTCGTCGGAGAGGCGGTGCTGAAGGATGAGAGGGTGACGAACGGCACTTTCCTCGGCTCTGCCATCTGACCCTCTCCGTCCGACTACCGGGCACACGGATCGGGGAGCGCCGCTCTCCTGTGAGCCGCCGCGGGGCTTTGAAACCTGGAGCTTCTCGACAAGTACAGCAGCTAGCTGTTTGCTCTGCTAGCTTAGCTTCCTCAGAATGAGTGCTGCAGGCAACACAATCACTTTTATCTCCTCTCAGCCCCTTTTAATCCATATACAACAATCCCCGGCACAGACCCCGCCGCCTACGAGGGACTTAAACTACGGGAGAAGATAGTTTTAAGCGCTTCCATGAAATTAGTGTTTAGCTACCGCAAGGAGGATTCTGTAGTAGCCATCTTGATCATTATTATCATTATTCAGTGGCAGGGCGTGCGCGTGAAAAGAAAGCGGAAGCCGGGGAGGAAAAGGAACAGAGTTCGTCCAATAGGAGAGCAGAAACACGCCCACCTGACACATTAGCGCGAACGTGCAGGAGGTGATTGTTCTGCACGCGCGGGATATCCGGGCCCTTGAACGGGGCACTTCACTTCATTTATTCTTTATTTCATTCCTTTAAAAATAAAAAGAAACAATTTAAACACAAACGTTCTCCTGTCAAAAATGAAAGGGGGTAGAAAGAAGACCAATCTTATTTTATCTGAAATCAATTTACAAAGAACAAACTTAAAATAATAAAATTAAATTAAATTAAATTAAAAACAGCATAAACAAAGCCCAATAAAATATATATATAATGAAATAAAAATATAAATATAGCTGCTTGCCACCACAGACAGTCATTTACCATCTAGTTCCCAAGTTACAATTCAGTGAATGCCACTCAAACAACAACAAAATTACAATGGTGTGACAATCAGATATAACTAACATATTTCCTTTACACACTGGCTTTAATTAATCTTCTAAATGTTATGTTTAACTTGGATTCTTTGATGTATTTGTCACTTATAAATCAGAAATAATAATGTGAAAATATTAAAGTTTAGCTTTTCAGTTTGATAAGTTGGAAAAAAGATAATTAAACAGTTAAAATGAAACTCAGCGTTGCTCTGGAGGGAAGTGTATCTCCATGGAAACCCAAACTGTACTGGCAAACACATTGTATTCAGACACAGTTTATGAAATTCAACTCTGTTAAGTCTTCATTACTCGACAAAGGACTAACTTTTGATGCAAATTTATTGCTTATGTCTGTTTGATAGTAATAGAAGTTAACATTAAAGCTTCTGTTTGGGTTTTCAGCGGTTGGCCCTAGACTGTGGAACAATTTACCTGTCCATATTAGAGCCTCACAGACCTTAGAGTCTTTGAAATAATCTTTAAAGACCCACCTTTTCTCCCTTGCATTTAATAAATGAGCACACAGGAATCACAGCCACTATAGCTTTTATTCTTTTACTGTCTGTATTTTATTCCACTGTTTTTAATTTTATTGTTTTATTTTTATCTATTTATTTACTTGTTTTATTTATCCCATGTACAGCACTTTGTTTGACAGCTGTCTCTTTAAAGGTGCTTTATAAGTAAACTTTGACTTGACTTGGGTCCATTTCAAACCCTCTCTTATGAAAAGCAGTCTATGCTATTCTGTCCTATACATGCAAAGATGATGTCTTTTGACAAAGAAATCTCAACCTGCTAATTTTTGATGGTCAAGTGGATTATTTATTTTTATTATTTTATGTAGAAAGTCAAAACAGAGGTTTCTTTTGCTGCTTGACTAACAATAACCCCCTCAGACAGCTTTCAAGAAATAAAAACTAAAGCATAAATAATTTCCAATTGGTCAGTGACTGTTGTATTTGCTTTTCTGCATCATTAAATTAAATTAATGTGAATTTCAATCTGTTTCATAAATGCCCTAATTATCCCTAAGGTCAATTACAATGTATTTGAAATTTTGTGTAAATAATTGAAGAGCAGGATTTGGGTTGTTGGCCAATGAGTCAGCTAGATTATGATTTCTAACTACAATAATCCAGACTATGACCTCCTTTTCTACCATAAATGATCAGTTTAAACTTAAATGATTTTGAGTTTAGCTTCTAAGCACTTCCAGAAAGACAAATCTCTGTTCCATTCTTTCACTCAGTATGAATATATGCTCCAAGTCACTGTTTAGTAATAATTTCTTGTACTAAACATACTTAAGTCAGAGCTTTCTATTGAAAGAGGAAATGAACAGTAGTTGTTACAACATCCAAGCTACTGGGCAGCCTGACATGTAATTTGCCCTCACTTGAAGTTTTAACAGCTCTGGTGGGTCAAATTTGCAAACAGCATTGGACAATGATTCCCAAAAACAGGGCACAAGACTCAACATTCAACCATTCAGCACCACAACCAAAGTTTGGTCAATTTAGTGGAAGGAATACCAATTAATAAAGCCCAAGGCTGACTTAAACAGCACATTACTGTGTTATTTACAGTGTATGTTCACTTTACAAACGGCTTGTTTTTTTCCAAGTATGTTCTTGGTAGAAAATGTTAGCGTAACTCCTATTTATAGACATTTTGTCTGATGGTGTATGTCAGTGTAGATGGCCATTTAAGATCTTGGCTTATTTGTTGGTGTGTTGTAATGGGTGAAGGGAACATGAAAGTATTTTCAAAAGTAGTCTGCAGAAAGAGTTAGGTCACCACTGTAATAAACACAGGCTCTGTGGCCCTAAAAATGAAACAAAACATCAAATTCCAAGTGTAGAAAAACACTTTTATTGTTGCCAAAGTCAGCAATTTAAGACCAATCAGCGGTGGCGCCACCCCAGTCGGAAGCCTGGGCAGTGGGGGCAGTGGACCAGTCCTCTGTGGCAGGCTGAGTGCTCCAGTCCTCTGCAAGAAAAAAAAAGCACACTTGGTGTTAAGAACACAGGGGAAGTTGTGTAATACTGAAGCTTTTTATAAACTAAACGGAAAATAACTCACCTGTCTTGACAGCTGGAGCTAGAAAGGGAAAAAAAGAGAAGACATTAATTTTGTTCAAAACTGGAATGCAGAATGAATGCAATATAGTTCTGTACAGGCAAAGAAAAACAAGTGAGCTTACCTGCAGGGAACTGCTGGATGGGCACGGATGGAACAGCCACACCCTCAGACCAGTCGGCCACTTCAGGCTGAGCAAACTCAGCAGCAGGAGCGCTCCATTCACCCTGGAACTCCTCCTTTCCAACAGCCTTCTCAGCTGCAGCCTGCTCCTCCTTCTCAATCTGCAGAAAAAGAAAATGTCAGAATGTGCACGATGACTCGTAACAATGCACACAACCTCCCCAAAAGATGGACTCCGTTAGTTTTACCTCCTCAGGGTCCCTGTAGAAGTACAGATCAGGCATGACCTCCCATGGGTGCTCCCTTGAGATGGTTCCTCTCATCCTGAGAACCTCTCTAGCCAACATCCACCACATCAGACCAACAGAGTGGTGACCCTGTAAGATAATACAAATGAAGCATTTAGATTTAATAATGATCACATCGAGAAGAATCAAGATCAATGAAACAGTTCAGCTTTATGTGGCAGGACCTCTTCAACCTCAACCTGAGATCAGAGAGTGGAAGCGAGAGGCCAGCGTGTTTATCTAGCACACATCCTACACCCAACACTGCACAGACAGGATAGTGCCGGGCTCTAACAGTGTGCCATCTGATCCGAACACTCAGTGTTCTACATCAGCTCAACATGTTACTTCTTCAGTTAGTCTCACCTTGTTGTTACAGGGGATGGAAATGTCCACGTATCTCAGTGGGGAGTCGGTGTTGCACAGGGCAATGGTGGGGATGTTGACGTAGGAAGCCTCAGTCAGTGGCTGATGGTCAGCACGAGGATCTGTCACAATCAGGAGGCGGGGCTCCCTGAAAGCTGCCTGGATCTGATTGGTGAATGTACCAGGGGTGAAGCGACCATGGAAGGTTGTGGCACCGGTGGCAGAGGCGAACTTCAGCACAGCTCTCTAGAGTTAGGAGGAGAAACATGTTACACTGAGGGAAACTCGAAGTCTGTTGATTTTCTGTTACTAAGTTGATCTGTGGCTCAGGTCACTATCAAACCCCAGTCATGGGACAGCCGTCCTCATGGTGTTAGCGAAAACCCGGCACACTCACTCTTGCACACTTCCGACACCGATACACCGACATCAGTGCTCGGCTTTAACAGTGTGCTTACCACATTATAGTATATATATATATACACCCTCTATAACAACAATCTACAGTATGACAGTCCCAGAATATCAGTGACTTTACCTGTCCAGTGTTCCTGGAGGAGATGACGCACACATCAGCTGGATTTTCAATGGCAACAATGGCCCTGGCAGCCAGCAGCAGCTTCTCCCAGGTCTTCTTCAGGTTGATGATGTACACACCTGAACATTGAGACAAGACATAAACAGCATGAGCACTAACAGTCTTGTTTCACATCAATTCGTCATATGTAAAACCTTTCCTTCAAGGATGGAAGGGGCACTTCAATATTCTGTTAGGAAAACTATTTTATGAATTTTACATATGTAGCGGTACCAGAATGACTTAGCTCCAAGTCTACAGGAAATCTCCCTTGAAATTTAAACAATGAAAATTTCATACATGATTAAACATGAGCTAGAGCCAAACTGGAAAAAAATAGTAAAAACAACTTATGTTCTGGTTAAGACCATTTCTAAGGACTACATGGATGAAATGTTGGCTTTAACATAATGACTCTCTCAAACTTCCCTCAAAACACCCCGAGTTTGACTTCTGTGATTGGCTTTGTGCTGTGAACCCAAAACGAGATAGCTGTGGTCATAAGTGTGTCCAAACTACTGGTTGGTGCAATTTAGTATTGACTTTTTTCACAACAGATAACAATCCATAAGAATAACTGTATTCATCCCTGAAGGGAAATGCGATACATACATCCTCTTACAGCTTTAAGATGATACATTAATTAGGCCTTCAGTTAGGAGCCTTGTTAACAGAGTTCCTGTATGTGCATATAGTATTCCTATATAACCATCTCAAGCCTGCAAACTGAGAGTCAGGAAAAAGCTGCAACTATACAACAGAGTTCAAACTACACAACTTTTAGAATAACATGTTAACCTGATCAGAAAATCTCCCTTTGCTCACCGTCGCTTTTTCTCTTGTAGATGTACTGCTCCATCTGGAAGTCCAAGTTGGTACCTCCCAGGTGGGTTCCTGCGGCGAGGAACTTCAGCACATCCTCCTCCTTCATTTGAAGGACATCTAGACCTCCGGACATCGTGACCGCTTTCCCTGCGTTACGAGTTAGTGGGAGAGCTGGGGAATTGAAGGCGAGACAAAAAGGTAAGATAAGACAGCAGCAGAATTAGATAAAAAAAAAGAAAAAGAAAAAACAGAACTTTTGGTTGAAACAAGATGTGTGCATGTGTCACATTAGCATCTGTACAGAATTTACAGAACATAGTTTATTTATCAGACTAGTGCTGAGATAATGCATAAAGTGTTTGGTTTTCGGTGTAACTGAACATTATTATTACATTTTCATATTTAGATTGACATCTCATCGGGGCTGGAGTGTCCTGATTCACACTCTGAATGAGTCCGAGGCATGAGCGACATGAGCTGGACTACACGCGTCCCTGTCATGTCCAAACTTTCCAGAGAGCTCCAACTGATTCGGTACAATATAATCCTGACACGCATGTTGGTAGTGCGGTTTGGTAATTCAAACATCCCTGTAAGACACTAAATTCAACTCGTCTTCGTATTTTCAGTCAGGCGCTTTGAGGACCACACTGTGAGAGCGCGTGTACAACGCTAGCACGATAGCTTTAGCCATTAGCATTACCTATCTTGTGGAAAATAAGTCGATACTGAGAGAGGATCTCGCGTTTTTACAGTCCTGTAGTGTAATTTATGTTTCTTTCATGGTAAATTGGTATTTTTGGTCTCATTAAGAGGATGTATTACTAGAAGAATTTAACATTTTAACTCACCACGAAACAACGCCGTATGGAAATCTGACCACACGGTGAAAAAGAGGGCGCTAGGAGGAAGTGACGCAGTATAAATACTCCATTTCCAAGCCGATGATTGGTTGATTATCTTGACGAAGCGACGTCATTTCGTGATTAGTCCACTAGGGGGCGTAGCTACGCTGTGCTGCGTTCAGGGTCGCAGAGGTAACTGGAGGTCAGTTTACGGCTCGGATGGGGATCCCATATTAAGACAATGGAGATGGAAAGACCATATTAAGACAATGCTGAGACGCTGACTTCTCGGTGAAGGACTGACCCGTGTTGCAACTTTATTTGCTGGAGATAAAAAGTTCCAGGTAAAGGGGGACATTAAAGTACACATTGACACAATGAGTTGAGAAATAACCCAAAATGAGACGTGTCTTATGGGGACAAGTTATTTACTAAAAGTGTTTTCATGAAGAGCACCAAATTTACTTAAAATCAGTTAGTCCTTAAGTGTTACTTATTAGGAGTATTTTCTGTGTATGTTTGTCATTTACACCATTGTCTCAGAGGTCAAATGTACTTTTACCTTATAATTGTTGAATGTTTCATTTTTCAAGGTTCAGATCATAGATTGTATATACAGTTTATGGTTCAGATACTGAAACATACATTAAATTAAGACATTTCCAGTAGTCTGGACAGAGTCAGGGCAGATCAGAGTTCTCTGGGTGATTCTGTGTTGATTCAGTACTTGGCTTTGGATGAAAATCAAGGACACCTAATGGGTTCAATCTTACAAATAAGGTTAAGGAAAAGTGGGCTGATGTTCCAAATGGTGCAATAACATGTTTTGGAGTTGATTTCTGGGAAATATCCTGCTGTCAACACAGACAGTCCTTATGGTAAGTCACCATGATGTACCATTTTAAGAATTGTGACACCAGTACTCACGTTTTGTTCAGGCTATTATCAGATGATTTATCACTCAGCAGGGGAGAAAGTTATTTATGTTCTGTTTGAATAACCATCAAATGCTATTGCATTCAAATATAAGTCAAACTGAAACTAACATTATTGTTTTTTCTTACTCACTGACACTGGCACATGTGTGGATGTTGTTGCTTAGGAATTTAGTGTGCATATGGGTAACTATTTTTTTTACAGTATGGTGTAAATAAGAATAGTGTTACTATTGGAAATGGGTTTCTCTAATAAGTTAATAAGTACTGGATTTCTGACAAACCTCCACTGCTGTCACTTTAGCTACAAAGTATAATGGAGCTCATCCTTTTAGAGGCAGGGACTTACTAAGGACAAGCCTTCAGTGTTTTATAAATCATGGGACCCCTTCTTGAATGGGATTGAAATAAAGATAGCTCAGACTTTACAGAAAGGGCTCTGATTTGGACTGAAATTTCAAAAGAGTTGACCATATTTAACTTCTAACCAAGTGTTGGACTGTCACAGCTCACTGTCTGTACTCCAAGTCATGTTCTGTACCACGGGTTGATTTTAAAACATTTTTTTTTAATGTCAGGCTTTTATTATTTACTGTGTGTGGGAGTTTAATGTGTGGATGGATATCATTTTTTAAGTAACTTCAAAATTTTGTATATTCAGGAGATTATAAACTAATTTAAACAAACAGATGAATATGATATTGGATTTGCACAGTCTGCTCTAGAGTGTACACTTCATTTCATTACATTAATTTGATTCCCAAATAAAGACAATTGTGTGAATTTGCTTTGCTGTGTATATAATAATAGAATTTTGCAATTCAAAGTTTAATCAATTGCAATCAACTTTTGAAAAAGTGAATTAGGGATTTTAAAAATAATCACTTGACAGTCTGGACTCCTGCAGAAATTAATGTTGGATTTTTCCAAACACACTGATGATTTCTGGACTACTGTAAATTGTCTTTCTCAATCACTATGTTGATTGTTTTATGGCTGTATTGGGTTAAATCTTGACCTCAATAAATTCACCTCTGTCCCGAGTTCATCCACTTAGCATTGACATTAACTTTATTTCCCCCTGTCTGAAGCTTGTTCAGCTGCCAGGTCAAACCATAAAACACTTTAAAAACACGTGGAGAGAAACCCAGATACAAAAGAACAGTCAGATGATTGAAAATGAGAACACATAAAAGAAAGCAGAGGGCATGTGACACTGTGAAACCAGAGTTCATTATCAGAAATCAAACTGTGACCACTATCTATCGGGTCACAATCAAGTTTATGATACTGACCTCATCAGAGCGGACGGTTTCAATCAAGATTTCCTGCCACATTTTAGCAGGAGCTCTATTAGACTTTATCTAAAATTACACAAGAGGGTTGATCGGAGAACATCTGCCTGTTTGCTTTCACACGTGCAGCTTGATCTAGGTTAGTTTTCAGGAAGGACATATGACAGCACTGTTAACCTCATGGCCTAAATTCACCACACTCTTGGCTCGATGTCTTTTTTAAAGGTTGTTCACTGCTTTACTCAAGATCACAAATAATCTGTTGATGCAGGGACAAGTTCTATACTTGTCCTACTGAACCTCAGTGCAGCCTGTGATATTATGAGAGCACATGATATCAAATTCAGCAGCTCAGACAGTGGAATCTCTGGCACCAACTTAGACTGATTTTGAAGTTTTGATCACTGGTGGTAAACATATTTTGTCAGCCAGGGCTGTGTCTTGTGGTGTCCCTCAGAGTTCTGTACAGGGTCCTCTGTTATTTCTCTACCTCTGATCCCCCTAGGATGTCTTAAGAACATTTTAAAGTGTCTATTATCATTGCTTTACAGATGACAATCAGCTGTACATGTTGTTTAAACCTGGACATGTCTCTAAATTGTCCATTTTACTGTTGTGGGATGAATAAAAGCTGGAATGTGATAATTTTCTCTAGCTAAACACCAACAAAACACAGGTTCTTGTCTCTGCTCTTGAACATGCTGTATCAATGTGGCAAAGTCTTGGTGTGTTATCTCCTGCTGTAAAACCTGCCTTGCAAAGTCTCAGTGTCCAAATGGACCAGGCTTAGAGTCGGAATCAGCATGTAAATTATTCTTTTCACTCCTCTTTTTACTATTTAAGAAACAATAATACTGTGAAACTCAGACCAGGGCTGAACTTGAGATAATTGTAAATTTAGATTGTTGTAATTCTCTTTCCATCTGTCTGAGCAATGTGGTCAAAAATACATTTTTAAAAGCAGTTGAAGATCCATTTGTCAAAGTGTACCTTTGTTAATCAGAATATGTCTGCTCCTATGAAACTGTTTTATCTTGCTTTAGTTTGGTGCTGTGGAGCATTTTGTGACGGCTGTTCTTTAAAAAAGCCAAACTCATTAACTCTGCGTACTTGTATAAAATAACAGAGAGATTAATCTTTATAAATGTTCAGAACAAAGTTGTTTCTCTCAGTAGGTGACCTATAATAGATGTCAAAGCTGACTGATACAGCAGATAAATCATCTTTACTACCACCACCACCCTGCTCTCCATGTTCTCATTCCCTCTTTGCTGTTATGTCACCTCCTCTGCTGCTTATCTCTGCGTAACAGTGCTCTGATACTTTGGTCTTTCTACCCCATCAGTCTGCTGAAACACGCTGAGTGATATGACTCTGTGGTCTCTCAGAGGGCGTCTGCTGAGTCAGTAAAACATTTTATATCTTCTCTAATTAAAAAGAAAGGTGAGGCAGTGCCAATCATGCCGTACAGGTAATCAACCTGAAGGTTTTAGGAGAGAATATTCTTGTCAGTGTTTCCACTTCGAACAAAAAATGAAGAAATCTATCAAAATGACTGTTTGCGTCTTCTTTCTGCGCACAAGTAGGACAGAGATAAAATGTTGCTTTAAGATAAGATCAAGTCTGCTGTGTCAGGCATAAAGCTCCTGACCGTCACTCTTTCACTGGAAAAATAACAAAAATAATCAAGACTAAACAACATATCACATAATTAGTGTTTAATCTTTCTGAAAAGGCTAAACTATTTCAACAGTTTATGCGTTTGGCACAGAAATACTGACAAATGTTACAAAACTCATAATGGCATTGATGAACTTGTTCACATTACTAAAAGCATATAAATATCAGTGTTAATAGGAAGGCGTTTCAGAGCCTCTCCAGGTGTTAATTTGTGCGTTGACGGACCTGTCGGGGTTAAAGTGCAAATCAAAGTCTGAGCTGTATGTGGGACAAAGTCTTGAGTCATGACAGATTGCAAAACTGCAGACTCTAGAGATCCCAGACAAAAGAAATACAAAGATACAAGGTTTTCCACATCAACCTGAATGACTGAGTCTTCATGTGCGTTAAAAAAAAACCATATAAAAAAACAGCTTTTAGTGCAAGAGCATTGATGCAAACCTGTCTTTTCATCTCCATTTCACACAAATTGGCAGGCATGGTCATTTTCTCCTATTTAAAAAGTGTTAAAAAAAAGTGTCTGATTCTCTGCTAGAAACATCCCAGACCAAGCTGGAGATGAATCAACCTTGAGAGATCAGAAAAATTCAAATGTTCAGCAGCACCGGTGACTTTCCAGACAGCTTTTTGTGTGCCTAGTAGACGATAATTGTGCTGCAATTGAACGTTGCTTGATTGTGATTCAATTTCCAGAGGGCAGAAGACTTCACTCAAATAATACTTCCTGTGTCTCCTCTATATTTCATCAAATCGCAAAGCTGCTCATCATTTTTTTAAGAATCCTCTTTTTGGACAGTAACCTCTATTTCCTCAACTTTTCCACTCATTATAAAGACTCATCTTATTCTCCCGACACAGGTATGGACAGTTTATATATCCACAGATAAAACACCTTGGTGGAGATCTCGTTGAATCCACAAGATTCAGGAAGCGAGCACAAGTTCAGAACAAGCACAGTCAGGAGGAGCAAAGTCTCGTTCCTTAAAGTCCGCAGTGTCTCAGCTGAGCACATTTCATGGAGCCACTTACCCATAACTCTTCTGTTTTGTGCGTGTTAGTCATTTTAGACAACAAGTTCAAGCTTTCTTCACTCGTCAGTCTGAAATCGTTTCAGTCACTGAAAGTCCTCGGAGGAACACGTCCACCGTGGCTCTTCTTTAACCTTAACTCAGTCTTATCTTCACTCTGTCACTTGACGTCTTCCTCAAGCTTCCTTTTGGCCCTCCACTTCATGACTTCAGTCCAACTTGAGCCATCATCTGCTCATAGACCGTCCACGCCATGGCAGCCATCATGGTCCTCCTCAATGCCCGAGGAACCGCCCCCATGAAGAAGCCCTGCAGCCCGTGTTCCTGCAAGGGAGAAGACGAGTTGTAAGAGGAGGAACAGCAGGTATATGCAGAAGCTTCTTGAAAGACTGATGGAAACATATTAGAAGAGTCGTCCAACAGGGAGAGATAGTTACCATGTGAATGTATCTGACAGCTTCCATTGTCCTCAGCTGTGGATTCACCTGGACGTGAGTTTTAACAACATCAGCCGGCTGAGTGATCAGAGAGGCCAGAATACCCGCCAGGATGCCGCAGCTGAAGTTAGCCAGAGGAGCTGACGCAGACGAGCGGATTTCTGACAGGAAGATATTCAGCAAATGTAAGAGGAAGCACTTCAGTCAACATCAGCTCTTTAGAAACCGTTTGACAAACATAGCTAGAATGCTCTGTGTATCTCCTCTCACCTTGGGGTAGCGAGGCCTTGGCCTGACTGTAGAACATGACGTAGATCCCAGAGAAAGGAACGTCTCGGAGCAGAGTGGCCGTCAAACCCGAGAACAGAGCTGCGGGACCTTCAGTCTTACACACGCTGCGCAGAGCTCCGCTCACACTGCCATAACTGTACCTGCCACACTAACACACAACATCACACACAATCAGTTTGGTTCATTCATGAAGAGGTCATTACTTTTCACTCAGATAGATATTTGGTGAATAAATATTTGGTGTAGTTTGTATAATCAGTGGACTAAGAGTTTAAATAGTCACAAAAAGATGCTAAAGAATGGTTAAAAGCTCATAAAAGTGTCACTCTGGGTGCTTGTCCAAGTTTTAAATCTATGAGAAAAACCAAATTCAGAGTTAATCTTTGTCATCTCACACTTACTTCATAGCGTGTCTTGATGACAGTGACGGGCAGCATGATGACCCCCGCCAACGTGCGGGCCCCTCCTCCCAGCAGCACGGCCTGCAGCGGCCCTGGGCTGCTGTCCTGGAAGAAGTGCTGCTTCAGAGAGTAGTAGGTGCTGAAGTAGATCCCCACTCCAGGGATGGTCCGGACAAAAGACTGAAGGAGAGAGACGTGAGTCAGAGGAGGAAAAATCTGAAGATCATTTTTGATACTTTTAAAGAGGAGAGATTGTTTCCTAACCGGTGAGATCCCTTTCCAAAGTCCCAGCAGCCTCTCTGTTCGCACCACGCTCAGCAGCACAGTCACCATCCCCACTCTGCTTGAACTGGAAGAAGAATATTCACATTAGTCCACAGAGAAATCAGCTCAGTCTAAATTAATGTGACATTATGTTGCAGATCAAATCAAAATGTGTTTATGTCTGTGTACTTAAACTCACCCAGGCTGCATGCTGCTCTGCAGGGTCTGAAGGCGGGTCTTGACAAGGTCGAGAGGCTGGAAAAGCAGCGTGGAGCAAGTCCCGCTGAAAGAGCCGCACATGAAGGCTTTGATCGCTGGATGAGCCTGGTGAGGAGGGCAGGAGAGGTGGAGTTAGAGATGGAGCCACACAGTCTGCAAAGCTGTGCTAACACAGGAAGATTCTGTGTACAAACTATGCAACGTTTTTCCATCAGTTTTACAGATGCTTGTAAATTCAGCTGTTATATAATGTCAGATAACGGTCTCGCCACATTTCCTCTGCAGCCCTACAGCCTCCTCTGCATGTCATGTCCGACAGGACGGTAAAAGGGGTCAGGAGTATGTCAGACTGGTGTTATCTCTGAGACACGATGCCCTGACCTCCAGTTTGATCCGTCCACTGCTCAGAGCTCATTAAGTTCTCACTGCCAACAGGAAATCGAAAGTAAATAGCTGGAAAACTCACCAGAGACAGCTCCATACTTGAGCCGGACAATGAACAGTGATTCACAGCAAAAACAGCTCCTCTTCGTCTCTACTCTGCCACCGTCTGATGTGAAACTCCTGCACACCTAGAAAGAGAGAGAGAGGTGATGACGAATGAGCATGTGCACAATCCTGGTGTCTGTATCAAGCTGTGGATGTTTGAACACACACCCAGCAGTCTAAAATAGTCACATCACCTGACTGAAACTGTGTGTTTCCAATTTGTGATCACCCGACACACAACACGCTGCTCTTCATTTAGCTACTAAAGATCAGTGTGCTGCACATTAGGATGAGTCAGGCGTGTGTCACTCGACCGAATGAACTTCACGTGAGTCTGAACCCATGATTGACTGACTTTGATTTATCGTGGCATCATGAGTAAACAAGATTCTGAGCCCACAGAGAGCGTACATGGTAGCATTACTATGCAGAAAAGAGAGCGGACACAAAGTAGATCAGTAAATTATAGACAAAACATTTGAATAACAAACTATATTATGACTTTTTTGTTTAAGAAAGCTCGCCAAATTTCAAATTGATAAGTCCCTGATGTCGCTGTTTTATTCTGCTTTTATTGAATCAGTCGTAAATTTTTTGTATTATTTGTTGGTACAGCAATCTGGGGACCGGAGAGAAACATGCCCTTGACAAGATTGTAAAGGTGGAAAGTAAGAATGCAGGCCTGCCGTTTACTAGCTTGAATCATATTTTTAACAAGCAGGTTCTTAAAAAAGCTGCGTCCATACAGTCTCATAGTGACCATCCTCTCAGCTCAGAATACAATCTGTTACCTTCTGGCCATCGGCTGCGAGTTCCTACAGCCACAAAAAAACAGGTATAAAAATTTCTTCATCCCAGGCTCTCTAAGAGCCCTAAATGATTCCTGCAGGAGGAGATAACTGCTACTGATACTGGATGGTGTATATTATTATTATTATTATTATTATTATGATGTATGGTACTGAATTATTGTGGTCTTGCTATATGGAGTAGGGGTATTGGCTCTAGGTCTAATGGGCCTGATCGTGCTGATCTTGGAAGGATCAATCTTGATCTAGGGTTTCTTTTTCGGTACACAAACCGCACATTGCACTTTGTTTCTGCATTTTATGCACTCTGCTCATGCAAAAATACCAGTATGACTGACATATGCTTTTTTTAACCTTCTAAACAGTCCAATGCTTTTTACCCTCTGAATTGATTTTTTATGTAAATGTATTTTCTCTTATTTTCTTTTATGATGTATGGCAGTGTTTTCAATGCCTGTGCCTGCTGCATTATGATTTGCCTATTTTGGGACATAACAAAGTTGAAGTGAAGTGAAGTTTATGATGGTTCCTTCAAGTTCTTCAAGCAAAACAGGCTGTTTTTAGAAACCCTGACATAAACTTTGCAACCAAAGACCTCTGGTTTCTTCTTACGTCTGTTAATACACGTCTTTTAAGGCTAGCAGCGAGGCAAAAATCTAAGGCATTTGAAATCCAGAGTGAAGTTTCAGCAGTCTGTGGTGATCTGGGGTCCTATGCCATCTGCCGGTGTTGGTTAACTGTGTTTTATCAAGTCCCAAGAAAACACAGCTGTCTTTCTAGAGATTTCAGAGCTTCTATCTGCTAATAAACTCTGTGGATATACCTACTCACAGTGCCAAAACTACTGCCAAATATTTCTGCTGATGGCAATATTCTGCTCGATTGATCAGCAAACTTTTCAGACTTGATTGGAAACCTGAGCCCAGAATTCAGCACATCTGTGGGCTGCAATCCAAGCAACCAATGGGCATCACTGTCACCTTTACAGTGCTATAGGCTGATCAGTGCCCTCCCATCACTGCAGTATGAACACATCTTTCTTTTTAGATTCTAGATTCAAATCCTTCTAAAAATGATATCAAGAAATTCTAATAATATGAGATCTGGAAAAATCTTCAAAAGTGAAATCAGAAAGGGATGGAAATAGTTCACTTTACACACAATTATATCAGAATAGAACTTCTTGAATGATATTATGTAAAACAAAACAACTTTTTCATGACATTATGATGTTTGAAATGCACCTTTAAAGTTGACAAACGAATAACATTTTTGTTATTTGAAAAACAAAAAATAGATAGGATGTTGTTTAACCCTAACCATCGACATAACCAGTCACATCAATGTCTGAACTTGTTTACCGGCTCATAGTACCGGAAGCACAATAGTTGTACAGGACTGCTGAGACGTGATACTGAGCAGGTGCTGCCAGAATTGACTCAAATAGACTTCATCAAAATATCACATGTGTCCTGATCTTACCTTCCTCAGGTCTTGAGCGGTTTGGAGACACAGACTGATATCAAACGTCTGAATCCTGCGGTTAGCTAGTATCGTATTTGTCCAAAACGTTGACGTAAGACCTTTCACTACTTCGTCTTATCGGACTTTTCCACCAGGATGCGGTTAAATTCGAGCGGTAAATCCCTCTTCCCGTCGGTATAATCTGCGGTAATGATACACCTGAGCCTCTACTATCTCCAGTGTCGTGTGCGGTCTACTCACTCGAATGGCTAATCGTTTACTTTGAGGGAGAACTTCACTAAACCGGCCGGCTCCTGATTACGACGCATGCGTGCCATTGGTGCCATGACTGCCCCGCCCATCAAAACCCAAACGGCCTCTGATTGGTCGGTGTCTCGGCGAAGCGAATATTTAATGAGCACTACCTACTGTTACGTTTTTAACAGTGGAATAACAGTCCTGACATGCATTTGTACCGAATGATACACTTAATTTAAGCAGTATGTCGTTTTATCCTTCAATACAGAAAACAACAAACGCTTACTAAACGCACAGCCTGACTATTAAGTAACTTTTTAGTTGAGTTTCGCACTCAATATTATTAATTCACCGAAAACTTATACAATGGTCTGCTGACGACGATTGACGTGACACGAACAGAAAAAAATCAATTCTAATAAGGAACCATATCGAGTGCATTACAGACTTTGAATCACACACAAGAACTCATTCTCTCACACCGCAAACTGGTGGGCTACTGACGCACAAACATTGAATTTTTACCTACGCACACCACAAGCAACTTACATCATTCTTCTAATGTAATTCCATCATATACTGTTGTACAAATTATTTTACATGCATACATTTTAGAGGAGGCAAATCACAGAAGTCCAATGTTCTCCCCTGAAAATGTATTAGTTAAATAAAGCACTTAAAGATGCTGACTTCTGTATACTTTGTTTGTATACTTATATACTTTATATACTTGTATACTTTGTTTATATACTTATTATACAAACTATTAATTTACAGTCATCCTGCAGACTAGTATGAATTTAGTTATTTGAGGAAGATAAACCTTTTCAGGGAAACGAATCGCCTTGCATAAGAAATAGAGCCAAATAGACCATAAAATAGTTGAATTAAAAGGTATCTCACCCAGAATTCTCCATCCTTGTTTACTTTATTGAAGTCTCTGGTGAAACTATTGTGAAACCGGTTTTAACTTGCTTGTGTTCTATTTTGCTCCTTCTGCCCCCTGTTGGTAAAAATACACTATTGCATAAACAACAACTTTGGCACCAGTGGAGTGAAGTTCTGGACTTCATCCTAGTGTTACTAACCCCTGAACCCTCGATTTGTATTAGGTCAAAGACCTCTAAAAACACAAACATCTGCACTAGTGGACAAAAAAGAAACAAGTTCAACACATAGCAGTTTAGAAAGCCTCTTTAATTGCAATAACACCAACATTTCACAACATGAGATCCATTCCAGAGGTGCAGACAGACAAACATTGTTGGAGATGCAGTATTTTCCTCTTTTTGTTTCTTTTTTTTAAGTGCGAATAAAGAGATGGTTTAAATTCTGAGCTGTTATTTGTAAGAAACAACACAATCCTCTCACTTCCCAGCAGTGTGAGCCATAAGCTGCCCCCTGAGCACAGCCTGTGAGGGGTCAACATCATCCTCACACACAAGTTTGTATGCGCTTTAACCGTTTTTGATGAATGAGTAACTGGCTGCAGATTAATCCAACATATCAGTGAGAGTACAGAGCAAAAAGGCTGCAGGAAACAGGTATTTTTCTCACCTTCTGCACCTGCGTTTTCCCCCATAACAAACTGTGCTCTGAGAATACAGTGTGTGCTGTGAGTAATAAACAACCCCACCACCCCACTTAAACTTCACCTCAAACATGAACAAAAACACTGATAGTGATGAACGTAAAATAAAAAATATATATATCAATGCATGTCCAGATAAAAAGCCAACAACCCTTCCTGGGAGAAGTCAGACGCGTTTAAGGCCTTAGTGTGTGTTGGCACTCTGAGCTCCTTCGTCAATGTTTTTCCATGAAGCACAAAAAGGCAGTGGTTTATGTCAAGGCTTAAGTGTTTTTTCTTTCATCTCAGTGCAAAATTTTAAAATTTCAGCACATTCACAATCAAATAAATGCCTTCAATATGCCTCAGAGTCCAATTTGTTACCTGAATTCTGCCTCTGGTTTTATGTTTCTGCATGAAATGTGTGCGCATCACATTGTTAAGCCCAAAAGCATAGTCAGGAGTACTAACTGCAGCTAAATGGATAGAATACATTTCAGCATATAAACCTTCATAATAAACTGAGGCCAGAGCGTGAGCATAATAAACACGAAGCACTTCCATTTAACCATTATAAAAACGTCTGCATAAAATACAATTCTATAGATCGAGATATTACTTTGGTCCCCTTCCTGTGATCGGTCTTCATTTACCCATACTTCTCATTTTGTTTTCTCTTTCTTCAATTAGAAAAATAGATCCTAAATCAGGACTATTCATAATTGGAATGTTTCCTTATAAAAATATCCTTTTCTTTCAGTATTTTTTTCCCAGAGAATGAAAAAATGAAGCAAAAGAAAAAAAAAAATTTGGCCCAAAAAATAAACATGTTTGTGTGTCGTCAGCATGGTGATTGTCCGAGTTTACTGGCTTCTGTGTGTGTGTGTCAGAGTGTGTTAAGAATGCATAGATTGTCATGTTGTATAGATCAGACTGTCACAGGACTAAAATCCCTGTCTTTAGTTGAACAACATTCTTATCTTTGTGTCGCTCTCCAGTCAGTAGGTACAGTTATGTGTGTGCTCGTGTGGTTTTGGGTTTGTGTTTGTGTGATGCAGTTTCTAAAGGGTCGAGCGGCACTGTGGCTCTTCATTCAGGTTTCGGCTCAGAGGTCTCGCTCTTCGTCTCGCTCTCCTCGTCGCTTTCGATGCCTGATGTCCCCCGCGGGACAGTGCGCCGCACCATGAAGGGAAGGTCGCCACGTCTGAAACAAAGACAAAAAAAAAATATTACAGCAAGCGCACAGTCAGGGAAGATCTGAGATAAGGAAGTGGACTTGGAGAAAGAATGAGGAAGGTACGGTGGCTTTAAAGGTCATTGGGGACTTCCTGGTTCATCTTCTCACCTGAGCTTGCTCTTAAGGGAGCTGACTTCACGGTTCATGGCGTCTGCGGACTCGGTGGCGTCCTCCAGCTCTCTCTGCAGCTTCCTTCGGTTGGCGTTTGCTCTCTGAGCCTCTTCCTCAGCCTCCTCTAGCTGACGCTTCAGCTGCTTCATACGTGAGGTCAGCTTGTCCACCTGCAGTCATTAACGGATACATTTAGATAACCTACAACAATAAGATATCAGATATACTGTTGAGAAACTACCTTGTATGAATCTAGTTTTATTAAATGATCATTTTGGGTCCCAAACTTTATTGTTAATGAGAATACTTCTGATCAAAAGGTAAAATAATCAGGATTTTTTGTATAATCAGTAAAAACAGAAATTACTCATTCAGGTTGTTCACACTTATTATTTCACTTGGATGCTCTACTGTTAACGCAGCTAGTGGACACAGGCCCTGAATTTTCTGACTTTGCCGAAGCACTACAAATAAAACCTGTGGAGGGGCTGCCTTGGAAAAATCTCGTGTGAAAAAAATGAAAAACTAAAACCTCACTAAACTGACAACAGAAAGGACAGGCAGAACATTGGACAGAAACAGTCTGATAATAATGATGAAAACCTCTGACCTGGTCCTTGTGCTGCTCGGTGTTGCGTCTCTCGTCATCCACCTGCAGGATGACCTCCTTCAGTTTCTTCTCTGTGCGTCTCACCAGCTTGGTGGCCTGCTGTCTCTCTCTGAGTTAAGAACACAACAAAAGGTCAGACTGAAAACATCGATGTTATATTATTTGTTACATCTATGTACAGAAGTATACTGATTATACAATGTTAAGTGAAAGTGCAGTCTTTCCTCACCTGGTTTCAATGTCCACTTGTTCCTCCAGCTGAGCGATCTTGGCCTCCAGGGCGGCCATGTTGGCCTTATACTTGGATTTGACGGTTCCCTCCAGTTCCTGCAGTTTCAGTTTCAGCTCTTTGTTCTGACGCTCCAGCTGAGCACGCGCTCCTTCCACACGCTGGGAGGTGCTGCGCTCTGCAGTCAGCTCCACATTCATCTGGTCAGTCTGAAAATAAAGGTAAACCAGATATCAGAGGATGCTAGACCGGAAGGAATCATTAAACACTTAACTGGCAGCAGGTTAACGTATCAGGCACTCTCTGCTCACTGACCTGCAGCATTGCTTTCTTCAGCCTGTCGTTGACCAGCTCAGTGTTGCACTGCTCCTCTTCCAGCTCTTCCTCCAACTGAGCAATGCGACCCTCCAGTCGTCTCCTCTCCTCTGCAGCCTGAGCACTAGGAGGTAGAAGGAAGAAATGAGGGAATAAGATTGAAGATGATTACCTTATGATGCGCGCAGCTGTCATGTTACTGAAAAAATGAGGGGCGTCTTACTTCTTGGCAGCCTGGCTGTTAATCTCATCCTGCAGTTCGTCTCTCTCCTGCTGAGCCTGTCTCTTTGCTCGTTCTGCAGCTGCTGCCTCCTGCACAAAGATAAATGGGAGTGGAGTGAGGAGCAAGCCACGCTGAAGGAGATCAGAAATCATTACTCAAAAGAAAAAACAAACTAACCTCCTGCATCTGGAGCATGTCGGCCTCCATGCCCTTCAGCTTCTTCTCCGTCTCCTTGCTCTGAGCGAGGATCTCCTCTCTGGACATGCGAGTGTCCTCCAGCTCCCGGATCAATTCCTTCATCTGGGCCTGGACAATCAGAGGACTCAGTCAGAGTGGAAGCGCACCACAATCCCTGTATCTGAATATGTTATCCAGATGGCATTTTGATTTAACTCTGAATATGTTGGACTCACTTGGAGTTTCTTCAGCTGTTTCAGGGCCTCATCTCGGTTCTTGTTGGCCATGTCGATGCCCGCCTCCAGCTCCTTCAGGTCCAACTCCATCTTCTTGCGTGCAGCCACAGCTGCGGAGCGCTGCTTCCTCTCATCCTCCAGTTCCATTTCCATTTCTCTCACCTGAAGGAGGCACATTCGTTTTTAAATGTTGCATGATACAGGACCAAGAAACTACACCTATAAGCCCTGTATGTCTGATTTAATGTCCATATACGACACATTTTTCAAGTTTTAGTATCCAAATTCAGCCTTACTTGTATAATTTATGATATAGAAATAGTGCATGCTGAAGTCAGAGGTTTAAGCTTGAGATGGTCCTTATTCAGTTTGGGATTTTGTCATTTGAAAACGGTAATTTGAGATGGGACAACAAAACTCTGAAAAAGTTGGTTAATGCTAAATAAAGAGATACCTCGAGGAACCTCTTTGGTTCATTTGCAACAGTTCAACTACATGACTGGGTAAGAACAAGAGCTCTCCAGAGAGACCGAGTTTTTTTTTTATAAGTGCAGACAGGAAGAGGTCCACCATTCTGTGAGGGACTGTGTGAGCAGTCAGATCAACAATTTCAGAGTAAATTTCAAAGAATTTGGGGATTTCTTCACCTACAGACCATGTTTTCAGGCCCCAACATCAATAAAATAGCAAGAAAGGCTTCTAATTGATGAATTAATTTTCATCTGAATTTACTCCTAAAACTGTTTTCCACATGAGACAGAAGACAATATAAGTATTAGCTCTTCGTCCAGCTTGTACCTGCTTGACCAGGGATCTCTTCTTCTCCTCTCCCATCTCGTCCCGTCCAGCCAGGTCTCTCTCGTACTGAGCCTTCATGGCCTGCATGTTGACCTCCAGACGCAGCTTGGCGTCTTCTGTGGCCTGCAGCTCGTCCTCCAGCTCCTCCAGCTGGGTCTTCATCTCCTCCAGCTGCTGCTCATTCGCACGTTTGGACTTCTCCAGCTCGTGGACCTGCAGGAAGAGGGACATAACGGGGGATGATGAAGACGAGGATGTTTCCTGAAAAAAGCACACAGACAAGCTTTCAACAGACTTACACTCTTGCCAACGTCGTCCTTAGAAGACACGAGGTCCTCCATTTCAGCCCGCAGGAGTTTGTTGTTGCGGTCCAGTTCATCCTTGATGTCCATCAGAGAGTCGAGCTCACGGGTCAGAGCCAGCGCTCGGGTTTCCTTCTCTCTGGCCTCAGCCTCGGCTCGGTCACGCTCCTCTGCATAGCGGGCGGAAATGTTCTTCTCCTCGGCCAGCATCTAAACAAATTCAGGATGATGGTGTTGAAATTAAAGATTAGACTCCAACACGTGAAAATAAAACAACCTCTATTACACAATATGCGACATAAGATCTCTAACCTGGTCAAACTTCTTCTGCTTCTTCTCCAGGTTGGTGACAATCTGTCGCAGGTGCTCCTGGTCCAACACCATGTCGTCCAGCTCCTGCTGCAGACGGGTCTTGGTTTTGTCCAGCTTGTCAAAGGCGGCGCATTTCTCTTCCATGCGCTGGTTAAGTCCTTCCACGTCCCTCTGCAGCCTCTTCTTCCCTTCTTCAGCGCTCTCCAGGCAGCCAGCATCCTGCTCCACCTTCTTCCTCATGTCGGCAAGCTACAGAAAGAAACATTTCCTTTAAACTTTTGCTGTCCATTTTATAAAAAATTCTCGAGCATGTTGGAAGATGAAAATGTTGCAAATTTGCGCCTAAATTGCAGGAACGCTGAGACCAGGCTTCCTCTCACCTGAGCCTGCACTGTCTGCAGCTGCTTCTCCACGTTTCTCTTGGCCTCCTCTTCCTCCTCCAGCTGCTCTTTCAGGTTGTTGTGATCCTCCTCCAGCTGGCGCACACGCGTGCTCTGAGACAGTTTCTGGCGTGTCTCTTCTTGGAGTAGCTCCTGTTATCAGCACAGAAATAAATGCAATATCATGGAGCAGACCGGTCAACGAAGCAGTTTTCTTAAACATAATATTTGAGGTAATTTTCCTCCTCTTTTAGAACAGAAAACTTGAAGTGAATGTTTTTAGCGTGAACTGCTGTGCTCAAAACTGCGAAGAGGAGAAGGTATGGTCTGTGTACCTGAACATCCTGCAGCTGGGACTCCACAGCAGAGCAGTCCTTGGTCGCCTTGATGGATTTGCCTTCCACATCACACAGAACGGCGCTTACATTTTCCAGCTCAGTCTGCAGAAACACGATAACAAAACATCATGTATTTAGTGTTTGATTGAAACAAAGATCTGAAAGTCAACCACCCCATTACTCGGTTTCTGAAGTCGTACCTGTGTTTTTGCGAGTTTCTCTGCCAGCTCCTGCCTCTGACGCTCGCTCTCTGTGTGTTTGAGCTGCAGCTCCTGGACCTGGGCTTCGGCTTTCTTCCTGCGGTGCTCAGAGTCGGTTTTCCCCTGACTCAGCGTCTGCAGCTCGATGGCCAGCTCGTTCCTCTCTGACTCCAGAGCCTGCTTGGCCTTCTCCATGGACACTTTGTTCTGCAGGAAGGTAAATGTTGTCAAGATCTTTGCTGTCGGAAATTACGTGTACATTAGGAAAGAAAAGACAAGCTGAAAGGATGTACCCTCTTCGCTTGCTCCAGCTGCTCATTGAGCTCATCGAAGGCCTGGCCGTGTTTGTGTCTGATCTCCGACAGCTGCTGCTCGTGGACTTTGGCCTCATCGTCCAGAGTTTTTTTAAGATGTGCCACCTCGGTCTCTCGTTTAGTCCTGAGCAGGGATAGCAGGGGTTAATCTGTCATGCCGTGTCATATAATGACCAGAGGTTGCACAAATCTAACTACCCCAAGAGCGGAATCTTTACCTGAGCTCCTGCTGAGCGGCTGTGGAGTCCAGAGTGTCTTCCAGCTCAGTCTTGAGGGCCTCCAGCTCTTCTCCCAGGTCTCTGCGGTGTTTCTCTGCCTTTACACGGGATGCTCTCTCCAGCTCCAAGTCCTCCTGCAGTTCAGAGATCTGAGCCTCCAACTCGCGGATCTTCTTCTGGGCCAGGTTCTTCTGGGCTGCCTCCTCCTCCATCCTTAGGAGAGACGCAGGTCAGTTAAAGTGAGAAAAATGGCAAATCAGCCGAACAATGACTCCAGGCAAAAATAAAGTAGATGTCTATACAGACCTGGCTAGAGCTGCATGGAGCTCTTCCTCTTTCTTGGCCAGTTGAGCACGGAGTTCAGCAATCTGTGCCTGCAGTTCAGAAATCTGGTCGTGAACTTCAGTGAAGTCCCCCTCCAGCTTGCGGCGGTTCTTCTCCAGCTCCTGGCGTCCTTTCTCCTCCCTGCGCAGGCGGTCTAATGGTCACCGAAAAGATATTATGATTAGATGAAAAAGAAGAAGTTTCTAGCTAGATTCTGGGGTAACTGGTTGCCCTCTTTGAGGTCCTATCATGGTCTCTTCCTTACCTTCCAGGTCTGTGATCATGGCCTCATATTTGGTCTTGAGTTTCTGCAGGCTCTTGGATTTCTCCTCTTCCTCAGCCAGGTTGGTGGTGAACTCAGAGATCCTCTCCTCCAGCAACTTCTTCTCCTGTGAGCATCAACAGGAAATATTAAGACCTTCAGAAATCACTCACCCGTCAGAAGAGTCACTAGTAACATGCGTCTTCATTCATTATCAACCATACCTTGTTTAGTTTGTTGTTCTGGTCATCTAGAACCATAACATCCTCCTCTATCTTCTTCATCTTGGCCTCCATGGTGACCTTCTCCAGTTGGAGCTTCTGTCTGGCTGCCTCCTCCTCATCCAGCTGCTGCTCCAGATCCTGTTCAGAGTTGAAAGATGTGAATCATTCAGCGCGTTTCTCTTATCAAATGTTTCTACGCGTTTTAAAAAGGCGAGTTCTTCAGACTTACTGAAATATTTTGCTGCATCTTCTTTTTCTCCGTGGACAGATGAGAGGCGCGCTCCTCCTCCTCCTCCACACGAGCCTCCAGGTCGTGGAGAATCTCCTCGAGCTCCTGCTTCTTGGCGGCCAGGCGAGCTCTCATCTCCTCGGCCTCGGCGCAGAGTTCGGTTTCTGCCTGGAGCTGCTCCTGCAGGGCCATCTTCTCAGCACCCAGCTGCAAGCAGAGCAAGGAGATTGTTTTTTAATCTGCTCGGGAGAAACTGCCCCAAAGTTTAAATCTAAAAGTATTGGCAGGCGTGACAATTTCTGATGAGATCTGAAGAAACAAAACAATCCATGCATAGATCAGTATTTATATCAGTGTCGGCTAAAGTGACACTGAAAATATCAGCAAAACATCCAGTACTTGTGTAGCCTTTCCACCAGTGTGCTTTGTTCTCCGATCAGTCTGTTTTCCATGTTTGAATGAAAAAATGAAATGAGATGAAAAGTTTACCTGCTGCTGTTTCTCTTCCATCTCCCTCAGCTGCTGCTCAGCGTACAAATGCTTCTCCTTGACCTTCGTCAGCTCTTCATCCTTGGCGATCATCTCCTCCTCCTGCCTGCTGACTTGCAGAAGAGGCTTCACCTAAAGACGGAATGGTGGTAGGAGGAGAAGTTAGGAAAGTGAAAAAAGTGAAAAGTGATAATAAAGTGTTGAGGAGACCAAGGGTTACCTTAGTGAAGAGTCTCCACCACTGCCAGTTTCGGAGTTTCAGGTAAGCAGCGCAGTTCCTCTGGATCACCTTCATCGCAGTCAGTTGCTGCTGTCTCTTAGCGAAAGCCCTACAAAGTGATATTAGACACAAACACTCAGGAAACAAGTCTCCATGAAACAAAGCATTAAACTTTTACCAAAGTAAAGGCTGTGTGAAATGAATGGATGGAGTTTGCTCAATTTTTTTTACTCTGAATTTTTTTTTTTCTGCACCTTCTGGACAGAATCCAACAACAGTTCGGTCATGGTGACGATCTTCACTTACTTGCGGGCGACGTAGCCTCTGCACCAGGCCTGGAAACTGATGATGATGTCTGTGATCTTCATGTCTCTCTCCTCCTCCAGGTGAGCGAGAACTCCCGCCCTGAAGAACACTTTACTCTGGCCGATCCTGTACAGGTTGGGATCCAGCTCCAGGCTTTGGATCTGACAGGACAGGAAACAGATTGATCAATCAGACAAACTGCAGAGGGACCAGCTGTTGAGGAGCTCAGCTCCAACTCAGTGGGTGCCTCACCATGCGCACGCAGGCCTGCTTTCCATCCATGAAACCCTTGGGGATGGCGTTGGGAGTGAGGATTTCATACCTGGCCGAGGAGCGGATGATGAATTTGAGATTTTCTTAAGCACCACAGGGAAAAAGACAAGAGTGCTGGAAGATATTAGATAAGAGTGCTGATCTTGTGTTACCTCTGTCTGAACTCCTGGAAGACGATGCGGTTAGGGAAGCCCTGTCTGCAGATACGGATCCCCTCCAGCACACCATTACATCTCAACTGGTCCAGAACCAGGTGAGGGTCCAGTTTTCCAGCCTGGGAGGGGAGAATATTTGCAGTTGAGAGGGACAGACTTACAAATCTGCCCGGACACTTTTAAGGGACAGACTTATAACACACTGTTGAACAACGCAGAGGCAGCCAACTCTCTAACTCTCTATTTTTTGGGTTTGAAATCCAGCCTGTGGAGGATTTTATTTATTCTGTTCATCCATCACTTATTCAGATTTAAAGCTGCTTTTGGTTGTGAAAAGCAAAAATGTTTGATTGTTGTGGGATGCTATGCTGCTCACTGAATACTTTGTTTAAAAGTCTTTATTACTACTGAGGTTAAGTTATTATTATCACTTTATGTTAGATCAGATTAAAGCTGAAATACCTACTTTTCTATTTTAGAAAACAGTATTTTAGAACTGTGGTTATAGTCTGGAAACATAAATATTTTTCCATACTTTATTTTTTCATTTTCCATACTTTTTAAAACCTGGAAATTGATCAAATTTATTTCCATACTTTCCATACTTGCGTAGGAACCCTGTAATAGTTACAGCACTTGATGTAATAAGAGCAGCTTTTTGTTGTGAACAAAAGTGTTGGATTGCTTGGTCTGATAAAAATAAAACATAATAGAGGTAAATTTGTTTACTTTGTTTAATGGATGTTGACAGATATACCTTGTTCAAAAAATTCCCCGTATACGGGGAAAATAAGATGCATCGATAATTGTGATAAACGTTATAATCATATAACAACTGAATCACAGCACCCTGAGTTGTGATCAAATCGTAAAGTGCCTGAGACAGTACACCCCTAACGATAATGGTACCTTCTTCTCGTGGTTGGGGATGATGCATCGGACAAAGTTGGGGTTTGTGTTCCTCAAAGTGGCCATGAGTTTGGAGAGCTGCTCTTTGTACAGCTGACCCACAGTGCGGAACATGCCTTTACGAGTCTTGAAGGCACCGGCGCCATCAGACATGCCGGACACCTTATCCAGGCCCACGATGCGGTCCACTGAGAGAGGAGACGAGAGAGAGAGAGAGGGAGGATAACAGAGACATAAAAAGAAGAGACAGTGTTAGAAGCTGTTGTGTTTTGTGTCTTCGGTTTTAACATTTAACCAGGCAAACACAAGACATGTGCATGTCATAAGGAAGAATGAATATGACCTTTATCTCTCCACTTCTCTTGCTCTAAAGTTCATTAAACCAGGACCAGTGAGACACCACACAAACACCCAGTGAACAAGGAGGGAAACAAGGATCGAGGGCAGGATGGCAAAACAGCAAGTGAAGCGTGGAGAGATCACACATCAGAACGGGAAAACTCAGTGCAGTGGGTGGAGAGGACTGGTCAGCTGTTAAAGCTGCCGGTTCTTCGAGTGGAAACTATGTGTGATGGTTTGAATTATGCATGTATGTGTGTCAGGAAGGTGACAAACTTGGTGGTTGCAGTGGGCATGTATTTCTTTTTTTTTAATGGTGATAAAAAAAAACAAAAAAACCAAACCAAACCCATGCAGTATATACCCATTGCTGTAGTACCCAAGACCAACACCAGGGGTCCCCAAACAACGCTATTACACAGAGGGAGAAAAGGAGAGTTCAATGACAGAGCATCAGGAGGCAAGATCACCAGAAGGTTTTTCTTTTAACGTCACACACTCAAAAATGAAGAAAAAAAAATGGGGTTTTGAGCCTGAACTAAATCTGAACATTCAGGAAAAATGGCTGCGGGACAAATCTTTGTTTTAACAAATATCAGGAGGGGAAACAAAAGAAAAAGAAACCTGGTCACCTGAGCCTGAGTGTAGAAAAGGAAAACGTCGATAAAAATAGGCTTTCTGACATTTCTGCACATCTGAGACCCCGCAAAAAGAAAATCATGACAGACAAAAATGGGACCGTACAGAGGTGAAAAATGGATGGAAACAACAAGAAGGCGAGTAAGAAGGTAAATACAAAGGTTCACACACCAGACAATACAAAGAGAAAGAAGACAATATGAAACACAAACCAGGAACAGAGAGCCAGCATGAAATTGATTCATTGGCCCCCATAGGGAAGCAGTGATTCCTCCGTGACTAAAACAAGTTCACGTCTCTAAAACTCACCGTCTTTCCAGAGCTCAGACACAAACTTGTCAGTAGATTGGTTGAGAAGGGTGGCCACATTGTCATTCAGGGGGTCCATGTTCTTCATCAGCCACTCGTCAGCCTTGTAGTCAACCTGAAGAGGAGAATCAGGCAGAAATCATCACTTTCTTAGTCTCTACAAATGTGTCACAGAGGAGAGAACAAAGACTGAAATATCTGACAAAATTAAAATATAGAAATGAGAATGCATTAAGTACACTGCATGTTTACCTTGCCAGCATAGTGGATGATGCAAAAGTCGGCTTCGTCCTTCAGTTTCTTGGGTATGAGGAACTTGGGGTGAGTTCCCTGCTCCTGGCGCACCTTATCCACAAAGGTCTTGTCTGTGGCTTTAGGGAACCAGCACTCCTCATCCAGCAGAGCCAGGATTCCAGGGGAGTTGGCCTGTATGTAGACGGATGGAAATATTTTAGCTAGGAAAAGGCAAAGTCTCCAGTACTAAAGGAATCAGAGGAGTTTTTTGTGATGGGGGGTGTTTATGACTTAATACAACTACATGTGTGAAAACATTTCTGCAATTCAAACACAACAGGAGAAAATGGAACCCTGAAAAGTGAAGCAGCAAGAAATTCAGTTTATTCTAAACTCGCTGCATGTAAGCTCAGTGTTCAAGCATTTTTCTGTTCTTATTTGGTTCAGTTTGGCTTCCAACATCACCAAAACTGACACTTGGAATGACTAATAAAATGATGGATCTGTTTCGGTGCTGCAGCCAGTTGTATACAAGAACATAAAGGTTACACAGCAGGTTTATCCCCAGCCTAGAATGTTATTTTTGGTATAACATGACTGTTTTATGCCATGGATCCTATCACTTAACCCTAGTCTTCTGCAGACACCTGCAAGTGTAACAACAGCACATTCTCAAACAATTAGAAAAAGCAGTATCTTGTTCCAGGGCTGTCATCAAAGAACTATGTGCCTTGCGATGATTTAAGATAGCCAGCAGTACCATTTGTGGTAATACTGGCTTTGTCTCTTTTTTCCTGAATTGTTTGCGAGTTGATTTATTAAAGCTAACTCTCATGCTGCATTCAGAAGCTTCAGGGGATACAAGAAACTGCGCTGGAGTGGCTGTAGGGCATTTATACCTCTCCCTTAACCAGCTGTGTTTGGAAACTTACACAAGCTCCAGGCATTAATAGTTGTTGCCTGTCACTAGCCTGACTGGTCCCTGATATAGTAGCTTTGACGCTGAGTGCTAAAGGGGACAGATGTGCTTTGACTTTAAAAGTTAGGTGACTTGAAATCCCCCCAGAATTCACTATATCATCCCATTTCAAAGGAGCCTCTCCAAGGAAGATTTTGCACGTCATCTCTTTACAACAGCCTGAATCTTGCTTTTGGTTTTGCATTTAGAGAACTACAAAAAAAGACTGGAACTCTTCATCATTTAAAGAAATCACAATGGAAAAAAAATAAAAGTTTCATTATGACTTTTTCCCAGTTAATATATTAAAAACTGAACATTAAAAAAAGACACATCCCTTCATCAAAAGAAAGAAACTTGGAGAGGTTAGAACATGTTAGAGGTTTTTGATTTCACCATAAGAAACTCATTATGCCAGACACAAATGAGGCTTTCAGACTTACAGGTTTCTCGATGAGGTCAATGCAGGGCTGCAGGTCCAGGCCGAAGTCGATGAAGCTCCACTCGATGCCCTCCCTCTGGTACTCCTCCTGCTCCAGGATGAACATGGTGTGGTTGAAGAGCTGCTGCAGCTTCTCGTTGGTGTAGTTGATGCAGAGCTGCTCGAAGGAGTTCAGCTGGAGAACACGGGAGGAAAATAAATCAACAAACAGTTGTAGCAAAATATTCAAAGAAAAATGAGGTGTCACTTTAAGACTAACTGTACGAAAGAGTCAAACATACTCTATTCCAAAATGTTAAATCATAAAATCACTTCAGCTCCTCACCTCAAAGATCTCAAAGCCAGCGATATCCAGGATGCCGATGAAGGACGCCCCCTGCCTCTTGGTCTTGTCGAGCGCTTTGTTGATCCTCATGACGAGCCAGCGGAACATCCTCTCATATGTGGCTTTGGCCAGGGCCTCCACAGCAAACTCAGCCTGCTCCTGGGTCTGGGCCTTCTGCACGTAGTCTCGGCCCACTTTGATCCTGGGCGACAGGATGGCCCTGGTGAAGTCTGTGACGTTCATGCCCATGAGGTGAGACACTTTCTGGGCGGCTGTTGCAGAAGGAAGGGGAGAAGTGGAGTAATATGATACAGTTAATAAAATATAACTGCAGGATCATGATCATCCTTTATAGCAAACCATATCATGTTCTATTTACAAGTTTACTAAGAAATGTACAAATACTAGTGCCATGGAGAGAAAGTTTGGGGGAAAATAAGGATGATGACACTCAATATTTAAAGATTTTACATATCCCTGCAGTCATTAGTCAGTCAGTTCTCTTTAATCTGAAGACATGTAAAAGGTATTTGTCCTGGGGGGGCCCACCCATGGCCGTTACACTCGCTCTTTAAAGTTTAGGTAATGTCTGTACTTATGTCGGCAGGTTCAAAGTGATCGAAAGAAAGCTTTTAAATCTGTCACTGACTTCATCAAGTGTTTGGTTGTGTTTACAATGTGATATGGCTGTCAATCAAGCATCCCACTGAGTGTTCTTATTGAAGCATGGATTTTCTAACAGGTTGTTTTTTGCAAGTGGAGCTGTAAACATGATTGGTGATTTATAAACCAGATACTGTGAATGTGAATGAAGTCTGCTATGATACACTAACATTAGTTTGTATCCACAGCCATCAGACTTTTCAACTCTTTCAAAAATAGTAGATGACTTTTGAGACGACAGACAATTAAATTTCCCTGAAGTTTTGCTTACTGGTGTTGTCGGGGATGGAGGCCTGGTCTGTGTGACGCTCCTTCTTGAAGGTCATGTTACCCAGTTGCAGCACAGAGGACACCACCTTCAGCATGCCTGATTCACAAAAGAGCAAACAGAAGCATTAACATGATTCAGTGTTCCCAATCAAAAGCAGGAATGTGAGTGAAAAAGAAAATCAAAAGCAGGGAGATACACAGATTGAACACTTAATTTATAGCTGGGAGCCGGTTTAGCTCAATGGTTAAATCCTGCAGCTTCTATACAGATGGTACAGTTTTCGAAAGGTCAGCTAGGTTCAATTTCAACCCTCAGAAGTGAAAGTACTCCTGCATCCGTGGTGACAAAGGTTCCTCAACAGCAGTAAAAAGCTGATATCATGAAGGAAGATTAAACTGAAGCCACTTTGTGCTGGTTAAACATTAAATAGCAGTTGTCAATTAAATTGGCAATTGAGTATCATGGACGTAATCGCCAGCATTCTAGTGAATTACTATGTACCAGTTTTTGCCTTTTCTACACTTTTTAAGATCATCATTTACAGCCCTCTACTCCTAAGTCTTTATTTGGATAAGTTACCTCTCTGTATTGATTCAACTAACTCACATTTTATGGTTTCAAAACTGGGATAACAAATCTTAGAATGAGGGTCACGCAAAGAATAACACAGGCCCACATGAAAAGTATAGTACAAGTGTTTTTTTCTGTCTGGCATACCGATCTGCTCATCCTCTGGGATGCTCATGATCTTCATGGCCTCCATGGTCTCCACAAACATGTCCTTGTCCTGCTGCCCAGGGATTGTCACGTTCCCATTGGAAAGGAATCGGTAGTTGTTGTAATTCTCGAGGAGGAGTTCATCTGTGGAATAAAAAGTTCTAGAGTGAGACTGGAGACACAGTAAGGATTTTTACATGATCAAACAGAGATATAGGCAGTTTCATTCTTACTGCGTAGTTTGTCTCCAGCTCCTGTCAGCAGGTAGTAAAAGACATGAAAGGTCCTCTCGTCTTTGGCCTGTCGGATGGCACGAGATTTTTCCAGCAAATCTGGAGGTCAGTGTGTCAAGGAAATGTTCATTTATATTTTCATTGACTGCATCTCTCTGTATCATGGACTAAAGGCAGGAGAGCTTTGCTAAATTTTATATCACAACATCTTTTTGTGCTTTTTGCATTTTTATCATGAGGCAGTAATTCAAAACGAAAAGGGGTCGCACAGATACCACCCCTCAACTCATGTTTGTGCCTGAGGCTGGAGAAAAAAGATTTTATAAACCTTTGTGTTTGGTCATCAGTTTGTTCATCATCAAAATTGACTGAGCTTTAGCCAAGCTAGAGGCAGCAGCATTATTTTGAGTTACAATTTTTACAGTCGCTCTTTTAACCCTAAATCCATGCTTTTGTTAATTATCTCAGACTCGAAACAACCTAGTAATGAGTTAAATTACTTTCATGCAGGTGGGACTGTTGGCATTGTTACTGACACCACACTTGAAGAGGAAAGAGCAAAAGTTTGCAAGCTCACCAAGGCAATTTACTTTAATTGTAAACACTGACACCAACTTTCACCTGAGAAGAGAATCATGTAACTTAAATAGCAACGGCCAAATAAACCAGGAGAAAACCAGCATTTGATCTCCTTTGTTTTTAGTCACCATTCACTCTTTTCTGCAACCATGGCTGCATCTCTGCTGAGGATTGTAACTCTGCTCCGTGTATAAATGACTAAAAACTTTCTAAGTAAAGAGACCTAAAACAAGGCCAACAACAACCTTTTATCTCTTCAGATCAATAAAGAAGTCATTTAAGTCTCAAGGATACAAGTCTCAATATTGGCACCAACGATGTAACCGTTGACGTCAAAGTTGATCCTGATGAATTTTCCCTACAAGGAGAAGAAAAAAACATTTAAAAATGTTGAACAGACCGCTTGGAGATGGGAAGGTGAATAAGGAGTGTGGGTCAGTAGATTAAGCACTTCTTCTTACAAATCTAGAGGAGTTGTCGTTTTTGACAGTCTTTGCGTTTCCAAAAGCCTCCAGGATGGGGTTAGCCTGCAGCAGCTGCTTCTCCAGCTCCCCCTGTTAGAAATAATCAGAAAAAAAACAGCAAGGCAGCTTACAAAGTACCCTCTCCATTTGATCACCAGAACCTCTTTAAAATCTGGATAATTTTCAGCTCTGGATTCAGATCTGGGAAACCTTAAATCATTCAAATGTGGTGCTCACTGTGGTGTTTCGTGAGAACGTCACATTTATAATCTGGTATTCATTCTCTAAAAAGACACTTTGCTTTGTTTCAGAAAACATGCTGACAGAGCGGTATGCGTTTGTTTACCCATGACGTACTTACATCTGAGGGGAGGGAAGAACGTGGAGTGTACAAATCATTTAAACAGAAGGCGATTAAAGATGGGACACGATAAACAAACAAACCAGCAATACACAAAAAAACACACATTGCACACCAAACATTTTCCCCACACGTGATATTGTGTTAGTGCCCAAACCTGCGTACACCAGAGACCCTCGTCAGTAACCCATCACCTGTAACCCCCAAGCAGAAACGTCCAGTGAAACCAAAGCCCAAAGAAGACAGATTTATACAAACCATGGGTTTCTATATGTAAACCAGGGCTGTACAATTATACTGACCTGTAAATACTTCACTGTTCTATGAGGACTAGAGAGCGAGACATCTAGCTAACTCTGCTTTATTATCAGCCATGAGCACAAAGTAATACATATAAAGAAACTTATCTCAGCTTAATAGCTCTTCCTGCTCGCTAACTCACTGCCAAACTTTATCAGTAGAGCTTTAGACACTGACACTTGAGGATCAGTGCCAATAAACATCTCCCTTTTTTCTACAGGAAATACGAAGGGCATGTGCCACGAAGACAGTAAACCTATCCTGAGTCTGCTTATCTGGCTCCACTAACCTGGAGAAAGCAAAGCGCGTTATCAAAGCTGATCTTCAAGATTACTGTTAGGGAATTCTTATGAACTGGGGTGTGTAGACCATGACCAGTCACACATTAACGAGTTGGCCATCAGCAGATTCTCCCATAAAATCTGTAATATAAACTAAGTGTGGGAAAGTCAGGAGAACATTATCTAAAAATCTGTGAAAAATTCCTCACAGCGACTTTAATTGTCAAGCCTGTACTCTGTCTAAACTGCACACTGGCAATTTTTCAGAACCACAACATTATTAATGTGATTGTGCAATTTACCATGGTGCAGGTTTTAGCTTGCTTGATGGATTAATTCCTCTCCTATTAATCTGTCTCATGAAATAGATGAAGTTTATTTAAAAACTTTGGAACCTCTCAGTACTAAAATAACAGGCACTGCATTGGTCTGAACACATGGCATCTAAATCGATCCAAAATGTTAACTAACAAACAAAGAGTTGGAGTGATTTCATGATAATTCAGACCAAACAGCTAATTCCTGCATTTCTGTCCCGCTGGTTTTAAAGATTTGACTTCTGTCTCTGTGTATTAAGGACAAACAGTTAAGCAGTAAGATACTATGTTTCTGTAATGTCAATTTTGAAGATGCATAAACAAACTGCAAAAAAATCTTTATGCAAAAAGGATAAAAGCAAAAGTTCAAGTTTGGAGCAACGATACAAGTGATGAAAAATTCAACCAGACGAGTGCGTAAAAGCATGAAAGCTGCTGTGTTTTTTTGGAGCAAAGATCCCCCCCTCTCTCCCTCCCTTATCCTCCGATTGTCTGGCTGAATTTTTCACAGGAACACATAAGGCTGCCACTGATCTGCAAACAAACTTCCTCCTGACTCTTTATTGGCTGACAAGACACATCCCCTCTGCCCTCGATACGAAGTGACTCCCACAACGACAAAGAGCTCCAGCGGGGGGAGAAAAAGGAAAAGGGAAGAGAGGTGAGGGCGAGGTGGGAGGGCGATGAAAGTGAGGGCGGTAGCAGATGGGGGGGTAGAGGAGCGAATGGAGGGAGTGGGTTAACTCACATGTGACAGGATCGAGCTGTTCTGTTGATGGGAAAAGAGAAATACAACAACCTCAACAAGTGATGATAGATGTGGTGCAAATCAAACATCTATCACTCGGCTGGCAGGGCAGAAAACAGAAGTGCAGGTTCTCCAGCAGAGAGTGAGGTCATGACTTAATGTGGGTTTTATTTCATGAGTTGATGCAGAAAAAACTGAACAAATAAATACTGCAAGGATAAAGTCAGGCCTCTGGTCTTTGTAAGCGTCAGATTGCCCGAGTCTTTCAACCTGCACTTCTGTTTTCATCGGCCTGCAGGACTACTTTTGATATTTCCATCCCTTTTTCCTTTGGCTGCACCAAAGAGGATTTTTTTACTGTGAAAAAAATTCAGCTGTTTGTATCCTAAGTGCACATACACAAACATCACAATAAACATGAGTGTATAAAGTAAAAAGTAATGTTGAACCTGTAAAATAAGAGCCCAGAATGACTCACACTAAAAAAGGAACAGCAGAGAGTGAGGTTAATGATGGAGTAGTAAAGTGAAGGATGAAGGAAGAGAGGAAGAGGAGGAAGGTTGAAAAGATGAACTATGTGGACAGGAGGTCTGGACTCACCTGGTCTTTCTTGGTCTTGTGAGAGGAGGCCACATGAGCCAGATACTGGATGACTTTTTTGGTGTTTTCCGTCTTACCAGCACCTGATTCACCGCTGTGAGACAGACGGAGATAAAAAGAGCAGAGTTCATAGAAAGCTTTCCCATACGACATAATGAAGCATTGTGAAGAAATGATATATACTGATAAAAATAATGAAACTCTTAGGTCTCATCAGTCTCCGATATTTTCCTCACATTCCCAACACTTTCTGAGAGAGATCTAAGACAGATTAATGATTCTGTTCTGAAACAAAAACATGGTTTTCATCTGTTTTTTATAAACAAATGAACACCATGTCCTTGTAAGTCTCAAGTTTGAACCAGTTGTTCTTTATTAGAACTGAAAAAATGCCCCTCCGATGACTATAAAAGAGCATGAGACTCTAGTGCTGAGTGCTCACTCTGGATCAGCTAGCAGCCTGTATTGAATCCAACCTGTGGCTCTTTCCTGTATGTCATTTATCACACTCCACTCCTGGTTTATTATTCATCAACTTCGAATCTCTACATTACAGCAGTAAAAGCCCAAAAATGGTCGAACAGAAAGGGTTTACATGATTTGATGAAACTTGAAGGTGCAGCTGTAAAACAATGGACATTTTTTAACTTGAAGTGTGAAGTCTGTTAGTTTTTGTTGAATAAGGTCCCAACATTTAATCTGTGCTACCATAAAATCTACTTATAGGGGCATTTGTGTGAGTGTACATCATTGTTGTGGAGCATCTTGTTTTCCCCTGTTTCTCTGCTGAAGTTTAATAATACAGTATCGTGTGGTTTTAGTGTTATGGTCAGTTAGAAAGACGTTTCTCCCTTTTCAACTCATCAACCACCGTGTGGTTCAATCCACAACACGACATCCACGACATTACAAATCGAACATCAGCTTGACAACTCAACTATCAATGCTGGTTTTGGATTGGTTAATATTGGCCCTCAACTACTTTCTGTCTTGTGGTTGAAAAAGCGCAGTGAAAGAGCTAACTAGTGTGACAACAGAAGAAACGAATAAATAGCTTAAGGACTTCTTATGTAGGCTGAAAATGTGACTCTTCAACTGTGGTGAATGGAGATGCACTAGTAGCAAAAAAAGGCTCATAGTTTTCAGAGAGTAGCTGAAAGACTCAACCATTTTGTGACATGATTGAACAATCATTACATTTTCGGCTTTATTCCTTTTTTTTATCCATTTATTTATTTTTTTATAACATCTCGGGTCAATGTTACATATCGGGTTTTAACAAGCTAGTTGTTGTTGGATTCAAGAAATGTCAGGATGTAAAACGTAGCCATGGTTCTCCTTAATCTTTGTTCCTAGCTTTTTAAAGTTGGGAACACCTGTGCTACCATCTACACAAGTTAATTTGGAGCCCTTTAATTATATACCTAAAGTGATATACAGATGCACCGTTGACAGAGAGATTTAACATTTAACGAACATTTGAATTTGTTGTTTCTTTTCTCACTTGGATAACGATTGGAGACTAAATTTGTGACCTTGAATGGTTGTTGAATGAGGCCTGATGTGTTGTTGAATTCAAACTTACGTGCAGAGGATGGACTGGTCTTCCCGATCTGCAATAAAAAAAGGAAATCGTCGATGATTATGCGGCCTTTACAGAACAACACAGCTGCACATTCATAGTGAGTATGTTATCACCACGGTGCATTCAGTCATCATCTGTGCAACAGGACGTGCATTAGCCACAGACAGGAAACCAATATTGAGCTTCCTGTGACTGGAAGGAGGTGCTGTTTGGACTCTGATTAAACAGCATAATTACCCTCCGCCTACAGTAATGTGGTCCGAGCACTTAGCCGCAGCCAAACATGGCGCCACAAAGAGTACCAACAGGACAGAGGGGAGCACATCAGGAAAACAGACCTTGAAAGAAGCTGCTGTGCCAAGCTAACAGGGTACAAACAGGACATGGAAACACAATAGCTCTGCAGGAAATACCCAATGAGTACTAGTCATGTTCAGCTATTGTTTAACTGTTGGTTTAAGTTACAAAACAAAGCAAATGTGGTAAAGGTGAGGACCTGTGAAGAATGTGAGCACGTATCTGACTTTATGATGCAGCCTATCTTAGTCATAGCTGAGGCAATGAGGTGTTTTCTAGGAGTAGTGAGGCTAGTAAATCACATGACATAATTGGCTGACACTAAATCCATGTTGTGCAGCGATTGGTCCTCCACAACATAAAGCTACTCTTTATGTTACTCAATAAAAATTCCAGAGAGAGCACTGATAAAAGAACGATCACTTTAACAGTCGTATCTCTTAAACTTGGCCCGGCTAGGACTCATTAATCTGGCTCTGGGAAGCAAAACTTATTCTTGAAAAGTTCGACTGTAAGAAAAATAAGTCCCACATCACTGTTTCCCTCCAAATTTCTCCTGGAGCTCTCAGAGCAGCTGTGCAGCAGGAACGATGACTTACCCTGCATCATGCTTCTGTAGGACGTGTCAGTGATGGCGTATATATGTGGTGGCATTTCATGTCTCTTCTTGCCCTTGTACATGTCAACAATCTCCTCTGAGTAGATGGGCAGGTTCTTGTAGGGATTAATGACGACACAGAAGAGACCGGAGTATGTCTGCAGGAAAAAGAGAGATGGAGGACATGAACTTAAACGATGAGGAAAAAGGTGAGGGAGGTGGATTATTCTGATCAATCTTGGCTCAATGTTTTTTCCACCCGATTCCACTTTAAAATTTCTAGTTTCATGTGATTAACATTGCGTGATTCCTAAAGCATAAGATTATGTTCAAAGCATCCTCTACATATACAACATTTCAGAAAATATTTACAATTGATCAAGTATCAGGTAACAAACTGTAAAGAACATATACTTGATAAGAATTTTCTTTTCTTTTATATCAAGTTAGAAATAAATAATGTGTGGTCTCATTAAATTCCACTATGCCATTTGAGCAAATCTTCTATAGCTCTTAGCCTTATAACATCAAAACAAATGTTGTCTAAAAAAAGGATAAGATGAAGATGAACTTGATCAAGCCATGGGAGATATGCATCGACTCTTGTAAAAGGATCCCCCTGTGGAAATCAGCCTTTCACACTCTGTACAAGCAAAGAAAAGAGCTACTTTGTTTTTGCGCCAGCTGGAAATCCTGTTTATTTCAGTCGTAAAAATGGGCAGTTCGGCATGGGGGCTATTGGGACTTTTGGAAACTGCCTCTAGTGGACACTTGATGAACTACAGTTTTGCTCTCCCTAGTTGGCCTGATTTTGCGAGACAGTTTAGTTTTTGACTTTTTTCTGAGTCTTGGTATTTTATAACGGGAGGGGAGCTGTCAAGGCTTGAACTTTCTCATGAAAATTTATGTCTGGAGCTCCCTGGATATGAATATAAGATAAAGATATAATTTATCGACAGTGTTCTTTTAGTACAGAGAATTTAGGGTCATGGTATGAGATGTTTGTCATTTTTTTTTACACTAGTGTTCAAGTTCTGCCCTTAAAATTTGCTTCTGTATTAAAAAAAAAAAAAAAAGTTTTTTTCTTTAATTATTTCCACCCGGGTTCGATAACAAAGGCCTCCCCTCCCCCTTCAACACTAGGCTAAAAGTTTCTCATGAAGCATGATGTGTTTTTCTCTCACATTATGTAATCTTGTCCCCACCCTGCTGCAAGTTTAAACTGATGATTTACTCTGACATTTTCAAACCAAAGCTACTTGACAGGTTGGCCGAGTCTTATCTCAGATCTTCACAACACGTTTATCTTTTCTGGCTTCAAGCAGACATCAAAACCTTCTTTGTATGGACTCTCCTGATATCTTGAAGACTTATTTTACCCCCTAACATGACTTTGGATTGTGCTGCATTCCTGTGCTGCCCTCTCAACATCTCAGTACAAGGCAAGGCATCTCTCTCTGTTGAACAGCAGCTCTCCCTGGAGAGCGCTGCTCTTGTGCCTGGAGGCACTTAAACCAAGCGTAGCCTGTGTCCATTGGGGGAGCCAGGGAGGGGACAGCAGGCTGTGTTGATATGACCGGGTCAGATCACAGCGTCAAAGAGAGCAAATCACTCCCAGCCCAGCACACCAGGATAAAGATGATTAATTGTTCGGGCAGTAATAGCTGTTACAAAACAATTTACATTCCACGTTCATCCCTTAAAAAAAAATAAAATTAAAAAGCGGGGGGGACTATGGAGCTCCACCCTCACTCCCCTAAATCTCTTCACATCCCTCAGACCCCCGGCTGCATTGTTCCCTGCAGCTTCCTGTTTACAAGATAATTCCAAACATGGAGCACAGGGAGAGAGCAAACAAGTCAGAGCTACAGGGACGGAGAGGCTGAGGGGGACAGGGTGCAGGAAAGAACGGCTGCATACCAGGCTGCATAGTTGCCTCATCATGACAGTTTGCCCACAATGGTCGTCTCAAACAATGGGGCTTAATGAGATAATTAGGCGCTGGGCGAGGGGATAGACTGGGTTGGCGACTTTCCATGGAAGATTGTTTTTTTAATAAACTAGAAGGGATCTGATGTCAATTAAAAAGAAAATGCTTTTAACTGCACCAAGGGGACCGAGTTAGTCCACCCTTGTGACCGAATATTTCACTGCTGCAGAGGGACTTCTGCTTTGTTCAGGCAGTTTGACTCTTTGGCCCCGTTCACACAAGAACACTTGTAATTTTTTTCAGGACTTTCGATCCACAATAATTTTATGATCTGTTGAGGTCCACATAGCTAGATTTTTCTGTCAGACATGCTCTCAGAACTTGAAAAACACAGAACTCTGGATAAAATCTGGAAGGATCACAACCTCAACAGATGTACGTTTCTTGGCAATACATCTTTGCTGGATAAAAACAACTGTAGATAATGTTCTGCGAGTTTGGTGCATGTGTTAAAGGGGTGCGTGGGTGTTTCATACTTACGTATATGAGTCCAGAGTAGTATCTCTCCTTCAGGTTGTGCAGCACAGACGCCTCGTTCAGGCATGTGAGCTCGGCCATGTCTTCCACCTTGCTGAACTTTGGTGGGTTCATCTTCTGGATGTCATCCTTGTTCACCTTGATCTTCTTCCCAGAGTCTGCCAGCTCCACCATGCACTCGTCGCCGCGCTCCTCCTTCACTGAGCCGGCCTCGAAGCCCAGGCGCTCTGATGGAACCCATACCAGCTTCTTGGTGGCCCAGTCAGCCTGCGCCAGAGGGTTGTTGATCAGGTTGCGGTCTACGTACAGGAACTTGTCAGCGGCTGACATGTTGGCTGTTTCAGAAAGACAGAAAGGTTGTTTGTGGTTAGTGACAGGATATCACATGGTCCTCTAAATCAGGGTTTGCTGGATGGTTTTTATACAAATATTGCTGCCTTACAATGATAATGTTGTAAACGATCATGTCGATGGGTCGTTTTTTTCATTTTGTTGCACCTTTTCAACTTTAACATAAAATTTTGTTGTTTATGCAAAAACTATGTATTGCGAAAAAATGTCTTTGGCTCAAGTGTTGGTGATCGGAGATGTGGTTTCAAATTCAGCATCGAAATGTTTAACTTAGACAGTTAAATACATGCACATCTACTGTAATATCCAGCAGAAAAAAAGACACCTTTGTTGCATAAAAGGTTTAAAGGACCAGACCTTCACTACTCTCACATCCTCACATGACATCTGAGGAATTCAAAAGGTCACAGCTGATGGGATGTTTGACAGGAAGAGTCTGCTCGAGTTAGGTCAGGTCGACATAAAACAAGCATGTCAAACAAGTCTCCCTGTTCTTCTTTCGGCTAACTGCTGTGAATGCTTAATCAAATTTCCAGCCGCTAAGCCACCTGAGTGACACTATAGAGAAGCCGTTGACCGAGATCACAAAGACCTAACTTCATCTCTGAGCAGCAGAGAGGCCTCCAGTTTGTCTGAGTGAGCACCACAACAAAACACAGCTGTAGACTGAGTCTGCTGGTGGGAAGCAAAGCATGATGTTGGAGAGATGGGGCAAACCAGTCACTAAATCTGAAACAAAAAAAGTCTCTCAGAGCATTTGTTGTATTTTTTTCTGCTTTGATGGAACTGTAGATCAAAGAGAGAAAAGAAAAGTATGAAAACACCCCTATCACAGGGTAATGATGTTGCTGATATTCAACTTTCTCTGTATTTCCAGAGTAATGATGATCTACTCAGGTATTTTACAGAAGCAGTAAACAACAGTACAGAACCAAATTGAAACAATCAAGAGATAGTTCCGATTTTGACTTTCTTTCTAATGCTACCTCTGTCAGAAACTACCTTACAGAGCTAACAAAATTGACGCACAGGACTATATATGAACCTAATGTAGGCTGACCTATTACACATAAAGCTCTCCAGCTCTAACATTGTTCCTACAGTGAATATAGATAACTTGTACTATTAAAAAGGTTTTCTAAATTGCCAAATGAATGGTTGACAGTATATGCTGCATAAAACGGTTTCAAGTCAAAGGTTAAAATAAACCATACCCTGCGTATATTGAGGTTAAAAAGCTCGGAACAAGCTGTCCTGGTTTCAAAACGCTTCTGAGAGCTGACAAATTAATGTGTTGTTGACAGGGAGTGCTGCAGTTTAACCCATATAAAAAGTCACTCGACCAGTGTAACCAGTATCATGGTGAAAAAAAAAAAAGAGAGTGTGCTCGAGTCAACCCCTCATTTAGACTGAGGGCACACAAAGTGTAGGCCTTTAACTGAACATGATGTGCTTTCACTGACACCAAGGCCCCTGACTTTACCTTCCCAATTATCATTCCAGCACAGCAGGAGCACGACACCGTTTTCCCACCAGGGTCATCAGGCTGTCTCAGTGTTCACTCGCCACCAAACACAAAACCGAGGGCGGGGCTAGTACACAGGCTTGTTTGAATATGCTGTGCTGCTCGTATGCAAACATTGAGGAAATCAAAGAGGGGTCACTTTTGGCCCAGACGTATATGTTTATCCTTATGTCTGAAATAAAACATTAGCTCCAAGTGTTTCCTGTGTCCATCAGAGTACTTTCTCATTGTAATGTTGTCCAGTGGGACGAGGTGCTGAGGCCACGTTCTCATGCCTCTCATTATGAAACACTCCTTTACGCAACACCGCAGAAAAGACTCTGATTTACAATACAGCTATAATACTTTTTCTAACTGCTGGACATGGTTTCCGTCATCTTGAGAGGAAACGCTGCTCTTACAAGCCCAGATTATTAATTACACTAACCCTGAATGTGCCATGACTTCATAGCTAAAACATTAATTTAAGTCCAATTGAACAATTTATGACATATATTTCCTGTCTTACATGACTTACTTTTTTTTAACATAATCTTGATTAGAGATGATGTCATTTTTCAAGATCACTGTGAAAGAACTTCTAATAGCACAAAAATCCTACCTCAAGTGTTCTTACTGTGACATTCAAACTTCAGTGCATCTAGTTCAAATCAATCACATCTATCAAATGAATCAAGATGACCCTGTTATCACAATATGAGCACCTGCAGTAAACATATCCTAGTAGTTTGACTGTATTGCAATAAATATAACAGTTAACAAATACTATTACTAAAGGTCTCAGTGGAGGTATTAGTTGGATACTTTTTACTGTTTTGACAAATGGTGCTGGCCTTGCTATCCGCTACTTCTAAATAACTGCTGTACATTTAGATTAAAAAACATCTTTATATCTCAATAATGTTTAGTTTATATTTGCACTGGAAAATCGATCTATTCAGCTGGACTCAACTGTAGAGCAACAATTACCCAAGGCCACTAACTATTTCACAAATATGTAAACTAGCCAAGCATCACTCTTGAGGCTCACTGGAGACCACTTCAGCCTCTGAGGTTCCTCAGAAAGAGAGAGAAGTCGAACAGGGTTATGTCAGTGGTGTCTGTTCCAGCACATTAACCCTGATCTCTGAGAAAGAAAGCAGATGAAGAGCCATTCTTCTCATGACCCCTTGCCTGCCCTTGTACTCCATCACTGCTCTGTCAGGCTGCACTACAGCTGACGTCTATCACCCGCCATGACCCGCCTCCAAACTCATCTCCTGTGTACCATCTCCATCCTGTAACACAACGTGGGGCAAATTAGTCCTGCTTTACCTCTCAGCTGGCTGCACACTCCTTTCAGTCGCCCTCCTCTCCCTCTCCAGAGTCCTAACACGCCCCTCCCTCCCCTCTCTCTCTGTTTATCCAGTCTTTTCAGGGTTGCATTCCTCCCATACTGACCCTTTATCAGGGAGAGACAGCGAGCAGAGGCATTCCACACATTTCTGTGCTTGCCTCTTTACATCTTCCTCACTTATTCAATGGCTTTCCTTCCTGCTCTTTACTCTCCTCTTATTCCCATTACATCAGCTGGTCATGTTATGCCTTCAGGGGTTTCATCTCTCAGTGGAGATCAGCATCTCCTCCTCACAACCATAGCTGCATCAATCAAGCAGACCTGATGGCTCCAAGTCTCTCTGCGAATGTTCCCAATGCCATGCTACTTTTAAAATCCAATTTACCAGTACTTTCCAATCACAATCACAGTTGGGGCCCTGACAGGATGAATATACAAAGTGAATTGTTATAATCTCTGTAGCTTTTGTTGTTTGGCAAAAACAAGCAAAACAGAACAGGCCAAACACGCCCAAAGCTCAAGTGCTGCTCCAGTTTGTCCCTTTAGTATTACACCCAAACTACAGGGAGACATGTTGGACATGGTGATAATAGCATGAGAGGCACATCCAAGGAATAGAGACAAAAAACAACCTGTTGCTGCAGTCAAATAAATCAAGAGCCATTCAGAGAGTATTCCAAAGAGACAAAAGTGTGAACTGATAACGGATTTCAGATGTGTGATATTCAATTTGTGTTCACTTAAAGATACAATACACAGTATTTGGCAGCATAGCAGGAATATATTAACTGAAAGTTTGTCTAAATGTGTGTAATAATTATATAAAATAACTTTGTTTTGTTTGCTCAGAGTGAGCCTTTTATATCCACATAGAACCACTCCTCCACAGTGGTCACTATTTGCACCGCCATTCGCTAACATTCATTTTATATTTGGTGAGTGACTAAGAAGAAGAACAGTCGTTTTTTCAGTAAGAGAAAAAAAACAGACAACTGGAGGATCATATGTATCACGCACCACAGCAGCCTCTTATCCTTGAAAAAGGAGGTATTTGTTGGGCTGGTTTTAAGTTATTTTTCTAAATTAATTTTTGTATGTAGGAGAAGGTTGTTTTTTCTTTTTGCATTTCTGTTTGACTGATTTTGTGCACAAATACACAAATAGTGTAATGACTGACAGTCCTCACCTGATATTTTTATTGCAAGGATTAATTTGGGTTTTTAGTTTTAACTTGAATAAAAACATCAGCAGCAATTCATTTAATCTAAACAGGCAAGAGAATCAGCATTTCTTTTTCACATCATAATAAATACTGGTATATTTTAATTTTGCATCAATTATGTTCAGTTTATCGCAACAAGTCCTTCCAGCGATGATCAATAAGACTCAAACCAGAAGAGGGAGATCTTTGTATGTTTGCGGGCCTCTCTCTGACTCACATTCTTGCCACAGATTTCTTCAGTGACACACTTTGAGCACCTCTCAGGAGGATCCCATGAAGACTAAAAATGACTGCTGCAGCTATTCCTGTCTGACATGCACTGCTCTATATCTAAACCAAAAGAAAGCGAGGGAAGACAAAATCCTATTATCTCAGCTTTTGATGCAGGCCCTCCCTTTGAGCAGACAGATTGAAGACATGGATGTTGTCTTGACTTTGAGATTAAACAGTGAGCATAAACACTTGGCTCAGGGTGCTGCTGCTGCTGCTTGGCCAGGTCCTCCATAATCCTGTACCAATCAAGGTCTCCTTGATTCCTCACTACTTTCTAACACCTCTTGGCTGTTAAAGCATCACCCTTGGTTCTGTTAAGACCCATTTACAATGGGATTAGTGAGGTGGGATAATCATAACAAGGATTTTTCCTAATTCAACACATGGCAGAACATGAAACACAAAATAATCCCAAAACGAGCTTTTGGCAAGACCCCTGAACTTTATGAAAACTGACCGAAAGACAATAAGAGGGTTTTTTTTCCTTCTTGAAATTCACACATGAAAACAGAGTTAGGAGTGTCCTGTCCGAGGAAGAGGAACCTGAAAACAAAAAACAAGGAAGAGGCCAGTTTTAGCCACTGTTCTCTTCACAGTATGGTTCGAAAGAGGAAGTGCAGGAGGAGGTGTAAGAAGAACAAGGAAAAAGGGGAGAGCTGCAGAGCGTCCTTTTCAGTTTTTACTGTCACATTTAGGAAGCAGGTCGACCTTCGTCTTTAAGAAACCGAGGCCATCATCAGTCAAGAGTCAGACTCCCTCTCATTCCTTTCCACCTCACCGACTCTCCCTTAGTGACTGTAAAAACCAGGAGACGTGTCGGCCTCCACCACAGCATGCCCATGTACAGTCAAACCTCCTGCTCTGGCTGAGGGGAGCCTATAAAGCAGCTGTGCTGTGTTCACTGACCCATTGACAAGAATATAAATAGAACCACACATAAGTCAATAATATTGCACTCCCACAACAACTCCATACTAACTAAACATCCCAGCAAACTCAAGCTGAGAAATTCCTGCTGTTGTCACTCCATTCTGTTTGTACTGGCCGTTCCAACAAATACTAAAAGTCTGAGTTCTTGTGACTTGGCCTTAGTTAGCACCACATTCACCTCACAGTTCAATGATCGACTGACTGTTGGTCCTCATTAATACAAGAGTGGGAAAAGCACGGTACCGAGTCCAGTCAAGATTCATTACGGGGCACACATGTTGGCTTTTTCTCCCCTTCGCCCTTCTCTGAAAGTTAGAAGGGTGGGGCAAGGAGAAGAAAGGAAAGGAAGGAGGAAATGACAAGCCGAGAAAACTATTTCGCCATTTGTAGAGCTCGTGTGTGCGTCTGAAGCAGGAGGGAAGGTGGCGTTTTCTTGAGCACATGCCGGCTGCCTCAGAAGATCGAGGAGCAAATTAAGCCCTTGCTGGAAAATAACCGCACTGCATGACAGATCTACATCACTTTCCACATTACTTTTCGCATTCCTGCCCCGACCAGGATCCAATTTCACTTTTAACTGTAAGCTGGCCAATGCCATCTACCATTTACAACCACAGGCTCGACTGGGTCTTACCGAAAGCTCTCAGCACTCCGCCTACACCAGCAGTTTACATCAGATGCACTTAGTACCCTTTCATTAACACCAGCATGCCGTGTTTCAGATTTTGAGGGGCTGCCCTCTGATAGTTAACCAGATAATTAACCTATGAGAGAGTCACAGTGGAATTATCTTCATCGGTCAGTTAAGGGAAAGAAATTACTTGTTTAATCCGGCTTTCAGGACATTAAAGCTGCATCTTGTCTGAGCATCTGTTTGGACCTGTCTGAAGTTTTACCAACAAAGCCTCTAAGAAGGATCAGCTGGTTTGATATAATGGATGGGTTTAAGACAAGTATGAGATTGAACTTAGGAGCCTGTGTTAAAAATGTACTTCACTGTCTCTCAAGTTACAAAGGCTCTTCAGGCACGTGTGCGCTCGCTTCAAAAAAGGCAACGTTTCACATGACTAGTAAAAAAAATGTTGGGATTCCTACATGATTCACAACAGGATACAATACGTTATCATGTCTGAACAGAGTTTAATTTATATTCGATCAAATTAACACAGCCTCTCTACAGACTGTCCTCTTAGGCAAACACAGCTGCCTCCACTAACGGTGACTCAGGCGAGTCCAAGTATCAGGTCAAGAGTTTTAACCTGTGCTGTAAAACGTTGTAACGTCCGCCTGCTGTTTGACTAATGACTAAAGGGGTAAAAAGACAACAGGCTGAAGAAACTCTTCAGTTAATGTGAAGACAGATAATTGAAAGCTGGGCGTTGGTCTGATGAGCTCAGCGTTTGCAGGGTCACAGAACAAATTCCACATTCACCATTCAGACAGCTGTCTGATCATATCATTGAACGCACAACTGATGGACTATTTGACGGAATAGCACCGGTTTACTCTTTTACTGAAACTCGCTGATAGTGTTGACCTCTGAATAAATAGACAGCTGGTTATGTAAGCCTTTAAACCTGCAGTAAAGGAATGCAGAGGGGAGTTAAGGTACTTTAACATGTCAGCAACTTATCTTTCTGAAGAATGCTGAACTGGCACAGCTACTTATTATTTCAGACCAAGAAAAGAACCATTAATACTCCACCTGAGCTCGTATTTTCTCATACTATTCACTCTGCTACCAGACAGGCCTCCCACTCTCAGGGTTATCAAGAGGCTTGTTTTGCGCTATCACTTGTTATCTCTGCCAAGAATTCTTCCTTTCAGTCACTCAGGCCAATCTCACTGTAACAATCATCCCATCAAACAATGCTTTAAAGGAGCTCTAAAAGGATCACATGCTGGGTGGACAACCTCAACATCTGGTGGGCTCCATGATGTGGACAGACACAAGAGTAAACCATCCAATAGTAGACAGACGTTAGACCCATTACGCAGCATGTTTCAAAGTTCAAGGTGCAGGAGTGTCTGCAGAAACTCGGCTGTGCAAAGTGCTAACCACTTCCTTGTGGAGTCACTCACCAGGTGTGCAGCTCACACACACAGACAGACACCTTAGCTGCGGGCAAAGTCTATTTTCTGACATGTAAAGAAGAACTGCTCCTTTTCCTACAAACCAGACACTTTCTAAACTTAATACATGATCTTTTGATAAATACAGGGATTTATTTCCTAACTACAGTGTCAAACGCAACAGAGACTGAGGCAAACCTTAAAAACACAAAGGAGAGGGGGAGCTCAGTGCTGCAAACTATCACTTAATACTTAAACTGGCACTCCAGACAGGCTCGAGTGTAGGTCAGTAATCTCAGATCAAACATTACCTCATCACTTCTGGTACAAAACAGAAAGCAGTGTTCCTCTGTGGAGATCAGAAATCTCAACAAGTCCTTTCTGCGTAATGCCAGGGTCAAAGCAAAACCATTTCCTGGTATTGTGCAGTCCCACTGAAACGTTACAGGTGTGAGCAATGAGGGGGAGGATGGAGGGAAGGACGGGGTGGTGATAAAATACACAAGCAAAGGAAAAGACATGGGTGGGGGGTTAAAATGAAGGAGAACACTGAGGGGAGGTAGACATCGCCAACAAAAGGTCCCCTGAGGAGACTGAGAACACAAGGAAATGACAGAAATAAACTAGACTGAAAGAAACTAGAAACCTGCGGCAGATACAACTGAAAACACATCCTTGAGCCCAGGCAGTCAACCTTTTCTTTTTTTTTATAGCAAGAGAAATATATATTTTTTTTTTAAATGAAAAGAGAAGATGCCAAGAGAAGAAAAACTGAATAGCGGGTTAGAACTAAAGATATGTAGCACAACATGCAGAAAGCCAATACGGTACAATACGATACGAAACAATACGCTACAATATGATGTGACACAATACAATATGATACGATACAAGACAATATGAACAACACAATACGATACGATACGATAGGATACGAAACAATACAATACGATACAATATGATACGAAACAGTACGATACAATACAATATGATACGATACAATACGATATGATACAATACAATATAATACGATACGATGCTGTCCCTTAAGTGAAATTTTGTCTTGGAGTTAAGTGCATTCAACACTCGGAAGCATCCACAATATTGCTAATGAATCAGATCAATAAACTATTACTCTGATAATCCACTGAAAAGCACATTCCAGTAAAGACTTCCAACAACATACAGTACAAATAGCACACATGCAAGCTATGCGTCTCAATCTGCATACATAAGATGACATTCACCTCCTGCTGACTCTGAGCAACAAGCAGAGAAGGGCATGATTAGCTCTGCTATGGTTAATGGAGAATCTGAACAGCCTCCACTCTGACTGGGATGTTTTGCTTGCATGAATGAATCTCAGCTGACTTAGTGGGGAAACTGCATGACACTTCAGTGCCCTACAACTCAGACAACATCCATTAACTTGTGTTAGGAATTACTAGAAACACCGTGAGGGGATGTAAAAAATTGGCACAACTATGCAACAAACAGGTTCTTAGTCAGCTCTCGAAATATGCTACAAAGTTGTTAAGAAGTTTTAATTTGTTAAGAAGTTAAAAAGGATTTAACTAAGAATGTGTTTGCACACAATAATGGCTGAATTCTCTCCTGGTTTTGATTCAAAATCTGGACTTGTATATAGGCCAGTAGAGTAGACTTCCACTCAAATACCAGCATGGAACAAAAATATTTATACATTCCAGATACCCTAAAGATATTTGCACTGCAAATAATTCCTGAAGAGGTCCTGACCCGATAAAATGCTTCATTAACTTCATCCTACTCCTTTCAAACATTAACCATCTGTATTGTATTGAGTATGGTGATTAATATTATCCTAAATATTTACTTTTTATGTTTACTTTATCTACTTCAGCTTTATTAAGATGTTCAAAATGAAGATGCCAATCGGTAGAGAAAAATGCAGCTCATGGCCTTATTGTTTATATGAAATACTCCAGAAATACAGTTCCTAAAGAGCTTTGGTGCAACACCCATAACAAAACCTCATCGTTAATCCTTGCCATTTTAACAAGAAAATTGTTTTACGCATTGTAGTGTGCTACTGAGAAAGACATACTGACTTTTTCTGAAAGGACAACTGATTGAGAAGAAGAATAAAGCTGATTTTGGTGTTGGGATGCACATTATGGTATCAGATTACAACAATGACTACATGTACTTCTTTTGTCTGCATGTTTCCCTTCTCTACACCTGAGTTCAAGGGATAATGAGGCAAATGCATACTCTTCAAATCACACATACATCTGATGAATTAAAAAAATCATGGGACTTCTTGCCAAGAAATAACTGTGAGTTGTAATCTCCAAGTCATGTCACATTGCCCTCCCCACGCAGCCCTCTTTTGCAACAAAATCAGGAGGTCTGTGAGTAATCTGTCTCAGTCAGCACGACTGTCCTTCAATGAAATCCAAATATCCACAGGCATGTTCACTCAGACTGGCTCAATTTGGGGGATTGAACAGCATCATACACCATTTTAAGATGCCTGTGGGTAATTTTGTCTAGCACTACAGTACATCACTCTCACAGGGGGGCCCGTGTGTGTGGACATTGCTGACACATGAATGATGGAATGTAACAACATCTGCAGGGGGTCCGTAACAGCAATGAAACAAGCAATGAGTGGGAAGAACAGGACTCCAGAGAGGCCGTTGCACAATGCATTGGCTGGGTTTGATTCATGACTCAAATGCAATAACAGTAACAGGATATGGTAGACCACATGTCATCCAGTGTGCCTCTTCACCAAAAGGTATACACTGATATGCCTCTATTAGGAAGCACAGTGATTGTGAGTGCATGCATTATCTGTCAAGCCATCAGCTTGAGGGATGACTTTGTTAGAAAAAAAACTACACGATTACTTCTGCATTTGCTCAATCACGTCAGTACTTGAATTTCAAAAATGCTTCAAAAAACTACGCCCATGCAGTGGGGTGATACATTTCCGGCACGAAAAAAAAAAACAGCCAAATAAAGTGGGTGGTTCTGATTAAAGCAAATGAGCACAAATAGGTGCTGCTCACACTCTGAGACAATATAATAAGTAGGTTGATGCCATGCATACCATCTCTGAAAATGCTCATTCACACAACTTGCCAAGCTACAAATCAGCAGAGCGTGCAAGCATGCAAAGTGTGTTTGCTTCTCAGATTGCAAACAATGATGTGCCATCTGACAGAGCAAACATGGATTGGACTGACAGAGCACAACTCTTATATAGGTACACAATGACGCAGCATGAGAATTTTTCTACGTAAGATCAGCGTTCCTTGTGAAAATATATGATTTTTCAATGTCAGACTTTCATACATAAATCACTCTTTGCATGGCACAGGGTTGAAAAATCCCATAAAGTTGTCATGGTAAACTTCTGCTGTCATAATCATGGCAGACTATGTTCCTGTTGGAAGGCAAACCTTATCATTCTCAGCCATTGTTCTTGTGTATATTCTGTCCAAAAGTCATTCAGGATTAACTCAAACACTATCTACAACACTGTCTCCTCTGATGAAGTTTATGCTAGTTTGATTTACATTAACTGCAAAAACAAACCTGTATTGAAGGCACAGACTTTATACAATTTTTCAAAAAACTGTCTGGTGTAGCTGCACAATATCAGAAAAAAACATTTCAATATATCTTTTTCATTTATATTCACTATATTAAATGATCAATGTCTTTTATGATTTGGGACTAAGTCTGTTGTCTTCTTCACACTTGGTTTAGGCCTTTATCAGCAAATCTGACACCAGGCTTGTAGTAATCGTGCTCAATTATATCGTTCAGCAGTGTAGCAAACAAACAAAGATTGCATATCAACTAAAAAATTTTCAAAAAATCAGCTAATATTGTCTTTCTGTATTGTCCTTCTGTATCCTTCAGGTTATAAGTGTTCTTTATATTCATTGATGAAATCGTAGTGGGTGTTGCTGGTGTGCTTGAGAGTATAATATTAAAAAGGTATTTTACTCCCATCATATTTGCTGATCAAGTGGACAAAATATTGGGAGCACCTTTCAATTTAACATTCTGTCTAATCATGTAGACAAAAACTAAAAATGCAGAAGCTTTGTAAAAGTATCAAGTGTGCGTTAGTAAAGCAGAGGGACAGAGTGAGCATGAGGATGGAGCAATAACAGGCCGACAATATCCAGAGTGAACAGTGAGAAACCTCGACCTGCATCCCAATACATTATGCATTCACAAACACATGTTTAGAATATTAAAGAGTGCATGTAATGCGTAATCATGCTCATAACACCTTCATCTCAATATCAAAGTGATTTTGAATATTCAATTCAAATTACTTTAATATATTTTCTGCCTTTGCTGCGATCGAGCAGCCCTACTTGGGGCTGCATAAAGCAATTTCTTCCTTAGTTTGAGCAGATCAACAGTAGTTTAACTTCTACTTAAAGCTCCTGTGAGGAATTCTTGTTAACTGGTTATAAAAGTCACCTCAAATGAAATTCATACTGATGCCTTTTCATGCTGCGAACAATATGGTCAGCCTGAAGCCAGTGTGACTAAACATATGAATATATATATATATTTTTTTTTTGTCAGGACACTAGTAAAGCATGTAGAGGACAAGTTACGCATAGATGGTTGGTCCACAGGGGGTGCCAAACTGACACAAATGGAAAGTTCCTCACAGAAGCTTTAAAGTTCCTAGGAGGTTTTTTTAAGCTTATTATTAAACATAATGAAATTCATTCTAATACATATTCAAGACATATGAAAGCAAATAAAGCCATCAGCAGCATGCTTGAAGATTCCTATACAGAAATTTCTAAAGCCTGTGATTACTGTAAGGGGGTGGGAGCCACACCAGGTAATTGACAGCACAAGATCTTTAGTCTAAAATTGATTTCTAGGACAAGATCATGGTATTGTAAAAATGACTTTGTAAAATTAGAGAATAACGGAGGTACAACTTTGTCCACAGGGGGCGCAAGAATTCACAGGGATGGAGAGTTCCTCACAGGAGCTTTTAAGTACATGCACTAATACTTGAATATATCATTTTGGTACTTTTTTCAACCCTACTGCTCATTTTTTAATAATATCTACCCTACTCCCATCTACAAAAACGGTACAGAAAGAGACCATGATGAAACAAATCAAATGGGACTGAACTTCATCACCATGTTAGGTTTGTTAGGTGTAAACTCCCTAAAGGTTAGGGAGATAAAAAACTGAAAGACAAAGACAGGCACTTATGAAGTTTTCTGTGAGGTTGAAGAGTCTTCGGCGGAAAAGCACAGCGCCGTTTTTTTTTCGGTCCACCGGTGAAACGGTGACGTCATGCCGCGAGCCAGACATGTTACTGGCCACACACGGCGTCCGTTTCTAACCGTTTACCGACCAAAAAGTTAAATCCAGACACCGTTCATTAAAACCACCCGGTTTAACATCCAAAAACCCGCGTATAATCGCTGCGAATTAACTTTTCTGATACTTCCACTTGAATCAAAACTCCTCACCGGCCCCCTTTTTCTGCAACTCATTCAACCGAACCACTTCCTGTCTCCACCGTTATGGCTTTCAGCTTTTCGGCCGCTGCCACAACGCTGAAGCTACATTTCATGACCATTTCATCACAATAAGACCACAAGGAAGGCGTTCCTAAATGTAAATAATAATACAGCTTCACTTGTGAGATGTTAAAGTTAAAAAAACCTCAGCTCAAATCTGTTAAGGAGATCCCACTCCACCCAGTGCAGCGCGGTTGCTGAAGTTGCGGCAGTGAACTAGCACCGTGCTTCCTGGTTTGCTGCACTTGCTGGAGTGACGGGCAGATTGAATGAGTTGGGGGAATAAGGCGTACTGAAAGCATGGTAGACGAAATAATTTAAGTTAGAGACATTACCTGCTTTTTTGGTTGCAGGACGCCTTTCTGTGGGTGGCTAACAACAACCAGGTGGTTCAGTCAGCGTCGCCTCGAGTTAAACTTCTTTTCCTGTCGACAGCAGCTTCGCAGAGAGTTCAGGCTAAACTACAGTCGCTCGCTTCCTCCCTCTCTTTCTCTCTACTTCAGTCACTCTTTCTGGCTTTTTTTTTTCTCCCCTTCTTCCTTTTGCCCTCCCTCCTCCGCTGCCTGCTGACTGGTTCGCCTAATTTCACTCAGTGCGCAGACAGCAGTACCCGGGGTGCGGTCCAGGAAGAGGCCGGTCCCGGACACCATGTCCCGCCTATGTGCCCAATGGCAGCCGCGCTTTGACCATTTAGACCAATTAAATCATTCAAGAGGCGGGCTCTAATCGAGGGGATAAGAAGTATTGGGGCAGGCCTCGGGAGCAGAAAAAACTGAACTTGAAAGAGTTGAGAGGAGGGGGGAGAGGGTACAGATAAAGCTGTGCTTAATGAGAAAGGTATGTGCATACTAAGGATTTTTATGACCATATAAGTACCAGCCACTTTCAGGATGGACTGCATCATCCCCGTTCACCCTTATGTGTCAACAAGGTCTAGTCTGACCTTTGTCTGCTTGAGAACAAGTAGCAGTGGTGACTTCAACTATTTCCCACTGTATCTGCTGCCAAAACGGACCCACGAAAGCAGATCTGTCTGCACTACTCTTGGCCACTAATCACATCTCTAATGTGTTTATTTTCTATCAAATACTTTCACCCCACTGACAGAGCAGTTTTCCTTTTACTGCAGAAAAAACACATGCAGTATTTTTTGAAACTTAAAACTTGCCTTTGTTTCCTCTCGAATAAAGGTGATATATTTTAGGAACAGTAGTTTATTTACCCCAAATCCAAAAGGAGGTCAGAGGTCAGGTAGGCCTACAGGATAGGCCCACTAGAGCAGATAAGTATGTTTTGTCTGGCTCAAGAACACTTGACAGGGTAGATACTGGGCTTTAGAACCTTGAAACTCTCACTGTTGGGCAGTTTCAAACACTCAGCTATCATAGCAAGGTTAAAGAAAATATTTTACTCCACTTTTCCCTCTTAGGGGAATTGGCAACTTTTAAAGCTACTTTACACAAACAATTTATCTAGCTCGAAGTAAAAACAAATAACTTGGATGGATTTGAGGTAAACCTTTCAGAGTCCTTTCAGCATGTAAATATTAGGACTGATGTGTTCAAAGCACTCTTCAAAAACTCACTTTAGGTCTTGTAAAGCTTTGATATTTGTATGTTGACATGATAGTAGTAGTTAAAATTTACTCTAATGTAACCAATTCATAATTTATTCAAAACAAACCCAACAAAATATAAAGTGCAGCACTCATTTTCCCTCTCTTAAACAGGTAGGCCTAGGTTCGTGACCAGACATGCTAACAGTTCGTGGGAACCGCTGCAGGTGATAACCTAATTAACGTCAGGTTGGAAAACTCTTGTTCAGTCGTTAAATCACTTCTGACATTTGTTTTTACTGGCTCTTCCAAAACACTTGACTTCTTTTTAAGTGCATGCAATAAAGAGAAGGGAATATGTTTAGGCAAGTTAAAGACAAGTGCAAAGCAACAGGTGACTAGAAAAGAAATGTGTAGTTTGGATATAGAAAATGAACCATACAAAAAGGGAGTGTGCGGCAAGAAAACTGAACTAAAGAGGTAAGTGAAAGGACTGATGTTAAAAAAATAGCTGAAGTGACACAGCCATAGTCTGCACAGAGGAATGGAAAGGTACAATGTGGACCTGTTTACTTCAAATACTCTCCCGGGAGATTGGGTCATCTGAGCCTATTTTGCGGAGTGGAACTTGAGGCATAGAGCCAATATGCATACCACAACCAGCAGGGAGGCATTAACAATGGAATTTTTTTTCTTTTTTGCTCTTCAGTGTGAAAAAATTGAATTAAATATTCACCAGCTCTACCAGGAGTACCTAAACTACAATGGAAAACTTTCAAGAGCATGACTTACAATCTGGGGTATATGGACCAAATAAGACACTGTATACAATGGTAAGATTTTGGGAGTACATAAAAAAAAAGAAAAAAAAGTTTATTGCCCACTAATACATAAAATTCAAAATAAAAGTTGATCTTGAAATAGATCTGAGTAGTTGACCTAGAGTAAGGTAAAAAGATAGTATTAAAAATATACATAGATAGATTGTGCTGATTGCTAAGATTGTTGGCATAACTGATGATAGCTCAAAGTAATTGTTTTATTTATTGAGGTACTATATAAGGTTTTAAAAGTTAACCATAAGATACATGAAAGTCAAAATTTCTGGTTTGAAGTAATAGATACATGAAACAGATGGTTGAGTTTGGGGCTTAACGTGATGGTGCAAACTGTTGAGATAGCAAGCAAAAAGATACCTGTATAATTCGCTTAATCATGCAAAAGTTAGCTTGAATCGTTGGCTCAAAGTAACTGTGAGAGATAGCTAAATAAAAGACCAGATAAATTCTGATTTGTAAAACAGTTCGGATAGTTAGCTAAAATATAGATAGACAAAATAGCTAGCTATTGGGTACTACTGTTTGAAGCAGGTAGTTAAAAATAACATTCATATTCGAAACATCTAGCTTATGGTAAAGCAATTTAATGTTGGGAGGAAAGGCTTAATGTGTAGAAATCGTCACCCTATAAAAATAATGGCCAAAGTCATTTTTGACGAAAATTAGCTTTAGAGATGATTTAGGCCAAAAACTCATTTTCTTCAAAAAGTGACATAGGCCATTATTTTAATAAGGTGATGAAATACACATACAAACCAACACCTATGTAAACACTGTTACCTGTATGACAAAATATTGCAACACTGCACTATCATGAAAATCCTAAGTATTAAATAATCAGTTTTATACTAAGTCTTTAGGTGAGCACAGTTTGAAAAGGACTATGAATTTCATGGCTGCCAAAACATTAAGTGTTATCCTTGTAAGTAAGAGATCATATTTGACCCCCAATGTTTTGTCCTTTTCTTCATGCTCGGACAGTGATGACGGACACAGAACTGATGATGCTGTTCTGCAGGCCAGCGACATCAACTTTCAACAAGGCTCAATGCTAGAGTTAGTGGTATAAACGCACAGTCAATTAGAAAACTACCTATTCAGATGACTCCTGAGCCTGTTCATCCAAAAAAGTCACATTATTACGAGACTTAAGGTATGACTGGCATCCAGGACAAACACAGGAAAAACACACGCTCTACTGAATGTGTGATTTATGTCCACTATGTGTCATTATGAGAGGAATGTGTCTGTGTTTTCCTATATGTTTAACAGCTGGGCATCACATGCATACAGAGCAAAACATTGAACTTCCAGCATGCTGGCCTGGAAAATTCAATAAATATCACACTCTCTTTCTCTGGGATGGATGGGAAATATCAGAAGTTTCAACTGGGAGGTCAAAGGTCAATCTGTCACCCGTTACTTGAGCAGGACCAGATGCCTGAGGATGAGAAAGGCTTAGAGGAGAGGAATGAGTGGGAGTGAAAAAAAAAGAGAGTGGGAACTTTAACATTAGAAAAAATATCAAAGTAAATAAACTTTCATTCAAGTAAGTTCACATACAAAAAAATGATGTGTCAAGAGAGCCCATGAGTTACACAGGAATTGCATAAGACGGAAAACAAACAGATCCGAGCAAAGAAAAAACATGTAGGGTTAAAACGCAGGCATGAATTACCAAATAAGGACACTTCTGACCTCACTATCTCCCTCCCTTTCACTGCCTCCCGCTCTCTTTTTCACTGTGACCTAGTCTCTCTCTCTCCTTTTTCCTTTTTCCCTTTTGGTTGGTTGTTATAGCAGCAGGGTGTGTCTGTAATTCAGGGTGTGTAAAGCCATTATATCATCCAGGCAGAAAGAAAGGGAACCATTCAGTGACAGCATGTTTAAAGAGTGGCATGTTAACTCACTGGCCATTCTTGCTGTCTAATTATTTCTGTGAATTCACGTGTGCTGGCATTCACAGTATGGAGAATGTATAATTGTGCCTTCATGCATCACACATATGCATCTATTTGTGCACCTACATTCACCCAGAAGCTTAAATCTGTGTTTACTGAATAGGTTTGTCTGACCCACATCTTCTTACCTGACACAGATTTCTGACTGCGAGCCTGCTGTGAAAACATTTCTCCTTACTCTTATGTGTTTTTGCATAACATTGGAGATCTTGCGCTCAGTTTACAAAGTCCGTTTACATGCCAAGTATTTGTTTGAACCACAAAATGTAATTACAAGCACCAGCAGCTTTTGACGTGGTTTAATAATGGGACAATGGCAAAAGAGTTATTTATTCTCTCCTCCGTCCTCGCCTTGTTTTTCAGCCGTCTTTATCCTCCTCCTTTCCCCAGTAATTTGTACACAGGAAGGAGTGATAAGACACATGTTGACTCACAAAACTCAGGAATATGGAGTTAAGGGAAAACATAATTTCCCCTCGTTTTTTAACAGATGTTTCTCTGCTCATTTCTCACCTTAAGTGAACCGAAAACGCGGTCAATGTCGGAATGAAATAATAGGACATGTGTATGTTGCATGAGAAAAAGGAGGAAATGATATAAACAGCAACAGTGGATGCTTTGTGTTTGTTTGCTGGGTTGATATTTGTCTGGAGCAGAGAGGAGGTCTGACAAGGTGGCAGGCAGCATGTGTTTCAGATATAAATACAGACATGTATTTACTACAAACACTGAAAGCTCTAAGGCAGTGCCAGATCTGTGTGTTGTTATGGAGATGTCTCCCACACACGCGATCCTGAAACTCACTCACACACACCACCAAAGTATTTGGATTCACGAAAGCAGCTTTATCTTAAACAAACAAGTAGCAAACATTAACAGTTTAGGGCTCTGGACAAGGAAAGACGGGCAAACTGGGACAAAGTCAGCAGAAGAAGTGTGCAGCTCTGCCTCTCTCAGCCCATTTGTTCAACAGCAGCAGCCGCCGCTGGCTTCCCCTGTCTTTTTTTGCCTTATATGGTCACAAGAGTGGTTGAGTAAGAGAGAGAGACAGCAGGCAGCAAGGAGGGAGGTGTGGTCTATTGTTTTTGGCGGAAGAGTTGCAGGGTTATGAGCTGCTCTTGAACTTTGGAGCTTGCCGTCATCTGTTCAGTCACCTCTTCCCGCAGACAATGAAGATGAGCCCACAGCAAGGGGAGGTGTCTGAGTCTGAGTGTGTGCTTGTGTTTGTGGGTGGAGGAGGGCAGCTTAAGTGTGAATCCTGAGGCCCATAGATATTTCATTGTTAAGAGACAGGGAGGAAGGCAGAAGATGGCAAACAAACAACTGTCATGCAGTCAATTAAAGGCAGTTTGCTTTATTTAAAGGAATATAATGAAGAAAATCCTGTCAGTTCAATACATGCTAATTAAAGCACCTGTATGAAGTTTTTGGGCATTTGTAAAACAGACTGAAATTCATATTGACGCCTCTAAATCCTGTTTAGATTGTGATTTGAATGCCTTAAACTGGTACATGAAAGTAGTGTCAGTCCAAGAGCTGGGGAAACAGACACATTTTTTTTCAATTTACATGTGAAATATCAAAAATATTTAATTTTTAATGCGCTGCCACCTGAAGGCCTGAAGACCACAGCCTTCCAGTGTCTCAGCCTTGTCCCTTTTTGTACAAAGATTTCTTCAGAGCCTCTTAATCTTTCAACAGGTCAAATTTTGCAACTATAATCTCCAATTTTGAGAATTATCTCTTTGCTGACTAAAAAAGGTTTCTCCATCTGTCTGCTGTGTTTCAACTCTAGAATGCATTTGTGTTATTTTTGTAAACAAAGACCTTGAACATGTTGGTATTCGTAGCATGAGAAGACAAAGAGCAGCACTCTTCCTTTTGTTTGTTACAGGAGATGATAACAGTCCTAGACATCTTAAACTATGCAGGAATGTCTTTCAAGCAACACAAAACAACTGTGTTGGCATGTACGGTCTGGATCACTTGCTTCCCTTACACCTGCCTGTCTAACGTCAGTGGAATTCCCCACATTGAAAAAAAAAACCCGGGGGTCTCCGCCTGTGGTTCTTCTGAGCAGCTCTGCATGAAAACATCCCTACATTTTCCCTGGGATGATCTAATCTGAGCCAGGACCGTTTCAAGTGCAGAAATGATGTGTCTTAATGAGCAGTGGGGAGGCCTGGGCCCCGGCTCTGTCAGCTGTGGGATCTGTAATGACATGCCAGGATGGGATGGCGGGCAGGGGAGGGAATGTTTGTCAGTTATCCAGTTGTGGGAGAGGATAGGATGATTAAATGATGACTTAAGGGAGATTGAGTTCAGGTGCTCTGGTGTATCTGTCAGCCTTAAATGACCTTTAGAGGTGTTGACACAGAAGGGCTTTAATCCTTGAGTCCTCACTCACAGTCTTCGAGAGAGTCTTTGCACAAACAGGTAAAACACAAGCAGAGAATAAAGTGGCGACTGCATGGTATGTCTCTCTCCCATCATGCTTTGTGCTGGACTGATTGTGAATCTAAACGTGTAATTGTAACTTCATATCTGTGTTAATTTCAGTATCTTGTGGCTGCAGTTAAAAAAAACAGGAGAACACCGTGGATGTATTTAATGACGCAAGCTTTTCTGGGATCACTGCCTTTTTATAGAGTGTTGACAAATGCTTGGCATAAAGAAAATTCATTTTACCAGTCTTGAGTAGGAAGGTACAAATAAACATCTCTCCTTCAAAATTATATATTTGCAATAATATGCAAAGAAACAGTATCCCCATGATGATGAAGCAGTCCTGCTTTTTAAAATCCTGACCCTGGTGATGTTTATATTTGGTTCACTGATTGGTGAGAGTAAATTGGGCACTGCATCAAATGTTGACAGAAACAGAATTTGATGGTTTGCTTCTTATATATTCGTATGTTTTCATGACAATTAGAGTGAAAAAGACAACAATTAAAATCTTCAGGCCTGAAAATGATTGTCTTACGAGTACACTAAATTTGATGCCAGTAACACATTTTTAAAAATTTGATAATGGGACAGTTCAAAAAGTAATGATGAAAAGTTTCTTTATCTGCTACTTCATGAGATATATATGCAACAGATTAATAACATGACTTGGTAGGAAAAAAGCACGCTGAAAGGAGACTGAGTCTCTCATAATTACAGAAGGTGAATCATCACTTTGTGAAAGAATGTGTCAGCACATAGTTCAACAGTTCAGAATATGGAGATTTCATCGTCTCAAGCCGTAGAAATCTCTGCTCAAAAATGAGCAAAACTGATGACCAGTACTAGATGGTCATGATGTGACTCTGCAGTAGATGTCACTGCATTGGCTCCACATCGTTTCCAAAAACCTTTGTCTGTTTAAACAGTTGAGCACTACAAGGCACAGAGAAAACTAAATGTAAACATGAGAAGGTCCACTGTCCGGTCAGATTTGACATTCTTTCTGGAAATCATGGACAATGCATTGATTGCCTTTCCCATGAGCTGTCAATAAAGTTTATTGTATCGACCTTTGAAAAGTAATATCGGTAGACCCCTGCTGTAATCTGACAAACTAAAGTTTAACATTCTTATTGGAAATCATGGGCATTACACCCTTAGGCCTTCAGAGAAGAGGGACCACCCAGTCCTGACTTGTCACTCACTGGAAAAAAATGGTGCATAATGAAAAGAAAAGCTGTTTGTTAAGCATCTGAGATCTGATATCAAGCCTAAGTGGGACAACAATTCCCTTTCAAAGCTCCAGAAGCTGGTCTGTTTGGTCCCCAAACATTTGCAGAGTATTGTTTATAGAAGCGGTGATATAACACAGTGGTAAACATGCTTGTGTACAAACTTGAACAAGCATATATTTTTCATAAAACAATAAAACATGTTGTCTTTGTACCATTTTCAAATACTTACAAGGGCTAAATGATCTACGAATGATCGAATTCTGTTTTTGTCAACATTTAACATAACATCCTGACATTTTTATTATTGATTTAATGTCTTGACAGAGTGTGATGGATGCTTTCTGCCATTCTCTCTCGACATTTCCAGTCTCCCTCAAACTTTCCTGTGCAAGAAAAGCAAAACAAGCCCCAAAATTATCCACTATACATGATTAACTATCTATGAAATCATCAAAACTCCCTGATTCTCCTTCAATTCCAAGCTCAACTCTGATCGAGGATGTTTTGTCAGGTGCAAAATTCATGACATCATAAATCAAGATTGGAGACAGGAGGAGGTCGAGACTTGATTTGGAGGGATGACAGATAGAGGAAGGTTATAAAGCAGCGTAAGAGGTGGTAATATGTAGGTGTTTCACCTGATGAGAGGGTTGTGACAGCATGAGTAAAACCTACATGTTCAGGCAGAGAGCAGACAACTGAGGGAAACTAAAGCTCAGACACATAAAACTGAGAGTCATTTCAGGCTTCGTCAACCCAACATCAATGGGGTGAGAAAACTTTAGAGACTTCAGGGCCTCGCAATCAAAACCACAATCACAGGGAGACACACAACTGTAATACTGCAAAAATGTGATCGAGGCAATAAAACTATAACTCCCCCTCTTATTCTCAACCTCAGACAAAAACAGGATCCAAACACAGACCATCTCTTTATCTCTTTATTACTTCACTTGGTCATGTTTCTGGTACATTGAGTTCATTTCAGTAAGAAACTAAATCAAACTCAGATTTGTAATTCCCGTTGGACTAAAGCTTCACAGTCAGGACCCAGTCACTCACACACACAAACACACACCCTCCTTTCTCACATTTTAGGCATAATGGTGTATAATGACCATGTGCGACTACACAACGTTAGAGAAATGCCACCCTCATGTGGACAAAAGCAGGAACTACAGGTAACACTGTCATGAGCCTCATTCAGTATCGTCACATTTTAAGTTAAACTCTCTCCTCTAAAACTAGAACTGGTTATCCCTCTTGTTTATACAGTATAAGTGCGGTACAGCGGTTTCTTTCCCACTCTACAGATTTATTTTACAGCAAATATTACACGCCGGCTCTGCTGCTCTAGGAGTAAGAATGAATCTGCTCTGTTGTACAAAAGAAATGATCTGCTGCAGTGAACAAAAAGAATGATGGAGGCTCACACCCATCACAAAACCAAAGAAACTAAAGAGGACAAATTGACAGAAGCACTTAAAGCAAAGCTGAAGCGTGTGTCATGTGATGGGTGTGAGCTCTTGACAGTATGCCAGCTGGATTTGTGGCATCAGTTTGTTTACTTGAAGGTTGTTGCTAAACAGGCTCAAGATGGCGTCGACAGGCTGCCGACTAGCCAGGATCATTGAAAGCAGCACCCTGACGGGGGTGGATGATAGAGCGGGGACGGCTGGTTTATTGTCCAATGACTTTGCTGACAAAAGAGTCCAGCTCATCATCATCTTTGATCCCCACAAAATGGTCGACGACGTCGCCTCCCCTCATGGCGATTACAGTCGGAACAGCAGACACCTGCAGATAAAAACACAGTTTGATTCAGAATTACAGCAGCCCATTATTTTAAGATAGCACCCATCAGTAATGCTCCAGTGTCAGACTCACCCCATATTCGATGGCCAGGTCTGTGTGATCATCTATGTCGACTTTTGCCATGGCGACACGGCCTTTCTGTTTCGCAACGGCCTTCTCCAACCTCGGCCCGAGGATCTTACAGGGACCACACCACCTGCAGACACACAAAGGCAACTGTGATACAACTACACTTAACAAAGGGGAAAGGAAGTCCTACTTCTTTATTTCTGAGAACTGTCTAAAACCATTTTAAACCAGAACTTGTTCAACAGGTTGTATCTATGAAGATGTTGTCCTTGGCCTGTTGTGTACATAAGTAAACATGTTCTGACTTTTTAAAAACACCGCAAGTGTACATGTTAGAATTTATACCATTAAGACACACGACTGTTACACAAGGACTTTACCAAACACTGTGCTCAAAATAAAAGTCATAATCAAACTCAAACCATCGTTCTCAGTCACCCATATGAGAGAATGAGAGCTTCAACTGAAAGAAAGACGAAGTTGGAATATCAAACAAATAAAAAATCTCAAAAAGTCATACCGTCCAAAACCTAACTATCCGATAAGTCTACAGATAACTGTTAATTTCTCTTTCAGAAAAAAAAACATACTTTTATCAGACAGCCTTTCTCAACTGCTGCAAAATCTTTAAATCTTAACATTTTAGGTGAGTATGCAAAACAGAATGGAGGACATTTATATCAAACTAGGCAATGGCAGCAGAGCTATGGAGAACATCTTTGAATTGCTGGTCTCTATAAAGTAACTCCGACCATAAACAGTGATTATAGTCATAACCAAGCATTTGCTTTTTATATGTTTGAAGGTGCAGGACCTGCAAATCTCAGAGAAGCTGAACGAGGACAAAAATGTCAGTATCAGTTCTCCTGCAGTAGTCCTGTTCAACGTTTTCAACATTACCTTCAATGGAAATAAGCAAACTAATGTTTTCACTTGAACGTGAACTGAAACATCCAATTTAATGTGAACTTGTCCCGTACAGAGGCTGAGAAGGATCAGCTGCCATTAGAGTATCACCCACCGCAGAATCAGAGGGACTGTATTATTTACTACATGAATAAAATCAATAAAGTCATTTTTAACGGGGTAAAAGTGAGTGGGATAATGTATAATGAGCCGGTGGTCATGCAAATTTAAATACCTTCAGGAAGAACAAGACGCCTCTGCTTGGTGTCAAAGTTCTGCTAACCCCATGTTGCTTAACCACCTGTTCACTATACATGACCCTCCTCTCATAGCTGCCCTCCTTGGTCGTTTTTAACCATCTATTATTACTCACTGTGCATGGAAGTCAACTAGCACGGGCAGATCGCTGTTGATGACCCTGTCTGTGAAGTCCTCCTGATCCTGAACGTTGAAGGAGACTCCCCGATACGAGGTGTGAGGAAGGGAGCGAGGAAGAGTGCGTGATGGGGCGAGGAAGGAGGCCCTGGTTGTGTAGGACTGCTGGGAGGTGTAAAAAGAAGGGGAGGCGGTGGATGCTTTCAGGCAGCGGATATCTTTAGTGGAGAATGTCCAAATCCTGCGTACCAACAGCCTGTGAGCCATCTGTGAGAGAGGAATAATATCACAGAGGAAGAAGAGTGTTGATTCATAATTGTAAGAATTGTTGTGTCAGTTTGACAGAAGAGGGACGGCACAATGCTTATACTGTATCAGAGGACACTTATGTAAGGAGAGCACGTTGACAGCCTCTCTCCATATAGAGCGCACTGTAAGTGGGTGGGTTCCCTGTATGATATATGTGTGTTTAGCTGAAGCTCAAACAAAGTCTGACCCTCATGGAAACGGGGTCGTGTTATCACATGTTATGTAAGCTAAGAAAGCACAGACATGTTTTTTTTTTAAACAACTGTTGCTTCAATGTTGTTTGTCCTTAAAAATACAACACAAAGAGAGCAACAATCTTCACATTTCAATTATACAAAACTGTCCTTTTGTAACTACGGTATATGCTTTTTATTTTTACTTAATTCATCTACATTTTGCAGTGTTATAACATCAAACATCTTTTAAAAAATAGCACTAAATATTTTACAAGACCCAAACTGAAATATTAATAAATATTAAGACTGGATGTGTTTTGTAGGGGGGTTCATTTTTGTTGTTATTGGAAAGGACAGAGACAGGCAATGTAGTTAATGGAGAGAAGGGGAAACATGCAGCAAATAATAACTGTGGCTGGGAGTCTTTGTGCAGTTTTAAAAGTCTAAAGTTTATGGACTTTAACAGTATATGGCAAGCTTACTTATCTATAAGGTACATTTAACAAGGCAACTCAAAGTGCTTAACACAGACATAAGAAGAATCATTACAAAGTTAAGAAAAACCATTTGAAAGACTGAAAGGTAAAAACATTTAGATGTATTAAATCATTTCAGAGTTGCCTTTAGTTCATTTTCCCAAGACCATATCAGTGTGTTACCAATTAATTAATTACTGATTTAAACTTTCTTTTAATTATCATCAGATGGCTAATAATAAGTTACTATAATGCATCTTTAAAAGTTCACTATTCTTTTTTTGAAGTAAAAGAATTGGTGAACAAGCGAACTGACCAGCTAATCTGCCGGCTGATTAACTGGGTCAATTATTGGCACTTTGGCATAATCAGCATCATACAGGTGTTGGCCCTCACAAGGCTGATATCACAATTATCTCTCTAAATGAAAAAATGCATTTGACATTGACAGGACAAGTTAGTGTCTGATATGAATTCTGTTTTGGTACTCAGAGTACTGCAGTTTAATTATAATTTTAATTGATGCACCTGTTCACTTTAGCTTTTGGGGAGGTATAGCTACTTTTATTGGGTATTTTAATTATTTACTATGTTTACCTATATTGTTGTTTTATGTTTTATATGTTTTATGCTTTTATTGTTTATTTTTTATTTTTTTATTTATTTTTTGTCTCTGGCTATTTTACTGTAAAGCACTTTGGTAGGCCACTGGCTGTTTGTAAATGTGCTATATAAATAAAGCTGACATTGACATTTTCTTTTCCTGATCAGTTTTTCATTGGCTGATATTGATACAGATAATAAGACAACAGGTCAGTCGATGGCAGATTTATAATGCCAATATCACATTGTGGATATTGTTTGTGTTGAATGAATCAGTGGAAAGACAGTTATTGGGTTAGGCTATAGACTGCTGTCAGTACGAAATATAATAATAAAATACAGTAATAAAACACGAGTTAGCGACTGTTTAAGATTTTGCGTGCTATTACAGGATGATTTTTTAAAACAGTAATAATAGTGGTGGACGGCTCCTCTCTCTTCGCTGCAGGACAGAAAGATTCAGAAGATCTTTTGTACTAACAGCCATCAGACTTTATAACTCTTGTGTAAATAGTAGATAAGTTTATAAGACATATTATGTGAGACAACAGACAACTGAATTTCCCTTTGGGGATTAATAATGTTCTTATTCTTTTATTCTTCATGATATCGGCCTTGTGAGGGTCAATGCAGATATGTTGCTGATTGTGTTAGATGGCAATAACTGACCTGATCGGCCTTTATTTTCATAATCATTTTCAGACAGTTTGACAGAGTCTCTCATGGTGATACTAAACTGAGCCGAATATTGTCTCCTCTAAATCTGTTTGATAAAATATTCACTTTTCCCTCTTTCATTATCTGTATCGACAACAGGCACTGGTAATGTGATATCTGTCGTCCACTGGTGAAGATTAAAACAGAAGCATGATGACAGTTCACTGCAGGAATATGAAATTGAGGTGAAGCTATTAGACTAAAATAAGTTAAAAACAGAGGAGGCGACGTTTCATTACATTTCATGTCTTATCTATCAACTTTAAAAAACTTGATTTAACATTTTAGTGTTTGACAGTCAGACATGATTTTGCAAAGTTCATTATTTGATGGGTTTCAGAGTCTGTGATGTGTTTAATCTATTACAGTGAAACAGACTATAAACTAGAATTACTTTCGATGGTAAACCTGTTATTTTACAGTCTGTGGAAGTTCCTTGAAACCAGGTTAACCCATAAACACACAGCTCATCTCTGCACGGAGACATGTTACTCTGCTCTTAAAACACGCCCAGAAATGACTATAAAATAAAGAAACACCTGACCTTCAAGCATTAAATTCCCCTTGAATAAATCTGTCTCCTTTGTTAGTTATTTCAGGGGTGTTTTCCCGGTTTGTCTCTGTTTTTACCGGCAGACCGTTTCCTCCATTACCCCACGTTACGTATGACTTTGCCCTCTTCGTCCTCCCCTCCTCCTAACCTTTTCCTGTCCGCTTCTCTCGTCAGAAAAACAAACAAAACACTCAAACAGGGCGGTTTCACGGAATACGGAAAAATATCTCAATAACAGCGTGGACGAATTAAAACATTAATATACATTTTCAGTGTTTACCTTGCTGTTAGGTGAGCGCTGATCTTGGCCTCGAGGACCAATGAAGTACTTCCGCTTTGATGCCGCAGAAACAGAGAGGAGCCTTTTAATCACCTCTTATGGCCGCAGTGCCGTGAGGAGCGCCCTCTGCTGGTTAGACCGGGAAATGCGGGGACTGCTCATGAAAACGCTCTGCCAGTGAGCTGCAATTTCAGGACCGCACTTCTAGAACCGGCTATGATGATGTTTGTTTTTGCTTTTGTATACTGTAGCCAACTGCATTAATCGCTAAATATCACTGCATTACAATACTATACTATACTATACTATACTATACTATACTATACTATACTATACTTTGCTATACTGTGCTATACTATACTATACTATACTATACTATACTATACTATATTATACTTTACTATACTATGGTATACTATACTATACTATACTTTATTGTACTTTACTATACTATGCTATACTATACTATACTACTGTATACTATACTATACTATACTATTTTAAAATATGTGAAAATGGTCTTCCATTTGATCTTCACACACTTGATCTCCCATCATTACAGAATTTCTCCAGCCTCTACTGTTTTATACATTTTATTTTTTGGGTATTAAATTGATAAGTTAAATCATGCCAAGACAAACCCCTTCAAAGACCTAAGTTAGTGTAAGTGAACTGTCCAGGAAACACATTCAGCCAGCACTCCTTTAAGAAGACATGACTGGATTCTTTCTCCTGTTTTAATCTAGTTTCATGAGTGCTTAAATATCTTAAAAGTGGATCAGGTATCTTTAATTTCTTTATTAAAATACCTAGAATGAGTTTCTCAAGATCATATATCTCTTGGATATTCTTGAAGCTCCTGTGAGGAACTTTGTTATTCTTGACTTTGGCGCCCCCCTTTGGACAAATTGTTAGTTTATAAACTTTCCTCATTATCTCCTGTGCATAATGTAAATTGTGTTTTTAAGAAAGTGCCATCTTTTATCGGCTAGTTGTTTCATTTACCATGAATATTTGCCATGAAAAGCTCTTTTTTACTGAGGTGTAAACTGCGTAAACATTTACTCCCTCACAGCTGTTACAGTGATTAAAAAATTACATTAAGAAATTGCCAGTCTTATACCTGGTGGTCTTCTTTGCTTTTGAGGGCAATATCAGTATGTTCTATATTCAGTTAATAACTCCTACCAGGAGTTTTACGGTGGTCTAGGTGTCCTTTTGAAGATATTAAACAATAGGAAGTGACACTAGCTTTATGCTTAAGCCTACCATCAGTGGTTAAAATCTAGGTTAGTGTTTTTTTTCCTTCTATTTTTCTTTGCCATCCCCTGATGTCTCCAGCAGAGGGCGCTGTGTTTGGTACAGACTGGAGAAGGTGGAGGGATGTTTATTAAACTGTGGCGGTTGAGGCCTGAACAGAGTGCTGCTCTGTGTCCCTGCTGAGGTGGGATCTGTGTGTCAGGACCAGAACACACGAGTCTCAGTCCTTTTTACCGCTCGCCTCACATACCCCTCCTGCACATGTTTACCCTCAAACGCAGCCCAAACTGTTTGTGAGTGAGACTCTTTTTTCATGCAGCCCGCCCCCCAGCCCCCTTTCCGCCAAATAAACATTGCACCGGAAATTGCAGGGATATCTGGGATTTTTGAGGGGTCCCGGTGGAAAGGAGGAGAGGGCGAGAACAAGGGTGCTCTCTGTGACACCTTGAAGGTGAGGGGAGGGCGAAGGCGCAGAAGGCGGAGGCGGGGGGTCCAGAAGGGAGGGCGTGACCTTGCTGTGGGTGGCTGGTTGGGTGGGCGGCATCAGGGAGACGCAGATCCAACAGGTACAGGTGACCCAGTTTCCTTTGACCCCATCAGGGCCCGGTGTGCGTGCTAAGGCTGACCTGGCTCATTACAGAAGGTCTGACCCAGGCTAAATGTCAGGAGGAAATGATACTCTGTGACGCAGAGCAAAGTGTACAGCGAGTCTCCTGACAGATAACGACCTCCTGAGATGCTTGTAACTGTTGCACCTGATCGCTCTCCTCTGGGAGCTGTTTATCACAGCCTTCAGTCGGGAAAACACCAACTATAAAACAAGCCGGGGATTCATAAAAGCTGCAGACAAAGCATGCATGAATGGCAGGGTGTGTGTTCTTTGCATGTGTCCTCGTCTTTATCCTTCTTTGTGTTTGACTTTTGTCCCAGCACACATAATCCCAGACGTCTTTATTTGATAATAACAGCAGCTCTGATGGAAAGCTCTCAGTAGGAAGGCTGTTTTTGAGCAGGGTGGGCCATGAAGATGATTGCTGTTGATGGATGATCTTGTATATATTTCAATTAGTGTGTAACCTCACGTCTTTTTTTAAAACTCTCTTTCTTTCTAGACTTACCGCTGGCCTGTAATTCTCTCTTATATACACCAAAGCTTGATTACAGTCAATTAGGCTGCATGCAATCTATAACTTTCTATATATGCATGGGAAAAACTTTCAAATGAGAGCCTTTCTTGGGATGTTTTGAAGGTTTGAGGGCGTAAAAAGGACAGTTATTTACTGTATTGAGTATCAACCACATGCCCTGATGAGCATGTCCCTGCAATAAAGCCAAGACAGGAATGTGTTTGGATGCAGACCCGTGTATGGGAGAGCTCACCTGACAGCTGTATGACTTTTTCATGTATGCGTGCCCGTCTCCTTTTCCCAGCTCTGCTCTTATAGCGATCTATGTCTCAGTGTTTGGGGAGTCAACAGTAGAGTTCCTGTTCTTGGTTTAAAAATAACTTTGGGACTTAAATTCCTTGCCCCCTCCTCCTCTCATCCTTTCTTACTGGCACTCTTCTAACCTCTCCCTTTGCTTGTTTTTCTTTCCCTTTTCTTCTGTTTTGGAACACGCTGTGCTCTTTCGCGGCTTTCCGTTTCTTTCAGTCACTTTATATCTGTCCCTGCCGCAAACACACAGACCTTTTCACAACAGAAAGATGATGGGCTGCCAGAGAACAAATTTGCATAGCATTGCAGAATCTGGCTTAAATAAAAGTTGTCAGTGTACAAAAAAAAAAGGGAAACGATAAAAGCTATTTCACACATGCAAAACTTCTGAGAACTTCATGAAATGGTCTGTCTGGGCTGCATGTGTGAACACAAACAGCCAAAATCTTCAATCCAATTTTTAAAATTTTTCCTTGCCAGTTCTTAAAAACAAATGCACAAGAGGTCAGGGGGCACGGACGTGAGAACACAGCTGGAAAAATCCTGGAAAATTTACAACAAGCAAGCAGGATCGTTATTTTTGATATCATTTGACAGAAGACAGGCAAGATAAATACAATACAATAGATGCATGATGCACTTTTAACTTGCATTTGTGAATGTAGTAACAAACTGTGTTCAGAGAGATTCATTTCTGGAGGTGATTTTCACACAATGCAGTGATTTCCACTACAGAGTCATGCCTGAATCTTTGATTTAGATTAAATTCTAAAGATGATGAACTTTCAAAAATTCTTCGCAATTCTGTGCAATTTTTCTTCACCCATCTGTCTCTTAAAAGTCTAAAGTCATATTTTCCAGAGTGGAGAGAAGACAGAGCTTTATGCTACAACAGAGTAAATCTCAAAAGCTTTAGAAATTTTACCTGATGCAGGTGCATACAGTGTTTGGGCCATATGTGTGTGCATATTCATATACTATAAACACACATTGTTAGTTTATACTATAAAAAAAGGTGTTCAGTAGCAGGTAAGTCGAGAGCTCTCCTAAACAATCAGTTCTCACCTATCCTGCACTTTTATTCCCTTCATGTATAAACACACTCTCATCCAAACAAAAAAACGCTTACATAACAGCTCCATCTGTTTTCAGCTCCACTCCTGATGTTAAAAATCTTTGTGGTGCCATAAAAAGTGGGCTGCTATTGTTCCACTGACCTCAGTCCTTTATTCTGCAATAACTTCTGTGTCCTCACATCACCCAATATAACCAAACTTTCACTCCTCTCTCTTTTCTACTCTTGGACTGAGTGTCTTTTCTTTTCATGTTTTACTTTTGAGGGTTTGATTTGGTATTCAACAGAATGGTTGGATGAGTCGAATCAACTAAACCTCAGTTAAGTAGCTGACAAGCTACACCATAAGATCATGTGACATTTCTGAGGAAGACGGCAAGAAATACGGTTGAAACACGTTGAGATAAAAAGAAAAACACACTGGTCTAGTTCCAAAAAGAGGTTTAACTTGAACTAAAAGTCAGACCAAATAGCTCCCTTTGGACTACTGTAGTTAATTGTACAGAAGGAAATATAGATATATTTACGACTAACTCTGCATAAAAGACAGACACGACGTTAATGATGTGGGAGAAAATGTTACTGGTATAAGATTATAAATAAAACAGGACCCAGTAGTGTTCCTTGGGGAACACCCTTGGTTACCAGTATATACCCTGATTGCATAATCCTCACTAAATCTCAACAAAAGATTAGCATTACAGTAAATTAGAGAAGAAAATCTTATTGAAGTGAGGTTGTAAATGAAGTAGGGCCCAGTACTGGTCCTTGAGGGACACCTTTGGTTAACAGTAAAAAATCTGTTTGAATAATTCTAACTTAACTATAAAAGGGACTTTAAAATCAGTTGTATTGGTGAGAATGTTACTGCTATAAAGTCAAAAATACAACAGGACCCAGTGCTGTTCCTTGTGGAACACCTTCGGTCAAGAAATGTTTTTACCTTTAATATCCAGTCAGACCTAATGTATCCTTGTTGGACTATTATAGGAGACAATGTGATTGAGAAGGGTCCATTGCTAGTCCTTGTGGAACATCTTTAGATACCCTGAATAAATATTTACCACCTGAATACTTTGAAATAGTACAAAGAAAGGTACATTTTGAAAGCATTTGAAAGAGATGTTGTCACAACCGATACGTCTATAACAGGAAGTCAGAATTAGAAGAGTATGATCAACCAAACAAATGCTTTCAATAGGTCAATGCATTCAAAAAATTAGACCAAATGCAAAAGAAAAACACTTAAACTGTCTTGTTTTGACAAAATAGTTGCACAAAGTAGTACAAAAGTCACTCAACAAAAGGGAAAACGATTTAATTTCCATTAACTTGTTTGTTGAAGTCGGTGCTTTGAGTATTAACTTGATATATTGCAGGATCACAGAGCATGCCACAAATAATCCCAAGGGGGAAAAACACTAATACAGAGGAAAAGCACCTACAGTGTTTTTTTATTTCCATGTACTTGTTTTTGCAGGGTGCTCGCCCCTCCTCCCGCTCCTCCCTCTGACTTTTTAATAGGAGTGACAGGGAGGTTTTCCAGTGAACTCTTAAAGCAGACTTGTGTCACTTTAACCATTACGAGTTGACGTTCGCTGTCAGATCAGAATGTAAAGGTCAGCGTTCGGGGCAGCTGTCTCTGTCTAATGAAAGCCTTCACTTTGCTGTGTTGGAGACTCAGCGTGTTTGTTTATTATGTCTGGGGATGGAAGCCGCTGAGACCAAAGTGGAAAAAGGGGGAATACTATGATGAGTAAATGGAAGTTGAAGACATGAAAAACATAATTCTGTCTCAGTCTGAGTGTGTGTGTTGTGGGGACTGGATGAGCACACACTCTTACTGACTGCAGCAGGCTTTTCTCTGTACTTCTTGGGTTGTTTACTCACAGCTCTGTTACATCACCACGTCAATCTGACAGAGAGAGAGAGACGATCTGTGTGAGAAGAGGGAGAGAGTTTGGGAAATACTCAATTTTCTCCTCCAACAGGCCCGTGTTCACAGTTTGTACAGTGTTTTAAGTGCTGGCGTGTGAGAGCCTCAGTTTGTGACAGTGGTTTATGCCCTGTTTGACACTTTGACAATAGTCCCTGGTTCAGTGGTCACTGGATCCGAAAGATTGGTATCCACTAATAAATATTGGAGGTTTTAAAAGTCATCCTACAGCCTGACAACCTGAAGATTGTGGAGGTGGTTAAAAATTGGCTGCTCTAGTGAGACCATTATTATTATTATTATCCTACACTGCTTTTGCTTGGGAGTAGCAGAGTTAAGATGTCAAAGGTTAGAGAAAGACACACCAACTGCCCTGTTGTTGGTCGCAAAAAACAATACGGATGATCTGTCCCAGCTCCAGAGAAACAAAGAAAACAGTGATTGCTTTTTAGCGTTGAAAATAACATGATCATTTGTTTTACCGACCTCATGAAATTACTCAAGAAAGTAGCAACAATAATCAAGTTTGACCGCTTCCTGGTCAGGTTAGATTTTGGACCTTAAATGTTGTGTACTGGCACAAGTTCACACAGAGGGTTTGCCATTTTTTTCAAATTTGTGGTGTTTTTCCAACTCTGCAACCCTTTTGCACTATTCTGAACCTTACCTACTTGGACAACATTCAGGCAGCCAATCAGCACAGCCTCAGTGTCGTAGCATCCCAACCTGCTCAGATCACTACCTAAATGATGAGTTTAGAAACTGAGAGGCTGCAGATCCTTCACAGGGGCTGAATTTGTGATGTTTTTTTGTGACTGAATTTAAAACCTTGCTTAAAATACATCAAAGTCGTGTTGTAAGCAGCCGAAAATTACATTATTTTGGACCTTTTTTAGATTTACTGTCCACAGTGTTTACATAAAGCAGAGACAAATAATAAGATTTAACACACTCACCAAACCAACTGTGACTACAAGGGGGACAGCAAAAAGAACTGTTGTAAGATAAGAGGGGATAAGTGTCAGTGGAGCTGCAGAGAAAAGTCCTTAATTTCTATTTTCCACATTAAATACTGCCAAAAAGGATTAATTTGACCGTCAGCAGGATGAGTGTTTTTTTTTTTTTCTTGTCAAAAGGCAAGACTCTTTTGTTCACAGGGGACACAGAATTAATGCAAACCTGAAGTTTCTGACAGGAGCTTTAAGTTTTCCATAATTCAGATTCTTGAACAAATATCTGTAAACATGAATGAGCTTACATGCTATTTGATTAAAAGTAAGGTAAACTTTAACAATATAAGGTAAATTTTATCAACTTAAGACCAGGATGCTTTCATCATGGACATGTTGCTGATGTCAGAATATTTTATATAATCTCAACATCGTCTGGAAAACAAAACTGCAGAAGTTCCTGATAATCCTTTTCATGATTAAACATGTAAACCTTTGGACACGCATAAGAAGCACCAAATGGAGCTAGGAGTGAATATGCTAACGTATTACTTTTCAAGTGCTTTTGGAGTGAGTTGCTGAGCTGTAAATGTGTCCAAACATTTTTTAAACTGTTTAATATATGCATGTGCATGTCTGCAGCAATCGCTTCCTCTATGCACCCCTCTGGATTAGACTAATAGTCAGGTGTCTGTGTGGTTTATGGAGGACAAAAGGAGTCTGGTATCTTTTCTGATGACATAAATGACTGCAGGCATCCCTCTGCTTAATGATACATTTCAGACTAGCTGCAAGGGAAAACAACAATTACGCCACCCACAATCCCTCTCACCGAGCATCAACAAGCATCCCACGGCCTGTGAGAGTGCAGCATACAGCACATCCAGCAGGAGCAAAGGCCAACTTTGCTCCTTTTCAGTTTGGAGCAGGAGCATGAAGAAACATTGGCAAGGCCTTATGCACGACTAATGCCAGCCTTTGAGCAGTTTTTTCTCAAAACCAGTGATTGCATTTAATGAAACTTAAAAATCCAAGGTTAAAATCATCCTTTTTGTCAGTTTCAAATGTCATTTAAACATATGTGTGGAACATGTACTAACACCTCTCTTTCATAGAGTATCAGTGTGTATCGGTGAGTGGGCTCAGGTAGTGTAGATTTCCTGTGTGCGTGTCTGCAGGGATGACAGGGAGATTATCAGGCGGTCTTTGAAAACCCAAAACCAATTGAGCTAAATTCTTGTATGTTTACATGGGTAACTGTGTGTGTATGTGCGTGAATGAATGTGTGTATAAAGAGAGAGTCGGCTTGGGAACCTCTAAGTAGGTAAAAGGGATGTGGGGCCAAGAAACCAGGAAAAGTGGGCGATGAATTACACAGAGATTATCAACACAGTTTTCCAGCTCTGTTTCAGTCAATCATTTGTTTGTTCAACCTCAATTCCATAAGAGTTGGGATACTGTGTAAAATGTTGATCAAAAACAGAATATTGATGGTTTGCAAATTATTTAAAGCCTAAATGTAACTAAAAATAGTGTAAAGACAACATAGAAAATGCTAGGGTTGGGGTTAATGGAAAAATGTCTTTGTAATATGAGAAAAATGCGTGCACATTTTAAATTTAACGCCAGACATTTTTTAAGATTCAGAGGTTCACCACTCCAAGTCTCTAACTCCCCACTGAGACTGGGTAAGCAAACAGTTGAACACTTTCAAACTGGTGTTCCTGAGTGTGAAGTTGTAGAGAATTTGTGAATTTCATCATCTACAGTACACAATTTCATTAAAAATCAAGAGACCATGGAGAAATCTGTAAAAAAAATTGGTAAGGCCCAAAACCAATACTGGATGGTCGCAACCTTCAGGCTGTACTGGACAAAAAACAGACACCCTGTGGTGGAAGTAGCCACATAGGCTCAAAACCACATCCAAAAAACATTTTCTTTGAATACAGTTTTTTGTTGCCTTCAAAAACAAAGGTTAAAATCGGTTAAATACATTTACACAGGAGAGGGATCACTGAGCTTGTTATCAGCACTGTAAGTATGGTTAAGGGATGCATGCATGTATATGGCACAGGAGGCTGACACACTGGGAACTGCAGGGAAAGGCACCATCAATGTAGAAAAAGAACATACACAACTTTTGAAGCGACACATTCAGCCATACAGAAGATGTGTTTTTCAAAGAAGGCTGTGCATATTTCAGCAAGACAATACAAAACCACATTCTTCTTGCACTACACCCGCTGTAGTAGAGGAGTCAAGGTCCTGCTCAATCTTTGCACAACACAGAGTAGAGGGATTTACTGAACCAGCCAGCTGCAGTAAAGTGCAACTGAGCGTGGATATACGGTCTATAAAAAACATTTCATGTTAATTATGAACTATTGAGCAAAAATGAGACAACACTTCACTTTTCAAACTCCAGAAACTTGTCTCCTCAGTCCCCAAATGTTGACAGAGTGCTATTTTTAAAGGAGATGTTATGCAACACAATGGTAAACATGCTCCTGTTTCCACTTTTCAGAATGTATTTCTGACATCAAATCTAAAATGAGCACATGCCTTTCATAAAGCAACAAATAAAAAACTAAAACGTATGTTTTCATTGCAATACTTTAAATCAATGGTTTGCAAAACATCAAATTCAGTTTTTTCATTCATAATTGATGCAGCATATCCACTTTTTATGGAATTGGGGTTACGCTTTGCTCCAAAGAACACTCTCCATATGTGTTTTTATCTGTCTATTTCTGTGTAAAACTATTTTCATAAAGCAGTGGCAGGAAATTCTAGTCTGTTCTCTATAGCGGCCCACTGTATCAGTGCAGCACAGCCTATGGCAGCTGAGTATATTTATTTAACTTTTCACAAAGCAGCAGCAGGACACAGGTATGCGTGTGAAAAGAACTTTAAAGCATCAAAAATATTATTTTCACTCAAACATAAATAAATAAACACGCGCCAGTCAGCTCCTCTTGGAATGTAGTAATTCTGAATTTTTATGAATGACTGCATTCATGCTTAGCCACGCCCCCTGCAACAACCCCCTGCTCTGAGCGTCTGAGTGCTAAGCCCCGCCCCCTTCTGTATCCCAGTCAGGAGATCTTAGCCTCCCGCCTGCGCGCTCATTGGTTCATGCAGTTTGGGTTGGGCGTGGCTTCCGTAAAAAGCACGAGGCTGATATAAAAACACAGCTCAAACTTTTGATCGAAGAAAATGTACGAGTGATGGAAGACAAATGTGAACCACGGCGTTTGTCGGATTTAATCTCTCTGGACAAAAGGTTTTGTTTTTGAGCAGGTGGAGGATATATTCTCTTAATTTTTTCTGATATTAAAGATTTTTTCCCAAGTTCTCATTCCCCGTATGAGCACCAGTTGACAGCATGGGTTTACTATTCCTTTTTGCTGTCCTCCATGTGGTCACGGTCGGTTTGGTGAGTGCTTTCAATCTTATTATCCGTCTCTGCTTCATGTAATCACATGTGGAATAACGTCTCGTGTGCCTGTGCTCAATAGCAACAGAGAGCTCGTGCGGATTTGAGCTGCTGTCGTCTGTTTACATTACAGGCTAATCTCCATCCATCACCTCGGTGTGTGCAGTGTTACTATATATTGATGGTTTGGGACAGAAGCTTTCAGTAGCTGTTGCCTCTAGATTTACTGTCTTTTCTATGACTAAACTATGGCTTGTAATTTTTAAGAACTTCGTGTATTTGTTGCTGGTTACCCAAACTGTGGTTCGGGGACCCCCAGAGGGTCCTTTGAGAATATTTTTAGTGGTCACAATGCACAGTAGCATCTTGTAGTAAGAGATAAACCCTTAACTTTACATGCATCAATCAATCAATTAATTATCAATTAATCAATCAGTCAGTCAGTCAGTCAGTCAGTCAGTCAGTTAACGACTTCATTTATATAGCCTTTTTCATTCTATGACATGTAGCACAAAGTGCTTTAGATAAACAAATAATCATTAAAATCAATCAAATCCTACGTAAAAGGTATATAAAAAGTAAAAGAAAACAAACAATTAAAAATAAATAAATATAAACCGGGATAAAAAGAAAACTATCCATTTGTGCCATAATTTTCTGAAAACTTAAAAAAAATATATGTGTCTGAATAGCCAGTAGCTGCAGTTTTAGGTCCTTAATGCTGGCACCTCTTTCCAGAACCATTGTGTGGCTGTAAGAAGGAAGGTTCAGTTAAGAGTAAATGTCTTATATTTGAATCAATTACAAAACACACTAAAATTGGATACAGTGGACCAATATGGTCATAGTAACACACTGAAATGGTTAAAATAGTTACGATACACATTAAAAATAGTTACTACACGCACTACAAATGGTTAAAGTAAAATGCTAAAAAGGATAAAAATACACTCTTATCATGGATGAAAAACACACTAAAATACTTATATTAAAATCAACTGATTTGAAATGTTGAAAGCATTGTAACTGTATTTCGGTGTCTTCTAAACCCATGAGGGTTGGGCACTTTGTGTGTGTTACAATTTAGTTTGCATTGCAAGCTAAAGATGGTAACAAAATTTAAACAGTAATTCTTAAAAAAATAGTTATAAAAAACACTAAATGCTCACAATACACACTAAAATGGACATTATACAAAATTTGAAAAAGGTTTTAATACATACTAAAGGAGGTTAACCACATTAAAAATGGTAACAAAACACACCTAAAATGGTTTCAACACATATTTAAAAACAATAACAGTAACACATAAAAAAATGTCACAATACACTCAAAATAATTACAGTTACACTTAAAATGGCTACAGTACACACTAACAATCAGTGTAAAACATATTTAAAATGGTTTAACACTTAAAAGTCACAATAAGGTTAGGTTCTATACAAAAATGTTTGCAGTTAGACACTTAAAATGGTTGCATTGTAAACTAAAATGGTAACAACAACGAGATTACATCAGACACTCAAATGATTTTAATCCACACTTAAAATAGTTATGTTTTTTTAAAAACTCAATGTTTTAGGTCCATCTATTGTGTTATTTGTGACATTTTTTTGCTTTTGTGACTCTGTAAGGCTGCTAATTTGGCAAGGTCTCTTGCAAAAAAGATTTTAAATGTTGATGGGACTTCTTGGTTAAATAAAGGTTCAATTAAAAAATATTCTGCCTAAAATATTTAAATATGTATGAATAATGGGCATTTTAGTATCTTAATCATTCCCCATGTTTCATTCATTTGCATGTAGTATTTTATTTGCATCTAAAATGAATTAAAACCAAACAAAAAATTTAATCAAATAAAACAACAAAACTGCAAAGGAAATAAAAAAAAGTACCACATAAACCAAATAGAGTAAAAAAGAGTATGAGATTCTTTTGAAAAGAAGTGAAGCATCAGAAATAGAAAAACACCTCCAAACATATCCATGATATGATTTAAGTTTAAAGCTCCTGTGAGGAACTTTCTGTTTGTGTAGATTTTGGCGCCCCCTGCAGACAAGCTTTCACATCCTGCTCTTTACATATGTAAGGAGGAACTTTTTTTTTAATTTAAACTCATATCTCACTGTGAACACTTTTATGTGGAAAGGGTGAAGAGAAACGCCATAGACCATCCAGTTTGACACCTACCCCCTTACAGCTACAAACATTTAAAATTTAATGCAAAGAAAATGTCTGTTTTATAGCCACTGGTCTTGTTTGTTTTTGTGGGTCATAAAGGGGCATCACTATTACAATAAATAATGTCCAATTGAACAAACCTGCAACAGTCGGGGTGCTTTAAGTGTTGAGGAGGAAATACACTTAATGTGAACTTACAGCAATCCAGAAATAGCTGATAAATTATTTTAAGACATTTGGAGGGGAGATGCTCATGCAGGGTACATCATACCACCAATGAAAACTATTAACATTGTTTCATGTGGAGTCATATCCTATCTTCTGATACTGATAAGAGTGAGATGACCCCGTGACCTGACCTGTGTTCAATCAGCAGTCGAGGCAGGAGGCAATCCAGCTTTCTGTGATCTGTGTGTGGTACCTGCTGGGGCTTTTCTGAGAGTGTGTATGTGTGCGAGTGTGTGCGGAGAGTGTGTGGGGGTGTCGGGTCAGAGAATGTACTTTTCATCCTCGCTCGCATGGCGAATGCCAAGCGGAAGGCGACAGAGGGTTACAGATATCCCTGAGGGGCCGGGGACAGTGCAGAGTATTCAGTGAATGTTTAAACCCCACACACTTTGAGGAATTTCTGTGATCTGTGAAACACGAGTCAAACTTTTGTCCTGTTTGAATCCGGTGTGACCTCTCCTAACAGAGAAAGGGAACTTGAAGTTAGGTATTTAGATGCTCTGATGACTGATACCAGCTTATTTTTCCTGGTACTGGTATCTAAACTTAAAGGCTCTATTTGGTGGGAGATTCAAAAGAAGACAGGAAAAACAAAATATTGCACTCCTAAGCAAAAAGGTGAATGGCTTTGATGCAATTTATTTTCCCAGACCCAAGGCTTTTCTGCTGTTATTAGATCTTACATATAGCCAGACACACAAATCAGCTCTGCATGATTTTATTTCAAGATATTAAGCATTTACAGTTTGAAAAGTGAGGGCAAGACCAGTAATGGTATCATTATCCCTATTGGCATCAGTATCAGTATTTGCATCAGACCACTGGGGTTTTAGAACTATTTGGAGGCTATTGGATTGCGGTAATGAATTTGGTAGCAGTGATTGTATCTGTTTTAGCACTTGTATCCATGCCAGTCTCAGTATCTTTATCTGTTTTGAGTCAATAGATTTTTGTCTTTGGAGGCTCATATATTAAGTTATTAGATTTGTGCTCTTTCCAACATTTTTACAGATACAATATTTTAAATTGAATATAGTCATCAAATACAAATACTGTTATCATTATTGTCCCTCTTTGTCCATTCTGTAGGTGACTGCTGGTTGTCCAGTGATATGCGAGTGTCCAGCAGGGCCCCCGTCCTGTCCCCCTGGGGTCAGTTCGGTCCCAGACGGCTGCGGCTGTTGCAAGGTGTGTGCTGCTCAGCTCAATCAAGATTGCCATGAAGGCCGACCATGTGACCACCACAAAGGCCTGGAGTGCAACTATGGCAACGATGTGGGTCGTACCACTGGCATCTGCAGGGGTATGTGAACGGCACAGAGGGGGTAGGTAGATTTAGAGAAGGATGGGAGGAGTTTTTGGATTTAGTTTGAGAACAGAGTTTCGGGTTTTTCTCGGGGTTGAGTGAGGGAATGTGTAACTTCAGGGTGGGGAATACGCTGCAGAGCCAAGCGGCTGGAGTTTCTCTTTGATACGGGCTGCAGGTTTGAAGCTGGAGCCATGGTTCAAAAACAGTGTGCCTTCTTGAGCTGCGACTGAAACCTAGCCAACTCCTGGATTTATATAAGTAGTTGAGTGTGTACACAAACATTGCCCATGAAACGCACTAACACACATGCACATACAATGGTATTTTTATATGTGTGTTTATTTGGGGGTGTTTCTATATAAAGGGGGATATCTGGGGTGTTGTGTGGGGAGACCCTGTAGGGAAGGAGGTGGTAAACAAGTCAAAATACCTCTCTGGTCTAAGAATAGTGGCTGCTTCACAAATCTGGAGATAGTGTGTCTCTCCATGTCTCGTCTTATCCACCTTCAAGGAATATTAAAGGTGCATCAACTGAGACGCCTCCTCCTGTTTGCTCTTTGTTCTGCATCTTAAAAGTATTGTGAGGAGTTTTAACCAGCCATGAATCAGAATGAATTCATACTGATGTTTTTTTTATAACTTATGAATGAAAAGCTATTCTTGTGCAGTTTATTTCAAAGCATGCAAACAGTAAGACTCAAGTCTTTATCTAAGGCAGCCACCGAAACCCAAGCAAAACTAAATTTTCTCATAGTTGCTGAAAGTTTTACAGTTTTACAATTTTTCATCTGATCTATATGAATTCTGTTCACTAGAGCATTTTCTCTGACCTGTTTGTCTCCTCTTTTTTTTTCTCCAGCTAAGGCAGAGGGCCGATCATGTGAATACGATGGTCGGATATATCAAAACGGTGAGAATTTCCGCGCCGGCTGCAAACACCAGTGCACCTGCATCGATGGAGCAGTGGGCTGCCTTCCCCTGTGCCCCAGCCTTGTGCCAATCGCATCCCCCTCCTGTCCTGCCCCTCAGCTGGTCAAGGTTCCTGGCCAGTGCTGCCTCAGCATCGACTGCCACAAAGGATCCACGGTCGTGCCCCCAGTGCACCGACGGCCCCAGCCTCCAGCTTACCCGCCATACCCCTTCATCCCCTACCCGGCCTACCCTTACCCAAAGCCTTATCCCAAACCTTTCCGAAAGCTTTACCCCTACAAACCCAAAAAGGAGAAGGACACGATGGGGAACGAGCTGGTGGAGGTTGGACGCAAGTGGGACAAGACACGAGGGAACAAGCACCTTGCAGGTAAGAGATCGCCACAAAGTACTGAGGGGTGTTAGGATACCAGCTTTTCCTTTATGATTCAGGGACTTTGAGGAAGATCTGCTGGTCTTGTGGAGTTGTAAACACTTGAATCTGGACAAAAAAACATCTTGATACCTACTGGATGGGTGGCATTAGTGGTCTTCTGATTTCATTTTCATATTGGGCTTTTCAGGTTCTATGGAAATACCCCTAAAAGGATAACAATATATTTGGCACAGAAATTCACAATACCTGAATTAATCCTAGGTAATGAATTTCAAAGACTTTAAAAACCTTCTTACGATATATGCCCGTTAAGTTGATTTAAAGATTGAAACATTAATGTCCTCACTAGTCAGAATCAGACTCAATTGGTGATTGTTAAATCATCATTCCTTCTATTATTGTTGGCTCAAAATGTTGGTCACAATTTGTCTACGCTTTAGCACAGCCTCTCTTTACTGGCCAGGGTTGCATGCAGCTCTGGTAAATGGTGACACAATACAAGGTGATTAAAAAAATCAAGGGTTAAATTAAAAAATCAAGGGTTAAATGCCTCGATCCTAGAGAGGATAGGATAGTGCAAGGAGTGACATGGAGATAAGAGCTGCAGGCTGGAGTTCAACCCAAGCAGTCAATTTGAGGCATAATAAGGTTTATAGGACTGTTAGGCCAGTGGGCTCCGGAGAGGAAAATAATTCTGGATCACAGCAAAGTTGTCTCTACATCCATTGATTTTGCAGATGAGCAGTGATACCTCAAGTGGCACATCATTTGGTTTTTATTAGTATTTAGTTCAAGTGTTCGTCCAGACAGAATTAAGGGAAGACCAAGAAGAATACATAACCCCTAACCCCTGTCTTCAGAGAAACAACAAATCTTTACATCAGTCACAGTTTCACTGAATATATTCATGTTAAATCAGACCCAGTACGGACTCTTGTGGGACACCATTTTGCACCATTAATGGTATTAAAACGTGTCATTAGCTGAAACACCCCCACAAACCGAATTCTGTTATGAGTAGTGGTGGTATGGCGGACAACTCCTGAGTCTGTTTCCTCCGTACAGTAAAGCATCATGTTTACGTTTTAGCCATTTTAGCCTCCTGACGCACAAACGGCCTCACTGTGAGCCTCCCCCTCTGCATCTGCATCTGTGTGTGTGCGTGTCAGCATTTATGTGAGGCTTGTTTTCCACTGGCTCCTTGCACACCAGAGGTGCTCTCACTCATACACACTGCTCTCACACAGCACATACCTCCGTCACCCAGCTTTCCCCTCTCTGTAATCACCCTCTCTGTGCGTCAGTGTTGCCTGTTCAGTGAATGAGGCTAGTGTGCTTTGCATCTCTGGACCGCTCCTTTCCCCTCTCTCTCCTGTCGGCCCTTATTCACCCAGGTTTACTTTTGCTGATCTTTGGAGTTATGTCGATATTTATACCAGTATCCAAAATGCATCTGATGCCGCTGAAAACTGTGATGTGGACTGACAGCTAGGGTAGCTGTCAACGTACCCATATGAAACCATAGCTTATGTGACCTTAAGGAGATTAAGAGGTGTCAGGTAAAATATCATGTCATCATAAATATCTTGAGTGTAGTGCAAGGATGGAGTTCAATGTTCAAAGCTGGAAAATAACAGTAATCAGCGTTTCCTCCAATAAATGTGACAATTCTTTTAGCAGACTGGAACAGCAGGCATGTTCAGAGACAGCCTACCCGAGGTAGTCATATCTAGATTTAACCCCGGGAACAAATTGAAGTAAAATGCCCTCATTAAATTCAATCTGTCAATGAAAATGCCAGATTTATAAACGTGTTTTGAGGATTTTCCTAGACTAGGAAAAAACTAGGGAGGTTCTGAAGCGGCAGATTTGCCATTCATTCTAACATGAAACTACTGCTAAGATAAGATGAGAAAGCTCTCTGGTTACAGTCAAAACTGAGATCTATTTATTCAGCACAGCTAAACACAGAGTCTGCTGGCAAACAATGTTAAATTAGTTTACCAAGTGTTGCTAACCTTAGCAGAGTCACCAACAACCTTCAGTGCCCCTTCAGATTGACATCTACATGTCTGTGACACTTACACATCGGTCCTGCTGAGTGGTTTTGTGCCAGTTTAACCACACACAGCAAACATACAACTATACTAAACTATGTCCTGCTACAAGATTGCATCTGTCAACTGTGCTATTTTACACACAGGTAGTAGAATAGTATAGAATAAAATGGTAGTCGATATTGAACGGCATATATATCTGGGCCAACAATAATGGAAATGATACTGCATCCATTCACAGTTGATATTATAGTCTCAGTCTGTATCTTTATGTCTATTTCTTAATCACGTTGGTGACAGAGGAGTACCCAGAATCTGCTAAAGTTTCAGTCTCTGTATCTGAGTGAATATCCAAAAGATAAATGCAGCCCTATAACACCCCTTTCTCTTTTCCCTCCTAGCCTGGACACAGTTGGGAGATCAGTGTGTGGTTCAGACGACCTCCTGGTCCCAGTGTTCTCGAAGCTGTGGCATGGGCGTCTCCTCTCGTGTCACTAACGACAATGCCCGGTGCAAGCTGATCAAGGAGACGCGTCTGTGCAACATTCGGCCCTGCAGCTCCATGTCTATCCCCGTCAAGGTGAGGAATGTGTTTGGGGATTTTAAGATTCTTTGGATTACACTTCTTCCTCTTAAGACCCACAACCATGCAGTCTAGCTACCAGGCTAAATGGATTCAGGACAGGACTGCTCTCAAGGGGTCAGATTGGTATTAATATCACGGCATGTATTCAGCCCCCTCTTCTGAATCCTCCAGTAGCTGGAGCCTTTCTGGTCCATCCTCTCTATTCATGGGTCTGTTGCTGTGTAGGGACAGTCCTAAATCTAGTCAGTTATATTTAATCATTTTAAAGATTGTGTACACTTTACTTATTGGACACCTTTTCTTAAGATGATGAGACAAATTTAAACACCCTTCTACTCATTTTCTGGGCAATAAATCGGCACGATGAGAACTAATTATGACAAGAAACGTGTTATTTGACATGTAATTCAATTTTATGGTTGAACTCACATCTTATCTGTTTACCTGGTGGGAGTTATGCTGTGTTTAAGTTACCTCGGAAGTCAGATGCCCGAGCTGGGATGGGAACGACGTCACACCCAAGTTACCAGTGTTTTGATTACCAAGTCGGAAAGAAGCAAAATCGGTGGCGGAAACAAGATGGCTACATCTACGAAAGTTATTTTAGCACTTGCCTTGTCCTTCTTATATTCGGACAAGGCAAGTGCTAAAATAACTTTTTCTGACTCGGTAACTGAAACGCTGGTAACTCGAGTATGACGTAATTCCCAGCTTGGACATCTGACTTCCAAGGTAACTCAAATGCAGCATAAGTAAAGGGAGTTCCAACTGCTTTGGTTTCACTTTTGCAGAGCTGCTGCAACATTGATCTTTGAATATACAGGCAGTCTACTCTCGCTGAAAGTGGTGAAGAGAGAGAGAGGGAGACAGATCAACAAAAAACAACCAACAGACAGACAGACGAATATAAAGGTGCAGAGAAACAGGTGGATAACAACTCAGATATGAAGTACAAACTCACTTCTCTCCCACACAGAACCTGCGACACTCTGTGAGTCTCTGCTGTTTGATGTAAAAAGCACTCGATCGCCCACTCTGTTGCTCTCTCACATTTTGTACCCGCCACCCTCAAAACATTCTGCCTCCTGTCGTGAGCCACTCATGCGCCTGATGGGCTGTTGTGCACCTGTTTCTCTGCACTCTCCCGATGTTTGCAGAGCAGCTGTGGGTGTTAATGTGTATCAGTGTCAATCCTCTGCTATTGTTGGTATGCTGGTCTCTCTGGCACTTATCTGTTGTTCTGACCTTTTATTTTGCCTCTCCCTGCCTCTGCACTTAACTGGATTACTTTTATTTTTCATGCTGCAGAGCCTGAGTAATGAGTTATTTCATTTTGCCGTGTGGTATGGCTGCTGAGATTCCAGGCAAATGACAATGTGATCCCGTCAGGCTTTCATGGAAAGGAGTGTTTATCTTCACCAAAGAAAAGATTTAAATCATGCTTGCAGAGCAGCTTTATGGATGGCAGTGTGATGACTCAGTCAATATATCATTTTGGTCCAGACAGAAATATCCCTTAAACTATGTGTTGCCTAGAATTTTAACAGATGAGGTGTGGGTGCTGGGGTGTGGTGATGCACATAATTGAGCAGAAAAGAATAAAAGAAGTCGAAGTACCGATTTTTTTTTTTTTTAGGTTAAAATGAAAGATTGCATTCAGATATGTTAAGATAGGAAATGTTGTGCAACTTTAAATCTGCTCTGACATCAACAGAAATGTTAGCTGGTTCACTTTTATACAAGCTACTATACTATATTTACTACTTACAATATTTCTCCAAGGAGCTGTTTAGCGTATCATGTCGTATCCTATTGCATCGTGTCATCTTATTTATCTAATTGTATTGTGTCCTTCAGTGTCGCTGTGGAAACAACAAAGTGTACCTTTGCGTATCATATCACATATCATATCAAATTATGTCATACCATATCATATATCTCATTCAATGTCGTTGGACCATACTTCATGCTGTTGCGTCACAATAGCATATATATTTTATTTTATTGCATCCTATCATACTGACCTATATGATAGCATATCATATAATATGGTATGGATGTACATGAAGTGCCTTGTCTGCCACTTTTATCACCCATTTGGATTTTTGGGAAGAGAGGCAACATAAAGCGATTGCTTATTCCTCTAACACAGGTTTAAAATATGAACCACAGTGCTGCTAGCCTGACTCAGTTCTATAGACTGTATATACTATGGACAACTTGGTTCCGCCTCCCGCCACTATATGGATTTGAAGCCAAAAAGCTCTCGGTAATTCTGTGTTTTTTCTCCACTTCCTGAAACCAACATTGCGCAGTAGCGTTGTGCGCATTCAGCGGGAGAGTCGCGCCTCAATCAGTGTATCCCCCGAGTGAGCTACGCAATCCCTGAACGCCAATAGGCTGTATCAGGTGTCTATGTCTATGTCTATGGAGCTGTACAGAGAAAAGAGGACTTGAGCACAAACCTGTCCTACAGTAACTACATGTCAACATCACAATCAGGGGGAAAAAAATTATATTCTATGTAATAAATTTCTAAAGTTTGTCCACAACTCCAAAAGGATTGCCAGAGGAGGTTGGATTTATGACCTATACTGCAGCCCGTCACCAGAGGGTGCTGTTCTCAGGGTGGCTTCACCCAACGAGGAGGCAGACGAAGTCCATTCTATATACAGTCTATGCTCAATTTATTGTTTCCACGTGAATCCATCTCTCTGTCTTCTGTTTCTCTCTACAGAAAGGCAGGAAGTGCTCTCGTACCCATAAGGCCCCTGAGCCGCACCGCCTGTCTTACGCCGGCTGCAGGAGCACCCGCCTCTACAGACCCAACTACTGTGGCGTATGCAGAGACGGCCGCTGCTGCTCACCCCGCCGTACGCGAACTGCGAGCGTCACCTTTGCCTGCCCTGACGGCGAACGGTTCAACAGATCTGTGATGTTCATCCAGTCCTGCAAGTGCAGCGACGAGTGCAACCATCTGAATGAGGCTGCCATGCCACCACAGCGATGGCTCTATGGAGACACGCACAAGTTCATTGACTAACCCCCACCCCACATTCCCTCTCACACCAAACAAGACCCCAATAGTGATCCCCATTATAGAATAGCTGTCCTTAGTGTTTCTATGAGTAGACACAAGCAAGGTGCACACGTCAAGACATCTTTTCTGGATGTTTGGGGAGGAATGGGGAGATGAAAAGTGAACTGGATGAAGGTACCTCTGACTTAGAAGAGGGAAGTGGCCAGCCCGTGCTTTAGTGTAGATTTAAAAACAAAAAGATGTTTCTGGCCTTGCTGGACTTCTTTGGACTTTGACAAGTGGGATGAATCTAGCCACCATGTTGCTGCCATTCGCCAAAAGTCCCCTGAACTCTGAGACTTTGGGTTGGGATGCTGGAATAAATAACAGTCATTTTTCTCCATTAATGGTTTGGATTCACACCTACAAGTCTGACTGTACAATCAAACGTTGGTCTGGTAACGCTTTGGAGCCAAAAGTTCAACCAGCTGGAATCCAAAAGTCCATCACATAAACCAAATAAAGACTCACAAAGAAGACGAGGCAGCAAAGACTGGGATCTGATGGGAGAAAGATGGAAAAAGGAGTGTAGCTTGTGTCTTTTTTGGTATTTATTCATTGGTATTTATTGTTGAGACAGTGGCTGCTATGTTTGGAGCTTCACAGTGGCTAGACGGGGACAAAACAGCTGAGAGCTGTCGCCCACACAGCGGGGGAGAAAAGGACTCCTACAGATCTGGGGCTTGACCCCAGGTGTCAGACAGCCATATCTAATGACAGATGATGAAGGCGACAGGAGAAGAGGACTTATAGACTCAAAAAAGACTGAGTTGAACCTGCTTGGTCGGGGCTTTGTAAGCATTAGCAGGGGAATATGTCAAAGGTTGTTTACACAGCTGAACTCGTCCCCTGCCTCGCCTCCACGAGACGCTGAGACATTTAGCAAGCATCAGAAGAACAAGCCTGGGATTCTGGCGCCAAGAAGTCAACCGCTTAATTCTGTGCAAATTACTATCCTGACTCAGAGGGGCAGTGAGAAAAATTCTGCCACTCTCTTGTTTGCTAAAAAAGTCAAATTTGAAAACTGAGAGAAGTGGAGTAAACATGTAATTTGTGACTCGTGGTTGGAAACGTTCTCGTGCTGAATCTGGTCTGTAATCCAGCAGCATGACGGCGCCCTAAACCCCAAACAATAAGTCATGATTCTTCATTTCTGAGTAGGGTCTGTTTCTGAAAAATCCTGCAAAATCTGTTTCCTTTTGCATTTAACAGCAGAGGAATTTCATCGACCCACAAAGAAAGGAGGAGGTGGTAGTTAAAGGTCAATACAAACTTATTCCTTCAGACATTTGTGGCCAAATTAGATTACTTTAACAAAAAAAGTTAAGCTTATTACCCGACTGGGAATTCAGTTTAAGTTCATGCACCTTAAAACAGGCTTGATCCATGACCTTTGCCCTCATGTGAGGACTATGTAAGGTCATTTAAACTTGTTATTCTCTAATCTAGAAACATTTCGACATTTTTTTCTGTTGTGCCGTAACACGTTGATTTCTCCTAAACTGGAAAATATCTTCATTTTCAACCATCTCTTGACTAAAGTGGGTTATTCTTGAGGAGACTCGCATGTCTGGAAGTTTGTTCAAAGAGTTTTAAACCTGACAAGAGTTTTCTAAAAAGTTTTAACTGTTTCATTTGAAATTTACATTTGTAGATGCTGTGGTTTTGGAACTGTATTTCTAGTTTTGTCTACAGATAAATATAGTGCAGCTATGTACAGATGCATTAACTTCTTCTGTAGTTCTATCTGCTGTATAAGGGCCAGTCTTTTGCAACATTAGTTCATGTGTAGTTTAGCACTGAACCAGGCGGGGTTTAGATTCTTTACAAGCAATAGTATCAACATAAAGCATGATAACTGTAAAGTATGTCTACTTGTGTTCATTAATACCACCTGTAATGATTGAGTGACGCTTTTAAGGTTCAGAAAAAAGAAAAGGCTCACAAATTTTTCTCTTCAAAAATGAATGCCTGAGAAAAACATTTTTAATAAAGAAATTATTCCACCGATGTATTTCCTTGTTGTGTGGGTGAAACTGACTTTCACAGAACGTTGAATCAAATAAACATGCTACAGATTTCCAGATTGGCGGCTCACCAACAAGAACCACCAACCTTCAGATAAAAAACTGACAACACCCAAAAAACAGACAACTTGGTTCAAAATATTCACTTGGAAAAGAACAGAAGCTGTGCAATTTTAGATGGCAACTAACAGAGTATCTGCTTTTAAGTGTTGGCACAGTCTGCTGGTGAAAACAAAAGGCGATTACCTTGAAATTAAAAGTTCAGCATAAAACATTGAAGTGTCCTAAAACGACGCTGGAAAAGAATTTTTTGAAATGAGCAGGCGTTTCACAGAGAATGTGCTGTACACAATGTTTGACAAGGAAACTGTACAAAACAGAATAAAAGATGAAGGGAGATCAAAACAAACCAAACAATCTTAAAGGCTAAATATCGTAACCATATTGAAATAATGGCTTTTTGATGAAAATGAGTTTTTGTCCTAAAATCATCTCTTGATAATGCTGGCCATCCCTGGTCAAATCACCTAAATCCTTAGTTGAAAGGATCTTGGCAAGATTTGGGTGATTTTAACAGAGATGGCCAGCATTATCAAGAGATGATTTTAGGCCAGAAACTCGTTTTCATCAAAAAACTACCTATACCATTATTTTAATAGGGTGATGATATGGTTGGTAGGCATATTAAAGATAAAGCAAGGATCTGAGAGTCTACGTTTAAGTCATAATTTACTTAATCAGAGGGTTTTTATCTTTTAGCTATTTCAGAGAGAACAGCTTGAAGTTGTTTATGAAACAGCTAAATGATGCCCTACCATTTATTCACTTGTTTTAATGATTATACTTTTTGATTTTGGATAAATATAGAAGAATAACATCTACTGTTACGACAGAGACTTTTTTAAGGTACCGTTTTCATCTTGTGATCCCCATAGAACGTACCGGCGAGTACAGAGGTATAACCAAATGATTTTTAGTCATTTCTAACATGCTTGTAATTCACCACCAGGACTCCACTTGGTGACGTCATTTATTGGAGACATTCAACTGGATATTCAAAGAAAGAGCTGCCATATCAGTCAAGAGTTTCAGTCACTGGAGGACTACTTTTATATACGATCATGTCTTGCAATGTGAAAGGAAAAACAAAGGTAACACACTGTTTTATGTCCCTCAGAACTACTCTCTACATGCTCCCTGAAGCTCTGCTGTGGAGCGAAGCATATAAAGACTGAGTAGAGACAACAGTAAAAATGACATTTTATAAAAAGTTTTAATATCATTAAGCAAAAAAAAAAAAAAAAAACAGACAGTAAAAGACAAATTAAAACAGACCCCACCCGACGCCCCCAAAAACTTCCAATAAAAAATAAACGTTTGGTGAACAAAGGGCACAGAGCAGAGCTTTGAATCGACGGTGAAGTACGTCTACATCCGAATACACGACATGAGATCCATGGAGAGGAGACTTCTGCTGGGCCGGGGGACTCATCTGGACTGCTCGACTGCAGAGGGACAGACATGAGGAGAGCGTGTAAGAGATCAATGTGATGAGCAACAGCTGAGCATACCAGGTTTTCAGCAAACGGTTAAACATGTAAGGGCAGTTTCCATCCGATGAGAGCGACATGGCAGCAACAACTGTTGTCTCTTCCTGCCAAGATAACTCGTAAAGTTTATTGCGACAGCTGATCATGCACGGAGCAATCCTCAAATGACAACTTCTCACTGGATCAAGTGGTACCGAAAAGCCACAAAACGTCAACAAATGGAAGCGACGGTGTGTTTTGATAGATACAGTGTGAAAGACATGTTACCGAAGCTGTGGATCAGCATTCGGAAATGGAAATACTCACTGTAAGAAGAGATGTCAATCTCATCTGGCAGCTCGGCCACGTTGACCTCGAAGCGGTCCTGCACATCGTTCAGAGTCTTGGCGTCCGTCTCATCAGACACAAAGGTAATAGCCAGGCCTTTAGTGCCAAACCGGCCTGCGCGAGCAACCTGACAGGTGCAGAGAGGGCCGAGTGAGTTAGATACAAAATAATTTAGCACTTTAAAGCCTCTGGAAACACATGATATCACTGTAACGCATCAAAAAAATCTAAGTCAAGATATATTTATAAAAATCAGAAACCTCAGAACCACACAAAACAGCACCTTCTGACCCTTAAGTGTTAGTTTGAGATCCACATGTAGCCCTCAAATCACAAAAAAAGTGCAATCAACTCAAAACAATGGAAATGCCTTTTTTCACAGCATGGTCATTAAGATGTCACACAAACCAACGTGTCTCAGCCTCACTCCATCAAATCTTGATGTGAAAACAAGTGAGAAGTGTGTTTTATGATCCAACAGAACTGCTGCATTACAATGAAGGTATCTTGTGAAAGTTCCACAAAGAGTTTTTTATAAATCTATTTTTTGTGTTAAATGCTGTTGTGAGCAGGAGAGATGTGGATGAAACTTGCCTGTTTTATACAGTGGATTCAGAAATGGGTATCGGATTTGTAGCTAAAATGATACTGCTCAGCCTACAGCAAAAACTGACAGGTAAACTCATTCAAAAGAATTCAGAGTTGTTTCTAAGGTCATATACTACCCAAAAAGTCCTTTTAACTGTTCAAAGAAAGACCGCCTCACAGGTTTCTTGTTTTTCTGATGGCATGTACCCCTACCCAAAGAGAACTTTAAAACATATTTTCAATACTGAAAGCGTTGCGTTTCCGTTTTCATTTTAAGTCTTTACTACCAACTGAGATTGCAAAACGAACATGATTTACAATGAGCACATTGGAGTAAATAATACAAAATCTGGGTTATCACTGTTTAGGTGCATGCAACAGTTAAAGGCTGTAGCTCTGCAGTGGCTGCTAGTTAAACTGTCTTCAGTGTTTACAACTTCTAATGCACATGAAAAATTTCAAACTGATCTATTTATCTTGTATCTTTTTCTGTTTTAATTACTATCTTTGGCTTTTTTCCTCTTTTAATCTCCAAATGTAATCAATGGAACAATCACACATTAACTGTTGCTAATCTCTCTCTTCTGCAGTTCTCACCCTGTGCAAATAGGTGTCAGAATCTTCGGGCATGTCGTAGTTGAAGACGATATTAACTCGTTCGATGTCCATCCCTCTGCCAAAGAGATTTGTGGCCACCAGGATCCGCCTTTGGAAGTCCTTGAACTGCTGATAGCGGGACAGCCTGAGAGGGAGGAAAGGTCAGAGGGGACGGGAGGGAGGACAGAGAGAGAGGAGGGGAGATTATCATCACAGCTGCTGCAGACAGAGTGAGGCTTTGAAGGCAATGATGTGTTGAGTTCACTGATGAGGCCTGAGGTTCCATAAACATACACAGCATTCGGAGCTCAATGGAGTGTATGTTTATGGGTTTATGAGGTGAGTGTGTGTGTGTGTGTGTGTGAGAGAGACAGAGGGAGAGTCTCACCTCTCCTCCTGAGTCATTCCCCTGTGGATGGAAATTGCGGGGAAGTTTTGTTCCACCAGAAGCTGAGACAGGGCGATGCAGCGCTGCACTGATTTAACAAAGATCACCACCTAGAGGAAAAATACAGGCATTGCAACTCAGTTTAGTTTGACTTCTCAGCATAATTCCACAGAAACATTAGTTAATGGCAAAGCTGGAATGGGAAAAACGGTTTAAGTTGGCTGTGGAAATTCATCTGTTGCACCCCACCACAAGTTTTTAAGTTATCTGGATGACTAAAGGAATCAGACTGAAAATCTGGTGAAAATTTAAAAAATTTAAAATACAACAGATACACTGCATAAAAGGGGCAACAATGATAAAGGCATTTAAATGGTATACAATTGTGAAGGCAGAGCAGGTGTGGCTTTCTAAAGCTCCTGGTGAAGAGTTTTGGTTGTGAAATTAATACCAACATCTCTCCATAACTTTACAATACACGGACCAAAAGGGGGTAGCCATCCATCAAGGGGGAAAAGAAAAATCACTTTCACACTACTTGGGCAGCTTTTTTCATGTTCTGTAGCAACAAATCACTGTCAAGAGACCAGGATGAGCCTTTTTTGTCAAGAACACTCAATAGTCATGTACAGGACCGAGTTAGCGATGGTTACTCTATCAGTTAGGGGTACAGAAATCAGAACAAACTCAAACTCACAGATGGATAAAAGGACAGTATTAAACCTGGTTACACACAAATTACGTCAGGATAATAAAATAATATGTTTATGACTGGCAGGTGTAGTGCCACAGCAATACATTACTGTAACAACAGCCTCACCTGGTTGAACTCCAGCACATCTAGCAGGTCAAAGAGTTTGCGGTTCTTCTCGCTGTCCTTCAGTTTGCAGTAGTACTGCTGCAGACCGTGGAGTGTCAGTTTGGTCTCATCATCCACAAATACTTCCATAGGCTGCGCAAGAGAAGACAGGAGGTGGTCAATTCAAGAATTTGTTTTACAAGTTTTAGTGGCAAACCCTGCTCGGTCGATTCATGAGCAAACATGTCATACTGTGGGTTTGACGTGTTTCTGTCATAGCACCAGTCAACTTACATCCTGCATGAACTTGCGGCAGACCGGTCGGATCTCCTTACTCAATGTGGCACTGAACATCATGACCTGTTTCTCATGGGGTGTGCTCCTGAAGATCTCCTGCACGTCACACCTCATATCTGTTAAAAAAAAAGCAACCCAAGGCCGAGAAATCAATAATGGCTATAAATCTGATCAAATCCCGGGATGAATCTGCGATTAAGAGAGCTAATAAAACTCATTCACAGATATTTGTCAGATGGACTCACCTAGCTGCTCCAACATTTTGTCACACTCATCCAGCACAAAGTGCTTCACATTCTTCAGACTGAGCACTTTACTCCGGCTGAGAGCGAGGATACGACCCGGCGTTCCCACCACGATGTGCGGACAGTTCTTCTTTAAAACCTCCTCATCCTTCTTGATGGCCATGCCACCGAAGAACACAGCTGCCTTTACTGTGGGCATGTACTTAGAGAAACGCTCGTACTCTTTGCTGATCTGGAACGCCAGCTCTCGTGTGTGGCACATGACTAAGACAGACACCTGCAGAGAAACACAAAGCATGAGACTCAACATGTCCGGATACATTCTCAAACAGCGATAGAGACCCAACCATTTCCAACTATGACAAACTGGACTCTAGAAAACAGTCAAACTTTTGGTCAGTGCAGAGAAAATGAAATGTTGATTATTGAGGACAAAAGATTTTTTTAAGAAGCATTTCTTATTCTTTGCTGACAGTGAACTTTGCATGTCGTAATGAGGCTGAGTGTGAAGCTTCATTCAAATGGTTTCCAACCGTCAACAAACAAGAGTTTATACTCTGTCTCAGCCAATCAAAAAGGACTCAGCGCACAACAGGCTTACAATTCCAATAACTTTGCTTTTCTTATTTCCAGTACTTTTCATCCGCTGAAATCTATATGGATTTATTCCCCAACAGAGGCAAAGAAAAGGCATCTACTGGACTCCAAACACGAGACGGGATACAACCACAACAGAGGACACTCTAGCCCTTTCATTCCCATCATCTCGCCATTGGCTGTTTGAGGTGAAAACTGATGTATCGTAGAAAAAACATGCATCACAGCTACACAGATGTTTGTTTGTCTTTAGTGTCTGCCTTCATCATTCCTCAGTTTGATTTGCACAATTTTTTGAGAGATGAAATAGTTTCTCAAATGCCCTGCAGTCAAGAGCTTTACATCTGAGAGAAGCAGAGTAGCAATGGCAACAGTGACACCTATAAGGACACAGCACATCTTACATCTTAAATAAACCACCAAAAGCCTCCAAGGCACTGTTCCATGTGTGAGGTAACGCTTGTTTCTTTACATGAGACAAAAGACACTTCAACATATTACAGACAACTGTAACTCTAGTCCCTTAACTAAATAGGTTTACACACATGCTGTACATGCCGAACAACACTCACCTGTCCATCAACAGGTTCAATCTGCTGAAGTGTGGCCAGCACAAACACGGCTGTCTTCCCCATACCAGATTTGGCTTGGCACAGGATGTCCATCCCAAGGATAGCTTGTGGAATGCATTCATGCTGGACTATGGAAAGAGACACAGAAAATAACTTCAACAAAACTTTCAATACATGTTAAATCCTGATCGCATAAAACTGTTTAAACCGTTTACAACACTTAGACCCCCCCAGAAAATGAATGATTTTCAATAATGTAGTTTGCCAATAGTGCTCAAACAGTTTCTAGCAAAACTGTTGTTCACATTAAAGATCTTCAAACTGTAGTAGTGACAATCTGTGGTGGGTGATGAATGGATTGCATATTCAAAGTGATAAACCCCAGAGTTGCCCGCCAACAGTCCTCACCTTCAGACGGATGCTCGAACCCACAGTCGATGATGGCACGGAGCAGCTCTGGTTTGAGCAGAAAATCTCTGAAGCCAGAGCTGTGGATGGAAACGTAGGAACCCTTCACCTCCTTCTTGCCTGCTGGGGCGGCGCTCTCAGGGGCTCCCTGAGGCTCCTCATCCTCTTCATAATCGAGCAGCTCATTATCAACATCGTTCTCAGCCATTGTGTCTGTGTGGAAGAGGGGTAGTCTTTGTTAGGACCTGATAGGTAGAAATGTTTCAGGATACCAACAAACTATGGAAGCTCAACACAGGGAATAACAACAATCACCGATAACCTGATAAATGCTGTGCTGTGTACTTGTTCTTGAGGCATTATCCTATCACTAAACTTTGATACCTGTTCCTGCTGCCAGCCCATCCTGGATCAGTAACTAAACAAACACCAAATGTGGGGTCTCTCACACCTGTTGTTGCCCTTCTTTGACCAAATGTTCTCTGGTTACACCAACAAGTTCTTACAAAGGTGGAAAACATGTTACACCGTCGTGTTTCCATAACGTATTGTTTCTATTTTACATGAGACATCTCAACTTATAGTCTGAATGATTCTTCTGTGATTTGAAGCTGTTGTAAACACTCCAAGGCACCATCTTGGGAAGCTTGAGTAATGAATGAAGTAAGCTAGCAAGCAAGCACAACACCATTACAAACAAAGAGAATAATGATTTTAATGTCCCATATCTGACTACTATTTATCTCTCGTAGAAGTCGGGTTTCGCTGAGTCTTTTGGGTTAGCTTTAGAGCCTCAATAACACTGGAAAACCATTGTGTTACATAACCGTCACTAACGTGGTAAGCTAATCTGCTACAGGGTAAAATCAGCACTGTTTCTGCAACAAAATAACTTCATAAAATGAGATATTTACGCCAGAAACAAAAGAAGACATTAATTAACATTTAGTGATTGATAAAATAACTGAACTAACCCAGTTGTTCACGCTTAAGCTAGTATAGCTAGGCTAATTTGTTAGTGACTATCAGCGCTGGTTAGCTAGTTAGCTCATGAGCATCCTAGAGCAAACAATAATACACGCGACTATATCATTAGCGAAATAATTTGCAACTCGAGCAATACGGTCATAGTTATCATCTTTATCGTAACTAGTTGATGCTTTGCGAACACTCAAGCTCAAACAGTCGAATATATGTTCTCCGTTCTTACCTTTAAGGTGTTAGCTCTGCGTCCACTCACAGATCAAACCGCATGGGCAGGCCTGAGATAGTTTATACCAGACACCGGAAGTCCCGCCTCCAGCGGAATGCATAGACATCGTTGGTCAATTTGAATGTCAGTTGGCAACTGTGGTCAACAATTGGACAAAAAGTGTTCCGCAGTCCGCCGCAGTTTGAAAAGGCGGGACGCGGAGAGACCGCACTCGCAGTGTATGGAAGCTCTTTAGGGACAAAGAATGTAAACTAAAATAAATAAACGCACAAAGTGCGGTATTGTGGCAAACAGAAAAAAAACATTGTAAAGAAATAAGTTCCTTTGGGGTTTGCAGTTGACCAGAGCTAGAGTAGCGAGTAACGAGTCAAGGTTTTGAGTAATAGCGATAAGTTTTATCAAAAAATAATACTCAAGAAAATACAGACACTTTAAGGCTGCTCTGTGGAGATGATGGCGATGCAAGAAGAGACAGAACCCGAGCTCTATTTGCCATTTTCAGCGTAAGTTTTTTTTTATCTTCACTTCACTCGCATGTAAGTGATCCGTACAGTTTTCCAAAAATCCATTGTTTGCTGGGTCATATAGCTTTGTGGACAATATGACGCAGCAAACAATATTCTGCACAAAAATATAAGGCCTTTTAAATAAATTATTAATATATTGTTTTTATGTATTTATTTTTATTTCACGAACATCCTGGAAAAACAAATACATCTATATAACATCATCAAATTCAAGAGATGTGAAAACAACAGCCGCAACTTCAGACGCGGCAGTCTGAGCAGTGACATCACAACGGTGCGCCATGTAGTGTCCGAAACCTCCGGTGATTGAGCTCACTGCATAGTCAGCTATATAGGGAAACCCTATATGCGGGTTAGGGGTTAGGGATTGAGTGATTAATTTCGGACACAGCCTTAGGCTACAGGATGTTGCCTACTTGGGTACAGCACAGGTAAATTTACTTTGTTTTTGTATACCACTGAATAAATACAGAGTGAAAAAACAGCAATAAGGGAAAAATCAGATCAACAGCAACTTTCTGGGGGAGGTTCATATTTATTTGTGTTATAATCAAAGTTAGAGAATAAAACTGCTCACTTTAATATAAGAAATATCATTATTTTCATTAAAAGAAAACTTAAAATATTTATACACATATTAATAGTAGTCTGTTATTTCTGTGTAAATATTACACTTTGTCAAACATTTCCTTTCTTTAAAAAATCCTGCAAATTTTCTGCATGTAAGCATACTCAAAATTTGTCACCTCAAAGTTTAATACATGTTACAAAAGCAACTACTTAACAAAATTTTCTCTTTCATACTTTTACAGAAACAATAGGATATCTGAAGCTTGTGCATACAGTAATTTTCACATTAAAAAATGGATTTTAGTGAATCGCTTAAGCTAAGTTCAAGGTCACAGTTTACAAAACAGATTTTCAAGCAAAGTCTGCAGTTCTGCCATTTAAAGTTATTTTCAATTTCGAAAATTTTAGGACCTTGTTTTTCATGTTGACAAACAAATCTTAAAATAATGTTCTTCACTGGCTAAAATTCAAAAATACAACTGGTTTTAGATGTAAAAAATACAGAATCTGATTTTATTTTTGAATAACAAAATGTTGAGAAGGGGAAATATATCTTTAAAAAAATAAGCGTACTGTACACAAAGACCTCAGTAAAAGACACTGTTAGTGTTAGAAATGTCTTAACGTGGTAATTAGTCTTATATTTGTGATTCAAGAGCAGAGGAGAAACTCCACTGTGTTGGAGAGAAGTAAGGAAAACTGTCTGACTCTGGGCGGATGTGATCCTCCAAGTGTTTTCCAGAAGGAGAGAAAGTGTGACTTAAGAAGTCCCTGATTTGGGGGGGCAGAGAGAGAAACAGCCATTCTTCCACCAGGAGACCCCCTCCATGCAGGGCTGAGCAGCAGCCCAGCTCATGTGGCAGCTCCTCCAGACTGTTACTGCGCAGGTCCAACTTGCTCAAGTGGCTTAATGCTGCAATCCCTTTGGGCAAAGAGCTGAGAGAATTTTGAGCCACGTTCAGGGTCCGAAGCTCCAAACAGCTGATGAATAACTCATGAGGAAGGTTTTCTAACCTGTTACCACTGAGGTCCAGCTCTGTGAGCAGCTGCAGAGCTTTTACCTCCGCGGGCAGCTCCTCAAATAGGTTACCAGCCAGCAGGAGTCTACGTAGGTGGCGGAGAGAGAATAAGGCAGGGGGAAGGCTCCGGAGTTGGTTGTTTGATAGATCCAGGAGCTCCAAGCCTCGAAGTACACCAACGCTGTTAGGTAGGACCAGAACACGGTTGTAAGCGAGTCTTAGAGAAGAGAGACGTCTCAGATGAGCCAGAGTGAGCAGTTCTTCCAGGGTCCTAAGGTTGTTGTGTTGCAGGTCGAGTGTCCGCAAGTTAGTGAGGGCCAGCAGGGCAGAGGGCAAACGCTCCAACTGGCAATCCTGCAGCAGCAGCTCCGTCAGGTCGACCATCCTCTTCAAACCTGTTAGAACAAGCAGCCTGGTGCCCTCGTTGTAGATCTCCAGTTTCACCAAGCTGACTGCTGCCTCACACAGCTCCCCAGGGATCCTCTGCAACCTGCCCCTGATTACCAGCATGCGGAGGTGGCGCAGTTGGCGGAGACTCCCCAACGCCCAGCTGCGACCAACTCCACCTTCACTGCTCAGACTGCCACAGAGGTGGAGCTCATGCAGGCTGCGGAGGGAGAGGACCCAGCTAGGGATCTCTGAAGCTTGGGTGAAGGTGAGGTGGAGGACTTCCAGTCGTTCCTGAAGAATCCCGAGTGCACTGGGATCCACAGCGGCTGTGCAGTGATAGAGATGGAGCTCCCTGTTGTTGGCAGAAAAAAATTCAGGTTTGATTTAATTTGTATAATTGTGCATGTTTATACCAAAGGGCAACCAGTTTCTGGCACTTTTGCTACCAAAACTGCCAAAACGGCAGCTCCTCAAGTGACCACTAGGGGCTGGCTTCGAAGAAGAGTCAATACCCCTCCATTCCCATATAAACTCTGCTAGTTTGTGTAAAATCCAATGGCATGAGGCTCAAAAACCCACCTGAGTGCGGCCATGTTGGCCACCTGGGCAGTAAACCTTGCGTCTGTGATGAGTTCCAGTTGGAGGACTTTCAGCTGGCTGAGTGTGAAGAGGGCCGGAGGGAGGCGAGGCAGGGCCACCAGCTGCAGTCTGGAGCAGCCATCTGTATCCACACTGATCATCTCCCGCAGCTTCTCCTCCCCCCAACGCCTTTCCAAGTTCTCTTCCATCAGCCTGCTCTCACTAACGGGGGACAGAAACACAGACAGACGCTGGGCCAGCAGGGGGTCGTACTGGTCTAACATGTGTAACAGAAAAGCCAGGTCATTCTTCAGGTCGGGAACGTCTGTCAGGGAGCACAAATCCCTCAGGGAGTGGAAGGAATACTGTCGCAGAGAGCTGAATATAGAAAAAAAAAAAACAGAATGAGAGATATCATTCATATTACTCTCTATCAACCACTCTTACACTCTAAAAACCCCTGGGGTTGAAACACCAGGGTTGAAAAGGGACCGACTACTTGACCCAGAATGTTGGGTTATTCAAATTAACCCAAATTCTGGGTTGACTCAATAACCCATTTTAAGGGTCAAGTTAACCCGATCTTCGAGCTAATTTGACTCATAATCTTCGGTTAAATTGATAAATGCGTTTGGGGAGTGTTTTTTGGCAGCTTTGCTTTTACAACCTGTACCCTATTTTTCCCATGTACCTTTATCTAACTAATTGTAGGCCATACCGCTAAGGGTCTTGCCTAAGGACCCACACTAATGGATGTAGTTCACTCCTTACAGAAAAATAACCCATAATTATTATCCCATTCAAAGAACCATCAAATTGGGTTACAATAGAATCCATATGACCCAAGAAATGTGTATGGATCTGAAAAATAACCCAGAACTTTAACTCAACACGTATAACCCAGGAATTGGGTTGAGGAAAAACCCAAGGGTTTTTAGAGTGTACTAACACAGAAAAGGGGGTCTTTAGACACATGTTGGAAAGGAGATATGAAAGTTAGAGCCAGGGCAAGAAGCTTGTTTGTGTTGAAGTTTAACCCCAACATGGCAGAATGTATACTCTACGTCCCCCTTGTATTATATTAGAGAAGGGAGTGAAAAGAAAGAGATAAGTCTGAAGAGATGTATTAGAGAACAGACAGGGACAGTAGAGCCAGGGCAAGAAGTCTAATCTTGCAAAAGACTTACTTCACCCGGATAATATTGGGTTGTAACATCCTTCTACCACCTCCTGCCACTTTCTTAAGAGAGCATACAAAGAGGAAATTCTGCAGGGGAAATTGTAGAAATAATAAGAGCTGAGATGAGATTGTATGAGCTATAATTAGCCTCAGCCAGGTTGGGCTGTATGCTCTTCCTTCCCTTACTTTGCAACTTGTTGAGGTAACAAAAAAGAGAGAAACCAAAGAGAAAAGTCTGCAGACAAATGTCAGTGGTGAAACACGGGTGGCAAAGCCAGGTTAAGGGTCTGTTTTGGCTTACATTGTACCACCCCTTGATTTGTCATTCTTATGAGGGAAGGGAAGAGAGAAAACCCAGAGTCTAAAGAAACCTGTTAGAGACAGCGAAAGCTAAGCCAAGTTGAGACGCCTTTTTGGAGTGGCGCTTAACCCCTGCTGAGTTAGGCTGTATGCTTTTTATCTTCCACTATTCCCTTATTTGAATCAGATAAGAGTAGAGAGAGAGAGAGAGAGAGAGAGAGAGAGAGAGTAGAGAATGTCAAAAAGAGGACAATATTGGCTGAGCATGCACTGACCTGTGAAAAATCCAGCTGAGGGTGTAGATGTTGAGCAGGCCATACAGCCCCAGCAGGGTCAAGTACGCCACAAGAAGTTTGCGCATGAGAGTAGAAATCACATGAATACACTCAAAGGTAGAGTAGCCCACCAAGGCCTGTTCCTCAGGGTGACAGGTGTGTGTGAAGGAGAAGTAGCTGAGGAGAGGGATGGTGTAACTCACGATCAGGACCACCATCAGCAGTTTGAATATCGTCTGAGCCAAATAGACCTGAATAAAAGAGAGGGAATAAATGATTACATTCATCATCAATCTCACAAACTTCAGCACTTTCATATTTGGAGGATCTTCTCTTGTTGCTCACCTTGTAGATGACATCTGAGATCTCAGAGTGAGATCTAAATTTTCTGACCCTCTCAAACAATGCTCTTGCTTGTTCCCCATCACTTTTATCCAGACTGATAACCTGCCTGGGACTGTCCACCATTACTGCAGGTTTGACAGAAGGCACCTGAGAGTTGTTTGACATAGATGACATGGAGGAGTTGCAGGAGAGATTGGAAGGACATGGGGATGGAGGGGTGGCAAAAGACACACCATCAGACCTCTTCAAAAGTGGACTTTCTGTGCCTGAGTCCATGCTGGATTGTCTTATGTAGATCACCGGAGTTGAACTTAAAGGTGGAACAGGTTTGGGAGGTCGTCTTTCATCCATCAGCTCCTTCTCTTTGATGTTCTCCTGCTGGGCAGCGTGAGACAGTGCCTGTGACGTCCAGGGGGATTCACAGCACTTGGCCAAGATGGCCAGGAAGTGCTCAATGCGAGCAGAAGTGTGGGGGAAGTGAAGCCAGAAGGAACCGCTGGCTACAAGAACAAGAGTCTGCAGCAAAGCCATGTAAGGGAAGAAGCGGGAACATAAGGGAAGAGCCTCATGGTAGCAAACCTGGACAGAAACACAGACCAACAAACTGTTAAACATGCTTTAACAAAATTTCTTACAACTTTGGGGCAGAATAAAACTTCATAATATAGTCAAGCTTGGATATACTGCACATGAATGCAGATGAAGAAATTAACCGTGAGCATTTTTATGTTATTATTAATTTTTGTCATAAATGCCATGGGTTTATCGCCACATTCATGCCTAAATCAAGAAGACACAGGTATTTCTTTAATATTAAAAGTTTGCATTTACCTGCATTACTTAAAAAATTGGTCAGATAAAACATTTATGTTCCTCCTTGACAATAAACAGGACTGTTAAGCTGGCAAGCAGTTAGGGGCTCGGCCTACTGCTGTTTAAAGTTTGAGTGCACTCACATTCAATATCTACAACTAACACTAAAACAACACATTATATCCCTGTGGCTTACAGCTACCTCGGTAGTACAAACAAATTTAAGAAAATTCTTGTACAACGATTTAGCAAACTGCAGGGTAGCGGCATGTAATCATAAAGTGCTTTATAGTAAATTCAGCAGTTCTCTCCAACACAACACATAGATAAATTTCACTTAAACAAAATAAATTTGACTGATTTCAAAGTATTCTGGCTGAATTTATGCCCATATTAACACAATTGGTGCAACTCTCAATTTTGCCCAGCAGGTAGAAGCGGTCCCAGTTAATAACTCACAAAAATACACGAAAAACAGTTAATGAAAATACAGCAATCACCAACAAATAATGGGATTCAATGACAACTGGTGACAAGTTTAATCATTATTGCCGCTCAAGATCTAAATTATTGGGACACAATGTTCCATTTGACCCTTTGTGAATATATTTATAGCCACGTGATTCATCGTTGATTTGATCCATTGATTAGAGCTGCTTTAATAAAAAGAAGTCTCATGGGTCACACTTTTGTAAAATTCTATTATCAGACTAAATGGTGTCAAGCACGTAGGCTAACACAGTACCTGGCTGATGTAAATGTACTGCTGGTAGACCAGTTGTGTTTTGCGACCTCTGGGTGGAGGAAGAACATCTGGACTGATGTTGTGTGATGGGTGGGTTTGAGGCTTTGATGATGGATTCGGAGCCACATCTCCATCGGGTGTTGGACTGTGGTGGCTGGTATTTGCAGTAAATAATGGATCCACGGGAATGCACACTACCCGGTCCCTGGACAGCTGCTCTGTACAAGCCAGGACAGACGCCATCAGCATCAGGACCACCAGGTAGTCCATGAAGACCTCCCACCAGGGCTTCAAAAGTTTGGATCTGCTCTGATGCTGATTCAGAGGCACCAGCTCTGACAAGGAAAACATGCTGAGCACTAAGTCCTACAACAGGAAAACAATTGTGAACATATAGATTAACACGTTGCTGTACAAACATGAGTCCGGCTGATCCAATGTGTTCAACCAAAGTCCGACCAATGTAGCTGTTTCCACTAGAGAGTCTGTTTTTTTATGCTAATTGAGAGTCTTAAAATCACAGGGCCAGTAATATTATTTTAACCTTCGTGCCTCTTCTCTCCATAGCAGGGGACACAATGTCCAACTTTTTTTTAACACAGGGGTTGTAATATTGAGTTATATTAACTCTCTCTCTTTTACGCATGAGGCTTTTTAAAAAGTAAAATCAACATTAAATTGAACAATATCCAGCCATATTATAACAAAGCTGAATAAAAAAGGACAATATTGTAGGAGATGGAATCAAATTATTCTTCCAATGTAATTGCAGAGTTTACAGTTGAGTGTGTGTTATTCATAATTTGTGATTAAAGTTTTTTTTCTTGAAGAAAAAGTTAAACATCCACCTGTTTCTTAACACATTTCAGTCTGAAATGTAAAGATATGTATACAAGCAACCATTAAAAAATTTCCACTAACATATCTTGTCTCAATATGGACATTAAATAGTCACCACATACAAAAAAAGGCACTGAGATATGCAGTATAACAAACATAAACATTGTCCAATCGTGTTTTTAACAGCCCTAAAAGGTTTCACCTTAAAAATCTTCTGATTATGAATGATTTGGTTTTACCCAGAAACATGTTATCCTGTTAAATTTCTGTGGTGTATTCTTTACTTTTGTGAAAGGTGATATAATTTCCCCATTACAGGGAGGATTTATCATTATTTCCCTACTTTATCATGGCAGATGTTCTGTTTTTGACTGAAACAACACAGACCACACCCACACAGACGGCTACAGTGACACAGATCAGCTAAGGGTTTAAAATTGTTTGTAAATGTAGTTCATTTTTGTGTTCGTCGTCATAGTACTTAAGCCCTGTAGTAAAGTCAACTGAATCCTTTTATATCTATTCATCAGCCATCACACAGTTCAAGTTAACCACTTTAAAAGAATAACAAAAAAAAAAAACATCTGAAAATATGACAAAGTCTCCATTGTTTCACAGCTCAGGATTAACTTCGCCTACCTGCTAAATAACTTGCTCTCTTGTTTTTCTCTCTCTCTCTCCTCCGATCTGCTCACAGCCGCCCCATACAGGCTTCATACTGGCGCTGTCTGGTTCTGCCGTGAAAAACTCCTTAAAACTTACAACAAACTCCTCCTCAGCTGGCCGACACGCAGCTTTTCATCGGTTTCCATGGCAGCTGAGGATGTGTGGCTAAAAAATCTGATTCAGCCGAGAAGCCTGAGCGAGACCCACCAGGGGTGAGCCTCACTACACCCTTTAACTCCTTCAAAACTGAGACAAAGGAAAACATGAGGAAGATATCAAACAAAAAATATCACAGAACCAGTGAAGTAATGGATAAAGAGTGGAATAAGACTGAAGAAAAGGCCCTAACTGTAATCTTGCATAATATACTGTACAACAAATAAAACAAGTGTCTCACAGTAGGGGCCAAACAGTCAGGCATCAAAAGTAACAAACATTTGTGTATTGCAAAAAGGTGTATTGATTTATTTAAAAAATGCATGTTGCATGGACATAAATGTATATTGCAATGTCACCGTTCAATGTCATGTCAGTACAGTAGCACAGAATGAATATATCGAATAACATACACCTTTTGGATTTGATAGATAGCAGCATGGACTGTGCCTTGAGGAAGGTGAAGAGAAAAAGGGTGGTTGTTGTGTGCAAAAGAGTTTTATTTTATGGTAATGACCTGAAGAATGGAGAGTCATTTTTGTCATGCACTACAGCAGCTTCTTGTCCATGAAGGCCACCGTTGCTTTTCAGACAGCAAGGGAACTGACCTCTGAATCCAGACTCTAACCCTTAGATATATATAAATATCTCCATTTCCTCTTATGTATCTCCAAACAGCTGTAGTAGTACTCTTCATCCTTAACTTGATCATCCATATACAATATTGTACATCTGTCAAGCTCTTTCATCATTAAATAAAAATAAAAACGGAATAAAAATCAAAATAATTCATCCTCTTTTTAGAGCTCTTTTGTAGGCATCCATGTCAGCTACAAAACTTGTGATTTTCTGACAAAAGTTCTTAAATTTTGCTGCAAAATTTCAACAACTTAAATCTATTTCAACGTGCAAGAAGAAAATGAATGTATTGTATCAACTCTAACATCCAGCAGGGGGTGCTCAAGTAGCTATGTTAGGAGTTAAACGTTTTACTGCCCTCATTCTCAAGCAGGTAGATATATGCCTCTGTAAGTTGACTTCGGTCCTTAGAGGTCAAAGGTCACACCTCTGCCTCCAAATATGTCTGTAAGTGCATAATTATCACTCCATTATCTCTGTTGTACTTGTGTGTTGTTTCGTTAGAATTGAGACCAAGAGGAATCTGGAGCACAGACTCAAACTGACAACAAACCACAAAGAGATCAAGTCTGAACAGATGGTGAGTCTGTTTTCTGTGCGCTGTATCGGTGATGTGTGAAGAAAGTGTGAAAATGTGTTTGTGTGATTGAGTGAGATGAGGTTGTGAGGTACGGTCGCACCCCGGTGCAGATGCTAAAGGTGTTAATGATAAGTTAGAGTGAGATTTGCACATACTGCAGGCACGGAAATAATAAAAAGTTTAATCGCTGTCATCAACTCCCCCAAAACCCTGTACCCATCTGTAGTTTAGAGCTTCAAACATTTATGGTGTACAGAACTGAAGGCAAGCACAATTAACTTTAACTTGTTTTCACAGATGATGCCAGTGATAATCATTGTTGACCTCTGGTTGGCACATATCACCGGAAGTGTGTTTGAATATGGAGGACAACATAAAGACTCAGTGATCAAGCAGTTTTGAGTCTGGGATTTATCACAAGACTCACATCTGCTCCATTAATCCTTAACCAAGTCCAAACTATTCCACAAAGGGCCGGTGTGGCTGCAGGTTTTTCTTCCAACCAATCAAGAGCATGCATTTTGACCAATCAGCTGTCTGAAGACTGAGATCAACTGATGAAATGAATCAAGTCTGGTGTGCTGCTGCTTGGTTGGAAGAAAAACCTGCAGCCACATCGGCCCTTTGTGGAATAGTTTGGACATGCCTGAGCCCTCCTATGTACATTTTTTGTTCTTTCAGATGTTTTTTCTGCTGTCATTTTGGAAAGGAGGGCCTGAGAGCTACAGAAATAAATTGTTCAAGTGTGTTTAAAATGAAAGACCGATTACAGGCCGCTTAAGTTTTGTCACAAGTGAGAAACAAACGGCAATGGATCAAAGATCACTAAATGAGGAGGAGAGGAAGGATAGTGAATGAGGAGATCTGAACCAGCTGCTTTAATTCTGTAAGTTAGCATCTTTAGCTGAATAAGCTATACTTGTAAGAGGATGTGTGCCTCAGGTTGATGTGAGCAACAGCTAGCAGCTGCTGGCTAGCAGGAGCTAGATTTGCTGTGTCTGTAGTGATCTGCTGTGCTGTGTCTTTATTCACTCACAGTTGAAATGTTCTGTAAATGTACACATTCAACGACGTTATACAATGACGTGATATGATATACGATATGATGTGATTTGATACAATATGACATTATCCATCAATCTAGTCTGGGATTGGTTCAAGGCAGCAGAAATCTATGCGTGTCAACCCAGACCTCCCTCCTCCAGCTACACTTCCACTCCTCAGGGACCCCAAGGAACCCCCTTATCAAATGCTGGAACCACCTCAACCGACAGGGGCTCCACTCACCGCTCCCACAGAGAGCTCAGAGCTCTGTCCACAAGGCTGTACCCATCCACTCTTCAGGGTAAACTCCTCCTGCCTACTCTGTCAAAAATTCAATTCTTTGATAGCTCACAACCATCGGTGAGGGTTGAAAGGTCAATCGACTGATAAATCAAAAACTTTTGCCCTTTGACTCAGGTCCCTCACCACAGTCCAGTACAATGCTTACAGGATCAAACAACAATCCACTTGTCAGTCTCACAAGGAAACCATTGAACATGATGGCAAATTATGTTGTTTGCTCAAACTAGTTGGAACCAATGTTGATATTAAACTGGTTTTTCATTCCTATCCCTAGACCTGCATAAGGCAGAGATTGAATTCCAATGCATAAATGCTACAAAGCTGTTTTGCATGTGCGCAACCAGAAACTTTGGACCCCATGGAAATTTATCACATTGGGCCCCTCCATCTCAGGTACTGCAAATCAGGCTCGTCAGTCACAGGTCCTTTAAACATCCAAACTTTTCCTCTGTGAATATTGTGACTGACATCTATATTTCCAGTCAACTCTGTTAAGGAATGTTATCTCATTGTCAAATTACTTTGGTAGATTGAAGATAAGCTAAGCTAAGATAAGATAAGATAAACTAAGATAAGTTAAGATACGATAAGAAGAACTTTATTTATCCTGGAGGGGAAGTTTGATGTATGTCAGGGTGAACTACTGAAATAATTTAAAGATAACATTTGATCATAAAATCAGCTTAGAGTGTTTTGAAAGATCTCTTTCTCCTTTTCTTCCTCTTTTGGTTAACTGCCATGATTCAGTTTTGTTTTTTCAAGGGGGCATTAGGTTCCCACTGTAGAAGAAATCTTTTTGAAGAAGCTTTGTTTATCTTTCAGGGAAACATGACTTAAATTTAGACATCAGGCCTGTGGTTTGTCCGCCAAACAAGGGGCTGATATCCTAACAACACCCTCTGCCTTTCAGAGTTCTGCTGTGGCTTCACACCTCTTCATCTGCAATACTTACTCACACAGCCACGCACACGTACACTGTTAACACCACCATGCCCATAGGCGGGCATGTTTTAGGTGGGGCTGTTAGGTGACAGCAGTCACACATCCATGTTGCTAACAAACATCGCAAGCCTGACACAGACCTCAGCACATTGAACGGCTAAAATCTTCATCTTGCATGGGAAACTGAGTAGGAGTTGTACTTCTTATGATTCTGCCGATTTGAATCTGCCTAACCCTCAGTATAGCGTCGAGAGTAAAGGTCACTCAAAGCAATGTCAGTTGACTGGTGTGCTTCATCAGATTTTGAAATCTATCAATTTTTAGACAGATTTTTTAAAATTTTGAGCATTTTTGCCTTTAATGGATAAGGTAGAGTGGAAGTGTTGGAGAAAGAAAGAGAGGGGGGTATGACATGCAGGCTGGTGGGGGGTGGAAACGATCCTATGACCACTATGGCGACCATGGGGCATGTGCCATTACCTGCTCAGCCATGTGGGCGACTCTATTTTCAGATAGATTTGAAGTTTTACTGAAGGTTGTTTGATTGATTTTCGAATGAGAGTCAACAGAAGATTAACACACAACCCCAATCCCAAAGAAGTCAGGACGCGGTGAAAATGTTGATCAAAAACAGATTTTGATGGTTTGTAATAAATGAAGTGCAAAGACATTATATAAAATGTTGAATCTGGAGAACGATGTGGAATAATGTTATGTCCATTTGAAATTTGATACTAGCAAAATGGATGCATGCAAAATGTTTTTAGTCGGTGACAAGTAAGGTCTGGAGTTTATCAGCTGGATTTGATGCCAAAAGCTGTTGAGAGACGGACACTTTTACCATTGTGTTGCATCTCTTCTTCTTTAACAACACTGTAAATATCTAGGAATTCAGAAGACCTGTTTCTGAGAGGGAATGTTGTTCTGATCTTGACATCATTCGTCCTCTGATGTTTTTTCTGTTACTTGGCATGATGCACCAAATGTTTCAAATGGACCCCAAGTCAGGACTGCAAGCAGACCAGTTTAGCTCCAGAACTCTTCTACTACAGAGCCATGCTGTTGCAATATATGCAGAATAACCATAAGCCAGATGGGCCCTCCCTTTCTTAAAGCGGAGGACAAAACAGCCATGTTTTCCAAAAAGAATGCCAAATTTTGAGTTGTCGAACTTTTACTGATACTGATATAGATGTACACACATTGTTTTCTTGTCTTTTAAAGGACGCATTAAATCTCTTTTTTGTATGATTTAACTGTAACTCTCATAAAAAAAGTCTAACAATGTTAAAGACAAACATAAATTAAGACAAACAACTTTTAGCTCAACCAGAAAATAATCTTTTTCAAATATAGACTTAAAGTTATGGGTCCTCTGTGTGTTTCCAGCTCCTCAAAAAGACTTCCATACAGCTAATTATGTAAGTTGTCATTGCATTCACATAATCAATGCATCGCCTTTTTGCCTGATAATATTGGTTACTAGTCATGTTAAGTTGTGAGCACCAAAGCACCACTGCACAGTTCAGCTTTATAAAGGTGCTAGTATGATAGCAGTCAGTGGTACCAGCTTTTCAGTGGTGCTAAATTAGAGCCCCCACTATTTTAAATGTATTTTTTTTAAAATAGCATTTAGTATAGATTAACTATTTACTTTGAAAAACATTTAATCAGCTGTATCATTCTGCTTTATTTTAGTGTCAAGTGTCTTGAAATTGCCGTATTATTGTCTTTGTACAAGTTGTCCCAAACAAATCACTCCATGGAGAGATGAATAAAGCTATTTGAACTGACTAATTTACTATTTAGGCCAAAGGTTATGTATTCAGGCCCCTTCTACATATAACGTCACCATTTTCACAGATCCAGACGGAGCTTTCTTGGGTACAATCTCATTTCGGAGTTCTCACGCCCCTTTACCTCTAGAGTAATTTAAATTTCTCACATGTATGCGTGGGGATGCCCAGCTGTGGTTGATTTTGAATGACAATTACATCATAATGGATTCTTAATATCATCACCACTTTTGGGGAAATTATTCGATCTGACTGTTGGGTGCTTTTAACGAGTGATTCCTCTGATGGAAATGTTTAATTTTAATCTGAATCTGTGATGCTTTCAATCTGACAGCAGTAGATTGAAAGAGTAGGAGGAACGATAAGCCCTGACAGAGAAAATTATCTCAGCAAAACTTGTTTCCTGTTCAGTGGGCGGCTCAGGCTGAGATGACAATGTTGTGGCTTGAGTTCTGCATGACCCTGTGATACACTGTGATATTCAGGGGCGGTGATGCCAACGGTTCCCACAAAGCAAACATAGATCTAACTTACACATCATATAAACCCACTGTAAAGCTGAAGCAACTCCTCTTGAATATTCTCCCATCATAATCTTCCAGTTCTTATGCTCTTGTTGTCTTGTATGATCTTAAATGCAAACGATCATAACATTTCCACTCACTCTCAGACTTCTTGTTTCAATTCCCTGCCTAACAGAGATCAGAGAGCCTTGTCCTGTCTCTGACCTTTGTTCTTTGCCACCTAAAGTGAGAGAAAGTTGAGAAAGATGTGAAGAGTGTAAAATTGGTGGGTGGGGACAAACTTGTGTAAGAAAGAAAGACGGAGAAGTTGGCTGTGAGAAAGTGGCACAACACGTACTGAAACCACAGAAAGCCAGCAGCCACAAAGTCACACTGAACACCAGAATACGGAGACTGCAGTCCGACTTTGAAGGCGGCTCATACATATAAAATAATATAACAATATAGTCTTAGAAACACCTTTATTGTTGTCATCATTGGCATACTGACAAAGTGCATGTGCCTATCGTTTAAATACAACTTATGTTCTTTTGGTATCGACTTCAATGTCTAATTTTTGGTTTTAAAGCTCAGATGAGGAGTTTCTAGCTAGTTTGGTTGTTGTCGGTTTTATTCCAGCGCTGTATACATGAAACCTCTGCCTCCGACAATGGTATGGCATGTCTGGTCTATGGCAGCTGTGAGTTCTACTTTGCTTAAAAACATTTATGTGGCAGGATTTTTCAGATGGTGTAATTTGAAGCATCATTGAGTAATGCTGACGAAGAGATTGTCAACTTCGAGTTACTCACATCACTGGTTATCAGATTCCTCCCACATCATTATCATAGTAAGAAAACAAAACAAGGTAAGTGAATGTCAGAAACAAAACAAAAGGCATATGAACTTTTGAAAACATTCGTGTTCCCTCATTCCCCTCCTCCTCTCCGAGTTTAAGGTTCCTAGAAAGGCTGACTTCAACCACCAGCAGAGTAACAAGGAGCCCCTGAAACAAATGAGACACAAACCCACCAAACCCACCAGCCCGTCTCAGCTCCCTGTGCTCCCCTCATCTGCTCTCCCTGGCAGCCCCTGAGTGAAGCTGAAAGCCCCCCACCACAGAGCCACAAAGCTCTGACATGTCTGTCTTTATGCACATCAAGGAGATTCAGCTCCATCAGACGCCGCTGATTCCAGGAGTGAGATGAGACGTTTGCAGAGATACTGCTGCACTGAGACAAATGCTGGTTTCAGTTCTTTTGTGGCCCTTGATGATTTGATTTTAATCTGAAGTCTGATTCAGACTCTCTGCCTGACCGTGCAGAAGAAGATACAGGCTGTAAAGAGTACAGTATCTGTAAAGAGTTAAGAGATGCATCAAAATATGGGCGTGAATATTTTCAAATAAAATTCTTCATTTCTCTCCGATCAAACTAAGTGAGAGGGGATTATACAGGTGCATCCCAATAAATTAGAATTCATGAAGAAAGTTATTTTTAAATGATTTAATTTGAAAAGGTTAACTTATTCCTTTTAGATATTTTGGCCCCTAAAGTGAAATATTTTTGTTTGAATTTGGATGACTTTGGCATATAGCTTAGTAAAATCACAAATCTAGTATCTCACATAGTTATATTTCCTGGAATCAATCACAGAAAGTGTTTAAAAAACATACAAGTGCATCTTAAAAATGAGAATATTGTGTAAAAGAACAGCGAGTCTGTAAATTACTTAAAGACCCATTCTAATGAAAATCTTGTTTTTCTTGTGGTCTACATGTTCATATGGCATTTTTTTTATGCTACATGATATATCATGAAAAAAGTAAGTGCTAAATTGCATTTCTGCAAATCAAATCACTGTGAACCTCTGGCAGACCCAAACAGCAGGCTCAGACACAGTGAGATTTACTGTATCAAATTGTAATGCTCGTAAGAAAGCTAATTATAATATTAGCTTTCATCATGTCCCTAAAGACATTAGTGTCCGATAGCTGAATTATTCTTATGTTACCTGTTTCTTCTACTACACCAGCAAATTTAGGCTATGAGCTAGCGTGAAGAGGAGCGTGAAGAGGAGCGTGAAGAGGAGTGTGCAGAGCAGCGCTGTCTCCGCCCATGACTCAGAGGCGAATTGCTAATGAGCTACTGGATCTCTGCTACAGAAAAGACACTTAAAGTGACACAGGTAACGTGATTTTGGCTAAAAACTTCAAAATAGCACTTTAAGCATAAAAATAAAATGAAAAATTTGAGTAGAAATTAAAGAAAGAAAACATTTTATACTTTAGACCTTGTAATCCCAAAATTAGTTTTGAGAGTAAAGGTAACATTTCTTTGGTTAAACTTGTCAGTAAAACAGTTTTTGTCCATGAGAAAGTTTATAGTTTATTGATCAATAATGAATGAATTCAGTTTTGTTTACATTTTCTCCAATCTCATTGTACCTCAGGAAGATGACAATAAAGGCCATTCTAATTCTCATTTTCAGATGTAACTTAAATTTGCAAATGTTTTAAAAATGATCAAAATCTACTGCTGCACAGCTTGAAAACCACACTCAGAATATTTTTTAATGCATTAAAAGCAAAGTGATAGTATCAAGGAACTTTTCTTTGGCAGGCTGTTGTGTTTTTTTTTTTTTTTTTGTTTGCTTGTTTTTTTTAATTTATTTTTTTACATAAAATATCTGTATAAAACCGAGAAGGTAAACAAATTGGAACTTCTGAAAAGTGCAAGTACTGTTGCATATACCAGTAATCACTGGATGTCAGTGAGTCATCAGATTTGTCTCAGCACAAATCAGCACATCATGTTGACACTGGCCGGATGTTTCATGCATGAACATTTGCAGAATGTGAAAAACTGTTATCTTCAAAATGAGTAAAAGTAAATATGAAAATAAACTTTTTCATAGAAAGGCACTTTAAAGGTGTCCTGGTTTCAGCAACAATTTTTCAAATAATAAATATATCACATAATGAAATAAAAGAAGTGAAATTTAACAAATATATATGAAAATAAAACAATAAAAATAAATATATAAGAAATAGATGAATAATAATGAATAAATAAAATAAAAAATTAAATAATAGATAAAAAATATATACCAGGAAAAAAAAATAGAATGATTATAAATACCAAAAATTCCAAATTTTTCATTTCATTGTAAATATTTGATCTCCGAATCATGACACTGCTAAAAATGGACTTATAAACAGTTCTTAAGTGCAAAATGATACAACTTTGAGCATGCAGTTTTGATATAAGATTAATCACCTTAATAATATGTTTGTCAGCCCAGTACCGTAAACAGATTAGTTTAATTTCTGATGGACAGTTCGGTTTGTAGGTGTTGTCTTGACAAGTAATCTGATGTGTTCTGGTAAGTGTGATCGTGGGGCTGACGAGTCACAACTTGTTAGGAGGAAGGAGGAACTTAACAAGTTACACTGCCACGCTGAACACAGCATAATGAGTCAGTCTCTATTTAACTTTCGTTTATTATTTGGTTAGTTTTTTAGTTGTCATCAGTCAAACCTGCAAACTTTAAACATCTGTGTCACTTAAATGATCCTTGTATTTAAACCTCTTCTGTGTTTTTGTAAAAATATTTCAATGTTTCATCATTCATAGAAAATAAAAAAATGACTTCAACACATTTTTTAATCTCATAATTGATCAATACTATTCCACTAAGTGATCTAACGGATAAAAACTGCTTGTTTTTGGTCAGGCACTAACTCATGTCTACAAATGATCTGACCTTGGTTCGTGTTTTATTAGTTAGGAAATGACAGAAAAGTTACAAATGATGTAAGAATCAGGATTGGAATACTTTATTTATCCTGGGGAGGGATTTCTGTCATTACAGCATTACACTTGCTCTTAAAAAACATTAATAGAAGGAGAACAGAATTAGGAATGAATGAGAATAAATAAGAAATTGCAATGCTTAGTACAGAGTGCAGAATATTAGAACTAACGCTATTTACAAAGCGCAGAGTGTTTAAAAAATAACATATGTACAAGCATAAAGAGTAGGAAGTGTAAATAAAAACAGTTCAAATCAAATTTAAATCCTTTTTTGTGTGTAAATGGGCTTTGATTGAGGTTGGGAGAATAGACTTTTACTTCCTGGGGGCACAGTCACACTGGAACTGTGTGGTTTAATTTGATATTAAAGCCCTCTTTGGTACAGCAGGCATCCCAGCAGTAAAATAAAGGTCCACAAGTTCACATGAGAAAGATGAGATATTTAAACTTTCCAAAGATTGCCCTGTGTTCTTTTAGAGTCCACCCACATGCATTGTCACTGTGGTGGTAAATCCAGCTGTGATACCAGCATGGTAGTTTCACAGTAAACTAGATTTCATCTTCATTTTAGTATCCTGACACCTTTTATTTCAAGCTGGTCTTAAACCTCGAGTGTACAGGTAACCTGTAAACTTTTGGTGGGGACAGAAGCTCAAAGTTCAAAATGAACAGCTTTAAAAATATAAAACAGATTCATACAGAGGAGGAAATAATTTGAAGGTTGTCGAATTTTTAGATGTAAATGATTTTTAATCATAATGAAATATTTTGGGGGCTCAGTTTTTCCCTCTCATGCCTTCAGCTCCTCAAATCAAGTCAAATCTCTTTGAGTCATGTCTCCAGTTGATGGGTGTGAAAAAGAGAAAAGAGGACGTTTGCAGAGACAAAGACACACTTGTCATCTAGCTGCACCGAACAGAGGTAAGATCACATTCAGCTGGAATCTCATACTTGAGAAACAAATACACATTTTCACTTTATCTTTGGTCACTACTTTATAAAAAATTAATCTGCTGATGCTTTAGAGCTTGTGGTTTCAAATTTAGGTTGAGGGTATTTTTTTTTTCCAGAATGGCACACTGCAAGAGAGCTCACTGCAAACATCGTCGATGTTTCGTGTATAGAAATCTCATAGAAGGTTTATGAGCAAATATCTGGATAAGTTTGAAGTCGTTTTTTCTTGTTTGCAGTGTAATTCTAATAAGTTTTTTCATCGTTTTCTTTTTTCTTTTACACTCCCAGATTTTGTCTTTTCTTCATGATCTCATATCATGTTCACTATTTCACTAACAGCTTTTGGAAATAGTTCGTAAAACATCTAGTGTTAAATTTATAGATTTTGCACTTCATTAACACACTTTATTGACCTGTTTTGATTATTTAGAAACAAAATTTGGACATAATGATTATTTGACTGTTTGTTTTCATGTCTAAATGAGGTGGAAGCAGTTCAAATCGAAGCACAAAGTACACCACAGTTTAAGTTTAGATGATTCCTGACAGCACCACAGCGAGGTTATCCTTCAAAGCTTCAGTGCAGGTGTCGTGCTGCATTTGTCAAGGAAAACCTCAAGCTTTGGCATCATAACTGAACATGAACCAACAGGTGTGTGTGCCATGTGAGTGCTTAAAGCTCAAAAACTGACTTCTGACACTTCTGCAGGATTTTTGCGTCGCAGTCAGCCATGCCTCGGTCATTCCTCGTCAAGAAAAAGAGGGCTCATCTTCTCGGCTCGCCCAAGGACATCTTAAGAAACTACTCGCAACTTCATAAAGTCAGCAGCCAACCTGTGCAGCATGCCACAAAACAAGAAAGGATGTGCAGTAAATATGCAGTGCAGCCTTTGTCGCCCATGTCAGGGATTAAGGACCCTCCAGTTGAAGTCTGCAAACCATGGGACGGTAAGGCAGGCTGGTCTCATGGTGCCCGTACAGCTGATCCTTGGCTTGCAGGTAAGACACACTTTGCTCAGTCGAAACAATGTGTTTTTTTTATTAGAAATTTGATGGTGTTGTAGGACTTTTTATAGAGTATGCAACAGTGTTGGTTCCTGTGCTTAAAGATGCTCATACAGGATGATAAAGATGACAAGAGGGAACTATTCAAGATAAATTTGTCCAAAAATGAGCTTTTTCAAGGTCCCAAAAGTCCAGTTCAAAAGTTACTAATGAGACAGAGATTAATCTTGTCTGTTCGTTTTGAAGATATTCCCAGCGAAAAGAAAAGAGACACTCCTCCTCTGGCCTCACCTTGGTCATCAGACAGACACCAGGTTTCTGAAAGAGAGAGGGAACTGGAGAGACTGGTCTTCATGTTGCTTAACCATACATCCCACACTGACCTCAAATCTCCTGTCAGCGAGTGTCCGCTCTGTGAAAAGGTAGGAAACCTCTAGATGGCGATAACTGGAGTCAAGGCGTGTGCATCAGCGGCTTAAATAAAACTCAGCATTTACATACAGAGCCTGGCATAAATTTTGTTTCAGTTTAAGATCACATGCTAAGCTAAGCTAACCAGCAGTTTGCTTTAGCTACAAATTTCATGGACGGACTTCAAAGCTCGATAAATGTTTTCATGTTCATTTCCATCTCTCTCTCAGTCTCTGTCAGAGTTGTTCACATCAGGAAGTGGTCTACAGGCTCCTTTTCACAGCAGCCTGTCTGTCCCGTTCATAAGATCCCCCATCGCCACAGACCTGCCTCTCATACCCTTTGGATTCAGAGCAATAGGCAGCTATACTCGAGCTAAGGTAGAGAAAACCGTGAGAACGCTTGAATTAGAAAATACCAAGAGACATTTTGTCTTTTCTTACGTTTTGTGTGTCTCTTTGTGTTCATCAGGACCGTAACTTTGGCTGTAAAGTGTGCGGCAAAGTGTTTAAGCGTTCGTCCACCCTGTCCACACACCTCCTCATCCACTCAGACACTCGACCTTACCCCTGCCAGTACTGTGGGAAAAGATTTCACCAGAAATCAGACATGAAGAAGCACACGTTCATACACACAGGTCAGTGAACACAGAGGGAAACAGACTCAGCAGTCCATGCTAACACTAAAACAGCCCCAAACAATCCTGACTTATACATCCTAAATGACAGACATAATGAGAAACACAATCAACAAGCCAGTTGAAGTATGTGAACAGACTGTAACCTACTTATTTGTGATCACATATTAATGACAAAAAGCTATATTTGTGCAATAGACATAGAAAAAAACAGAGCCAGCTATCAGACAAGAGGGGGAGAGCAACGTGTGACTTAATTCATTTTACTTTTAACCATTATTGCCTGACTGACATGTTCTCAACAGTTTCTGATGAGGTTCAACGTTAGGTTTGATCTGGGTCACCAGAAACTGAGACGGTTCAGATCAAATCTGGAACTCAGGTGCTGAGAAAAATCCAAGATACGAGGCACAGTTTGGTAGAAAGTGGTTCTTTCCCTCACTGTTCAGAGGTCATACGCAGTAAGATGGTGTTAAACTGCCCGAGACATTACTTAGGTAATGAATTAACGTATTTTCAATGCTTTTAAGTGTTTGCTGACCTAAGAACGATGACAAGAAATCCCGTAGCTAAATGTCGAGCTTTTCTGGCGTTTCAACGGACAAACTATGTATAACACATACATTTAACAAATTATAATCATGATTAATTTCTGAACTTTAAGTCTTCTGATCAGCTTTTAAACACTTTTAAATCTGCTTTTAAATTGGATATTTTATTATGGTGTGTTATGGGGACTGACTCGCCTTTGAAACCATCCTCCAGTGGCCACTTAAAGAACTGCAGTTTTTGGTACTCCCACATCATTCCTCACCTGCAGGTTCTGACCCACTTTCCTCCCCTTTTGGTCTATCCTCAGGTGAGAAACCACACGTGTGCAAGGTGTGCGGTAAAGGGTTCAGCCAGAGCTCCAACCTCATCACCCACAGCCGGAAGCACAGCAGCTATCGACCATTCAGCTGCCCCCGCTGTCAGCTAAGCTTCCAGCGCAGAGTTGAGCTACAGCGCCACCAGGAGACGCAATGTGGTTATGGAGACATTTACACGCAAAACTGAGTCCATTTTGCAGGAAAGTGCTTTCAAAACTTGTTTGAAATTATGTTTGAGTTAGAGTTAAGGCTTGCATGCTTATTAAACCTATGTTTGATATCAATAAAACTTGATTACTGCATCATGTTGGGTTGTTTTTGTTGTTTTTTTGGAGAATCGAAAGCTGCACTGTGTTTGTTTTAGACCTGCAGGAAAATAGAAAATGCATCTCCGGAACATTATTTATCTGGGGATGTAACAGGCAAAATTGTTTTCATAAGAGAATCATCCAACTTTGTAACATGCGTGTCATTTAATGGTATCAATTTCCACAGGATGGCTGTGTGAAGGAGATTGTATCATGTGCATGTGTTTGGTTCCTCTTTAAGTAAATGACACAGGAATCACCAAAAGTGGTCCCCTGATATGAGCGATAATGATGATGGACTAAAGATGTTTTTCATTTATGTCGTTTAGAAAATGTTTGTTTTAAAATAACTTTCTAAAAATGAACAGCCAACTAGATAAAGGAATGAAGATTCTTAGTTTCATTATTACAGTAAATTCTCTGTTACTAGATGTTACAGGTAACACCGGAGGCCTTAAAATGAAAGTAATTCTCTTTATAAAACCTAAGAATAAGAATAAGAACAGACAAAAAATAGACAAAAAACACACAAAAATAGATAATAGACAAAAAATAAAAATAGACAAAAAATACACAAATTAACTATGAATTCAAGACAAAAAAATCTGCCTCAAGGGACACAAACCAAACTGAAATAAATGAAGTGCAATCCGCAGAAATAATCAGATAAAATGGGTTTAAATGAGTTTTTAAAATTTTTAGAGACAAGGGACTTAATTTTGAGAGTTTATTTTAGATGCTTTGCAGATTTTTAACCATTGATAGTTCACATTATTGCAGCGTATTCTGATACTGTGCAAGTCTAACTGTATAAAAAACAAGGTGAAGATGTGAATCAGTGTTGTGTGCTCTGCTGCCCTCCAGTTGCCAAACATTTTATCGCTGCTGTAACAAATTTAAAGTAGTTAATGCATGTAAATATGTTTTAGCAGAGCGCTGGCTTCATGCTTTGTTTGGGTTACATGTTTTATGACAGTAGAACACGTCAACATGATGCTCTGTTTGTTTAATATTCATTTATTTGCCAACAGGAAATAATTCACATACAAGAGAACGCATTTTTGACATTCAGCTGATTTACAGTCACAGAACAAAAAGAAAAAAAATGTTTTCTGTACAGATACTTTGAAAAGACACCAACAGTAACCTCCTCAGTGACCTTTGACCTCATGTTCCCGTCTGGAGGCTAGATGTGGTTTCAATGTGAGTCACTCTCGCCAGCTTCAGATCACATTGAATCCAGATCAGCTTGTCACGCCAGTTTCAAAATGACTGAAGCAGAGTGTATCATGGCATCAAACAAACAGCGTTTCACAAAGCTGTGATGAGGAGGTGATTCTGTGTTCACCAGGTTTCAGTCCTCAGATCTGCTGCACAGAGACACGCAAAGAAAGCTGCACAAACACAGCTCTGCACACACACACACACACACACACACACATATACACACACACGGGCAGCTGTGCTCTGTCACACACACTCTCTCATACACTCACACACACTTTTGTCCCAGTTCCCCTCTCTCAGATTTGCAGGGAGGAAATCCTGAGAAAGAGATAAGAGAATAAAACTGTTCAGACTCTTCTGCCATGTCAGATCTGAAATCTGCAGCTGCTGCTGAATGCTGATAAGTGTTGTAACAGTTGGTGCTTCTAACCACTTCAGTTTATTTTCATGAAGTTTTAAGGATCACATGAAGGTCGTGATGTGGCTTTTCTTTTATTATGTTGATATTCTTCAAACATGAACATTTTTAATCCATCTTAAAAACACCTTTCCTGTGCCTTTGAATGGATGCTGCGACCTGCACTTGAACTTACGTACAATATCTGATCAAATTCAATCAGATTTTACCTTCACACAGAACTCGAGGACTGATTAGACACTGAGGATGGACTCCACATGTTCGGACCCTCATGAGTCAGGTTTGTAAAGTGGTTGTGTCCCTCAAGCGATGCTGGACGTGCACCTAGAAAAAGTACAATTATATATGCCTTTTTAAATTTCTCTTTCAATGATATTAATGTCAGTGAAGCTAACAAAGAGTTAGTTATGAGATGCCATCTCATTGTAGATTCTGTATTTTTTCTCTGTAGGAACTGTGGTCTGTTTGGAGCACAGCCTAGGCTTCACTACATGCACAAAGGCACATTATTCGTGAATTTTAAGCTTTATCCAATCCAATACATTTTATTTATATAGAACGATTTAAGCAAGCGCAAGGTTTACAAAGTGCTGCACAGCAAGATAAAACTATAAATAACACAACGGGAGCACAATAGATAAAGTAAAACTAAATAAAATAAAAACAAATACAATAAATATAATCAATAAAATAAAAGAAATGAAGTCAACCTCCTACTTTTATAAATAAATCGTATTTCTTTGATATGCACCCTTTTTCAGTCTCAGAAAGAAGCTGATCTTGTTACCTGTTTTATTATAGACACACCATAGACCCCCCATCAGGATGACCCCCATTATAAAGGCAGTGAAGACAACACTGATCAAAACTCCGATCTGCATCACAGGACCTGGAGACAGAGTATAGAGCGTGAAAGGTTTAGCAGTTTCCAAATAACACAGAAACGTGAATAAATAAATGATACTCACTTCTCTGGAAGTCTGGAATCGCTGATGGGGACACACTCAGTCGTTTGGTTCTTTGACCTGCAGGGGGCCTCGGCATTTTGCGTACCAGTGAGCTGATGGGCTGGGTGACGACCATGGGTCTGGAGAGGTTTCTGATCTCACACTGGGACTAGACAAAGAATATTTATGTTTATTATGACTTTATAAATAAGATTAAGACATTGAGTTTCAAATGGGACTGAAAACTACTGCAGGTGGACACGTTCCTCATGCAAGCCTTCAGGACTGGGCCCCATGTTTCAGTCAGGATGTCATATCCTAAATTCTGTCTTTTTTTTTTTCGCTTTGAGTAGATTGTCATTGAAGTACCTGAGCTCCAGGTGATCTGGATATAAGTGGAGGGATATGTAGCCCACTCTGGCATCCACTCTTTCCAATGTCCTTGATAGACGTCCCTCTAAGTGAGTCAGACAGACACAGGCGAAGGCTGCAGTGGAGGAACTGCATAGAGTCGTTAAAAACAGGCCGCAAGATGAAACTAAATCTCAGGGGGTGTATCGTTTCCTCTGCCATCATTCTTGGATTTCTCTTCATCTTTTCTGAGCCTCTGTCAGTCTTACTTTTGAATAAGATATCTCTGTCTCTGTTGTGAAAGTCACTTTTCCCAACTCTTTCTGTCTCCTCTGATTCCTTTTCTCGTTCACCATCACCTTCACCCTCTTCTTCTTCGTCTTCTTCTTCTTCATCTCTTGTCTTGGGAGCTAGGATCACGGATGGGTCTGAGGAGCAGCTGTCGCTAATGACAGTCCAAAAACGAGACTTTTTAGGGTCTGATGAAGAAGAGACCACACATGACTTCACCTCCACGGCGTCTATGAAGGACCCTTTGGCTGATATCTAAAGTGTGGAAATAAAGAAGACAAGCTGAAGTTCATGTATGAAAAGAGGGATGATAACTACAGAAGCAAAGGAAATACTCTACACAAACATCTACCTCAACAAAGACACGGTGGTCTGCAGTTATGACACAGGGACCGTCCCGCCCCTGCTCGTAACCCTCAGAGACAAAAAGTCTCAAAACAAGAACAGGCCAAGATCTGTATCTGGATATCGGCAAGTGGCTTGGTCTCATATCAGGCCCTAGATCCTTGGGTATCCAGGGGACTAACCCCACCAGTGGAGTGTTTACACCATCTTCATTACTTTCTGCAGGACCAGGCAGAGGGGCAGGGACCGCAGCCAGACAACTGAACTGTGAGGAGATTCAAGAGATTACAGGTCTAAAGAGAACATAAAATGCAGAATCCAGGTTTATTTGACAAAAATAAGGTAGACAAACAAATATTATGACATGAGCAGATGTCTTACATGTATGCCAAGTGGACTTTTGGTCATCTTCTCTGTCTCATTCAAAGTACGAATGGTTTGAGGCTTCTCTCTCCATAATAACACCTGACAAGAGAAGAGGAAGAGATTTTCTTTTCAACAATGCCAACTTGTTTACTACCATCAACATCTAAAACAACAAAATATTTACTCCAAAGAGTCGACAGAAGATTACACTTTCAGTAAAAATGTCATTCTGTTCTGTCATAGATTATGTTCAGTTTTGGTCCGCCATGGTTTCCTGTTTATCTGTGTCTTCCTGGGGGAATCATATATACGTATATGCTGATGACACCCAGATGTCTGTTCCAAGAGCTGCAGTACAGGCGGCTTTATCACAGCTTTTGTAGGTGCTAGCTGTATTTACAAGAGATTATATACAAATAATAATCTCTATAATCTGTACCTGGATAAATCTCAGCTGTTTTTAACCTCAAAGTTCTCTTATTACTTACTCCTTTCTGGGGACACAACCCCCAAAATTTAGGATGTTGTGTAAAAGGCTGATAAAATCTGAATCTTGTTGTTTGCAAATTAATTGGAAACCAAATTTGATTGGAAATATATCAACAATATATTGACAACATTTCAAACATTGGAATTGAAAAGATTAATTGTTAATGAAAAATAAAGGCTCATTTTAAATTTGATTACAGCAACATGTTTTTAAAAAATGGGGACAAGGACAACGTTTATTTCCTCTTTGTTGATGGCTAAGAGGAAGTTAATGCAGAAGTTATTATTTCAAGAAATCGAGGTGTTAATTCTAGTCTTGATTGTGGAGGTATATCTCTCTTTTGACACATTATGGTTCATTCATTTCCATTCAGTGCTTCCTGCCTTGTTTGTGTCTTTCTCTCCTTCCAGAGATCGCTCTTTACCTTCCCTCGCCACAGTTTCCTGAGCCTGAACTGACATTTCTCTCACCTAATTTCCCTCTTCGCAGCATCCTATTTTTGAGCTCTAATTTAGCACTGTTCTGGTCATGATGACCCCGGTCATGCACCTCACCAGTGCAGCTCCCCTTTTACCACAATTTTGGGTGTCCGTTATGCAACTAGTGTTTATGTTTCAACAAGCACAGAGTCAAGTCTGAGATTAATTTTTCATCAAATGTTTTTTCTAGATACGTCATTTTGACATCAACATTTTCTCTGCCTCTCTCTGTTAATTTAAGTTGTTGATAAAATACGATTATCATTGTCAAACTTTTGAAACCAAAGATTGTGACATACGTGCATGTTAAGATTAATAAATCAAATAAATCACATAATAGTAACTCACCATGTTTTTGTACTGCACCCCTCTGGGCTGTCCCATATTCAGACCCTCAGTCCCACAGGAAATGACTGGGAACACCAACAGGAAATGGCTCCCGTTGGACTGAGCCTGGCACGTAGAGTCTCGAAGAGTCACAGCAGCAACTGGGAGAGACAGACTCTGAGAGAGAAAATGTATGTTACCTCAAACTGAATAATTTCATGAGAGCAGATGTTAGACTTTCTAGAAAGGTCATTCAACTCCATGAGGACACATAAAACTATCCCGCTCTGCATATTTTCTGTCTTTTTTCAGCTGTCCTATTCAATAAAGGCAAACTTGATTCCTTTTATCAAGTGACAAAGAGAAAAATATTGATAAAAGTGAACAACTGGTGTGTGGAGACCTGCAGGATTTGCTGGTCCACAGTCACGTCCAGGCGTCCATCTTCGCACTGCACCGTGAAACTCTCTCGCCCTCCTCTTGCTCCGTCCCCACCGTTTAACCACTGCCTCAGTCTGCGCTCCTCTGCCCATGAAGGCTTTACAACCAGAGGATTCACCTCTTCAACCTCATCTATATGGACATCAAGAAAGCAGAAGACATGTACCGACATCAAAAACTTCAATGTCTTTTGTTCAGCACGAAAGATTTGGTGAAAATGTGGACAAAAAAGACCGATCACAAAAGTTGTTTAAAAAAAGGAGATAAAGAACAAGGATGGACTGAAATGAATAAATGGTGATTTCAGGTCACTCACACAGTGATGGAAACAAGAGACACACAGCAGTCCTGACCTGTCCCACCCCCGGCCAGCTGGATCACAAAGCGATTGGCCAGGTCAGCCTCGGTGTACGACGTCACCTTGGTGTAGCCGTTCTCACTGGCCCACATCAGCAGGTCAGGTATGCTGGACAGGTCAGAGTTGAGTGAGCTGGACACGGTCAAGTCAGGCTCAGGTGGGAAAGGAGGAGAGATACTGTTGGACGACTACAGAAGGGAAAGAAACAACAATGAAGCTATTTGTGTTTGATATCTCCTTTTTAAATGGGGGCTAATATAAGCTGGGTTTCTTCAACTAAAACTGAAATTAGCTTTTTTTCCATCTGTAATAGCCCTCCTTAAATCCAACATAGCAACAGCATATAAGCAGCTTCTGTAGTTCATGTATGCTTACATGGCCAAAATGGGGAGCTTAGATGGTGCTAATGGCTGGCTACAGACAGTTTCTTTTAAAGGCATCATTTTTGTGTTGTTTCATGACGACAAAACTGTGTAAAAAGTAACATCCAAAAGCTTTATATCACAGGGAGAGCAGCCAAAACAAAGAGGCTGAAATGCACTGAAGACCGACCTTTTTAATTTGGCTTTTAGTTGAATTTTGTTTTAATCTTTTAATCTGAATTACATGATTTTACCTTATTTTAGTCCTAGAGTTATTATTTTGTGTTTTATTGCCTTTTTTTAATTTACTTTCTGTTCTTGTTTGATTTTAAGATTGTTTTATTTAATCAACGTTTAACACTTTATCCCCTTTATAATATTTTATCATGGTTTTATCATTTTAGTCCTGGATCCAGTGTTTCCTCATCTTTTTTAACTCAAGATAATGTTTCCTCAGTCATCTGTGGCAAGGCGAAGAGTCCTCACCTGATCTTTTGTGAATGCATCTGTGTGTGTGAGCGTGTGGGTGCTGTGTGTGTTGAATGGGGGTTGGGAGGTGGGGTTTTAAATTTGTATTTTTTATTCATTTATTTCATTGGACAGCACTTTGTTCTATATTCTATGTATGAAAAGTGCTTTAGAAATAAAGTTTGATTGATTGATTGATTGATTGATTGATTGATTGATATTAGGGTTTACACAGGCGCCAGTTTAGGAGCAGGAGGGTTTTTTTGAGAGGTAAAATGAGTGTATTAGGCCCCTTTTTTAAACTGTTGAGTCAGGTGTACTCCTTACATGAACAGAGATATGACCTCGTACACCATGAGACACAATGGCCCAGTTGACCGGCACTGAGCTGCTGAGGACCAGCACAACCCTCTTGGTCCTTGAGTTGATCACTGGGGGCACCAGAGACACAACTACCTCCACCTGTAAAGAGCTGAGGAACAGAAAGGGGAGGACAGGACCTTAAATGGCTTGATTACAAGCTTAGACGTTCTAGTGCAGACTTGTCCAAGTCCTGATCTCACCCGCAGAGTCCTGAGCCAGCTGAATGGAGTTTGATCACGTGAACTTCAGGACTGATTGCTCCTGCTAGAGCATCTGAGCAGCCCTGCACTTCCTGTTGCTGCAGGTCAGAGGTCATGTAGTTGTGGGAGAGGAACATGGACTGCAGTTGACACAGAGCAGGCAGGTTTGGATCTGTTGTAAAGACAAAGCAAGAGGGTTTGATGTCATAAAATCCTTCGACTAAAATCTGTCGAACAAGTTTAAAAGTAGCTTCAGCCCTTACCCTCATCAAACAGGGCAATAAAGGGTGTATTGCACAACATATTGTAAATATGTAATAATAATATAATGTAAATTAAACCTCAACTTCTAAAAATCCACTTCTGGGGATATGGTTCTTCTGTTACTTAGTATGTGCTTTCTGAGGCCTTACCTTCCCCCAGTTTGATGTAGACTCTGTTTCCATGAGTTGTGTGTGTAAAAGAGGACAGGTTGCCATGGTGTTTGAGTGCCCAGCGGTGCAGCGCCCGTGGACGAAAAGGCAGTGAATGCACAGTTTGTACATGCAGATGCAGGGAGTTGGACTGTACAGTGGAGTTTGAAGAAATCTAGCAGAGAAAACAGGAAATGGGAGTTCACAAACCTAGAGGAAAACTGGATTTTATGTGATTGGATACAACTATTTTCTCATTCAGACTGACCTGCACCACCACTGGGAGGTTTGGAGGGAGTCTATCAGCCTCCAGATACCAGTTGACGGGGAGCTTGGAGCTGAGCAGCAGGTGGAGGGCTTTGAGAGGGGAGGGGGTGAGTGACAGAGGCTTCAACAACACTGTCACCTGCAGACAGGAAAACAGTGGTGGGATTATACAACCGGTCATTAGTAATAATGGTGTTTAAAATAGATGCAGTCAAAATAGGTTGAATCACAAAAATATATAAATAAATCAACCTATTTTAGGTTTGATCTCTCCAAAAGAGAGATGCGCCATATTTTTACTTTCACTACAAACCATCTGGTTAAAAAAAAGCTCTTTCCCTTTTCTTTGCAGTTATTTCTTTGACAAGCAAACAGGCCTGGCTCTCATTTATCTTTGATTAGCTTGAGAAATGATTGTACTCCTCAGGCTTCCTATTTTTGAGGCTTTTAATCATTTATCCATTTCCTATTTTCTTCCAAGAGATACTTCAAATTTCCTCCATAAAATGTCAAAGTTTCAGTGTGGGTAATGTCAGCAGGGTCAACAGGAGGGTTGTGCAAAATCTGAAAGCTAAAAAGTTAACTCATATCAAAAATTTGTGGCGTGGAGGTCTGTACAGTGATTTGTATAATAATGTGTGCTCTTTTTTAAATATTATCTATACAGTTTTATTCTCATCTTCTTTTGTCTTTCATTTTTCCAAACGAAAAGTTAACTTTGATACTAAAATCTATTTTATTTAGGATTTTTAAAATGCTATTTACTCCGTCTTTAAAAGCCACAGGTGTTTTTTGAGGGCGGCTTAGAGACTTATACCTTTCTGTCAGAGCTGCTGGTTGCTCTCCCCACTGCAATCACATGAGTCTCCTTGTTTCCTTGTTCTCTGGCTGCACAGCCTGGACCAGCCTCAAACCTCTCCAGCAGACCCTGAACAGGGTGTTGGGCCTCTGCTTGACCCTCCACAGAGCAACGCAGACCCTCACTGGGAGCTGTGGAGGAACAGGAGGTGCATTAGTGAAACGTTCTTCTAAGACGGATAACAAATTTAAGAGTTATGAGTATGCCCTGTTTTTGTTGTTTGACTTGTCTTTTTCAGAGTACTATTCTCCTCTCTGTGATGTGTCAGTATTTACGAGCTGAAGGTTAAATCCCTGCTCCAGGGATCTGGAAACTTTCCCAGAAGGAACTATGAAACAATTTCAATTTCGTTCTGACTCTTAAAATAAAGACTTTTGACCTGTGACAGCTTTAGCAGAGGAAATACCACTTTTGATGCTTTAAATGAAACATCATTTTTTATGGTAGCCAAGGTTGAACCATTTTTAGCTGAGCATATGGCATTACATTAGCAAGTGTCCCCAAAACAGTCTTTAAAAAACAGTTTATATCAATGAAATTAAGAGCTAAGCTTTAACTTATAACACTCTGGGCACTGTGGGTTCCCAGGTTGCAGGAAGGGAGGAGTTTTTTATATTTTAATGTAGTTGAAGTTTTTACAACTTTGTTATCTCCGGCCAATAATACAATCATATGTTTCAATCCAGGAAAGATCGGTTATTATAAAAGTATAATCCCATGAGTTTACTGGAGAAACATCAGAGAAGGTTGAAAATATGACTGAAACTCAGGTGAAACAGGAGTGTTGGCAGTTACTGTTATCAGTGCAGTTGTTTTTTATTCATTTTTACTAGACAGAGTTGTATTTTGTTAGTCTGAAGACAAATGAGTCCAACTGAAACTCACCTGTTTTCTTCCAGAGCAGGAGACAGAAAACGGTCCATCGAACTCCTGACAGTGAACGCATCGTGAAGGTCTCGCTTTCAGACTGAATGTGACAACTCTTCTTACAACATCCTGCTGAACAGAGCCACGGTGTTACATCAGGACAGAAAAACACTCACTGGAGTTACATGCAAACTCCATGTTAAAAAAAAAAAAAGCTATTGATCCTTCTTTTGCAATGCCATGCTGTATCATGTCATTTTGTATGATGCAGCCTATATCCTGTACCCCACTGCATCGTATCATATCATATGGTATGGTATCATATTGTATTGTATCATATTGTATTGTATCGTATCGTATCGTATCGTATCGTTTCGTATCATATCGTATCGTCTTGAACTGATAATATCATATCATATCATATCATATCATCTTGAACTGCATAATATCATATAATATCATATCATCTCGTATCATATCATATTGTTTTGTATCGTATCATATCATATCGCATCATATCATATCGTATCATGTTGAATCATACCGTATCATATCATACTGTATTGTATTGTATCACATCGTATCATATTGTATTGTATCCTTTCATTCCATTCCATTTCATTTCATTGTATTGTAATGTATTATATGGTGTTGTATCTTATTATACTGTATCCTATCTTATGTTATCATATTTTTTGGTAATATATCCTATTGTTTCCTTCTTTATTGTATCGCATCAAATCGTTGTGTTTTCATTCATATCCGATGGTATGGTATTTTGTCGAATTGTATCCTATCATATTGTATCTAATCAGGGATTCTTGCTGTATAACACAAAATTTTCTCAATGAAAATCTGCATGATCGGTTACATGCAATCAGTCATGCGGCGTAAAAAACAACCCAAGCAGCTACAATGACAGCTGATTGATGACTGCTCTCTTTGTCCAAGCGGAAAAATTAAATATTTATACGTTACAGAATCTTATGATAAACTTCTGTAAGCACTTTCTTTTTAATTTTTTAATTGAAAACTTAGTAAAAACTCAGTTCAATAAAATAACTTTTTAATCAAACCAGAGGAAACTGGTTTGAAGCATCTTGGACGTAAAAGACACATACATGCAGCAAGTACAAATAAACACACTAAGAAGTTTTAAGAGGGTGTTCTCAAATAAATATGTATATGTAATAATAATCAAATATAAAGTATTTCTTTTTACAATGTGTTACAATATATGCAAGGTGTTTTCATTTTTTAAACTAAAAGAAAAGTTTGATGTACATAGTTTTGTACTTTGACCACTATACAGACTAAAACGACAGCGTCTGTATTTTAGGAATTAAAAGTCAGGTTGTGTTAGTTTCAATTTTTTACATTCCAGGACTTAAAAATTATCTACTGAGCAAAAACACAGAAAAGTGAGACTCACCTGCGGCTCAGCATGGGCACAGAGACGCTCTGCTGATCCAGCTGTTTCTTCAGACTTCTCAGAGCAAACACACACCTCCTCATTTACTAAACACACAAACAAACTCACACAAGCCCACGAGCCACGCAGAAACACTCAGATGTCAGCCACGTGCCTCTCCTCTCGTCTTCATCCAACCGAGGTGAGGAAAAGTTCTCTGTGAGGGTTCATTTTACGCACAGAGAGGAGGAGAGAGGAGGGGGGAGAGAGGGCTGTGAGGACAGAGGGGGAGTAAGGATGGGAGGGACTGAGGGATGGTGTGACAGAGTGGAGAGAGACATGGTGAGCGGAGGAATAAAAGAGTCTGAAAGGGTCTCCGAGCGGGAAGGAGGTGTTCAGGCAGAGAAGGAGGGAAGAGGAGGAGAGAGGGGAGGAGAGGAGGAGGAGGGGGGAGGACCTCGGGAGTTTGACCGACCGAAATATTTACATGCAGAGAGAGAGAGAGGGAGAGAGAGAGAGAGAGAGAGCACAAGTTTACAGGAAACTCCATCCTAAAATCTTGATTATCAGGTCAATGATGGAGCCGAATCATCCACAGTGAGAATGAAAAAAATCAGATTGAGAGGAAAATTAAAATAAACACTGACAAACAATAAAATAAACATTTTTAAAAAATTGATGTGTAATTGTTGTGTCTTTTATATAGTGTATGTTTGTGTAACTGTTTAATAGTGTGAGTTTGAAGTTAGTGTTTTAATGTCTGTGTCTTTTTGCACACTTTGGCTTTAATAAGCGTTGTTTTGTGCATGTGTTAAAGTGTGTGTTTTTTTTCATACTTGTGTACTTTTGTGTGTTTGTCTATGTAGTTTTTTAAATTGCATGTGTATTGTTACACGTCTTGTTTGTTGTGTGTAAGAGTGTTCGAGTGACAAAGAAAGAGAGGGATGCTGATGGCCGAGTGGTTGAAGTGGCCCCTGCACTGTCGTTATAGTCCTGGTTGCAGTGGTTGTCGGTTCGAGTCCTGACTACAACCCTTTGTGTGTCTCTTCAGCCGTCTTGTCTAATAAAAGTAAAACTGCAACAACACACACACACACATATTCGCTCACACATTTCTGTCCTCAGCCCTGTAATGACATGGAGGATGTTTTTCATTTCCAGCCTTTGACCAAAATGTATTTTTCTCTAAAAACCAGCTGAGTCCATGTTAGTAGATTTTGTGCGGTGCGTGTGTGTGTGTGTATGTGTGTGTGTTGTCATGTCATTGAACCTCGTCTGTCTCTCACAGGGTCATTTTTGATCATCATCATCATCATGTTGGTGTCTCTGTAAAAGACAGAAACATTCAGACTGTTACAGCAGTTGTATCTCCACAACTGTTTATGTCTACAGCTGACTCTCTCACAGTTGTGGATGCATGACCTTTGTGAGCCATACACTTTATAAAACCGTGTCCACTACATCTGTTTCCACAGAGGGAGAGAGTGGAAGAGCTCTTCTAAGCAGTCAAACAAACTCTGATGAGAATGCCATACCGCTGATGTTAATGGGGAGACCTTTAACCTGAAAATGCTCTGCTTTCTTTCGCTCTGCTTTCAGGGTTTGATGACAAATTTCTCTCTGAACGTGTCTGTGGTTTTACAGAGTCAGCAGTGATGAAGCAACAACCTCTAACTGTTGAACTGTTGAAAAACGAGGTCAGAGACAAAGAAAAAAAAAAACATTTTCTCAAATGACAACAACAAGGCTGTCTGTAAAAGCAAAGGAATTCCTATTGGGTGTTAAAATGCCTGAATTTACAGCTAAATTAAATATGTTTACAGACTATGTTTTGTTTGGTTTATGGTGTAAACTGTACATGAACTATGCAGTGTATGAAAGGCATCAGATCACTGCCAAAGGATCCAGGCTGTTATATCAACAACATGCAGAGAGAGAGCTCCAAAGGTGAGGCAAGAAACACCTGTATTGAAGTGTGTTGTTTTATACAACGTCATGGCCGCTGTATTAAAGTGCATCGTTCATATCTAATCCTATCATTGTATTGTATCTTACCGTATCATATCATATTGTAAGTTGTATCATATTTTGACATTTTTCATAGCGATATATTTCACAGCATCATACCATGTTGTTTTGTATCAGATCCTATCATATTGTGTCCTACTGTACTATACTGTATTGTATGGTTTTGTATCTTGTCACATCATAATCATGTTGTATCATCATCGTATTGTTTTGGATGCTTTTGTTATAGACTGTATCATGTTGTATTCCAGTGTGTTGTTGTCTTCATCTTTACCATACTGTATCAAACCACACTAACGATTCTGCACTGTTTTTAACATGTCGTGTTGTATCATTTTATATCAGATCATATCCTTTAGTTCTGCATTTTATTATATACTGTTTACTGTTTTGTCACACAACTGCCACATTAATACCACATCCATGTACTATTTTCATTAAATTATTTTACATACAGTATACTTGCATTTCCTGTTGTGGGAATGTACACCCTTGATTGTTTTTGTGAAGTATTTCCTGTACTGTATGGAAGAATTAATTAGACGTTACAATTACAATTAGATGTATTTTGCTTTCAAATGACAGGCTGGTGCCATAAATTCTCACTTTGATGTAATTGCAGTCAAATCAGTCACCTCTCAGCTGTGTTTGGTTATTGGAGAATTTTAAATGCAAAAATCTGAATAATTAATATAGCCTATCAAAATGTCTACTTTTACCTAAGAATCGTACAAGAAATCTGTCTTCAGTTTTCTTCAAATCGGTGAAAACTTCTTCTGTTTTTGAGTTCAAGCACTAATAAGTGGCCCAACTCTATCTGACAGCTTGTTTCATGTTTCTCATCCAGTGACTTACTTGTGCATTGGGCTCCAGGTGGACCCCCGGTGGTGTCATCCTTTGCTTTCTGGAGAGGAGTTAAGAGGTCCAAAGATGGTGGTCGCCATATTGGAAATGCTGATTGCAATTATCATCTGCTCTTCTAGAAACCAGTAAAGAAATAAAGCTGAGGCAGGGTCTTTAGCCAATGGAAAATAATGTGAATGTCAAATACTCACCTGTCAGTCAAGTCAGCCACACCTTTTATTTTATTATTATTATAAAAACTCTTCAAGCTTCAAGATCCAAACAGGTGAATCATGAACAAATACAACACTATGTATTCTTACACTGACGGGTCAATTAAAGAAATGACCAAGCTGTAAAAATAGTGATAGTGATGAAGTTTCCTTTGCCTTTGCAAGCAGCCTCCAGTGGACACTTAAGGAACTGCAGGTTTCAAAGCTTTTTAATACAGGAACTAGCAGCTTTAAGTCAAATTCAGCATCTCTAAACTGAGCATTAACCTGTTCTGCAGTGAACATGGAAAATCAACCATAATTTTATACAACATGAAGCTACGATAGAGGGTTACTGCTGCAGCTTGTCTCAAGCTCGTACTGTAGTTAAATTTTTCTAGATCTCAGAGATTTGTCTGCGCTGTCTGAGGGAGCAGGAGGAAAAAAAAAAACAAGTTTGCTAGGTTTGTTGGGGTTGGTTTGTCAATGAGCAGCTGAGGCCAGTCTGCTTATGCTGTGTCACTGTCTTCCCCACTTCCTGGGGCATGATTTATTTTCTCAGTAATGTCTGCAAAATGTCCCTTTAATATATCATCCATGTAACTAATGAACAGACCTGATTAATTCTTGATTTTTTTAACAGTGTGTGTTTTGTGGTAATTGTCTAAATTCTTCCTCTTTCCTGTTTTATTCTCATAATAATTCAAAGAATGTTGAGAATGATGATTAATGTGGAGCACTTGCAATGAAACCAGCTGGGACCCAGCCTGGCTCTGCAGCACAAACCGCTACCATGTTTCATTTACTATCTGCCCACCTCTACTCAGTCATGAGAAATGTTTTGCTTAAGTACTCCAAAGCAGGTCAGATAATTTGGGCTTTCATATCAAAGTTAAACTATTTTCTGGGATGCAAAACCCGACTGCAGAAGTGCTGTCCAGAGATCAGCGTGACCCTAACTTTAAATTACATGATAATTCATCTGGACTTCCATGAAAAACGAATGAAATTGACGACCCTATGACGGAGACTGGTAGATTTGCAGGCTGTGACGAGACAAAAAGAATGATTAAAACTTTGTAAGGTATGTATTTTTGACTTGCAACATCAAACAAGAACGAAGACAGCAAAACAGAAATTCTCTTTCTTGTTATCGGTCTCAAGTTGTTGTCAAAGTTGTCACTTATGAGCCTAAATTTGGAACAACCCGATGACACATAATGAGAGCAGCCTGAGGAGCTACTGGGCCTCAATCATCTCTGATAGGGAAAAGTGGAGCAAAATTCTGTCCTGCAATCCGTGCAGCAGCAGGAGAATTATTAATTTGAATATTTCCTTCCTCGTCTCATAAATGTTTCTTTGAGCGGTGATGATGCAGTTAAATTTCAGGGATTCAAAAAGTCAGTAGTGTAGCAGTTTTGATATTCCAGTGCAGATAATTTTGTTTGTTATTATACGCTTTACACAAAAATGCCTTTTAGTTGTATTCATAGTTTGTCATTTGATGTCTTATTAGTTTTAGTTGTTGAACAACAAAAACATTTCAGTCATGACTTTACATCAAAAGACTTTTGGTCTTCAAAGCGATTCAACTGATCAATCAGAAACTGGTGTCAAAGTTGTGCCAAGTGCATGTTACTTTCTTTACACTTAAATTTGTGTAATAACTGTTTTTTTTTACATTAGTTGGACACTTAGCTTCAGACTCTTCCTCAATGCAATGCTGCTGTGTTGTCCCTGCTGACCAACCAAAGGTTTTAAAGAGGAAAGACTTTTCATCGAAGCCAAGGAACAAAACAGTCTTTCTTCTACAGCCACTATAGGTATCGGTAGATGTATATACTGAACCGACTAAGATAGGGTGACCATATTCCAAATCTCCAAATAGGGGATTCTACTATGCGGGATGGAGTTGTGAGCAAAATTTCGAGGGTGTTTTGGATCGGGAAGAGCATTTTTTTATACGCTTTTAACTCAGTTAAATGCATATTCTTAACTTCCAAAGACAGTGCATGTGTGCGTTGCGTCAGAGCTTTGCTTAGAAGTGAGCAGAGGGGCAGAGCTGCAGAGAGCACTGATGCTCTGCACTGTTTTATAATGGATGGATACATGTTCTTTTTTTTTCTTCAAACAAAACAAAATAAAAAAACCCGACATTTTATCACTCCTTTTTTTCGACTGGTGGAAACGGGCTTCCATACAAAACCTCAGACATTTCAAGGATTTTATAAACTTTCCCCGGAGATTCCCCCAAAAAAAGGGACAAGTCCGGGTAAAAGAGGACGTACAGTCACCCTAACTAAGCATGTTACTAAAATGCATCATTGTATTTTGAGAGACGGATTTGATGTTCATGTGGGAAAATGTGATTGATTTTTGATGTCTAACAGTCCACCTACAAGAATCTTATCTCGCCGTCTCTTCAACAAAAACAAAACATATAAAAGGTCAAAGTTGTTATTATCAGTGATGTATTTTTAACTCCTCCTTGTCTAGTTATTGTCATGGAAAAAAAAGAGTCATTGATTTTCCTTCAGAAAGGAAAGGGAAGGTTGAGGTTTCTCACCACAGAGCCGTGCTGTTGTAGGTATTAAAGCTGGATTTGAAAAAAGCTGTAATTAAACACTGTCTCTCTGTCAGGTTCACATTTTTACTGAGTCACAGTTCAAACACAATTCACCAACAAATGACAGAGGAGGAAACACAAACCAGAAACAAATCTATAAATCACAAAAAAAAGAGAAAATCTTTGAGCGTTTTTTTGTCATCCAGAAATAATTGTAGTTAAAATATCTGTTGTACTGAAAGACAGCAGACAGAAAAGACAGAAAAAAGATGAAGACACAAACTGCTTTTCCTGAACCTACGCAAACATCTGCTGTTTTCTCTCTCCTCTGGCTCCCCCTTGTGTTCATGTTGGGTCGGTGCATGATTGCAGCAGATGTGGATACATTCATGACTGAGGCAGGGACAGCGAACACGTCTTAACACACTGACTGTAGCGGCAACAAACAGCAGAGAGAAAAAAAAAGGATAAGACGAGAAAAAGTGAAGGAGGGAAAGAGACAAACAGCTTTCTGTCAGGATAATCACTTTTCACTTCAGTTCAGTGCGATTTCTGATTATTGTTTTCAATCTTCACTGTGTTGCCAGGCAGAACACACCTCTCACCCCCTGTGTTACATAATCTGGATTATCATCATGACTTCCTTTTCCTCTCAAAGCCTCACAGTGTCACAGATCTGCTGACCTCTGGCAGATCTGTGACACTGTATCATGCGATCAAACTCACTGATCCCCGTTCACACCGGCTCGGCCCGTCTGTCCGTCATCAAACACACACGGTCAGAGAGGATGGGTCGTTCATCCTCGCCTCTCTTCACCTCACAGAATCAGCCGTCACTTCTCAGTCTCTGTCAGAGTCCGCGGCCGGCAGTGGGCAGCTAATAACCTTGTGACCCCTGACATCTGAACCTAGTAGAGGTCTGAGACGTAGTCAAAATCTTTGAAGTGGTCCTGTTCCTTGCGGGAGAGGGTGCGGCGCTCTCGGGGTGGTGTGAGGGCGGGATGCTCCGCCGTAAACTCCACGTCAAAGTTGCTGATGTCTTCTTTTCCCCCGATGCACGGAACGAACGGGGGCGGGACTTTCCTCTGGAGCAGAGCCTCCCAGTCCATCCCCTGAAGAAATATAGATCCAGTTTTTCATTAAAGATGCGCGATCAAAACTCCATCGACAAGAGATGAAAAAGTGAACTCACCCTGAAGAACGGCTGCTTCTTTACATCTTCAGCATCCTTTTCTCCAGAGCCAAGACGTCTTTCAGGATTCCTTCTCAACAACTAGCAAGAGATAAATAACCATCATGAATCTCAACAGCAAGGACAGTACAAGGAGAGGCAGGCTGGAGTAGTGATCGAGGTTATTCACAAAAACCTAAGAAATCACGAAAGCTAAAATGTCAAAAACATTTCATCGTATAGTCGTGCATCGTTTAATTCTATTGAGGTTTCATCTTTTTATTGAGGGAGTAGGACAGTAAATAAAGCAGGAAATTTTCTCTGGAAATGATGGATGGCAAAGGGCTGCAGGATGACTGCCTGCTTCAAAGACTACAGCTTCTGTAAATGAGGCACGCTAAACCATACCAGAGCGCCTCTAGTCTTTCTGTTTTTGTAGAAGTAACATTTGGAGTGCCAGTGAGCAGAAACTCACCCGTCTCATGATGCCTATGGCTTCAGTGGAAAGGAAGCGAGGGTAACGCACTTCGTCATTCACAATGCTGTCAAAAACCTCCTCTTCATCGTCACCTGGGAATGGAGACTGGAAGAAAACACAGCGTGTTCATACAGGTTGAAACTTTCTACTCTGTGTGAAACAGTTTTGCTTTCACAGGAGAGTCCAACCTTAAATATATGGATGGACATCACCATGGACATTTATAAAATAGAGAAGATAATTTGTTGATCACAAATTGGAGAAATTCACATCATACTGGGAAAATTGGGTCAGATATGTCATGCTTTACAGGTCAGATTTTATTTTTCACCAACCAGTGGCCATGATGGATGAAAAAGACTTTTTTATTTTTTAAATTTAATGGTTGTTTGTTTTTCTTCGCATTATTTGGATATAAACAAAAATTTTGGTTTGGCATTTAGGGCAGACAATGGATGCAAGAAGTATGCTTACATGATGTATATATTGTGAATGTCTCATTCTGAATGTTAATAAAAAATAAATTTCAAAAAAGAGAAAAAAGAAACAGTTTTGCTTTTTATTTTGTATGTTTAAAATAAACTTAAATGAACCAATCGATGCCTGTCTTTGCATTTTGTATCAGTAAACCAGTCGCACTAGTTTATATGATGCAGCTCACTTTTTTGATGAGGGAAAAAAAAACAGTGTGCCCTATACACTAAGTTTTACGGTAAGTCAAGGTATGAGGAAAAACTGAAAACAGAAAACTTTTATGATTTGTGAGTAAAAGAGGTGCTGACTGCCATCTTACCTCACCGACCAACATCTCATAGATGAGGACCCCGAGCCCCCACCAGTCCACTGCTCTGGTGTATGATGTGTCTGTCAGCACCTCGGGAGCCAGAAACTCAGGAGTCCCACAGAAAGTGCTGGTCCGGTCCCCGAAACCCATACCTCAAAAAAGAACCAGACATCGATTTACCAACTCTCCATGTGCTGAGAAACGATAAATGCTTTCAAAGTAAATCATGTAAGAAACATGTGAGGTAGGAGAGTCAGTTTACTAAAGTATACATGACTGTATTTTGTCTGGTGATGATACGATGAAGTATTGAAGGGCTCTCACCTTCTTTACAGAGCCCATAGTCGGCTATCTTCACAAAACCCTCGGTGTCCAGCAGCAAGTTGTCCAATTTAAGATCTCTGAAAAAGACACAGGAGGGTCAAACACTGAGGAGTGTGAAGATAGAAAGTTTGGTACACTGCAAAGATGTAGACGATCCAAAAAACTCACCGATACACGATCTTATGTTCATGAAGAAACTGCAGACCTAAGACCACACAGGCTGAGTAGAATCTGAAAAAAAACAATGAAAAGAGAGAGACTAAGAAATGATCATACAAGCTTCTACATAACCAGTGACATAAACATGATCCACATTATCATTCATATTACATCAGTTTAAATATTTCAATTTTTATTTGAATTATTAATGCTGATAAGAAAGACGGAAACCTAAAGAATCAGGTTTGACCCTCTTGGCTCCGTTAGAGATGCTCTCAAACAGAAAGACTAATGGGGGGCTGCCACCGATATGCTTTTTCACTGTTACAGCCACAGACAGCAGACCACGACTATCTCTCCAACAAACACACACACACACACACACACACACACACACACACACACACACACACACACACACACAGACAGACACACAGCAGAACTCACACAGCACGCGGCTCTGAAAAGACGTCGGCGTGTATGTGCATCATGAGGTCCCCTCCTGCCGTGTACTCCATGACAAAACACACATGCTCTGACGTCTGGAAACATGCAAACAGGTTGACCAGGAAAGGGTGGTGGGAGCCGTTGACGATCTCAAAGATCCGCTTCTCACACATCAGACTGGAGACAGACAGAGTGAGTATGAGACAGAGAAACCTGAACATGATGTAACAATGAGGTGATTGAACTTCAGAAGCAGCTTTTTGTCACTTACCTTTCCACTTCATCCCTCGCTACGATGTCTCCCTTCTTCAGGGCTTTGATGGCGTACAGACTGCCTGTCCGTTTGTACTCCGATAGCAACACCTGCAGACATTGAGACTGTAGTGACTGTCCTCGAATATGAATTCAAAGACAAAACTTCTGTCTGAGTATGAATATCCTCACACTTCCCTATGAGATCCATAGTTTAGCCTCAAATCTACTCCATTTAGATGTTAAACTCAGCACTTCATTAACAGTACATATAGGGTCACAGCCATAGCACTAGCCACCAAACATCTTTTTAACTTTGCCTTATTCCTTTAGCAAAGAGGCTAAACACAACTCATCCACTCTCTTCCAGCAGCCGCTTGTTTGTACAGAGACCTCCGAGCGAGTCCATTACGGACTACAGCGGGGTGACGCAGCTCAAGGAAGAACATTTATGGTCATTATTTTATCATTTCCTTGAAGTAACAATCATCATATTAATTATTTTGCACTGCAGATACGGTAGTTCTTCTGCCTTAGCGACTCGGTCTGATTGCATTTCCACGAAGAAATGATCATAAATGTTCTTCCTTGAGCTGTGTCACCCCGCTGCAGTCGATGGACTCACCCGGAGGTCTCTGCACAAACAAGCGGCTGCTGGAAGAGAGTGGATGAGTTGTGTTAAGTCTCTTTGCATAAGAAATAAGGCAAAGTTAAAAAGATGTTTGGTGGCGAGTGCTATGACTGTGACACTATATGTGTTGTTGATGAAGTTAGGTGCTGTTCTGAGCATTATTTGTAACTATAGAGTGGCGTTTTGGTTGAGTGCGTGGCTCTCTGTTTTGCTCTCTGCAGTTGTTACTACAGTTGGTAGAACTAGAGAAGCAAGCAGTCAGCAACATTCATCTCTCGACGGGGGTGTCTAACCCGGTGTTACGGTGCGTTTGACCCTAAATTAATTTTACCCCGGAGTATCCCTTTAATGGTCATCGTGTACGCATCAAGACAGACAGCCCCAGACTGAATTGTGAAGCTACTTTGTAAGATCTTTGACCTTTTGCAGAAAAAGCAAACAAAGGCGCTGATTGATATTTAAGGATTAACAATAATATAATAATATAATAATAATAATAATAATAGAATAATAATACTAATAGGCATGCGTTATAACTTCAGAATAACCTTCGTTAATTCTGTGTGGACTTAAGTCTGAGTACCTTTCCAAAGTGTCCTCTCCCCAACACTGCAACCAGCTTGAAGTCCTGCAGGCAAAGAGGACCTCCAGTGGATCTGAGAAACAGATTACAGGCACGTTATAGGCTGTGTATACAACACATGATAACATGATGTCATATTTAAGTGTGCCTCATGTACCAGCAGAATTAATATGCTCCAGAGTGTCTCTTTAAGTGTTTTTCTTTATTTATTCGGTGACAAATGAAGTATTTCTAATTTTAGGCGGCATACGCTGTGATCCATGTAAATGATGACTCGGCTTTATGACACAGAGAGGTGCCAGTACAGGACCATATTGTGTGAGGGGGTGTGTTTCTGGTGTCAAGCTGTGGTTGCCATATTGCAAAATGATACTCAGGTATAGTTATCGTGTACAGTGTGTATGTTTTCTATTCTCACCTGCGAAAAGAGTTCTGTGACAACGATCTGGGCGGCTGCTCATCAGGGACTTCTGGTGTGGATGGGGGCTCGATGTCTGGTATCTGTTCCTGTGAAACACCACAGAGATAAAAAAGGAGGAGAGAGGAAAATAACAGAAGAAGAGTGATTAAAAATGAGTATAAGGAGGGCCAAAATGGTTTCAAACATCTGTAACTCCCTCCACTCACACAGACAGTCACTGAAGCTTATTCAGGACGGTTGCCAGATTCCCTGCCGGCCAACAGTCTCCCTCCTCCCCTCTTCCTGTCCCCTCCACTCCTTCCTCACAGCTAATTACTTCAGCAAAAAACATCAGTGTAATTAATCCCTTAATACTTCAGCCCGGTTGATAACACCATCTGCCACAGGCCGTTTCTGGCTCCATGGGTACTCCTCTAATTCTGTGTCCTGTTCTGCTCTGGTCCCTGAAATCCTAATGCGTTCAACGCCATCAGCTAAATAATGTGAAGAACGTTTCATGCATGTTTTATCAAAAAAAAAATCCACAGCAAATGTACACAGCAGATGTAAACAATTTATCACCAAATGAATTAAGTTTGTGTTACAGTACTATCAAGATATTGTGTGAAGGAGTTCCTCAAGGCTCAATGTTGGGCCCGTTGTTTATTATTTCTTAATTTCATTTAAATGTAAGTTTCACCTAAACTTTATTGGATCCAGTGGAAAACATAAACAACATTTCATAGCTTTAATGAAAGAAAATGAAGGGAAGTTTACACGAGTTAACATGAAGAAATCAAATCTGCCATAAAAGCCGGACTATGAGGGACAGTCTTTTTTTAAGTTCTAAGGGGATGAGGACTGTGGCCTCTGTGCATGATATTCACGCTTTTACCCTCTGAGCCAGAACGACGGTTAAAAGATCACAAATTCTGAATTTTCTTTTTTAATATATAAGTTGTTAAAGGTGTGAAAAATACACGACTTTTAGGAAAATGTGCATGTAAAAAAACACAAAATGTGTGGTTTTGCCTTAAAAAAATACCTTTAACTGAAAATGTAAAGGAAACTAAACTTGTAAATTTTAAAACAACTGAATGAGCAAATCAGCAGGTCAGGTTGGTTTCTTTGGACTAGCTTTATAAAAACTAACTGGATGCTACTTTAGATGTTATTACAGAGTTTTATCTGTAGCGTCACTCTTCACCAGTGAGTTGACACATTTTTTTTCCTCACTAACATTGTTTTCTGTCCCCTCTCCTCTCCTTCTTAAGTATTTCCCCTCTGGCTCTCCTTGTGTGACCTCTCCCACATTATCGCCCTCTGCAGATTGTTTTCTTCCCGCTGGGAAACTAACACGGATTTGGCCTTGATCAAATTAAAGCTCCCCTCCATCCAATTGTGTCTCATTAAAGCTGTCTCTCTGAGTTTTCAGCTCTCGACTTCTCTCATCATTCCCCTTCTCTTTTCTTTCACCTGTCTGTCCCCTGCCTGTCTTAGATTTCACTGCAGCGCACAGCTCAGCAGCCTGTGACTGGAACTCTGTTTTCATGCCAAAGACTGCAGGTCAGAAGTGAGCAAAATAGAAATGTGATAGTGTAAAGATGCCAATCTTTCTCCCTGTGTGCTTCCCTTTTTCTTTGGCCTCTTTCCCTCTTACTCACAGAAGCAGCAGGTGGATCCACCACCTCTCTCCTGGTTTCAGCTTTGTGAGAGGAGTCGGTGTCTAGATTCAGCTTTTCCACCGAGATTTCTCTGCACACAAACACAAGAAAAGAAAACAAATTAGACTTCCTGTTACAACAAGAATGAAACTTCTTTACTGAAAGTGTAACTCAACAGGACAGAGAAACGTGGAGAGATGTTTGGATTATAAAGTTTGTTGAATAAAACAATGCCCAGACTTCTGTCCAGGAAACTGAGTTGGTGAATATAAACATACTTTTCAGACAAGTTTCAGCATTTGTACAGAGTTCACACACTGCAGACATACCCTACGCTGTGTGAGTGTGTAGCTGAGAAACTCTGTGTGTACGCAGGTGGGTTGCCTCCACTGGGGATAGCGTTTCTCAGCAGGCGGACCCAGGTAGCAATGTCAACATTCATCTGACGAGCTCGCAGGAAGGCTTTACCTGAAACACACGGGAATAAAACTCGATGAAAATGAGAAATATTGATTTATATACTGATATATATGTACCGATATTACATTACTGTATTCAAGGAAAGGGAACAGAAGTAATCGGTACATGCTAATCTATGTATCAAATTAATACTTCTCTATTTAAGTGCTTAGATTCAAGACCAGCGGCATGAAGTTCTGTTTTAGCATGATGAAACTTATCCTTACAAACAACTAACATTTTTAAGCAAATTGCTATTTTATTTAACACATACAGGCTGAAAAAATGCCTCTGTAATACCTCAGGGCTTCAACAAAGTTACTTGAATCTGCCCCTAAATCGATGTTAAAAGGTGCTTCTTTAAAACTAAGAATTTCACTCATGAAAAAATAATTTATAAAATGTTGCAGATAAGCCCTAAAAAGCAGCAAAGGAACAGAGAAGGCGTAGTAAGAAGGTGGTCATGTCATGGTGAGATGTTACCCAGTTGTGTTTTTGCCACAGTGTCAACAGGCAGGAGTGAAAGGTGCTTGACTATTTCCCAATAACTGATTTAATATGATGTGTGAGTCCCTGGTGTTGCTTTTGCTGTTGAGGATGTATGAGGATGGAGTTTGGACCAATCAGAATCAAGCACATAACTCAGCCTGGTAATAAACTGTGCTAATGAGTTTCCTCTTCTTCATGCTGGTAAAAGAAATGAGCCAGAAAGAGCTGCAGACCTGTGAAAGGCGCATTTGTGCAGTGAAGTCAGTCTTTTATTTCTTTATTTCTTTCAGCGTTGATGCGATCTTTATATGGCCGTACTTAAGCTGTGTTTCTGAGGTGGAAAATGATGCTTTCATCAGCTTGTAAATGTGGGACAGATGGAGAAGAGCCTCCTGTAGCTTTAATGACGTGAGACGGCTGAGCTGGGCTGCATGACCGGGGTTTGTTTTTCCAGTAAATGTTTATACACCCAGTTCCAGAGAATACCAGAAGCCATTTATAATCTATCTGCAGCAGCAGCACTCCTCGTCCCTTATGGCTTATAACTCTTTTAAACACGTTCTGCACCTACGCAGAGCGAGTAAAATTTTCTGTTTGAGGCTAAAATGACTCAGAATCCCCAACAACGCAAACACTGCAATGGAAAAGGTTAGAGGTTAAAAATATGCTCTTATCAAAAATCAGGCAGTGAATTACTGTTTTATTTTTCATTTCCAGATCACCAACCTACGCAATGTCAGTCCCTGAGAACTTGCTTCAGTAGAAACTCAAGTATTTCCAACAAAAGGCAGCTTTACAAACTGGAGATGCTTCGTTGAAAACAAATGAACATTTTGGACCCTGTTGCTACTTTGAGAAATAAAAGGTTCACCGGTTTAAGAAGCTTTTTCAAAATAAAACCTATACACCAGTCACACCCTGAATTCTACTAAATTTTTGTATCTTCTGTTCTAACATTTTCATCTCATTAAAATTTCAAAACACAAAAGAGATCGGAGTATTACTACCTTGAACTACCAGAGCAGTCAAATTGACTGTATGCTTTTTACAAAGGGTGTTATATTTCACTATTTGCAACATTTTCACGCTCTTTCTCCTGCTCTATTGTTTGTTTTGTATTTGAAGCTCTGTGAAGCTAAAATCTTTGCTCAAAACTCAAGACTAAAAAATTACAACTAAAAGAAAAAAGATAAGTCTGAAGGCTTTCGCCTCGCTTCAGAGCCTTGATGGGGAAGAATCCGATGGATAAGCAAGGTCAGGGAATGATGTCTCTCTTGGTATTTTGAGGAAAGTTCTTAAAAATCTCATTCATAATGATTTTCATTTTGTGTACTGAAGTGTTTTTTTTCTTTTCCACCAATTTATTATTAGTTTTTATTGTTGATTATCCAAATTATGTGCAAATAAAGACTGAGCAGTCAAAATGATCGCCTTCGGTCATTCTAGTAGTTGCAGAATTTTGTTAGACCGAGTGTTAAAAGTGAAAACATCTTGGTTATACAAAAGTAAGTTGGAAGAAATTAATGAGATCGGAAAAGAGACATTCACTGAGTGCATTTAGAGAGTATAACAGGTTAGGATTTTAACCTGCTAAAATTGTGTGTAATACACAATTTTTACGCCTTTTTATATCATCTAAAAAATTGGATGTCATAAGTCTTGACTGACTATAAGGCACCACGATCAAAAGCTGTTAACAAATGATACATGGGTCAAACAATTCAAACCAAATAAATGTCAAAAAACATTAGTTAGTCCTTTTTACACTGATTTATGTTTCTGTTTAATTTTCTAAAAGGGGGACTGATTACAGCTCTGTAGATAAAACTGGGCTTCTGACGTGTTCTGTACTGAATTATCAGAGTGGAGGAGTAACACAGAGAGAAAACAAACCTAACAATAACAGAAGAGTCATGGATCTAGGCTGTGCTGATATTTAGTTCATCTGCCCTCTCTCTCATGTGATACCACTTGGCTTAGTCCTGGATGATCCCCCAGTGTTGTGGAAGTAAAACAGTAAATCACTGGAGTTTCCCTTCAAAGCCAGATTTGATTAGATTAGGCCTGAATGGCATTTGAGTGAAACATACCGTGCCGTTTAGAGAAGACTTTCTTCTGCCTCTGAAGTCGTCGCCCTCTCTCTATCACTGGGTTGAAGAAAGTCACCTAAAGCAAAAACAGATTTCACAAAGTTGAAAATAGCACGTCTAAGTACAGTAGAGCAAGTAAGTATAAGTCCATGTACCTGTTTATACTGTTGCTAAATGCAGCTTGTCTTGTTTTATACAGTGTGTTGTTTTTTTGTGATGCGTACCTCAGCCAGCAGCAGCCCCTGTGGCTCCAGTTCCAGCTTGACCTGGTGTCTCTGGTTGTCCAGGAACTCTTCCAGCTTCAAGTATTTCAGAGCACAGAGGCAGCGGTAATCTCTCCAGTACACTGCGATCTCCATCTCTCTGGACTGATCACACATAAAGCAAAAAAAAAAAAAGAAGAGGTGTGAGGAGACAGTTGTTTGTCAGGCCTGAGTCTGTTGAATTAGAGTTAAATTAGATACACTGTAAATCAAATCCAAGATAAAGGAATCTAAAAGACTCTCTGGTTGTCAAATATGTTTGTCAGGAGCTTATAATTGTCTTTATCATCCTTTAAAAAGTACAAAATTAAAACAGATTTCCTAAGCACAAAACCAGGTTAATTAAATCCTACAATCCTCATTGACTTTGTTATCTAAAAGTTTAATCTTCAAAGATGTTTTTTGACTTTCTTGGCTTAAGCTTCTCCGGTCAGCAGCTTTTCAGCAATAATCATTCATTCATTTTACAAAAAACTGGAATCACAAAAAAGTTTGTGACATAAACAGCACATCAGCTGATTATAACATCAGCCCACATCAGCTGACAGATCAGCTGATCACCTCCTACCCATCGGGCTGGCAAACTGGGCGTTTTGTTTAAACTTCCCTATTCTGTGCAAACCGCTGAATGACCTGCTTCAACCAGCGCCTCTTTTTTATACTGTGTCTAATTTTATAACTGATGCTCACTCTGTTCTGTACCCTGAGGGTCTTTGCTGCTGCTCTACCTGCCTTGGCTTTTCATGTATGCACATAAAGCTGAGGGGAGGTTGAAGCTTTTGTATTTTGAGTTTGTTTGGTTTATTTTTCTGTATTGAGACCACTGTTCTAGTGTTAGTCCCCCCTTGTGAGGGCCTGGGTTTGTTTTGGGAATTTGGGGTTCCGGTAGTTTGGGAAGAAAAAAAAAGGGAAACAGGAAACTGTAATATGGGTGTAACTTCATTTTATGTATTCATTGCTGTTTTTCCTGTAAAAATAAAAAATATTTATTTATTAATTAAAATAAATAAATAAATAAATAATTAAATAAGAAGAGGTATGCTCTGCCCGCCTGTCTGATAAAAGTGATCCCGACTGAACTTTTACTCTAATTTAAGTTATATTCCAGACATCATAGCAACATTTCAATGCCTGGCAGTAAAAATCTTGTTGAAATGTTTAATTCTGCTCATTTCAAAGTGTCCACTTGTTTATTTTTAAATCTAAAAGAGATGAAACATGGGACGTCTTTCCATAAGAGACAGGTATATTTACTCCAGAGTCCTAAAAGACCGAGAGTTTTAATTTACCCTCTCCAGCTCCACAGTGAAGGTCTGATCCCAGGCTTGCTCTCCAACTGTTTTCCAAAGTGTCTGACCCACCACCGTGTTCTCCAGCTTCAGCACTGTGCTCACCTCCGCTGAAAAAACACATGATATTTTAAGAAAATTAGTCATAAAATAAATTATCTATCAGGAGAAAACAAACTTACTTGAGAGCTCGTCGTTTTTGCCGGGGATCTTGAGGCTCATGCTGCTGGTGCTGCGGCTGTAGAGGCCGCTGAGTTTAAAGGATGAACGTCCGTCTCCTGGAGTGAAAGCTGGGAGAACCACTGGGGTCCCTCTGCTCCTCCCAGGAACCACCTCCAGCAGCCCTGTACAGCCCAGGAGACGCACCTGAAGAGTACCTGAAAGGAAAAAGATAGTCATTTGAAGTTACCTCGATAAGAGCTAGCGAGAAAAACAATCAAAACAATAGGAAGAAAACAAACCCTGGTAAAGATGAATGAACTGTTCCTGTGATGTTGTATTTTGTGTTTACCTGTGAGTGGTGATGGTTTGCTCAGAGTGCTGTACTGGTTATGAACATAGGGGGTGCTGTGGCGGGAGCTAAACGCTGAAGAAGAGGCCAGCACCAGCTCCTCCTTGATGAGGCAGGCTTTGGGATGATCCTCGGGAAGCTCTACCAGCCGCTGCTCCAGGGAACACCTGAGCAGGTCGAGACGCTGGGACGACTCGCTCAGACCACACTGGGCCTGAAGACATCAATACACAACTGATGTCAGAACAAAAATGTGCTTTATATAGAACAAACACAGGAAATGAGGAATGGTGTAAGTCACTTTGAGCAATTTAATGTTGTTTACACCCATGAATACAAATAATTTTAACTTATATATTGGGATTTATCGCTGAAAGGAACAACATTAAGGCAAACGTGTGTCTGTTTGTTTCAGAGTTAGAAGATCCACAGCTTTCAGAGATCTGGGTTAAAACAAAAGCAGGTTATTTTATCTTGGTACAAAGAATGGAGTAAGGAGAAAACAGAAAGCTTGGTTTGGCCGAAAGGCTACAAAACCGACTTATTTGAGTTTCTTAAGCTCCCCCATTAATACATAAAGCCTCATTTGGACCTTGAACTGTTGGAGCGAGGTGTGTTGTTTCTTGCTTTTAGTCAGGTGAGGGTAGTTGTGGCCTGATTTCTTATTACAAATACATTCTTTTTTTTATTTTACTTTAGACAACAAAGCTTCAAAATGACTTTCTTTTTGTTTCTTTTTAACATAATACTCATAAAGTATGTAAACTTGGCACAAGACTCATAATTAACTCATTATCCTCAAAGTAACTCCTCTCTCTCACCTCAGCAATGGCTTTCTTGTCCTGGACTTTTCCCGCTCCCAGCAGTCGCAGCATGTTCTTAGCCCCCTCTGCCATGGCATGCTCCACACGGTAGTGATGCCACAACTCCTCAACACGGAGCTCCACCCCAGAAAAGTCTGGTTTACCTGTGAGAGAACACAAGATTTATTGTACATGATGAAATCTGACCATTGGTTTGGCAAAAGAACTAACTTAATAATCAAAATTGTATGTTTTCGACAGTTAAACTAAAAAAAAAGCAATGTTTTGTTTTTACATTCATTTTGGCTAGTATTGGGGTCATGAGTTAGCCCTTTTTTTTATTATTTTATTTTATAGTAGATGGCTCTTAAAACAGAATCTAGAAATGAGAGGAGATAGATTCTCTTTAACCACATGAACACAACAGTTTTTCTTTTAAAACCTCTCGCTCTGATTTAAGTCTTTCTGCTTTTTTTAAATTTGGGGTTTATGACATACACTGCAAAGTTACTGTTACCAGGTCATATAATATCAGCTCAAAATGAAGCATTATATTGAATATCACATTAGCTCCAGTGAGACAACAGCTAGCATTATAATCACTGACTAACTAGATGGTCGATATATTACAATCTCCTTGACTGCTGGCATCTGATGTTAAAGCCCATTTGTTGTCGTATCTTGAGATATGAGCAGATTTCCCTCCACTTTTTTCACCTAGTTGACATGATGTTAGCTCTTGTTATGTAACCTACAAATTTGGACCCCTCTGTACTTATTGGATTAGCTTTCAGCTTCTTTTTAGCTACTAACTGACTTAACAGGTGATGCTCCCCTAGTGTAGCAACAGGTGATCAAATATGCTGTATCATCTAAAAATGTCTAATATACACTCAAGCTCTTTTTTCTATTTATTTTTCAAGAAATGGTAAATTATATTGTATGTCAGTCATCCACAACAATATAATAACACTGTAAGTACATTTGAGCCTCCCACCCTGAGTATGACACCAGAAGAAAACAGCTTTGTGTGAGTATGTTACGTTCGTTGCATGTGTCCTTCAAGAGTAAGCTCATGTCGTCTCCATTATCTCTGCTGCTCTTACTGCTGCTCTCAGCCTCCTCTCTCTCTTTCATGTCAAACTCCTTCCTCCCCTTTGCTTCACCCTGTTGTCATGACTCAGACCTTTCAGTCTCACTCCCTTCCTGGCTCCCCGCTTCTGTCCTGCCTCCTCTCTAACCTCTGTTAAATGAGCCGTGGCTTTTAGTTGTTGGGCAACATCAAGGGGGATGGAGGAACATCAATACGACTCTAACCTGAGCCGGTGAGAGGTCTGTAATGGACGATGTGTGTGTGGATGCGTGCGCGTGTGTTGACTGGAAGACTGTACGCTGTGAAGTTCTGAAGCAAGAATTGATCCATTACAACCCACATTATAAAATATTCAGTATTTATAAGCTGAAAGATCGGCAAGAGGGATGAAGAGGGGAATCAAAAGAAGAGAGTGAGTATAAAATGTAAGGTAGGATAGGTACATTGGTTGTCCTCAGATTGCTCTGTGGCCTGCATGGCTTTTCGAATCTGCATGCGGATGATGTCGATCTTTGTCTTGCTGTCCTGCAGCATCTGCTGAGCTGTCTGGAGGAGCTTCTTGTCCTGCGGAGTGATTAAAAACAAAAGGCAATGAGGGAGAGACAATGAGCTTTGATAATAAAATGAATGTAGTGAATCAGCGAGGTTGATGAGTACCTTAGTGCCTCCGTTGGCATAGATGGGAATCATGTTCTCTGCACCCTGTTTCACCTTCAGCTCGATGTTTAGCTGTCGCTCCAGAGCTGCGATGCGGTGTTGGTGAGCCGAAGTCCGATTCAGTGACCCTGGAGACCTGGGACAATCTGGGTAAGAAGAGAAAGTGGATGGTGAGATCATAGACTGTATATAGACTAGACGCTGTCTGCCTCCTCACTGGGTGAAGCTACTTGGAGAACAGCACCCTCTGGTGACGGGCTGCAGTATAGGTCATAAATCCTGCCTCCTCCAGAAATCCTTATGGGGCTGTGGACAAACTTTAGAAATTTATTACGCAGAATATACATTTTTCTCCCCCCTGCTTGTGATGTTGACATGTAGTTATTGTAAGACTGGTTTGATACTTGGTCAATGAGACGATACAATATATCACCAGACAAAATATTTCGATTCTATGCTGCATCGAGTTTTTCTCCCATTTCTATCAGACATCATCAGATGCACCTTGTCTAGGCTCAGGTGCTCAGTGGTCAAAAGTCTTCCTCACAGATGAAAGTAAATTTAGCATTTCATTTGGAAATCAACACTCTGTAGTCTGGAGGAAGATCAGAGAGCCACAGACAGTGTTTGAAGTTGCTGTGATGATTTGGGGTGCCATGTCTTCTGCTGATGTTGGTCTGCTCTGTTTATCAAACCTGAAGTCAACACAGCTGCCTATCTGGGGATCTTAGAGCACTTCATGCTTCCATCTGCTGATAAGCTGTATGAAAATGATGATTTCTTTTCCCTCCAGGAGTTGGCACCTGCTCCTGCCTACAGTGCCAAAACTACTAATTCACTGACCATGATATTACAGGGCCACAGAGAGTCTGTGAGAAATTTGAAAAAAAAATTGAAAGCTGCTATCAACCTGCCCTTCAATAACACTGCAGTAGTGTTACAGGCTGACTGCCTCCATGCAGTGACTCATGAATGCCCTAAGTACTGAGTGAACAAATAAAAACACTGAACTGATGTTGGACAGCTTTGTATTCAAATGATTTTCCGATAATTTGAGATATGTAATTCCAATTTTCATGTGTTATAGGCCAAAATCATCAAATTAAAACAAACATATTTTAAACAAAAATATTATATATTATAACATATGAAAGTTTGGCTTTCTGAATTAAACCACAGGAGAAAAAATGTTTTCTGATTTATAAAGATACATCTGTATTTATGTTTCTCTCTCTTTTTGGCCTGTGGAATTCCACATTTCAAAAGTTGCCACAAATAGATCAAAATTTCTGGGTGAATTCATTTGAGCCACTGAAACATGTTTCCTAATTCACCACTTCGTTAAACGTTAAATGTTTTTTCCAGGAATCTACCACCCATTGGATTTATTAGCCTTAGTCTGATAGCTTATGCAAATATCCTGATAACAGATAAATTCATGTAGGCAGCACTAGGCACGGCACATTCACTTGCAGTAAATGTGTAACGCTGATATTTCACGTGTTGTCTAGTCCATGCCACAGTCACAGAAACCTTTTTAACTTCTCCTATGAATGGATTCTGTACCTTTAGTGTCGTCAGGGCCTTTGACCACGATGTGCGCATCCAGCTCCTGCAGCTGAGCGTGTAGAGACTCCAGCTTACGTTTGGAGCTGCGGATCTGTGAGTCAACCTGTTGGGCATTTTTCTTGTCTGTGGTGGCCTTGCGCAGGTTCTCTGCACCCTCCTTGATCTTTAACTCTTTTCGGATCTCCCTGCGGATCCTCTCTCGCTCCTCATCCAGGCGCTGCTGTACACTTGAGTCTGAGAAGTCAGAGTTTTGGTCCAGACCGAGCTGCTGAAGCACTGATAGCCCACCTGGGTCACTCTGCATGAGGAAAAACAAGAGGAGGGTTAGAGCTGCTGGTAGAGACTTGAGTCTTATGTTGACTTGGGTGGCTCCAGGGTCTTGTCTTTTTGCTGATCCTGTCAGGACATTTGAAGATAATATTCTCTACAAGTAAATCCTATTTGCTTTTGCATTTCACTCAGAGGCTGAGGTGTATGCTTTAGTCGGTTTAAACAGCGCTTTTCATTTTAACATGAAAGAGAAACTAAGTCAGGATGTGGTGCCTCTAGCGTAGCAGACGTCATAACTGCTAGCTGTCACCTGGTACAGTTCTGACTGAGTGGAAAATGAAGGGTTAAAAAGAGGCAGAAGCGAAGCTATCGTGGGGGCAGGGAGGCCGGCTGCCCCAGGGCTCCCTACCGTCACTATATGACTATTCTCCACTAAATTTATAAAACCATCCTCATCAGCAGTGTCAGCGCAGAGCTAAGTTTCAGCCAACTCAAGCTCATAAAGAACTATTTGCATTCATGGATGGATGAGGCCAGACTGTCAGACCTCACTCTGCCGTGTGTTGAAAGACACATAAACATCGACAAGGACAAAGTGGTTGACAGGTTTTCCACCACAAAGGAGAGGGTGATAAAGTTTTAAAACAGACTGTGACATGTACGGAGTTCAAAAGTTCAAGTTTGTTCAAGAGTTTGGATTGTTTTGTTTAATGAAGGATGGTGGACACAAAGACACACTGACTGAAGAGTGACAACGATTGTGAGTGAGACTAGATATCTGTCTTTAGGGTGAAAATGTAAATTTTCTCCCTGTCTGTTACACTGCCTGTGGTTTTGCTGCTTACTTGTATGTAAATAGTTTTTGTAGATTGCTGTGTCTACTTGTTTCAAATGATCGTTTTGAGAGTGGTGGTGCTGACTGGACAGCACACCTGTCTGCTGTGCTTAAATATAATAAAGCAACTAGGTCATAAACTCTTCATGTTGTTGTTGCTGTTTGCTAAAACTTGAGATTATAACCAAGTTCAATGATCACTTATGTTAAAGGCCCAACATAAGGTCCCCTGACATTGTCCTGCTCAGAGTGCAGCGAGAGTGTAGTCAATCCTCAACATGTGAAACCTTCCGAGCTTAGACTGCGAGGACGCTTTAAATCAGATACTGTGCTTAAGTGTGTAAAGAGCTGAGTACTCACATCAACTCTCTTGCTGATCAACACTAACCGGATTACAGCAGATTAGATCAGCATTAATACAGACTCAGATCAATCTGCTCCTTCTGGACGGGTCAAAGGTACAGACAACACTCAAAAAGAGCAAGTTTGATTGAAGTTTGTCATTGTCTCCTTTTGCAGCTCTGTGCAGTTTGCTCTGGTTTTGTATCTGACTGCATGGTTGAGCAGTCAGCATCTCCCCTCTCTGCTGTGGACTAATGGAAAAAATAGAACTCTTGTGATCAGCTGCGGAGTCCGGCGATCCGCAGCGGAACGGAAAGAAGTCGGTGGAGGTTGCTTCAGCTTTAATGGAAACGATCAGCTGCGATCGGCAGATAAGGCCTTTTTGTAGCCGTTCCGGATGCAGTGGGAATTGGGGTTGAGAGCTGCACTGTGCACTCTTATTCTGACAGAGCTCACATTTGTTTATGATAAGATGATGAGCTGAACAGGGAAGGGACACTTCTTGCTAGCTTAAAAAAGAGTCAATTCATGACTGTTGACACAATTTTTTTTGTTTATATCGAGCTTAGTTCGTGAAGCAAGCTAGCATAAGGCGGCTAGTTCAGATGAAAACAAAAGAAACACTTCATCGTGTGGGATGGCACAGCCTGCTTTCAGCTCCAATAAACTAACATGGAGCTGAACAAAATGTCAAATTGAGGTTTTGAAAATGCAGCTGACAAACCAAAGGTGAACAACATGTTGAGAATGTGCATCACCTTTAAGTATGATATATGACAGACAGCAAGAAGTAGTAGTACTGAATGTTGTCATGTCAATAAGTAGCGTACATACCATCATGCTGAGAAGTGAGCTCATACTGTATTTGTGTATCATTAATATTCAGAGCTTAATGCCTTTGTATTCCCACCTTATATTTGAACCCTTTACAAAGTCACGTGTAGAGAAGTTTAACTCAGAGGATAGAGCTTCAAAAGAGTAGAATTTGTAGTAAAGCTGTTGTATTGGATTGCATTAAATTGCACAGGTGGTCATGATCTTACGGTGGATCACTCCTTTGTGTATTTCACTAGTTCATATAACATGGTGTGTTGCCATGGTGCTTTTTAGTGCTTTCTGCCATTTTGAACAGGTGCAAACCAAAAAAAAAGAAAAGCCCTAAGTTGAGGGATCAACATTTGTCTCTTCTTTCACTGTGCCAGAGTGTGCAGTTGGCCATTCGAGAGATATGATCCAACATGACAGACAATCATTTAACTGGACAGGAGCAGCTGAATAGGACATGATAGGATGTTGTGACTTTCTGCACTAAATATGGGTCAGAATCGGCCTTTATAAACTAAAATACAATGTCTTTTTCCAACACCGGCGTACACTCACTTTTTTTTTTTTACTCCTCACAAGCCTTTTACACCTCATTTTACTTTGAATATCTCAACAAGATGCTGCTTTTTGACTCGCCGGGTGAATGTGAAGTGAAATATAGACAATGTTACTAAAAGCTCAACTGTCAACTGTCCACACTGAGGACAAAAACAATCACATCATTAACACAACTGAGTATTAAAACTGTTTTACCCTGTTAAAAAAAACGGTTCACTCTGTTTTAAGAGCTGCTAAAAGCTGCAGTGCCATTATAATTTATCCTACAGCATTGACGAGGAGGATTCAAAGTGGTACCCAACATTAACAATCAGATTAATTGTTGTTAGACATAATTTATGAAGGTTATTAAAAGTGCAAGGTCATTTTAACACAGAGGCAACAAAGTTCTCTTGCAGCAAAACAAAAAGGGGAGATCTGCATATGAGAATAACCAACAATGTGTGATAACTTGGAGATATCAGCTGTAATCTCCAGGTTTGTTCAGGTATATTTGGGCTTATGAGGTGTGTTTATGCTCATGACAATGTTACTGCCAGTGACTGCACACACACATCATTCAAGGTTTTAATATACTGAAGCAATTCAACAGCCTTCACATAATCTTAGCTGGACATTATGAGCTCTACAAGAGGAATGTGCAGCATGTTTCAGGGAGATTGGGTTTTACGTTGTTCATGTTATTGTGTCCATTCCTGTTAACCAAACATATTCTCAGTAAACCCATTGACAAAAGATTTAAAAAACTGTCATATATTTATCTAATATTGTGACATTTGATCTCATCGCACATACACACACTTACACACTCACTCTGTCCCCTCCCCTCTGCAGGGTATAATGACGGAGCGTTCAGGGCCTTTCACTGCACCATGCAGCCAGGCTTCCAGCTTAGCAGATCTAATTACAACATCTTAGCTCTGTGTGTCCATCCAACTACATGCAGGCCGGGACTACAGCTCCGCTCTCATTAAAGCCATAATCCATCTGCAACACAATACAGTACTACAGTCAGGCAACCAAACCTCACGCCAAGCGCTGGCAGGGTTTGAACCGCTTATTTAATGCAGTTTAATGTCATTGCAAAAGCCTGCAGCGATGTGATTTAGCAGATTTCCCAATCACAAGTCATTAAAATTTGAAAAAATGAAAAATGTGCAAATTTCAGGAAGCTCTGTGTAAAAGAAGCACAAACGCGTCTTATTTTGACACCACAAACATGTCAAGAACTTTTGGTTTGTGAGTTTTGGTGCCCCCTTTTGACAAGGTGGTTCCTTTTTCTTCTTCTTTGCTTTACATTTGTGGGAATCAAGATCCAATTCCAGATGAGAACTAGTTCCAGCTAGTTTGAACCATCCACATGTTTTTCTTTTAAGCTTGGTGGTCCCTTATAGATGGTTCCTACTGTCTTCATATGACTGTGTGCACGAATGACAACCAAAGAGTCAGACAAGAAATGATGGTGGACAGAAGACAGGCGCGGTCCAAATCGCTGTCTAATACAACATAATATCCTTTTGTTTACCACTTAGCCTGAAATCCACTGGTTTCACAAGTTTGGTATCTTTATGGTTGTAAACTCCGGATGTCTGTGCATTGTGCAACATTAGGGAAGATCAGCGTGTTTGATTTTCAGAGACTGTCTGGATCCGAGCAGTGAAAACAAAAGTTATGTGTGATGATTTTGTTGTGAAATAGTGTTATTTCTGTTGTTAGCTGAGTCTGCAAAATAGAGGCAGCCATCTTTGTTTTGATTTGACAGCCAATCTGAGGCTGTATCTGTCCTAACCAAAGTGCTGCACAAGCTCATAAACACATGGTCAAAAAGCAAAATAAAGTTGAGTTGATGAAACAGAAAACATGTAAAGCCACAGATAAGCAGAATTGGTGGTTACACTGTTATCATCAAGACCTCATCAGTATTCTTTTCCGTGAGGAATCAGTATCTTTAACAAAAATATCATACTCCGTTATTTTAATGACCAAATGACCACAGAAAAAAATAGGATGTCATAGAGTTTAATATCTGAGGACTGTCCTGTATGATGAGTGAGGAAAAGCCCGATCAGTAGCATGAAATTGATCACGTAGTCCGACCCTTTCCCCCCTCTAGCACTTAAAGCCATAAAAATATCCCAATAGGAACAGTCTTTTCTTCTTGATGCTTGTTGCTTTGATGAATCCTGAAGAATTAAGAGTTATACATCCAGTCTGTTTAAGAAACAGCAAAAAACCTTCTCTTTAAATTAAACGTGTTTAGCATAATTTTCAGATAAAAGGGTTTTGTTACTATAGAAACAAGATTTGGTTTTTGATAAGTCTTTCTCTAAAAATTAATCTTGAAAAGGTGGGGTTGTCTTTAAATCAGGGTCATCTTTTTTTGGGGTCAATATGGTATTAAAGTCTGGGTGTTGGACTTATAAAAACATGTATCAGAACATTTTCAGCACAGATACGTGATAACTGCATACAACCATGTTACTGTGGTCTGAGACGACTCACAGCACGAGCAGCAGATGAAAACCACCGCTATTTAAAGTACAGGAAAAAGCAGAGATAAAAATGCACCAAAATAAAGTATCAGTCATCACATAAGTCATACAGCAATCAAATAAAACACTACATGTGACCAGTCTACCAAAAACTAAAGTCACAGTGAGGAGATTTTATCTTAAAAAGTCTCATATTATCAGCAAGAGGGTTGGTCTCTTTATACCGAGTCTTGTGTTTCAGAGGGATTTTCCATTTAAACAAGTTAGGTTGATATTCATCACTAACTCAAACGTGTAAAGGTGAAAACTTATAAGCAATAAATCAGAGTTTACGATGTTTTGTACTTTTTACCTTAGTTAATAATCATTGAACAAATCAGTTTATTAGCTCATCATTCTGCATCTTGCAAAAAGGTTCTCTTGAACAAAGAAAAGTTTTAAAATAAGTTTTGTTTTCTATTCATTTGCGCAGTTTAGTAACAGTTACATCTCTACCACGGTTCAGATGTAACTTCTTCATCCTGAAAAAGCTCCACAGATTTCTTCACAACATGAAAACTCTTCTTCATAGCTTTAAAGGAGCAGTCAGGAAATAAAATACACAAATCATCACCGTGTTTTTGCACACAATCACCTGAATATAAGATTGTATCTTTTTTGTTGACTACGAGCAAGTCCTTTCTTCATCAACATGAGAGTTGGTTCCCTTTCAATGGAGGCTGCCATCTTGCACAGCAGTCATTCTACAGTAGCACAGATGGTACAAAATAGTACTTTAAGTGTGTTTCTCTTTAGTGGGTGCCCATGTGAGGTGCACTGGTTAGATGAATCAAAGAGGAGTGTGGTCGCTGTTGTGCATAAAAGAATTTGTACTGAAAGCCATTTTTGATAGCAAAAATGTGACCAATAGAGGATCACGGAAACTTTTTACCCTCAAAAACTACAGTTGCTTCTTGAGGTTCACCAAGAGGGAGTGTGAGCGAGGGAGCACTCTAGAATCTCACTTCTAGATGAAGCTTAATGTTGCCACTGTATTACCATCACAGGATTCAATCACCAATCATGGGATGATAATAATCAGCAACATTGTGATGTTGTCAACTTAGCAAATCATTGGCTATCTTTTGTCTTTCTGCAAATTATATTTATTATTTGAGTCCTGCCAAAATTAGAGAGGCAATCTTTCAGCCAACCATCAAAAGAAGTCAGGGGAATACAGACATTTTAGGCACATTAAGTCAATGTTGACCAATAACGACAAGCATCAAAGCTGCAATAAAAATCATAATAAAGCACCCATAACATATCAATAATTTGAGGACTCTAAGAATAAAACAGGAATGCAGAGTTGAAAAACCCAAACAGAATTCTAAATTACTACTATACACCATAAAATAAACAAATATAAAGGTTAAGCTTATTTGAACATGTCAAGCAGAAATGCAACAACCTGTAAATGTCAAGAAACTGAGCATATCTTTCATGAAAAGTCCAGCTGTTTTAAAACTGAGGAGCAATCAAGAAAATCTCAGGACATCCAAGTTCAGCTGGTTGGAACAAAAGTTAGGGTTCGATCAATATCAGAAAACAAAAATGGAGTCTGACTAGCTCTAAAACACACGCATTTTTACTGCATATATGCATTTGAGTTGAGGCTTGAGTCGAAGCTTCTCAAGTCTGAAGAGAAAGCACAAAACCAAACCATGAAGGACAGGAAGGGAGAGTTTGTGTTGTGACGCACTCCTGTTCAACACAATACGACTGAGTCCCAGGTGTTTTATGACAAAGAACCTCTGGAGTCAGATGCAAGAGAGCACACACAGTGGGGCAAATTACAACAACAAACAACAATATAAAGTCACTATCGGATACAAGATGTTTTTACAGGAAGTGAATGAGGAAGCTGAGTGAAAAGAGAAGGGCCACAGACATGGATAGTGAGAAAAACGACGGCCATGTTGAGGCCTGCTGCATGTGTTAGCGTCTTACCCAAAACTCTGTGTCACTCTGCTCAATGTGCAGTGGACAATCAACCTGAAGGTCCCCAGGTAGGTTCTCCAGTGTGTCCTCACTGGCCATGTTCAGCCTCCTTTTGGCTTCGACCTTTCAAACCCCGTCTCCAGCCACCCACACACAACAACACACACAATAACACACACACACACGTTGTGCTGACAGTAGAGCCGGTCAAGGCTATTCCTGTCTCTCTTTTTAAAATCCAGGATGTTCTTCCCGCCAGGAATCAAAAGCCTGTCCAAGAGTAGAGAGAGTGAACAAGGCAGAAGGGAGGAAGAGAGAACAGCACAGCCCTCAGCCCCACCTCGCTGCTTCCTGTTCTGCTCTCTGCCCGATAGAGACTGAGGCGTCATGCACTTTGTACACACACACACACACACACACACACACACACACCGACATTTAGGAGGTTTTGCAAATGAGCGAGTGAACAGCCACTTTGCTTCCTGCTACTGAATCTCTGAGAGATGAAGACAGATTGTGGTCACAATAATTGGATGGAAAACTTGTGAATCTCTACGTGTGAATGTATGAAACTAGAGGTTTGTTTGTTTGTTTTTTTTTTTTCTATTTTCCATCATTTTCACACAGGTAAATTAAGAAAGGTATTGCAAAAAACAAAACATTTCTAGCAGTTCATCATCTCCAAACATGTCAGATAACTTTCTGACTTGGCAGTTCATCACAAAAACTAGATGAAGGATGGATAAGTAGAACAGACGACGAAATGACAGATCAGTGATCAGCTGTTATTACTTTCCAAGTCTTCCAATATGCTTTTTATTGTGTTTTTCAACGATATGAATTTAATCTGTGAGCTAAAGTTAGAGGCAGCTCAGCTCACGGCCTCAATGTCTCATAAGGAACATAAAGGATACATATAATATATAATTGTGAAACTGCTGACTCAGCTTGGTAATTTGTCACCATGTCCTATTTCTAAAGAAAGGTCAGCTCTGAGGAAAGTTTATCTTAATGTTTGTAACCTTGTCTAGTTTTTCTTTGTTTCTCTGTTCAGTACCTTGTAAATCTTTGTATATTTGTTCAAAAATACAACGATTGTGGAGTTTCTAAAAAAAGTTTTTAACTGCCATTACATCACAAAAGAAGAAGAAAGCAGAACCACCAGATGCCAGTAAAATGGATGTGGAGCTACGGCTTCAATGCTAAAGAAATGCAGAGACTTCTGATCACGATGACATCCTCATTGCTTGTGAACACAACAATCACTAATCGGTTAAAAAAAATTGTAAATAACTATATTATTGAAGGCCCACTATACTAGCCATATGTTACATATATATGCCACTAGCTAAGGCTTTAACTGTGCTTAACTGACAGAATTGATTATGTGAACAAGCACAGACGACAGGGATGAGGCTGGATCAATTTATGGCCGTAGGTGGACAGTGTCTGCTTAAACTGGTGTATAATCACTTCACCAGAGCAATGTATACTCAGCACAGCCATGTGGGTAAAAACTTGCAAAGAAAACCAAAGGCTGGTGGTTCTCACATTGCTATCTTTAGCCACACTCACCAAACCAATCTGACAATGATTACCCACAAACTCTGTGATCCTGTGTATGCCGAGTTCAATTCAAATGTGGCAATTTTTTAAAATTTTCTCTCACCTTTAGACTGGTCATAATTCTAATTTAAATTACTCTTTTAATGATGAGGTAAAAGTAGGATATCTAGACCATTTAAGTACATATAATCTATAATATATAATGCTGCAACAATGCTATCACACACATCTCTTTCTCTCCTTGTGTTCGTGACTGTCACTGGAAATTATTCAATGAATATTATCAAATAGCAGCAAGTGACAAAAAGTTGTTTTGTTTTGAGTCTAGTCTGCCTCTGTCCAGCCTAGACATGTCAAAAGCCAAGATGAGAAATCAAAGGTAAATTGCGCCTTCTCCTATAATAAAAAAACAAAGACAGGGTGTCTATGTACACCCATGCTCTGAGTTACTTAAAGTCCAGCAGGCACATCATCACAACAAACTGCACACACACAGGAAGCTGCAGACATTTGCCTGCTTGCCGCTGGATTTTTCAGGGATGGACTGATCACAGCTCCTCCTTTCATTTTTGACGACTTCAGACAATCCTGTTTCTTGCTGTGTTTCTTCTTGTCAGTGACAGACACACAGGGTCGCGGGTTTATCTGACTCAGTCGCTCAGCGGTACAAGGTCAGTGACCCTTTGAGACATGCCACGCTGCAGATGGCCTTTTCTGCCTCCATATCTCTATCTGTTGTACTACATACACTTAAATGGAAAGGTATACACTCACTGCCAGAGAGGAAAAGGAATAAACACACACATGCACACAGTGTGGCAGTCAAAGAGGCATCAAACCACTTCTTGTTCTACTTATTCCCCAATACTGCTTTGGGGAAGTAAACTTTTAACACGAAACTTAGTCAGTCTGTGCAAACACAGGCATCATCACTTCAATAGAGACATAAACGCTCAGTGTCACATATCTGTGAGCAGGTAGGCAAATATTTCCTCACCGGGCAGCGGGGACTCCGGGTGCCTCCTCTGCGATGTGGGCAGGTGGCTGCAGAGAAAGTAGCCCCCATGCATCCATGCTGTCTCACCTTTACAAATATGGCTGAGCTGTCATCAACAACTCCAGTTTGACTGACAGGAAACTAAAATCGAACCCTCTCCTAAAGATGTCTTAAGTAACTAACTGTCTCTCTTATTGTGACTGTCAAAGAGCTACTGTGACTAAAACTGTGCTGACCACAGCCATCAGGAACTTAGATCACATCTGTTTATACATAGGCTTCAGCTCTTAAAGGTACAGTCTCACCACTTTCACCTGGTTATAGGACTGACATGACACCTTTTTTAAAATCATTTTATTTTATCCCCCTAAAAAAATAACAATCTCAAAATTACAGCAGCTATACACTCAAAGAGTGTCATCAATGTAGTGCATCTGCTTGTTTCAATTTTAAAGGCTTTCTGAAGTTCATAAACAAAGAAACAATCAGAAACATCTGTTCCCAAAATTGAGCTCAGTTATTTATTTATTTTTTACAGCATAGCTTGAGTCTGTTTACTTTGTTCCATTTAAATAAAACTGAATCTGATGGTTTGCAAGCCATCTAAATACTATACTTGCAAAAAAAAAACAAAAAAAAACAACACACCTACTAAATAATGGAACCAAAAAATGTGTTTAATGAAATACAAAATAAAAAATTTGAATATTTGATCCCAGCGCCATGCTTCAAAAAAAGCTGGGATATTTTGTTGTAAAGTTGTGTAGCAAAGTTTTTAACTTTCCCTCAGCCAATGTTATGTGAACATGTTGCTGACATTGAATTTAAACTTATTTTATTTTTTGGTAAAACTATCAATTTTTTTTTTGATCAAAGAATGACTTTCTCTCAGTGTAAATGTTAAAATTTGTATTTGCACTATTTTCAGTTGAATATAGAGTTTAAATGAAATCCAATCCCTCTTAATTATATTTTATATTATAATTACAAACACCCCAGTTTTTTCAGCATGTAAGTGTCCATGGTAAAAACCTGTGAATGGCCTGTATGAAAACTAAAACCAACGGATAATATATAGAGGGTAACAACATAAAATCACCAGAACAAAACAGAGAGCATCATTTAAGTTAAAAAGGAAAACTGAAGCAAACATGAGCTGTTTTTTTACTTGTGAAATGAGCAAAAATATCTGGTATTGGTCAATATTGTTCCTAATACAGGCCTGTTTTTCTCGAGGATTAACTTTATTTTTGGCGGGGTCAGATAAGGACTGAATACTCATGGTTCCAGCTCTGTTCAATAAGAGCAACACTCCACTGGGACATGATAAGTACTTTTAAAAAAATCTGTTTTTTTTTCTCCTGATGCCACAATTCTCAGATGTTTCTTTTTTACCTGAAAATCTCATAAGTAAAGGAAATTATTGTGTCTGTCTAGATTTGTTTCTGGTCTCTTGATGAATGTAAATCCTGTAATGACTTCCTCAGAGGAAGAAGTTGTTCATTGTATTTTTTTGTTGTTGTTTGTTTCCTCTTCCTTTGTTCCTGCAACATCTTGTAAAAAAACCCCAAAAAGGTTCCCATCACAATGCTCGTTTCACACACTTTAATCCACACCGTTCTGGTAATAATCATCAACAGTGATTCCCTGTAAATCCAAATCCCTCCTTTCCACGAACAAGAACACCTCTCCCCGTAACTCTGCCTTTCTCTAAATTTACAAAATGATGATTATTTTTGGCAACACAACACTCTGAACAAACATTTCAAAAATTAGGTCCCAAGGCATCATTGTGCTTTTAAGTGAAGGTTTTCAATGACAGAATAAAGGCTGACAGTTGGAGAATCCCCCCACTGCCTCCACACCAACAAAGTGGACTTACATCTCTATTTATAGACACAGAGATGAGCAGACGGGCCATTAAAACTTAATCAAAGGGCTGGCTTCTCTGTCGCCCACCAGCAGCACAGGGCGAAAGGCTACCAACCAAAATGTGGGACACAGGACTCTGCAGAAAAATGGGAAAGAGGGAGAAGCCAGAGGTAGAACGAGAAAGGTTAAAGGTCTTAGAGAAAGATATTACAGGCTCCCAGATTTGGAGGGGGTTTATTGAGAAAGAAAGATTAATTTAGGTCATGACAGGCAGGAAGTTATTTGGGAGTGGTTCAGATGAGAGACTTGAAAACTGTCAGCCCATACTACAGGTCAGTCATATCATCAAATAATTTAAGTATGTGTAACTATTTTATTATGCTATGAGTATCAGCAAGAGTGGAAAAGCTCATGCTAACAGGAGACGAGTACAAGCAGCTCACAACCATCACACTGCAGGCTCACCAGCAGCAACTAGGGGTGTGTGATATACAGTTTATTATTTCTCAATTGCAATTTCAAAAATGTGCAAAATGGGAATATTAAGTTTGTCACTGGTTTTGTAGGAAACAATGAAAACATGTCTAGAGAGCTCATGCAGACATTCACTGTTAGGCAAGCCAGGCTGATGCATCTGCCTGCATGACTGAAGCTAAAAAAAGGGTGAACAATGTCAGGAGTAGGGCTGGGCGATAAACCGAAAATTTACACATACCAAAATTTATGTCAATAACCGACGTCATTTTGCCCACGTCATTATATTTGGTGTCAAAAAAAGTAAATAAATAAAAGTTGGTCTTGGATGTGTGTAGGTAGGCTATGGTCTCATGTTCCTTTAAGATGCTGTCCTACGTTGAAGATGTGACTCCACCCCATCTGGTCCGTAACAAAGAGGGAAAGACAGGTGAGGAGATGGAGGATGGTTCAAAAGTTGTAGTGGCTGAAGTAGACGAAGTTAATGTCGGAGGGGGTGAGCAGCTTGTGGAGTGGTTATCGCTCATTTATCGTATCGAGGTGAATTTCTCAATATAATGTGATATTGATTTGAGGCCATATCGCCCAGCCCTAGTCAGGAGACAAAACACACCATCAACATCAGAATCGATGTGGTTCAAAAGCCATGGGTCAGTCTCAATCGCATGGAGGTGGTTTGGCTTTAAAAAGAGGGATGTTACTTAAAAGACGCCAATCTGCAGACAGAAAGCCTTTACCGTCACAGACAACTCGACAACCAACTTGTCTCACCACATATTAATTAACTGCTGCAAAGATAATGAAGAATATGAAAAGGTTTCTGGTCATGACTGAGTAGCAAAACAAAGATGCGCTCACAAACTTTTCAGACGCTTCAACTCTTGTACTTCCTCAATGATGTAACACTGTGTTAAATCACAGGTAGCCTTTTGTTGAGTGTATGAAAAGGGCAGTAGACTATCTGCGGTGAATGTGGAAACAACAGAGCCGTGTCAAATTGTTCAATCTTGCTCGCAGTCCCTCTACGTAATCCTCAAACTTCCCCTGCTGACTTTCTGACTCATGTTTTAACCATCTTCTTCCTGCTCCAAATCGCCACACTGCTGCAGCTCAGAGTAAGACTCACATTTGAGCCACAGTTTACTTTTCAGGTCAAGTACTCCAGGGATTCCTGCAGTGATGTCTCCACACATTTAGAGTTAAAATCTCAAGCAGTTTGCAAACAAAACAGCACTTTAAGATGGCTTTACTTGATCTGCTGTGATCGCCCCAAAGGATTTTATCACAGCTGTTTCTCTGCTGCTGGAGAAGCAATCTGTGGAGGACATCGAATCAATTTATAACTAATAATCATAAAATACAGGTTAAATTAAAAAGTGAGAATACACACTCTAAGGGGTCAGCTTTCCCTTCATAGTGGATTTTTATCATTTTACAGTGTGTGTAGGTTACACCCTGAAACACTGCAAGTCAGACAGAATTTCAGGGAAAACACAACTTGAGATTCTCCTCACATACTGACGTCTGCACACAAGCAGATTCAGGCGGCAGTAGTTGGGATTTGGGTTAAGAGAGGGTGGAGGATGGGGGTGCTACTTTGAGGATGGGGTGGAGCAGGGAAGTGAGGGTCCAACGGTGATTTTTAATTAATCCCTCCAAAGAGACTTGCACACATATTCACACTCATGTCTCCATGCTTCTGCACCACAGTTAAATAAACTAATACACACATAAAGACACTATGAAATATGCAGGAAGGTGGAGGAGCAGAAACACTCATATCTGTACCGTTCATTTACACACACACACACACACACACACACACACACACACACACACACACACACACACACACACACACACACACACACACACACAAAAGCCCAAGACTAATGTACTGTAACTGGTTTGTTATGAATAAAACAGCACAGTAGGGCACTGTCAGCTGATGACGAGAGTAGTAGCAGGAGGAAATGTTGCTCCTCATTATGTCAACACAGCAGTTCAGAGGGAAGTCTGTAAATGGCACAGTTAACATCAGGACAGTGTTTCACTCTGTGTGAGCAGACCCAGCCTCCTTTATGTGGGGAAGTGGGCCAGTTTAACTGTAAGACAGCAGAGTTAAAAGCCACTGGGGGGGCCACAATTTGTGCGGCCTCTGGAGTCAAAGAACGTTTTTTTGGCTTTCAGCTGATCCTGATCTGAACATGTGGAAGAAATGCTGTGTTTTCTAATAATTCTGTTCTAATCAGACATTTCCAAAACACTTTAAAGTTTTAAAATAAGTCTCTTTAAAGTCCCAGAACTTGATCAGATAAATAACTGAAATTCTTTATATAATTTATTTCTCAGGACCAGGAAGTAGAATTGGTTATTAAGTCCCGCCAGAGCCAACCTAAAAATGGGACTACACTTCTGAAATATGGGGATTTGACGATGCATGTGAATTTCAGTTCCCGTTTTTTGGGACTTGAAGACAACATAAATCTTTCCTGACCGAACCTCAGAGAGATTTTTTCAATCCATTTTTACCAAACTACCAGGATCCACTGTGCTGACACAGCTCGCGTCATTCGTCACATGGTACATCCAAGTTACAATGTTACAATGTCATTTAGCGGACGCTTTTATCCAAAGCAATGTACAGTTGAAAACAACACAAGCAAAGATTGAGACAAGAGGAAACAAGATCAGTTGGAACAAGTGCTTCAGGTCCAATTGGACACAGATACTGCCATGCAGTTTGAAAGGCAATGAACAGCACAGTTGTAGGGAGAGCGTCTTGTGGACCACAGCAAACAATCTAAAGTTTGGCAAAGATCAGGGGTGTCCCAATACAACTTCTTCCAATACAATACCGATATTCTAGCCTTCAATATTGACTGATACCTATATACATCCGATATTGGCACAAAATTGTGTATGACAAGTTTTGCACCACCTGCAATGTCTTTTTTGGACTTCAACAGAAAATACTGCCACATGGCTGACCTCACTCCAACTCTTTCCTGTGTTGTTTGTACCTTCGTACACACTGTTGTTGTGATCATGTGGGCTCTGCATGCTGGATCAGGGCGCTGCTAGATAGAGGTGCCGGAGCGGAGTCTGGAATGCCTGCTTATATCTGAGTGCTGATAAAGGAGATTTTAGATGCAGGCCAATTTAATCCGATATTCATTTTCTTGGTGATATCGGACGGATATCGGATATCTGATATCAATATCGTACCGGGACACCCCTTGCAAAGATTTACTAAAAATATGAATGACACTGGAAAATGCTACTCAAGTGGCAAGAGCATGAAGCAATGTCTCACAACAAGACTCAGCTACAGAACAAAGTTGAGCTCAGGTTTGCACTAATGTTAGCGTGATAGATCCATGTTAGATAGTTCAAATATTTCAGTTCGATATGAATTCACTCCTCCATCACCGGTTCTTCTAATCAGTGAAAAAGAAAAATGCTTAAATGTCTCACAATAAAGGTTCATTTTTGTTTTTAAAGTGGAATCTGAATCAAAAATCAGTAAGAGGCAGAATCAATAAGTGGACCCATGGCTGAAATTAAAAAGGGGCCTCCCCCCATCAGGAAGACAAATATAGTTACTGTAGCAGCATTCCTCACTGGCATCTACTCTACATATTATCTTTCCACTCCAACCCTCCATGAATGAGGAAACAGTTAACCGTATGTACCTTGGACTGAGTGTGTGCTGCCCCTTAATCCCTAAAAATCCCTCATATTTCAGGGTAAATTCTGCTGCCAAATCGCCTTTTGCAGTTTTACAGTTCAACATGGCCGTATGAATAAATCTGCTGTGGCTGAGGAAGGCATCACGTGCAGAAGGGGAGAGGATTCCCTCGGTCTGGGTAAACAGGAGAAAGACTGTGCACCAGGTTAGCAGAGAAAGTGTGTCCTGTGTGTGTTTCGGCGCACATCTGTCCGTGTGTGAACATGTGTGAGTGTGTGTGGTGTGTCCACAGCTGGGGAGGAGCACATCTACATGAATGGCATCTTTGTGAAAGGGTCGATCTTCTCAAGAGACTTCAGTAAATGCTTATGTGTTTGTGTTCCCGGCTTTGTTCATTGTGAGCTCTGCAGCAACAAACAAACAGCGGCTGTGTTCAGGCTCCAGAGGAATAAAGCAGCATTAACCCCCATTGAGGAAAGCTCTACAGTCCGCACACCTAATCTGCTCCTGACATGCATGTAACGGCTGATGAAGCACACAGCAAAGAAATCAGGAAACACTCAAGCAGACCAAGAAACTTGAACATCCACGTTTCATTTTCCAGAAAAATACACAGCATCAGTCAGGAGCAGCTCTGAAGTCAGAAAAAGATCCTGGACCTGAATTAGAGCAGACATAGCCCACTTTTCCCTGAATGCTCCAGTGAGCACCACCTGCATATAAAAAGGGCAGCAAACAAAAGTTGTTGACCTACAACAGTCAACCTTGATAAAAGTGTAACTGAGAGGAGAACTAATGAGACACTTCATGGATTAAACCTCTCTGGATCTTATCTCTCCAGGCTGAGGAGGAGAGTACAGATCATGTGACAAAGATGACGGAGTGATTTGAGAAGTAAGAAGTGACTGAGGCATGAAAAAAAGGGAGTAAAAGGCTCATACTGTCTCAAAGTGTTTAATCAGATTACAGCCCTAGTCCTCTTAGACAGTAATATGCATTGAGAGGACTTACATCTGAAAAAGTTGTTTAATGTTTGATGCAGAGTGTCTTCTTCACGTGTGTTCGTGTCTATCTTAAGTACAAGGCTGGAACATTTCTTGAAGATGTGACCATGATGTCTCATGAGTGTAGAGACTCACTGTCAGTCTATGTGAAGAATTTCTTTAGAACGTCCTACACCTCCTCCTTTTTCTAGATACATGAGCTCACGGGTAGAGATGGGACGGTTCCTCCACAGACCGTGAAACATCGCAAAACTTCACAGATGGTTCAAATAAGTTGGACGAAAAATGAGCCATGATACTCCACTGAACAGCAAACAGCGCTACATATCTGCCTTGAACATCATTACGTTTCATGTCTGAATCGTGTCGCACACTAAGAATTTGCTGCTAATTTGTTACCTTTAGCCATTTTACCTCTGACTAGTCCTTCTGTGTCCTTAGATTTGCATATGCATGTTTACCTGTATATTAGGGCTGGGCGATACGGCCTCAAATCAATATCACGATATATTGACCAGTTCACCTCAAAAACGATAAATGGACGATAACTTCTCCACAAGCTGCTCACCCCCTCCCACATTCACTTCGTCTACTTCTGCCGCTCTAACTTTTGAACCGTCCTCCATCTCCTCACCTGTCTTTCTCTCTTTGTTACGGACTGGATGGGGTTGAGTCGCGTTTCTGATGTAGGACAGCGTCTTAAAGGGACATGAGACCATAGCCTACCTACACACATCTAAAACCAACTTTTATTTATTTATTGTTTTGACACTGAATATATTGATGTTGGTTAGCCCTAGCCCTATTGTATATTATATCAAATTACTAAAATTGTACGCAGTAAAACGACATCTCTACAACGCTTTAATGATAGTGTGTAAAGTGTACAGTGACGACAGAGTGGGTTTGTGCTAAAAATCTGTATACACACACATTGGACAGCCATATGCCGGTACCTTAGTTGTTCTCATCCATTCAAAAAAGTCTGGCTGAAAGAGAGGACCTCAGTGTTGACAGGCAGCTAAGTTTGCTCAACAAAAGCAGCAAAAAAAGCTCATATCTAAAAAAATGAAATAAAAGAATGAGAGGAAACCCAGCAGGAGTTTAAACTACAAAAGATAACACCAGCCCTGGCAGGGGGAGGATTAGCAGCTACTCTGGATGTTATACGTGCAAGTGAATTAAAAACAGCATTGCAGTCGCACAGGTTGATCAGGATGAAATCTAGAGAAACATGAACCAGAGTGGATGAGAGGAGGGGCGGGAGAATCGCTTTAAACAACAGTGAATTCAGACGACTTTTTTCTGTCGTACACAACATATAGTAAAAACATGTATACATATTATACCCACAAATATAACATACTGTAAAATGATTTGAGCACTCCATGTCCGTAGACACTGATAGCCTAAACAACACTACCTCAAAAACAATGAAAAAGTAGCAAAATTTAATGTGTTGGTTTTGTTATTGTAGTGTCGTATTGATGAAAATGTAGATCAGGAATGTAAAGCTGTTCAGTGGTCATGTCTGATAGATGTTATAGTGTGAATTCAGGCAACAACTATGGAAGCCCTATTTTTTTTTTCTCCGTTTTCTTGAGATCCCAAGATAGTTTTCTTATGATCTCGAGAAAACAAGGCTTCGTCTTTTTGAGATCACGGCATTGTCTCACATGCCACAGTTCGTCTGCACATACCTAGAAGCACCAGAGCAACAGCCTAATAGTTATGCTTCTGAATAATTTTGGGATGATCTGTTCCTGTAAAGTTCAGAGAGTGTGCATCTTACCCCGCGCATTTTGTCCTGTAGCAGAAGACAGACACCGCGGACACCGGACCATACCACGTACAGTGATCAGCTGTGATCAACGTTTCTAGTCCACCGCAAAATTCATTTGTGATCTCGAAAGAACGGGGGTAAAAAAATGAATAAATCATGTCCGCTTAGGGCTTCCGTAAACAACAACCAAGTAAACTGGTATTGCACAATTAACTTAATAAATAAGCACACTGATGACCTCATGTGCAAAAAACAATTTTCAAGGACTGTGTTGAATCAAACATGTTCAACATCAAACAACCCTCAGGCCTCCTAAAAATCCAACAGCCCAAAACATGAATGAAGGCTCATGCAACATGGATGAGGATTTAAACCGTAACCATAAAACCCCCATCCTGGGACAAATCCAGACTCAGATGTTGCATAAATCATGCACGGATGTCCATCAGAGACTTTACCAGAACACCAAACACATGGGTCTAAATCTGAGGTTATTAATACTTCCTCTCAAAGTGACGATCTGTCTCCTCTTCCTGAATCTGGCAGATAACTGCTCCTCTGGCACGCATTACGGCAGGTGCTTTATTCTACATGCAATATGCTTCCAAGTCACCTACAGCGTTCAGGATGGGACACGGAGCGGAAAGAGCCCCTGCTATGTGATGGAATGGTCGAGTAGACATGATGGTAATGGACATGGAAAGCAGATTAAAAATGATGATGGCAGAAGGGCTGAGGGGATAAGAGGTCCATTCTATAATACAGATGGTTATCCTCTTTACTGATGCTGTTGATTACGATAGCATGGCACTCATAAACACTGAACAGGAAGAGGAAAACCCACAAGCAGCACAATTTTTAAAAGGTCTGATTTATTTCAATACTACAGCTAATCAGAAAAAAACCCTGTTGGTAAATTCAGCATGCCTCAAGATAGCAAACCACAGACAGAAAGAGCCACAATAAAACACTTACATGGATTAACTCGAAGCTGTGGTTCTAGACTATTTCAAAAATGAATTTCTCTCAAGCGCTCCTGAGAGTTGCCCCTTCATTTACTTCCAGCAGACACACACACACAACAACAGCATGGCTGCCAGTCTTACTAGAGTTTCTTTCCAAAAGAGGCACAATGCCAGAGAGAGCTGGTCGTTCTGAACTGGTTCTTGTTTGCAGGGTCAGACCTCAAACACATCACAGTCCGCTAATAGGTCTTATATTATTGCAGCAGTTAAAGCGCAGTAATATTTATGGCAGTGAAGTACAGACAGACCTACAGTCCACAACAAATGTGCAAGTACTCACAGCAACCCCTCTGCCTGGCTGCTTGTACGTTGAGGAGTCTTTTCAGCGCTCCTCAAGGTTGATCTTCTGATCTTCGTCTTCAAAGCAGAGCTGATGTCCTGCATTTGGCCAACTATCTATCTCAGCATTTTGTCTTTTCCTCTTGATGTATCTTAACTCGTCGCTCAGTCTCACTTAATGTCTCACACTCAGCTTGTTACTACAGTTGTCTACTATGTCAAGTTCCTAATAATTGACAAACATGTCAACACGATCACTTTCACTGCTCTGTACCTTTTGTACATAGGGTATGATAGCTCTGTCTTTTTTTCTATCCTCTCTTCTGCTGTCCACCTCCCACTTCAAAGCCCAGCGTGCAAACTGTGGCACTTGTGTCAAAGACTAAGGCCACTTTCAGTCTGTTTGATCAATCCCAAACTGCATCAGTCCAACTCTGAGAAGTTTAATTTAGTGTGATTTCAGTCAGCCTAACATGTTTGCATGTATTTTGATTGTACACTAAATTAAATGGTAAATTTCCATTTAAACAACTTAGGCATCAGTTGCTTTAAAACATTTAGGAAGATAACAAAGATGCTACACTGTAAACTCAGTCAATTAATAAAGTAACAAATCTACAAGCTCTCCAGAATCGTCTTTTCTCCCGTCTCTTCTTTGGACTTTCCCTCTTTCTGTCTCCTTTCTATCAATGAACGTTTATACTCCTCCTGTTAAGACTCTGCCAACCCACTGAGAATTACTGTTGGTGTATGAAAGAAGAAAACTGACAATAGTACCTGGCTTCTCTTTGTGCTTTTCTGTCCTGCAAGTCAAGCAATTTAGCCTCAGAGACTTTGATAACAACAATGGCTCCAGTTTGGGTTACATTTTGAAGGGTTGGCTTGTTGTCTGCTTCGCTCTGAGTCTCTCTTTCCTAAGCAGGTAATAATAGCTTTTTTTTTCTCCTGCTCCTTCTCACTTTTATGGCCTCTGGGCCAACAGAACAGAACAGACAGTCCACTGTTCAGGGCCGCATCATGGCTGGTGCATCGCTGCACATATGAAGGTCTGTCCTCCTCTCAAACCCAACACCAACACACACAGGCTATCGCATGACCTGAGTGCGGTAGTAGAATAACTCATCTTATATTCCTTTGGGTGTAGCCACAAACAGGTCACACAGAAAAGCGCCGTAATGGATAAAGTGGTTCATGCATTAGTTACTTCTGGGCTGGATTATTGCAATTCCCTGTAATAAGGCTGCCCTCTAATAGGTTTCCAAAGACATTTCAGCTGGTTCAAAATGCTGCACGTGTACGGACAAAAACCTGAAAAGGAGGTCATTTCTCCCAAATCAGCTTCTCTACACTGGCTCCCTACAAATAGAGTTTCAAATCCTTCTTCTTACAAACAAAGCTCTTAATGGTCAGGCACCATCATATCTTAAAGAGCTCTTAGCTCTTACCTTCAAAAGTAATACACGTGCAGAATGCAGGCCTGCATGAGGTTCCTTGAATCTCCAAAAGTACGTGGAGTGAAGAAGAAGGCTTAAAACTCCTATTTTCACTGAACTTAACAAGAAAGACTGTTCCTGGACCAACAGTACAGTACACACACAGAGCTCATATAGCCTCCTCTTGTCTTTGTCTGCGTGCATTCATATCCCTTAAAAAGGTTTTTGCATTCTTTTAGGTGCAGGTACAGCCATCCAGATTTGTTTTTGTGCCTAGCCCCTTTTTGTACAGAGATTTTTACAGATTTTCAGAATCTTTTAATGATATTATGTTCTGCAGTCGATGAAATCCACTAATTCTTCGCAATTTAACACTTAGGAACATTATTCTGAAATTACCGAACTAGTTGATCACGCAGTCTATCGCAGAGTGGTGATGGGAGATTCAGCCTCTTCGCAGTCTCACTTTTTAGTCCTAGTCATGTTACCTGTTGCAAAATGCCGTCAGATATTCCTTGAGTTGTTTTTGTGCACCATTACAAACTTTTTCAGGGTTTTTACCCTTGTCCGAAATTTTTTAAGCGTCTTACTGGTATCCTATTTAAATAAGCACAGATTTTTTGTGACATTTGGTATGATGTTTACAAGACTTTAAATGACTCAAACTATCAAAAATCTGTTTTTATTCACAGCGTCCAAACTTTCTAAAACTGCAGTTGTAAAATCAACCATATCCTGTTTTGACCTTTACTCTTGGGTGTTTTTTCCCCCCTGTTTTATTAAAAGTCTGAACACCACAGTGTTAGCTGTTTCACAGGTCCCTTCAAGCCTCAGTGCCCAGCAGTATTAGAAAACGACCGGTGAATGATCAATGCTCAGTTCTTGAGTAAACACACTCCTCCTATGTAGCTCCCATCCCCTCTGACCTCACTATCCTCTAAGATGAAATATCATTTTGAGGTTTAAATATTTGATACATCGCTCAAACAATGTGATACCGATTTCTGAACTTGCTGTTCCACACAATACATTCTTCATCCTGTAATACCACAATCCCTTTAAGCCCAGGAGCACCCACACAACTAGCTTAGGAAAGGCCAAATTGTTGTCGAAAACAAACAGCCATTATAACCAGCAGTTTGTCAATGCTTCACCAGTTTCCCAGTTGCATGTCTGGTTATATTTTCCTTCCTGTCTTTGCCTGGTATCAGTGATTACTAATCCTCTGAAAGCCTGACGGAGGGCTGGCACAAAGACTCAACAGCTGGTGTTGGTGGTCAGCTGAATGGGTCTGGGCCTAGTGAAGGGTCAGCATGAGCAGACATTGAGCAGACAGTAAGCTGGCACTGATGCTGGTCTGGGGGAAATTGATACTTCCTGTTTTTCCTCATTAACATTCAAGATATCGACAACAAACAAGTCAGGGTGTGAACAGGCCAACCAAGTTTATTGACGAACACCATTAAGTTGTCTCATCAATGCTTTAAAGCTGCAGTGCAGCAGTTGTAAGCTCGTCTGCTGGTGTGTCTGAGAGGGAGACAGTGTAATCCTGCAGTCGGGCAGGGGGGCATGGATGTTGGGGGTTGAATATGTGTGTGTATGTGAGTCTGTGTGGGTGACTAAAGGGACTAATGCGACCCTCCTGGGAGGTCAGAGACACAGTGAAGTCCAAAGTCTCTTAATCCTATTATCCTCAGCAGCAGCTGGAGACACACTTTATGGTGGGTGTGATGCTGGACATCACTGTGTATTATAACACTTCATGGCACAGTTACCTTGAATTCTTGATTGTGATTGGTCGATTAAGGCATTTTAAGGTCTGCTATCTCCTTATAGCGGACCACTGCAAGGATGAACACAGTACTGCACTTCAGTTTAATGTGCAGACAAGGATCTGCTTACTTAAGACTTGAACTGCGGATGCCAAGCAAGAAGAGAGTGTAAAAATACCAACAGCTACAGGTGATGGCAGAGAAATCTCAGCAGAGAAAAATCTAGAGTAGGTAAGAGCGGACAAACTGGTAACATAAGCATTCCGGATTTAGTGTGAGGTCACTCAAAATGTAGAGGCTGGAAGACAAAGAGGAAGAAAAGAGTTTTTGGTGACGGATGTTTTAGGTGTTAAAAATTTGACAGATTAGAAGCTTCCTGTCCTCAAAGGCCACTATCGCTTCACCATCAGAGAAGAGTGAGAAAGGGTGCACTGCAATCTAAAATCCGACCACTAGATATCATTTTATGTTTCCATTTTAACACACTGAACCTTTAACTTGTATGAACATTATTTTCACGACATAGTAGAAGTGTATGTTTAAAAGTGTGGGCAGTGTGGGCAGCAAGCGCCCATTGCCATGATGGCGTCAATAGCTGACGCTCGCGTACCATTTTTTAAATAAATACAGCTGGGACAAACAGAAAAGACACATCAACTCATTCATTATAAAAGGAGGTCTATTACGCTGGTTAATTCTTCAGTTCCAGCATGTTTAATTAAGATTTATTTGGGGGTTTTTGCAGAGTGGGAAATGGGAAGAGAGTGGTGGGTGACATGTGGGAAAGGAACAAATCTGGGCCAGCTGTTTGAGGCGTAATGTTTGTAAATGGGACTTTTCTGCTGGTTTAGAACAGACATTCAACACTTCAACATGACATTTATTGTTATAATCCTGAATATCCATACTAACCAAACAGCAAAGTTCGATTTAACCACTCTGCGTCTGCCTCAGCTGTTCATTTTGTTAATTCAGCATGTTTTGGAAAAAGACAATGGCAGCAGAAAACAGTAGAAAGTTTTCATGTTTTCAGGACAACAATGCAACCGTTTGTACTTCCCACTTCATCACTGACTCCTTCATAAACTGAGGCCAGTGTGAACTGGATTTGCATTTCAGTTGTTACTGAAACCTGGGGATAATATAATGAAGGGGAAATGACTAGAACAGGTGTCCTTAAAGCCTGCTGACACTGTGTCCAAATAAAAAGGCCTGAAGAAGCTGAAAACACCACATGGAAAATCCACGCTCTGTCTGAACAAGACATAAACCCTCACCAGAAAATTGTGGGGACAACAGCGGTGTTAGACAAAAGAAGGAGTGGCCCTGTTGTTCACCTTCTCTGACTTCATATTCAGATTAATGTGATACCAGCGAAGCAGGACGATCTCAGAAAAGTCACAGACTGTTAAATCTAACAAGCGTTTTTTGTTTTTTTTTTGCCGGAGAAATAAAATCCTTTTAAATGAAAAAAATCAAGGCAAAATCAAGACTTCCAAACCAAGGCAATATAACCTGCTGAACAAAAGACGGCTATTAGACGTCTATTTTTTTTTATTAGACCTAATTTCAACCTTCTAGAACTGTGAGTTGCATAACTGATCTCCAAGTACTTAAACAATTATGATAGCCGCTGAGAAATATACAGTGTAGCACAGATATAGCCCAGATTTAGACTTGGTCTGAAATTTAGACGTCTAAAAAAACTTTCATTTTTAGACCTGTGGTAGCCTGATTCTAGACCAGTCGTTTACATTTAGACATCTATTAAACCTCTTTTAGACCAAAACATGCTCAGAGGGAAGTAAGTGATTTCCTTTAGAGCCATATCTATTGTTTGTAATGTAAAATAATCTGATTGCCATTGTATCACTTCCTGCATCACCCTGTCAAGGTTTTATTCAAGGTTTTGTGCATTGTCTCTTGTTGTGATATCAGGACATTTCTTAGGCGAGTGTGCTCAAAAGTCTTCAGACGCCATTAAAGAAATGCATCAAGCTGCCTCTGCTCTCTTGGATGATCAATAAAAAAGTAATTTGGAAGCGAAGCGCTCCTTTGACTTGCAGGACTCTTGCAGGTAATAAGTACAGGAAACCAACACAAATAAAGAATTCATGAGAGGACAGCTCGCTCACAGCATGTGTTATGTTATCGGCTCAGCGCAGAGCTCACATCCCCGGCAGGAAACTTGATTTACACTCCTTAAAACCATTCGAAGGAGAAGGAGGGAAACATTCATTTAGGGGTGGTGAACGAGATAGAGAGGGCAGGGAAGCACTAATGGTTAAGCTACACTTTACACTGATGGCCTCCCCCCTGTGTATATATGGATAATGTATTTCAGCAGAGGGAGGAGGGGGAGTGAAGAGGAGGAAGAGTGGGTCATTTTAGTTGTTTTCCTCGTTGAGTCCTGCAGTTGTGACCTCCAATACAATGAGTGTCAACAACAGAGCTGCCTTGATGAGGTATTCAGGAGAAATGAAAGGAAGAGAGCGAGCAGGCCGGCGCAATCATCATGCCGCTGTGTGTGCCGGGGCCACTCTGACAGGCTCCTTGATCTCAATCAGCCCTCTCTCAATGCCCGTCTGCTGGCCGGCAGTAATGATGGCTGAACCCTCGTCATTGTCACAGAAGGAGGCTGAATTATTCACACCAGGCAGGAAACTGCTCGGCTGCAGTTCAGGCAACCATCAAGGTGTTATAAAATCAGCCATTAGGTTGTGATCATGTAAATGTGTCAACAGCAGAGCAGAGAGGGAGACAGGCAGGCGGGGTAAAATCGGATCTGTCAATGACCCGAGAGCTTCTGTAGGTCAAAACAAAGGTGATGCACAATAATAAATACAACATAAAATCAGACTAACAAGCTGTTCCTACAGCAAACATGTTCTTCTGTGCTATTACACTCAGCGTGGGGGGGTAATATATTATCATGGTCATTTTCCAAGTTATACATATAAGAAATACAGCAAATTGTTCACTGCTTCCTGTGCAATCAGCAACATAAACACGATGGATAGAAAAAATCTAGATCATCATCAATCCATGTTTCAAGGACAAACACTCGATGACCGAACAGCTGCTGTGAGAAAAGTGCTGAAGATGAAATCCAGCCTCTTCCTTTCTAAACCTGATAATTTGATGCCACAACAACCAAACAACAAACTCCTGTGCACCCCAAACAGTTCATTTGTTACTTATAGTTCTCTTATATTAAACATTTGACGGGCGCCAGCATTTGCGCAGTGGTTTTTACCTCAAAAACCAACAGTTCACCACTCGCAATTACACTTAACCCTCGATCCTGCTTTTATATGAGGTCATCTTCTAATCGATGTGTCACACTGAGTTACTAAATCCTTGGTGAAAGTGAAACACAAGCTCCCTGGCTTACCACTTAAAATGATCTGCCTGTATTTACTAAAAGCTTTTCAGGGATTCATCAGCTGTAGATCAGATGCTCATAGGGGCCATGGTGGTGGACCAGATAACACAGCTTTCCAAGAAACACTCCAGGCTACTTCTCAGTTCATGGGAACTAATAAATGTTGACGAGGAAGCCCAACCAATGATTGTTAAGCGTCATATAGATTGTGTAGAGGATGGAGAGCTATGAGAAAAAAGTGAAATGAGGAATATTTGACAGTTTCTCACTTTTTTTAATGTGTTGCAGGCTGGAGGAAAGAAATGTGAAACTAAATCCACACAGTTAAACTTGGCCAAGGAGATACAGGAAACATGAAAGCCTGTGTTGGTAGTTATAAATGCCACACATCCTAGTTTTTATTCAGCTGTGAGGGTCTGTCTCAGGTACTCAAGATCATAAAAACAGTCATTTACTGGATTTATTGGACTGTTTTAATCTTTTTTCCGTTAAGCGCTTAAGCCTGCATTATTGTTTGAAAAATGTTACATGAGCTGAGTTAAATTAACTGCAAATGCTGCATTATTCCAACCATGTGACAGGGGTTATTAACAAAGTCTCTGCGTATGAGATCCTGAGAGCTGAACCGGCCTTTAATTTTTAAAACTTTGCTCCACCACATCCCAGTCGACGCAGACACTGGAGCAACAGTAACCGAACACCTCTGAATTAGACCCGAGGCTCTGACACCACAACACCCTCCATGACTCACCCCTGAATCACCCTGAGGCCAAGCATCGTGTCACACACTGCTTTGGAAAACTGAATCTGAATCAAGTATGGCGGCAGGATTATAGCCAAAATAATGATCCCAATAATTCTGATCTACATTGAAATTAATAAGCTGTTTTTTTGGGCCTTAATTTGTAAAAAGAAAAAACTTTGTATGTATACTTTGTTATGATCTAGACCCAAAAGTCACTAACTGTTTGGTCATGTCATTGTTCATTTTCTGATGCTCTACAATGCTGCAGCATCTACACTCTCCGTTCGCACACAATCCCTCTGCTTCATTTACACACACCTGATCCTCATGTTTTCAGCTTGTTTTGCTGGAGATGTTTTTTGTTTTCTTTCAGTTTCAGATCACTGACAACTCCATGTCACAAACAACAGGCCTGATAACACACAAGACACACATTTTCATGAGCCAGGCAGTCTATGTGTGTGTGTGTGTGTGTGTGTGTGTGTGTGTGTAAAGCATAACAATAAGAAGCAAGTTGAGCAGTTTAAAGTAATTTAAGAAAACAACCTGCTTACACCGCTTAAGTTTCAATGAGACCATAATTTTCTTGATTGAGAAGTTCTGCGCGCATTTTAAACATTGATAATCACAGTCAATTTTGGCTCTTCAATCATGAGAAACAGAAAATCATAACCATGTTTAAAATTTGTGCAGCTCTAGTATCAAAACTGTACAAAAAACACCCTATTGTTCAAGCTTAAAATGTCTTTAATGTCATAAGGTTACACTAGTACGCTGTATTTTTGACTTTACAGTATTGCAATGTTTTTATTGCATCTGTGCAAACTCTCTTTCAAATTCAGGCTTCCATTTTTAAACAAAGGAGTGACACAAATGTGAGATGTGGACTCTGAGATGTGAATCTACACACAAGGAAAGTGTATTGCAAGTCACTAAGTGCACCAAAGGAACCGTAGGATCTCTCACTTGTAAAGGCCGACCCACTCCAGGTGCTTCAAACTTGCTCATTTTCACCTCTGAACTCTGACTGTTAGAAATCTATCCTTTGCAAACATCTCAACATGACAAAAGCGCAATACTCCATCACTTGGGGGCTCTTTTGGGGAAATCTACATATAATAAGACCAATGCATTTTTTGTAAGAAGAAAAACAAGATTGTGTAAAAACATTTCCACAGCAGGCACCAAAAACACCACCTGAGTAATTGGACAGCAAAAGTTTTTCCTAGGATTTTTCAATTTTGAAGAACAAGTTTGTAAACTCACTTGTAGCTCATTGTTGTTGGCCATCATGTGCAGCTCACAGCCAATTAGATGAGGAGGCCAAACGACTTTTTATTGATGTCTTTTCCCCACTTTTCTTGCCGTCAGATCATGGTAGAAAAAGAAGCTGAACTCCTCCTGTGTTCAATACAAACAGTCCAGCTTTGGAGGTCCTGTTGTAATAAAGAAAATAGACACTTAGTAGTCCAGGTGACGGTAATGTTACATGTAACGAGCTGCAGGGAAAGCTAAGGAGAAAAACGTGAGGATAACGAGGTTTGCAGCCACGGTAGAGGAGCAGGTAAGCAGAAAAAAACAGGAGTAGGAGGAGACCATCACCTCTTGGTTGCAGGATGTCAACTCTTGGACTCTGATCCGCATCACGCAGTGCAGTCTGACCTGTAGTAGTCTGGGATCGACCGCTGCCGCAGGCTGTTTGCTCATCATCTGAGAGAAAAACACTTTAAAGGAAACCCGAAACCCCTCAGGATTCACCGCCACACTCTGTGCTGTTTGACACGGGACACTGAGGCCATCTTTCCCCGCTGCGGTGCACCCCGGCTCGGCTCTGCTCAAAGCTGAGAACCGGTGAGTGATGCTGGCTGGTGGGGAGGAGGAGGAGGGCACAGCTGATAAGTCACACATTTACAGAGACAAAAAGCCCGTTTAGTACCTTCAAAATAAAACTTACTAGGCACAGTGGGTAAAAAGCATATATTTCTTGGACTGAAATTCACATTAAGCCTACCTTATGTGGTATCTACGGTGTAAACTTCAATTGAAGCGGTGTGAGCTAGCATGCTAATCCAAAGAACTATGAAAACAAGCTTTTAATCGCTAACGACGACACACGAGCTAGCATAGACAGTACATGGTGTGCTGACAACTTTAAAGTGGGTTTAAAACTATACGTGTGATACGAGAAGACTTCATTAAATGGAGTTAAAACTGTTATTAGCGACACATCCAAACGACCTGTCTCTGTATCAAGAAAATGTTGCGTTTTAACCATATAAGTGGGAAAATTGGTTAGTCCAGAAGTGAAAGTTCGGTTGTCCACTAGCTAGCAATATTTTCGGCTAGGCCTTTGGTACGGTGGCCGAAAACCGCCACTGCAGCAAATAAAAGAATGCACAAAAAAAGAAACCACAAAGGAAGTTACTAATTCAAAAAAAAAAAAAAAAAAAGGAAGTTAGTTACTGGGAAAATATAAGGATGCAAATTAAAAAGCCACAACGGAAGTGGGCTGCCACAGACCAATAATAATAATGCACTAGTGTTTTGCGATCGAGGCACAGAGGACAACTGCAAAAAGACAAGCAAAGAAGTTAGTGGAAAGGTTATTGTTTAATTTCGCTTTGTAAACTATTCAATGTATCATTTGGTTAGGCCATGTTGCACCTGAGTCGATTGGAAGTTGATCTGGAGGATGCCGGTGTAGCGTTAGCTTCAGTTCAACTTCATGTTGACTCAGGCACTCATGGCCAAATGACACATTGAAAAGCACATGATTTTTTTTTTTTTTTTTACATTGCCACTTTTTTTTGCGTCATTAACTTCTGTTGTGCCTTTTTTATTTGTATCTGTACCGTTTCTTTTTTCATTTGCAGCGGGCTTCGGTTTCTTTTTTTTTTTTCTGCATTAGTAACCTCCATTGTGACTTCTTTTTTTTTTCCTATTTTGCAGAAGTGACGGTTCTCGGCCACCGTACTTTCTGAACCAAAAAAGAGGATTTATAAAGATTTTTTTGTGTCCAATGTGCCACCTCTACCACCTGATGAATGCTTTGGGGAAAAAAAAGCAAAATGGTTTGTGCTTTTATTTTGAAAATACCAAACAGTTTCCCGTATTTGTTCCCTGTATTGAGCTTCACTTACCTGAAGTGGGCACAGACCTTTGCGGCACCCGTGCGCCCTCCAGAGACCTGTTGATCAAATTGATGAGCACTTGGCTTCATAACTACATTTGAAAACCAGCTGATGTTTTAGCTTCACTGCAAGTTTAATAAGACACATTTGCAAACCTTAAACCATCTACTGCTGGTATAAGGTTTTTTTTTTTTAAGCATCTTTGCATCAGAATAAAAGTTTGAAGGCAGAATACCAGGGGAGAATGATAAAAATACTCAATAATGTAAAATATTCACATTGTTCTTCTTTCATATCACGTTACAGAAAATCAAAATGTTTCCTGTTGATGAAACAATTCCAAAATTACCAACCCAACTTACAGTAAAATGCTGTAAATTTATTAAGTTCCTTAAAATGTTGACCAAAATTACCTCATGTAACACAGAGGTTGTCTTTCTATTTATGAAAAGCAATCGTCTTCACGTTTTCGGTTTTTTTAGAAGGGTGCAATAATGCCCTCTGCAGGGAACTTCATGTTTTGCTCTTTACTTGAGTTAAATTTCTCATGGACCAAAAATCCTTCTTAGATAATGTTTTGATTTAAGTTTTGAATTTTCAACTCTGTATCATATTTTGTCAAAAGTAATAGCACTTCTTCTTACAGTTGTTAACAAAATAGTGATCAGTCTACGACACAGCTTTTAAAAAGGGACAATCATTCTGGACTATGAGGGGAAAAAAAGCCTTCAAAATTGAATCTAGTGGCAGTGATTGTTGGATATTTAGGACTGTAGAGGAAGCTGTTTATATATTATTCTCTGTATTTGCAGTTATTAGCTTGAATATGCTTTTTTAGAGGTGCAGTGTGTAGCCTTTGGTTCTGACAGAACAGGGTTAGTTAAAGTGGAATATGATATCCAAAAGTTGTTTAAATCAGTGTCTAATCTCTTGTTCTGTTTTCTTTTACTTAAAGGCCTTTTATGGAAAAACCAGCTCTACACAGGGGCAGATTTACCCCTGCCACAGCGCCATCTCGCACTGCTATGTTTATACAGCAGCACAGAAAGGACAAAAAAGTGAGTGGTCACACAAAATGCACTGGTCAGAAGTCAATAAAAAAGAAAAGGAAAGTAATTACCCTGGTCAAAAGAATTTATACTGAGGTTTTGTTCATTCTTGACAAATGGAGCATTATACTTGTGCATCACAGGAACTTCTTGTTCTTAAAAGCTACTATCGCTTCACTGAAGGATGGCGTAAAGAAGGGAGCATTTCAATCTAGAATCACTCCTAGATATCACTAAATATTCCCATTTCTACAGACCTCTACCTTTATGTCAGTCACTAATTGATCAACCTAACCAGGGTTTGGTGAACAAGGGTTGATATTTAAGCAGATAGCTGTTGTGGTTGTATTAGATAACTGTCAGTTTCTTTTAAAACATGTAAACACACAAATATGTACACGATTAAGACAAATATGCCTACAGTCAGCTGTGTCAACATGTTTTTAGATTTCTTAAATTAATTATTTACTAATTCGTTTAGGGTTTGTTTTTCAGGGACAGAGACGATATACATGCATAGACTGGGAAAAGCCATACTGTGCAAGTATAATAGTATTTACAGAGACCTGCAAAGCAGAATGGTGAAATCTCCACAGGTGGTGCAATAATTTAGAAGTCGTAAAAACAGACATTTTCACAGGTCCTTTTTGTCTTAGGGTTTGTCCAGTCCACTTGAAACTTGCGGTTAAGCTAGACGAGACCTAACACCTACAATTTTGACAAACCATTCGAAAGATCCCACCATTCAGTGCTCTCGAGGTTTTCATAATTATTAACAGTTTAAAAAAGAACTGCAACACAAACATCCGCATCAGATTTCAAGCAGCTTTATTTCATACTAGGAGTGGTGATTCTATCAAACTGGACTTTATCTTTAGCCCACTGGCTCAACAACAGCAACAAAGAGCTTCTGCAATACAAAATAACAATGATGTTAAACATTCACAACACAAATATATTGTCAAAAATGTAAACACTTCATTTATATTATTTTTATCTTATAAGAAAATGACTGCAAAGCTACACAAAAATATCACTAATAAGGAATCTGAGGCACTGTAGACTCTAAACAAACAGTTAAGGTGCACACTTAAATCCACTCTTATGAATGCATGCAGTACTTTTTTTCCTCATATAGAATATTAAAGGTCATGATAAACTAGTAAAAACTCTCAGATATGATCAAATATAGCAGCGTTTACTATCTTTAAACACACATTTAGTAAATCATGCAAAGTGTGGTTGCAGTATAAACTGGATTTAGAAAACTATATATTTTTACATGCTGCATTTAAAGTCATAAATAGTCATTTGGGATCTGTGTAATCATAGAAAAGAGTGCATTTTGTAATTTCAGTGCATAAAAGTCAATGATAAATAGATACATCTGAATATAAAAGAGAGTTAGTGTTGTAGCTGTGCAGTCAACAGGTGGGGCTGTTGTTTTTCTTTACTGTGCGTTCAGACTAACCTTACTTTCACCACACAGACACAAAGAGAAAGACACAGGTGCTTTTTTTCTCAACATGTGGCACATTTAAAATCACACTTAAAAACCATATTTAAATATGATATAATGATTTCTGATATGTTCCTTAGTTTCTATTATTGTCTTAAATACCAACCAATATTTTGAGATATTGCACTAATCACAACAGATAAAAATAGATAGGGTATGTGTATAAAAAGGGGTTGAATAATTAAAATGAGCACATAAATATCTGAGTTTGTTACCCAAACACACACATGCCTACACACACATACAAGCGCCTAGTTGCCCTCTCAGAGCAGTGCATTGTCTCCTCTCTCTCCCACCATGCATGACATCATCGGTAACCCCGGATACTCCCTGAAAACCGGCCGACCCAGGAAATGAGGTTACAACTTTGGAATGTGAGAGGGGAGACAACAACTATATGACCCCACCTCCCCCCCTGCGCCCTGCACCCTCACCCCCATGAGCCAAGCACCCTTCTGTCCTCCCCTCTCTGTTGTCCCTCCCCTCGCAGCAGAACAAGGACGGCCTTCTTCTTCTTCTCTCCCTCCTCCTCCTGATACTCCATGACTGTCGACTCTATTAAGTTGGTGAAAACGTGGTTGTGCGGTGAAGTCAGATATTAACTGACCAGACAAGCGGAGGAGGGGAGGCGAGGAAGAAGAGGGATAGATCACAGCATCATCTGCATAGAAATTATTCACACCACACTCATATGTTTTCAACACACTGACCAAAAGGATTTTAGGTCCACAAAAATCTAAATCTACCTACTTACCTGCATAAATATATCAGTTTTAACATCAAATAAAGGAAAATTGAGTGCAATTTGTCATAGCTCAGTCTCTCATTCGAGAGTGTGACCGATATTTGGTCTCAGTATTTTTTTTTGTAACACATATAAAAGACGTCACATATAAAAGGGTTTCTCAGTGCATATCAGTGCTAGAAGGCTAAGGAGTGCTATTTAAGAGCTTCTGGTACGGAAACATGCTCTAATGTGAGGCTAACTGTGTGATATGCATGTCAGGGTGACAGAAATCAATAACAAGGTGCATCTACAGAGTATCAGTCCAAGTGAGAAAAAAACAATGTTCATCGGAAATCAATTCACAGTCAGTCTTCGTGGTCATGTGATAAATTGTGTTGCAGTTAAAGACTTTAAGTGATACCTTCTCATATCCTTGAATCCCTTTATGGCTTTAGACTTTATGACTGCATAAGTGTGATATGTCTATTCATAGTTATTGTATTATCGTCTTCCGACAGAAATTTCAAAAGTTCCATCTCTACTCATTTCAACAATGTGGGATTTATAATCTGTTGCTTTCTGGTAGAGTTGGGGATTGTGGTGAGATTGTTTTAAATTTCTGAGAAGTTCACTGAATGCTACAGCTATTATCCTAGCTTAGTACAAAGTAAGGAGAGCGTTAGACCAAAGGTGGTCTCAGCTAGCAGCAAACTGCAGTTCTCCAAGTGTCCACTTGAGGTGAGCTACAAAAGCCAAGGAGAGTTAACCAAAGTCTGGACCAAAATTCTGATTTTAATTGCAAAATTAAACACATTAACAGCCCAGTAGAACGACTTACTTTAGCCTCCTCCGCTTGTTTTCATTTCCTGTCTACCATATCGTTACTTGTTAAATGATTGCATGCATGGTTGCAAAGGGATGTGGCTAATTTGACAAACAAGTGGGCAAGCCAATGGTATTTCCAAGGCAGTCTGGCTATGGTCTACCTCCACCTCCTTTCTAAATCAAAATCATCAAATCAAATTTTGTTTATATAGCGCCAATTCACAACAGTTGTCATCCCAAGAGGCTTTCCAAAAACAAACAGGTCTAGACCATGCTCATTGTTTGATGAATTATCAAGACCCGACTCATGCTAGACAGCCACCAAGCCGCTGCTGGGTTCTAGTTTGTAGATAAGCAACCTTGATGGCCTGAAATGCCAATCAAATGTTGTTTCTAAGCAATAGGGCAGCCAACCATCACCAGAGCCATAGTAACTCAGTTCAATGACTGCTGCCTCAATGCTAAAATGCCCTTCTGTCCAAATGTAACAAACACAGATGATAAATAGCATCTTTGTGGAGATACAGTTGTCAGTAAGCTGGACGTTAACCTGCAGGGCTAGTGGTGCTAACTCTGCTAATGTTCAATATAGACACATCCAAGCAATCTGACATGCTTCACTTGCAGATGTACGATCCTATGTTTATTAACAGCTCAATTATGACTACTTTCTAGGCGTTTACTTATCTCTATAAGTCAGTAAGTCAGAATTTAAATTTCTGCTTGCACGACTATGAGTTAGGGTTAGCCAACATCATCTCTTATCTTCTCTTATGGCCTCCAGCCCCTTCAACGTGTGAAACTAAACAAGTTGTACCACACAATACATAAAATAATAGCAGACTTTGTTTTTACACAAGTCAAACTGCTTCTCTCTGTAAGTCTCCATGCCAAGCTAGTTGGCCTGAGCTGTAACTGAACCAATCAGAAACAGGTGATTTTCTCTCCACCCTCAAACTCTGCCAGAAAGCACCATAGCCTATTTCCTAAAAAGCTCATCAATATCTGTAGCCCACTTGGTTATTTTTCATGTTTGTCACTTGAGCAGTTAGTGGACTGGCTGCCGTCAGTGCTGAGTCTCCACTTCTACCACAGTCCAGTCTCCAGGCGCAGAGCTGCCCTGGCTGTCAGGAGAGTAGCTGCTGACAGAGGTGACTGTGGCAGCAGGAGGGCTGAACTGGGGCAGCATATTGGGCCACATGCTGCTCTCTAAGGGGCTCAAAGTTCCACCTGACCCCACAGGGAGAAGCAGGAGAGGAGGGCAGCCTCCATCTCCAGACAGCATCAGGGTCTGGTTGATGAGCTGCTGCACCATGTCCACCTTCTTGTTCCACTCCAGTTCCTGCGGAGGAACCGGGCGCAGCTGCCTCTGGAAATCCTGGGGGACTATCTGGGAAGGTGCTATCCTTCTTCCCACCAGCTGTGTGTTCCTGTTCTGCCCTCCCCTGGCCTCATCTTCCTCATCACTGGTCTCCATAGCTTCATAGATGGTGCAGAGCCCTGAGGATGGAGACACCATGACTCCAGTTGGGCTCCGTCTGAGCTGCTGCTGCTGTTGGATCTGTTTTTGCTGCATGCGGTATTGTTGCTCTAACTCTAGCTGCCACTGCAGAACCTGCCTACGCTGTCGGTGCTCCTGCTGCTGTTGTTGGAGCTGCAGCTGAAGGAGTTCCCTGCGTTGCTTCTCCAGCTGCTTTTGCTGCTCCAGCCTCAGACGCTCTTCTTCAAGCCACTGCCTCTTCTGCCTCTCCTGCTCCTGACGGTGCTGCATCTCTTTCAGCTTCTCCTGGTGCTGCTCCAGCCTCCTCAGCTGTTCTCCACTGGTGCGACTATCAACACTGGTCTCAATGTAAGGCGGTGGTGGAGATGTGATCTTGGCAAAATGAGCTTCTAGGGTCCGATCAATGGGCCTCCTGTTGCCTGGGACCAATGCCAAATAGTGGCCATTGGCTATCGGGACAGTGGTGGAGTGGTTCTGGTTCTGGTTGTCTTCTTGTGAGTGTGCTCGCAGCTGGTAATCTTGAACTGCTGTGCCCGTCTTCTTGTCTCCTGTGAGACAGTCAAGATCACTTGATGCGTCCGTTAGAGATGCATGCATCCAACAGAACGGGTGAAACAACGACAAGGACCAGGAAGAGCAGGGTTTAGGAGACATTTGACACGAGGGCGAAGGTGTAACAGAAAAGGAACAAGACTCTCAAAATAAATTGACATCTTTGACACAGGAACACTTGATACTGTTTCTACAATGCAGGAAACAAGAAGAAAACATGAGGTAAAACTGCATTATGTTTTCTCTCTAAAGTTGCTTTCCTTTAATCCCAACATATTTCTCTTGATTTTGTAAATTAAAAAAGTTCACTTCATTGGTGCCACACTCATATCTGCTGCTTGGTCCTCTGTGAATGTGTCAGTTCTCATGCAAGACATTATATAATAAACACGGCACAATACAGACAATGTGTTTCCAAATAAGACAAAAGAAAACATGAGGAACAAAACTGACAGAAATAAAAAATAAAACCAAAAGTAGAGTAGGGTTTAATGAATTTTATCATAAGCATTTAGGCTTGTGGAGTCTGATGAATATCTGAACCACTTAGGGAAATATCCAAAAAGGTTAAGAAAAGGAGAGGAAAGCAGGTCAGAGGAAAAGGCAGAGAAGGAAATAAAGTGTTTGGTACTCTTGAGCATCAATATTCAGATGTATTCATGTGATTTTCAGGATGAATGTGTCATGTTTCCTGCCAAATTCATCAATTCACATGGTGGCCATGTCGCCATGATCAGTGTAGGAGGTGCAAATGCTGTTCAAAGGTTGGCTGCCATGGTCTCATCATTATTATTCCCAATGAAAAACTCAAATCCAGAGGCATGTCAGGCCATGTTTGCAGTAAAAACAACACGTTTGTTCGCCAAAATGCAATGTTAGAAAACAGCCAAACATTCAGCCTTTGCAACAGCATTTGAACTTCTCATTATGAGCATGTCGGAGGAAAACCACAACCATGCTTTTAAAGGTACTTTGTGAAGTTTTCACCACAATGAGTGCTGTTGAGACAGGACAAGAAATATAGCCTAGAAGGTGGCCAACACTGAGCACTTTTAGACTGTAGGAGCCTTTTCACAGCCCTAAGAGCAGCTGAAGGACTTGGACCCTTGTTCATTTGCAATAACCGCAATAAACATAGTTCTTTAAAAGGATATTCTAGGGTTTTTGAGGTGGGGTTGCAACTTGGGTGGAGAACTGGCACAGAAGCTAGGGTGTCAACTGCTGCAGATGACGCCACTACTAGTAAAGGCAACACAACTGTGGTTCTCCACATGCAGTGCACTAGTCAGCAATTTAGGTCTATGAAGTTTGAGTCCAACCAAAGCCTAGTACACTGTTAGATTGTGAATTTTGACACAAGTACATCTCAGTATGACAATTTCAAGAAAAGAATGCTAAACTTTTTTGTATTTGTACCAACAGCCCACTGGTGAATGCCACTATTGCATTTGATTAGAAATGATGGAATTGGAATAAAGAGGCTATGAATGTTTGAAGCTTGTAGGGAACAATCTGTTGGAAGTTCTCCCCCGGGGAGAACTGAAAACTGTTTGGTCCAAAATGACATTCATGGGATGCATTCTGGTGAAACGCATTGTAAATGTTTGCCTTACAAAACCACCACAGTGTACCTTTAAGTGAGCTCTATTTGCTCAACCAGAGGCCTGAATGTGATGCTGGTTGGCTGGTATGGAATCAGAAAATGTCTTGAGGACTGAGGCATGCTGGATTAACAGGGCACTGGAACACCATTTGGGACACCTCCTTGATCTGGGCAAAATTCCATGTCAGACACAACACCATTGTAGATTGTTGCATCACATCCTGTTTAGTGGTTATTCCCATGGGGAGGAGTTGGAGGCGCCATGGGAAGTTAGTTGTGCAAACATACAACACACAGAGACTTGAACACAAGGGCAGTAAGTTCAGGCATGCTGGATCCATAGGGGAAATAAGAAACAGGAACAAAATGCCTTGCAATGATGTTTTAATGGAATTTTGAAAGATAACCTAGTGTGAACCATTCATTTATGAACACGTCTAGTGTAGAATTGTTTCAAATTCAAGGTATTACACAGTCTTAATGTTAGTTAAACATGCAATATACTGTTGAAATAGTAAACCAAACACTCACTATGAAATGTTTCAGCGAGTATAAAGCTCAATTGTGATAGCGCTGAGGGAATTGCAGGATCTCATCACAAATAAAAGGCTAGTTGTTAGCATGTTCCTGAACACAAATAATCAGCTAACTGAGGCTTGAAGCTTAGCCACTTAAAACCATTGCCTGAAACACATACTGTACGTGACTGCACGTTATATACCTTAACAACCTATGCAGAGCAAAGAACCTCTTGAAGCACACATTAAAAACTTCACCAACTGCAATCTAATACTCCCATACCTACTTCGACGAATCTGTAAGGGCCAAACAGCCGTGTTAATATCTAGCCTTTATTTTGATAGCTAAAAGTCTTGAAACAAGAACACAAAGCTTTAAAAGAGCATATGACTATCGCTATGGTGCTGCTGAACATGAAGTGTGTGTACACAGGGTAGGAAGGACCAGGTTTGACGGAAAAAAAACAAACAAAAAACAACAAATAAGCAAATACAAAACAAAAAATAATTGACATTTGTTCGGTAAAAACAGTAGGATAAATACATAATGAGTCCATTTCATTCCATCTGTTTTTTTTCTTTTTCGGTGTAAAAGCTCAGTCACATTGGACCAATCAGTCTTTACCCCATCAGGGGCTACATAATATGCAGTGTTACTTAAAAAGAACATTCTACTAGAAAATGGTAGTAACTATTGTACATAAAGGAGTTTAAGCCATACACTCGTAACCACGACCAGAACAGTATGAAAGAGGGAGGCTTCAATTAAAAATTGCTACAGTCATTTTTTCCATCTCCTTTATTCATTTTTTTTTAAATCTTTTCCTACAATCCTGCTCTCCTTTTTTCTTCTAAGCCATCTAACCCAACTGGAGAGAAAACAAGTAACAGGTAAAGGGGGAGGGTTGCGGGGAAAAGGTGCATTCAGGGGGTAATAGGAGGGGCTTATACATTACCTGCCAGAAAACTATCAGTCTTATCACATATGGTAGAGTAGTATGGTGGCTGGCCCTCGCCAGAGTCTTCAGTTTCCTGGGCCCCAAGGTGGCGACTGGGCTCCAACGGGTCGACCTCCTCCAGATGGTCTGCTGCAATCTTCCCCCCGAACATGTAATGCTGCTCATCCAGACTGGGATGGTGTTCTCCTGAGTGGCCCAAAGGCATCAGATCCACAGGTCGGCCCAGCAGGTCCTCTGCCTGGGCTGCAGCAGCAGCTGATGGCAGGGTCAGCTCCTTGATGAGGGAGGGGTCTTTGGCCTCCTCAGGAAGCTGCTCCTCGTTCTCCAGGGAGAAGATCCCCGGGCTCTTCCCGCAGCTCTCTGCCATAGAGTGAGCATTGGAGTTGGATGTAGTGCAGTCAAAGCCATAAGATGCCACAGAGTTTGCAGACTGAGGGGTGGCTCCACCTCCATCCTCTTCACCCTCTGCAACTGCAGTGTCTGCTGACTCCTCATCTTCCTCAAGAGCAGGTAAACTGCGGGCAGGAGTGGGGCTTTCAAATCCAGCAGCCCCCTCCATTGCTGCTGATGCTTCAGGGTCGTTTATTTGCATTTCACCCTCTGTGTCACTGGCCTCGTCTCCTGAGGTGGAGGGGGAAGACGGAGCAGATGCTGGGGCGGTTGGAGGTCCTGTTCCTAGGACCTCATCAGCTGGGAGGGTTTCAGCTTCCTCCTCCTCTCCATCACCTTTTTCCAGGTGAATACCCAGGTCTTGCTCCATGTCAGGCTGGACAGGAGCAGGCACTGGAGTCTGCTGTTTGTCAGAGCGGGACTCCACCCCAGAACTACTGTCATAATCCCGGAGATCCTCTGGCGTGCTTGTCTCACTGTTGCTGTGGGTGGCAGGAGCTGCACCAGCAAGAGTGCCAGGCTGACCCTGAGCCTCCTCAGGCTCTGAGACCTTCATCTCCTCATGGGTCTGAGGAGTGAAGGAGGGGGCACTGCTGTCAAAACATGCCTGAGCAGGAGACAGGGTGGGGGTTTCAGAGTCAGCTGCTCCGTGGTCAGATATGGGGCTGGGGGAGGACACAGACAGCAGAGAGGCTGGTTGGGCCCAAGTGTCGGAGAAGGGGTTGGTCTGGCCCCAGGAGGTGGTAGGGGGGACACATGGTGGAGGACCGGAGCGATTAAGGTTGTCCAGACGCTCTTCTTCATTAAAGTCATCTTCATCTACATTCCCACAGCTCTCTGTCACTCCCTCACTATGCATCTCTACATCTTCGTCCTCTTCGTCTTCCCGATCCTGCTGCTGGAGCACTTTGCGTTGCTCCTCCACCTTCTCTGAACTCAAGTCCATATCATCCACCCGCTCATCCTCTTCATCCTCATCTTCCTCCTCATTTGCAATTGTTTCCACATTGGGAGAACCCATGAGGTTACCGTCTCCCTCAGAGCCTCGGAGGCTTGAGTCAACCAGGGCGTCTGAGCTCTGGGTGCCCTCCAGTATGGCAGCATGCTGGGTGCTGCTGAAGTCAGAGATCTCATGCTGCCTACTGCTGGTGCAGCTGCTCATGTCTTCAGAGTCCATCCCTGACAGCAGATCGTCACCATGCCAACCAGCAGAACCACCAAATGCTGAGGACCGGACATGGATCTCCTCAGATGGCTGAGATGTGCTCATGTCAGTGATCATGGATGAAGGCTGATGACCCAGTCTCCTCTGTTCCTCATCTTCATCATCCTCATCATCGTCTTCGTTGATCTCCTCATCAGCCTTCTCTACCGCCACCTCTTTTTCATGAGGGGAGATCAGGTCCCTGCAGGTGAAATCATCCATGAGAGAGGCGCCCAATGACTGTGGTTGTGTCACACCAAAGGCCTCTGCAGAAGGAGCCCTGTGAGTCGGCATCAGCAGGTTTTCCTCTTCCTCCTCCTCTTCCTCTCTTGTCTCCTGAGCCTCAAACTGCTCCTCCTCTCTCTTTTTCTCTTCTGTCTGGGAATCGATCACATTGACCAGGCTCTGGGGAGCAAAGTCAGATGCAGAGAAGGCTTGGTTTCTGTCCCAGGGGTCAGACTGCATGTCCATCAGAGAGGAGACATGCTGTGGCTCTCTGACAGGAGAAACAGGACCTGGTGGGGAACAGGGAGGAGACATGACCGTTGTTCCGAGGGCAGGAACTGAGCTGTTGGCAGACTCCTCGAATTTGAAGTCTAGCTGGGCTGGCAGCTGAGTGTTGAAGGTTTGTTCAGGGACCATTTTAGCCTCTAGATCCAGTTCTGCTGATGGCTGAGACTCTGGTGCTGTTGGTATTGGTGTCATCATCAGATCTTGTGCCGGTTCTGGTGTTGGTTCTCTCACTGTTGCCTCGATCTGGTTAGACATCAGCTCTGCAGATTCTTCAGCAGGTGACTTCACGGCGACTTCTGCAAGAGGCTGCTGTTCCGCTGACTCAAAGATGACAGCAGCTGCTGCAGTTGCAGCTGCAGTAGCAGCTACAGCAGCAGCGATTTCCTTTTCTGGTTCTGCAGTTACAGCTTTGGGGCCACGTTTTACAGGAGTTGGAGTGCTACTGCCTACAGTTTTCTTGGGACTGGAGGTCTTGGTTGCAGCTGTTTTGGTGGCAGGGGTCTTGGGAGCATCCTTGGAAGGTGTCGGCTTGCTGTTGGTGCGATTTGGTGTCTTTGTGTCTGCAGCCTTACTGGCAGTTGGCTTTTTGGCGGTCATGTCAGATTTTGAGGCTAATTTGGAGGTTTCAGGTTTTGCAGACTTTGTTGCAGGGGAGGAGCGAGCAAGGGGGGACTCTCCAGGCTTTTTGGCCGCTGGAGTTGCTGATTTGCTGACATCTGTGGGGAAGCACACCAGAGAAAAGGTTTAATAATAAAGTATACAATATAGTTACTTACAGAAGCTACAGGTAATGATAATTGAGCATATAACAATAATCAGTGATAGATCAAAATACTGATTTAAGCAACAGAAAGTTAGTGGTACAGAGGAGAAAAAACAGATCCATTCTGTCTTGTTTTGTGACTTGTGTGGAAATGTTTTGGTTGTCTTTGAAATGATCCACAGGCACTGCACCTTACATAAGCAAACACAAGGAAAACCTGCTCTTTTTACAAATAAGAGACTGTTTCCCATTTTTGGTTGGTATCGTTGGTTTTCTGTTTGTTTATGTAGAAGTTACTGTTTTCAACAAATACTTTCTAATTCACAATATTGGTCAAAGCCACTGAATTTTACTGAGTCTAAATGTATTGACTGTGATTAAAAACATTTTTCTTAACTAAATAAAATTTATAATACAACAAAACTCTGGAGTTCAAAATTTATAATCCTTGCTGTAAAAAAGTGTGTATCTATTTAATGATATAAAAATCCCTGCACGAGACGTTTCTGTACCTTTCTTCACAGGAGTTGTGTTTCGTGATGATGGTGTTGCTGGGGCTTTGCCACCAGAGGGGGTAGTGGAGGTTGTTTTGGAGGCTGCAGGCTTGGCAGTGGTGGAGGTTTTGGGGGCAGCAGGTTTGGATGTAGCTGAGGTGGAGCTCTTAGTCGTGCTGGCTGTGAGTGGCCGGGTTGAGCCTGTGGCAGGACGAGGTGACGCGGATGTGCCGGTTGTAGGCCTGCAAGGCAAAGGAGAAGGTTAGGAAATGCTGAGGGGTGTTCACGCACAGAGATCTGGGTCAGAGAAATTATGTCAGGTTTTTTTTATTTTTAAAAGATGAATATCTCTACACTGATCTACGTCAGTTCTACTTGTGTGGTATCTTAACACCCCTGCGAGGAAGACATCTCATGCAAATTGGAAAAATACACAACAGATAAAGATCGTTAAGGATGACTCAAGACTTAAAGGTGACAAGCCCTTCACAGCTTATTATCACAACCAAAGGTTCTCTCCTGACCTTGTCCTGGTCAGCTGTGTGTGTGTGGAGAAATGCTTAAAATGATTTTGACGGAAAGAAAGGACCCTGAAATGTCATTTAGCTGTTACTTTTATGCTAGAGGCAACTATAACCAACAAGACACGCACAAGCAGGCTGAGAAAAGATCACAATAGTGTTGACACATGGAGAGGATGGGCTATTCTTGTTAAGAGCACAAGCAGACAGACCCTGACTTAAAGCACTGTTTCTTCAAATAAATTTATACACAATCTCTTAGTGAGGCCAAGATATTGAGGGTCAGGAGTGTGTGACCCACAAGTTTGACCCACTTAGGGACAAACAAAGACATAAATAACTTCTTACACTGAATAAATACAGAGCTTTTGTGTGTACATTGCATACATTTTTGCAATCATGACAACAAAAGGGTAACCCGGAGGCTATTTTGTTGAAACATACCTTCATGAGATATCTTTCTTACATGATCCCACAAAGCAAGCAAGTTTTTAAAGCGGACTCTTGCTGCTAAGTTGTGCAAATAGTGCTGAGTGTTTTAAACTACGGAGTCAGAGCGGCTCTGCAGGAAAAACTGCATGAGAACAACATATTCAAATTACTTGAGCATCGAAAATCAAACAAAAATATTCTGAGGGAAAATAAGTGAAAAACATGCCAGTATTGAAATAAGCTAAGCTCTGTTTTTGGTGTATCAGGACTTGAAACACTGGTAACAACAGTCCCTGTTCACTCCTTCAAAGCCCATGACAAACCTCCCTGGGGGTCTACTGTATGTAAAAAGCAAAGCAGTGCAGGAGGTGAATCACAACTGGCCCGAGAGAGGCATCCCAGCCTTCATCTAATCTTCCCTGGATGTCTTGTCAGTTTTCACTCTAAAGGCAGCGTACATCAGCTTGCCTGCTCTGGTGCCCTGCCTGGCCTGGAGGTTGGCTTCTATGTCACGTCAAAGCGAAGTAACCTACATCTAGTAGTCCTGACGGAGCTGTGGTGTGCAATCTCCTGAGCCTGAGCCAAACTAACTGCCTGATTCTAAATAAAGGATTGAGCTAGCTCTGGCAGAGAGAGAACAGGGAGGTAGAGGGAGAGTGAAGGTGGCTAGGACCAAGTTAATCTTTAATACTGAAAGGAGGACAGAAATAACCTCTCCATTTTCTCCAGCTGGAAGCAGAGCTGTGTTTAAAGCAAACTCATTGTGTAAGGGCAATGAAGTAATGCATGCTATCCTCAACCTGGCAGAAGACGTGGAGAACGGTTTGGTAATGCAAAATTAGATTAAAGGCACACAGCGAGGAGGGCGTGGCCATGTCATGAGTTCAAACAACTTTTTAAAGTTGATCCACATTCAGTTTGGCTTTAGGGCAGTAAAAGGAATGCGACTGATACTGAGACTGTTCGATCATGTCAATGCACTTTTACTAACGCCCTTCAGGCAACGCGGAACACTAACAGCCTCATTCATGACGCATTGATTTACTGCACTCGGAGTTGACTGTGTTAACTGGAAAATCAGAGAGGTTGATGAAGCTGGCCAATGATTGTTTTTCATCCCTATTGTCACATCTCATCTCTCCAAAATGCTGTATTTCAATGGCTCATCCACTTTTGGATAATATAACCCCTGTCTTGCACAAAAAAACTGTCTAAAAAAAGAAGTACCAGCAGCCCTTGACTGTTAGTGTCCTGGGAGCTATTTACAGAGAAATGTATTAGTCTGTTTCCTTTCATGAGTACTTAAGGCCACTGAAAATGAAAACTTTTCACAGCAGATTCCAAAGAGCCACCCCTTGTGTCACTGTGTAAACTAGTAATACAGTAATACTTTGAAAAGAGTGATGTTATAGCCCCCTTAGCACACGCATATCACAGTTAAATAGCCATTAAGGCTATTTCGCCCTTAAGATTATTTAACTGTTGTCCATAGTCCGCAACAATAGTGGACACTACAGAGCTGTGTTTGTGCTGCTGACTTTACTGAGTTTATTAGCACCTCTTCAACAGTGCAAAAGTGTTTTAAAAAGGTTTGTGTGTGTGTGTGTGTGTGTGTGTGTGTGTGTGTGTGTGTGTAGATTCTTGTGCATCTGGATGATTTCCAAAACATGTTCCTTTGATGCTTATTTTTTTCTATTTTTGATGGATCTTTCTGGTCTAAAAAAGGCCAAACAAAAATGTTATAACTTAAAAATAACTGTTAAAAATGTGGAGGAGTCAACATTTCTATGAAATAAGGAATATTAAACCTAAAATTAGAGCTTTAAATCTTTTGTACCATCATCCCTGATGAAAAGAACATTTACCTGAAAATTCCACTTGTCACCCAAAAGACAAAAAAAAATTCTTGGGCTCACACAGTGGTGATGTTTAAGCCACAGCTGTGACAAATCTGTGGCTGCACTGCTAACTCAAGTGGGGTATGCAACACTAGAAATTCAAGCTAATTTTGAGCAAAAATCCCCCCCTTCTGACAACAGCCAGGAAAAGCCTTGTTTGTTTGATGGTCCTCAGGATTATTTTACCAGATTCTCTTGAAATATATCTGGTACAATAATGAGTGATTCTGCTTACCCCAATTTGCATGGATGGCAATCAGGGTTGCACAAATTTGAAATGGCGAATATTCAAAATTTTCAATATCTCCTATCAGATATTGTGCTGTGTATGGGGGAACCACAAGGACACCCCCCCCCCCCCCCCAACCCAGACTTGACAACAGCGTTATAATCCAAGATGGCAGCGCAGTGCATTAACAGTAAAGAGTAACGGTGAAAGCTCTCGTGATGTATTATTTATTAGCACTTCTGTTTTGTTTTTGTGAATTTAAATAAGTGGTATATGTAGTACTGCCCAACGTCTAACTGTGAACATGGTTCTATGGTGTTTGTAAGTGTAAAATACTGTGTTGTTTGTAAACAACAGCTAAAAACAGATAACTGTAGGCATCCATCTTGGTTTTCCGACTTGTTAACTGGAACGCTATAAACTCAGGTGTAACGTTATTCCCAGCTCCGACATACAACTTCCAAGGTAACTGGAATGTAGCATTAGCTTTTAACGCATAACTAAAACAAATCTGTCAAACCTGTGAGAGGGAGAAATATACATTTTTAACAATGAAACGACTTGAACCAGCTGAAAAAATCTGGGAAAATTAATCTCTTCTTGAAATTCTTTCTTAAAATGCTCTCCACTTATACTTTATTGGAAAAAAGTGGGTAAAATTACAAGATTTTGCAAGAAAGAATTGCAAGGATTTTTCATTCCAAAATTGTCCTTCAGTGAGCAAGATGTTAAAAGGTGGAGACGGAATAAGCTCTGTGTTTGAGTCTGCGGTGCTTTGATTAGAGAGAGAAAAGATAAGAGAGGAATTACAGGGTAAAGGAGAATGGGGAGAATTCAAAGTTACAGAATCTGAAATTAGAGATGAAGTGTGCTGAGGGCTTTTCAGAGAGTGTTCACGATAATCTGTTTGATAAAAAGAATATGGTTAATCCTAAAAGGCAGGCCTGCTGAAAAGAGCACAACAGAGGAAGATATAGACTAAAAGAGAAAGATGGGTAAGGGAGGGGGCAGATGATACTAATAATCTGATTACATATTATCCTATATCAATGTCTTTTTCCTGCTTATCAAAGAGGACAGTCGGCACAGTTGGATTCTATTACAGCATTTAAGCGCCCAGGCCATGGTAGAATAAGCTCTTGTGTTGTGACTAACAACACTTGACCATTGTAACAATGTCTGAAAACAGTGATGCATTGATGCTAGAGTTATCTCAAGCTTCTGTTTATTCTGTAATTCAGCTCACTGTCAGCTGAATAAGAGAGAGGACTAGAGGAATAACCATAGTGTTTATCCTATTCTACTTAACATACTAATTTAGCTTAATGGGCAGCTTGTAGCTTCACAAAATATGCGTGTTTATGTTCATATTTCACCAAAGGCCATTCTGCGAAACACTGCAAAAAAAAAATAAAATTGGAGTTTAACCGACAGCCCAGATATGCAGTGGAGCTGAACAATCAGATGATGGTTAGTGGGACGGCGCATTGATGCATACAGTAAAATACTTGAAGTCAGCTTTTGTTGCCCGAGGATCAGTAGAACATTTAAGTTTTATTGCATCTAAAAATCTCCTCAATCTGGGACAAGAGAGGATTGTGTGTCTAAACATGGTAGCCTGCTGGTTACTGCTTTGTGATACGTCCGAATCTGGCTATGATTTAAATAATGAGATGCTCTGTGACATGAGTAAGCAGGAGCTGAACTGAGCAGACATACGAGCGGCCTGCCCAGTAGCAAAGTCGACAAACTGTGGAGAACTGACCTTCCTCCTCTCAGAGCAGGCAGCAGATTATACATGGTCTTGTCTTAATTAAACCCCATAAATATAAAATATAAAGGCAGGAGCTTCATGATGGTTTAAGTGGCGCCAGTAGAGTCAGCAGGATGCTGTGGTGGCTGAGGGCTAACAGGTTATTTTCCTGTTAAATGAATCTGATCGGAGCACCCTCTATGTGGTGGTGCTTTCTGCCTGCCTGGTACAAACTTAGCAGCGAGTTCAGATCCTGGAGATCTATTTTATATACTTTGAGTTATAAATCTATCATGCTCAAGTCTTTCTGTTTGGCAGAATAAAACTTCAACAGAGTCATCTTTATAGATAATGCAAAGTAAAGACACAATGATATGATGTGGTATGCTGCTTAAAATGAGGTTAAGGCAAGTCAATAAAAACAGGAGTAATTTCAAAAGCTCAAGAAGATATTTCATAGTCTTCATTTCATGAGAGTTGGGACACTGTTAGTTCGCAAATCAATTTAACTCAATTGAGAGGACAGCAAATAAAATGGAAAGTGTTTTTGCATGGTCAAGGCCTTCAGATATAAAAAAAGAGACATGCTTCTGTATTGGAAATCACTGAATGGGTTAAAAATCCCTTCCAAAAACCTTAGTCTGTGACTGCATCCACAAATACAGGTTAAAACTGTACAACACAAAGAGGAATATACATGACCCAGAAACACCAACAGTCTCTCTGGGCACCAGCCCATTTTAGATGGACTGAGGCTTAATGGAAAACTGTCCTGTGGTCTGAGGAAAGAAAATCTGACATTGGATTAAGAAATGATGGAAGATGCCTAAAGAAGGGAAAATCCCCCCTGTCAGTTTCAAAGCCAGCATACACAAAGGTAGGGAGGATGCATAAGTGCTCATAGCATGGGTAGCTTACACATCTGGGAGATTAAGGCTGAAAAATATATATACAGGTTTTGGAGTGACATACGCACCCATTCAGACAATGACTTTCATCAGGGAAGACCTTATGGCTCAGTACACTGACCTGTCTGCAGTCCAGACTTACCAACCATTGAAAACATTTGGAACATCATGAAACTAGATAACCCACCAAAGAATACCTTTCACTGTTAAGCATCTGTAATCCTACATTATTCAAGAATGCGACTCTGTTCATTATTTAAAAACTCCAGAAACCTCGGTTCTGAAACATTTACAGTGTTGTTAGAGGAAGAGGTAATGCAAAATGATGTTAAGCATGCCTCTGCCCAAACTGTCTCACTGGCACCAAACTTGAAATGATCTAATATTTCACATGAGACAGTCTGTTCTTTTCGCTTCCAGCATTTGATTTGTTGTTATTGCATGACTTTAAACTGGATACAGACTTCACATAATCTGCAAACCATCAAGTCCTGTTTTGATTAAAATGACACACATTGTTCTGACTATTATTGAATTGAGGTTGTATTCTATTTATAATGAGCTTATGCTTAACAGAACGGCTATTATTCATGTCTGAGACAGAGAAAGTGTTGCCAACAAAGCATTTTCTCTAATATCCATTACATTCATTGTATCCCTGCAGCATGAGTGAACAGCACACCCACAAACACACCCAAACACACTCAAACCTTTGTCTCACACTCAAACATAAACGCATCCTTCTGTCAATCTATCCGTCCTCCAGTGCATCTCATTTTCATTTAGTCCATTTGGTAATTGGCTCTGCGGCTGCACATCTATAAAATCACGGCAGAGAAAGACTGCATCATGGAGCCGTCGACCACACCCAGAGCAGAGGATTTACAGCCTGCGCAACATGTCGTCTGCTTCATGCAGGACTGTGAACGGTGTCTGGGGCACGACCACGGCTTCTGCTCACCACATGCACCAGTGCTGGTCCATTACATCAGCAGTAATTTGTTAGATCATGAGGAGGGTTGCACTCAGTCACTGCAATAAAAATTTATCATCCCTAAGGGACCATCAATGAGGAAAACAGCCTGACTAATGTGAGAACATGGCTGGCTGAGGGGATGGCAGGGAAGAGATGGCAAAAATGAAAATCCACCTGAATGTCCATTTCCTTCAGTGAACTGAACACCCTTTCTCTGTCCTCTGATCTACTAAAGTGCAATCTTCTCCTCTGTTTCACACAGAGATACCCTCTGGTACTCTGCTTCCTCGCTCCACCTTTGCCTCCGCCTCACTCTCTCTCTCTCTCTCACACACGCAGCTTTCACACCCTGTATGTACAGGATTCTCACTCTATGCATCTCTGGCAGCACTGATGGGCGCTCAGCGGGGACACATGACTTATTCAGCCACATAGCTTCTATACCCCTCCGCCACCATTTTTGTTTCACTTCACTCTGCTGCATCCATAGACAGCAGGGTCGACAGGAGGAAGCAGCTAAGCGACACGTGTGCCTGTACCACGTGTTCAGCCGCCTGCACGTACACTTCCCCTCCCCCTTTATCTCCACATCATGAGTAATATACCAGCAAAAGAACACATGCTCTGCATCTTAATTACATGTATGTATGTGCTCCTGCTATGCATGTGAACAGCACATACATGCACAAATCAAAGCACCTATATGATAAATGCATTGCGTGCTTTCCTGTCCTGGTGGGCAGTTCGCATGCTGCAAAGCAGTTCCCAATTACCAATGCCTCAGTGGACGCAAATCATCCGCACAGCTGGAGAAAAAAGGCAAGAATTGGTACAGATTCACTCGCACAGGCAGACGCATACTGATAGTACACAAACTAACGTACATGGACATCCTGTTCCAACAACATAAGGATTTCCACTTTCTCCATTTGCACACTAATCAGGCTCTAACACTCCCTGTCACAAGCTGCTTGCTGTGGGCAATCGGCTTCAAACAGCAGATGCACACAAACACACACACACACACACACACACTCCATACATGTTCCATACATTTAAAAACAGACATTGTCGCTTCTGTTGCTGGATAGACGTCACTTCACAGTTATATGTTTTGCATGAATCACCATCGTATGAATCAATTGAAAGTCTCTCACTTGTTATAAAGAGTGACTGTAAAGTTTTTGCATATAAATCCCTAAAAAGCCAGTTAAAAGCCTGTCTTTAAAACAGACAGACAGAGAGTGAGTGAGCAATAATGAAGAGTAACCTGCAGCAGCAACAAGAGAACCTAATGCAATTTTACTAAAACCTCAAGCAGGGCAGGGAGAAACAAACCACTTAGCTTTTAAATTAGATAGATGTCACTTAGTGAACCTGCGTTTGCTCTGCACTTTATTTGTCTGATTACTGCAACCTGCTGCAGATGGAATTAAATCAATTGGACCTAAAGGAACACCGAGTGAATTGAAGGGAGCACTGCAGGCGTGTGTGTTTGACAGTAAGGGGGTGGGGGTGTGGGGTATGCAGGGTGTGTCTGAGATGACAGTTAATGCGTCCGTTGATTTCTCCACCACTCTGCTGATAGCTGCCCCGAAGTGAAGTTGGAGTGAGGCAGCAGAAGGACAAAATCTAATTAAAGGCAAAATTTATGGGCCTGTCAAAGCGGATCACAGAAACAAAAACTGACTGGAACACACACACACGCACACACATTCAACAAAGTATGCCTATGAGGGTACATGGTGCTGTCAGAGGAACCTATCAACGGGTTGAAGTTCTCTCATGGGGATTCATATGTAGGTCTGCTGCAGCTCCATCCTTCTCTGGATAACGTGTGTACAACAAACTCGTGCAAAAACAGTAAATACTGCAGTGATTACAGTATACGCCTTGGCCTGCCCCCACAGAAAAGATGGCTAATAGTGACGAGGAGACCAGTTGTTTTTTAAGATACCTGGTTTATTGGGTTCACCTGCCATCTCTCTGAGTTAGATGTGTATGTGTACAACAAAGTCACTACCTAACACACGCTTTATCAGCTTCTTTGAGGTCCTTTCACTCCGGAATCGTTTTTGTCGTGTGATTATTTCGGCCGTCAATATTTTTTTTCGAACCTGTATCCTGTCAATACAAGCGTTCACATCAGCGAAGTTTTCCCGTCCTGCGATACTGCGGTATTTATTTTTTCGAATCATCGATTTTTCTAAAGTTTCGCATACTGTGTGTCCACTTCTGACCAATCAGATTTCGTGTTGTTGCAACGTCTGATTCACCGGTATATCCAACATGGCCCGACCGGCTAATTGTTTACATGTCAGAATGCTTTTTGATAAAAGACACAAACATTACAAAGATAACGACCTGAAGGACAACTTGTGGAGAGTCATAGCGGCGGATTAAGTCACTCGTAAACTAACCTGTTCAGGTACAACATACCATATGTATTTTCACTCTCAAATTCAATTGCGTTGCTGTCACAGCACCATTAGGTCTCGGTTGTTACCTAATGTTTATGGATTATAGTTTAATGTGCTTATCTGGTACTGGCCCCGACTCAGAACATGCTATCATGACAGACATCCATCTCGACACTAGTGTCTAATCAGAACTGAAAACAGTCAGTCTGCTGTTGTGTCAGTCTTTTTCTCCCCTGGAAAGTCGCAAAATCACATCGTGCTTGATGTGTATAGTCAGGCGCATCAAAATTCCCCGAATATTTCGTAATTTCGCGTTCTATATTCGCGTCGGCCCAGGTGTGTTAGGACCTTAATGGTGTGATTTGAACCCAGATTACTGACTTTCAGTTAATGTGTCTAAAATTCAGACACATGAGCATCATCCATTCACTCTGATAAATTCAAACATTTATCAAAATCGGGATAATATCTTCATTTATGTTACTGACAACATGCAAAAAGACAAGTAAGTTACTCATTCTGTGAAAACCGATCAAATCACACCTTGATATTAGTGGTCAACTGGTATGGGTTTTTCAACGATAAACCGATACTGGTATCTACAGAGGTCAGTCGGTGACCAATATTAAATGTATATGATGTAGTTCCTTCATCCTGTATTTCATAACTTAATACTAATAACAGCAAATATCTCGTGCACATTTCAAGGTAATATTTGTGCTTATCTGAGCCAAAAGCATGTTTCAGATGGCTTTGAATTGATTGGAGAAATAGAAATAGAAAATACACTTTGCAAAAGATGCCCAAAAGATTCTATTTAGGGACGACGGGTATTTATTCATCCAAGACCCTGGCGAAAAATAATCGTTGTTATGAATTAAATGACCGCAGCTAATAACTGTTGCACAACAGGCATCCTGTATTAAAGTGTCGATGATAAACATGCCCCTAGGTAAGTCTTTTTAATTAGATGTTTGCATATCAACATTTAAGGCTGTAATCTGAGTTTAATCTCCACAATCCAGCTGCTACCTGAGGCACATGGAGTAGCAGCTAAAACATGTTGCTGTCAGGTGGAAGGAAGTGGCTGGAAATGTGTAAGAAGTAGAGAACCATGCTAAAAGATGAGCACAATCTGATGGGTATCTTTTGGATTCTGTGTTATATATAGTATTCTCAGCAGAAGATGTTTCATAATTTATTCAGGCGGGTGCTTTCCTGCTCTTCTCTTTCATGTAGAGCTATAACTGTACAAAAAACATAGCTCTTCTGTGTTGAGTTCCTATTTGTAATGACTTTTTGCCATCATGATGGTGAATCATGACATACAAACACAGAAAGGACAGAAAGGCTTTTGGTCCAACAATCAAGAAAAGAAAATCAAAGAAAAAAGGAGAGGAGGGGGTTAAGCCCGTGATGAAGGAACAATCAGCAGCTCCCAGCAGAGGCTTTATCTGATCAGGATCATCCGCATATCATACAAAGGCCTCCTTCAGCTTCCTCTCCAAGCCTATCGTGAAATCACCTCAGGACCTGACACCACATGCACACAGGTGAGGAACACATGCTGATCTGACTGTACACAAACACACACTCTTCATCTAAAGAATCAAACCTGTTAAGAGTTTTCACTTGTTCTCACTAAGTTCTTCTCTGCTGCTCCTCCCCTCTCTAAACCGCGCTCATTCCCTAAACTTGTTTTATTAATGCTGCTGTACAGTGCCTGCTCTGCTGAAACCCTGCGAGGCATTCCTCTAAGGCCTGTTCTGACATAGGCTGCTCGCTGGCCTACTTAAACGCGGGCCTGCTACGCTTCTGGAGGATCATTGTCTATCAAGTCTCCAGGGTGGTTTCTCTTGAACAGGGTCTTCTTTGAACCTGTAGCCAACTAAAGCCTTTTGAACCAACAGCTTCTCAATGGTGCTGAGGAGCTTTAGGACTTTGAACTTACTGTGTCCAATTCTTATCTTGTTCTAAGTTGTTTTAAGATCTGCAGCTCTGTTAGAGCAAATTGATGATATGCTAGCAAATAACTGAAGGATTTCTACAACTCCAATTTCACAAAGATGGAACACTGTGAAATGTTTATTAAAACAATTCTGATTTGTAAATCATTTAAACTTATACTGGAAATAGTGTTAACACAACATATTCAGTGCCAAAACTTAATTTTTTAAATTATTTAAGGAAAAAAAAAACTGATTTTAAAACGGTGCCTGCAACATGTTTCTAAACGTTTATAACAAGGACAAAATCCCTATTGAAGTTGTGTAATACTAAAGAAACACGTGGGGAAGCTTCTTCCTACAGTTCCTACAATACTTCGACATTTGTATAATAATGTGCCACAGAATAAAATTGCAAAAAGTTTATTGACTTTTTTATTTAATCTGCAGTTCATAATGTTATTAAATGATTTAGAGAATCTAGAGAAATCTCTATGCAAAAAAGGAAAAGGCAAATAAAACAGTATGGGAAAGTTGTGACATTAGGGTCCCTGGGCATGGTATAGGGATACAGATGCGTCCATGGTATGGATTGCTCACACATCTGGGAATGCTGAACAATATATCCAGGTTAAGGAGTGACAAATGCTGCCATCAACCCAACTGCTTTCATAGGAAAGGCCGTACATGTTTCAGCAAGACAATGCCAAACCCCAATCTGCACATTTTACTGCATGGCTCTGTAGAAGAAGAGTCTGGAGGCTAAAATGGGCTTGCTGCAGTACAACCTATCACCTAATACAAACATTTAGCACCATGTGATATGTTGACTTTGCTCTATTTTTAATTCAATTTAGGCCTCAAATGATTTTTAAACCGTCAGAGTCTGTTTTTTTTAAACAGCATTCCCCACTTTTTGGAAAGCAGGTAGTATGAGGGACACATTACAGACAGCTGCCAACACAGATGCAAGGAATCTTTAAGATTTCACTTCAGAGAGGGTGGGGCTCCAACAATCCACAACTGTGATGCCTACCTGGTTGTCTTGGTAACAGGGGGCTTGGGTGAGGAGGTGGAGCCTGGCTTGGTGGGAGCTGCAGCGGCAGGTTTTGGAGCTAAACGAAAAAAAAGAGTTACTTGAAGATTAATAAGATGTATGATATAGCACAGCACACTATGGTGACATATATCTCATATATAGGTCAGGCAGACATACAGTATCATACATAACATACAGTATGTCATGGATCTAGGGCAAATGCACGTCTAGATGAGCAGCCACTCTGGCAAGTCTAATATATGTGTGGAATCCATCATATGTGCATCTATCTACAACTCATCACAGTACATTAGCCTCTCCACATTAGAGGAAGAGCTGTGAAAACATTTCATGCTTGACCTGCTGTTAATGCCTGCACCCTGACTTTCAATTGTGTTTGTATCTGATCTGGACTTTCTGTTTCCTGATGACATTTTCACCAACCTAGGGGCTTCTTGGCTGCAGCTTGGGTGGTGCTGGTTTTCACACCATTGGCATTCGTGGTCGGTGTCCTCTTTGCTGCTGTTGTTCCGGTCACTGGCTTTGCACCATTGGTGGCAGGGCCCGTTCCTGTGGCTTTCTTTTCACCCACTTTGCTCTTGGGTGCTGCGGCTGCTGTTGTGCCTGTTGGTTTTTTGGGAGGAGCTGTAGTTGCTGTGGTCTTTTTGACTGCAGCAGGTGGGGTCTTCTTTGCCACTCCATTGGCCTGGGGTTTGGACACGCCATTTGACAGGCGGCTCTGTGGCGTGCTGGTCCGCGAGCCGGGTGTTGTCTTGGCTGGGTTGTTGGTGCCAGGTTTTGTCTTGGGCGTGGTCTTATTGGCAATCTTGGCTTTTGGGTCTCCCGTGGTCTTGTTGCTGGTCTTGGCAGCTGGAGTGTCCTTGGCCTTGTCAGGCTGAGGTTCTTCCTGGCTTGCCTCACCTGCAGGCTGCTGTGTCACCTCCTCTCCTGCTGGACTGGCTGCCTGGTTGGGCTCCTGTCCTGCAGCAGGTGGTGCCTCATTCATTTCATTGGATTCCAATGTTTCCATTGGCTCCATTGCTGCCGTGGTAACCCCATCCGGCTTCATCTCCCCTTGAGTGGTAGTGGTCCGTCTCTGCGGGGCAGCGTCGGCTGACTTGATTCTCACAGGATGACCACAGGTCTAATGGTTCTCTGGAGACAGATCGCTCTGGTCTGGAGGGAGACATGATGATAAAAAAGAACAACACAGTCAGTCAACAACAAGATCAGACACGAAGAGCAGTTGGTGGTCTCTCCAATCAGTGCATAAAGCCCCAGGAATGTTGTTGGCCCTGGTAGTAAGATAAAGCCTTGGCTCGAATCTCCCTAAAGCTTTAGCATCACACACAAATATTTTTATGCAGGCATCCAAAAGTTAGAAGGCAAACAAGCTGTGGACATAAATGGAGAAAAAGGCATCGTGTTAATGTGAAGGATTCTGAACTGCTGCATGAATTAATGAGAGGCCTGTGGCCTATGAGAGTGCAGCCCAATAACAGCAGTCGTGTAAAAATAAATCCCATCGTCACAGTGAGTTCTCAGGGGGCAGACTTTCACTAAAACAAACAGATCAGCAGTTTTTAGGATGAGGTGAGTGTGTGTTCCGTTTCATGGTCTGCAGAGGGAGGAGCCAGACAGCAGGGAACAACACATTCTACAAATTGCCCTCATTTATTTCAATGCCGATTGCAGCGCGGCAGCAAAAACCCCCCTGTGGCACTAAAAATCTCAGTGACACACTTGGCCAGTTGAGCTGTGACGGGTTATTTTTTTCCTCTGTAACAAAGTGGCATCAAAGGCACTAGTGTGGAAGACTACTTCTCTGGAATAGTACACTTAAGGGAGAGCAAAAAGCATACTGATTACAAAAACACATATATGAACCACACCAGAGATGATGGAAAGACGTGCACCCTTTAAAGCTCCAAGAAAAAAGCTTGCTTCAAATTATTAAAACAGCCAAAATAAAGATGAGTCGGAAGAGGTGGTAAAAGGATCAGGATGTATTTTGTTAAATGGGTCAAAGCATGTATAATAAATCCAGAGACAGGCTGACAGTTTGACTCACAGGCCACAAACGGAGCAATCACAGACATGAGCAACTGAAGACTAGAACTGGGACATGAAGCATATGAGGCCTGCTAAGGGCAACCATCTGTAATGTGGGCTGTCACACAATGTCTGCATCAATATTAGACAAATGTCTCCAAGTTTGTTTTGTGCTCTGACTTTGAAAACGGAAGGATGAGAGGATAAAGATAGGTTTTTACAAGTTGGAGAAGGGCCGAGGGGGAGGAGGGAAGTAGCAGGAAACTGGCTTGTCAAAGTTTATAAACAGAGCGAAGAGCCAACTGTGCAGGACGAAGAGTGGTGAGACAAACTCTGAGGCGATGCAGAGGACAGCCCAGAGGAAGAGGCTTGGCCTGGGGAGCATGGGAACAGAAAGAGGAGGTGGGACGAAGAAGGCAGGGAAAAAACAAGACATAAAATGAGCTCACTATTGGCTGATGTTTGCTGGTCTAACGCTCGAATCCAGACAAAACTAGTCATCCTAGTTTCCACTGACCTTCACTTGGATGCATACACTCACTGTCCTATTTCTAGAGGAGAACAGACATCATCTTTATGCCACTGGGTTTGCTGGAAATGATTTCTGCACACTCTTTTTTCCCCTCTTTTCTGTCATCTTTCACTCATCCTCTAAACTTAACTTCACACACCAAGAAGGCTGTCATTCATTCTCCACTCTTTCTCTGCTTCTCTTTGTAACTTTGCTCTTCTTGATTTCCTTCCTTTTCCCCCCCGCCACCAACTCTCCCCCTTCATCCCTCTGTTCTCTGTTTGCCCTTGCACAGATGGCCTGAGCAGCTGAGCAGAGCCTGAGGGGGAAAGAGAGAAACTGAGAAGGAAATAACCGTGTATCCCAAACAACACATAAGACCGGATACACGCAGCTAATGCAACAGGCCGCAACCCAAAACTGCCCAAGAGGGCGAGAGGGAGGTGATGGGTAATGATGTGTGCCGCACCCTTCGGTCGCATGGGGTTTTCAAATGCCAGTGAGGCTGAAAATGTGGACAGTTGACTTAATTATGTTACTAACAACAACCTGTCACAGCTTAGAGGGGAGAGGGCAGACACCCGGACACTGGTGGGAGTGAGGAGGAAGGAAAAGAGACACCGAGCTGGAAAGAGGTTCAGACTTCTTTCATTAACCCTCAGAAATCTTTTAACTTAACTTTAGGGTGTCTGAGCTGAAAACTTATGAACTCTGTGTTGAAAAGCAACCACCCAGCCTCCCTACTGATGTGGTCACTTTTTCAATGACTTCCTCTATGGGTCAGCAGTGGTCACCACTTTGGATGATTACTGCGACAGGCCCAAGATGGTCCCTTTTTTTTGTGGTATTCCTGACAGATCTGGGATGGTCACTTTTTCAGCCATGGTCACCTCCTTTATAATTATTCTAGCAGGTCCTGGGTGGTCACTTCAAAAAAAAAATTCACATGTGATGATCACTTTTTCCAATGACTATGATGCAGGGCTCGACAGTACGATCATTTCACTTGCATTTGCGACTAAAAATAGATGTGTGCGAATTGTAAAATGTATTTAGGGGTACATGTGCGCATAAAAAAAATTAACCAAGGCAACAAATGTTATTTCATGTAGTGACCACTACAAGAAGTGACCACCTAACAGGTCCACATGTGTCATCTTCTTGATATTTGTAGCATGTCAGCAGTGGTTGCTAATTTGATGATTTTCATTGCACAACTGCAGTCCAAATTTCCTGATGAATTTCAATAAGAGGAAGTTTTTAAGAGTAGAGAACTGATAGGAGACGTGGTCGGTGCTTCCTCAGGCTGTTGGTAATCGTCGTGACTCCCTGTGTGTAAACTTCTCTGTGTGTAAACTTCCTTTAATCCAATCAAGAATCATCCAGAAGGATGTTACCATTTCCAAATGAAACATTGCTGTTTTGAAAATGTGACAGGGATGCAGAGATAGACTCTTCTAAGTATCCAGGTGATGTAGCTAAGCCCTGCGTATATTCAACTGATGTTGTTCGATGATGACAGCTCTTAAGCATGGATGTCAAGTAATGTTGTGTTTCCTGTTTGTGTGACTCTTCTCTCCTCTTGTCTCTTCATTACCTTGTATTCTCATGTCTCAGGATGGATAGACTAGGAGATAAGGAGAGGAGGTGACAAAAGAATTGAGGGTATACGAACTAGAGAAGTCAGAGATTCAGGACTAGTGCTTGAAGCGGGTCAAAGAAAGTTATTCTGAGGATTCATGGGGCTAACTGCGTCAGGACAACACACTTACTGCCAAAAATGTTGTTTTCACACAGCAAACTCCACCAACTTCACAAACCAAACAAAAGAGCACTGCTGTTTGACTAAGGCTTGATACAGTTACAACAACTATAATCCATTTCATCCAAGCCAAGAACCAGGAAACATCCAATTGCCATTCTCTCTCCTTTCCACGCTCAGAGGTTACTGGTTCCCACGGCGGACTGAGCATCTGGCCATGCAGTCCATTTCCCTACTAAGATGATGTGTGTTTACATGTGTTGGTGAGGAAGCGAGGGTGTGATAAATCCTGAATGCACAGCCGCAGCCAAAAAGACATTTCTCTTTCCTTCTGAAGGCCTCAAGACAGCTGTGAGTTTGCACATCTCTGCTGCTCCTCTTGTCCTACGTCATCAGAGCCATCAGTCAGTGGTTTAAGGATAAACAGACAAGGGACCACAGCAAGAACAAACTTTTTATCTACCATCCACAGAAACTGGAGGAGGAAGGGCTCAAGAAACACTGGGACACTATCACTGTTACAGCAGCAACATAAACAGAAGTGACAGTTATGAATCTGTGGATAGAATAAATTACCCACCCTGGAATGAACCCCTTACAGTAGACTGACCCTGTATTTGTCCTCTTATTACCTCTTTATTTATTTATTTTTCTTTAAATATACAAATATCAGTGTGTTTTGATGGCTTTATAATTGACTAAGCAGCTTTACTAAATTGGGTTCATGGGTACTTTTACCAAAGCTGCTGATGGTGGAATTGCTGGTCATGAATACAAAGGATATCGTATATACTAAGATCCTTGATGCATCATGTTTACTGTATTTGGGCCAACCTTTCCAGGTAAAATTGTGGCTAGAAACCATTAGGGACTGAGTAAATTCAGTGACCTGATATGCAACGGCTTGTGAGTTAGTGTTATCTCCAGCAGCTGATTCCAAGCAGATGGTTGTGTCAGCTACATTAGGTCCAACACTTAGGACAAGTGCAATGTGCTAAGTGCCAACAACATAAAATGGTCTGATATAAAAAGGATTTCTGGAGAATCTACCACAGAGCAAGCTGCAGGTCAGCTGTTCTGACCTCCTGTGGCTGCTACTCAACACAAATGCAAACAAAAGGATGTAAAGGACAATAACCTTTTCAGGCTGTAGTTGTTCTTGTCTGTATTCAGCTTAAAACAACAGCTGTAAAGAGATGATGGTAGTATAAGAACAGAGCGGGAGTCTCACACTGGCATTCTCCTCCAGCTTTGGCAGATCCTTCAGCATTAAATTCTGAATGTAGTTGACTTTGCAAAAATGTGTTTGTTGGCCCTCACAATGTGTTTGAATCATATGGCTACAGCTTCCAAGAAGCATCCCACACCAAATTCTCCACGAGCCTCAATGGTGAGCGAAACAGTAACCAAGAACAAAAGAGAACCACAAAAGAAACAACAATGGTAGAAACAAGATCAAACAGACAAAAACACACAAGGTCTCCAGTTGTAAACACACTCAAAGACAGTCTTTCATTTAATGCTATTTGTCTTAAATTAGACCTTTGTTGCTTAGACTTATTTCAACTTGAGACAACTCACCAATGATCTCAAACTAATTATGTTGTCGAATACATTCTTAATATACTTGTACTAGAGCTGTTGAGTGTTTTAATTTCATTTGTTAACACTGATTCTGAAACTGCGTATCAGTATCAGGGGGGTTTACCATTATTGTTTTTTCAATATCAACATCAATACTGAAGCCATTTATTGGAGTTCATGAGACCAACTCAAATATTTGGAACTGACAGTGCAATGCATCGACAGTAAAAATCAATAACATCAACAAATTCTATCAATTTTATCAGCCGAGTAGAATGGCACTGTTTGTGGTCACATTTTGACAATATATGCTAAATATTAGTCCCGACAAATGGCCACAGAGCAGTCTACCCCTAATTAACATCCCCTCCCCTTGATTGACAGGGCTTTATGCAGGGATGCATACATTGGATTTTAGCTGATATTCAATATGCCAATATTTTTAAAGTCATTTTGGCCAATACTATTATATACACACCCTTTTTTTTTCATTGGACACAAAACAAACTCTCTCCAGATTAGAATTTATAAGGTTGGTACACTTACTGTGACAGCCTTCTCAGTGAAGAAACCAACATGAACTAAAACAACATTTGATTCCACAATAAATTCATCCTTTTTTAAATGCAGACATTCAGTAACATGTCTGCTGTCTGTCTCACTGATTGCTTGGGAACATCAAATAAGAGTGTAATCCTACTGGACCGACAGGAAAGAGAGAAGAATTACTGTAACATGTGTGCATGGAAGTTTACCCTAGTCTCTCTTTTTGACTATTATTTTGAGCTTTGTACGTTTTGTGTCTGGTTGAAGTCAGTTGTTGTTGTGGTTATTATTGCTCTCACTCTAAATTGGCACTAAGCTAACAATGAGCGAGCCAGCTAAGCAAGGTGAGATTATCCTCCCCGGCATCATCCCTCCTTAATACCCACACCAGGACGTAAACAAAACGTGTGTGTGTTCTCACTTGTATGTGTATTCCTGAAATACAGCAGTGTTGGTGTGTGTACTGTCAATAACTGGAAGGCATCCAATCCCACTGAGGGATCTAAGCTTTTCTGAGTGTCTAGACACAAACATGCTGCTCTTGAATAATCAGGTCATCAGCATATTTTAACACAAAACTGCTACTTTGACCCCTTTTTTTGCACCAGGAACAATCTACTATTGTGTATGTGTGCGCCTGTTTAGGATACAGCAGGAGTTCACATTGGGGAAATGCTCATGGTAAATACCACTCAGTCTTATTTTAAAGGCTATTTGTGAATCATCATGTAGATCTGTTTAAGAAGCTGTAGTGAGGGTGATTAAGCTAAATGTTAATGTCAAATCTGCTCTAAGGCCGTGGAGTGTGTGCACTCACATCTTATCACAGCCACTGTCCGTTATAAACAAGAGACTCCTCGCCTCCTCAACACAAAGACCTAAATCAAACTGCCCCCTCTTATTGCCTCACTTTAACCAACCAACCGTCCAAAGACATGCACGAAGCTCTGTGGTAGAAAGCCAGCTCTGCTTTCATAGTATACAACTGTGTACACACACACACACGTGCATACTGCGAGCCTTCTTCTATCCCCGGGGCCTACTTTAAATAGTAGTCAAAGCCAGGCATTGTGGGGGAAGGAGGCAGTGATGGGGGGGGTTGGGGTGGGTTGGTGGGGAGAGGACGGTAGAAAAGATGCAAAAAGAAAGTGTGCGTTTATGGCCTGAGTAACCCTCCACTCAGGCTGAAATTTACTTGGGAAAGCATCATCGACTTAGTCAAAACAAATACTAAGACCCAGATTCCAGCAAGGACGTTGGCATCAAGGGCTGAGGATGTTAAGAGGGTCACTTGTGTTTAAAGGCATTGTTAATGAGCATCCAGCGGCCTCTGACCCTGTAATTGACATGCTTTTATCTCCACAAGCAGCGAGCAGAAACACTAAACTGCCATGTTTGCTCTTTGACATTGCTAATAAAGCGTTTGTCTTTCCTCTCACTGAGCCAGGGTAGGGTTACACGCGACATTTTGGAATGCAAAGTCACAAACGCTGAATCCTGATGGTATCAGTGTTGATTGAAATGAAAACATTTCTTCTTTTTACTCATGCAGAGGCACAATCTTTGCCTTTGCTAAATGACCTAAATATTTAAACTAAAAGTTCAGTGAAAACTTTGAGCCTCTTAAAAAAGACTTATGATACATATGTTCTTAAATACACACAACTGCTACAAGAATTGAAACTGTACAATACAAACATCGTACATTTCAAGAAAAATACTTGAGATTAAACATCAGACTAAACTTTCATTTCTTTCTTTGTGTACATCATGTTTGAGTAGCACGACAGCCTTCAAACTTGTCTCTTCGAGGAGAGCAACTCAGCAAGATTTGAGCAGCACTGCTTCAATAATTCACAGCTTTCTCGCTTACAGCACACATGCAAGTGGCCTCAGATGTGATGCAGTTTCTGTGACCACAGCTGTAAAATAAGGTGAAAAAGTTGTGTGTGTGTGTGAGTGTGTGTGTGTGTGTCACTGTGCCTCTTTGCAAGGGGGAGAATGTCAGATTCAAGACGCCACACGCTGGCATGGCGCCTGAGATTGTCCATTGAACCCACTCTCAATACCAACAATAGTCTCAGTCAACCCACTATCCAATTTAAAGCTACTTAGACCCATGGCTTTCCAAGTATAGACTTTATGACACCAGACAGAGAAAATTTATGTTCTAGTCTTTACAAACATTAAAAGGATACAACAGGGATCAATCGTTTCATTAAAAAGGATTTGGAATTGCACACAGATTTGAAATCAGACTTAAGACTACTAGTGGTTGTCTGGTTACAGTTTTTTAATGGCTGTTGTAGATATCAGTTATAAAAGAACAGGTCAGCCGATAGATATATTGAAATACAATGCCGATATCATGTTGCAAAAGACAGACCGACCGTTTTTAGGTTGATCTGTTATGAAGCAGTAGGTTATAAGTAGGGCTGGGCAATATGGCCTCAAATCAATATCACGATATATCGAGCAGTTCACCTCGATAACGATAAATGGACGATAACTACTCCACAAGCTGCTCACCCCCTCACACATTAACTTTGTCTACTTCAGCCACCGCTCCAGCTGCTACAACTTTTGAACCGTCCTCCATCTCCTCACCTGTCTTTCCCCTTTTTGTTACAGACTGGATGGGGTGGAGTCACATCTCTGACCTAGGAAAGCATCTTAAAGGGACATGAGACCATAGCCTGCCTACACACATCCAAAACCAACTTTTATTTATTGATTTATTTATTTTTTCGAAACCGAATATTCTGATACAGACAAAATGACGTTTCGGTATTGGTAAATTTTTGGTTTACCGCCCAGCCCTAGTTATAAGTGCCAAAGATATTTGATATTGAACAAGGAGGCAGGTTGAAACCATGGCGACACGCACCAACTGGCATATTGAAACTAGCACTAAAAGATGACAGCTACCAGTGACACAAGCAACCAACTGCTAGATTAATCATATACCAAACACATCTCTGAACAGGTAGATCACAAGAAGAAGTGTTTGGTGTGCAGTCAACAAGGACAGGGTGTGTGCCACCTCGTCTTAATTCAGCTGTCTCGTTTGATCTGTCACTATTCAGAGAGATAACAGGAAAATGGTTCAAGATCACAAGAAACCCTTAAAAGCCACTTCTAGCTAACATCTGTGACTCCCCCGACTCTCTCTGTCATGACACTGAGTGGGATGAAGTTGCTTCCTCTTCCTCAGCTTCAGAACATATTACCACAGCTTGCTACTGATCTCCAGAAGATATTTAGGCCTTGAAGAGCACAACAAAAAAATAGACTTTTGTGTACCACAGTAAAATCCCTGATTATAATGGAAGAAGAGAAATACCAGACATTATGTGTCCGAAGCAGGGAGGTGAAGGTAAATGACCAGGTTTGAGTCAACTGATGATGCCACTGCAAATCCTAGGTTGATTCTTAAAATGTGGGTGGTTTTGAGTTTTACGTATCGCTCTGTGTGATACAGCGCTGCAAAACGAGAAAAAAGTACAACGCCACCCTCCATTTACATCAATCATTGTCAAACAAATCCAATAACAACAATGATGTCAGCATCCATCACAGTATTTCACACTGGGTATCATCACATGATAATTTGGTAGTCATCACCCAGCCATGGACATGGCACCCAGTTAAATCCAGCTGGGAGTCACCGGAGCTGCCACAGCCTCCATCAACTTGATGCTAATCACAGCTCACACATTCCACAAACACCCCCGACCTGAGGTCAGGAAACCGCCTCTGTCCTGCACACAAATACACTCCAAACAAAGCCGGCCGCGCTCCATGGCCTTCCTCACAGACTGTGGGAGGGTTGAGTGAGCGAGAGCAAAAGAGACAGAGGGTGGTTGGACCTAAGAGGGGAAAAAGAGCAAATGTCAATCTGAAAAACTGTATTTGTTACAAGGTTTTTGTTATAACTATGCTTAGAATTTCTGCAATCTCAAGGTACAACATTGATGCTCTGTGCCTCCTACTGAATACTTTGAGGCAAAACAAAGAGTGTGTTTATATGGACTTAAGTAACTCGGTTTAACCCTGATTTGGATCATTTTCATGATATGGTGCATGCAGTGAAACCTGGTTATTCAATTCCCTGTGGACATGATAAAGACTTGTATCTTGTTCTCTGATTACTGCATCACTTTTGAGTACATGCCTGTGTTTTTTTTTCTAGCAACACTAACCGCAGCAAATTAGTGAATTTGCTGTCTACAATCTCTGCCTAATTCTCTCATAACAGAAGAACAAAAACTCTGATTCTTCTTCACTCCGGAACTCAGACACACTCTTTACTGCTGCTGCTGCTGCTATGTTTGTGTTGTTGAAATGTCACACGGCTGAGGCCACACCTGTGCAGGTAGTCAGCAGCTGTCAGAAACCGGCTACAGTATCTTGTATTTTCTTTCACTTCATGATGTTCACATGCACTAACACAAAAACAGGACGCTTAAAAAACAACAACAATCAAACCAGACTTTTCCAGTCTAACCCCTGATTTTCGCCGATCCATCCGCATCCGTTTGTGTGGCGGATTTTGTGGCGGATTACAGACAGCAGGAATCGCGAGAACTCACAAGAGCCTGCGGATTCACATGCAATCAGGCGATAACAAGTTGTCTTTAGCCACATAGGCTAACCATATAAGCAGTAGACTGTGTCCTTCCAGAAGAGGAAATCTATTTCTAGACTTATAAAATCAGCATCCTCTCATCCATGGTGTCATCAGGATGAAATGCTAAAAACCTGTCACATGTTCATTCCCGCCTGTTTGCATGGTGTGAAATACAATCCGCCTAAAACACAGAGTGTTTTATTTTGAAAAGAAGCTGGATGTTTTATTTTGTGCCTGTGCCCAACTTCCTCTCCAACACGGTTTAATTTGTGCTGAATTTATCCGGCACCTTCCAGCTCTTGCGATCAGCTGCGGAGTCTGGCAATGTGCAGAGGAACGGAAAGAAGCCGGTGGAAATTGACACAGTGACTTGAATGGTTATGATCAGCTGCGATCAGCAGATACGGCCTTTTTGTAGCTGTTGCGGTTGGAAATTAGGGGTACGTAAAAGCAATTGACAAATTGACTATTTGTATTTACACTTTGACCCTTAGGCTTCACTTAGTTTGCCTCTGTACAAGAATAACTGAGTCAAATGATGAAACACTCTTCCTCCTAAAAAAAATGAGGAGAGCAGCTCTTGCACATATCAGCTCTGGCGTGTGCTTCCCCTCCCTTCCCCTTCAGCTCAATTAACCTCCAACCGCTGGTGAGGGCAAACCCCATGCAGCCTTGGAGGCAAAAAAAATTGCTTTTCATGGTTTAAGGTACAGCACTCATTTAAGACAAACTGTCATATTCTAGCAGCATTTTTAATACACATGACACAGGAATGAACTGTGACCTCAAATACAAATGTAGCTGCTCATTCCACCAGTTATCCAAACCTGTCTTAGACTGTGTGAGCTCTGTAATACTGCCCTGTACCTTCATTTCTATGAGTTGGTCAGTGGTAAACTGGACTGCTGGGATGCTCATTAAGGCAAACAGAATGTTAACAGAGGCCCCATTCAGAGGAAGAAACACATCCTATTGTGTCTCCTGTTGTACTTGGCAGCGAGTGAGTGTGTAAGAAGGAGCAACAGATTGTGTGACAGACACCTGGATCACAGAAACATGTGATCAGAAAGACTGGCACTAATCCTAAGGAGCTCCTCGCTAAGATTTGACATTGTCTACTGTGAAAAGTTGATTGACATTTTAGTTTGAAGGACTGAGAGCACATACCACTTTCCCTTTTCATTTTTTTTTTGTGTAATACTTTCACAACCACTTCAGTAAGCATGCAAATATGACTCTCTTTAACAGCAGGGAGGACTGAAATCTGCCAAATTTGGGGCGGTATATAGTATTTGTTCACTCCACCCCTTTCCCTCTAATAAACACCAAAGAATCTGATACACAAAACACACACATACAAACACTCGGGCCTAGTCCTTCCCATGATGCATCCAGGCTTGGAGAAACTCGGCCCCCTGGGGACGAGCAGATTAACACATGACAGAGCTTGTTAACCCTGGACAAAGAGAGATGCTAATCTTGTACAGTCGGCCTTGACCGTCCTCAAACAGTAAACAGACACAGCCACAGAGAGGGACAGAGAGAAGCCCAAGAAAGACGGGAACGAGCGAGGGAGGGATACGCAGCAGCAACAGAGGCGTCAGTATGTCCCAGAAAAAAAGACAATACTGCGGGGAGGCACGGGCGAGAGGGTCCGTCAGCCCCAGAACAAGGGCAGACAGAGCCCAACTGCAAACAAGACCCCAACAGCAAAGGCCCGACTTCAGCCTGGCAGAGCTCCACTGCCTGCAGGGACGACCGGCAGGGCAGCGCAGAGCTCTCCTGTGTGAATATTGATCGCACAGGCGGAAGCGGTGAAGCCAACTTGCAGCCCCACAGATGGGAAGGACAGGGACAGACAGAGGAAGTGCATTAGTGGAACAGGGTCCTCTGATGCTGTTAGCTCTTTCCCCTGGGAGATAAGAGAGATAGTAGTGACAAGGTTTTAGGAGAGAACAATAAAAATGGAGGAGAGGCAGAGACAGTGTGTCAGCAAAAACAAAAATAGGCAGACGAGAAGAGAGGCAGACTCAATAGAATGGCTACACAGAAATTAAGGCTAATTTGTAACCAAAGAGCTGCTGGAACATCTCCATAATGGGCCGTCAGCCCACAAACAAGCTCCTCTGTGGGGTAAATGAGATCAGGCCAGCCCGGGACCAGCTGGTGGCTCGGATCAATGACACCAGATAGGGCTCATACAGAGGCTGAGGAGGAAGGCAGAAATGAGGCATCTGGACAGGATGGCAGAAGAAACACACCCAAGAGGTTTCAGCCTTCGCTCTCTTGAGCTTTTGCACCGGGGCACCAACATTCACACGCACAGTACAAGTGCAACGATTGTGTCCTTTTGTAAGAGGATTATGTCGTCCTGTTTGAAGAGGAACAAGGCACGTTCCAGATGGAATCTGAGTCCTTACTGGACAGACGACTGGAGGGATAGTTTTCCAGTTCAGCAGCTTTTCTACTTTATAAATCGCACAACTGGCCTTCCAACATCACATCTGCCCACAAGCTTCCAGAAACGCTTCTCTCAACGCTTCCCCAGCAACCATAAAAACAAACATTTAGCATTACTGGGAGTTTTAAATTCCTCTTTATGCTTGTTAAAGACGGATAAAAACCAGGAGAAATTGATATTTGGATATTTGGTGCCCACAGCTGCCTGCAACAAAGGGACTATATCATTCTCTCAACACTGTTTCTTGCACAAATGCCATTCATTCCACTTGAGACTGTGGTGAGGGTTGACGCTGACATAATTCTAACATCAGCCACTGAGCCAGAGAGAAGAATGTCAATGCAAGGTGCAACCCACTCGTTACATTTACATGCACAGTTAGGCTGTTAAGGCTATTTGGACCTGTTATCCTAGTGGATGAGAACTGGGTGAGAATCAATTTATTGACAAAGGTATGTCCGCCTCTGCAATGGTAGGTGTTGATAGGCCTCCGGTTCAGCTAATTTCACAAGGGCCTTCTTCCAGTTGGCTCATTACTTCACATCCAAAACAATCAGCAAGTGGCTAACTGATTGTAAGTCACACAGTGGGGAAAAAAGCAGGAATAGCTTTGTAGTACAGGATAACTTCCATTGTTTTTTTCAGGGCTGGTACCAACATCAATTATTGGTAATTCATGAGATTTTTTATACGTAACCAATCCAAGCTCCGCCCCCGGAGCCCCGCTATGCAGGCCACACTCTGCATATAGGGGAGAAATACAGAGGACGACTGTGGAACGAGCGTGTGCGTTTGTGGATTGCAATGCTTATAAGAAAGATAATTATGATATTAGCTTTCATGGTGTCACTAAAGACATGAGTGTTCGAGAGCTGAATAGCTCTTATGTTGTCTGGGACTTCTACTACACCAGCACTGTTAGGCTGCAAGCTAACGTGAAGACAAGTGACCAGAGCAGCGCTGTCTCCGCCCACCACTCAGAGGCCAATTACTAATGAGCTACAGGAGCTCTGCGGGAGAAAAGCCCTTGAAAAGGACACAGGTAGCGCAATTTTGGTAAAAACTTCATAATCACAATTTAAAGACCACTGAGAACACTTTCAAGAAGTAAAAAAAAAAAAACTGTCAGAGTGGGACTTTAAACACAGGTGTGATTGCAAAAGAGGAGAGAAAGAGGGGAAGGGTTCCTACATGTCGCGTCTCACTTTGTGCTATTTGTGCCACCTCATTCACGTCACCTGAGTAGAATGCGCATCGAATCAAGTTTTTACATTGACTTGACATGCAATTCACACGCCAAATGATTTTATTCCTGTTTGGTGTGAACGCACCATTAGTCCGGCTAATGTTCACTGATGCCATTGATTTAATGTTCAGTTTTTGAAATAGGAAAACTCCAACAAAAGCATGTGTCAGGTTTAAAACTGTACTGTTAATGCAGAGGACAGAGGAGGCTGTCTGCTAAGCTGCCAATAACAGCTGACCAGTGTTATAAATTCAAATGTAATCATGATTTCTTAGTACAACATAGTTTTATTACACTGTCAGAAGTTTACAGCAGTATCTGTGGTTATATGTGGTAGAGCTGTTCTGGTGACTCAGACTCTGACGCTATCCTTTAAGTCTAAGAGGATAGTGACTGTATTTGGCCCAGTTTTTTTACCATCTCCAAGGCTGCGTCACACCAAACAACCAGGCGGCACTACCACACTGTGCCATAAAACAAATTTGGTGTTGAAGCCTAGCAACACGGCTGTGGACCATACCCATTATCCATCCTCCCACCAAAGGAATTCAGAGTGTCCAAACACAGCAAATTACTGCAGCTGCTGGCAAACAGAGCCTCAAAAACCATACCGCCAGCTGCCAACTACGTGCCCTGACAACTGTGACTGGGCGCACAGACGACAGCACAGTTTATCTCTGCTTTATCTTCACTGCGGTGTCTAGGGCAGTTTCTTCGAGACTCAATCACCCAGACAACAGAGAAACAGAAAGTGACTGCTGTTGTTTTGGATAATCTGTAAACAAGACGCTATTGTGCTGCTGTTGCCCAGGATTGTGGCTTAAGGCTTGTGATGATGGTGGTAATTTTTTAATAGAGCAGAGACGTGAGAGGGTCAAAGGTTCAAACTGAAAAAAGCCTGTGGACCAGAGGCACAGGCCTGCCCTTGTCACATTTATGAAGTTCAATTGAGATGGGGCGAGATTTCATTCTGAGTCACACAGCCACCCCACACCAGTCCTGAGGCTAAGGACAGGCTGACACACAGGTCTATTAGAGCCACAATCAGCTCCACTCTTATGTCTGAGACAGAGGAGAGGCCAGCTGGAGGCAAAAGAGGTTATTATAGATTAAATTGATCTGAAACACAGGGCTTATGACAGACGCGTGTGACAATATACTTAAAAATGTCAATCATGTTTTTTTTAACAGTTATCGCACCAGAAAATGATTATTATTATTGGGCTTTGCTGACTGTGCAGCTCCAAATGAAACAAAGAGCTGTCATCATCATTATCAATTAATTGCATTTGGCACTGACTCATTATTTTCATTATCTACTTATCTGACAATTGTTTTCCTGTTAATTCCTTTATCTCTGTGTCCATGAAGTATCAGTGAAGAATGAAGGCCACCTCTAAAAGACCAGGTGGTCTTAATCAAAAAGATTATTCTTAGGGTCCTTACACGCCGGGACTGTTTTTGTCGTGCGATTATTTCGGATGTCAATACTTTTTTTGAACCTGTATCCTGTCAAGACAAGCGTTCACATCAGCGACATTTTCCTGTCCTGCGATATTGCGGCATTTATTTTTCGGTTCACGGTCAATTTTTCTTAAGTTTCGCATTCTGTGTGTCCACTTCTGACCAATCAGATTGCTTGTTGTTGCGACGTCTGATTCACCGATATATCCAACATGGCCGACCGGCTGATTGTTTACGTGTCTAAGAACAGAGCGCTTTTTGATAAAAGACACAAATATTACAAAGATAAAGACCTGAAGGACAATTTGTGGGGAGTCATAGCGTCGAATCAGAGGCGAAGGAGGCGGGACTTTCCCCGGGAAAAGTCTTCCCCGGGATGCGTCCCCCTTGATGTGTAGAGTCAGGCGCATCAAAATTCTCCTCTGAATATTTCGTAATTTCTAAAGTTTGTCCTCAGCTCCATAAGCTTTGCGGGCGGAGGCCGGATTTATGACCTATACTGCAGCCTGTCACCAGAGGGTGCTGTTCTTAGAGTGGCTTTACTCAGCAAGGAGGCAGATGCTGTCCATTCTATGAATGCTAAAAACATTTAATATTTGGTATGATCCCAAAAATTTCATGTGTCTGATCAGTCAATAATTTTGATGACTCACTGATGTCCACTGACCCCTGATTAAAACAACAGCACTCTTCAGGAGTTCTAGTTTAGCTGCATTTGCTGTTTTTTGTTTTTTTTTCATTTTAAGTTCTGATCTGTTGAAATTCGCACACTCCAAAGCTTTTTGAGGTGTGGTTGCCCACTGAAATCAGTCATCTCAGTCTGATGAAAAACCTGTACCTGTACCTGGCAGTTCAAACCCGAGCTACTTCAATGATATCACTAATTCTGTTTGTCAAAAAGAGCATTTCACCTTTGACTTGTCAGCTAAGACATCTTAGCGTTTATAATGGGTATTGAGCCATTCAAAAGCACCATTATGTTAGTCATCCATTATAGTCATGGCTGAAGGATCGCATCATGATTAACCCTTTAACACCAACAGTCCTTAAGTCAACACAAATATTTTAGTGTTTCTGAATATGTAGGCTGAGATCATTTGAGCATGATTATTTTTTTGCAACTAGATCAATTGATGATCACTGTGGTATTAAAAACAATATTTCCTAGAGTAAATCATCAAATGGAGGATTGTATCAGACACCGACATCAAGCTCTCATTGTTTCTGCAGGTGGCTCACACTGATGAAACTCACCTCCCTGACTCTGACTGGCTCAACAGATCTGCTGGTTACAGAATACTGTGATACACCCTTTCAAAGGCACAGCAACAAAGACAAAGAAAAAATTCAACTGAGGTCCAATCCTGAACAGGAAGGACAAGATCTGACCCACTTTCTACACATAATTTTTTCTCAATTAAAATAATCTGCTTCATTTATTCAAGCGTGGTTCCTGACAAATCCCCTCACCACACAAATTCCCCTCAGGCAGTAATCCACATCATCCAAACCAATAATCTTTTTAGGAGCATCTTAAATCACTTAATGAAAACAGATCTTGCTTTTTAATGGTAGCCAAATTTAATTTCATTTGATTGCATTAGACCGCCTCCATTTTCCTGCCTCATCCACCAACACTGTGAGTCAGCCATTCTCTCATCCATGCGCACGGAGGAGGCAGACTGGCTGATGGCTTAGCCCACCTCTGACTTAAGAGTCCTGGAGAGTCTCAGAGCCTCGCATGGCCGAGCCTAAAAAAGGGCTCATATTAGTCACCCGGGGGATGCCATTTTCTTAGAGAAAAAAAAATCAATTCCTCATGGTTGATGGTCACACATTATTGACGGACACATGCCTGCTGTGGCCACAAAGACAGACATTTGTGCCGCCATCCAAGGCACCTTCGGGGGAGGAGAAAGGAGCTGTGGCCTCAGGATAAAGATTTTCAATGCTTGCATGTTTGCAGTTTATTAAATGCTCTCGGGCAGGCTTTGAGAACTGGCTGTGTTTCTCCTCTCTATTGTTCTACAGAGGGGAGTGTAATCTGTCTTATTGCACTCACTCACCCACCAAACAGAGTCACTGAAGGAGCAGCTACAGGCGCCTCCAGCTTTAACTCTCACACCACAATAGCTGATCACTTTTGAGGGTAACATTAATCACCTCTGATTATATGCCAGCTTGAGTCTGTGCACAATCACCCTGAGAAGACTTCTCAGCTCCACAAACTCCCTCCAGGATCTGTGGAAATTATAGCTTCAGCATGCCACAAATGGCCCTCAGTTCTTCTGTTTAGACGTGAAATCATACTGGGCATCTGCACAATTATTAAGGCTTAATTTGCCGGTTCTTCCCCCCTGAGGCGAATGAAACATTTCTCAGCACTTGGCCCACTACAGAACAATGGGCATCCGCGATGGAGGATGGAGAAGGAGGGGAGATAACGAGGAAAAAAAAAAGTTGAGGGAGGGAGAAAGCAGGGGGAAAAGGCTCACACAAAGAGGTATCATGTTCTGGAAATGAGAACAAGCATGGATTTAGGGCAATTTCTCTGGTTTGTGTTAGCCTAACAGGTCTGTAAAGCACTTGAAGCTACCATGCTGCCTGCCACCGCCCCTATCAGCCCCCTTTTTTTGTAAAGGAATCAAATTGAGACTTGAAAAAGAGCCATTTATGGACAAAAACACGATGTGACACAAAAACAAAACATTTCAGACATTTTTTTGAACGCAACAGAAAGATTCATTGGCACTTAAAATGATAATTAAGATGTACTATTCAGTGTTAAGAGTAGGGTTTGTCCTAACAGCGTAAGTACAACAGAGACTCCAACGGCTGGAACGGTTATAACGATTACTTTTTTAAAAGCAACGTTAATTAGCTGCAAACTGATGTTAGCATGAACGCTAAAGCTAAAACAATCTCACCCTTACCAGTCAAAGCAGCGGCGTGCTAGCAAAAATCCTCTCCAGCTACGCCCTGTGTTAGCAGATCCGACTGAAGCCACCTCGAGTCAGGAGAAAGAAAGTGAGGTTCAAAATGAAACCGGGAGGAAAAAAACGGGAAGAGTAAACGTGGGAGAGAGCGGAGCGGAGCGGAACAAACCGAGCCGAGCCGAGCTGACAAGAAAGTTCTGAGTCTCCGAGCGCCGTAATTGTGAAGTGATGCGCGTTCACTGACGGGAAGAAAGGAGGAGAATGACGCTTCAGTCCACTCACACACATACACACACACGTACACACGATAGTAGATGGATGGACAGGCGGAGGAGAGGACAGGGCTGCTGCGTTCAGGTGCTGCTTAGAATGTCGGAGATTATGAACAGTTTAACGTTATTGAAGAAACTGGGATATTTTCGAGCTGTTGTAGCTGCAAAATCTGAACTTTTTCGAGCTAGAATGTGAGCAAAAGCGGGGCCCGTGAGTGTGGGAGCCAAAAAGGTCAATTGAACAATCTTTTCAGCAAAACATCACACACACACACACAAAAAGAAAATGTAGAGCAAAACACCTAAATATTTCATTTAATGCAAAAAAATATTTTTTTGTTTTACAACAATTTTACACTGAAACCATTAAAAAATGCACAAAATACAAAAAAATATCACACAGAAGTAGGGCTGGGCGATAAAACGATAACGATATATCAAAAATTAATTTCCCTCAATATCAGTATAAAACATGGCCAATATGCTTTTCAGTAACCGGCATTCTGCCATGTTTTGATAGACTATAGATGGGTTTCTTGTGTACAAACAATACTGTTTTTCAATGCATCAAAATCAGAAAAACACTTGCTGAAATGTCCATGAATTTCATTCATTTTACCAGGTTGTGACGTTGTTTTAGATGTTTCCAATATCAGGAGCAGGGTCATAATGTTTGCTGATTGTTTGTTTTGCCGATTCGTGCAGTTTACAGCACGACAGCTCCTTGTCATTTTCTTTCACCGTTGACTCCGCTAGTAAACAAATCAGAAATGTCCCACTTTTTGCCCCAAAGCTGCGCGTGTATACCTGCAATGATGTTGCACAGAAAACTGTCTTTACGAATAGCCAATGAAAAAGGGAGTTGCTCCGGGTCTGCTTCACGCTGAACCAATAATGTGCTGAACTAGAACCAAGTAGCAAACAACTGTGTGAATGTGAAGCCAACAGCACTGTCGGTGAAAAAAATAGAAAATGAGTGCTACCCTGGGCAGAGAGGCAGATGAAGGCTCAACAGATGATGACATTGTCGACAAAACTGGCACAAAAACATTGGTGGTGTGGAGGTTTTTAAGTATTTTGAGGTTGGACATGAAGCAGAGTCATGTGCACTGCTTTTTTCCCTTATCGCCCAGCCCTATACGGAAGAATATTTTACACATTTCCTGGAATGCAAAAATATTTTACTAAATTTTGAAGATATTTTATCAGCAGACAGACACTTAACAAAACTGAGAAAATTTGTCAGAAGCAAAAACTGTTTTCATAAAAGCAATTTTATGAAAAGCAAAATCATTTCATATATGCAATTTTTTCATTAAAGAAACAAAGACTTTTCTCTTTGTAAGGGATGAATAAAAACGTTTGCTACATCTCCTTAAAACTGGCAAACTCATTAGAGACTTGTCAAATCCTTAGAACCAAAGCTACTACAGTGTACAATAATGTTACAGTGACACGATGATCATCAATGTGCAGGCCTAACCTCTGATCCTACTGTGTACCAGTTTTAAAGCTGTTACAACTACAAACTAACCTCAGCTGCCAAATTACCTTAAATTGGCATATATTTTTATTAGGAATATGTTCTACTAACGTGCAGGAACGAGTGAAATTGCTTTCTTTTCTGGCTCCAAGTGACCTGAATGGTATCTGAAGATTGTAATGGTTCAAGTAATCAAAAGGAAATTTAGGACATACTGTTAAAAGTTCATCTGGGAACCGCAGCAGGTTATAGCCAGCCATGCCTAGAGGTGCTGGCACACTGGAAAATATGCGGAAATTATCAAATTAAACCATCAGTCACACCTGTTTATCAAGTCTACATTTCCAACATGAGAGATGCCTCACTCGGCAGAAGAATCCACCCTGCAAAGCAATTTATGGGTGCGACAAATTAATTAGCTTACTTCAACAGTTATTAAGTGGGGAATTAATGAAAGCAAAACAAATTCCGTCACTCTTGTGAACTGGACAAACAGCTGAATTATTCTCATGTTGTTCATTAAGGTGGTGTCCGGCTGCTTTTTTTCTGCACTGCCACCTTGTTGACTGGAGAGTCAATAAAAGGAGGGTGAGATTGTTGTTTGTTGTGTGTGGAACTGCAAAACCTGGCACATCTCCCCACCACAAACAAGAAAGTACATGTAAGGAACACTGCGGCCTTCTTAAGACTTCAAAGTGATTGTGTTTGTAATCGACTAAGGATTTTCTGGGTGTAACTGCCTCCTAAAACTACTTAAGTTTTCCAGATCTAAACACTGAAGGAAAGGACTTCTTGAAATAAATGTCATTGCAGTTTTGAAGAAAAGGTGACTCTTCAAGAATTATTTGCACAGCTGCCGAAATAGGGGGTTACTACGAGTCAGTGAAGGCAGCATTCCCCACCAGCGCGCCACACTGAAATTGAAAGGGATGAACAGCGAATAGAAGGGGAACTCCGCTTTCTCTAAATGCAGCCAATCCCCTCCCAGGCTGAGGGATTATTCAAATTAAGGATGATGTCACCTCATGCAAGTCACCCTTCTCCCCTCGCCCAAGTTCCTCCCGGCTGTCTGTTGCCCTCCCTTTAGGCCCCTGCACCCCCTTTTCTCTCCTCTTCAAACCCCTTTTCTTCTTTTCTCCATGCCTCAATGCACCCACTGACACACACTCACACACACACAAACACACACCCTTTAACGGTGCATTACTGCTGTCCCACATGCATCAAGTTGCCAGCATTGTCTGCCTTCAATGCGACTGTTGCATCCAGAATGTGAAATCTCTGAACTCATTTAAGACCTGTTGATAGCAAAAAAAGATGTCTATATGGGATTGGGGCCTGGAAATATAATCTAAATATTTCCTTATTGCAAATTAGGATTACATGCTTACACCAACATGCATATAGTATCAAAGGCCTTGCATATTTTGTGTTTCTTTGTCTCAAAATTCAAATATCCTGCAAACACCAGACTATTCAGATCATAGAGAGAGCTTATCATGTGCACCTGTCTGCAGCCTGAGTGATAAGAATTTAATATGAAGACTATCCGGGGCGTATTTGCCTCAGAACAACGATGGGCAGCCAATACGGTGTGCCTCCTTTCAGGCTAACTTGTGTATTTCTCTTCGTCTCAGTCACACATTGAGGGTGTTGTTTCTTTGCTCTCAACCTTTTGTTTCTCACCAGAACTCGGCTTTTCATCAGAGACAGTCTGGGTGGGCATGCCGCCTGTCTGCTTGTCTGTCTGTCTGTCTGTCTGCAGTCGCCTGCCCCTGTCTTTTTCCCTGTCTGCATGAGCCAGGCTTTTGTGCACTGCTCAGTTGTGGACGGGCTTCTTTCATGTACAGCCTGTGGTTGCCTCAGTCTTTCCAAATGCTGCAGACAGAGGGTTCAGCCCAGTGATACCAGAATGCGCTATGGGTATAACTTAACAACATACCTAAATCTATGAAAATGTTATCTGTTCACCACCTATCGTTGCGACATTTCTTGAATGGATTTTGTTGTTTTTCTTTAAAAAAGAGGTGGTGAGGTGAGGCGATCCTATCTCTTTTACTTAAAATGTAGTATGATGGAGAACATGTGCATGATGGGTACTGTACAATAGGATTAATGGCATCATACTTCATCATATATTGATGTGTTGTATCATAACAACAAAGTACCCTCTCTACAGTAATTACATCATATCATATAGCTTTGTATCATGTTGTGTCCTATCGTATCATATCTAGCATAGCATTTCATTTCCTATTGTATCATATCTTTCCATATCATATTGTTTAGTATGGTATTGTATCATATCTAGTATATCGTTTCGATTTATATCGTTTGGTTAGTACTGGATCACCCTGTGAGGTATCATATTGTATCACATCGTATTGTCATATTGTCGTATATTTTGCCATCAATCACTGTATAGATATGATGTGAATGAAAAATGCCTTGCTCAAGGATCTCTTGAGTTGTCTTAATAATGATATAATGTCAGTAATAAATTAAGGCTCCCTAATCTGTCAATCTTAGTGTTGTGTCGTTCGCAAATGATTCGTTCAAAAGAACCAAATCTTTGAAGTGAACGAACCGAATCACTTCCTTGAGTGATTCGTTCATTTCTCACTTCAGTTGAGCTGAAGTGAGAAACAGCATTGCCAGGCCAGCAGCCGGTGAACTAGGGACCGCATGCACCGATGCCTGAATCACTTGGTGAATGAATCACGCATTAAACTATACTCTCTGGAATCATTTTTGTCTGACAAAATTGCCTTTTTTTCACTGCTAAATTGCCACCACAACAACTTGCATACAATAGGACACAGCATGTAACAAGTAGTGCATGAAACCCGCAGCATCCTGTCATTGCAGCGGTTTGCGAGGGAACGGTGCATGTTCAGTATGAATTCTTCTTCAGTGAATGAATCACTCACTGGCCCCAATTTACCGAGCAGACCTGATTAATAGCATACCAGAGAACAGTACACTTAAAACATCATGACTTATAAACAATCATTTTTACAAACCTGTTTGCCAAAGAAACACAGCCAAACTCACGGTCCCAGAGGCTATGAATTGAACTGAATCCTGAAACGTTCAGCTGTGTATCAGTTCAGGAAGTCGGAGTCTGAGGTGTCTCCTGCGAACTGATTCGGTGATTTGGTGAACAAATCTTTTGAATTAATCCTTTTAGTCAACTGATTCTAGTGATTCAGTACATCAAAAAGAACTGCTGTGCCCATCACTAGTCAATCTAGGGGTCAGCAGAAAAGTCTGGAGATTAAGATATATCTGCAGAAATACCTGCTGGATTAATCAAGATATTCAACTAGTTATTTAGACTTCATGAAACAGAAACAGTTGAATTCAACATCGAGAACAACCGGAGTTCCTGCAGGTGTGTTAAGGACATGGAAAGAGACCAGGAAGAGGGTGGGGACTACAGCAAGGGTTTGAGGCCTGCTGGCTCGGACGTGTTGGCATGGTCAGCCAGGCACAACAAAGAGAGGAAGGTGGTGTTTTTTTCTCACAGGCGGTGCTGTGCGGCAGCGGAGACAGGAAGGGGCAGGGCTGCGTACCCCGCCACACAGTTCCCCTGTTATTTACCTCATTGTTTCCCCCTCCCTGGCCTTCAGTCTAGCTGGAATACACACTGCACAAAAAGGACCAGT